TTATAATAGTGCTAGAAGAGGCTCTACTGTTACTTCAAGCCCTCCACGTCGCTCATCCATCATTAGCTCTGGAGAACTTTAATTAAAATTAATACACAAACATTGTGTATTAAAAAAAAAAAAAAAAAAGTGCTTGAGAAAATGATGATAGAGAGAAAGAAAGAAAGAGAGAGAGAGAGAAGAATAGAATCAATCCTTTGAAGAAATTGGGAGAAGCAATAGGTTTTTTTTTTTTTATTCTTTTTCTAAAGAGAATGAAATTAAAAATTAATGGCGGGGGGGGTTTTTTTTTTTTTTTTCTTCTCTGGAAACCCTTTTTTTATCAACCACTAAACGATGTTGTTATGGTATATATCAATATGATATATACTATATTATTATTCCCCCCCCCCCCCCTTTATATGACACACCTTTCTCAATAAGCTTGTCCGGCTACTGCGTTAATACTCAGTTAGTTTAATCATAGTTTTATTAATAATACAAACTTTTATAATTTTTTTTTTTTTTTTTTTTTTTTTTTTACTCTCCATCTTCTTCTCTAGCACTAATTTCTGCCGTTCTTTCCCGACTCAATCGCTCACTTTCCTTGACATTAAAGCCCGTAGCAAGTAATCCAGTCACTTCCTCCAATGTTAACCCAGCAGTTTCCGGATATACAAAGTATACAAATATAACACCAGTCACACAAAGCCCAGCAAATAAAGCAAATGTCCCTGTAGGTGTAATGTTACGCAACATTGTCAAAAATGTAGATGAAATAACAAGTGACCCAGCCCAATTCGTAGCTGTAGCTAATGATGTTCCGGCCCCTCGGACTCGAGTTGGAAACATTTCACTTTGTTGCCACGGAACATTTCCTGTACCTACCGCATAGAAAGCCACATAAAATAACATGGCAAATATCACAACCCCGGCCCATCGGCTATCCTTATTACTCGCATCTCCGACTAAACCTCCACTCTTTGATATCGTAAATTTTAAAAAATGAAAAGCAATCGCATTAATCACAAGTCCAACTGCCATCCCAGGAATAGTCCATAATAAAATTCTTCGACGTCCAATCTTATCAATAGCCATAAATGCAACAATCGTAAATACAAAATTTGTCCCTGCAACAATTAATGAAACTGTAGTTGGATCTTCAAATCCAACTGATTCAAAAATTGTCCCACTAAAATACATTAAAGAATTAAACCCAGAAAATTGTTGAATCCCTTGTAACCCACATGTAATAACAACCGCCCGGAAATTCGCTCCCACACTCAAAACCTCATAATACGGAGCTAGAGTCCGGAACCCCCACCGACGTAACCTCCCGCGTATATTCCTTTTATTGGGTGCATTATTGGTAGCCCGTCGTGCTGTGTTTTCATCCATACTATCCTCTACTCCTACTCCTACTCCTCCTCTACCATTCCCATTCCCATTCTGTTCAAACCCTTGCTCAAATGTCCCTCTACCATCCACATAAGAGTCTTGTCCTAAATTATACTTGATCAACTCCTCTAACTTATCCTCAATCTCCTGTTCCCGACACACTTTCCCATATACTTGAGACAACACCCGCCTAGCAGTCTCCACCCGACCCCGGCTAACCAAGTACCGAGGAGTATCTGGCATAAATATGAAAACAACCATCTGCATGGCTGCAGGAATCATTGATAATCCTACCAATATCCGCCATCCATTATTAACATGCGATAACCCTACTGAAATTGAATAAGCTACCAGTTGTCCTCCTGTAATTGCAAGCACATTAATCACAACTAATCTTCCACGGAACCGGGACGGTGCCATTTCAGAAATATATAACGGTGCAACCAACGATGCAAGTCCAACACCCCATCCCATCACAAATCTTCCACCAACCATCGTCCATAATGTATGTGCACCCGCTTGCATCCCTGCCCCAGCAATAAACAAGACATTGGCAAATGAAATCACCCACTTGCGCCCAAACTGGTCAGCCAAAACTCCCCCCAAACATGCAGCCACAAGTGCGCCCAGCGACGTGGCCGACGTAATCAGTTCTTTATTACCACTTGTTAGTGGAGTATCCCCTAAATCGTTTCCAATCACCACCAGGGCGCCGGAAATGTACCCGGTATCATAACCAAACAGAAATCCACACACTGAAGTCAGAAATGTTAATATAACCATCATCAAATTCATCTGGCCTGTTTCTAGAGTATTATTGTTGTTACCCTCATGGCCATCATCCAAGTCGTCATCAATGTCATCTGCCTCGTCTTCGGAAATGTAATCAAAAGGCTCGCTACGTGCACACCAGGAGGTTGTTCTTGCTATTGGGGGGTGTTGTAAAGGGCCCTTAAAGTCTGGGGTCCATGGTAATTCACCACCAGGCGACGGAGAATTTGACGACCCCGCAGAGCTCTGAGAAGAAATATTGCGGGTCATAAGAAGTATGGGTGAGAGGAATTTGAATTTGAGTTATAATAATAAATATTGTATTATTTTTTTTATTTTTTATTATCTGGGGTAAGTTTAAATTTTATATTTAGTATATATAAAAAAGAAAGTGTATGGTGGTGATGGTTGAAAAATTAAAAGGAAAGAAGAAGGATATTTTCAAAAAACCAAAAAAAAAAAAAAAAAAAAAAAGAAGAAATATATGAACAAAAAAAAAAAAAAAATTAAATAAATAAATAAATAATAATAATAATAAAAAAAAGAAAATATATTTAAAAAAAAATTTTTTTTCTTCATTTACTCTGATCCGGACTTTAAAAAATACATGGAAAACCGACTCGTTCGGTTTTCAATAAGATCATCCGGGTGTTCAGATGAGCCATTAAAATCATATATAAAATGCTATATATATGTCTTCTTTCTCCATGTTTTTTTATTTATTTATTTTTTTTTTTTTTCATTCTTATTATCACTTTCAAAGCTTCATGGTCCACAGGCATCCGATCTGTGGTTCCCTAATTAGAAAAAGTTATATGCAGGATAATTCCATTTTTAACTTTTGTTAACTTTTTTTTTTCTTTAAAAAAACTGAAAAATTTAAATTAACGATATTAATAATAAAACTAAACAAAACTATATAAAATGTATCATCAAACAATAGCTAATCACCACCATTTATTTAATCCTCCTTCTTAGTAATGGCCTCATTGCCAGAAGTTTCCTCTTCTTCCATGACACCCTCAAGGACTTCAGCATCATCAACAAAGGTGTGCTTGGGACCTGTAAACCACTTGTGGGCATGAATAAAGTAGTATCCCAAAGCTCCGAACCAAACAAAGCCGTTAATAACACATGTGTAGTTCATAGTATCCTTGGTAGGGTTTGGACCCTCTTCGGGGAACATGGCAAGGCACACAATGACAAAAGTACCATAAAGAGTGGCAATACTGCCAACAACCTTGGAGCCAATCTTCCCCATGTAAAAGGGACCAGGAGTAAAGGTATCAACTGTGAAAAATACACGCATGGCAATGGGCAAGATCCAAGCAAGAGTGTTAGAAGCAACGGCAAGAGAGAAAAGAGCAGAAGTGGCAGCAGAGTCAATAAGAGACAGCAGGCCAATGATGAGACCAATGAAGCACATGAACCAAAGAGATCTGAGAGGAACTTGGAGCTTCTTGTTAAGAACACGGAGCCAGCTGGAAAAGGGGAGAGCACCATCACGGCTAAAGGCCCACACCTGGCGGGAACCAGCAACAACAATGGAAAAGCCCATAAACCATTGGACAATGAACATGCAAACCATCATACCAATGGTCCAGTGCTTGCCGAGACAGTCGTAGTAAATCTGAGCCATGGGTTGACCAGTGTAGGTGCCAAGAGTAGCAGAAACATCAGGGTTCATAGAAGCAGCAATGATGGAGTTAATGACGAAACCAAGAATACCGCAAGCAGAGATAGAGCCAATGATACCAAAGGGAACAGCGACGGCAGCGTTGGAAGCTTCTTCAGCCATGTGGACACAGGAGTCGAAGGCACCAATGGTCCAAATGGGGGAAAGCCAGGCAAGCATAAAGGTGAAACCCTTGGGCCATGTGTACAAGTTTTCCATATGAGTAAAGACCCACTTTCCTGAGTTAACTCCACCGTTGTTGGCTCTGCCAATGGGGAGGGCGATGATGGTAACGACAATGATAATAATGTTGGTAATGATACAGACGGTTTGCAAGCGGGAAACCATGTTAGCAGCCAAGGCACCTGCAATAGCGTGGGAGATGACACAAGCAGCGAAAACACCATAAGTGTGGTACTTTGTAGGGCTATAGGCACCTTCAGTTGCAATGGCTGGGATAGAAAGAAGCAATGCGGAAAATCCATAATCGATAGAAACAAGACCGCCGATAAGACCGAGAGAGTTTGCGTAACCAGCAAGGAAACAAGCAGGTTTGCGGATAGATGGTGGAGAAAACTTAAAAGTCCACCAGTAAAGACCACCGGAAGTAGGCATAGCGGAACCCATTTCAGACATGGAAAGACCAATGGTAAGAATGAAACAAGATGGGATGATCCAACCCCAAGTCATACCAACAGGACCAGCCGGAAGAGAAAAGGCAAGGGTGGAAGCAATCGAAGGAAGCAAACTCATGATACTGAAGGCGATACCAAATACCTGGATCACCGAGTAGTTGCGTCTGAGTTCTGGAGCATAGCCGAGTTCACGGAGCAAGGCATCGTCCTTGCCCTCTGCTGGGACACCGCCAACTTCGATAGAAGAGACAGTGGGTTGAATATGTTCTGCGCCCATTGTTTTTGTTTTTTTGTGTGTTTATTTTTCGGAGTGGATATAGATGACGATGATGATGATGATGATGATGATGATGATGATGATGATGATGATGATAATGGGAGGAAAAGGGGGATAGATGAAGATGATAGTTGATAAGGAAAAGATAAAAAAAAAAAAAGAATCTAAACTAGGGGAAAGAGAGTTATATTTATATAAGAGTTTTTTTTCTTTCTTTTCTTTTGTTTTGTTTTCTTCTTCTTCTTCTTCTTCTTCTTTTTTTTTTTATAATCTTTTAATCCAAGGCATATAACTGAAAAACGGTTTTTTGCCCGTTTTGGTTCAAGGATTATTATTAGGGCGACAAAAAATTATAAAAAAAAAAAAAAAAAAAAAAAAAAAGGTTTGAAATAACTTCATCAGGAACCACGCGTTTTTTTTTTTTTTTTTTTTTTTTTTTTAACATTTTGTTATCAACCGATAACATTTATGCGCCGGAATTCAACTACTGTATAGCGGAAAAAAAAAAAAATGGCATTAGAACAAACCAGCAATTATCGTTGTGACTATGATGTGTGGACTGTGTGTGTATGTGACTGTATATGTAGACATATATGGGCGGGTGTTTATTTTGAAGTGTTAAAGTTGTTTTTATGATTATTACTATTATTATTGACGATAGATGAAATAAACAACTGAGTTTAAGCGCTTTGGACTGGTGATTTTTATATTTCAATATTATTATTATATTTTTATTTATTCATCTCTCCATTTTATTTTTAAAAACATTATTCTATTTTATTCTAATATTCTCAATGTTGTTTTTTTTTCTGGCCCCCCATTTCAATGTCCCTTTTTTTTTCTGTTTTTTTTTTCCCTTTTATTAATTGAATGATTATAATGATCATCATCAGTTGTTTTTTTTTTATATTTATTTATATATACTATATAGGTTTGACCTGCCATAAAAAGAAGGGCTTATTTAAAGGTTTATTTTTTTTTTTTTGGTGTGTGTGTGTGTACAACACAAGACTTAAATAAAACTCAAAAATATATATATATATTTTTTTTTGATAGACACCAAGTAGAGTAGAGGGATTGTTTTTTTAATCCCCCTGAAATCCTAGCCAATCGATAAGAAAAGCCAAGTTTAATTTTTTTTTTTTCTTTTTTTTTTTTTTTAAAAAGCCATCCCTATTACTATTGATTTAACCATTTCTTAAAAACGCTGAACTAACCATCCTTAATTTTTTTTTCTTTCTATTTTTATTAATTTATTGTTTATTTATTACAAAACTATGGAGGTTCATCCTTTTTTTTTTTTCTTTCTAATCCTTTAAAGACTCACCGGTTCAGACTTTTAAAGCGGGCTTGGCAATGGGCTATCCCAAGATTATTCAAAGCCAAGATGTCATTAATACCAATGATTATATATGATTCTCAACCTAGGTTGCTGTTAAACGTAGAATATACTACTCTTTTAATAATATAACAATACTCCAACTTCAATTTGAAAATTAAAATTGCCACTGTGTATGCATTTTTTTTTTTTTTTTGAATTAAAGGAGAACTCTTTTTTTTAATCCCATTTCAAAAGGAATGGACAATCGTTGTTGTTAAAAAAAAAAAAAAAAAAAAAAAAAAAATAGGCTTAGATTTAGCCGCCCATTAAGCTCGGCTTTTTTATTTTTGATTTTTTATTTTATATTTCTACAAGGTGATATATAGAGTTAGAAATCCCAACAGTTAACCATCTCCAGGTAGGGTTAGAATAAAAAAAAAAACATATAAATATATAAAAAATAAAATAAGCTCCGTTGTCAATCAATAGTATTATAATTTTCATGTACAGATGACATTGTACCCGATCGTTAAAATAAAAAAATAAAAATAAAACTCCGCATTAGAAGAAAGACTTCCAAATGACGACTAAAGTCCCCTTCGTTAGTATTTGGTGTTTGATGTTGTTATAACCAAAGACCTTTTTTTTTTCTTTCTTTCTTTCCTTCTTTTTTCTTCTTTAAAATGGGATTCTAACAAAGCCCTCAAATGTCCACATCATTTTGTAGTAAAAAAAAACACCTTATTTTTTTTTTTTTTTTTTAAAATTTTAAAAATATTCGTATACAACTAGTATAAACTAGACTTAAAATGTGGCAATACCCGCGATGATAAACGCAGAAAATTCAATAAAAAAAAAACAGGCGCGCTCATATATTAAAAAAAAAAAAACATTGGTATTTAATTATCAACTTTAAGATAGCTATGCTTATATTATACTTTGAAAAAAAAAAAAAAGTTCTTGATAATCTCGCATATTAAATTTTAATCATGGTTTGAATGTACCCGCCCCCCCCCCAGAATCTATTTTTTTTTTTTTGTTTTTTTCACAATATTTGTTTGACCCATCTCTAAATTTTTTTGTTTTTACTTTTAAAATCAAAAATAACCTTTGTATTATATCTTATCAAGATATCCGGGAGATGGAGGTATCCCGGACACAAGTATATATGTAGCTGACCTACTACAACAACAACAACAGCAGCAGAAAAACAAAAAAAAACCCCCGTGGCTTACGTCTTAAGAAAGAATTGTGATTGGTTAATAAATAACACACATAAATATATTTATATATAATAAACATATTAATGTCACCTGCTACAATGAGTTATCAAGTATTTTTCTTTTGTCTTCATTTACATATATCCTCTTATAATTATGATGTGAAAACCCTCAATATGAATTAAAAAAGAAAAAAAAAAAAAAAAACCAATTACGTTTCCTATAGGGTCTGTAAATACTTGGCATGATAAACAATATTATCTATATATCTTGAAATCAAAAAGATAAAAAAATAAATAAAAAATAAAAAAACAGAGATTATTGAAGAAGAAAAATATCATATGAAATCTTTTGATTTCTTAGAAATATGACCGAACGTTCGGGCAAAAAAAAAAAAAAAAAAATGAATCCATTAAGCCTAGCCGCCGCCCTGCATACGTTGTTGTGAATGTTATTAGCCACTAAAAAGAATAACATCACTGTGGAATCTCTTTTATTTTATTTTTTAATTTTTAATTATAATTATATTTTTATTTTTGTTTTTATTTTTATGTTTATGTTTATTTTATTAATATTGTCCAACAATATGTTTCCTAATACTTCTTCCGTTCCATCGTTCTTTTTCTTGTGATGATGATGATGACCCCACCGGGCACATTCCATTGGGTGATTAATGAGGAGAAGGAGAATGAAATAATGAAAATAAATAAATAAAAATAAAAACAGGAGAGCCCGACGTTAAATCTTGTTATTTAAAAAATGGTCGGTAATATTGAGAAATCAATTGAACTTGAAAACCGTTTCTTCACTACCGCCAAATTTCTTTTTAAGCGCATATTCATCGGCTATTTGTCTAAATATTAGCGATCGCCAAAAAAAAAAAATAAAAATATTATGACTATTAAGAAAAACATGTAAATCTTCTATAATCTTAAGAAAATCTTCTCAATTGAATGAATAAAAGTGTTGAAGTTTTCTTCTTTTTTTTTTGTTTTTAGTTTTTTTTTTTTTTTCTTCATATTTTCATTTCATGTTCTTCTAATTTTGACTATATTTTTATTTTTGAAAAAGGCCAGGAACAATTTTGGGAAAAGAAATAAGTTGTCAATGAAATTATTTTTCCAACCCACCCACCCCATCTCTTTCCCTTGGCCAACCCCTCTTTATCTTCTCTAAAGAGCAGGTCTATGAGACATGTTCTATCCTTTCTTCTTTATTGTTATTGGTTGAAAAGAGTAAATTCGTGGATTTGTCAAAAAAAAAATAAAAGAAAAAAAGAAAGAAAAAATAGTGTACAAAAAATATGGGGTAAAAGAATCCCAGGTTCTCAATAATATTAATTATAATTCTAATAATAACCTAAAATATAGGGGGAAATCCTTCAATCAAGTCTTCATAAGCTGGGATTTCTTCTTCTTCCATAGTTTTGCTACATAGAGTTCTAAGATTTTCACAAATAACATCATTAGAAAGATCTTTTTCTGGAGAATATTGGAAAAAAGAAATCTCATCAAGCAATGGTCGTTGAAACCAAACAAATTCTGATTTATTGTTAGTATTCATTTTGTTAAATTCATTTAAAAATCACATTGTACTCACCATCAATAATCTTTTGACAAGCTTTGTAAGATCCTCCATTCCATGATTCAGTTCCTTTAGAAAAGATAAACTTCACACAGTCTTTGGGAAACACCTTGAGAATCTCTTTTCTTGAACACAAGGCTACAATTACAAATGAAAGTCCATATTTGTCATTTTCATTCTCATAAACAAGCACAAATGGTTTAACTCTCATTTTTTCTCTTGTAACTCCAGGAACAAGATCTTCAACAACTTCAAGAGCTTCTCTAAAACCAAATGGAGCTAAATACTTGGTCAAAAACACCTGAGGCCCTAGTACAAGCATATCCTTAAAGAGAAAGTTAAAATTGCGAGCCTCAAAAAGATCATGGCTAGTTGACTCAAGTAATCCTGCTCCAACTTCAATTTTTACTCGTTTCTGTGGCCGTGGCCGTGGCCGTGGCTGTTTCCTTGTTTTTTGAAAATCAATTTCTTCATCATCACGATTTTTTAAATATTCAACCCCACTTTTCACCCTATTTATTTGCCCCTCAGCATTGGCAATTTGCAGTTTAACCTTAGCCATAAGAACCGCATTCTCTTCAGCTAAACGTGAAAGCTCTTTAAGCCTACTTTGCGGCCGTGACTGATCCGGAGTTGGAAGAAACAATAAAGGAGGACTTGACTGCCTAGAAGACTGTAGTTTCGGGAGACTGAATTGCGCCTTGGCCAGACTTGGTTCATTCTTAAAAGAAAATGAATAGGTTTTAGATGGTGATGATGGCGGTGATGAGGGCCCCGAGTTGCTGCGGTGTCCTAGCCTCTGAGGAGCAAGGGTTTGCTCGAAAAAGGAAGCTCGTTGCCGGACAAGTGACATTTTAAGTTCTTTGTTTACTTGAAGATGTTGAATTTTGCCTTTTTTTTTTATTTTATTCTTAAAATTCTTCATTCTATTGTTCTTTTTATTCTTTTTATTCTTATATATATATACTGTTGAAACAAAAAAAAAACAGAATCCAAATCTTCAAATGAAGGAATCCCATACTTTGCTTGTCTCACCAAATTTGTTGTTAAACAGGTTTCTCTTCAAAAGGTTTATTGCACCACCATGTTTTTTTTTTTTTTTTTTTTTTTGTAAGGGAGACCCCGTGACCAGCCTCACTAGTTAAAAAAATAAATACTTTGTTTAATGGTACTTTCCCAAAATGCAATCAACATTTAAAGCCACACATCTGTACATCATTAAAATGATTAGTCATTATCGTCTTTGTTGTTCGCCGCACGTGGCAGGCTTATCGGTCCATTCAGCAAACAGTTTAGAATCAAAGATCTTTGCTGGACGAGGTAAGTAACAAAATATTTATTTTTTATTTTTTTATTTTATTTTATTTATAAAAAAAAAAAGAACTTCTGTTCAAGTTGTTATTTATATTCATGCCTTTTCTCTCTTCCGCTTCGACTAGCTCGAGATGGTCAAAAAAAAATTTTGTACTTTACCACCTCTTGGCCAAAATGTGGGGTTTTTAGGTACTTTATCAGAAAGCTTTATTGGTAATGTTAAATCTCAGAGCAAAGGAAATGTTGATGATGATGATGATGGTGATAATGATAATGATAATGATAATGATCATTGTTATTGTTATTGTTTTGAGTAGGAGGTGTAACAAGCACCTTACTTTTTAATGAAATTTTGGAAATTTTTTAGAAAAAAAATATTAACCGTTTTAACTATACGTTTTTTTTTTCTTAATTTTTTAATATTACAACACTGCAAAGTTCTCCATGAAAAAAGAAAAAAAATATTACAAGCTTAATGCTTTTTAAATGTTTACGTATATATTTTCATTTAATGAACAGGCTGGTGTGTTATTATTTTTCTTTTTTTTTTTTTTTTAAAAGAAAAAAAAAAAAAATTCGGTTCGAGTTACTTACTTTGAGATTTCTTTTTTTAGCAATTAAAAAGAAATAAAAGGTCTGATGGAAACTTTATGTACGTTTTAAAATGGATCCGAAATTTACAAATCACCCGGAAATCAAGTATGTACGACTTAATAGTAGTAAACAAGTCAATATGAAATAAGATATATGGGCTTTATATATATATATATATATATACACAGGTCTATTTATGGTAAAATAATTAGTACCCCAGGTATTGTAACTCCAAAATATTTTGGAAATTTGGAAATTCTTTTGAATTTTTCAAGGGTGTTTGCACCCATTTTAAAGGGTAAATACTTCCATCCATCTTTTTTATCATAATATTTTTGCTTAAGATATTAAAACAAACTTTGTTCTTTTTTTTTTTTTTTTGATATCGGTCTTAGTTTTTATTTGATGTATTTGATGAAAAAAAATACCTCGAAGTTTCTTTATTTTAATAGGGAAAGTCCTTTATTGAATTAATAAACTTGTCAAGTAGATTTAGTAGAATACAAATTTCACGGAGAGGAAGTGAAAAAATACATGTTTGTGTCCGGTCGTCTTTGTGAAAAATGGTAAATATTTAATTATTTATTATTTTTTTTTCAATCTAGTGAACAATTGGTGTTGATTTAGCAAACATAAGAATGCTGAAAAAACACAAACAAATTTGCAAAATTATTTTTCAAGTAAAGTTCGAGAAAACCAATTTCATAACTAATAGTATCAATTAATATATATATACTATATATAGTATTTTAATGCTTTCCTCATTTATTATAATGCTTAAAAAGTATGTTTCTTCAAACTGCAAAAAAAAAAAAAAAGCACTTTGAATAAAATTATAGAATGACATAAAAGAAATGAAAGAATAATTATTCCTTCATTTCTTTTTTTTTTTTTCATTAATGTAATGTAACTTACTTTTTATTTAGGTCATTTTTTTTATTTTACCGCCAACACATTTCCAGATGACAGCAATACCATTGTTTTTTTTTTACATAAGTCATAAATGATTTAATATAAATTGGATGAGATTCGCACACTATTTTTATACCTTTACTTTCCCAAAGACTATTTTAATTTTATTTTTTTAATTTTATTTTTTTCAAAGAGGTAAAACATATTGTGACCACCACGTTGCAATATCTCAAGTACAAACACTAACTTTCATTTACATATTCAAGTTTAGCCGACAGTTGAACTAAGTGCTTACAAGGAATTTTTAACTAAAAATAAAATGTTATTATTTCAGATGAATTACGGGTGAAGATTGAGAGTTAGGTTTATCACCATTAGTAGCTTTCAAAACTTTTGTCAAACAAGGTTTCTGGTCATGTTATATCTAATACCAAATATTTGAATGATGATTAGCCATATTGATTGAAATGTTGATGAAATGGATAAATCAATCAAGATAAGCAAGATTGATTCTATTACGGCACTTTTTTACAACTTATTAAATGCTTTTATTTATTTGTTTTTGCTACTTTAGTACGGTTACCAATTGCCCACATTAATTAAAAGTTTTTTTTTTTTTATATTTCATTATTATTCTACTTTCTAATTTTCTAATAAATCAATAACAAAACTTTTTAAATTTATAATAAACCAATGACAAAACATTTTGATTTTCCTTAATACCATCCATTCAACAGACTTTTAATGATAAATAAAAAAAAAGAAACTTGTTAAAAAAAAATAATTTTTTGATTGCTACTAAAATTTTTCACTAGGACTATTTAGATTAAGATCTTGATCGTAATAAAAAATTTAATGTTGCAACTCAAGTCATGAGTTTGAAAGGAGTCAATGTAACATAAATATAGAGGCATAGCTACCAGCTTTCTTTTATATCGATCGATTTCAAAAAAAAAAAACAGACCTAGATGCATTTTTATTAAAAATATTTTAAAAAAATCAAAAATATTTTTATTGGTTATATTATTCAAGATCATTAAGAACCACTTGGCATAACGACCTACTAGAGTTGAATTCACTAGTATGGCTACCATTTTATTGGTTAAATTTTTTTATGAATCAAATTATATCATGATAATTTTGTTGAATGATTAAAAGGTATACTGTTTTTTTGAATGATACCATGAACATGCATTTTTTTTTTTTTTTTTTTTCATTTAACAAAAAACTTGAAAACCTTTGTTATGACATTATTGTGACTTTGAATCAACTGAATATCAAAGTTTTTTAGTTTTCCTTTTTCTATACCAAGTTTATTTCCTTTTGAATCCAACTTTTTTTTTTTTTTTTTTGTTCATTTTCCGTTTATTTTTATTTTTAATTTTTTTTTTTCAATTTATCATTCTTTTTTAATAATTCAACAATTCAACTATACAATTTATTTTCATTAAACCTTATGGGACTGTAACTATTTAAATCATGTGACCTTGTCATTTTCAAGTCCAGTTTTTCAGGCGTTTTTTGGCACATTTTTTTTTTTCCCCATCATTCGGTAACACTTGAAAAAGAACAAAAAAAAAAAAAAATTCGTGGCTTAAAAAGCATCTTGGCTAATACGACATCACTATGGTATGCAGCTTATATAGTGTGAGTGCAAGTGGTGTTCTTTATATAAGGGTTGAGGGTTTTATTAGAAATAATTAAAAAAAAAAAGATCAAGTAAACAACTTGAACAATAGTAGAATGAATACAGACAGATATCTAAATTATATATTTTATAAAAAATGTTCATTTAAAAAAAAAAAAAAAATATTTGCTTAAGTTTTAAAATTTACCCTTTTCCAAAGATATTAAGAGATACAAATACATTTTATATATATACTTTAGGTCTGGAAATATAAAAAAAAAAAAAAAAATTAAATTTCTATTGTTGGGAGGACTAAAGGATTACAGCCGTATCAATGACACGATACTATTTTGAGAATGGCACGTACGCGTTCTATCATTTAAAAAATAGTTTGTTCTTAGACCCAACAGAAAAAAAAAAAAAAATAAAAAAAAAAAAATAAATAAATTCAAGTTCCGCTATTAGTCAGAATCCGTTCATCCTATTAGCAAAGCGTATGACAGGGATTGAAAGGAGAGCCGCTCACAACAATAACTATTCACTTTAAGTAATAGAAAGGGAAAAAAATATATGTATATATATAAAAGACAAAATGGAACAAATATCATATAGCTTGATGTTTTTTTTTTTTTTTTTTATTTTCTTGCAACTTAGTTAGTACCTTATTTTCTTTTTCAAACATTTACAGTCTTTTAGGCCTGATTCTTAAGTCTCTTGCAAATAATACCCTATTCACTTATGCAGATCGCCTTGTTAATTTCAATTTAGATAATGACGCAAATTAAAAAAGAAAAAAAAAAAAACCTCTAAAGCGCTGAAATCCACCAATTAGATACATTATATTTTTTTTTTATTCTGAGTCTGGGATTTGTTTTTTTAGTTAAAATTAAAATTAAAATTAAAATTAAAAACAAACAAAAATAAAAACAAATTTTATTTGAAGTAACATCATTTTTAACAGTTCAAATTTAAAATTAAATAAGAATATTTAGTTAAAATGTAATGTTGGAATATTGTTTTTATTAAAATAACTCTTATTTTGGGAATTTTTTTTTTTTTTGAGAAAAAAAAAAAAACTCAAAGAGTATGAAGCCTCTCTTTTTCCAAGAAATAATAACAACCTGATAATCCAACAGCTTGGTCCACACAAGTGAACTTTTAGTCTAATTACAAAAGAAAAAATTCCGAATCTTTCCATAGCTGCTATTTTCTAAAATTTTTTTTTTTTTTTTCCCTTAAAATAAATGGATTTTCCTTGTTTAAAAATTTTAAGATCTTAGACTAGACTAGACTTTTTTTTTTCTTATTATAAGCTCATTTGTAATTTAAAGTCAAATTTTTATTCAACTAAAAAAAAAAATAAGGTAAAGGGAAAGTTAAGAAAAAAGGGAAAAAAAAATAAAAAAAAAAAAACGTGGAGATGCTCAGGGGAGGGGACTCTAGTTTTGGAACAACCTGAAAAACACAACTTGCACTGTTATTGTTAAGGTCATGGGATCAGTAAAAATGGTTGAGGGGAGGGGGGAGGGGGGGGGGAGTGATTAAAAAGCAACATTTTAATTTTTAATTTTTTGTTTTAACAATCAGGTGCTTTTTCCAGCTGGAAGCTTGCTCGGATGGCAAGGCTACTTTTGTGTTAATTTATAAAATAAATAAATAGATAATTTGAAAATTACCATATAAATGATTTTAAAAAAAATTGAGAATTAGATTTTGAATAAAATGTTAAACTAAATTATTTTTTTTTATTCATATTCAATAATTTTTTATATCAATAAATAGAAATAGGAAAAAATTGTAAAATTTAAAAAAAATAAAAAAAACAAACAAAAACTTGAATAGGAGGATTTCAAAATTATTTTTTATTAGTAGGTATAATACAAATAATTGGCTTCAAGTTAATAACATTAATAGTATTGTTGTACTAGGTATAAAAAAACTAATAATATATGACTTAGAAACAATATTCAAATGAAGGTTTAAATTTGAAATGCTCATAATATGTATAATTTACTTCATGAAATACTTGTTATTATAATTTTATATATCTTGTAACTTTGAATAAAAGCCAACAATGGTTTTTTTTTTTTTATATTCAAATTCTTTTTGAAAATTATTAAAAAAATATAAATATAATTAACTTTGTTCAGAAAATTGGGTATCATTTAAACTAAAGTTTAGGAATAGTTTATTCCTTAAAAAAGTAATTAATAAATTAGGCTAATATTGGCTTCAAGGTTTGTTTATTTTAAAATAATAAAGACTGAAACACGGAAACTTACATTGAAAGTATTTAAATATAAATATCCCAATATCATTTAATTGACTTTTAATTCTTTTAAAGAATTGATTCATTGTTTTAAGAAATAACAAAGTTAATTATATTTATATTTTTTTTTAATAACTTTCAAAAAGAATTTAAATATAAAAAAAAAAACCATTGTTGGCTTTTATTCAAAGTTACAAGATATATAAAATTATAATAACAAGTATTTTAGAGTTCAATAAACATAAACAATCTTTTTCTAATAATCTATTTTTACATATATATATATATTGTTTTTCTAATAATCTTTTTTTTAATATAATAATTGAATTAAAAAAAGAATAGTTTTTAATTACAAAAAGCAAATTAACTATTTCAATTTGAAGTTTTAATGAATTCTGTCAAAGAAGAAAAAAAAAATACAGGTCACCATATTTCGTCATAGCCTATATATTATATTCTTTATTTTTTTTTTTTTTAAATCAAAAAAAAAATAAAAATAAACAAACCCCTTAAACTTTATATGTTTTAAACTTTTTGTGCATAGTTATATTTGTATTTTCGGGATACTCAACTGCCAATACTGGGCCCAATAGAGTATTTTATTCTTCAAATTTTTTTTTATTTGTCTATTGCAAACAGAACAATTTGAATATATGATTAAATTTAAATTTAAAATTATATTTTCTTGTAACAGCAGTATAAATCAAGTTTTTGAATAATATTCAAGTTAAAAAAAAAAAACAACCTTGTATTTTTTTTTGCCAATACTGTCTGCCTCCTTCACACAGAGAGAATCTATTTTTTTTTTTTTTTTCATTTTGGAAAGCCTAATTGTCCAATTAAAAACAACAACTTGAATGTTAAATTATACATTGAAACAAATTTTATTTATTTATTTATTTTTTTTTTTCAAAGATTGAGGTTCCAATAATTGTTAAGACCAAGTTTGACCTTATTAGATATAAGAACAAAGAAAAACAATAAAAAACAACTAACGAATTTTTTTTTAGCTAATTTTTATAATTACAGGGTCCATTTTTATATAAAATATATTTATATAAAAAAAAGTGAAGATGAGTATAAAAAATCTATTGGACAACTAACTGAGACAATATTAACATTTCGATTAAAAAAAAAAAAAAATAAAATTCTAATGAATATAAATTTTTTTTTATTCCATAACTTAGTGATAAGACATTATTATTGGCAAAGCATGGAAATAAAAAAGAAAAAGATAAAAAAAGAAAAAAGTAGACAAATGTTTTTTTTTTTTTTGAATGCAGTGCAGAACTGTATATATATATATATATATATATATATATATGCATTTAAGAATGCGTCCTGAAAAGAAAAGAAATAAAAAGAAATAAAAAGAAATAAAAAGAAATAAAAAGAAATAAAAAGAATTAAAAAGAAATAGGTTAAATTGACTACAATATTTATATTCATTTTGAAGAACCAATATCTAAAATAATTTTTATTTTATTTTTTTTTTGGTCCCTATTTTTTCGTATCTTTTTTATTATATTTTTTATTTTTTATTTTTAATTTCTTAGGCCAGTCTGTGATATATATATATATATGATGATACTTCTCCATATACTGATGTTGTTGTTGTTGTTGCTGCTGCCCTTTTCACGAGTTGTGCGACCCCCCCAATCTGGTATATTTTTTATTATTATTATTATTATTACGTAATTACTAGAGAGTTAAATAACCCATAACCAATTTATTTTGCGTGCGTGAGTGCTTTAAGTTTTCTTTTTTTTCTTATTGGTCTATTTTATAAATATATTTGGTAATCATTTTTTTTTTTTTTTTTTTTTTTTTTTTAATTTTTAATATTATTATTATTATTATTATTATTATGTGTAAGTGTGTATGTGTGTGTGTACTAGTACTAATTTATTTTATTTTTTTTATTTTCTATCCATTTAATAATTATTATAATGTTTATATTATTATTATTATTTATTTATTTATTTATATATTTTCTATTTATTTATTTTTTATTTATTTATTTATTTATTTTTCTGCATACAAAAAACCTTCCCACCCCCTCCATTTTCCTTTTCCTTTTTTTTTTTTCTTCTTTTGCCCCTTTCTTTTATTTTTTTTTTTATCACCACCACCACCACATTTTTATTTTTTTTATTTTTATATATCAAACTACCTTACCAAACCCATTGCGATATATCAATCCTTTTATCCAATATATATTTAACAAATTTTATTCTTTTATCTCTTATTATTATTATTATTATTATTTTTTTTCTTTTCATAACTTATTTTCTTACATCTTTTGCAACCCCTCCAGTTGTAAAAATTTTCCCAAGGTTTTTTTTTTTTTTTTGCAATGCCCCCAAAAGGCGGCAAACAACCATCATTGTCGAAGGTCCCCGCTTCACGGCGAGTCCTTCGTGCTCACTCGCGCTTATCGGCTGCGCACGATATTCGCAAGTTCTTTGCTGACTCTCCAATCCCTACTTTTCGACATCAAGTTCTCGAAGCTTATGTTCGCGCCATTGCTCAAGAATACGAGTCCGAAATTGAACCGGGTCATGAAAACGACTCAGACGTGGAACGTAAACGTAAAGCCAAACGCCATAGAAAAACAATCTCTAAAAATATCACCATTACTACAAACTCAACACCAGAAACAACTTCAGACTCATTGATTTCTTTATCTAAACAAAGTAGCAACAATGATGACATTGACGACTCTGAAGCTACTCTCCAGCATTTGACGCGCAAAGTATATCTCAGATCAGGTCTTTTTTGTGAAGTTCAACACAGAAAAAAAAATTCACAAAAGCCTTTTGTTTTTTCGCTCCCAGTAAAAACCTCTACTGTATTGACCGATCAACAAGACTTTACCCTGCCATTCACCATTTATAATTCTTTACCGGCAAGCAATCCCAATTGGAAAAACTTAAAGAAAAGTGAGTTTATTTTTATTTTATTTTATTTTTACAGTGTAACTTGTTGGCAAAAAAAAAAAAAACCAAGAAATATACGTTTCTTTTTTCTCCGCCTGTGAAAATCTTTGCATCATTTTGTCTTCTCACCTTATTTCAATCATTGATTTCTTATAATTAAATCAACTTCTTCATCTTCATTCAAATATGAAAAGCTTTTTGTTTTTGTTTATTTTGCCACAGTACATTATATTATTCCTTTTATATATCCTTGTTTAAATTTTTTTCCGTCTTCAAACATGTAAATACCCGCATACAAACTTTTCCTTAAACGTCATGGGTTATTATTATTATTATTATTATTATTATTATTATTATTATTATTATTATTATTATTATTATTATTTTTATTTTTATTTGGCTAACTTTAATCAGATGTTTGGGTCGATGTTGATGTTCCTTCCTTTCATGGCCCCCGTGCACTTTGCTCTTGCACTAAGACTTGCGATGAAGATTGCCTTAATCGGTGAGTATTATGAATTATATTATTTTTTCACTAAACTTTTCTAACCGTTAAATAGCATGCTCCAATATGAATGTGACGAAGAAACTTGTCCCTTTGGTAAAAAAGATTGCGGAAATAGAGCTTTTCAGGTATTAACCAAAGAGCTTCAGAGGGGAAAAAGATATGCTAATGGTTTTGAAGTTGCATGGGTATGTCAAAAAATTACAATACAAAAAATATATATATATATATATTTACACAATCATTTCTAACCTTATTTTAGCTTGGATTGCGCGGATATGGTCTCAAAACCACTCGTCAATATGCTCCAGGAGAGCTCATCATAGAATATTGTGGTGATGTCATTTCGCCTACTGAAATGAAGAGACGAATGAAGGAACATTATTTGGACTCAAAAGTAAGTTTTTATATTTCCTTTTTTTTTTTTTTTTTTTTTTGTTGACATTTCTAACAATTTTTAGAATCATTATTTTCTTAGTTTGGAAAATGGTTGTGTAATTGATAGTGGACTTAAGGGTTCAGCAGCTAGATTTGCTAATCATTCTTGCTCTCCAAACTCTGAAATGCAAAAATGGTATGTCAATGGCATACCTCGTATCGGCTTATTTGCTTCAGAAAGTATACCTCCAGATACAGAACTCACCTACGACTACAACTTTGACTGGTTTGAAGGGGCTAAAATGCAGGTGTGCCTTTGCGGAGAACCAAACTGCAGAGGCTATATTGGAAAGCGCACTTCAAGACGTCCTACCCCAGATGACCAACTTGAAGACCCTCCAAACTTAAAGAAACGTACAGGTCGTCGCAAAAATACTAATACTGCAGAGTCTGGTCGCAAAACCCCAATTTCTATTTCTGAAGAATCCGCCGAAAAGGAGCCCTCAAAGACCTCCCGGTCTTCGTCTAAAAGCTCTAGTACTGCAGAACTAAAAAAACCAGCAAAAGAAACCACTCCTAAGCCACAAGTTGATGACAGTGACTCTTCTATTGCTGATGCCGATGCTGATGCTGATGCTGATGCTGATGCTGATGCTTTTGCAGAAGACGAAAATGACGAAGAGGAGGAGTATGAGAAAATTGCTCCCAAACGCACTAGAAACCGAGCTAGATCTCATCCTCGTATTATTGAAGATTCACCTGCTGCACCTGTTGAACGAGTTACTCGCAGCAAAAGAAAGTTAATTGAATCGGAACCCATAGAAGTTCATTCTGAGGAAATTGGAGCTGCTCCATTAGAAAAGCGTACTAAGTCCAATGGGTCTAAATCAAGCAAATCACCTGGCCCCATTAACCCTAATAATGATAACAAGAAGGAAAACGTACCAGCAGCTGCCATTTCTGAAAAACCAAAAGTGGTCAGAGGCTCTGCCCTTTCTAAACACATTACACTCACATACACAACTATAGACCCTCGCAAAACATCCAAGAGTCTAGCTGAACCAAAGTCGCCATTAAATCAACCAAAAGATTCGGCCACTGGCAACAAAACTATACGGAGAGTTTCAGTGGCAGACCTAACCAACAACTCTCCAGAATTACCCGCTCAAGAAGTCATTCAATCGCCAGAATCAAAATCCCAATCACAAGGGCTAGAAGCCTCGCAGCTCACATGCAACGATGATAAGATTGTTCCTTCAACTGGTCCTTCCACATCATCTCCCATTGAGCCTTCTGAAGAATTCAAAGACTCTGCAGTTGTTGAATCAAATCAACCACCTACCATTTCTCTAGAGTCTTTGAGTACAAATAGAAAGCTTTCTTCTGGATCTAGTCGTTCTTCTCTTGCTGATTTGATGAATCCTGTGGAGGAGGAAGACAAGTCCCGTTTCTTGGAGCGACGCGAATCATCAAGTGCCAGCTCTTTTGACTTTTCCAGAAGTTCGGTTTCTTTGGCTACTACGTATTCTTCTTCTTCAGTGACATCTGGAAATAACAGAAGATCTTCAGTGTCTAGCATATTAAACCATACACCTGTTGTTGATCCACCGCAATCGCTTTCGCGAACACCGTCTTATGACTACCAGCGTCAACAGCAAAATGCTCCCAATCAAACAGTTATGGTGATACCACACGTGCCATCAAATTCATCTCGCCGTAGTTCATTGTCTAGTTCAGGGTCTCCAGCCTTTACTGAACCAAACGTACAGGATGTGCCCAAGAATCTGCCTCAGCTGCAATCTTCTCCTTGTCACCAATCTGATCCTAGAAATCGTACATCCGATGTTTGGAGAATTGATCAAAATGGATTTATGGAAAATGCATCATCATTTTCTCACCAACGACCTTCTGATATTTCTAAAAAGCCAGCTGATTTCCAGCTGCCGGTTCCTCAACTTATATCTGATATGCATAGAACTAAAACCGCAAACCCAGTACTCTACCATGGTCAACAAGCTTTACATCCGCCGCCGCCGCCGCCGCCTCCTCCTCCTCCTCCTCCCCCACCACCACCACCTTCTCTTTCTTCCTCTGCATCTTTCGTCCCTCAGCAGCAACAACAACATGATCCATCTATACATGGTTTGCCCATTCCTGGAAACAAACCTCTCGACCGAAGTTACTCTTATCAACATCACCATCATCCATCTTTCAACTCTCCTCAAAAGTCTATTGACGGCTACAATCGCATTGGATCTCCTGAAATTAAATCCCCCATTCAGCATTCAAATCCTCTCCCTACTCCTCCTGGTTTAAATCCATCTAACAGACCACCTTCTTTCCCATCTTCTGGTCCCATAAACACTGGCCCGTATAATAGAATTCAACACTACCCCGAAATAAACGGGGTTAATACCCACCACCGCCTGCCGGTCGCTAGTTCCCCAAATCACAATCAGAGTGCCCAGGCACACTTGCTGCGCCAAAACCAGCTGCCGCAGCTGCCACACATCATCCCTCCCCAACCCCATCCTAGGGCCCCATCGGAGTTGCCTCCCGCTGATAATCAAATGCCACCGGGCCATGGATCTTCTCCATATATATCAAATAATATGGGATACAGGCTGATGGGCCCAGATGGTAGCACTAAAGAACCACCAATGGAGTTTATACCTCCCAATTCTTTGGTAAATAGTAATCAGATCCCTGAGCCCATGATACCCCCTGAGCACCCAAGTTCTTCCAAAGAGCGGCTTTCAATCAGTTCTTTAACATCTGGATCTCAATCAGGAGATCGTGCTGCAATTCCAGTTTCTAGACTTGATAATGAGTCTAATCAATCTGTTGCTGTCTACTCATCTCATTTTGTCAATACGGAACAAATGGATGCTGTACTAAATAAAGCAAACAGAACTCCTCGCCGAGGCAGACCCACCATCAACAAGTCAGTACAGCCTACTCCTGGCTTCACCGGTATTAAGCCTAAGCGTGGTCGTCCAAAAGCCAACTCCACGGTGGCAGCAGCTACTGCAGCTGCCGTGGCGGCCGCGAAAACTGCAGCAAAAGTGGCAGCGTCAGCTGTCAAACAAAGAAGCTCGGATTTTAGGGTTGTTATTTCCGGTAATAGAAATTTCCAGTCGTCTTCCGTTGTAGACCCAGCTTCTGCCAATGCCGTTAATCAAGGCCCTGGAGAACGGGAGCACCATCAAGATTCAGGTAACACCTCAGCATACCAGTCTTCTACTTCTGACCAAGCAACGTATAAGAATCGGGAGTCTAGTATATCTCAATTACTCATTCAGCCAGGAACCTCTGTGGAACATTCTTCCAATCATGGTTTATCGCGGCCTCCACCACCACCACCACCACCACTACCACCACCGTTGACTGATGTTGTTAGAAAAAGGAACGAACGAAGTTTTGATCAGCCCGGGTTTGGACCACAACATCAACAACCGCCATTGGAAATTGCAAAATCAGCCGATAGCCAACAACATTTCCAACCACCACGGCTTAATCCTTATGGCCCCCAGAATCAACACTCCCAGAATCAACACCCCCAGAATCAACACCCCCACCATCAACCTTACAACCCGCCATTTACTCATGTCTCAGGCCCTCCAGTTCCACCTCCACCTCATGTACAGTTTCCTACACCGCAATACCTAAACCCACCACCCCCTCCACCACCATCTTATCTGGAAGCACCTCCTTTAAATTCAAAAAATATTTTATCTATTCAATCTTTGACAAATCCAGATACTGATGAAGAAAATCAGTCAACTCAAGAATCAGCACCAAGCATTCATGGAAAGGACGATTCTGTGCCAAAGAAAGCTACTCCCGAACTCGATAAAATCAAAGCTAAGGTTAAGGGCAAGGGGAAAAGCGTACGAAAGTCTATAACTCCTGAGTTTTTCTCTCCTGGACCATCGACTAAAACTACAATAAGCAGTGGAGATGAAGAAGCACCAGAAAACTCTAATTCTCGGTCCAGCAGTAGTAGTAGTAGTAGTAGCAGTAGCAGCATCAGTAGCAGTAGCAGTATCAGTAGCAGCAGTAATGGGAAAAACAATGGATCAACCAGTTCTAGTAGCTCCTCTCAGCCTAGTGAGTCTGCTTCTACTGATAATGCGCCTAAGAAACGTGGAAGACCTAAAATATCTACTGTTGGGGGTAAGGCGCGCCGTGGAAGACCACCAAACAGTGGGCCTGTCCAACGACTTACCCTTGCACCGTTAGCTTCGCGTACACCAATGTCGCCTCTCAAGACACCTGAAGTGCTTGCACGGATAGGCGCCAAGACTTCGCCAAAGCCTTTAGAACCATCTTCGGTTACAAATAAGCGACCCATTGCTCTAGCTCCTGCTCCTGCTCCTGCTCCTGCTCCTGCTCCTGCTCCTGCTCCTGCTCCGGTTCCTATTCCTGCTCTGGCTCCTGCAATCGAGTCCAGCAAAGCTCGAAGTCTTCGACCTAAACCTAAAACCTCAGAATCATCTTCATCTCAAACTTCTGGTCCAACTGAGCCAAGCTCATCTTCGTCTTCAGGTGAAGTATCTGGAACCAAGCGCCCAGGCCCTGCCTTAACCTCAGGTCCTAGCAAGAAGATAGCAGGTAAAAGCAAAACACGTCCAATTCTTCCATCTCCCAGCTCTGTACAACCAATTGCTCCAATGCCTGCCTCAGTTGTCAATCCACAGATGCCAGTTTCTGTGGCATCTGGGAATGTCCGTGCTCTTTCTAACCTTGTTACGACATCTGCCTCTTTTTCTTCCAACAATCCTTTACCGGCTCCTAGACGACGAGGACGTCCTCGCACAAAACCATTTGTTCCTCCACCACGAGGGCAGCTTACAAGCATTGCACCAAACCCACAGACACCTATGCCCTCCAGCTCACGTCCACAACCAAACTTACTTTGGAACAGGCAGCTGCGACGGTCCGACGATTCAGTTCCTCGCACATCTAATGTTGGATTAAACCAGATTTCGTCGAACCTATTACCATCTGCAGCAGCTGCTGCTGCAGCTGCTGCTTCTCCAACACCTTCAGGTTCTAACTCTAACAGTAGTGCTCCCGAGAGCAGTGGGCTACGAGCTCAGTCTACGTCCCAAGTCAATGAACAACCACCCAAATAATTTGGCTTCTTCTTTTAATGAACTTTTTTTTTGTTTATGTACTTTATTTTTTTAAAAGAAAATCAATTTTTTTTTGCTATAAAATAGCTTAAGTTTAAGAAGGTCTCTTGGTTTTTTTTTTTTTTTGAAATGCTAATTTTATTTTAGTTTATAGTAAAGTTTACATTTTATCATGCTTTTCTGACTTTGACCTTTGATAATTTTTAAATATTGAATTTCAACAATACTTGACTTTGCGTAAACTTATTAAAGAATATTAAGAGCTCAAATCTAGTCATTGCTATTTATTTATAAAGTTGAAGTCAAATAAAGCATTACGGAATTCTCAGACTGTTTCCACCGATACATAATCACTGTTGGTGCCTCAAATACTAAGGTATAAATAACGGTGGATCGCCCCCCAATTTTATCAAATTATTTTCTCATTTTTTACTAGTCTTTATAACTCCCTTCATAAAACTTTTTTATAAAAATAATAAATAAAAACGCATCCATCATATTCTAATAATCAATTAACCTTTCCATTTAAAAGGACGCTAGATAATGGAAAACAAATGATACTAATTCTAACAATATATATGTGTCTTTAGAATTTAGTCTTGTTTTTTCGTCTATATATTTCCCAATTATCTTTCAATTTTTTAAAGTCCTAAATTTATTTGATATTTGACTTTTTAAAGATTTTTAATTTCATCTCAATCCATATTTGAACCCGAGTGAAACTTGAGACTGTGACAAGGTTGAACCCTTATTAAACGAAATCTATATCAAAGAACACAAAGTAAACCTTTGCTCTTGTTGTTGCAAACCCGTTCCGACGTCTAAGCAATGGGCACACGTAAACACTGTTATATACAAATTTCAAGTTTTAATATCACCCCAAGCTTCTTTTCATGTCATTAAAGCAAGATTAACTCCCCACTTGTTTGTGTTAACTGGAAATCTTTCATAGACGCTGGGATTTCTAAACGGCTATAAATTGGGTTTTTAGTGTTGATACTATTTGAAACATTGCAAGCTTATAGAATTATCGCGAGTTTCATACTTTATTTTTTTTTCAGTGAAATGTCTTGTGCTTTTAAAACATTAATATTTATCATTAATCATTAAGATTCAATTATTTACTTGAGCAGTTCAAAGATAAAAACTTGCATTGTAGTATTGCTTTACGTTTTAAAATAAAAATTATGTAACATAAACCACTGAAAAAAAGACAGATGTAGGAAACAAACTTAAATATAAAAAACAACTTGTCATTAAAACTCTTTAAAATACCATCTGGTAATTTCAGCCGAGAAAATTGGCTGAAATATTTAAGACATGACCCGAAGACCCGTGCTCAGATATTCAGCTAGGTATACCTTACTCAGTTAACTGTTAAGAACATTTGGTACTGGACTTAAATATTCTTAATGACTATGTATATACCAGAATGATTTAATGTACCATAGTAGTAATTTGTTAGGTCCTATACTCTTAGGTCCCCCCATAGTTTAATTTACAACAGAAATATAAGGTCAACTAAAGTCCCCCGTTGTAAATAAATGGAAAATTTCAAAAGTTTATAATTTTGGAAATTGGATCTTAAAAGTTTAGCAAAGTACTGCAATGAGTTCCTAGAGCTTTAGAGAGTCTAAAAAAGTAATAAAAAATGGGGGTTAGATTTTGAGCAAAAATGCGAAATTGACCAAGGCTATAGCCTTGGACATTTTGTCAAAAATGGCTTCGGATAGCTTCCGAAGATTTTTTCGGTAAAACTTAATATCTCGGGTGGACTTTAAAATATTATTTTTATATTTGGGAAGATGCAAGGATTCTATTGAGATAATAAGGACCCGGACCCGAAGCCTAATAAGAAAAGTCGGGTCTGGGTCATTTACAACAGGTTGTAAATTGGGCATCGTAATTAAAAAAAGATTTACAATGTAAATTAGAATGAAAATTAGAACAGGTTATAATTTGGGGGCAGAGGGACACCTTTAGGTGTGAATCCTTGAGTTTTGATGTGAATTTTGATCCCCCCATTTTTTTGGGTCTTATATCTCCACTTTTTCTGAACAAACATATATCACAAATTAATTCAATTGTAGCTCCTAATTTAAATAATAAATAATTTAATTTATAAAGTTATCCAGTTCATTTTTAAAGGTGAAACGGGGGGGTTTTTTTTTTTAATCCACTCATTATTTTGTATTTCTTGTTCATCACCAACTATATATTTCAAGAATGATGTTGTGCAAGCAACTTAGGTTACCCAAATAAATAAAGTTACCTTATAGTAAGAAAAGTTATTTTTTAGTTATTTGTGAGTAACGGAGCTGTTTTTTTTTATTGTGGTACTGAAAAGTATGACATAATCACTTGGAGAAACAAAGTCCTTTATTTTGGGACAGTTAGTAATATTCCATGAAACACACCCAATCATTATGATCAGACTTTCAAGCATGAAAATAAGTTGTTGTTAAAACTAATATTGAAACTAATGACTAACAGTCAAAATTTAACCTTTGGATTATCAACAAACTATGGTCTGACAATGTTTTGACTTCGATTGGTGTAGCTTTAAAAGCACCTTGACAGGTTGGAGGACCCTGTCAGTCCTACAAAAAAACAGCACCCCAAAGTTGTAGTTTTGCTTTTTTTATTTTTATTTAAGAAAGTCATTCCATCCATATTTCATTTTGACTTAAAAAACTTTTTTTTTTTTTTTCCCCCTCATAAAAGACCTTTATAAACAGATATTGATTTTGAAAATGAATAAACCAAACCACAAAGTTATCATGCGCCGCATTTTTGGTCCAAAACGTCGTCCAATTACTGGGTCAAAACCAGTTAGATATTTATTTGTTCGACAAAACGTCCATATCCATCTTAATCCTAGGTATATAGATCCAGGCTCATCTGGTTTACTAACATCTGCGTTGGTTGCAAATGTCTCCGAAGCCTTGGCCACGTCGTTTACCTCAGATATGTCAGGTACTTTTGAAACTCAAGCTACGATTCCACCTTCAAATGATTTTATTTTAGAACCAGAAATGGTACCATTGACACCAGCTGCAAGTCCTCCTGCAACAACAATGGATCTAGTAGAGAATGATATTATTGCGATCCCAGAAACTCAAGTTACAGAAACTTTGACCGAAATTCTCAACAGTGAATCTCAGGCCTTGACTGCTAATACAATTGTCACTACTGGGAATCCCAACTCTCAATCTGCAAATTCCATCAACAATAATTCAAAAGAACCTTCAAGTTTTAAAACTTCTAATGACGAGCCACTCAATCTTCAACCACCTGTTTCTGCTGAACCCCCTCAAGAGCCTTCATCCAAGAGAAACAGAGAAAACGAAGACAATACAGAAGCTGAAGAGCCCAATCTTCTTGATATTGTTTTAAAAGAATACCGTCATTTACGAAAAAAAGCAAAGAAAAACAAATCAAACGAATCTTCAGTCACAAAGTTACAGCAAACAATGACCGGATTTTCCAAAATCTATCTAAGCGCTGTTCTTCCAAAATTTAAACCTACCAAGCGTCGTAGTAAGGCGAAAAAGTTAAAACTAAAAGGCCTAGATAAAGACCAGATAAGCCAGTAATATATTTCGGTTTGATTCACATCTCTTTATACTTATCCATTAATAAAAATGTTTGTTAGATAAAAAAAAAATAAATTCAAAACTTGAAATTCTCAAATGTCTAAGCCAAACCGAACCCCTTTGAGTTTTCGATAGCCACACGCATCATGCTTTCCAAATGGTCCAGGCTTTTATATTCCTCTGAAAAATTAATTACAGAAAAGCACACCGAAGCTGTTGGAATTCTATTTGGCGATGAGGTGCTTGATTGGATTATGAAATCAAACTTGCGCGAAGGTGGGATACGGTCTGAGCCTGTTACAAACTCAAAAAGGCGGACAATATCACCATCTGTAAATCGAGTTTTCAAAAGCTTCCAGAACAGAACAACAGTAAGTGAAGAATGTGTAAAAGTCCCAGAGTATGTTGCATTGGCCTCTAAGTCATCAACTGTGACAAAATTTTCACCTTCAATTATCTTACGCAGTTCAGTGGTAGAGAATCCTCTGAGATGGCGTTCTTCAACAACTTGGAAAATACCTTGAGCTATGATTTCAATGATTTCAGATTTTTCCTTGATGCGTTTCATAACCCAATTAGAAATATATGCATGGTAGTTTTCTGAAGTTACATAAGTATCATTTCCTGGTGTATCGCTGAAAGGAATTTCCATGTTGTCAATTTCCGATGGATTTTGAATCATGACTTGAAAACTTAGTTCCACAGAAGGATATATTTCCTTTAAGTAATTCATAGTCTCTGTAAAAGTATAATTGTTAAAACCTGTATTTCCACGGACACACATTTTTAAATGTTCATAAAAAAATAATGGCAAACTGATTGAAACGGTACAGCCATTAAAAATAGCAATTCCCAAAAAAATTCCAAACAAGAGATACTCTTCCATATTTCTTGTTATAACTTCAGGGAACCAAGCAACGTTAGATTTGTCGTCCGTTTTAAAAAAGGCATTGCTATCTTTCATAATTTCAACGCCAAGAGACTGGAAAAACTCAACCTGAATTCCACCTTGATCTACACCAATTTCGGCAGCATCAGAAAATTCAACTCTAAAAGGCAAGTTAAAAGTGCGAGGTATTCCAAATAGAAGATATCCACTAAGCGTATTAAACGCACATTCAATTAGAGATTCACGGTAAACAGAAATCTGGAAATAGGTGATAATACAAGCCTCGGGAAGCGGACTAAAAAACCCAGACATACTTGATAGTGCGCCTCGTGAAATAGTTCTAGACATTTCCATCCACTCATACATTTTATAGCGAAACATTTGGTATCTAGTTTCAAAGGAAATAAATTTAGGATAGTCAGAAATCATGTGAAGAGATGTTGAAAGATGGTCACTGCGTGAGGGATTTGAAGGATATTTAATTAAAAGTGGTCGCGTTTTACCGTTAAGTAAACCTTTGATGATGACGCGTGGAGTGTCTGGAACAAAATCAATAAGAGGATAAGGTCCTATTTTAGTATCTGGTATTTCGAGTTCTGGCATGTATTTAGCAAATTGATGAGCGTTGCTGTTCATGGACTTGTACATGTGATCAATGTATGGGGAGCTTGAAGAAGATGTGAAAGATTTCCATGTCTGGAACGCCTTTTTGCTGCACGCGACACTGTACTGTTTAGAGAAGTATAAACCATTGAAGGCTGAAAATGCAATTGGTGTATTTATGTATTGGATGTTTGAAGGGTGCGCGAGTTCCACCATTTTTGTAAGATAATTGATAAGTTCTGTTCCTGCTTTACAGACTTCATAAGAACGAATTTGCTGTGTAACTAGTGGCTGTAATACTGGAAGTACAACAATTGCATCAGAGACTGTACGTACAAAAAAAAGTTGGCTATTTTCATCAAGATTCTTCATGGCCCATTCAACAAGTTTATCGAGACAGGGGAAAAACTTTTCCCCAAGTGTGGACTGCCCGCGTCCATTCTTGATAACTGATGAGTCCCACAGGTATTGACAAGTAAAAATTGTAATGAGAGTGGCTGCAGTTTTCTTGCCAGTTGGATCGACTGTTTTTAAATCCAAGTTGCCGTTACGGGAAGCCCGTCTGGTGATGAGCCCAAAGTCAAGATAATATTCTCTGGAAGCTTTACCTTGTCTTTTTTTCAAAGGAATCCATGGAATAGGAATTGGATCACTGAGATTGAAATGATAGCCAAATACTGGGGTCTGGATTTCAATATTAGCAGCTTTGTTAGAAGAAAAAGAAGAAGAAGAAGAAGAAGAAGACGAAGAAGAAGAAGAAGGTTGTTTTCTAATAGTTGGTTTAGACTGGGTGTGTTCAGCCGAATGATCTTCTGGAATAGAGTCTAAATTTGTAAGTAATTTCTTTGAATATCTTGAAGAAGAAATCGGTTGTCTCAACTTTTTGGTTTTGCTATCTTTTTTGGTTCCAGTTTCGTGGGTTTTTTTTCGGCGCCTCCGCTCGCTTCTTTGAAACGCTTTTAAAAATATCTTTGATCTCAAAGGTTCTTGCTCACATAGAAGCACAGCTACTGATGGAGGAAGAATAGGGATACAAAGAGATTTACAAAGTGCATTGCAACCACGAAGAGATGTAAGGTGAATGGCTAAATTGAGTGCTGCAAAGGGTGTAAACTGTTGGCTTGGGGACAACAAACTAGATGATTTGAAAGATCTGCAAGTAAGCTGTGTACATGTTGACGAACCGCAACCGTGAAGAATTTGGTAAAGGTATCGAGCTACTAGCTTAGAAGTATTTTGAGCCTGCGATAATGGCTTGGGATCTGAGCCGGCATAGTAGTGGACCTGCTTTGGCATTGATGGGGAAGCAGATAATTGATAGCGGTGGTGGGTAATATTGATATTGATAATACTATTATTGATATAATTAAATTGATATCAGAGTGTTTTATCAATTGTATCGTGTGTTTGTGCGTATATCTGGTCACCTGCAAAGATTGTAGCACCAATGAAATGTGTAGCTAGTAGTTTTTGCACACCACCATTTTTTTTTGTTTTTTTTTTTTGAAAAAAAACATAAAAATTTTCCACCTCCTCCCAGTTTTTCTCTCTCTTTTTTATTTTTTTTTTTTTTTTTTCCCACCCACCCTTACAGCTTCTCCTCCCCTTCAAAAGGTTTTAAAAGACCGTCTGTTCGACACCTTCCTGCGCGCCCAGCCATCCATCCTTTTTTTTTAAAAAAAAAATGCCCCGTCTTATGATTCGAAGCGCCAAAAGAAAGGCCGTGGCGCATCCTCCACCAATATTTTTTCCCAAGGTGCCACTTTCGCAGCAAATCAAGAAGAAAGAAGAGGCCAAACTTGCCAGTAAAGATTCACCAGTAAAAACACCTCTTCCTCCATCCAAGCCCAAGAAGCAGTTTGCAGCCGGAACCCGCGCGCCGCCTAAGGTTAGCCGGGCTTCTCAGGGCCTTGCTCGTGCACGTGAAGCCATTGAGAAGAATGAGCCACATTTCCACGTCGGCACAAAGCAAATTTATTTCCCTACCGCCAAAGTCGTGCTACTGAGACCAAACGCTAAACACACACCTTACCAGGCCAAATTTGCAGTCCCCCGATACTTCAACAAGCTTGATCTGAGAGACTACCTGTACCATGTCTACGGCCTGCGGGCACTGAATGTGACTACCCAGCTACTGTGGGCACGCTGGACACGCGAGACCCCACGGTCGTCACGATACCGCATGTCTCAGATCAAGAAGATGACAATTGATATGATTGATCCATTTGTATGGCCTGAGGAGCCTTCTGAGAGTCTTCGCAACAAGATGTTCAACCTTGAAAACATTATCGAAATGCGCAAGTACTTTGAAGATGCTTCCCAGCGCTTTGGTGCAGATAGAAACAAGGAACCTACAGCCTTTGGCGGCATTGTTGGTCCTTTCCCAGATCCCCCCCAGCCATTCATCCCCAAGTACTTTAAGAAGTATGCTGAACGGGAAAAGGCTCGCGCTGCATATCTTACTCAAAAGGCCGAGGAGGAAGAGCTTGTCAAGAAGTTCCTCAAATTGTAAACAACTTTGCATTGCTCGAAGATACCCTTTTATCATCTCATTTACCGACATTTGTTTTTTTTTTCTCTCTTCTTCCACTCTTTTCCACCCCCTCCCTACCGCCATGTAAATATATCCTACATCTACTATTTTGTTTAATGTCCATATGTTCACCTACTTCCCTGTATTTACTCTTTTTTATTTTTTTATTTTTAAATCCATTTGTATATTGAAATTTATTTACTTCTTTGAATTTTTTTTTGATTTCTCTCTTTTTTTTTTCTTTTTCTTTTCTTTACATCATCACTCTCGGTTCTAGTTGGGCGATCGCCCTCGTTGACCTCCAGATGGATGTACAGATGATCCAGATTCCAAAAGTTTGATTGAACTTTGCACTCCGCCACGACCACGGATCCGCATATCGCGTCGCGGGATTTGCGGAACCTGCCCCGTTGTCGCTTGGGGTCCATGGGGCGGCGACGTTTGTGGGCTTGACCACCGTGTTTGTGGATGACTACCACCCTGTATGGGGCCATGGCTCATGGAGCGTGTCGTGCTTACAGACGGATGATGCGGGTTTGTGCTGCCAGTTGCTGTCGATCCACGCGGACCTGAGTGTACGCTGCCCTCGCTATGGCTAGATGTTGACGAATGTTCCTGCGACACATACATTGGGATAGGTGCATCAGGATCGGCCTGTTCTCCCATTGAGTAGCTTTCGCTTGGAAGCCGGTACTTCTGAATGTGTAGGTTATAATTCTCCATGAATTCAATATGTTCCTTTTCGCTTCGAATCGTATATTTTTGAAACTCGGCGTGTAGTCGTGAGTAGCGATCGTCGAGTTCTTCATATGCAGCTTCCAGCTCACGGAGCTTATAATCATCTCGTGAACGAAGATCCATAATGCTTTGCATCATCATTTTAGATGGCTTGGATGCCTTTTCTTCAGCATCCTTGAGCTTGGCTTGGAGATTGTTGATTTGCAATCGGAACTGACGGTCAGACATTTCTTTGGCTTTTTCTACAGACTCACGCATCTTGCTGAATTCTTTGAAACGTACAAGAAAATCTCCTGCAGCTTTAGCTTCTTCTGGAGATAAAAAGTTTTCAGTCTTGCTTTGGAGCTGCTCAATAGTTTTCTCCGCATCAAGAAGCTTTTTCTTGTACCCAGCTGCCTTCATGTCGTCCTTACTAAGCTCTGTAATGTTAAGCTCCATGATTGCAATACGTTCTTCCTTTGCAAGAACTGATGCCATGAGTTCCTTATTTTCTGTTTTAGAAATTTCGTGCTGATCCATCAAAATCTCATGCTCCCGAGATAATTTATCCAACTCGGTTTGCAAAGTTTTAACTTTTTGAATAAGAGATGCCTCAGAAACACTAAATGTAGATCGCTGATCTCGAACCCGCGTGTCTGCTTCTTCAAGTTGCTTACGAAGAATATCAAGCATGGCATGTAGCTTCAAGTTCGATTGAGCGAGATTTTCAATGGTTTGAAGAAACATCTTGTCGCTGAACCGGTTGTGCATAAGCCGTCGCATTTGGTATCGGTTATGAAACTCGAGGTAGTTTAAAAAATCAAACTCGTTTCGCAGAATACTAAATTCTCGGTGATAAAATAGTGTGGTGATTGCTCCTCCAGTCGCAGCATTTTCCGCATTCCCATTAGCCGCATCGACAATGTAAGAAGATGAAGGACGGTTGTTACGCTTTTTGTTGCCTTTAGACTGCTTCTCTTGAAGGTCTTGTTGATTTTGATTTTGATTTTGATTCTGATTTTGTGGTTGTTGCTGCTGCTGCTGCTGCTGCTGCTGTTGTTGTTGTAAAACATATTGAGCAGGACGCAAAGATGATAATGGTGCAAGTTCAGGGCTCGACACTGTTACAGTGGTCCGCATATTTGGTGATAGCCTCATTGGCTCTGGGTCAGGGAAAGATGAATTGATGGCAACTGGCGGTGTCACACGAGGCGTTCCTGTAATAGGGATCGGCGGGCTGTTGACATTGACTGGAGTCACGGAACTAGAGGGTTCTGAGAGACCAACAAGTAAAGGACTAGCCATGGCTTCAACCATTGGTCTCACAAGCGGAGAAGATGGGGTCATGCGACGGGTATTTGTAGCAACTGAGATGGAAGAAGGTTTAGGGGTTGAAGATAGAGGCTGATGATAAGATGAGACAGATGACGATGAAACAGCACTACCTAGGGCTGTTCCTATAGCGGAAACAGAATGATTCGACAAGACTGGATGTGCAGCTGTGCTGACTTTTGAAAGGCTTCCTGGTGCCGCGTCGTCCAAGCTCACATCAGGAATTGGCTCCGAAAAGTGTCTACTAGGTGTTCTATAATTTTTGTAGTTGCGACTGGGACTGCTTGCTCCATCCTTTTTGAAAAGTTGTTGTGTCTCGGATAGTAAATCTTCAATGCCCTTGATGCTGGGCGTGCAGACCGTGAGCCGCGGAGTGACCTGAGAATTGTTGGAGTTACGTCGGTATTGCATTGGAGAAGCAATGAGCGGGATTTCGCTAGATTTAATCCCCAGAGACATTGACTTTGGGCTATCACTAGGAAGATATTCCTTTGGGGTAGTTGACATGGTGGTCAAATTAGTTGTTGTAGTATTTGATGCCATGGCAGCTGCAGTAGTTGGGGATGTGAGTGACATTTCTGTGACTTCATTTTCGTCTCCGTTAAGCCCCTGAATGCCAAATAGAAGTTCACAGGCTGCGTAACCATCATCATCTGCATCGTCATTAGGTTCCTGTTCAATAGAATCAAGTGGTTGTCTGTTGCTATTGCTGTAACTGGCAGCTTGTGATTGAGGTTGAATTGCAATGAGACTCGAGTGCCGCCGAGTGTTGACAATTGTATCTCTGAACCGGTCGTGGAGCGAAATACAATGTGCAGCAATGTCCAATGGGTTACCTAAAGACGCCGTAGACGATGGCTCCAACTCCTGGTCTTTTGTAAATTTGGTCAATAATGGGTTAATGGTATAGTAATCAAAAAGCTGACGACTCCGGTCAGCAATGATGCCATCGCTCCAACCTTCAGGAAGTCGTGTATCTGATTTTAATATATTGTGGACAAATTCGCCTGGTGATGAAATAAAGGAAAAAAGATTGGATGGGTAAAGTCCGTAAAGACATGTAAAGATGGGAGTAATGTCGATAATTTGAACATCAGGGAGATCGTACACCTTGGTTAAAACAGACCAACCATATGGAACTGCAACTTCTGGTAATGGGCCTGTATCATCAGGGGAGCATTCTCCGTCAGTAGCCGATTTTTCTGAAAGTGCCTTTGAGTTAAAGTCATAGGAAAATGACGACCAGCATGCGAGTCTACCGTAGAGCATAAATATGTTTGCAATATCATTTCGCGATGCAGTTGTGGCCATGTATGGTATAACCATTGCAAGGATTTTGGTTGCAAAGTTAAGACCGGTAGATGAAGAGTCATAGCGTAAGCTATTGGTAATGGTTTGGAATAGCGGCGTTGAAGTAATGACGCCCACATCTGCTTCAGGATATTCGGAAATAAACCCAGAAACAAGGCTAAATATTTGTTGGCGGTGCTGCGCCTGAGTGGCGCGGTAGTTGAGGCGTTCGAAAAAGAGCTTTTCATGGCCGTGCCCCCAGCTCAGTAGCAAGTCACGGGCATTTTGCACCACAAATCTCCGGCGTTCATCGCGTGCAAGTCCCGTTTCTTTAAACTTGAACCATTTATGTGGCGATGGGGCGCCAAGAAAGATATCTAGGATCCATGAAAAGTAAAGTTCGCTGCCTGTCTCGATGGTATAAGGAATGTCATTTATGGTTGCTGCTGTAAAGGATATGCTGTTTGTAGTATTATTACTAGTGTTGGTATTATTTTTATCATTATTATTATCATTAAGTTGTTCGTTTATTAAGTCGTTAGATTTTTCATTAGATGGGGTGCCATTAGCAGTAGAATGGTTATCACCGTTGGTCTTAGTAGTAATAGTAGTAGTAGGAGTGGGAGTAGGAATGGAAGTAGACGTAGACGTAGGAGTATTAGAGGTAGGGTTAGTTGAGCTTGTAGTCTCGTCGCTAGGATCAGTCGCAATTTCTGTTGACTCAGAAATGGACCTTAATGCAGAGAAAGCAGGCGAAATGCTATTATTGTTTGGAGTGGAAGAAGAGTTGATGGTAGTTGTAGTGGATGTACCATTTGTTGTTGAATTTTCCGTAGAAACAGGAGAAAGGATATTTGATGGTTGAGCCGGGGCATTTGAAAGGACCGAAGCCCCGGACCCTGAAGACCCAGGGGCTGACGAAAGTGATTTTGAGTCAGAAGTGTTTATATTTCCTGATTCTGCTAATGTTGAAGTATTAGTTGTTGTTGATGTTGATGTTGATGTTGATGTTGTTTGATTTTCTGTAGAAGAAGTTGCTGCTACTGCTGTTGTTGCTGCTTCTGATGATGTTGTAAATAATGGGAAATTACCTCCATCAAGAACCGCTTTTATGAATTTACGCGATGCTTCGACCACCTCATTTTTATGACCTGCAGAGTTGATTGCAGGGTTAACATAAGCACGGAACCATTCAAGGAGATGAGCTTCATGGCCAAGAAGTGGTGCCAAAAGAGTCAAGCCTTCTAGGAAACCTGCATCGGGGACTCGCTTATCTTTTGCAATTTGTTGAAGTCGTAGAAGTTCATCATGAAGACGGCCACAAGCAGAAGCACCACGATCAAGTGGAGAGAATGAAGAGCAATATGAAGAAACTTGGTCAACTAAAAAGGGTGGCCAGCGAGCTTTATCTTCGGGCTTGAGGTCTGTACTAGAAAAGAAGGCCTCAATGGCCTTGGAGGTTTGCCGCCGCGATCTATAAGAAAAGAGTTAGTTAGTGGCAAAAGCAAGGGGGGAGAAGAAGAGTGAAAAGACTTTAAATGCATACCCAATCATTGGCACGCGACTTCAAAGCAATAGGCGGGAAAAAATGGGACGTCAACGTGGGAGGTGGTGGAAAGAGGATGGAGGAAGAGGGGGTAGTGGAGGAGAAGTTATTTGCTTAGTGTAGAATGACAAAGGGAGAAAGAGTGGTGATAAAAAAAAATGGTTTTAAAGAAAGTTGGAGGCTGAAGAGATTGGAGGTTGTTTTTTTATTTTATTATTTTATTTTATTTTATTTTATTTTTTTTATTGTTATGGTGGTGGTGAAAGAAAGAGAGAAAACAAAAAAAAAAAAAAAAAAAAAATGACATCAAATAGAAATATTTCTTAGGAGTTGTAACTTGTGACTCAAAGCTTAAAATTAACTACATACACTATTTTCTCACACACACACACACACTCACACACACACACTCACACACTCACACACTCACACACACACTTTCCCTTTTTCTTTTTTTTTTTTTTTTCTTAATATATTTCCAATCACCACCATCAATCATCATGTCCAAAACACTTCTCGATCTAGTCAAAGAAACAGACGTTGTACCTTACTCTATTACTTCATCTTTTAATTCTTCTGACTGTTTTAGTTTAATTGCACATGATGGCAGTGGAACTCTTGGGTTTATGATCCCCAAGGTTGTTTCTATTTTGTTTGAACAATTCCCCTCAGATTTCATTATTGATTATTATGCTTCAACTTTAACTTTGGCTTCACATTTGGATACCGAACCTAAACGATCAGAAGCCTTTGCACGAATTGCGAAAACACTAAAGGAAAAAAACTTTTTCCCTGAGGTTCTGGGAGGCTGGCGCAATGAGTTATATCCAGTTTATTGTCCTCAAAAGGAACTCTATCTTTTGGTAGAACGTGCAGCATCACCATTGTTTGGTGTCATCACTTATGGTGTTCATATTACAGGATATGTGGGAAGTGAAAATAGTAAAAATCCTAAAGAACTCAAGGTTTGGACCCCCCGCCGTGCATACAACAAGCCTACATTCCCTGGAATGCTAGATAATACTGTGGCTGGTGGGCTTGGACATCCATATGGGGTATTGGAAACTGCTATTAAGGAATGTGGTGAAGAGGCCGGATTATCTGAAGAGTACGCGCGCTCACGGTTAGTTCCTGCTGGTGTAATTTCGTATTGGTACCGTCATAAGTATTCGCCAGAGTTGGATTTATATCAGCCTGAAGTGGAGTATGTTTATGATTTACCCATGGATAAGGTAACAGTGCCGAAACCTGTTGATGGTGAGGTTGCAGAGTTTAAGTTATGGGGGGTTGATGAATTGCTCCGGGAAATGCGAGCTGGTAATTTCAAACCCAATACTGCACTTGTCATGATTGACTTTTTCATTAGACACGCAATCATTGATCCAGAGCAGGAGCCTGATTACTTGGAGATTACGTCGCGCATTCATCGTAGATTTCCATTTCCAACTAGATAAAATAAGTTTTAATTTTGATTTTGATTATGATTATGATTTTTATTTTTATTTTGATTTTGATTTTGATTTTGATTTTGATTTGTTTTATATTAGAGTTTTATACAAAAGAAGTGAAGAAGATTATTATTTGTTAAAGTGCATGCCAACGTTTAAAAATTGTCTAGCTTGGACTTGTGCTGGGGTCAGACTTGGCCAGCCATATGTGATTGGAGAAAAGTAGATGAAGGTGGCAATCAGGATAGCCACGTAAACGATGGTGACGCCAGTGTATGTAATTTTGAGGTTTGAAAGCTTGCGGACCAGTCTTTCCTTGCGCGAGGGCACTCTGGGTTCATCCAAGGGTTCTTCGAGCTCGCCAAAAAAGAAATCAAAAAGGGCACCAGCAAGCATTGCAGCGAGAAGGTGTGCAGGTAAGTAATGGTGAAGAAACTTTTGGCGGTCCATCAAAAAGAAGGGGAAATAATGGGTAGCCCAACCAACAAAGAAAAAGCCCATGGAGTTGTAGAGCTTGCTGCGGGTACGGTTATCAAGGATTAGGACGTTACGGCGACGAGTAAGCTGGTCGGCAGCAAGAACACCCAGATAGACAGCAATTAATGCAGTCTCGACCCACCAGCCGGCTGGATTGCCAATAAAGTAGATTTGAGTTTTGGTTTTGTTGTTTGTCCAGAAGGAAACACCACGAAGCAAGAAAGGCCAGGAGATGGGTTGGGAGGCGTAAGGGTGTTCTTTGGAAAGGTTGTTGTTTTGGGCAAACATACTTGCTTGAAGTTCGAGGTATTTACGGAAGAATGGGAGTTTCTTGCGTTCTTTAGGAACGTATTTGAGACGTTCAGGGTCAGTCAAGCCAATGATATCATCAAAGTACCAAATGTTGGTAATATCTTTAAGGTTCTTGTTACCATTGACATCAAACTGACCAAAGCCCCAGTCAGGGAGTTTCTTCCCGCTAGACCACATGGCAACCTTATTTGTAAGATGGACAAGAGAGAAGTAACCAAGTTTAGTTTTAACACGCTGACGGTTTGATTTTGAGCGGATCTCAAAAAGGGTATTGTTAAACTTTTCACCCAGAGCCTTTTCAGGAGAAATAGTTGTGAATTCCTGGTTGGTTGGTAAAAGGGGGGAAGCAACATCGTGGGTATAGAGATAAGTGTCGGTAGCAACATGGCGGAGACGAATATGTTGTCCAGTATAGACGGGGACACCATACTTGTGTTCTTCTGGGAATTCGACGGGGGGGATAATTTGCCAATTGTTGTTTTCGTCAGGATGGGTGTAAGCTGTAACTTGTTGGCCCTGGGAGGAGATTCTTCCATCATCATACTTGAGGGGGTATCTAGCATTGTGAGAGTGGAGAAGGGCTTGGGTGGACTTGTGTTTGATGGTGACAATGTCATAAAAGTTGACTTGTTTTGCGTCTTTGGTGAGAGGGTTATCACCAAGAGTTTCTTGGAATTCAGGAGACATGAAGTTGTCACCGGGTCCTGAGTTAATTAGAATCTTAAAGTGAACCCAGAACCAAAAGAGGAAGATGGTTAGAGGAACAAGGATAAGTCCAAGGAATCGTGCAGCAAAGTGTTTTGAGAAAAGTTTAAGAGAGAGACCAGCCTTGTAGTCGAGGAGGTTCCAGAGATCAATGAGAACGGCGCATCCGACGGTTGCAAAAGTAAAGACACCGACATACTTTGTACTAATGACACAAGATAAAGCGACACCTGTAAGGATGAGCCATTTCCACCAATTTTTAGAGAAAGGTTCGTCACGACGTTTAGAGAATTGAACATAGGTATACATGGTAGCAGCGACTGAGATGATGAGGGTAGAATCAAGAAGAATCAGACGAGTTTCAGCGACATGAGCATTGTCAAAGAGGACAACGGCAGCACCTAGAATGCAAGCATTGAGGCTGTAACCGCTTTCCTTGAGGGTAAGGAAGATGATTGGGATAGTGAGGGCACCTAGGGTTGCAGAGAGAGATCTGTAAGCGACATAGGGGACCTTGTTTGTAATGTAGGATTCACCAATATTATCAAATTTGAAAGCACCGTCGTATCCTACAATGTAACCGACAAATGCAATGAGTAATTTTGCAAATGGTGGGTGGAGATCAAAGAAGTAAGTTCTTTGGAGGTAAAAGCTTGCAAACTTGCCAAAGTGGACTTCATCAAAGACGACTTCGTCTGGGTAGTTGATGATATAAAACCGAGTGATGAAAGCGATAGCAGTAAGGATGTAAAGGGCTATACGGTAATGAGTTTGATTTTGTGAGGAGAGAGAGTTTTTATTTGATTTATTAAAAGATGAAGATTTTGGGATGAGGAGTTCATCAATATCATCACTGTCAGGTGAGTCAGTTGAATGGGATTTATGGTCTAAGGCATAGCCATGGCCATTTTTTTTCTTTTGATGGCGGTTTCTAACTTCAGACATTTGGGAAAGAAGGAAGGAAGGAAGGAAAAAAGAGAAGAAGAAGAATTTGATGAAGAAGTTCTTAAAGAGAAGAAGAAGAAGAAGAAAAAAAAAAAAAAAAAAAAAAAAAAAAAAAAAAAAAGAAGGAAATTTTCTTTAAAATGGAAGGAAGATTTTCTAAAAGGAGGTTTTTTTTTTTTCTTTTTTTATATACAAAATACAGATATATATATATATTTATTTATTTAAAAAAAAAAAAAAAAAAAATGGTGATGAATTTGGTAAGGCTGATGGAATTTACAATTTTGAATGCTACGTGTCATAAAAAAAAAAAAAAAATTTTTTTAATTTGTTAGTCTAAATTATATAATTATATAATTATATAATTATATTTAGTATATACGCAGGGCAATTTTTTTATTTTTATTTTTTTTTTTGAAATTTATATATAAAAAATCTACAACGGTTAAAAACAGGTTTTTTCTTTTTTTTTTTTTTTTTTCTTTTTTAAAAAAAAATAAAATAAATAGATGAGCGGCAGACGAAACAATTGACAACGTGGAATGAATGAATATAAAATTAAAGATGATGATGATGATGATGATGATGATGATGATGATGATATTCATATGTTTATAAAAAAAAAAAAATAGTTTCAGAGTGATGATGTGGGCTGTTTCAAGAATGATTTTTTTTATTTTCTTTATTTTTATTTTTGTGTTGGTGTTTGTGAATAGAAATTTTAAAAATAAAAAAAATAAAAAAAAATAAAAAAAAATAAAACTTATAACTTATGTATTATGACATGTAAAATAAAATTTATAAAATATAATACTTATAATTTATAACTTAATACTTAATATTTAATTGTTTTTCTTATCCCGCTTATCCGTATTTTTTTTTTTTTTTTCTTATCAGTTGTTATTTTTTTTTCTCCCCCACAAAATATATATTTTATAAAAAAAAAAAAAAAAAAAAAAAAAATCCCAAATGATAAGCAGCAAAACCTCCACGGGCTGCGGCTTTTCTAGCTGGCTGGTTATTTACAAAAATATATATATAAAATAACAACGGCAAGCCGGCGGATATCAAAAAACAAAAAACAAAATGGCGATAAGAAATTTGCTGAAAGATTTTTTTAAAAAAATAAATAAATATAAATAAAAATATATAAATATGAATATAAATATATAAATATAAATATAAATATATAAATATAAATATAAATATAAAATTTTCATTATAATTATGATGAAAAATAATAATTGAAATTTTTTATATAAAAACAAATTAAATTCTCAACCATCAATCAATTGTATTTAATAACCGCCTCCCCTTTTTTTTTATATCTAAATTATCTAAATTATCTAAATTATCTAAATTATCTATTTATCTGAAATTTTGTATGTGTGTATGTAACAGATATGACAGATGACAGATGACTATCTTTATTTATTATCACTCGGATAAGCTTCCTTTACCATAGAATTTTTTTTTTTTTTTTTTTTATAGATAAACAAAAAAACAAACAAACAACCCCCCTCTAATCCCCTTTTTTCTGAGTCTCATATTTGAATTTTTTTTGTTTTTTTTTTTTTTTCTCAACTATAAATACCACACAATTCCCCCCTCTCTTTCTCTTGTTTTTTTCTTTCTTTCTTTCTTTCTTTCTTTCCTATCACACTCCAAATCTATTTTAAATCTCTTTTATATAATACTACATACCTAACTACCTACCTACATACATACACACCCTTTCTTTTCCATCCTCTCTTTCTTTACCTTTATCCCATCTTTTTTTTTTCTCTATCTCTATCTCTACCTCTACCTCTACCTTTCTCTACATTTCTCTCTCTCTCTCCAAAAAAAAATGACATCCTCAGACGACGTACTTTCCCAAATCCTTACCGCTATCAAAACCCTCCATGATGATCACCAAGCTCTTGCCAAAACTGTCGATTCCTCAAATGACAAAATTGGCCGTGTTCTCGTCGATTTTGAATCCCGTCTCTCCACCCTCCAACGCGCTGTCAAGGGTTCCTCCAAAACCCCCCTAGTTCCTGATAGTGTGTCTACTGAAACTATAGCTAAACTTCAATCTGATGCTGCTGCTTCTTCTGCTTCTTCTGCCTCTTCCCCTCCATCAGCTGCTATCAGTCCTAACGCATCCTCTTTAAGCCTCGCTTCAATGGCCACTGGAGGGAAACTTACCGAGCGCCGTTACTCTAATAATGACCCTTCCAAGTGGCCTAACCGTATCACAATCACTACTTACCCAGGCCAAGTCGGTATTGACCCCATTCCATTTCAATGGGGTGCTGCAGACCCTAAAATCCGTGGTCCTGTGGTTGTTTCACGTGCCCCCTCTACTATTAAACGCCGCAACGCCCTAGGTGCCCATTTCGGCTCTTATAGTGTTTACCAGGCCCTTGCAGTCGCCATGAATGACTTGCCTGTAAATCATATCCCGGATTTTACCAACTCCCAACCCCCAGTATCTATGGGACCTTTCCCACAATGGAGTGACCCCAAGAAAATCGTCTCCATCGACCCATTTGGCCATTTAGCTCCCTGGCTCTTTGAAGATTATATCAAGTCTGGTATTGATATCCGTCCAACCATGGCCATCACCAAGGCTCATATGCAACTAGCAGAAATCCGCGAAATGGTTGAAAAGGGTGAATTGAAGGTTGACGGTAAAATTGTTTTGAATGATATTGGAGATTTGGCCGTCACTAAGGTTGCCGTAGAACCCGTATGGTACCTTCCTGGAGTTGCTGAACGTCTTGGTGTAGATGAGGGCACACTTCGTCGCAATCTATTTGAAGTCATGGGTGGATCATATCCTGAACTGATTACCCGCAACGACATTAAAGTATTTTTGCCACCCATTGGTGGCCAAACTGTTTACATTTTTGGTGACCCTGCCAAGGTAAGCCAAAAGGACGTGAAGCTGGCCTTGCGCGTCCATGACGAGTGCAATGGTTCTGACGTTTTTGGTTCAGATATTTGCACTTGTCGTCCATACCTATTGTTTGGAATTGCAGAAGCTGTTAAAGAAGCTCAGAATGGTGGTAGTGGTGTTGTGATTTACTTTCGCAAGGAAGGTCGTGCACTTGGAGAAGTGACCAAATATCTTGTGTATAATGCACGCAAGCGTGGTGGCGATACAGCGGCCGAGTACTTTAAACGTACAGAAAACATTGCGGGAGTTAAAGATATGAGATTCCAATTGCTTATGCCGGACATTTTGCACTTTTTAGGAATCACAAAGATTGATCGCATGTTATCCATGTCCAATATGAAACATGATGCTATTGTGGAGCAAGGTATTCCAATTTTAGAACGTGTGCCTATTCCTGAGGAAATGATTCCCGATGATTCACGTGTGGAGATTGATGCAAAGATTCATTCTGGGTACTTTACTACTGGAAAGGTCTTGACAGCTGAAGAACTTAAAAATGTAAAAGGCCGTAATTGGGAAGATATTGATCATTAAAAGATTATGCTTTGTAAATACATTTTGTCTAAATATTATTATTATTATTATTATTATATAAATAAATATATATATAAATAAAGGAGTGTATATCATTAAATTCGTCAATGCAAAAAAAGGAAGAAGAAGAAGAAGAATAAGACAAAAAAAAAAAAAGAAAGTCTTTAAACAAAATCAAACCCCATAGTAAAGCTTGAATAAAGGGATTGAGGATATAAATAAATAAATATATATATATTTAAACCTCTTGTTTAGCTGTATGGAGAAGGATTGTTTAGCATACCTTGAGGATTCTTATGGACCAATCCATAAGGCACATCAGGTTCGCGATGTGTAATATGTTCTGCATCTTCCAGGGAAACCAGTCCCATATGATTATATCCAGTAGAAGGATCAAATCCATCTACCATTGAAAATTCAGCGCGTTTAATTTTTTGAAACATGGGGAAAAGAACACGGCCTGGAGTGTAAAGTACAAAGTTAAGTGTTTCAAGTGGAACACTGTATGCTCTGTTTCTTACACGCTTGATATTGTATGCATAAGAAATGATTGTTGCCAAAAGTGTAATACCACCAAAAACAGCAATCAAAATAATGGTAGGCAAAATGTCCACATAGGTCTCATACACAAAAATGGTGTATAGATTCTTATTATGTACAAGAGTCGCCACGTTAAGATAAGTATCCATGGAGGTCCGGAACATGGGTGTTACTGGAAGTGTCACGCCGTCCGTGTAAGTTGAACTGGAAGTATAGACAGCCGCGTAGTCCGAGTCAAGTGAAGATTTGGCATAGCGAGTGATAGACAACGTATAGTCATACTCCAGAACGTCAATGGTTCCATTAACAGTAGCAATAGTAGTTTGGCGGTGTACGGCACGCTTAGTGAGCCTATAAGTTTGCGATTGGTCGGTATCGGTGGTAAGGTTTTGCAACGAGATGAGACCGTACTTGACATCCACGTCGCCAGATGCAATATCCGACTCAATCGAATCTTGGCTGTATTCAGCATTGCTTGAATAATTGTATGTATTGTTGAGAAGTAGTGTTCCATTATCAAGAGTATGAGAAGAAACAAACTGATAATATTGGTCAAGACAATCGCTATTTGAATAAGTTTCAGCACTGAAACTAACAAGTTGGAAATGTACATAATCGAGGGTATACTTGCCCTGGACGGCAAATGCGTACGCGTCTCCGAGTCCGGATGCAGTAAGGGGGACTTCGAAAATGGCGGGCAGACTATTGTCCATGACGCGTGCCGTAATAGTTCCTGGGGTAGTTGCAGAAATAGTGTCTGCAGAGATACCGTCTATTGTCATATAAATTGTAGTTGTAAAATCTTTACCGGAAGAATCAGAGACAGTCATCCAGTTGAGATCATTGATAAAGACTGAAACGTTTCCATTAAACTGAGTTTCTGATTGGGCAACACCTCCACCTACAGAGGTATTCCAAAGTTGGGTTGGCTGAAGAAGAGAGCCATCGGAAACAGATTCAGGGCCCAAGTAATCGTCAGTGATGAGTGGATAGCGGACTTCAGCGGTATTTGAAGTTTGCATATTTTGGCCACCAATGAGTGCTGGGGCAACACCATTGGGAGATCTACGGAGAGCTGTATCTGAGGTTTGGAAGACAATTGTTGAGAGGAAAAAAAAGGTGAGTCCTAGGGCTGTAAGGAAACAAGTTGCAAGACAAGATCCAAAGGGTCTACGGCCGTCCTGGCCAATCATGTATCGTTTTTTAGAGAAACTAGTGATTGCCATGCGGAGTTGCTCGAGGAGAGGTTGATTTGTGAGATGGATATACCAAGCAATGGGGGTTGAAACTGGTGTTAGGAGCATTGCGAGAGAGTTGAGCATGCAAAGGACAAGAAGATTGGCAACGATTGTGAGAATCTGGCCGTAGATGGCCTTTAACCAAATCATGATTAGAGGATGGTATGAATTTATAAAGAAAAGTAAAAGAGGATTTAGATAAAAGAAAAAAAAAGAAAAATTTAGAAGATAAGTTAAAGGATTTTTTTAAAAAGAAAAAAAAAAGAAAAAGTATAAAAAAAAAAAAAAAAGAAGAGGGAAACGCGTTAAATTTATAGGGAGAGGGGGAGGGAGACTTTAAAAAAAAAAAAAAAAAATTTTAGTGTGGGAAAAAGCTGATTTACAAAGAGCTAATAATAGCACAGATTATTGTAACAAGCAAAAAAAAAAAAAATTAAAAAATTAAAAAAGTAAAAAAGAAATTTTGCTCATTAAAGAACTTGAAGATTTATATATATATATATATATATATAAATATTTATCAAATACTGAAATGATTTTTAAAAGGGAAAAGAAAAAAAAGAGTGATTGGATTCTTTGTATCCGTTAGAGAGGAGAAAATGATTAATTAATTTCGCAGACTCGTTTTTTTTTTTTTAGATCTATCAGAGACATTTAGAAACTTCAATAGATGAGCTTTTTTTTTTATATAAAAGACTTTTTTTTTTCTTCTTCTTTTATATATATATATATATACTGTTTTCCATCTTTAAATTGATTAAGATCTTTATTAATATTATTATTATTATTATTATAATAATAATAATAATAATAATAATAATAATAATAATAATAATATCTCCACAAAAGTATTATTACGTCCACCATTTAGAAACCTCCATGAAACGTTTATCCATCATTTAAGGGTCGTTTTTTTTCTTTTTTTTTTTTTTTTTTTTTGATAGATGATTATGATTATGATGAACCATATATATATTTTATTTTTTTTTTTTATTATTAAATACTCTTATTCTTTTGTTGGTTTTTTTTTTAATCTATATAAATATATATATTGGTTCTTTTTTGCACTGTTAATAACTATTCTCAAACTTTCTTAACTCCACTACCAAACTTTTATATATATATATATAAAAATCTTCTTTATCCCGCCTTGACTATCCACTCTTTTTTTTTTTTTTCTTCTTCGAATTCTAAGACTTTATTTTTAAAAAAAAAAAAAAAAAAAAGCTTCTTCTTTATCTTAAAGTTTAAACGAGACGCGTCGTCGTCGCCTTTAAAAAATTAAAAAAATTAAAAAAAATTAAAAAAAAAAAGCCTTAAACTCGTCTTCTTTTATTCTCCACCCCTTTTTTCTGCTCGAAGCAAAAAAAAAAAAAAAAAAAAAAAAATAGGTTTTAAAAAATTAATGCTTAAATTTTAATAATAATAAAAAGACGCGTCAAAAAAAAAAAAAAAAAAAGAAAAAAATCATCCTTCTCTTTTTTTTTTTTTTTTCCTCTTCGTTTTTAAGTCATTCTCATCAATCCACTTCTTTTTCCTTTTTTTTTTTATCTATTTAATTTTAATTTTTTTGAAAAAAAAAAAAATAATAAATTTTTTTCTTTAAAATCCCTCGTTTTTTTTTTTTCCTTTCTTTCTTTCTTTCTTTTAGTCCAAATTTGATAAATTAAACTGTTCCCAACTATGATAAAATTGGTCTTTCTTGTCTTGTTATATTATATTAATCGTAAGTTTCTATATAGAAGATATAATACCAGCCAATATACTCACTCATTTTGACCTTTAACAAGATTTTATTTAGTAGATTACAACAGTTCATGTATCCCTCCAATTAAAATAAAAATAAATCAAAAAAATTTACATTTAAATTTATATATATATTAAACCCATCATAATAATAACACTTTTTAATAGATTTATTTCATTTTTTTTTTTCATTCTTTTTCAATTGATTGATTAATTTTATTTTTTTTTTCTAATTGTTGCAACTTTACGGAAATTGCCATTTGGGTTTACAGAAATCTCAGGAAAATAAAAAAAAAAATTAAAGGGCAAGCAAGATTAAATGGAAAATGCAACTTATCACGTGCACACGTGAAAGGTCAAGGGTTTATACGGTAGTACGGCTGAAATTTAAGAAAAAAAAATTATATAAAATAAAAAATAAATAAAAAAGAAAGAAAGAAAAAAAAAGTGTTTATAATAATTTAAATTTTATATCCAAACGCAAATTTACATGCATAAAAAAAAAAAAAATAAAAACAAGCCATTCCTCGAGCTTAAAAATCATTTAAAAGATTGGCCATTAAAAAAAAAATAAATAAATGAAACTTGCTTAAACAAAGATCCTTTACTATAATAAACAAGGTATTTTTCTGATTATTAGAATAACCAAATAAGTAATGGTAGTAAAGAATATAATCCTTGTGTTTTATTTTTATTATTTTTATTTCAATTTATTTATTTATTTATTTTTTTTTTGTAACAAGCAAATTACAACTTTGATTTTTAAATTTTCATTTTTTTTTTTTTTTTTTTAATTGTATATTTTAGTTGTCATCACTCTACCTAAAAAGTTTAGATTCAAGTGGTTGACTCGTCTTATTTTATTTTATTTTATTTTATTTTATTTTATTTTATTTTATTTTATTTTATTTTATTTTATTTTATTTTATTTTATTTTATTTTATTTTATTTTATTTTATTTTATTTTATTTTATTTTATTTTATTTATTTATTTTTTTTTTGTATAACTAAGTGCCATGGTTCAGGGACTAGGGAGGATAAGAGGGTATGTAATAGTAGACAAAAGGAGTTGATTAAAGAAGATGCATCATTAAGGGAAGATAACCATCTCAGCGTTCTTTATTACTTATTTACTTTGACTAATAGTTCATCTCCTAGTTTTTTTTTTTTTTGTTTAAAAGATATTAAGAAAATATAAAAATGACTATTGTAAGTGGGTTTGTAAGTATCGGGAGAATAAGGGTGATAAAGTGAAAAAAATAAATAAAAAAATAAATAAAAAAAGAAAGAAAGAAAGATCTGATGATCATCATTGATAAAAAAAAAAAAAAAAAAAAAAAAAAAAACAAAAACCAAGTCTTTTTTTTTTTTTTTTTTTTTACATTTATGGTAATATTTTAATGAAAAATAAAATAAAATAGAATAGATAATGAAAAGAAAGAAAGAAAGAAAGAAAGAAAAGAAAAAAAGAATAAAAAAAAAATTATTTCTATTTTGAAATAATAATAATAATAAATCACCATATTATTATTCAAGAAAATTGTATTTTTTTTTTTTAAAGCTTTGAATTTCATGGAATTTCTTAGATGCCGAAGTGTAAAAGCTAATCTTTTTTATTTTATTTTATTTTATTTTTGCGGGGTCAAAAAAAAAAAAAAATCAATTTGATTGATGTCTTTGTTTTTTTTTTATTTTATTTTATTTTATTTTATTTTATTTTTTTCCATTATATAAAAAAAAAAAGAATATATTAGAAAGTAGAGAACTTGGATATTTTAAATAAATATATATATAATATATATAAAAGTCAAAATAGTACTTTAGTAATAGATTTTGAGAATGGTAAAAAAAAAAAATATTCTTCATTCTTTATTAATCATGGGTACTACTATTTATCATCAATAAAATTATTTATATATAAACCAATCAATTCTATGTGATGTTTGAAAAGATTGGTTGTTATTAAATTAAATCAAAATTTTCAAAGGAAAAAAAAAAAAAATAAAAAAAAAATCACGTCAATTATTTCTTCAGAGAGAGTTATTTATTAAAAATTGTAGTAAAAATAATATTTATATATATATATATATATATATAAAATAAACTATTTTATTTTACTTAAATGGAATTTCAAAAAAATTAACAAAATAACTTTTTTTTTTTTTTTTTTTTTACATTACAAAATAATTAATGATCATTAATTATTTAAAATAAAAAATAAATTATCTGTTGTAATAAGTCATGACTTATTACAACAGATAATTTATTTTTTATTTTATTTTGTTTTAGTTGCACACCACCAAATATAAATTAATTATGAAAGAACATTTTTTTTTTTTTTTTTTTTTGGTGTTGATGCAGAACAATGAAAGAAAAAAAACTTTTCAAAGAGGCTCGTAAATTTATTTTATTTTAATTTTTTTTTTCAACTAATTTATTTATTTATTTTATTTTACAATTTTCAATCTAAGATTCTAAACCCTTTTTTTTTTTTTTTTTTCCTGTTTTTTTTTTTTCTCTCTCTATTTTAATATATATTTATAAAATCAATTCAAGAATACGAAAAAGAAGAGGAAGAAAAAAAAAAATAAAAGATGTATTTATTTCATTTAAATGTCAATTTTTTTTTTTCATTCTAGCCATTACTACTACTACTACTACTACTACTTATGATGTAACATCATAAAAATAATAATAAATAATAAATAATAAACTTTTTTTATCACGGATTAAATTTCCCCATTTGCAATGATGCGCTATCATGATTATGCAATCTACTTTACAATACAATCAAGACAAAATAAAATAAAAAAAACGAGGAGAGAATGTCTTTTTTTAACATTTGAAAAAAAAAAAAAAAAATATTAAGAAATAAATAATAAAAAAAAAAGAAAATATATTTACTTGAAAAAAAAAAGTTTTATATTCTATTAAATAAAAATATATGTATTTAAATTCTTTTTTATTTTTTTTTATTTTGTATGTTATGGGTTATTGTTATTGTTATTGATATGAATAATAATAATAATAATAATAATAATAATAATACAGAAAAGGAAATTAAAGAGAAACACACGGATACATGCCATATCTTGACCAATCAACATTCTTTCGAATCTAAGATAAAGGGCGGAGAAGAAGAGGGGGAAGGAGAGGAAAGAAAGCAACATAAAAAAAAATAAATAAAAAATAAAAAATAAAAAAAAAAGGATATTACTTATAAGTAATATAATTAGATACTAACATACTAACATACTAACATTCTTACATACTTTATAAGTAAATATTATTCCTATTCCTATTGTTAATATTATTATTATAAACCATAGAAGAAGTTAATTCTAATCTTTGGTTTAAAATCTTTCTTTCTTTCTTTCTTTTTAACATATATCTTTACTAATTTTAATAAATGTTTGAATTTTTTTTTTTTTTTTCATTTTCACGTAAATAAATATTTACTTATTTTACCAGTAGTCATTAATTTTTTTTTTTTTATTTATTTTTTTTTTTTTTTTTTTTTTTTTCAAACTCTATGAATTTTTTATTTTTATTTATTTATTTATTTTTTTGTTTAAAGACATTTGCAGCAGCAGCAGAAGCAGCAGTAGCAGCAGAGATGTGTAATGCGTATTTGAAAGGGAAAAAAAAAAAAAAAAAAAAAAAAAAAAAAAAAAAAAAAAACAATGACGTGATTGAAAAATTTATACATCAAACATTGGTTAAGAAGAAGAAGAAAAAGAAGAAACGAAGACGAAGAAATATTAAAAAAATATATTTAAGTCTATACAAATTATTATTTATTATTATTATTATTATTTATTATTATTTATTATTATTGATATGAAAAATGCAAAATAAAAATTAAAAAAATTAAAAAAAAAAATGTCTTCTTTCTTGGTTTATGACATTTTTTTATTTATTTATTTATTTTTAAAGTCAACCAACAATGATAAGATAATAGAAGAAAAAGAAGAAGAAAAAAAAAAATTTTTTTTTTTTTATTGTTTTTTAAGTAACAGTTTAAAATTTTTTTTTAAAATATAATAAAATAAAATAAATTAAAGTAAAGAAAAAAAAAAAACAAGTTTAAAATTATTTATTTATTTATTTTTTATTGTTTTGGAGTCTTTAAACCAGCCTAGTTATTACCATCCATCATTATATTTTTTAAGAAATAAAAAATCATCATCATCATCTTTTTTTTACATTTTTTAATATATATTTAAATGTTTTTTTTTATATTTTTTTATATATATATTTTTGTTAAAAAAAAAAATTAAATTCTCTCTCTTTTTCCTTCCTTTCAATCTCAAAATTTTCTTCTTCTTCTTTTGTTTTTTTTTTTTTTACAAAAAACAACAACAACAACATAAAGCAGCCATTTTTTTTTTTTTTTTTTTTTTTTTTTTTTTTTTCATATTCTTCATCTTCTTTTTCATCTTCTTTTTTATCTTTTAAAAGAAGGTAACTGCAGTTTAGCTGCTCATTTAAAAAAAAAAAAATAAAAACAATAAAATAAATAAAATAAATTTTAATAATATGGCTGCTTTTGACGGCTTTTTGTTTCCCCCTTCCTCCCTCCCTCCTCCTCCTCCTTTTTTATTGTTTGTTTTTGAAGTGTATATATTTGTAAATATATATATATATGTGCAAAGTGCACGTGGAGCAATCTGCTGGTTCTCATCGCTCCATTTAAATAAATAAATAAAATAAAAGAGACCACCATATATTTATATATAAATTTAACCTTTTTTTTTATTATTATTAAATAAATAAATAAATAAATGGCTGCCAAATAATAATTATTTTATTTTAATTTTTTTTTTAAAAAAAAAAAAAAAACCTCAATTAACTGCTTTATTAGATCCATACTTTTACCTCTTTGGGATTATTTCTTCTTATCAATATTAGTATCAATATATTATTGTTCAAAAAAAATAAATAAATAAATAAATTCAAATTCATTAAATTAAATTAAATTAAATTAAAAAAAAAAAAACTTCTCTATCATTATGTATATATAATATAAAATAAAAATAAAATAAAATAAAAAAATGCAATAATTATTATTCTTCCTTCCTTAAAACTTCAATTTTATTTAACCCATTGCAACAACTTAATGGCCAATACAACTGCAACAATTGTAGTAGGAAGTGTTACCACAGCATAGCCCCAAAATAGCACACCAGCCATTTCTCTTTCAAAAACTCCATTAAGTTGTGAAATTTGTGACAACTGAATAGCTGGAGGTGCAATAGTTAATAAAAATGCAACCAATAAAAAGATAGGATCATCAAGAATAGAAATATCAAAATACTTGATACAAAGTGTCACTGTAGGAATAATAATTAATGATGGTAAGAAAATACGTGATGCAAGTCCAGCAATCACAAGTTTCTTAAAGTTTCGCGAAGGAGGTGCTTGACTTTCATCAGGGTAAAGATTAGATCCTAGAATAACCAAAATCAATGGAATGGCTACACCACCCATCTGGCGAATAGCTGAAGATAAGGTACGCTCAACAAAGCGACCTGGTGTATAAAATTGTTCCTTCAAATATGGAACTGAAGCCACAATAACAGCCGAAAGCATCGACCAAAGAGGTGGATTCATAACCCCCCAAAACCATGTACCACCAACACGGGCAATAGTAACTATGGGTCCCACCACAGGTAGGCGTTCCACAGAATTACGGGGGGCAAACTTACTAATTTTAACCTCAACTTGGGATGATGCAGAAGAGGAAACCTGGGTGCTACCGCTCAAGCTTCGGTGTTGTTGGCCTGCAATATCCGAAGAAGATGATGAGTTGGAAGAAGGAACAAAGTTAACTGTAGGTTGAGTAGAAGATGAAGTTCCTGGCTTGACTGAATATGTGACATTATTTAAATTGTCGTGGGCAAGTAGAGAAGAATGTTCACCAACAAGGAGTTCTGGTTGTGAGCCATTAATAGCGGTAGTGCCAGCGGTAGTGCCAGCGGTAGTGCCAGTGGCAGCAGCAGCAGCAGCAGCAGCAGCATCTGAAGCTCCACAAGAACAAGTACAAGTACAATGGTTATGTTCACAAGAAGTACATCCACGAGCCAATTTGCATTCATTTTCATGGAAAATATTATATTCCAAATCTTCATAAGGGATAGGAATTTGTTCTTGTTCTTCAATAAGATCTTCTGGAGTTGGTTTAGCCAAAAGAGTATTATACCCCCATGACCAACGCAAGGTTTGACCTAATTGTTGGAAAATTAATAGGTACATGATACCTCTTGATGCGATTTTATCTTGATTATCATCAGGGATATTACTCCAGTTAAGACCTGGAAGTGAATAAGCCATAGCGACAGTGATTGTGACTGGGATTGAATTAGAGTTTCCAAAGACTCCCATTGCTGTAACAAAGTTTGATTCACGACGGTTCAAGTTGAAGATACGTGACATAAATTTTGAGCATGAAAAGGTTACTAGGGTTGAAAAGACATAAAAGATTGGAATGATTGAGATATCAATAAGAGTTTTTAGAGAAAGGGATGATGCAAGCTTTGTAAAAATTAGACATGGTGTAAAGAGTTGAACATTTAAATGAGAAATGTGGCGTTGAGCAGAAATTGGGATAAGACCAGTTTTTGTAGCAATATAACCTGCTGAACAGATAATGACTGCTTGTAGGACTGCCTGGAGGGTTAGATATGATAGCTCCAAAAGAGAGAGATCTGACGCTGAAGACATTTAAGTAGATTTTATTTATTTATTTATTTTTTTTTGTTAAATGAGATAGAGATAGAGATTAAGAAATGTTATTGGAGAGAAAGAAAAAAATTTAAAAATTTAAAAATTTAAAAAAAAGGAAAGGAAAGGAAAGAAAAGATAAAAATTTAAGGGAATGCGGGAGATTTTATATACTCACACACATATACAAACACGGGAAAAAGAAGAAGTTGAGAAGAAAAGTCGACGGAATTCTTTTTTTTTTTTTTTTTTTTTTTAAAGTAAACAACAACACAAACAAATAGATTGACAAACAGACTGAATTGCGTCAGTGATGAGGCGACTTTTTTTTATTTTTTTTATTTTTTAATTTTCTTGTGAAAAATAAATAAATAAATGTTAATTATTAATTTTAATAATTTTTTTTTTTAAATTTTTTGAATTTGGCTGAGCCTTTCTTTATTTTCTTTTTTTTTTTATTTTATTTTATGTGAGCGTAAAAAAAAAAAAAAAATATAATAAAATTCATACAGCCAACAACAACAACAACAACAACAAAAAATCTTTTTATTTTTTTTATTTTTTTATTTTTTTTACGCAGCATCACGAGTAAGAAGATTTTTTATTTTTATTTTTTACAAAAAATTGAAAAATTGAAAAATAATAATTATTATAATAATAATAATAATAATAATAATAATAATAATAATAATAATAATAATAATAATAATAATAATAATAATAATAATAATAATAATAATAATAATAATAATAATAATAATCAGGGGGTTTTTTTTTTTATTTTAATTTTTGTTATTGTCATTGAAATATTTTTAAATTAAATTTAAATTAAATTAAATTAAATTAAATTAAAAGATTCTAAGATTAACTACAACATTTTGTTAAATAAACAAATAAACTGGGTTAGCTTATTTATTAAGTTGATATTAATAATAATAATAATAATAATAATAATAATAATAATAAGTTGGGTCCAACCTGTTGCAAGTAAAATTAACTGCGCACATTTTATTTTATTTTATTTTTCACAATTATATAATTTCAAGAATGAAAGATAAATAAAATAAAATAAATAAATGATTTTAATTTATTTTAATTTATTTTATTTTATTTTATTTTATTTATTTTATTTTAATTTTTAATAAATCAATATTTGACATTTTGACATTTTGACATTTTAAAACCATTTCTATTTCTTTTTTTCCATTTATATTTATATTTTTATTTTTTACCAAACAGTGTATATCTTAATTCAATTAAAAATAATAATAATAATAATAATAATAATAATAATAATAATAATAATAATAATAATAATAATAATAATAATAATAATAATAATAATAATAATAATAATAAATTCTCTTTTTTTTTTTTTTTTTTTTTTTTTTTTTTCAATTTAGAAATTGAAATTTTTAGAAAATTTTCATATATCTATATATATTTTATATCAATTCTCTTCCAATAAAAAAAATTATAACAAAATTATAACAAAAAAAAAAAAAAAAAAAAAATCACCAGTCAAGCCACAATCAAGCCACAAGCCACAATTCTACAAAAATTAGGAAATTTAATAAATAAATAAAAAAAAAAAACCATTTCTCCACTTGAAAAAAAAAAAAAAAAAAAAAAAAAAAGTGGCTAATGACCTTTTAATTTCTTCTTTTTATTTTATTTTATTTTTTTTTTTTACTTCTTTGGGAATCTTTCTTGATCTTCTTTAATTTTTTTTTTCTTTCATTTAAAATCAAAATCTCTTTTTAACTAAAAAAAAATAAAATAATAAATATTATTATTATTATCATCTTTAATAACATTAATAACATAAGCAATATACTTTTACACACACACATACACAAAAAAAAAAAAAAAAAAATTCCAATTCCAATCGTATTAAAAAAAAAAATAATAATAATTTCCATTCCAATATATCCAAATATCAAATTCATCATCATTACTCTTTTATTTCTTCTTGTTGGAAGTGCTATCCTTAGGAAGCTCCTTCACATAAGGAATAAATGAAGGCTCACCAGGAATATACTTGCGTAAAGGCTCAGGAACATTAAGACCATCCTCAGTTTGATAATTCTCCAACAAACAACACAATGCACGCTCAGTAGCACACAAGGTCGAATTCAAACAATGAACATACTTCTTCTCACGCTCATTCATCTTCTTAATACCACATCTAATCTCCAAGTTACGTGCTTGATAATCTGTGCAATTTGAACATGAAACAAGCTCCTTATATTCACCTTGATAGGGGAACCAAGCCTCCAAATCATACTTCTTAGCAGCAGCATTATTCAACTCTCCAGAAACAATTGCAACAACACGGTAAGGAATATTAAGAGACTTGTAAAAATCTTCAGCAAATGAAATCATCTGATCAAACTCTTCCCATGACTTTTCAGGCTCAGTCAAGCAAAATTGCTCAATCTTTTCAAATGCATGAACACGGAAAATACCCCAAGCATCCTTACCGTGGGAACCAGCCTCACGGCGGAAACATGTAGAAAACCCAGCATAACGCTTAGGCAATTGCTCAGCAGGCTGCTCAAACCACTCACCAGAATGGTATGCAGAAATGGGCTGTTCAGAAGTTGCAATCAAATACTTTTCATCAGAACCATCAATCACCTTATAAAGTTCCTCATCAAACTGTGAAAGTTGGGCAGTCTTAGCCATAACATCCTTGTTCATCATAACAGGGGCTTGTAAAGCAGTATAACCCTTCTTAACAAGAAAATCCAAGCCATAGTTGATCAAAGCTTGATTCAAAAAAACACCATAGTTGCGCAAAAAGTATCCACGGTGACCAGCAATCTTGGTACCACGGTCCTGATCATAACCATCAAGACGAGTCAAAACTTCATGGTGAGAAAGAGCAGCCTTCTTCTCAACACTAACTGTAACACCTTCAGGAGCCCACTTGCGGATAAGTTCATTATTCTCCTCATCATCACTCACAGGAACACTCTTGTGAACAAGGTTACCCACAGTGTTAACCTTGGCTCGCACCAGTTCGTCAGCTTCTTGTTCACGAATAAGCAATGCAGCCTTTTCCTCAGCAATGGATTCCTTTTCTTTAAGAAGCTCAGAAGCATCTTCCTTGGCCTTAAACTTGAGACCAATTTCTTTCTGGACTTTGTTAAGCTTCTTGTTAAGAGCATCAAGATCAAAACGGACTTGAAAGAAAAAGAAAAAAAAAAAAATTATTTTTTTTTGTTAGATCCAGATCTATATATTCTAATCATTCTTTTATACTTACTCTTGGTCCACTCCTTGTATCCATTGATGATTTCATCAACAACCTCGACACTATCTCCACGAGCACGCTGGGAAACACGAATAGCTTCTGGGTCGCCGCCCTTTTCTTCGATGAATTGAATAATGTCCAACATTATGATGATTGAAAGAGACGGGTTTATATGGGAGGGGGGTTTTTTTTTTTATTTATTTTTTAAAAAAAAAATATATATATATATATAATATTTAGATGATTTAGATGGTTAATAGAAGAAAAGAGAAAAAAAAAAAAAAAAAGAGAAAACTTTTAGGTGGCAGTAAAAAAAAAAAAAAAAAAAAAAAAAAAAGGGGGGCGTCGACCGCTTAAAAAAAAATAAATAAAAAAAATTGTTTGGCTGTTTTGTTTTATTTTGTTTTGTTTATATAAATATTCTTGTGTTAGTTAAGTGACTAATTAATTCCACTACTACCTAATAAAATTCTACCCACCCCTGCGATTTCATTATAGTTTCATCACCAAAAAAAAAAATAAATAAATAAATAATGAGTTTTTTAACAAGCGGCGTTTCACTAAACATAATTTTTCTATCTTTTAAATCCTCAATTTATCGTTATCTTTTTTTTTCCTTTAAATAAAATATCCCACCGGGACACCCGGAAAATGAACCGACTATTCGGGTATTTTCTACTCCTAAAATTAAATTAAATTAAATTAAAATTAAAATTAAAATTAAAATTAAAATAAATAATAATAATATAGTTATGTTACCCTACCTAGCGAACCCGATCCGAACCAGCCTTTTTTTCTTTAGGATTTCCTAAAAAGGACGACCTTCCCCATTTAATCCTTTGCTCAATCCATTCTCTATTCTAATCTCACCATCAAAATGAATACCCAACAATATCTCCAACAAGACCCTCCAGATCAACAACAACAACAACTCTTGGAACCTCCATGGTTTGACTACCCACTTCCTTTTATGGTCATTGTCCGTGATGAATCTTTTGTCATTGCCAATGCACCACCACCCCCAACAAGCTCACGTGCTCGGTCCGTGTCCCGAACGCGTAGCAGCTCAACGCAACGTGCAGATTCCCTCACGCGCACAGAGTCTACAATCTCCACTGTAACTGCAACAACAACTACAACTGCAACTGCAACTGCAACTGCAACTGCAACTGCAACTGTAACTGCAACTGCAGAGACTCGAGCTTCAGTATCAAGCCCATCTCACCATAACATTGAGCTGACTACAATCCCGATCCGAACTGAAATCTATCCTGAAATTAGATACGTTTTCTCTGACGACGACTTTGCCCCGACAATTGACGTGCTGGACGCGCAACGAGGTACAGGAAATGGAAACAACAAAGGAGAAGAAGAAGAAGAAGAAGGAGGAGGAGGATCAGAAGTAGAAGTAGAAGTAGAAGAAAATGAGGGCCCACCTCATGTGTCATTAATTCTAGATTTCGATGAGTCCGGTACTAAAGTTATCAACGCAACTTCTCTCTCTTCTGCATGGCAAATCTCACGTGTATCTGAACGGGCTTCATCCACCAACACTTCGACTCACACATCCTCTATATCTTCTTCTTCTCATCCAGCATGGGCTCCAGAAACTGAACATGGATCTAATGCGGATTTAGATTCTGTGGCACATGTATTGTTTGTGGATGGAACAAGCGCACAACCACATTTTAAAACTGCACCGCCATTACCTCCGCTTTCTTCAAAAACTATAAATTCTATACATTCTATGCATTCTATGCAAAATGTAGCTACTCCCGCGGCTATTCCGCGTATACAAGGTTTGACAGGTAGCGCGGGGAGCGCGGGGAGCAGGAGAAGCGCAGGAAGTAGTGGAAGCAATTTTGCTTCAGTGGCGTCAATGTCATCTTCGTCGGGGTCTCTCGTGAGTGGTGGCGGTGCAACGGTTTCAGTAGTTGCTGCAGCAGGAAAGGGCGGGGCAGTAACAATGCAAAGTAATAATTATGATGATAATGATGATGGTGGTGATGATGATTTGCGCGCTCATGCAAGCAACTTTGATAATGAAAAGAAAAAGTTTGAGGAAAGTTCGGATGGTCAGCAGCAGCAGCAGCAGCAGCAGCAGCAACAACAACAACAAATGGTTGTACGAGCATTGACTCAACAGTTTCTTGAACGCAACAGACAACTACGAGAGATTATTAATTCCATGGCTAATCAAGGATAAATACGAGTATAAGAGAGAGAGAATATCTTTTTTTTTTTTTTTTTTTTTTTTTTGAAGGGGAGATTGTTATTCCATTTTATTTTAAAAAAAAAAGACAAGTTTTAGAATGTATCAAAAGACGTTATCAATTATCTTTTAAACCCACGTTTGATTATCGCCAAGAAAGTAATAAATAAGGTAAAGGATAAACTTCTTCGTCAAAGGGGAAGGGAATGGGGATTTGCTTTTTTGGTTTGTTTGTTTGTTTGTTTGTTTGCTAGCATGTCTTAAATGATAAAATATATATATATATATATATAAAGTCTCTTAATTTTTTTTTTTACTAAATGAAAGTGGCTATTCATGTCTAAAACAAGTAAATTGAATAATTTGAGTTTTCAAAAAAAAAGAAAAAAAAATTTTTTTTACGCAACTTCCGAATGCTTTGTTTTAGGAGTCAAAGTTTATGCTAAAACAAAATGTACTTTTGAAAAGGATTTTTATTTTATTTTATTTTATTTTATTTATTTATTTATTATTTATAATTTAAAATGTGAAATATGAAATATGAAATATGAAAATAAATGAATGAATGACTTGGGGCATTAGATTTTTAAAAAAAAAAATTCAAGAGAATTTATTATAAATGAATATTGCCAAGATCATGATAACAAGACTATTTTTTTTTTTTTTCATTTAATTTTATATACAAAATAAAACTCATCATCAATTGGTTTTAATTCAATATATAATGAAAAAAAAGTGGGCGTAGATTATTTTTATTATTATAATAATATTATTATAATTATAATAAAAAAAAAATTCACTATTTCTCTCCAGATCTGGTAATTTTTTTTTTCATATTAATTGCTATAAACATTTCTTCTTCTCATAATACATATAAGGTAAAAAATTATCATCATCATCATCATCATCATCATCATCATCACGATATTTCATTCATTTTTTCATTTTTTCACTTTTTTACATCCGCGTTATTTAAATAGAATTTCCTAGTGTAATATTTATTTATTTATTTATATATATATATATATATCTTTATTAACCAAATTGCTTAACCTCAAAGTTTTATGCACCTCTTTGACTGGAAAAAAAAAAAAAAAAAACGTTGCTCTACCCTTTCATTGCCATTGGCTGAGCAAGAAAAAAATAAATAAATAAAATAAAATAAAATAAATAAATAAATAAAAAACCTTATTGAGCTTATTGTCAGTTGTCCACCATGTAGTTTTTTTTTTTTTTTCTCTCACCAGCGATCTGGAAACTGATGTGATGCTAATGACTACTCGCATATCCAACTTTTACTAACCATCAACTACTACAAATCCTCAATTCTATTCTTTTCTATTAATTATTCATTCATTCATTCATTCATTCATTCATTCAAAAACATCAAATACTTTTTTTCATTTAACTTCTATCCTTTTTCAATTCTAAATATATAAATCTTTTTTTTATTTTTTTTTTTTTCTAATCATGACTTGGCTCGCCGAGTCAAACCATTCTCAAGAACCTCCGATGCAGGCCGTTTCCTCGGAATCCCGCTCTGCTCAACTGCCTTGCTTAACCGCTTGTTTGCAGGGAAAAAGTTTACTCGTAGTGTTGTTGTTGTTGTCGGTTTACTCCCCTCATTCTTGTTCGTCTTGTTCATGTTCTTCTCAGGAGACCCCATAACCATTGGACTCGCCTTTACTGTAGCAGGTTCGGTCTCACCTGTAGCAACAACTATTGAAGATGACAAATTGTGACTGCTAATCTCACACAATGGACTCCGTACAACCTTACTTGGTGAGCATTCTTCAACATCTGCTTCCTCTTCCATATTCTCATCTACTTTCTCATCATCCTTCTCTTGATCCTTGGCCGGTGAACTCGCCAGTACTTTAATCGGAGATCCCTTCTTAGGAGAAGTCTTTTGAGGAGAAGTCTTCTGAGGAGATGCAAGCTCGGCAAGCAAGCTTGCAAAGGATCCAATAATATTGGCCTGAAGTTCACTTATGGGCCGTGTCCCACTCGTCCCATCAGGCATCGTCGCAGGCAACTTGCTCGGCAACACCGGCTTCCATGCATCAACAATAGGCCCTTCATTCCCATTCGCCTCTGCTTCCGGCTCCTCATACGACATGCACCCAATAAGCTCTTGCGACTGATTCGCCACGTTTTGCGTCGCTCGTCGCGCTCGCCCAAGTGCCTCGCCAACTCGTGCAACATACCCGTCTCCAGGAATACTCACCCGTGCTGCCTCCGCAGTAACCTCCTCCAGCCCACGCTCAACACGTTCCGCAGCTGCAACACCTGCTTCTTGTGCCCGCCGAACCTGCTGCTCTAGTCGCAATACATGTCCACGCTGCAACTCATCAACTTCCCGGGCCCTCGTTGCCACATTTCCAAGACCTGCATCAACCTCTTGTACATGTTGCTCTACCTGCCCCCGCACACTTTCGGCCTGCTGTGCAACCGCGTGCTGTAACGCCTTTGCACTTGTCTCCGCATCATGTACACCACCCTCAATCCCACGCGTAATATCACGCTGGCGAGTTTCAAGCGTCTGCTGGAACGTTTGTTGCACTTGTAGCACTTGGTGAATTGACGCAGCATGGGCTGTCGAGGCTGCCGATAATGCGTGCTGGTGTTTACCAAGTGTGCTGTGAATTTCCTCCACCCGAGTCTCCATGCGCTTGGCTTGCTCCTGTTCCTGGGCCTGAACAAGTGCCTGATACTTTTCAAACAGCTCCAGCCGCTCATGTTTCGACTGCGCCATCTCCTTCTCCAACATCCCGAAAAGCCCCTGAGCAACTGCATCTTCATACTCTTTAATTGAATCCTGCGTCGATGAAACAAGCCTCTCATTCAGCCCCCGAATCTCCGCAGATTGTTTATTCATCGCCTCATTCACATCATCAAATAATAACGTTAGACGCTCCCGTAAACTAGCCGAGTACCGCGTGGTAATTTGCTGGTGCTCCTCAATCTTACTTCCAGCCTCGCGTACTAGCCCGTTAAGCGAGTTTTGAATCTCAGAAAGCCCTGCTTCAACTCTGCTCTTCACACTCTCTTGTGCGTCTCCAAATGCCTTTCGGGCAGTATCTGTTTGCTCACCATACTGCTCTCCAGCCTCTGCAAACTCTCGCATAAAACTTTTTTCCGCATTGTTAGTATCTGAAACTTCCCGCAGCAACTCTTGCAACTGTGTCAACTGCTTGTCAACCAGCTGCTTCATTGCTTGCTTAAACGCCTTAGACTCTTTATTGTGGGTCTTGTCAAATGCTGAAAGTGCTTCTGAAACTTCTGTGTAGGTGCTGCTAATTGCCTTGTTGTGGCTATTCAGCCGCGTCCGGTTCTCATTGTCGCGGTCAGCAGACTGTGCGAGCCGGATCTGCAGCGTCGCCACAATCTCAGTCGACTTCTCAAGCTTTGCCGCAAGCTCAATCGCCGTCTGCTGCAGCTTCCGCTCGGTTGCTGCGTGTGCTTCCTTTAGTAGCCGCTCCAACGTCCAGTTGGACTTGGCTTTGGCCAGTTCTTCCTCCTTGGCTGATAGATTAGTCACCGAGTCGGAAAAGTTTTTGGTCGCTGTAGATAGTTGCCGTCGTGTTTCATTCAGTTGTGATTTGGTCGACTCTACATCGCCCCGTAGTGTCTTGAGTTGTGTTTCTTGTAAAGTCACCTTACGCTCTTGTTCCTCTAATCGCAGCTTAAGCTCAGCATTTTCAGAAACCAACTCCTTGTAGTGTTCTTCCGTAAGATATATACCATGTTTTTTCCTTGTTGCTTCCAGGTCTCGTTGTAACCGAATGTAGTCATCAGACCATTCTTTAAAAAGTGTTGTTTTCGAAACCAAGTACCGAAACTGGGGCTTGTTGCGGATATTTTTCGCCTTTGTCGCATATTCTAGCGTACTCAGCGTCTCTTCTAAATTAATGTGTGCCGGACTCACGGTTGCAATAATGCAAGTTTTCGTTTGACCACCAAGAGAATCTTGAAGTAATCGCGTTAGTTTTGATTCACGGTAAGGTATATGGCTCGTCTTGTCCACAAGCGCATTAATGACACGACCCAGTGCCAGCAAACTCTGGTTAATCATGCCAGCCTCGCGTGCTCGCTTATTATCGGCTCCAGATTTTCCAATGTTTTCAGAGCCTGCCAAGTCTACAAAGTTAATTTTCCCAACTATGCAAGACTCCTTGACAATTGACGAAAGCTGAGGTTCTGAAAGTTCGGCGTGTGCAACATCCTGGCTTGTACGTTTGTTCATGCTCATGTAAACTGTAATAGTGAAGATGGTATGTGATCGGGAAGAAAGTTCGTTAATTCTGGTGGATGCAACTTGGCGTTTACGCAACCCACGCTGCAATACCTTAAGTCCGTGGTCTGCCGACTGAATAAACAGGTTTTCCTGGCCGCGAGTAATGCCCGAGGTTTTAGGCATGTTGTTTGATGTAGATGGATCTAGAATTGTTACTTTTTTCGAATCGCTATCACTCAGCAGGTCTCGTAGATCTTCATTGTACAGTTCGATAAATGAGCTCTTGACAGCAAAATCGTATCCATCTGCCTCTGCTGCTTTGAAAAGGTCTCTGCAAAACCGTGGCAAAACACCAGCTTCGTGTGAAATACCACCTGTTGGAGAAAGCGTTTCGTCACCAGTCATTGTATATGTTTTACCGGTGCCTGTTTGTCCGTATGCAAAAACTGTGCATGTTGCTCCACGCAAAACTTCAGTGACCATGGGCGCGACAACTTCATTATAAACAATCGTTTGGTCAGCTTCTGGCCCAAATACTTGGTCAACCTTGTAAATCTTAGAGTTCTGACCTGCTGGTACTCCAGTCCCGTCATCAGAAAGTCCTACAACAACGCTTGTTGGGTCCAATGCCGAAGTCTTCACAACAACATGACTTTTTTCCTGAATCTCACGATCGTTGCGACCACGACAACGCACAACCACACTGATATTCGATCCAGCATCGCTTCCTTTCGAGTCGAGCGACCGGCGCTCGGAACTAGTGTCGTGGTCATTGCTGATAATACTCATATCATGAGGACCTAGAGAAGTATCATTGGTATCTTTATTTGGGTGCTGGTTCTGGGCCATTTCGCTATGTTCAGGAGTACTTGATCTTGCATTCAATCCCCGCTGACTCATATGTCCGGATGGTGCCGAAGTAGTACCCGAGGAACGAATGGGTTTTCTTCTATGTCCAAGAACAGGCCCCGATCCGGGTCTTGCATGCTTGTGTGAATTGTTATTATTATTGTTATTTGTGCTATTGCTAGGCCGTACGCCAGCAGCTCGTCCGGGTTTAGGGAGCCGGGAGGGAATCATTTAATAAATTTTTTTTAAAGTAATGATAATAAAAATAATAAATTTTGATAAATTTAGTTTAGAAGATGTAAAAAAAATAAAATAAAATAAATAAAAAGGTTTATTTAGAGAAGGAAAAGTGAATTGCAAGGAGTTGTAGACGGAGTATATTTTTTTTTTCTTCTTTTGGGGTTGTCACTGGAGTGTTGTGTTTACATTTCATTTTGGAGTCGTTAACGCGTTTCCATGACAACAACAAAAAATCAAAACAAAAGAAAAAAATATTAATATATTACTAAATAAAAAGATTATTTTCGATGTTGACAGGACTCGAACCTGCAACCTTTGGAAAATTTGGCGAAACCGAAATCCAATGCGCTCACCATTGCGCCACAACACCTATATTGGGTGAGGGTTTTAATAAATATATAAAGGTGTTAAACAGACTTTTTGAATTACAGTAATTTTTTTGACACCGGCCGCTGGACATGATTTTAAAAGTTTAGAATTAAAAAAGATAGTTAAAACTGTAAATGTGAAAAGACTAAAAATAGTTAAACACATCTTGGTTGACGTGAGCCTTTGCTGGAAGAAGAAAGAAAAAGATTGAAATGGATATCTCCAGAGATGGACATGTCGACTCTCTTAAACAGTTTAATTGGGTTGCAAAAAAATTATAAGCTTTGACTCCCTGTTTCTTGTAAGCTTGAATCAGAACTTATTATTCTGGCTGTTGGACATTTAACGAAATATACTAAGAGCTATAAGAATAGCACGGATGCTTATGTCTTATCTACTACTCTTTAATTAAAACAATGCGAGTCAATTCTATAATTTACTTGAATTTTACAAATTTTTCAAAATAAGCATATTTATAAACTTGAAACTTCAACTCAAAAAAAAAAAAAATTAAATTAATAAAGTACTAAGCCTAACTAAATCACCAAAGACGCTCCTCAAACTTGAGATCATTCTGGGGGCCAAGACCGACAAGGGCACGAAGAAGGTTCTCAACAGCAGCACGCTGCTTGTTAAGACCATTGACAGCATCGAAACCAGGACGGGTAAGAGGGGCCTTGAGCCAGTAAGAAAGGAAGGAAAGAACAGAGTGGAACTTCTGGTATTCCTCATCAGAGTCCTTCTTGCGGTAAGTAATACGAGAAAAGAACTCAGTCATGACAACCAAGTCGATGATCAAAGGAGAGGCCAAAAGAGAGTCCTCACACACATTGTGGATAGAAATGGTGTTGTGACCACCAAGCATAAGCTCAGAGTAGTACTCATCCATGGCAACCTTGGAGTCACCAACGGCGGGAACATACTTGATGACAATGCAGTGGTCAACAGTCTTGCCATTCTTGTCGTTGTAGAGAATCTGGTTAGATTCAATCATGTCATCGACAACAGAAGCCTTAGAAATCTCCTTAGAGCGGAACTGCTTAGGAGAAGACAAGTTGTAGCCATCATTGTTACCCAAGTGGTTGTAAGAGGCAATAGACAAAGGCTTGATACCGGCATCAACAAGGAACTGAGCCAAAACAGACTTAAGCTTAGTCTGACCAGACTTAAAGTCATCACCACCAATGAAGGAACTATTCTTCTCGGCCAATTCAAGACAGCCGGGAACAAAAGTGTTCTGAGGAGAACCATTAATGTAAGGAACACCCTCAAGGATGGAAGCCACAGCAAAAATAGTGGAAGGAGAAATCTCATCATGAGAAGCCTTAATGGACTTGATCAAGTTCTCGGCGGTATCGTTCACTCCCTCAACGATATCGGCGTAGCGCTCGGTGTTAGCAGTCCAAAGGACAATAACCTTATCAAGGCCATTGTTCTCCTTAAATTCACGAATGTCACGTCTAATGTGCTCAACGTGCTCCCACTTGTCAGAGCCAGGGATAACATTGTTAGCACGCTCACCCTGGTTAGCAGCAATGAAATCAGGGTAGTAGACAGAAGGAAGAGGCTTGACAGCAGAAAGATACTTGCCAACCTTGCGCTGAAGGTCGTAATCAAGAACCTTAGCGCGAGACATAGCCTCAGCAAGGTTAGCACTGTTGATGTCCCAACCACCAATGACAAAATCATTAGGGTGAAGGAAGGGCAAAACCTCATTAAAGGGGGCGTAAACGTCCTTGCCCTTGGCATCAACACCAAGCTTGATGGTAGCAGCCTGAGTGACGGAACCATAGTAGTTGGGCTCAATAGTACCATTCTTGGTCTCAAAAGAAATATTGTACTTGTTGGCAACAACAGCAGCACTCAAAGTAGAGCCATTGTTACCGCCAAGACCAACAAGAAGGAGACCAGTCTTAGGAACACTGAGATCAAGCTTGAATTCGTAGTCAACCTCGGTAGGGGTAACCTTGTACTTTCCATCAACCTGCTCGACAACAGAGTTCTGGTAGGCGTAAGAAGAGTAGAGGAAACCATTTTCAACCTTGGTCTTGTCAGAAAGGACTTCGACAGAGGTGTAACCGGACTTGCCAGTAGCAGGAGCGGCGGGGACAGAAGTTTCAGAAATAGTAGTAGGGGCCATTTTTAATATTTGTTTTTTAGTTGTTTTTTTGGTTTGTTTTTAGATTTATTTTTTAAAGCACTCGAAGTGAAGATAAATGTGTTTATTGAAAGATAGTCAAGAAATTTACTTGCTAAGTCTTATTAATCCACCCGAACCAGAAGCAGTAGATCGGGAGTGTTGATAGGGGTGGTGAGCAGAACCGAGAAGATTCGAAAACGTTGTAAAAGTTTATAAAGATGCTGGAGACTTCAAAAGTAAAGTGCCAGCAAACAGTATTAAATGTTAGTTGGTAAAATAGTTTGTAAAAAATATATAAAGTTTTAAGAAAAAAGAGATTTCTTTATTGTGGGGATGAAAAAAAAAAAAAAAAAAAAAAAAGAAAGTGAAAAAGCCAGGAATTGTGTTGGTATTTATACTTTTTTGTGGGAATTATGGGGGAGAAATGTTTGGACATGTGTCTTACGTTTGATTTGGCAGTGGAGCTAGGTCTCTACTGCCCCTGAGAAATTGGAGGACGCCCATTTGAGAGAGTTTGTTGGGGATGTGCTTCTGGTGGTGGCCTCTTGGCCTTGAACAAAACAAAAATTCGTATTCCACGGGTACATTTGTCGGTGCCAGAGATTATCATGACAACGGCGCCTTGGATTGTTTCCTTGTGAACAGGTATATATCTATATACAAAGCCTGTTATCATAAGTTACAACTTTTATCTTTTTTCTTTTTCTCCAAGCTGCTGGTTTGTTTTTGTTTGTTTTGCAGTCTTGAAGAATGAAAAAAAAAAAAAAAAACGGATGATAAGATATGAAAATTACATAATCGGTCTCAGTTTCTTATGTAAGATTAGGTCTGATTACTTTGCTATCGCAAGTTGTTTTGACGGTTTTTTCATGCCGATAAAGATAATAATAATAATAATCTGAATTTAAATAAACATCAACGATATTAAAGCCGCTTTTAGATGAAAAAATTCAATAGATAGATTAAACTGATAGATCAAAATGATAAATCAAACACAAGTGGGGTATCAATAGATTTTGTTTTAACGACACCTGGCAGCATCTACTGTACTTGTCTCTTATCCATAAAAAAAATTTACTTGAAGGTCTTTTACTCCTTTTTTATCCTTTGTGCGCGGAAGGAACCGGACTTTACCACGGAGACTACACTACCAAAATAATATATGTAGTACTACTACTCAGCCTTTAAAATCACGTGAAATTGCGGCTCGGATGTATGTTAGTACTTTCTAACGACCCTAAATATCATTCAAAGCGTATAACAAAGTTACCTAAATAATAACGCTTCGCCTATTCCAAACAAAAGTTTGGGGGTTAAACATATATTTATCAAAACAAAGCATGGAAAATGTATGACCCAAAATACTAATTAGTAACTTATAAGTTTTAATGATTCTACTGATAGATGTTGAAAAATTAAAAAAAAACATTATAATTAAACTTAAAATCTAAAAATTTGACTATTTTAGGCTTTTAGCAACTTTTCACACTTTAAAAAAAAAAAACAATGGATATTGTTTTAAAAACATGATTAAAGTTTTCAAAAATATGTACTGCAAATAAAGTAAAATTTTAATTTACTTTTTTTTTTAAATTTTTTTAATTTAAATATTAATTTAACTCAAAAAAAAATAGTTACGCTAGAAACTTAAAACTTAACGTGTGCTATATAAAACTATAAACAAATAATATAACATCAATCGGCAATAGTTTAGTGGCTAGAATTTCCGCCTGTCAGCTTTCTGCAGCACGCGGGGGACCGGGGTTCAATTCCCCGTTGCCGAGTATTTTTTGTAATTGAATTTTTTTTTGGAAGGCTTTGAAATAAAAATTTTTTTTTTCATATTTTTTAGTTGTCACTGTAAATATTTTATTTATTTTTTTTCACACTTTTATTGTTACTTTTTTTTTCAATTTTGTCGTCACCGTTGTGTTTTTCGTCATTTTTGTCGTCAGCGGTGGCCTCATCATTTTGTTCATTCTCACCATCATCTTTCTCATCATCATCTTTCCCATCTCCATCTTTCTCATCATCTTTCTCATCATCATCGTCATTATCATTATCATTATCGTCATCATCATCGTCATTGTCATCATCATCGTCATTGTCATCATCATCGTCATTGTCATCATCATCATCATCATCATCATCATTATCATCATCATTATCATCATCATTATCATCATCATTATCATCGTCACTATCATCGTCACTATCATCCTCCTGAATCTCATCATCATCATCATCATCATCTTGGTCATTTTCATGTCCTTTTTTAAATACAGTCACAATACTAAAACTGTTCACGTAGGTATCCACATTTCCAGTGATTGCCACAATTTCCTTGTTTTCTGGAGCCATCATCTTTAAGACTTTATATATGAATCGTCACATTCTCCTCCATATTTTTCACTTTTTCTTTGATTGGTGATAATAGTAATACTCATGAAATTGCAATGATAAATATCAAACTCAAATCCAAGAAATTGTTCATCTTCATGGAATTCGAAATATTCATCATGAGATTGACTGTGGAAATTAAGACAGTTGATTGAAGTACTTTTTTCCCCGACAGGATGAAAAGAGATTGCTTCCAAATAATAATTACACCTAACACTAATTCCTTTAATTTTTTCTGGAATTAAAGCAATTTGCCAAGTTCCTTGTTTTTCTCCATATCGTTTTGAAGCTTTACCCTTAAGTAAACCTCGGTCTCGACCAAAGTCATCTTCAATTGATCTTCCAATAAACTTATCGAGTTATCCCATTTTGCGGTAGCTGATTTCTTTAGAAACAATAATGGGTTGGAAAAACTTTAAATATTTTAAATAATAGGCTGCAAATCCAAGCAATTCAAATTCAGACCCCAATATATATCTGTATCGTTTCCCAGAACTTGCGTTTCCATAAGTAGGACTGGAGCGACGATCAGTAACAAACTGAATCTTTTGAAGAAAATCGTCATTAACAATATTGATTCCAGTAATTTGCTCGTTTTCTTCTACCTTGAAGACACTTTTTTTTGGTACCATAAGACCCCATATGGGTGACTTCGCTGTCATAAAGTTCCAATGGGTTTCCTCGAGGAATAAACCTTAATCCTGAAATACAGTAATCGTCTTCAAAGATCCAGATTTCAGCCAAGTCACGGGGGATAATTATAATTTCTTTCTCATTTTCATTTTCATTATCGTTCTCATCTCCAATCACCAGGCCAATAAAACGAAACTTACTGCGTCCAAAAGTACTTTCGTATTCCCATGTGTTTTTCTTATTAGGGAACTTAATTTCAATTGCATCTTCAAAGGGATCTGTTGTATTAGAACTTGAATCGGTTGTAATCATAGTCTGTTTGATTAGAGCCGAGCCTGAGTTGATGATTATTGAAGGAGACAAAATGGATTCTCTTTCAGGAAATGACTCAACGATTATGATTCGAGTATATGCTTTATTAGCACTATCTAGGTTAATAACTATGGGTTTCTTAGAGTTGTTTGACATGTTTTATTTTTATTTTTTTTTCAAGAGGATTTTTATAATTTGATTCAGGTTTTTTATTTTTTTTTTATTTTTCTTGTAGAATTTTTTCAAGGTTGTGAAATAGAGTACTTTTTATACATTTTGTTATTAGCCGCTTTTTAAAAAAAAAAAAAAGTTTAGAATTTTAGTCCCGTCTGTGGAACAGGATTTTTTTTTTTTTTTTATAAAGTCTCCTTGGTGATTTATTAATATTAAAACAGTGCTTAATTTAAAATTGTTTAAAATCATCAGTAGATGAAATTATAGCTTTAAAAACTGACGTGGGGGAAAAGGTTCCACAAGAAATGTGCTGTAAGCTACAAGCAAATGTCAGGTCATTCTGAATTTCTAGTTTGAATACTAGCAATTATAACTTGTATTTACAGTTTTTTTTTTTTGACAAGTATTTATTGCAATTGACAAACCCCTAAAGATTGCAAATAAATTTAAGCCCATTATCTTTAAGTGCTACTTAGTAATTTCTAAGTGATCTGTAACAGTAAGTATTACAAATATCAATATGACTTCTTATACTTTGGTTACATATTTAATCCTTTACACTTCTCAGAACATAATCAGTTGATCAACCATAATGGTTACAGGATTTGGCAGGGGTGTACAGTTGCAATATTTTACCCGCTATTGCTTTCAAGATTTTGCTCGTAGAATTTGATTTTAATTGAAAATTAGTTAATGATCTAACTTAAAAAAATCAATTTTTGTATCGACATCAATAATTGCTGCTCATTTTAAAACTTGACAAGCGCTTCAACACTGTTGAGGCAATTGCAAAACTTGCTTGACAAGATATCAAATGATTTCAAGATCTCAGCTTAGGGTTTGTGCATTAAGGACCTGTAGATCAAAACCCTGGAAGTCGCTGGCTTTCTTTAAAAGTGAAAAAGTTGCTTATTTCCTTGTTGAAACTTGTCATGTATTCCAAAGATGACTTTTTTTTTTTTTAATGTGCTAAACAAAATGTTATTTAATCTTTTTCTTCCTCAAGAAGCTTCATTGCACTGAAATATTTTAAATCTTATTGGCAATGAAAACTTTTTCATAAATACCTCAAATAGGTACATCCTCATTCAGACGAATTCTTATAAAGTACCATTGCCCTCGCAAAAGTCATCCTTAATCAAATATATACGAAGTAATTATGAATTCTTTCTTTTTTTTGAAATATTGAACTTTTGTAATTCACAACAAAGCTAATTGTTTAAAGCGGCTTAACAAGAAATGAAATTGAAAGAGGCTTAACAAGAAATAAAACTGAAAGAAACTTTAGATTTCTACCGTAAAACCAAGTTAACCGTTTATAGGTAATTTGTTCTCCATAAAAAAAAAAGCTTTAATTAATATTAGTAACAAATTGAACCTTCTTGAAATAACCCTCAGTTACAACATTAATAACCGTAATCTGCCTTTATTTGTTTATTTTTTTTTTTAATATTCTGAAGATTGAGTAATATTTTATCTTTTATTAAAAAATTTTAAACTTGAAAGCTTAAAACAAAATGAATTCAAAAATTTCATTCTTTTAGATTTTTTTAGTTGTCTCCCCGAGTCTATTGATGGTTATTGCAACAGCCAATATTTGTAGTTTTCAGGAACATGCATCAACAAAAAATGGTATCAATTTTGATTCTATAGTTTTATCAAGATTCTTTTCAAAATACACCTTTTTCTTTTTTTCTTTTTTTTTTTTAAAAAAAAAACAACAAAACAAAATAATCATTAAAAATTAAAGTACTCTACAACAATATAAAAATAAAAAAACACAATTTTTTTTTTTTACTTGGACTCGTCATCTTTTGTCTTATCGCGCGGCAGCATGGCACCAGGCATGTAAAGGGGTTTGACAACGATGTACGAGTTTTCTGGAGTTGCAAGACCAGCATATGCGTTATACCATGCGAAAAACGCAGCGGCCAGACCCCACCAACCTGCAATCTTTCCGCAAGCAGGAGAGCGGGCGAGTTTTTCAATTGCGAGGAAAAGGAAAGTCATATCAAGGGTGAAGAAAAGACCAAAGAAGGCAAAAGTAGAGCGAAGAGTGACTGAAACCAAAAGGGTAGTGAAAATGACCCAGCCCATAAGATAGTAACCAAGAACATCTTCGAGCTCGTCTGTTGTGGTATATGAAGACACAATTCCAAATGAGTCTGTGTTAATGGCAGCCCAAGAAAGCCAGAAACCTCCGTAGGAAGAAAGGGCAACTGCAGGGAAAGTATTTTCAACAACAATCTCCCACATACCTGCCAGGAGTTGGATGAAACCGCCATAGAAGTAAGCGAGGCCGATAACAACGGAAGGGTTTGTAGCATGGCGAGCGCGTATGTTGACGAGGGAAAGGACAAAAGTTGTGAGAGCAAAAGCGCAAAGACCGAGAGGTGAAGGATTGGCAAACTTGCGCGAAGGAGGAGGTGCAAGACCAGGATTCAGGGTACCACCGAAGGCTGCCATGAGCTCATACTTGTTGACTGAGGTATCGCCAATGTGGATGATATCATCGTCGAAGCCAGAGGTTTGAATGCGGGATATTTTGTGGCCGGAGGAGTGTGTATAGTATTCAGGATTAGTGGCAGCCATTTTGTATGTGTATATGTGTGTTTATGTGTATCTAGAGAGAAATGTTGAATAATATGGGGAGAGGAGATTGATGAATGTGAATATGCAAATGAAATAAGGATAAGAAGTAAATTAAATAATAGATGATAAAAATGGAAAAATAAAAAAATAAAAAAAAAGATGGGGGGAATATGAGACCTTTATATAATTTTTTTTTTTACTTACTACCTTTAGTCTCAAGGGATTACTCTAATCCCCGAGCTCCAGGAGTCATTGAGAGACCCATGGGATTTACCCCGCGCTGCCCACGAGGATTTGCCTAATCTTCAACTATCTTTCTTCTTCTTTTTTTTTTTTTCTGTTGGAAGGTTGTTAGTACCTTTTTGTACGTGGTAGTTAGTACCGTTCTATACATTTGTAACTAGCTACTACTACTACTACTACTACTACTACTACTACTACTACTACTACTACTACTACTACTACTACTACTACTACTACTACTACCAACCATATAAGAATTTTTGTTTTTCCTTTGCCCCCATGACGAGCGAAATTGAAATTAAAAGTTGTTAGTAAAAAAAAAAAAAAAAAAAGCCAAACGGCCTTTGTTTGTTTTGGAAAAGTTTTTTTTTTTTTTTTTTTGATTGAATGAATGAATGAAAAGGCCTAATAACAAAATGCCGCTATATGATATATTGAAATCTCTATTGTGGACATTTTATTATTGCAAAAAAAAAAAAAAAAATTTATAAGCCAGTCAAGCCAGCCTTGTGCGCATCTCGGAGAAAATTTTAAAGTGTATGTATATAATAAATTGTGAAAAAAAAAAAAAAAAAGACTGAGTAATCCGTACTCGGCGAGTTATAATTTGTCCGAGATTTTAGAGAAACCAAAAAAAAAAAAAAAAAGAAGAGAATAATAATTTTGATTTTTTTTTTTTTTTTTTTTGCAATAATAAAATGACCCCTCATTTTTTTTTATTCCAATTGTAGCTAACAGATAAGCTTAACCCGTGGACTTGAAAAGCGAATTCAAAGTGGGGTCTTCCGCAATTCTTTATATATATATTTATATATATATATATATACGAATCAAAAAAAAAAGGGTTGTATGAATCCGGACATTTTATTTCCGAGTTAACTCTTTTTTTTTTTTTTTCGGATTATCTAGACGTAATCTCCGACTTTGAAACTTTCTCTTTGACCATTAGTCCGGGGTTTATTTTTGTTTTTTTCTTCAAACTATAATAGAGACTTTAAAAAAAAAATCAGATATCTATGTGATGTTTTGCCATCTTTCGTTCTCATTCTAATCTTGACGGGACTTTAATGATGTATTGTTGTTGTAAAGACATTATTATTATTATTCTGTCGGGACTTATGTCTTGAACCCGTCAAAAAAAATTAAAATAAAAAAAAATAAAATAAAATACAACTTGCTTTGAAAGCCATTTTTGTTATACTTAAAAAAGTATTATGCGGCTTAATCATCTCGGAATCACCTAGAATTGGCACCGCGGCTAACCCACAAAATCGCCAGGCAAGCTGTGCCGGGCTTCCAGGCACTTGTCCATCACACAACCTTAAAAAAAAGTTTCTCCGAAGTCACAATATATTTCAAAAGAGATTTGAATAGAAATAGAAAAATTAAATATATATATAAATATTAGAAAATACCCCGCTTTTTTTTTTTGAAGGATGTATTTTTCTTTCTTTTTTTCTTAGATATTAATAAGATCTTGTGGCTTTCCGGGGGAAGAAATACAAATGTCTACTTTGCAAAGCCCCGGATTAGCCATGCATTCTCCGTACGACCGGTCCATGATGTAGTTTGATTCGGATCACAGACGAAACAGCATTGCCAATTTTTAATATAAATAAATGAAATAAATGAAAAATCCATTCATTAAGGCCTTAATTAAGCGGAGCCCTCGGAATGTTTGTTTTATTTTTTATTTTTTATTTTTAAAATTTTTTTTTTCTGTTGTCCATTTGCTTTCAATGCCAATATCTTTTAAGCCAAGCTTTTTCAAGACCGTTATTAACCGTTAAAGATTAAAAAAAAAAAAAGAACTTGTATTTTATTGTTTTTTTGGTTTTTTTTTTTTTTTACATTATTAAATGATATTAATGGTATTATATTATCTAAGAAAAAAAAAAAAAAAAAAGGAAACAGTAAATTAGTTCTGATCTTGGCAAAAGGTTCCGGACCCTTCGGAGATCTTGTTGTTGATAATAAAAAAAAAATAATAATCAATTCAACAACACAATGAAGAACCCCACTATCGGATCTCGGCCTGTTTCTGTCATTTCAAATATATAATTAAAATTAAAATAAAATAAAATAAAATAAAATAAAATAAAATAAAATAAAATAAAATAAAAAAAAAAGAAAAAGAAAAAAAAAAAAAAAAAAAAAAAACGAAAACTTGTAAAAGTATGGTTGTTGTATGTTATGTTATTTTTATATTTTTTTTATATTGAAGAATTATATCATGTTTAAGAGAAAATTTGTGTCCCGGGTGTGTGGACATAGTTCCGTTTATGGGAGGAAGAGGAGGAGGAGAAGGAGGGAAGGGGATTATCAGAGATCCGGTACACGAACCGACTTACAAATAAACACAAAAAAAGTTATATTTTTTTTTCTTTCTCTTTTTGTGCAACATACACACACAAAAAAAAAAAAAAATTAATAATAAAGTCTGGGGAAGGTTTTAATTTTTAAATTTTAAATTTTAAATTTTAAATTTTTAAATTTTTAGTTGTTGTTGTTGTTGTTTTTTTCTTTCTTCTAATCCCGACGATAATTATGACAGTTTAAGTCTTAACTTATATATAAATCATTGGCATTATTAACAAAACTCATGCCAAGTCCATAGTATATTTTTCATCTTTATCTTTATCTTCCTCTTCTAATTCTAATTCTACTTCTTTTCTTTAAGTTGAAACCGAGTCCGAGGTGGGTCATAAATATGGGAACCGAGGAAGATAAAACGACACAGGGAATTAAAAAAAAAATAAATAAAAAATAAAATAAAATAAAAAAATAATTTTTGAAAAAAAAAAAAAAAAAAGCGAGGTTGGTTTTTTTTGAAATTTCTTTGAAGCGAACCGCGGTTAACTAAAACTGTTTTTTTTTTTTGTTAATTTTTTATTTTTTTCAAGAGTTCTGGTAACTTGAAAATAATTCTGGGCCTTCCTAAAAAAAAAAAAAATTGCGGCTTAAAAAAATAAATAAAAAACCCCCCGATTAAACAAATTTAACGTCATTTTTTTAAAGTATTTATATATATATATATTTAATAGTCAATTAATGTTTTCAAAAAAAATTCATTTTGAAAATATATACATACCATATCATTATGAATCAAATATAATTAATATTCTATCCATCCTCCCCATGTAATCATCAAGTGTTTCAATAGATAAATAAATATATAAATAAATCCATTTCAACCAATTGGTTAAATATATATATATATATATTTATTTATTTATTTATTTATTTATCCCCTTCCCCCCTTAACTTAAGTGTGTGATTAACTTGTTTTACAGTCATATTAATATAAACTATTCCAGATCATCAATAATATCTGATGTATTAAAGAATCAATCATTAATATCATTGAGCCACACACACACATACACATACATCATCTAAACTATTCTTTTAATCCATAAATCCATAAATCCAAACAAACAAAAATTGTAAATGAAATGGTTTTGTTATTATCAGATGTTTAAACTTATTTCCCTTGCATAAGATTTTTTTTTTCTATCTCTCTCTCTATAATGACCGTGCGTTTTGGAATAAACATAAGAAAAAGTCAAGGGGGTCGTGGTCTTGATGAAGGGATGTGATGACGCGCTAGAAGGTTCCTCAAAAAAAATAAAAGAACATTTAACACTTTTTCTATAATCATCCCTTAGTCATTAATATAGTGTTTGTTTATTTTCTATGTATGTGCTTTATTTATTTATTTATTTATTTTTTTTTTTTGTTTCTATGAATTTCAAATCTCAATGTACAATTCAAAAATGATTTCTTTTTTTTTTTTTTTTTTTTTCATTTCGGATAAAATGAAGTTAACGAACTCATTCCTCTCAAATACAACCGTGACTCCAAAAACCGTGGCAAAGAATCCGTCTCCATCGTACGATATACTTGTACTTTAGCTGCTTGTAAATGTTGAGCCATATCACTCAATACTCTAAGGTTACAGTCCGGTGATTGTTTGGCTGAAAAGTACGAAAAGGCAGAATGTTCTGGTCCTACTCTAGTTGCAGGCATTGTAGCTGCCAACGAAGAAGAAGAACAAGAAGAAGAAGTTGAACTTAAAGACTCACTTGTCACAACAACTGTCCGTGTGCCTGTGCTGCATGATTGAATATGGGCTGTCATTGTAGATACCAAGCGCCGCCGTAAAGGCCAATCAATGTTAAGCTCCGATGGTGCTTGCTCTGCAAAGTATCGGTGGTACATGAGGTACAATCGTTTTAAGCACATCTGGTACAATGAATCAGTGTCTGCAAGAAGTAGTCCATGTCTTCCAAGCCCAGTCTTTAAAGATTGATGTGGATGTTTCCCCGTGTCTTCATCTTCTCCCTCAGAATCAGAGCTATTACTTGCACATTTAGCAAGAGTACGCTGCAATTTTTCAAAGTCTAATAAAAATAACGTCAACTCGCTATAGAACTGAAGGTTTTCCTCGCACAGTTGTTGTTGTAAAAACTCACGGAAAAGGAAAAGTAAAGCTGCATCGTTAATAATATCGTCCAGTGTTAAGTTCTGTGGTTGTCCATAGTGAAACAGTGGGCTTTGTGGACGGCTGTGACTACCTGTAGACCTTGTTGTGCATCTGCTAGTAGGCCGGCTCGATGTGGTAATGGTGTTGGTGGTGGCCGACATGGCAATTTGCACTTGGTCTGCAGAAACATCTGAAGGTGCTGACTTATGAGACGCTGTACTTGATCTAGGGACCACAAACTGTGTCAGTTTAGAATCGATGCGTTTAAAAGAAAGTGATTTCCTGTATTCAATAGTAGGTCTTTCCTCTTCTTCTTCATCAAAGTTCCCCCTTTCCTTTTCTTCTTCTTTTTTTTCTTCTTTTTTTTCTTCTTTTTTTTCTTCTTTTTTTTCTTCTTTTTTTTCTTCTTCTTGCTCTTGTTCTTGTACTTTCTTCTCCTTTTCCTTTTCCTTTTCCTTTTCCTCCCTTCTTTTCTCCGGCTCTTCTTTCTCTTGTTCACAAGCCTCCGAGGCTTCTCCTTCTCGGAGATTCTCGTCGTTACTATTTTCAGGCTCCTGCGGCTGCTCCTGCGGCTGCTCCTGCACCTGCTCCTGCAACTGCTCCTCCTCCTCAATTGTGGGTACTGTGCTTGGTGGAGACGGTGGGAGACCCGTGAACGTAATGTTGAGCGGCGTGAAAACATCCACCTCAATAGATTGCAAAGGTTGTGGCGGCAGATCTGTCACGGCGGAAACATGGGGGGCTCCTGATGTTGCAGAAATTGTAACAGGTTGTTGCTCCATGGAGGTAGGTGCCACAGAAGTAGTTGGAGGTTCTTTAATAGAGCGCCCAGAAACCACAGCACGTAATGAGTTTGATAATGCATTTGAGATATTGGTAAACCCTAGCCTTTTTGACCGAATAGATGCGGGTCGATCATGTGGCACATCGGATTCATCACTATCATTATTATTATTATTATTATTATTATTATTATTATTATTATTATTATTATTATTATTATTATTATTATTATTATTATTATTATTATTATTATTATTATTATTATTATTATTATTATTATTATTATTATTATTATTATTATTATTATTATTATTATTATTATTATTATTATTATTATTATTATTATTATTATTATTATTATTATTATTATTATTATTATTATTATTATTATTATTATTATTATTATTATTATTATTATTATCATTATTGTTATTATTGTTATTATTACCATGAGCCAAAGCCATTGAAGCAACAGCTGCTGCCACCTCAGTTATCTTTTTAGCTCCGCGTTTAGGAGGCAATGAAAATTTTGTGACTTCCCGACGTAAAGATTCTTCTTCTCGTTGAGTTCTTGCCCAAATGGCAATTCCTCGGCCTGTTTCTGAAAGCTGGTAAAACGCGTCTTTAGCAATACGAATTTGAGTGTCGTCAGGTAAACATCGTGAGCCAGCCGCACATATGGGTATAATCATCCCCGCGGAGAAAAACAAATTTGCAAGGTGCATGGCCTCTCTCTGATAAACAATATCAGAACAATCCAAAAGCCATTGCCAAAGCGCTCTTCCTGTAAAACAGTAATCAATAGTTGTATGAACAGTGGTAGCATTTCCCCCCACATGGAAAGTGTTCCCCAAGCTAAGCGTGGATGTGGAAGCGCGTGAGTTGGAAAATATAGAGGATGCGGAGCTAGATGCATCTGTGTAAACATCAAACCGCTTGTTTTGAAAGAGCCGCACACCTACTGTAGATACGTAGTACTGGGAGAGTGCATCAGAGTCTGGGTTAGTAAAGAATCGGTGAAAGTATGGAGACTCTACCTGAGATTCTGGGAATGAGTTATCAAGCGGGGAGTAAAGAGAAAGATCTGGCTGGAGTCCAATAGTAGTGTTTGCACTGCTAAACACCGTAGTACCACCCATGTTATACGATCCACGCACTCCAAACGAGCTGTAGTCATCGTTAAGTCCAGGGGCTGGTGGAATCTTATCTGGTGGGTTTGAAGCTGCATAGACGTTTGGGGTGGGTCCCATGACACGTTGGAAGAGTAAGAAGATGAATGCATCGTTACACATGGGTTGATCGGTGTGAGGGTGTCTGTCAAAACAAATGGTGCGCATAGAATTATGGGTAGATGCAAAGAGATGTTTTATGGGGGCATCTGAACGTAAAGCAATGCCATTTTTACGACAATATCGCTCAACACAGCAGACACCCTTTGCAGTGGGTTGTAGTAAAAACCCGCGAGCAGAAGTGTCGAGTGTATCTAGTGTTCGTGAGGATGTTGCTGCTGCTAAAATTGCTGGAGGAGGAGAGACTGTTGTTGTTGTTGTTTTTGTTGTAGTATTAGTAGTTGTTGCTGTTGTTGATGATGATGATGATGATGATGATGATGATGATGATGATGAAGAAGAACAAGAAGAAGGAACTGAAGATGCAATGGGGAATGGGACTGCTGGAGGGATTGGGTTAACTACTAGAGGGCATTTTGTAGATGTTCTATCAGTAGGGCAATGAATAAGACGTGCAGAAAGAAATCTTTGAATAAATACTCTTGCTGAATGGGCTGGGACTGCACAAGAGATTGCAGTACGAGTTGAGCCTGTAACGATTTTAACAGACATATTTTGGATTGCAGCCATTGCATCTTCAAGAGTGAACGAAAATGGAGGAGTTTTTTTAGAGAATATTGAAGTTGTTTTTCGTTTCTTTTTACGAGTAGAAGAAGAAGAAGAAGAAGAAGAAGAAGAAGATGATGATGATGATGGTGGTGAAGATGATGATGAAGATGATGATTGATATTGACTTAATTCATCATCTGGAGCCATGTTTGGATTAGACCCTTCAAGAGTTGACATGTCACATTGACCATCTGGGTCTAAAGGAAGTGAAAGCATGAGCATTGCAAAGATAGACTCATGGTCTTTAGTAAATAATTTCCCATCGGCAGACCTATTGAAGAAAGAGTCTGAGCCAGAGGTTCCTTGTGAAGTCCCCTGTTGTTGTTGCTGCTGCTGCTTTTTGGACTCTTTAGCTTTGTTAGAAGGGTCGATTGGATGATCCAGCTGAGGATTTAGGGACTCTGGCATGTGTGAGAGAGAGAAAAAAAGAAAGAGATGGATATATATATATATATATATATTTAATTATAAGAATAAAATAAAATAAAATAAAAATTTAAAAAAAATTGAAAAAAAAAAGATAAAAAGAAAAAGAAAATTTTGGGAATTAAGCAATATATATATATATATATATTAAAAAAAAAAAAAATAGAGATATACACAAAACAAACCCACCCTTTAAGCCGAGTATTTTAAAGACTTTATATATATAGATAATAATTAAAGCATAGTTCACACCTAAAAATGGGGTTTTTTTTTTTTTTTTCCTTTTCTTCCTATAAATCTAATATATTGAATTGAATTGAATTTTGAATTGCTCAAAAGGACTTTTTTTTTTTTTATTTCCCTCATACACACCCCTGTCCATCTGTTTGTCTGTTTGTTTTTTTTTTTTTTTTTTGAATAATAAAAATAAAAATGTTTGCCTGCTTGCCTGCTTGCCTGCTTGCCTCTCACCGTTTCAGCCTCACCCGCTCAAGTAGAAAAGCTGTGAGCCTCAACTCAGTTCATAGGGGGGGAGGGGAGGTGTGGAGGATTTTACTTTACGCACCTTACCGTTTCGGGTGTGCTTATGCGAAACGTCGCGTGTATCAGCAATAACAGAAGAAAAAGAAAAAGAAAAAGAAAAAGAAGCAACGCCGCTAGAAAAAAAAAAAAAAAAAAAACCCCATCAACAGCCGTTTATTTCTTCATATATGATATATGAAACAAAAAAAAAAAAAAAAAAAAAAAAAAAAGCTCATTCATTTCAGAATTAAACAAAACAAAACAAAATAAAATAAAATAAAGTTACCATAAAGTAACTTACTTCTCTCTCTTAGTTATTCTAAATAACTTACTATATATATATACTAAACAAACTTCTAAAGCCGTGTCCACCGCCTTAATACATGGTCCGGACCAATAATACTTGCAATCTCCATCAAACTTACATCTACCTTGGCCATCCGAATGTCATCACCAACAATCGCTCCCTTGGTCGACCCAACTGCAGGTTTCGCCTGTACCGCCGTCAGTTCCACAGATCCACCACCACCATTGCTATTGCTGTTATTATTGCTACTACTGCCTCCGCCATGACTACCACTTCCTCCACCTTCATCTCCACCACCACCACCACCACCACCACCACCCTCGGCTGCAATAAACACCATGCCTGTTCCGTTAGAACCTGCTTCAATGTAAGTGACCAACTCCATGGCCTCCAGCCGCTCCCATGCCGCACGTGCCACCTCACGGCTCCATACGCGGTACCCGCCGCGCGAGTCACCGCCAGCTGTAGGTCTCGAAAGCGCTGCTCGGCGCTCTTTATGTAGCTGCGTCGCCATTTGTACGTACTCATCATATACAACGTTAAAATTAAACGTGTCTGAACCATATTTAATTTCCACACGTGCTGCACAAATTAATAGCGACAATTCAAGTTCAGAAAGACCTTCAACAAAGCTTTGAGTATCTGCAAGTCCACCTTGCTCACGCTCCAATAACCCAATGTCAAGGTCTGATAAGAGGGGGTCTGTTAGGGTAAGGGGATAAATCATACGGTCATAAAATTGACGTACATCCTTTGTGGTGAAAAAAACAAGTTCAAGGATCTTGTACAAATTACTTGATTTGTCCTTGTAAAATGTGTCCAGACTATTATTCCAAGCCTCCATAAATTCAGTATAATGAGCTGCCGTTTCAGGAATCTGGCCACTGAGGTATCTCTGATATTGTGGATTATGAGAAAGTGTATCTGGGGAAAATTCTGTTGGATACAGCCGTAGACCAGCGCTTGCAATGTTCCAAAACTCGTTTATATCCTTTGTACGCTTTGTTGTGATTATTCTTTGGCTAAAACGAGAACGCACGCGTTTTTCAAAAAGCTCTCTAGTATTGATGCGAGGGGTAACTCCAACAACCGCAATTGGAGTTTTACTAGATTGTGCCATATCAAGAAGGTTATATAATAATGTTTGTTTAGAATGTGTAGCAAAGCGATCAACTTCTTCCAAAATAATGATTACAGAAATTGGTTTTTCCCTATTTGCCTTATTTTCATCATAATCATCATCGCTATAAAGTAATGTCAAAAGAGATGTCAGACACTCACTAATACTTTTTTTTTCAATGGTTTCATAATTGACTTGTTTTTTATAAGGCCCACGTTGTAGATATGAATCTATTTGTCTGCATAGTTCGCGAATAGCCATTTTGTCATCTGTAACTGCAAACCCAGAAATCCTCACCACCATAAAGTCCGATGGGTATTGTTTTTCAAGTGTTCTTAAAGCTGTATCGACCATGAGAGTTTTACCTGTTGAACGTGGACCAAGAATGACGCATGAGTTTCCTTCACCTTCAGCAACAGTGCGCTGCAACAGTGTGTAAAGAGTGGAATATTCAGTGTCCATACCTACTATGGGGACTGGCAAGATAGAAGAGGCTAAACGGTCTAAGACTAATGCTGAAGCTTGTTTTGAAAGTTCAGTAAAATATTTTGGGTGGTGGGTGTGGAGTCTATTTTGGAAGCTAGTACGAATCTGTTTTTGTTTTCTTGGAGAAGCTCGTGAGAGTACATCAAAATTATACTTGTCATTAAGGAGTTTTTTTGTTGGAGATTTAGAAATTGAGATGGCATATTCAATTGCATCATTAGCCGAATCTAAAGATTGAGCAGGAGGAGGATGGAGAAGTGGGAATTCTGAGTTCATAAAAGCATTCTGACCTGTTCCTATGGTACTAGATCCTCCAGATAAGGTCTGAGTTTCAAAATTTGCGAGTCGTTTGTGAAAGGCTGACCCAGGAGCCACAGCCACAATCTCGGACATTGTATTTGTAGAGAGTTTGCGACGGTGTTTAGTAGGGGTTGATGGAACATTTTCTTCAGTTTTTCCTTGATCATCAGCTGATTCTGGGTTCCGTCGTTTCCCAGAGACGTCTAGCACTGGGTCTGTCATTAAAAGGTTTTCTGAGTTTAGTTAAAGGACTTTTGTTAATTTGTTTGTTTTGATATATTGATATAAATATTAATAAATATTTATAATATATGGGTGGTGAATTTGAAATTAAAAAATAAAATAAAATAAAATAAAATAAGTCATGTGATAGTCACCTGATTAAATTTTTTTTTTTTTTTTTTTTTTAAGTGAACTGCTCTTTGATAGTAGTAGTGCATTTACAAGAAAAAGCAACAAAAGGTCTTTTAGATCTGTATGAATGGGAAAAACCCACCACAACCAGAAACTGGGAACATCTTTAATAACAGTTTTTTTACTTTGATGTATCCTAGATCTTCTTCTTTTTTTTTTTTTTTTTTTTTTTTTTGGAGGGGGGAGTAGAGTTAAATGTTTAATATATATACTATATTAACTTTTATTATTATAATAATAATAAATAGCATTTCTTGAGTTCCCTTGAAAGGTGATGTTGTTGTCTCATCTGAGCGAGACTTGCGTTATAAAAAAAAAAAAAAAAAAAAAAAAAAGGGCAAGTGGCTTTGCAGTGCCACCGAGGGAACAGAAATTTTGAATGGGAAAAAGTTTTTTTTTTATTTTTATTTTTTTAATATATGCGTGGCATTTAAGACGCATAACTTTTTTTTTTTTTAATTTTTTTTTTTTAAACTGGAAAGGGTCGCCCATTGAAAAAAAAAAATTTTTTTTTTCCCTTGCCTTGTTGAGAAACTAATCAACCCCATCAATAATAATAATAATAATAATAATAATAATAATAATAATAATAATAATAATAATAATAATAATAATAATTTTATATGTATATATAAATAATAACAACCAGCCTAAACTCAAAATTTTTATTTAATAAAAAAAAAAAAAAAAAAAGTTTTTTGCTGATCTCCTTTTTTTTTTTTTTCTTTCTTTCTTTCTTTCTTTTCTCCTTTCTAACACATCATCACCATCACCATCATCATTCATCATTCATCACCACCACCATCTATATATATATATATATATATATAAAAAAACAACAACAACAACAACAACAACAACCTCCTTTTCTTCCTCTCTTTCAATCTAAAATCATCCAATACAAATCTTCTGTTTGTTTTCATTTGTCTTGAGCTTTTGATTTCTTGTTTAGTTTGTCGGTTTTTTTTTTTTTTTTTCTTGTTTAGTTTTTTTTTTTTTTTTTTTTTTTTTTTTTTTTTTCTTTTCTTTTCTTCGATCTAAGTTAATGTCTCCATCTGTTCCAACTTTGACCGTTCGTTATACTACCATCCAACTCTGGTTTCTTTCCTTTTCGCTCTAGTTTATCTGTTTTTTTTTGTTCATCTATTATCGCTCTGCTACTTTCTCTGTATTATTAGCTGTATTTATTCGGGCATTTTTTTTTTTTTTTTTTGTATATTATAACGGACCTTTATTTTTAAAATCCATTCCGGCGTTTTTCTCAATCTCGTTTGTTCATTTATTTGTATATATAAAATAAACCTTTTGAAAAAAAAAAAAAAAAAAAAAAAAATTAAAAATTAAAAATTAAAAAGGACCTCTTACCACTACCACCAACACTACCAACACTACCAACACCCACCATATCCACCTTGTGCAAATTTTCACTTCAACCTTATTCTTTACTCAACTGACTATACAAGAGAAAAAAAAAAAATTTTTTTTTTAAACAAAAAAAAAAAAATTAAAAAACTTTTTTATTTTTTAATTTTTTATTTATTTATTTTAAACAAATAAATAACCTTTTTTTTTTAAAACTTTTCTCTTTTCTCTCTCTCTCTCTCTCAAACTCCCCTCATCTTTTTATTCACTTCCATCATGTATCACCATCAACAAGAACCATCATCATCATCATCTTCCAACCAACCTTCATCTTCAAACCCTTCCTTCAGACCAAGCCATAATAATCACCATATGTCAACATCTTCTACCTCAGATTTCTCTCCTTATGGACCTGCCTCCTCCTCTTCCTCCTCTGCATTAAACTTTATCCCAGGCTCATCGGCCACAGGACCTGCTTCCTCTCCGGATGGAGGAGACTACTCATCTTTCCAAACTTACCCAACTGGTACCGCCACCCCTGGTAGCTCAACAAGTAATGCACCATCCTCTTCTGATGATGGATCTTCTAAAAATACACTTTGGATGGGAGAACTCGAGCCTTGGATGGATGAATCTGCCATTCGAAAAATCTGGGCAAACTTTGGCGAGTCTGTCAATGTCAAACTCATTCGTGACAAGTTTACTGGTTCCAATGCTGGCTATTGCTTTGTTGAATTCTCCAGCCCTGCCGCAGCTGCTAACGCTCTTCTTTTCAATGGTCAACCTATCCCAAATTCCCAACGTGCTCTAAAGCTCAATTGGGCTTCAGGTGGTGGTCTCTCTGACAAGCGCGATGACAAGGGTCCTGAATACTCCATCTTTGTCGGTGATTTAGCTCCAGAAGTTTCTGAACTTAACCTCCTTCTTCTTTTCCAATCCCGTTACCAGTCTGCAAAATCGGCCAAGATCATGACTGACCCTCAGACTAGCGCATCTCGCGGCTATGGCTTTGTCCGCTTCACTGACGAATCCGAAATGCAGCGTGCCTTGACTGAAATGCAAGGGTTTTACTGCGGACCTCGTCCAATGCGAATTTCAACTGCAACCCCAAAAAGCAAAACTGCTACTACTGGTACTATGAACCCTCCAAATTCCACTGGGGCCGCTCCATCATTACTTGCAAATAATAGCTCATCCTCAGCTACTTCTGCCTCTTCTACTCCAAACTCTACCGGTGCTTTTCAAAAAATCCCTGTTCCTTCTGCCCAAGTAACCCAGCAACAACTCCCCCAGCAGTTTGCTCAATCCATTGCTAATCAACCCGGTAATGGTGGTGGCTTTTACGGAATGGCACCAGGCTCTACTCTCAACCAGCATAATGACCCCAACAATACTACAGTTTTCGTTGGTGGTCTTTCAAGTACTGTCACTGAGGATGAGCTTCGCCACTACTTTTCCGGCTTTGGTGATATTACCTACGTTAAAATCCCTACTGGTAAGGGCTGCGGCTTTGTCCAATATGTTCAACGCCAGTCTGCAGAAGCTGCCATCACTCAGATGCAGGGTTACCCTATTGGAAATTCCCGCGTGCGTCTCTCGTGGGGTCGTTCGCAAAACTCCTCTGGTAATATGAATGGCCCAAGTAGTAACGGTAACAATACCTCTTCATCCAACAATAACAATATGGCATTAAATCAAAATACCCCCCTCATTGGTTCTACCCCATCTGCTGCCTCTGGCCTGGCGCATCTCGGTGGTTTCCCAACTCAACAACACTACAACCTTGCGTCAACGCAACCGTACCGCCAAGGACCTCCTCCTTCTATTTACCCCCAGATGACGATTCCTCCTCAGGCGCAACAATTTAGCCCGTTTGGCCCGCTCAATGCGCGTGCCGCTCACTTGCACCCTCAGCAACAGCAACCGTTGGCCAACGGTGCTATTGCTAATGGTGACAATACTGCTGCTGCTAATATTCCAGGTGCAGTTTCTTCTTCTTCTAGAAATAGCCTGTTTATGGCTGGTGTACCTCCTCAGATTGGTTCTGGCCCTGGTGCTGGTTCTGGATCTTTGGCTACTGCTGTTCCTGGTCAAGACCCCTCTGAGCCTATTCCTGTTGCACGCCTCAACGAGCTTTACCTTGCTGCTAGAGATGGTCGCCTAGACCGTGTTGAAGGTGATGGACGAGGTTACCATGGGGTCTACGCTCAGTAAAGAGATTATTATTTGATGCAATGAGTTTCAAAAGAGAAAAAAAAAAAAATTAAAAAAAAATTAAAATTAAAAAAAAAAAAAAAAAAAAAGAAAAAAAATAAACTGATAAAAAAAATCATAAAAAAAAAAAAAAAGACTTGAAAAACTTATCAATAAAATACAAATTTTTTAAAAGAAGGAAAAAAAAAAAAAACTCTTTTGAACTTGTTGCATCATCATATGAAGATGAATCTCACACACACTCCCCGCATATTCACCCTTAAAATCTGATCTCTTTGTTTTTTTTTTTTTTCTCATTTGTTTTTCATTTGTGTTTTTTGCTTTTTTTTGCTTTTCTTTTTTTTTTGTTTTTTTTCTCTCTCTTTCAAAGTCACTGGCCATGATATTTTGAAGGGGGAAAAAAAATAATAATAAAAAACCCCTCATTTTTTTTATTTATTTAATCACCATCCATTTTTTTTTTTTTTTTTTTTTTTTAAAAAAAGATTTTCTTTTGATTTTTTTTTTTTTTTTTTTTTTTTTTTTTTTTTTTTTTTTTATTTCATTTTTATATATATAAAAAAATTTTTTGAATTTTTATTTTTTGTATTATTTTTACATTTATGTATTTTATTTAAAAATATAACTTAACTTTAAAGCAGAAGACAAAAAAAAAAAAAAATAAAATAATAAAGGAAGTTCCAAATACCAGGCGTTATTTGACCATTTAAAACCTATTTCCTAAGTTTCATACAATGACCAACACATACTTTAAAAGGGGGAGGGGGGAGAGGGTGAAGTTGCTGATCAGCAATGATTAACCAGATGGAAAAAAAAAGGGGGGGGAGGGTCAAAGTGTATGGTGGTGATGATATATATATATATATATGACCAAATTAAAAAATGAAAAAAAAACTGTATTTTACAACGTGGACAAATCAAATTTGAATAGTATTTAAAATATTATAATTATATATATATATATATATATTTAAATTTATTATTTTTTTTTTTTTTTGAATGAATCAGGTTATGATTCTGGGGTAAAAAAAAAAAAAAATTATTTAAGTCTGTTGCAGTGTCTATAAAATGCAACTTTTTGACTAAAATAAACAATTAAACTTAACAAACACTTGTTATTCCAAAAAAAAAAAAAAAAAAAAAAAAAAATTAAATAGAAAAAAAAAATATAAACTTACTTTGAAAGTAAGATGATAAGTTATTAGAAGAATATTCCTGATAAAATACCAAAGTAATTGGTAACTTTATTTTTTTGTTTTTTTTAAAAAAAAAATATCATTTCTTCAATTTCTTCATTTTTTTTTCGTATTATTTCATTATTAATTCATTTTTTTCAATTTTTTTTTTCTCTTTCTTGAAATTATTAAAAAAAAAACCACAATATGCTCATAATCATTATATATTCTATATTAGATAAAATTCAATTTAGTTACCCTCATCAACACGGGCCTGGTAAACTTCCTTGTCCTCCTCCGAGGCACCCAGGGCCTTGTACAGACCTCCATAGGGGTACGAGCGTCGTGTAGCAATAGGTTCAGGGTAAAGATAGACATAGCAAAAGCCAGCAAAAGCAGCAACTGCAGAAAAGAAAATGACATTTCCAATGATTGCAGTTTTATTTGAATATTGATCAAAACGATCAGGAGACCAAACATCACCATAATCAAATTCACGAGAAACGGGTTCATTGAAATTACGGCGCGCTTGTTGGTCATCGTACTTGAGGTATTTGTCGCGGTGTTGCATCCACTCAAAGGGAACATCAGGGTACTCGCCCTGAAGAAAAAAAAAAAAAAACGTGTTAGTGAAATGATGATTATAAGAAAAATCAATGACACAATAATGATTAAAAATTAAAAAGAGAAGGGTATATATTTATATATATTTTAAAGGTATTTCCAAAAAAAAAAAAAAAAAAAAAAAATAATAATAATAATAATAATAATAATAATAATAATAATAATTTATGTGTGTTGATTTTTTTTTTTCTTTCTTTCTTTCTTTCTTTCTATCTATCTTTTCTTTCTGTTGTTGAACATACATTTTGTTCAGGTTGTGTAGAAGCAGAGCGGTTCTGGAGTCTAATTGCGGGTCTAGCCAGGATTTTGGTGGCAGCCAGTCTTCTAGCAGGAACTGATCGTGCAATTCTTGGTAACATTTTGGGAGGGGACGAGGGCTAGTTTATGCTGGAAATAAAGAGGTTGTAAATATTTGAGATGATAGGAAAGACCTTTTGAAGGGAACCTTTTATTTTTGCTATGTTCAAAAAAAAAAAAAAGAGAGAAAAAGAAGGAAGTAGGAAAAGTGAAAGAGAGAAAGAGAGAAAGAGAGAGAGAGAGAAGGTTTGTATGTGTGTGTGTGTGTGTTTGAATGTATGTTTGTATGTAATTGTTATTATCATCATCATATATAGGCAATTGCAAACCCGAAAAAAAAAAAAAAATTTAATTCCGGAGCTTTTTACTGGCTGGGGAAGAGTTGATGAGACAAAAAGTATGTGTCATCATTAGTCAGAAATAAGGTAAAGTTGGTAACATTTTGGGTTTAAAATTTGGTGGTAGTGATGAATTTTTTTTAATTTTTTTATTTATTTTTTATTTATTTTTAATTTAATTTTTATTTAATTTTTATTTAATTTTTTTTTTTTTGTTATATTTTCAAAATTGGAAATTTTTTTTTATTTTATATGTGTATATATATAATAAACAACAAAGTTAAAAAAAAAAAAAAAAAAAAAAAAATTAAACCTCCAAAAGACGCCACTTGGAAACCCACATCACCATCTTTTTTTTTTTTTTTTTTTTTTTTTTTTTTTCTATACATATAATAATATAACAATCTCAACAAATATCAATTAACTAATAATATAGAGAAAAAAAATTTTTTTTTTTTTTTTTTTTTTTTTTTTTTTTTTGCCAAATATGCCAACTTCTTTCTCTATACCAGCATAGAAAAATCTTACCTACCTACTTACCTGCCAAAAAAAAAAAAAAAAAATTTAAAAAATTAAAAACACACAAAAACACACACATTTACCAGCTTCTATCGTGTTCTCTTTCTTCCATATGGCCCCCTTTTCAACAGATTCAAATAACCCATCTTTACTTATTTACCAATTGCTCATCATTATATCTCCTAACAACTAGAATTAATTAAAAATATATATATATATATAAAAGTTTCATCATCAGCAATTATTTTTTAAACAATAAAAAGAAAAACCTTACCATTATTATTATTATTATTATTATTATTATTATTATTATTAATAATATATATATAAAAATATATTTCTCTCTCTTTTTTTTTTTTTTTTTTTAAAAAAAAAAGTACCCTCCAACACTCATGCCATCATACTCCTCCAAACATCATCAACAACAACAACAACAACAGCAACAAAAGCTTTCATCTTCTCCATTGCCGTCATCTTTACCTATAACTTCTGTCGCTGCTGCCGACTTTGACACTTCAGTATCTTCCAGCAGCAGCAGCAGCAGCAGCAGCAACAACAACAACAATAATAATATTAATAATGATCCTTCAACAACAACATACATACAATCGCCCGATATTATAGCACACGAAACACCCTTCTCGGCGTCTCCATCTCCGGATATTGTGCTAGATGATAACCCCTCTTCTTCTACTACAGCGGCTACAGCTACCACAAATGATGACGACCTACACGATGAAAATATAACAACTACTATCCAGCAAAACTCTCAAAAAAACGGGTCAAATAGACTCTCTAAACGAGGTATGTTGAAATAAGATATATATATATATATATATTTATTTATTTATGATTTCATGTTTTTTAACGCGTTTTATTTTTTATTTTTTTTTATATAGCTTTTCCAGGTTCTACAGCTCCAGTTACATACTCTAAACGCCGACGTGTTTCTTCTAATATTTCATCTGTTGCTTCCGCCCAGACTGCACCTTTACGGAGATCATCGCGTCGGTCAACTGCTTCACAAGTTGACTATTCTCCACAAGGTCTTGAAAACCAAAGAAAATCAAAAAACCCGCAATCACAACTCCAACACCCCATATCCACGTCTACGTCTACGTCCACATCCACATCTACATCTACTTCCACTACATCTACCCGAACACAGCGTTCTTCCATTAAACAAGAAGATTATCCTGTTGTCTTAATTAGCGAGACTCAAACAACGCGCTCTCAAACGCGTGGTCGCAAAAACTCACGTTCTGACACGCTAAACGGTAATACCAAACAACAAACAAATGGCACCAAACATCAACAACCATCATCCTCACGCCGCGCCACAACAGCCACAGAATCTCCCTCGCATTCACCTTCTCCAGCCCCTATTACAGCCACCCCTGAACAACTTGAACTTGCATCTCAGATTCAGCAAAAGAAACAGCACTTAAGCGAGGTCTACGATCGCCATGATAGTCGCGTCCGTTTATTATTCCATTTGGAAAAGTTTGTTTCACTGGTTTCGTTTGATCCTCAACTTGCTAAGCAAGATCATAGCAGCGTTTTTGAAGAATACAGACAAAAATATGATCTTTGGGGGAAAGTCGAGGCTAATGACTCTACATCCCGTCGCTCACGCGCTTCGCGTCGTCGAACTCATCTTCAAAAAGATGCACTTAATATTTTATCACCAGCTCTTTCTCCACCGTCTTCTTCTGCCATTGTTGAAATAAAAAAAGAAGAAGAAACTGGGGTTAAACATACCACCAATCGCAGATCAACATCTGTGCGTTCTGAAAGCCCTCCACGACCTTCCTCATTATCCTCCTCATCATCATCATCATTAACACGTAAACGTGGGGCTCCAGGAATAATAAAACTCAAATCAGAACTCAAACCAGAACTCAAATCAGAACCCAAATCAGAACCCAAACTAGAACCCAAATCAGAACCCAAACTAGAACCCAAACCAGAACCCAAATCAGAACCCAAAACTCGTGCCTCTGTGGTTATTAATTCAGAACCTCAGACACCGCAATTGCAACAACAGTTGCCATCGTCGTCTTTGATTAATCATCACCATCCGCAGGTCGGATCCAAGAACATAAGTGGCTTAATGTCAGATTATGGCCTTGACGATAATGATGTGATTGAAGTGATTGGCGGCAATGCCTCTAGCTCTGAGGAGTATATTAGTGATGATTTTGACGAAATTTTATTTCTCAATAGTTCACCTTCCGAATCATCTTCAGAGGACGTGCACGTGTCTTCAGAAAGCGATATCGAGTTGATTGATGAAGATACGATCGAGCCAACTTCAACTCAACATCATCATACACCTCGTCTCAAGGTCAAATTCTCACTCCCAGGTGCTACAATCACACATCCAGGTCATATTGTCACACCTCGATTTGGCTCTCTTGACCAGTATTTGCACTCGTTTGTGTCTCTTGACGATGATGTTTCAGAAAATCAGCGTGAAGCTTACATCAAAGACCAAGCAGAGCTACGTAACCGCATTAAAGAAGTCAAGGAAAGTGGCATGTATGATGTTTACCTTGAGCATCTTATGGAACATACTTCTGGATCAAATTCTGGCGGTGGAGCGTCTAACTCTAGTGGAAGTAGCGGTATTGGCAGCGGCGGTGGAGGAAGTGGTAGTGGGAGCATTGGTGCGGCTGCATCTACGGCTCTTTCATCCGCACCCCTCACAATCAAATCTGCTTCATCCCTCATTTCCAAGCTTCGTCGCTCGTTCCAAGATCCCTTCCGATTGAACCAACCGCCCACACATCACGACCATATAGTGTCTCAAGCTGTTTATTTTTCAAAACTTTTAAGCAATGAACGTCGATCTCATATTTCAAAGTCCAAGAAGGTTGCTGCCATGGTTGAGCAGTACTTTAAACGGTTATCCAACGCTGAGGAAAAGGAACGCAAACAGGAAGAAACACGCATTCGCAAGCTCGCACGTAAAACCGCACTTGAAGTCATGCGCAAGTGGAAGATTGCAGAAAAGGTTGTTTTACATCGGCGTGCCAAAAAACTCGAGGATGAAGAACGACAAGCTGGTAAAAAACAACTCAACATGATTCTAGAACACTCTGCGCAACTTTTAGAGGCCCGTGTTTCGACCAATGCCGATGCTACAAAGAAAACAGCTGACGAAGATGAGGACGATTTAATGTCTGTATCAGATGTCGATGCGGAAGTGGAAGAAGTACCGGAAGGTAATGATGAAGAAGATGAAAAAACGCCAATGGAAGATGTATCGGAAGAAGAGCCGGACGATACTGTATCCAGATTGCGCGATATTCCTGACGACCAACTCACTATTGAGGAACTACGACAAAAATACGCCGCGCTTCCCGATATTAAACTTAAATGGGATCATTCCGACGAAGAGGAAGAAGAGGAAGAAGAAGAAGAAGAAGAAGAAGAAGAAGAAGAGGAAGAGGAGGAAGTGGCAGATAGTGAGGCTGAACATATAGACCCCATTTTTGAAGATGAGGAACGAGTCAAGAAAGCAATCCAAATGGATAAAGATGCCCAGATTTCCGATTCTGATCACAGTACTGTCATGGATAGCGAAGAAGAAGAGGACGATGATATGGAAGATTCTGAAATGTCAGATTCTGATAACGAACAAGAACCTGCGGCAGGTCTTTCCGATCTTTTCAAAGAAGCTACCAGCGAACCTACAAAGCCTGAAGAAGATGAAGAAAAGGAAGAGACGAAGGTCAAAGAAGCTGAAGTCAAAAAAGAGGAAACCAAAGAAGAGGAGTCTAAAGAAAAAGAAACCAAAGAAGAGGATAGAGAAGAAAAGAAAGATAAGAAAAAAACAGAGCCTCAAGAGAAACCCGAGAAATCCAGCTCGGAATTTACTAAGCTTTCACGCCCAGCTACATCGTCACCAGCACCTCCTTCCACAACTGAACTTGTTAAGACCCCCATTCCATTTTTACTTCGTGGTTCTTTACGTGAGTACCAACATTATGGTCTTGACTGGCTCGTTGGTTTATACAACAACAATACCAACGGCATTCTAGCAGACGAAATGGGTCTTGGCAAAACCATCCAAACAATTTCTCTTATTTCTTACCTTGCATGTGAAAAACATGTTTGGGGCCCGCATCTTATTGTTGTTCCGACCTCAGTCATGCTCAATTGGGAAATGGAGTTTAAGCGGTTTGCACCAGGCTTCAAGGTTCTCACATATTACGGCAACCCCATGCAACGCAAACAGAAACGTCAGGGTTGGAATAAGGAAGACACTTGGCACGTTTGCATCACATCGTACCAGCTGGTTCTTCAAGACCAAAATGCATTCAAGCGTAAGAAATGGCACTACATGATTCTCGATGAAGCTCACAATATCAAAAACTTTCGCTCGCAGCGTTGGCAGTCGCTTCTTAACTTTAACACTGAGCACCGTCTTTTGCTTACGGGTACACCATTGCAGAATAACTTGATAGAACTGTGGTCACTTCTTTACTTTTTGATGCCCTCAAGCCGAGCTTCTCAAACCATGCCTGAAGGGTTTGCTAATTTGCGAAATTTCCAGGAATGGTTTTCACGACCAGTTGAAAAGATGGTGGAAGGTGGTAATTATGTTGATGAAGAAGTCAAAGAAACAGTGTCTAAGCTGCACCAAATTCTTCGACCCTTTCTACTGCGCCGTCTTAAGGCTGATGTTGAAAAGCAAATGCCTGCCAAGTACGAGCATGTTGTTTATTGCAAGCTTTCCAAACGCCAGCGCTTCCTTTACGATGACTTCATGTCACGGGCTCAAACTAGAGAAACCCTTGCTTCTGGTAATTTCCTCAGCATCATCAACTGTTTGATGCAACTACGTAAGGTCTGCAATCACCCAGACTTGTTTGAGGTTCGCCCCATTGTTACATCCATGGCTGCTAGCCGATCTGTTGTTGCTGATTTTGAAATTAAAGACTTTTTGATCCGCAAGCGCCTTGTTAACGACATTAGTGAATCATCCATGAAGAATGTTAATCTTGATTTTCTCAACCTCAAATTCACACAAAACGATTTCAGCCGAACGACTGGGGAGGCCATGGCAACCTCGCGTTGGGGTAACTCTAAACGGCCTTTGATCCAGGAAATCCTTTCAGATCAGCAGCAAGAGGTCACTAAGCTTCAAAAAACTACACCAAAAGACTTGTCTTCTATAAATGGTCATTTACAGTACATGAACTTGGTTGAAAAGCAGGATGAACTCGTTAATCTCGAAAGCCTCATTTACCAAAGTCACAACAAGTGTGAGCGCAAGCCAATGTATGGTGCAGATCTGATTGGAAAGCTTTCTTCAGTTGTTAGTCGGCCCAGACCAGCTCGTGGTTATGATTGGAACAAGTCTAATATTATTAGTTCCATGATGCTGGGTTATGAGGAGCAAGAGGCAGTCATGTCTGAAGTTATTGATAGATATGCTTTTGTCACACCTAAAGTTGTTTGTCTTGATATGCCGCGCCAGGTGCTGGGCCCCAAAATCTCAGAACTTCTTAGCACTATGCCTGCTGAAGAACCCATTGTTGCTATGGACGAGGCTTCCCACCTTAATTTGGTGCTTGATGGTAAAGAAAATAACGAGATTCCTCCACCCCAGTCACTTTGGATGACACCTGACTTGAAGGAGATCCAATCGCAAACTCTTTTTCACAAGACACTTGTTAAGCTTTCTATTGCATTCCCAGACAAACGATTGTTACAATTTGACTGCGGCAAGCTCCAGCGCCTTGCTGCACTTTTGCATGACCTTATTGCCAATGGTCACCGTGCCCTCATATTCACGCAAATGACGCGTGTTCTCGACATTTTAGAGCAGTTTCTTAATCTTCACGGTTGGCGCTATCTCCGTCTTGACGGTGCGACACGAATTGAACAACGCCAAATTCTCACAGAACGGTTTAATCATGACCCTAAGATTCCCATCTTCATTTTGTCTACACGATCTGGTGGTTTGGGTATTAATTTGACAGGTGCTGATACAGTCATTTTTTACGACAGTGACTGGAATCCGTCAATGGATAAACAGTGTCAGGACCGATGCCATAGAATTGGTCAAACGCGTGATGTACACATTTACCGCTTGGTTTCAGAATACACCATTGAGTCTAACATTTTGCGCAAAGCTCAACAAAAGCAAATGCTTGACAATGTTGTTATTCAGGAAGGTGAGTTTACCACGGACTATTTTACCAAGCTTTCTGTTCGTGATATGCTTGGCGATGAAAGTCTTGGTGGGCACTCTGATGAAGCGGTTCTTTCCAATTCGTCGCGTAACCTGGAGACAATTTTGGCTGCGGCTGAAGATGACGAGGATGCCAAGGCTGCAGCTGCTGCTATGAAGGAAATTTCAAATCTTGATGAGGAAGACTTTGGTGAGAATCAGAGACAACAACAACAACAACAAAAGGACCGTGCATCTAGTGTCAGTGCAGAAGCTGCTCGCAGCAGCACTCGAATTAGCACTCCTGCCAGTGATGAAGGACTTGCACCCTCGACACGGGATACCAGCACAACGCCTGGTCATGCTACTGAAGAGCCGGCTGAAGAAGAAGAAGAGGAGGAGGAGGAGGAAGAAGAAGAAGACGAAGAGATTGAAGGTATTAACAGTATTGATGACTACATGATTAGGTTCATTGAAAATGGTTATTATTGGGACTGAAACTGAAGTTTTTTTTTATAATCAAAAGAAACTAAAGAAAAAGGAATTTAAATTAAATTAAATTAAATTAAATAAAATATTGATAAAAGTAATAGATGACTAATAATTTGTCAATATCTACAACTCTGATTTACAAACGTCAGTTTGTAACAATGTAAAGTTGTGGCAATTAAACACCCAAGAAAGATATACAGATACAGAACTTTGAAATCCGTAGAAATTTGTTTAAAGACTTAAAAAATAGTTGAGTTCTTAATTTTTTTTTTTTTTTTTTTTTTGATCTTTTAAAAATTTACTACTTATAATTTTCTTTTTTCCTAAGGGGCGTTTTGAATAATTGTTTTATTGACCAAGAAAGTTTTTGAGCACGTTACTGTGCCCTAGCAAGTAAAAGTTAGCACGCTGTCATTATCGACAAGCCCTTAATAAACGTTTACCCACCCGCACACTATTTAGCATTTATCACTACAACCAACAAACGCCAGCACACAACTACCCTTTTTTTTTTTTATATTGAAATCCACGCACATACATATGGACAACTACAACAATAAGACGTCGCAGTTGTCGCCAATTTCTGTGGACTCTATTTTCCTTGTAACAAATGAATGTATTTACATTACGTCTGCCATGCGCAAAAACGCCCGCTGGGCACAGTCCAGCATGGCGGCGATTCTGGGTGTAGCATCTATTGCCGACAATGCAGAAAGCGATATTGCCTCGCGCTGGGGTCTAAGAGGCAAATCATCTTCTAGCGGTGTAAGTTTATTGAAAGATAAACTGAAAAAAAACTAACTGTTGAAATAGGATAATCCGCTTGTGGCTGGGTTCGCAAGACTCCGCGCAGATTTGACACAGATTACAGATATCAGAGAATTACCTGCAGACGTTATTTTTGCACCATTTCTTGAAGTAATTAGTTCACAGGCTACAACGGGTCCTATCACCTTTGTTGCTCTTTCGTCAATTAACAAATTTCTCGACTACAGAGTAATTTCTCCTGAATCACAAAACTTCCAGCTGGTCATTTCTCAGCTTGTTTTCTCTATCACACACTGTCGATTTGAAGCCACAGATCAGTCTGAAGATGACACAGTGCTTCTTAAGATTCTTAATATAATGGAGCTTCTTGTTTGCGGGTTTGGTAATGACTATCTAAGCGACGAAAGCCTGTGTGACATTATCGAGACGTGTTTGAGCATGGCGTGCCAAATAAAGCGTGGCGACTTGCTTCGACGATCGGCAGAAATGACCATGATTAAGCTTACAGAGTCAATCTTTGCACGTTTAGCTGAGCTTGATTCGGAAGACGACCTCGATTTGCTTTCTGCAGATAATCTGCAAGATCACCTTGCCAACCCACCTCCTCAAGTCATCAAACCTACTGAAGAATCACCTGAAACTGAGACAGTGGCAACTAACACTAATAATAACCCACAAGATATCCCTGTCGAAATTACCTCCGTTAATGACACTATCCATACTTCAGAAGATCCCGTGGATCTTGATACTCTCGAAATCCCAACGGCAGCTGCACCTGTCGCTTCAACCAATGGCCAAAAGACATTTCAAAAATACGGTATTGCTTCAATCCGCGAGTACCTTCGCGTTTTAATATCTATCATCGATTCGGCCAATTCTCATCAGTACACAGATTCAACCCGCATTATGGTGTTACATTTGATCAATGTCGCTTTTGAAGTGGCTGGATCACAAATGGCCCGCTTCCCCTCCCTACTCGACCTCACTACAACAACTCTTTTGAAGCACCTTTTACAATTTACACGTTCCGAAAACCCTCATCTTTTGCAAAAATCTCTTCGTGTATCGAGCACAATTTTCCACACTTCTCGCCAAAACTTGAAGCTTCAGCAAGAAATGTTTTTAACATACATGCTGACATGCTTGAGCCCGATTGCTGAAATTCCCAAGGAAGAGGGTGTGGACGATATTTTTTATAATGGTGTGCCCAGCATTCCGCGCACTGTGATTAATGCATCCCCTCATCCTTCCAAAGTGTCGACACCAGTGGGTGGCAAGTCTGCAACAGCTGCATCATCTGCTTCTGATGGAACTCTGCTGCCTTCTTTCATTAATATGCGAAGTCCAGATGCACGTGAAATGATGGTGGAAGCTTTAACAGGTCTTACCCGCATTCCAAACTACTTTGTTGACTTGTTTGTCAACTATGACTGTGACGTGGATCGTGCTGACTTGTGCGAAGATCTCATTGGATTTCTGTGTAGAAACGCTTACCCTGATTCTGCTACATGGTCTACATCGAGCGTACCGCCTTTGTGCTTGGATGCTCTATTGGCTTTCCTTTCATCTTTAGCTTACCGACTTGACAATAACGATTACTCTGAAAACGATAAGAAGGTATCATCATCTTCTTTACAAAATAAGCAACGCAAGCGAATTGTCATTGAGGTCACAGATCTCTTTAATACCAAGCCTAAGAAGGGTGTTCCTGCCATGGTGGAAAGAGGCCTTATTGAGGATGATAAGCCCGCTACAGTTCTCAAGTTTTTGCAAGGCTCTGGCCGCATTAATAAAAAGGTTCTGGGTGAGTTTTTAGCTGCTCCACAGAATCCAGAGTACTTGGATCTTTTCATAAAAAGCTTTAACTTTGAAAACAAGTCACTGGATGAGGCCATGCGCGACCTTTGCACGGAAATTCGTCTTCCTGGTGAGTCTCAGCAGATTGAGCGTATTATGGAAAAGTTTGCTGAGCGATATTGCGAGTTCAAGTCCAATACTGAGTTTGTCGCCGATAAGGATGCAGCCTTCATTCTCAGTTATGCAGTCATTATGCTTAACACAGACTTGCACAATCCACAAGTCAAGAGCCACATGACCAATGAAGAGTTTAGCCGTAATTTGCGTAAGATGAACGCTGGCGAGGATTTCTCTCCTGAGTATCTTGCTTCTGTTTATTCCGCAATTAAGGACAAGGAGATTGTCATGCCTGAAGAACATGATGACGATGAGTCGTTTGACCACATGTGGCGCGAACTTCTGATTAAGGCTCCACAAGCTGGGACTGCAATCCACCTTGCAAGTGGTGTTTTTGATAAGGAAATTTTTGAGGCCTCATGGCAACCAATTGTCTCAACCTTGTCTTATATCTTTGCCACAGCTACCGAAGATACCGTTTTTTCAAGAGTCATTAAAGGATTTGATGACATTGCTCAGATTTCCAACCGATACCAGATTGCTGGCGTGACTGATCAAATCATTTATTCACTGGGGAAGATTTCGACTCTTACCTATGGAAACTTGTCAGTTCCATTGTCTACGATTGAAATGACCACCGATGCGAATGAAAAGATTGTTGTCAGCGAGCTTTCTGTTCAATTTGGTGAGGATTTCAAAGCCCAGTTAGCATCTATTATTCTTTTCCGCATTGCTAAAAGTAACAGCTCTTTTATTTCCGAAAGCTGGTCACAAATTCTTGTTCTCATTACCAATCTTTACCTACATTCTCTTTTTTCTGCGCTTTCTCAAAACTTGCAATATGGAATCCCACCTCTTCCTTTTGTCAAACCAGTTCATGTATTACAAAAGGGCAAGTCTTCAAAAGACGCTGGCTTGTTTTCTACTTTGTCATCTTATCTTACTGGCTACAATGACTCTGTTCCTGAGCCTACTGATGAAGAGGTTGAATCTACACTTTCTACTGTTGATTCAATAAGATCTTTTGAACTGCCTGAATTTCTCGACAAAGCACTTAATACATCTTGGAAACATATTGTCAACAGCGGCCTCGGAGTTATACCTAGTCTTGAAACACTGTCCCCCCCTAACCGCCAAAAGTTTTATCCTTCAATTTTATTTTTACTCGACATTGTGACTCTTGCCGCCATCCATTCCAAAGATTATGTTATTCAGAAACAGGTTTTTGAAGTTTTTAAGCAGTATATTTCTGAATGGGAAGTTTCAGATAACAGCTTCCTGACACGATGTATTATTTACTACTTTGTGCTATTGCGTAATTCTTCCATCGTTATGGAGGATGATCTATTTGAAGCATTGACCATTGTTTCTGAGATTAAAGAGGTTGTTTTAAGAAAATGTGTGGGTCAACTTGTTAATCCACTTATTTCACTTGCAGACGAAGGTTCTTGGACCTCTCCACTGGTTCTGAAGAAATCTACCGCCTATTGGCAGCTTTTCAAACTTGCTGCTAGCAGCCGTGACTGTACGCAAAAAGTGTTTAGCTTTGTTGAAAAGCTTGCTGTTGCTTCTAAACCAGGCCACGAAGGCTCCATATGTGAGGATAATGTGAGTGGAATTCTTGAAGTGTTTGGCGAGATTGTGAGCGTGGGAGCTTGTGGTGCGCAGTTGGAGCAGAACAAGGCTGCAATTGCTTATGAATTCAAAAAACAATTTGATCAGCAAACTGCTATTAAGAAAGCCAAGGAGGTGATCGCCAACATGGAAGTAGACGTACGACGATCTGTGCATGCGCTAGACATAATTGCATCACTGGAGCCTTGCATTGAGAAACTTGCCGATAAAGCTGAAGAAGAGGAAAGTGGGAAACAGTCTGCCTGGACCAAAGTGTGGTTACCATACGTGCGGACATTGTCACAACAGTGTATTAACCCATCCCGCAAGATCAGACACCAAGCGTTTGCATATTTCCAAAAGACCTGTTTATCACCATTTTTGCAAACGCGTGCAGACTTTGATTGGATTATATTGTTTGACGAAGAGCTGTTCCCATTGTTTGATGCCTTGCTAAATGCCGAGGTATATGAGACTGACCCCAAGGGCATGAGCCATACACGACTTCAGGCCGCAGCACTTTTGTGCAAAGTGTTTTTGCAATATGTGGCCGGAAACTTTGAATCACAGCGAGCTGCTTTGGCTGGCGAGGGCGTGGCAATGGAAGAATTGCGGCGTGCTCGCAATGCAGAGCTTTTCAAATACTGGATGCGAGTTTTAGATACGATCGATAGATTGATGAATAGTGCTGGAAAGCAATCGCAATTACAAGCCGCCAACCGATCACACCGGGATACTCCTCCTCATGGTCACCGCACTAGTAACAGTAATACGAACAATACTGCAAACGAGACTCTTGAAGCCCTTAATGAAAGTGTGGTGGAGTCTGTGAAAAATCTTTTGCTAGTTATCAAGGCCAGTGAGTTGCCGCAAGATGAAGAGTTTTGGGAAGAGACCTGGAAGCGAGTTGAAGCCATTTGGCCTGGGCTCCGTGCTGATCTTCGGGCACGTACCGGTGTGTCTAAAGAACAAAAATCCGAAGAAGAAAAAGCGGACGAAGAGCCTCAAATTGAAGCAAGTGAAAAATCTTCAGAACAAGTTTTATAGAGTAGTTAACGCAAGTATAGCAGCGATTTTTTTTTTTTTTAAACATGGGGTTTTTTTTATGAGTTTTCTTTTATTTTAATTTTTATATAATACCTCGTGTGGGGGAAAAGAAGACTTTTTCTGCAATAATGAATGGCGATGGTGAGTTTTTATGGTTAAAGTCGGGTTTAAAGTTAAAAAAAAAAAAAAAATTAATAAATAAAAATAAGCCAGGTCAGGAGTAAGGTACTCTTTTATTTTTTATTTATAGTATACGTCAAAAAAAAAAAAACTACAAAATCTACCAAAATTTACCCTCTAATAGTCAACGGGATCCAAGATTGTGCCACTTTGGATAGAACCCCAGCCAATAAGACGCCAGTGCTTGGCGATTCTTCGTGAAAGCGCAATCTTCTCACCAATCTCAGTGCATGCAGGAGTGGTAAGCGCCAGCTTAGCCATATCAGCTTGGATACCGACGACCTTAGCACCGGCGGTTGTGGAACCGATATTAACCATGAGAACTTCACCCTTGGTAAGCTTCTCAACCTTGGCGCTCTTCTTGTTCTCGGTCTTGACACCAAGCAGACGACGCAGCAAGAAGAAGTTAACTTCAAGCTCAATGTAGATATTTGGAAGATGGCCCTTGTGGCCAAGAACCTGACCGACAAGTCTGTCAGCACGGCACAGAGTAGGATCAACCTTGGTACCAACACCAATAAGACCACCAGGGACGGCAAATTTAAGGTCATTGTTCTCAGCAAAGAGAGTGGCAATTTTAGAGCGAATGGGTCTGCAGATGATTTGGTTGTTGCTGCCACGCTCGACGATACCTGGTCGGATCTCAATTTCATCATTGATGCGCAGAACACCAGAAAGAATGGAACCACCAGCGACACCACCCTTGAGCTCGTCAATATCAGCACCTGGCTTGTTGACGTCAAAGGAACGAATGACAATAAGCTTGGGCTTAACAGTAAGATCGCGCAGAGGAACAGGAATCTTATTGACAATGAACTCATTGACTGCATCGATGTTGTACTTAAGCTGAGCGGAAATGGGAACGATGGGGGCACCATCGGCGGAGGTACCCTTAATAAACTTGAGAATAGACTTGTAGTGCTCGAGTGCAGCATCCTCTTTGATCAAATCGACCTTGTTTTGCAGAATGATGATGTGTTTGAGCTTCATAATTTCAATGGCAGCCAAGTGTTCTGAAGTCTGGGGCTGAGGGCAGGTTTCGTTACCGGCAATAAGCAGCAGGGCAGCATCCATGACTGCAGCACCTGACAACATGGTACTCATCAGAATATCGTGACCAGGACAGTCAACAAACGAAACATGGCGCAGAAGCTGGTATCGGCCTTCACAGCCGGGAGCCTCACACTTTGGTGAGATTTCCTTGTCTGATCTGAAAGAGCGGTAGCATGCAGGTCTGGGGCACTCTGGGTTAGAGCAGCGGTAGATTTTAGCATTGGCGTAACCAAGACGAATAGTAATATTACGCTCCAACTCGTTCTTGAAGCGGACAGTTTGAACACCTGAAATAGCCTTAACAACAGTTGATTTACCGTGTGCGACGTGGCCAATGGTACCAATGTTGATGGTAGCCTGGCGGCCAATGATTTCGGGAGACAAGGGAGTAAGCTTGTCAAAGTCTGGGTTTTCGGGTTGAGGAGGAAGACCACCGCCTTCCTCAAACTCGCGCTGGTGGCGTTCCTCGGGCGTCAGACCGTCAGCATCCTTGTCATCAGCTCCCTGAAAGCTAACAGATTTTTTTGTGGGAGCAGTTTCTCCAGAAGGTATCGACTCAGTGGCGACCTCATCGGCAGCTTCAGAGGTTATTGGGGCCTTTTCATTGGAAGCGGCGGCGTCTTCTTCTTCGTATTCTTCACCCTCAGAGTATTCAAACTCATCGGCAGGCTTACCGGCAGAACCATAATCGTAGTTGCCGATAACGATATCAGGGGTTTGTTCCTGGAGTTCGGACATGTTGTGTCTGTATTGGTGGTTGGGTTATATGTTTAAAAGGGAAGGGACAGAGGAGAGTGAAAAATTTTAGATGGGAAAATTTTGTGGTGGTGCCCCCGATGGAGATGGTACTGGTGGTGGTGAGTTTTTTTGGTAGAGGGTATCAATTGAGTCATTGAAAGTTACCCGGAAATTTAGTTTCATGGATAAAGTTAAAACTATGCATCACATGATATAATTACCCTGCTTCGCCACATTTTTTACAGTTATCTGAATCTTGTAAAAAAAAAAAAACGTTAACATTTTGTGTGAATTTTTTTTTTACTTCATTATTATATTAACTAATTGCTATTATTCAATTGGGCTCTTCTAGTCTATTGTATATCAATTTAGATAATTTCTATTATGTCTGTTTTGAATTTTTTTAATATCTACTACAATAACTTGTTTTTATAATTCATGAGTTTTCCCTAGCACTGGCATGCACCACTATGCTGTAAATCGATATTTTTTTTTTTTTTTTCAGATCAATTAAAGTATATCAAATCAATTATAAAATACTCTACAGTGTTATCAATATGTTTTTTTTGCAAGAGTTATTTCGTTCTAGATTTAATTATAAAATACCAATTTATTTAATATATTTATTAAAGGCGACTGAAGAATAGCTTTCGAGTCAAAATACCCCCAATATATTTTAAAATTATCATGATAATTCTTAAATAAGTTCTACTTTCTGTATTTTACGGTACTTGCATGGAAATTTGTGATGCTTATCTTTAATTGGTTTTGAATTTAAACTGAATAATATGATAAAATAAACTTGTTAAATTATTTTTTGGTTCACAATTTCTTGAAGTCTTTGAAGAAATGGGTGAATTCGCTATAGCAACTTTTAAAAGGATATCTGTTGCTTATGATACCTTCCATTTTATATGGCTTGAAGCCTATTTATGCTTTTGATACCCTAAATGAGTCCTTGATACAAAGAGGTTTGTGTTTGGATATAAGATGGCCAAATATCAATATTTCAAAAACATTCATGATTGCATGAGGTTTACAAAGATGGTTATCATACTGAGCATACTAAAATGATAAAATTAAAAAGGAAACCGGGTAGGAGAGTTTGCAAAATGGAGCTTGATTAGGAGTTTGATGATTTGCTGATGTCAGTGGTAATTTTATTGGTGCTCGTTTTTTTTTTTTTTTTTGATTTATTTGAAAATGATATCTGGGACTTATTGATGAAGAAGAATTAGAATAGATTTTTTAATTGATCTCTGAGTGTTACATTTTCCAATGATTTATTACCATTATTGATATTGATGATCTGGAATGGTGCTACCAGCTAAAACTTTTCCTATTAACCAACAATAGTTTATAACCACAGTGAATTAATTATTCTAAAAAAATTGAGAAACTGTTAAATACAAATATTAACTACAGCTTTAAAAATATTCTATTAAATCTAAACAATACTTGGTTAGTTTTATTACATGATGTAGTATTACAATCAATACAGTATGTATCATTCATTGTCTCATAAATCAACTGGTAAAGTTCAAGGTATTGATGAAAATAAAAGTTTTATATAAAAACTTTAACAAGTATTATGATTATGTGATTTCAAACTTAACATGAGAGATAATGTCTTATGAAAGCTATAAAAAAAACGAAAAAAACTTGAATACCACGTTTGTAAAAACAACTTTTCAATTGCTTTAAACTTTATAAACAAATTAATTGTAGACTCAAATGTATCAATTTTATATTGAAACCAAATTCGTTAATTAATCTTTAATATTTAAAAGTTGTTTTTTAACTGTTTTATAAGAGTTAGAAAGCTTTACTTTGAGGTTATACAAGGTTTTTTTAGTACACTTATTTGTTAAGCTTAATCGTCATTAAAGAAATTTGTAATAGCAAAATTTAAAGATTGATATGTAAAAATTTACTTGTATTTATTAAATAAATTTAACATTCTACTATATAAATCAATTTCTTGGGCTTATTTTTTTCTGCTAATTAATGTTATTATGTACTGCTTTCAATCTATGAAACAAATTTAGTCAGACCATAAATTACATAGCTAGGGATATTACAGCACTGGTACAAAAACCTGAAAGAATAAAACATTGAATAACTTGGGTTACAAGCATTTCTATGGAATTCTGTTTTTACAGATTGATTTAGTTTCCAATTTGGAATCGATTGATACCACTTTGAAGCCAATCTGAGAGAAAAAGTGTTTTCCAATTCTTGAAAAAAATGATTTGTTAGCAAAAGCATAGTTTACGCAAGGGTTAGGGTTTATAAAAGTTGCATTTGAAAAGTTGGAATTTTAAATAATAAATAAGATAGAATTGTAGATCTTATTAAAAGGAATTGTTTGGTAATGTCATTGTTAAATTATAGTTTATGTGAAATGAGATATCGCGATTTTTGGTAACTGGATTTGTGAAGTTTCAAACATGTTTTGAAATTTTCAAAATGTTAAATTACTCTCACCACAAACATGTTACTAGATATTAAACTATACTAATGGAATCCGCTTAACAAGAGCTTCAATTCTATCTCATTTATTATTTAAAATTCCAACTTTTCAAATGCAACTTTTAGAAACCCTAACCCTTGCGTAAACTATGCTTTTGCTAACAAATCATTTTTTTCAAGAATTGGAAAACACTTTTTCTCTCAGATTGGCTTCAAAGTGGTATCAATTGATTCCAAATTGGAAACTAAATCAATCTGTGAAAACAGAATTCCATAGAAATGCTTGTAACCCAAGTTATTCAATGTTTTCTGCTTTCATTATTTCGTACTCATGATGTAATATTCACACTGTGTAATTTGTGGTCTTAATTATAGTCATGTGATCTAAGGGTATTTCAATCAGAGTTGTTGGTTATTCAAAACTTGTGGTAATTAGAAGACTTCAAAATCAGCTCGTTCATATATATAAATCAAATCGTTGAAATCAATTAATAAGATAATATAACTGTTTGATAATCTATGTATATTATTCAAATAAGTTGTGCTTTTTTTTTTTTTTTTTCAAATTTATAGGTAATTGACTTCTAATGTATAAAAGCATGTATGTCAATTCAAAATAGCACCGAGTTTACAATCATGCAAAATCAGAATTGAAAGGCTCATAATTGATTGACTATAAAAAGATATTAATTAATTTCAATGTAATTAGGTATGATAAAAATAAAGAAGTATTTCAGGGCCTAACTCTCAAGTCATTACAAACACAATATTTCATCTCCATAACCGATAGTGTCAAAACTTTTAACCATAGAAACAATAACTTTCCTGTTTTTTTTATAAGTCAAAAAAAAAAAAAAAATAAATATTAATATGATGATTAAGTTGTGGAATTGGGACCAACTAAATTTTTTTCAAATTGACATATGAAAACCCGTCGTTAAGATTATTTCATTGTACATTTGTCAAAGAAAATGATAACCATGGCAAAAAAAAAAAAGAAAATAAACGAAAATTGAATTGGTTATGGTGATGGTAGTGGTGATAAGTGTGAAATCTTGTTTTGTCTCGTCTTTGCTTAGGTTAGCTTAGGTTAGCTTAGGTTAGCATAGCATATTAGCTTAACTTATTAGCTTAACTTATTAGCTTGATTGAAAAACTAACAAGTTATGTGCAAATATTTAACCGTTATCTTTCAAAACTTGAATTTATTATATTATCTTCAGTGTTTATTAAAGAAGAAGGAGAGAAAAAAAAAAAAAAAAAAAAAAAGAGTTTAAAAGTCTATTTTCAACTTAAACAAATTCCATTTCTGCAACTAATTTTTTTTTTTTCATCGTTGTTAACAAAAGAAATCAAGCATTAAGTATTTGAGACATATATATATATATATAAAGATAATAAAAAAACAGTATAAAATGTACATGCAAAATGAAAAAAAAAAAGAGAAAGAAAGAAAAAAAAAAAAAAAGAAGTCCATCTTTCAGTTAATCAACGTCAATTAACCCGAGATTTCCTTTTTTTTTTATTATTTTTTCCTTTTTTCCCCCCTCTAAAACTCAATTAAAGTGCAAGAGTCCGACCCGCGGAATGAGCTCACAAAATGCACTATCATCATCTTCATCGTTAGTTTCTGGGCACAGGCCCTCCTCCACATCATGGAAAAAGTCATCACAAGCGTCATCTTCTTCCTCTTCTTCTTCTTCGTCATCTTCGGTATAAGCATTGATATTGGTTGTGCTACCATCACGGTAAGTTGGGAAAGCAAATGATGCAGATGATGCCTGTAGCAATTGTTGTTGTTGTTGTTGTTGTTGCTGCTGTTGCTGTTGTTGAGCACGTGCGCTTTCCTCGCTAGTCACTTCCTGGTCCCCCTCATCATTTTCTCCATCTGGTTTGAGCAATTTATGCTGTGACGTGTTGTAAGATCCACAGTTGGCACACTTAAGTCCTAGGAAATGGAACGGTACGTTGGATTTTGCCTGACAGTCATTGCATACAATGATGGAGCGCCAGGTCGAGTAAGGTTCTGGCATTGGCTGGTTTTCAATTTCATTGTCAAGAATGCGGAACTGAGCAGCCATATTAACCACAGAGCGTGAGCATGTGGGACACTTGTAGGACGTTTTCGTATGTTGCTGGTAACACTTTTGATGGATGGAGTGTCCGCATAGCATAAAAACTACTGTTTCTGTAGAGGTAAACATATACTCGCCACAGATGGGACATCCACATTCAGTAGAATGCTCAATGCACCGGTGCTGGTCCTGGAGCGTAATGGACATACATACGTTACACGTTTTGCAATGGAAAAAGTCCTTGCCCAGGCCTTCACCAATGCGACACAGCCCACAGTCATCACAGTGGTAAATGGCCTTACCGCATTCGTCGTCCCATAGTTTACATTTCAAGCAAAAGTAGCGTGCCATGGTTTCCCCGCAATGAGCACAATCCTGGGCCGCCTGCTGAGCTACCCCGCAGTGCATGCATAGCATGTGCCGCGTCTCGGGCCGCACAAGAGTATGGGAAGGTTCCGCAGCGTCGTGACAAAGTCGACATGTATACCATTTTTTACAAGTCGAACACTCGACCTTGCAACCACGTTGGTAATGTTCGCAGCCAAGAACATCATCGTCGGACCCAGGACAGTATGTGGGTGTACGGTCTGCATCGGTGACCATGAGAGTTGAGGAAGATTCTCCTTCTCCTTCTTCTTCTTCGTCGTCGTCATCGTCGTCTACTTCTTCATCGTCTTCCTCTTCGTAATCATCATCATCATCATCATCATCTGAGGGCCTGTCAGGATGAGTAGCACGGTAATAGTTTGCTGTCATGAGTTTCTGGATACGACGGTCGCGCTCTTTATCAGGAAGTTTGAGTTTTTGAATCTCACGGATTTGTTTACGTACTGCATTTTCATCAAACAGTTGAGCGACAGTGCAATGTTGAGTATGATGAACATGGCTATGAGAACGGTGGTGACGGTGGTGATGGTGGCCACGGCGAAGTTTGCGCGAGGCCCTTTTGGCTGTATTATTAGCTGTTGTTGTTTGTGTTGGAATGTTGCTAGTGTTGTCACATTTTTCACCTGCGTTGCTTCTAGTGTTAGGACTAGCATCGCGTGCCGCACCAAAAAAGGCATCCAAGCTACGTAGGAGTCTAGCTGTCACGGGGGCAGAAACAGGCGAGACAGGAGGACACACAGTAGGTTGGATAGCGCGCGTGATTCCAGAAGGCTCACCACCAACAGGAGTCTGGGCCATGTTTGAGTTTAATGCATTATTATTATTATTATTATTATTATTGTTGGTAGACATGACTTCCTCGAGACATATGCTGTGAACTGTTTTTAATGTGTTTACAGTGTCGCCAACAGAAGCTGTGCGCATGGCGTTCCATGACTCGTTGAAGTGTTTCATGTATCGTTGAAGAGCAGGCCATTTATCAGAGCATTCATCGTCAGCGAAATCGGCAGCGTCGTCCGAGTCTTCGTCTTCAGCATCAGCGTCATCGCTTTCTGGGTGTGAAGAAGAGGAGGAAGTTGATGATTCAGCATTTGGTACCAGGGAAGTACTAAGTGTTGTTGATGTGGCAGAATGATCAGGACGATCATGTTTTGAATGAGATGTTGAAGAGTGTTTAGAAAAAGTAGTTTCGCCATTAGTCATTGCCGATAGCCGACGGTACAAAGGCAAGAATTTGCCAATGTTTTCTAGGTCCGAGTCAGAGTCGGAGTCGTTGGAGCCGTCGGAGTCATCAGCCGAAGAGGAGGAGAAAGCGGCGGCACCTGCGTATTCTGTAGTGGTGCGGGATCCAGGGAAGACGACAGTTTTCAGAATACTGTTGAGCGTTGAGAACCGTTGGGATGCGGTGGCAGAAAAGGAGCCTGCGGAAGAGGGTTTCTGGGTAGCTGGAAGAGTAGTAGTAGTAGTAGTAGTAGTAGTAGTATCGAGATTAGACGAGGTTGGCGAGGAGGAAGAGGTGGTGGTGAGAAAATAGCCGAGAGGAGACGACGAGCAAGACGATGACGACGAAGATATGGATTTGGATAAGGATTTATGGAAGAGGTTATCATCACAAGAGCCATCATATTCAGAGGATGAGTAGTATTGATCATTGTCGTGGTCTTCTATTGAGTTGTTGTTGTTAGAGTTAGAGTTAGAATTTGTTTGTGAGTTGTTATCCGAAAGACCCCAACAGGACGGTCCATGTTGAGGGTGGTCGTCAGCATCTTTGATTTGGAAAAGATGCGAGAGCTGTGCTGGGATGCGCAACGCAGGCATATAAGGTGGCATTAGAAAAGCGAAAGTATTTTTTTTTTTTTTTAAAGTGATAAGGAAAAGTATTTAAATTAAATTAAAATATAAAAAAAAAAAAAAAAAAAAAAAAAGAGAATTCCAAGTGGGTTTTTATATATAAAAAAAAAATTAAAAGAATGTTTTTGTATTGTTGATAGAATTTGTTGGATGTATATATATTTGTGAAAAAAAAAAAAGCTTAGAAATAAAAAAAAAATAAAAATAAAAATAAAAATTTTTGAAGTTTTTTGTTGGATGTTTTTTTTTTTTTTTATTTTATTTTATTTTTTTTTTTACGCATATAGTTAGGCCGTGGGGGTGTTTGTATATATTTTTTGTATATATATTTACATAATTATGTGTGTGTGTGTGTGAGAGAGATGCGAAAAGGCCTAAAAAGGGAAGGAGTAGAAATAAAAAAAAAAAAAATAAAAATAAAAAATAAAATAAAAAATAAAAAAAAAATGACACCTCAGATTAAATCACGTGATAAAATAATCTAATCAAGATTAACTATAACAACTACAATAATTTAATTTAATTTAATTTAATTTAACAAATAGTAAATGGTTACATTAACATTAAACTCACTTCCCTCAAGATTGGTCTAATAATATGCGCAAATAAATCAACCTTCCTATCCCTTCACATACACCCCATACTTTCCCACCAAAAAAAAAAAAAAAATCAATTAAAAGACCCACCATAACCACCAACAACAACAACAACCAACAATAATATCCTTTTCCCAACAAACGCCAGCTCAGCAATCCATTTGAAATCCATTTGCAATCTATTTTGTATCTTTTTTTTTTTTTTTTTCTTTCTTTTCCCAATTCTCCCAATAAATACAATGTTACAGCCTGCAGAATGGCGTGCTCATTATCGTGCCCTCACAAGACTAGGACATAAAGCTGTCGGTACCTCAGGTCAACTTTCACGCGCATATACTGCTGCTCTTCGTTCCCGATTCGCAGACTCTTCTCGTACCAGAATCCTCATTTCTCAAATACAACAACAACAGCAACAGCAGCAGCAGCAACAGCAGCAACAGCAGCAACAGCAGCAACAGCAGCAACAGCAGCAACAGCAGCAACAGCAGCAACAACAATTATCGTCAACTTCAGATGCACCTTTGGAATCCCTTATTAGAGACCGCTTAGAGTCCACTCGTCGGTTTGTAGCCAATGCCGCAGCCGGTGCTATACAAGTACGCGTACAACGGAAAGATCGTGAGGCACGTACATTAGAATCCCAGATTTTGACTTTTGCATTGGCATCGCTTACAACTGCACCCACATTACCCAAAGCTCAGCCAGAACCTCGCGCTGCTAAACCTCCATTGGAATTAGTACTTTTACAGAATTTGTTGACAGTGGATCGAGCGCTAAGTGAATCGTTGGCGAAAAGCAAGTATAATCCGAATCAAGTGCCATCTACAAATACAAATTCAAATTCAAATACAAATACAAATTCATACACAGAAAAAAATAAGGAAAATCGCTCGCGGGCCGGGAAAAATTCCTACGTTAACCCGGGACCATTACTGTTCAAATCAGCGGTACACGAACTTAATCAGTCCATGGGCATGTGGATATAAATAAGCAGTTGGATATATATATATATATATATAAGCTTAAAAAAAAAAAAAAAAAAAAAATGGGGTCCACAGAGCACGGAACAAAAAATCACAAAAAAAAAAAAAAATTTAGAGTGGGGCTTTAAGCACAAACACAAAAATGGTTATAAGAAATAGATTTCATCCAAAATAAACAAAAATAATAAAAACAATAATAATAAAAAAAAAAAAAAGCAATATTCATTAATTCATTTATCTCAAATTTTTTTTTTCTTTCTAATCTCCCTTCTCAGATAAAACTTGCTTAACGGGCTCAGTCTCGTGAATGTATAAGCCGTGGTCTTGGATGTACCTGATAACACTATTGGGGATAAGGTACTGGACACTCATACCACGGCGGATAAAAAGACGCACCTTGGTCGAACTAATATCATTGTAAATGAGCTGCTTGATAACAAGAACATTTCGACGGTGTTCGTACATGATATCATGAGAAAGCAAGAATGAGCGCACATCAGATCCTGTACGTTCCACAATCAAACACCCGTAACGACCTAGAATATGGTGCAAATCGTCTTCAGCCCATACATTGGGCTCACCCATCGATTCAATCAGGTCACCGCCGGCCAGCAGCATAATCTTGACACCCTTACGGCGGCCAGAGGATGTCGAGATCCCGCCGCGTTTGATATTGATTTCGTGGTTAAAATGGTCCAGTACAACGGCCGTGCGCTGGTACGTAGGCTGTAAAGATTCCCAGGCATCCACCATGAGCCAAGAGGATGTCCGCTCGCAAGCCAATTCACACATACGTACCCGGTGCTTTGCTGCAGCCAGCCCTTGTTTTTTATAGTTATCTGAAACCGGCGAGTAGTATCCACCAATGACCTCAAACCGGGTTTGCTCACGGATCGAGTCCATGGCCATCTCAAACATTCGGAGATGAAGATAGGTAATGGGGGAGAAAGAGCCGCACGCGACAATCACAAGAGGCGACTTAGTTTCGTCCTGCATGACGCGGGCGAGGCGGTGGGTCGGGAATTTGTAGTCCGCTAGACTGCGGGCTTGTCTTGTGACGCCAAGCGGAACTTCCTCGAGGTCTGCCGAATGAACAACTGGTCGTGCACCGCCTGTTGCAGCCTCTAGAGTGTATGGGGATCCATTATTACCAGCGTCATCTGCATCGTAGTAAAAGGCGGTGCGATGGGGATTTGTATGAGAATTAGATCTGCTTGATTTGTAAGTGGAGTTGTAAGAGGAACAAGAGTGTGGTATTGTTGGCATTGTGGGGACAGGAGGGGTTTGAGGAACAAAACTTTGGTCTGTAGGAGAGCAGCCAGTGTTAATTTTGTCTGGACCTATATCACTATGGGCTGGTCCCAAGCGTGGGAATGGTGCATCATCGTGGCAAAAGGCTGCTGGGGTAGTTATGCTAGCAATGTCATTTTCATTTGGGAAGGAGGAAGAAGATGAAACAGACAAATGGTCCTGTTGTTTTTGTTGCTGTTGCTGTTGCTGTGGTGGTGGTGGTGGTAAGATGGTTTGTTTTGAAATTTCGTCAGAATCATCAATGGCCGAGACAGTAGGTGGTGGGGTTGTAGCGCGGTAGAGTTCTGAGGGGATCCGGGGGATTTCTGCGGGGACAGGAGTGGGGGACCCGGAGACGTTGGAAGGGACGGAGGACCCGACACTATCAGCCGAGGATTTATGGGCCAGATGTGGTTGAGCAGATTTAGGAGTTTCTGAAGAAGAATATCCAGGGGAAATGCTGATGATGGAGGAAGGCTGTTGAGATAAGGCTGCAGTTACAGATTTGTCATTGTGAGATGACGAAGAAGGAGAAGAAGAATGGGCGGCTGTTTTTGATCCACTTGTATGGTTATTGTTGATTTGAACATTATTATCATTATTATAACCATCATCTTTAATTAATTTGTCACCTGAGATGGTGCCATTTTGTTGATTTGGCTGTTTCAGTGGAATGGTATTATTATTGTTATTATTATTATTTGTTTGAGAGGAAGGGGATATGGGAAGAGCCGAGGCAAGATTATTGTCGGGGCTCGGGTTGTGTGCGGGAACGGCGACAGTTGCAGTTCCAGCAGTAGAAGTAGTAGTAGCAGCAGCAGCAGCAGCAGCAGCAGCAGCAGCAGCAGCACTGGTCATTTTTGAAGTCAAAAAGGGCTTTTGAGTAGATGTAAAAGTGGATTTATTAGGAAAGGAAGAAGAGGAAGAGGAAGAAGAAGTAGAAGTAGAAGAGGAAGAAGGGAAGGGAGAAGAAAAAGAAGAGTTAAACGAGCGGGGGGTTTGAAGATTTTGGTGGAGGAGGAGGAGATTTTTGTCCTGGTGGTGGTGGTGGTGGTGGTGGGTGCTGCTGTTGTTGCTGTTGTTGTTGTAATTGTTGTTGGGTTGCGGAAGATGAGATTGAGGAAAAGAAGAAGAAGAGGGAAAAACAGCATCAGCAGTGACGGCAGCGGCAGAAGTGACGGCTGAAGAAAAATCAGAAGTAGAAAAAGGTAAAGCGGGTTTGTCGTTGTCGGTTGCGATTGCGGTTGAGGTTGTACCAGCAGAAGTCAAAGATGTCAAAGAAGTCAAAGAAGTTAAAGAAGTCAAAGAAGAAGTAGAAGAAGAAGGTGCGACATTTTGTAACTGTAATTGTAACACTGCCGGGTCCTCACCGAGGCAGTTGCTCAGGAGACTTGCAGGTTTTAAAAAGTTACAAGTACCGGTCGTAGACTTTGCTAATGAAGGAGACAACGACGACGATGACGACGACGACGACGATGATGACGATGACAGTGACGAAGAAGCCGAAGAAGACGATAATAACGCAGCTGGAGAAGAAGAATAGAAAGAAGAAGAAGATGATGGTTCAATAGAAGGATTAATATTACCGCGGCTTGTTATAGAAAGTCCAGCCATGGAGTCAGCCAAAGAAGTGGAGGGAGTAGCAGCATTAGAGTCCGAAACCCTGGAAACAACAACATCATCATTTTCATTATTATGTTCATTATTATGTTCACGTTCATGGTTAAGGTAAATTGACGAAATTTGATGCTGCTGCTGCTGCTGCTGCTGCTGCTGCTGCAAGTGTGGTGAAGATGGACAACCTGGAGATGACGCAACCGTAGAACAATACGACGACAGCGACACAGGAAGAGATCCAGATCCCATATTTGAGTTTGTACAGGACTCAAGTCTGCGAAGTTGAGTGGCGACTCGTTGATGATGAAGATGCATGCTAAGAGAATGTGTTGGTTGTGAAGATTCCGAGTTTGAAGGTCTTCTTGATCTAGCAAGATCAGTTAAAGGAGAAGCTTTGCCTGAAACTGAACAAGAAGAAGAGCTTGGAGTGAAAGAACCTGGAGCACCTACACCAACAACAGTACCTGAAAATGCATCACTAATTGAGGATATGGAAGGGGTTCTTGGAAGAGGAGCATCAATTTCAGACATGTGGTAATCTTCAAGCACATAGGGCTGGATAGGTGAAAGATTTGGAATAAGGTAATGAGGAAGAGGTCTTGGGACCCGTTGAGAAGGGTGTTGTTCAGATGGTGGAACAAAATTAGGGGCTAATGAAGGGTCCATTTTATGATTTTGAATGGAGTATTTTAAATTTATTTTATATTTAATTTAATTGTTTAGAGTATATATAAATATATATAAATGAAGATGATTTAAATCGAAGCGGAGATTCAATTGAGGAGAAAAAAAGAAGATTAGAAAAAAAAAAAGAAAAAAAGAAAGCAAATGAGAAATATAAAAAAAAATGAGGGGTGAATTGTAAGATTTATATATATATATATATATTTATATTTATATTTATATTTATATTTATATGGGGTAATAAAAAAAAATAGGAAATCAATCAATCAATCAATCAATCAAATTTATAAAAAATATAAAAATATATGAAAAATACTCCTTTGATCCGCGTTTTAGTTGTTTTATTATTTTTTTTAATAATCTCCAATTCAAAAAGTTCTACATAAAGAGAGAGAGAGAGAGGGTTATTAATTTGTTTGTTTATTTGGTGATGATTATTGCAATGATGGAATTTTTTATTTTAATTTTATTTTAATTTTTATCAGTCAGATTTTAAATGTTTATTTTTATTTTATTTTATTTTATTTTATTTTATAAATAATTATTTATTTTATTTTTTTAAGATTTCGCCGTTCGGATCTTAAAAAAAAAAAAGGACTTGTGCGGGTGATGTTGCAGGTAAAGGGTGGAGAAAGATGGAGAACATTATTATTAGTCATCATTATTTTGTTAGGTAAGCATGAGGAGGTGACGACATTATTATCGCAAAAAAGAAAAAAGAAATATTTATTGTCTCATCCTCTCCAAAAAAAAAAAAAATAATAATAATAATAATAATAATAATTAAAAATATTAATAAAAAAAAATTAATATTATTAAAATAAATAATATTTACACTTTAAAACTTACAACTTATTACTTATTACTTATAATTTTATATTAAATTAAATTAAATTAAATTAAATTAAGTTATTTTACTTTAACTTAACTTGAGTTGATTGAACTTTTATGCATTCATCTATATTAGGAATGTGCGGCATCATTTTGTTTTCAGCCCTTTGTAAACCTAAATAGAAAAAAAATAAAATAAAATAAAATAAATAAATATCACCAGTCAAACTAAACCCAGCCCCCTCCACCCGCCTTCTCCGTTTAAAAAGTGAAGCCAGCTATCCATCAAGCCAGCCAACTTCTTAAAGAAAAAAAAATAAAATAATTCAACCAGTTCAGCTGTTCATAGCTGTTCATAGCTGTTCATAGCTATCCATTTTTTTTTTAAAAAAAAAAAAAAAAAAAGTCCACCTTTTTATATAATTTAATTTAATTTTATTTTATTTAATTTAATTTTATTTTATTTAATTTAATTTAATTTTTTTTTTTGGTTAAACCGTGCAAAAAAATAAAAAAAAAATTTATTTTTATTTTATTTTATTTTATTTATTTTTATTATTTATTTCTTTCCATTATTTTCCATCTCTTCTTCTTCTTCTTCTTCTTCTTCTTCTTCTTCTTCTTCTTCTTCTTCTTCTTCTTCTTCTTCTTTCTTATTATTATCACATAACAAATATTTTTCAATACCAACTCTGTTAAATCATACCCAATATTCCCTAATACCCCTCCTCTCCTTCTTCTTCTTCTTCTTCATCATCATCCTACACCCTACCTTCCTAAATGACATCTGCTGCTTCAGTTCAATCTTACCAGGTACACCTCCAAAGTGTCTCCAACCTACGTCCATTATTGCTATGGGAAAATCCAGTCCGTACCAGTGTCACTTTGGCTGAGATTTTGGCCGTACTACTAATGGTTCAAAACACAGATTTCTTACGTCTTTTTCTACGCTTGATCTGGCTTTCCATTGGTGGTACATTACTTTTAGAACTAGTCACAAAATTCCTTAATGGTGGTCGTGAAGGTCTCATTTCATCATATAGACCTTCCAAGACTTTGCTCCCTGACATTAGTCGTGACCAACTCAGAGAACATTCTCTTATGATTGCTTCAGTTCTTGAAGAAATTCTTTATTGGTTTAAGCGGGCACTGGATGCCCGAGATACTTCATTTACCATTCTTGCTTTTATTTTTGTGTGGGGTCTTTACCTTGTCACTTATATGGCATCCATTTCATCAGTCTTGATTCTAGTTGTTATTGGTGCTTTTACCTTTCCTGTTTTAGGGCTTCGTTTTGAGCCGCAGCTTGCTAGAGCCCGTGTTCAAATTAATACCGTTGTCACAAATAAAATGGCTGTTGCTAATGCTAAGCTAAGAGAAACTGCACCGGGTATTTTTACTGCCTATAATACAGTCTTGTCTTTCTTGGGTGCTCCTGCTGGTGCTGGTGCTGCCCCACCACCACCACAAGCAATGGCTCCAATGTCTTATGCACCTACCCCTGCTCCAGCACCTGCTCCAGTTCCAGTTCCAGTTCCAGTTGCAGCACCAACACCAGCTCCAGCACCAGCTCCAGCACCAGCTCCAGTTCCAGTAGCAGCTCCTGCTCCTGGATCGCGAGCTAGCTCAGTCCGCTCACAATCCACAGCTACTCCAGCACATCCTGTAGAAGCTGCTGGAGTACCGCATAATTTGCATCATGATGCTGGTAGTGTGCATAGTGGATCTCAATACACTGGGTCTCAATACACTGGATCGCAGTATACAGGATCGCAGTATACAGGATCGCAGTATACAAGATCGTATGCTGGGTCGCAGTATAGTGGTTATTCAGGTAGCGATGTGAGTCACCGGAGTCATCATTAAGGAAAGAGATTGAGTTAAATTTAGGTGATATATTAGAGTGTTGTATTTATATTATAAAAAAAAAGTATTCTGTAAAACCTTTTTTTTTTATAGTTCTAAGAGGCGTTTTTTATTTATTTATTTTAACAAAAAAAAAAAAAACTTAACTAAAGTATATTTATGTTCAAATAAGCATATGAAATTTAATTAGTTTTTTTTTTATTTTTTAAAAAAAAAGAAATGGAATATTGATCCGATTAATTTCAAAAGGATCTAACAATTTTCGTAACTCAATTACTAGTATATATACACTATTATCAAAAAAAAAAAAAAAAAGAAAGACCGCGCGGGTATTAACGGCGGTTTTTTTTATTATTAGGTAATAAGGAATATTAATATTAATATTAGTATTGAAATAACCAAAATTATTAAACCGCGCCCATATATATATACCAGTGTATCTTCAACATCATCCCCGGAGAATAATCGTATGTAATTGAGGTTACTTAAAAAAAAATAGGCGAAACCGGCGTTTTATTTTTTTTAAAGCGCGCGGTGGTTTTTTTTTTTTTTTTAAAGCCACGCGATGGGAATTTTTTTTTTTTTTATATTTTCATTTATTAATTTTTTTTTTTTTTTTTTTTTTTTTTTTTTTTAAGGGAACCGTTTATTTTATTTTTTTTTTTACTATTATTTTACTATTATTTAAATTGAAATATTAATAATATAAATTATATATTTTTTTATTTTTTAACTTTTTTTTTTTAAAAAAAAATTTATATATTTGAGAATCGCTTGAAAGGATTGGCTAGAAAGTTTTTTTTATTATTTTTTTTTTTTTTAAAAAAAGTTTATTAATTGTTAATTGAAAAAAAAAAAAAAAAAAAAATCTTTCTAAAAGTCAATGATAAATTAGTCATCTTTACAAATGACATAATCAACAGCCGTATATAATCACGTAATCTTTTTAAGATGAGTCATCAATAATTTGTTTTATACTTTCTTTTTCTTCTTTTTCTTCTACTAAAATCCCCCTCTTCTTCTTTCCATAGAAAAAAAAAAAAAAAAAAACTTTCCAAATGTCCATTTACAGAGAGAAATTTTAATCATTGAATGAATGAAAATGTAAAGTTTTTATTTTTATTTATTATTAGAGGGAAATAAATTAAAAAAAAAAAAAAAAAAAATTTTTTTTATAATTTTTTGTAGATTTTTTTTTTTTTGGGCATTTTATTTAATAGTAAATAAAGGCTGCTTGTTAATTAACAACAACAACCTCCTTAGAAAAAAAAAAAAAAAAAAAAAAAAAAAAAAAAAAAGCAATAAAAGCAAAAGCAAAAAAAAAAAAAAAAAAAGATAAGAGAAGAGAAGAAAATAATAATAAAATAATAATAATAATAAAATAATAATAATAATAAAATAATAATAAATTTATTATAAAAAAAAGTCAATCTTTTTTATATTTTTTTTTATAGATTATCAATTGATGATGATTTACAATAATAATAATAATAATAAAATTAAATCTTTATGATATATATATATATATATATATATATATATTTCATTTTTTATTATTATTATTATTATTAAAAAATTCAATTGAACAATTCTTCATTTATTATCTCCATTAAAAATAAATTTAATCTTCTTCTTCTTCTTCATTTTTAACGCTCAAAGTTATTTGATATGCAGTTTGGCGCAAATTCAAGAGTGTACAATTTAAAAAATAAATAAATAAATTTTGGCTGGTTGATTAATTGATTAATTGATTAATTGATTAATTGATTAATTGACTGGCGTGGCTGCAAAGAGGGGTAGACACTGGCTGGCTTGTCAAAAAGTTCATCAGCATGTAAAAAAATTCGAAATTGGCTTTTCACCAATGTCACTGATTACACTTATTGTAGTATAAATACTCAACAATCCCCCCAAAAAAAAAAAATTCTTTTTCTTTCATTCTTTCTTTCTTTTTTTTTTTTTTTTCTTTTCTTTTCTTTCTTTCTTTCTTTCTTTCTTCTTCTTCTTCTTCTTGTCATATTTATTATCATCATCATCATCATCATAACCCTTTATCTACACCACCATCATCATCACATCCACAATGCTCTCTCGGTCGATTTACCGTCAGAGATTGATGCTGACATCTCCTCAACAAGCTGCACTGGCTAAATCCCTCTCTCCTATCATCTCCAAACAAGCCAATGCCCTCACTCGCAGACAATTGTCCTCCACCCAGTCCCGTTTAGCCCCCCCAGGTGTCGGACCCTCTTCCTCCGATAAAAAATCTTGGGGCTTTTGGAAAACTCTTTGGAGACTCACATATACCTCTCTAATTGTCGCAACTGCCGTCACCGGATATAGCATTTATGAAACCCGTCATCCTCAGGACCAAGTCCCTCCAGCTCCAGGTAAAAAAACCCTTGTCATTCTTGGAACTGGCTGGGGCTCTGTCTCTCTTTTAAAGAAAATTGATGCCTCTGAATATAACATTATTGTGGTCTCTCCTAGAAACTTCTTCCTCTTCACCCCTCTGCTCCCCTCTTGTACTACAGGCACTGTCGAACACCGCTCTATCATGGAACCCGTCCGTAACATTATTCGCAACAAGGAAAACTCTGTCACCTACTACGAAGCTGAAGCTACCTCGGTCGACTATGATAATCACAAGCTTACCATCCAAGATGCTGTCAACCACTCGGAAAAGGTTCTCGATTATGACTACCTCGTCATTGGTGTCGGAGCCCAAAACTCTACCTTTGGTATCCCCGGTGTCGAGCAAAATGCCTGCTTTTTAAAGGAAATCCCCGACGCTCAGAAAATCCGCAAGAAGATTATGGACTGTATTGAATCTGCCTCGTTTTTGGACCTTGATGACGAAGAACGTAAGCGCTTCCTCCACACCGTTGTTGTCGGAGGTGGCCCCACTGGTGTTGAGTTTGCTGCTGAATTACAAGACTTTTTCGAAGAAGACTTGAAGAAATGGATCCCAGAAATTGCAAAGGACTTTAAGGTTACTCTTGTTGAGGCCCTCCCCAATGTTCTCCCCTCCTTTTCCAAACAACTTATCCAATACACTGAAAATACCATGAAGGCTGAACAAATCACTGTCATGACCAAAACAATGGTCAAGAAGGTTGATGAAAAGAATATCTATGCTGAAGTTACCAAGGCTGATGGCTCAAAGGAAATGATGGTTCTTCCCTATGGTCTCCTCGTCTGGGCTACTGGTAACTCTACCCGCCCTGTCACCCGTGACTTGCTTTCTCGTGTTGCTAGCCAGCGTGGCTCCCGCCGTGGTCTTCTCGTCAATGAGTACCTCGTTGTCGAAGGTACTTCCGACGTTTGGGCTCTTGGTGACTGCACGGCTACAAAGTATGCCCCCACCGCCCAAGTTGCTGCCCAGCAGGGTGTCTACCTTGCCGGTCTCTTTAACCAACTTGCCAGAGCCGAGGATATTGAGTCCGAAGTCAACAAACTTGAGTCTCTCGCCAAGACTACTACTAATGACTCGGACCGTAAGGCCGTGCTTGCTGAAATGGAGGCCAAGGCTCGCAAGTTGCGCCGCACACGGTCGCTGCTGCCGTTTGAGTACTCCCACCAGGGTTCGCTCGCATACATTGGTTCAGACAAGGCTGTTGCCGACCTGACATTTTGGGGTGATACCTCCAACTTTGCCACGGGTGGCCAGCTGACTTACCTCTTTTGGCGGTCAGCTTATATTTCCATGGTCTTTAGCACACGTAACCGTTTGCTGGTGATTATGGATTGGCTCAAGGTTAAGATTTTTGGCAGAGACGTTTCGAGAGAATAATTGAAGAAAAGGAATTAATTTTTTTTTCTTTCTTTTTGGATTAATGGATGTTTTTTTTTTTATATATATAAGTTTGAGGTGATAGATGATAATAATAATAATAATGAATTGTTTTAATGATGCTGATGATGATGATGATGATGATGATGACAGCCAAGTATTACAAGATACTGTTTGGTGTACTATTTAGAAATGTCACGAACCCTTTTGATCCGGATCGTCGGGTGGGCTTTTTATGTTCCTATTTTTAATATTTTTTATTTATTTTTACAGGGCTTAAAAGGAAATTTTTTTTTTATTTTTTTTTTTTCTGACTGCTTGTCTGCCTGTCATTTCTTTCTCCTCAGCCACCCTCTTTGTCTACAGAAGAAAAAATAACAATAACAATAAAAATAAAAATAAAAATTTTGAATCTCAAAAATACAAGCGCCTTCAATGACGACTCGTACGACCCCGTCTAATCAAATCTATAATCCATACTTACCTGCAGACCAGCAGCAGTATCGGAAAGTAGCATCATCATCATCATCATCCGGATCAGGATCCACTGCCACTGCCACTGCCACTGTTTCTGTTTCTGTAGCACCAGCAGCAGGTCTTTTGTACTCCGGCACTAGTTCGGTTCCGCGGAGTGCAGTCACTGGCAGTCACCATCACCCTGTATCAACAATAGTGAATAATAACCCTCAACCGTTGGGCGGATCAGGCCCTGAATCTCAGGGATTAAATACTTCCAGACCAAGAGTCGCAAGAAAGCAAGTGGTCCCAGCAAAGGGTATTGTAAGACCACCATTATCTGCATATAGCGGACATTCTCAACAAAGTGCTCAGGCTCAGCAACAGCAGCAACAGCAGCAGCAACAGCAGCAGCAACAGCAGCAGCAACAGCAGCAGCAACAGCAGCAGCAACAAGCTCAGCCGCAACTGGTCACTTCTCCACAAGCAACTTCAACTCCTCAGACCACTCATTCGAGTCCTCAGATGCTTTCACAATCCCAGCAGAATCAGCAGAATCAGCAGAATCAGCAGAAAGTATCCTCCTCGTCCTCTTCCAATAGTACCCATCAGACAAGCCCGCGGACCAATGGCTCGTCCCAACTCCACCCTCATATCCCTCTCGCTGATACAAAACCTCCACCCCGCCGTCAGTATTCTAACGATACCAACGCGGCACGACTTCAAAGTGCAGCAGACGACATTATCCCGGGCGCAACTGGGGTTCTTGCACGCCCTGCAGATGCCGTGGGAGTGGCTGCCAGCAATACGACTCGCGAGCGTGGCCACCACCATCGTTCTAGCGACTCTAACGGGGGCTCTGGTTCCGGAATGGATCGGTACCGTAATAGACAATCCTTAACATCAGCCAGCTCTGTCTCGGTAACTGATTCGATAGGATCCGTGGCTAATGGTGGCCCACAGGAACTTACAGTGCAACAATTTGAGGCTTCCAAACGAAAGGCACGAGCAAGACCGGCTGATGCGGCGGCCCAACTTGATTATGCACGCAACCTCGTAGAGGCATGCGCAACACTTGCTGGTCAATACGCAGATTCTGAAACTATGGTGGGTGGGATGCGGCGGCCTCCGGATGCTGCAACAGAACGTAAAACTCGCGAAATATGGACCACCCGCGCACATAAAATCGTTAAAAAACTGGCGTCCCATGGGGACCCAGGAGCAATGTTCTTTCTCGCAGCAAGTTACGGGTCAGGTGGGCTCGGACTAGAGGTCGATTATGAAAAGGCTTATGAGCTCTATTACAAAGCAGCCCATAAACACCAGCATGCAGAAAGCGCATACCGAGTGGCCGTGTGCAATGAAATCGGAGCAGGAACACGCAGAGACCCAAACAAGGCCATGTTCTGGTACCGCCGTGCGGCACAGCTCGGAGACGTTAGCGCCATGTACAAACTCGGCATGATTGCGCTCAACGGCGCGCTGGGTCAGGAACAGTCGTTTGCCGAGGGCGTCACCTGGCTTCAACGAGCCGCAGAACTTGCAAGTGCACAGAACCCGCACGCGGTCCATGAGCTTGGACTTTTGTACGAGCGCGCAGACTCGTATCCTGGCAACGTTCAGCAGGACAGTGCTGTGGGGCCTGATGGTAACAAGCGGTTGCGGCCGATAGTTGAAAGAGACGAGCGTCGTGCATTGGAATTATTTGTTCGCGCTGCCAAACTCGGATACCCTCCTGCACAATTCCGACTAGGATGCTGCTATGAGTACGGAACCCTCGGGTGCGCAATTGACCCCCGCAGATCTATCGCATGGTACTTCCGGGCCGCAGAAAAGGGTGAATCTGAAAGTGAGCTTGCTCTCAGCGGATGGTACTTGACTGGTAGCAGTCGCGGCGGTGGCGGCGGAGGCGGCAGTGGCAGCGGCAGTGGTGGAGGAAGTCCTTCAGGCACCAATGGTACGGGTGCGTTGACAGGTCCAAGATCGACTGGCGGCGGTAATGGCAATGGCAGTAGCAGCGGTGGTGCTGGTGCTAGTGCTGGCGGTGTGGGGGAAACTAGTTTGGAGGACGAGGTTGTGATTGAGCAAAGCGATACCGAGGCATACTTATGGGCACGACGGGCAGCGGAAAAGGGACTTAGTAAGGCCGAGTATGCTTTGGGGTACTATACAGAGGTCGGTATTGGGGTTCGTCCGGATGTTGAGGGAGCCAAGCGGTGGTATTTGAAGGCCGCTGCACAACGGCACCCCAAGGCTTTGGCTCGGTTACAGGAGCTGCGCCAGGAGCAGTTACATATACGTTGAATAAATGGGAGGGGCTATTGCTTTTACTTTTACTTCTGCATTTTTTTTAAAAAAAATAAGAGTATAAATATAAATATAGATATATATATAAAAAGATCAAAATCAATTAATATGAATGAATCAGAATAAAAAAAAAAAAAAAAAAAAAAAACTTTGGGAGACAGGCTTTTCAGTTGTCATATTAAAATTTAAATATAATAACCACAACCCTAATTCTAATCCTAATCTTAATTTTTATTATCATCACCAAACTGAACTAACCACCTGCCAAATACTTGTCCATGATTCCATTTTACAATTTGCATTTAAGCTTGTCGGAAAGCAATTCTGTTTTTTTTTTTTTTTTTTTTTTCCGGTTTAAAATTTATTTTTAAAAATTATATCCAATATCCTCAATTATTGAATGTCTGTATATGGCTTATAGTTTATACTTTTATGAAGAGTATGAAGAGTAAGAACATTTATAATACTATATAGGCTGGCTTTCTAAAAAATATATTTTAGCATGTGAAAAGTTATAATGGATAGTTAAAATAAAATAAAAAAAAACCCTACAAAAATATCAATGATATATTGATTTTTTAATTTATTAAAAAGATTTCCATAAGAAGAATTTTTTATTTTTACTGAAGAAATTTGTAAGGAGGTATAAATAAAAGGGATTTCCTCCGTCTTTTTGATTTTTATTTCTTTTTTTTTTCTCTTACCATTCACTTTTCTCAAATTTTTTATTCTTTTACCTCTAGAATTATCATCAGGACCATGTACTACCATTTACTACTATCAACTACTATCAACTACTATCAACTACTATCAACTACTATCAACTACTATCAACTACTATCAACTACTATCAACTACTATCAACTACTATCAACTACTATCAACTACTATCAACTACTATCAACTACTATCAACTACTATCAACTACTATCAACTACTATCAACTACTATCAACTACTATCAACTACTATCAACTACTATCAACTACTATCAACTACTATCAACTACTATCAACTACTATCAACTACTATCAACTACTATCAACTACTATCAACTACTATCAACTATGATCTATAACTATTTGCCATACCACGCTATTCATAAACACTCTTCCTCGCACTTCTTCATTATTATACTTTTAACACGTTGCAGTCGTCTATCGGTAAGTCTTCTTATGCCAATGTACCCAATGCATTCAATGCCTGAGTTATTGATCTCACACTCTAACAGACAAACACCCCCTGGACTCAATGTCGGAGGTATATAGTCATATCAAGCAATCATTAATTCCTTTATTGTTAAAGCCTACTTTTTGTAAGTTTTCATATACCAACGCATCTAATATTTAGGTTCTTAATCTAACTCTATATTAGAAAAAATACACTATCGGCTCGAGGTCAATGTTAAATGTTCAGTGTTAGATACCATTGATGAAAGTGTGATACAGCCTCTTTGTCGATTATGTTGAGCTGTAGTGAATCAGCCCATTGTGCTTTCTGTTATTCAATGTTTTGATGGTTGGTCGCAGATTAATCAAGGAGTGCTGACCCTGACCCTGCCTTTTGACCACCTCATGGTTATCAAGACGAACCATGTCGACTATGCATGAAGCCTTTGATGCTTCATACGTTTATACAGTCTTCATTAGGCTTCAGTCATTTTACCAAGATTTAACATTTTGCATATTTTTTTTGATGCTTTGGATTCCCAACATTGACTAGCTTAAGATCTCCAAAGCTCTGCATGAGATTGTAATTTGTCTACTAAGTTTAAATCATTTAATATGAAACTTGGTACATTGAAATGCTCTGACAATTAATGAAAAATAAGTCCTGATGCTAGCTTACGAGGAACAGGGGGGTTAAAAATAACCAAACCTTCCCAACTTATCTCCACTTGTCTTCATCAACGCTGTAATTGTATTTCTTAATCCCTCCAAGCAGAGATAAAGCTTACAATCTCTTGTAGGCCAGTTAAACTGTTTAAGAGAGTCGACATGTCCATCTCTGGAGATATCCGTTTCAGTCCTTTTCTTTCCTCTTCAAGCAAAGGACACTCAACTAAAATGTGATGAACTGTTTCCAGCTCTCCACATTTGCAGTTGTAACTATCCTTTTCAATTCCAAACTTTTTAAACCATGCGCCAAAGTTGCCATGGCCTGTGCGAAACTGAGTAATATTACTCAAGATCCTTCGACTATCTTTCTTCATGATCACTCCCGTAACCATTTTGGAAAGATTATCAGTACATTTCGACTCCACTGTGATATTATGATACCACAGATCCTTACTGCTGTTCCAATACATTTCCTGCCATTCTTCCATTGCTTGTTTCTTCAAAATTCCAATCGTCTGATTCTGTTGTTGTTTCAGTGTAAGAGGTTCAACCCTCTTGCATTTTCGTTTTTCATCCTTTTTAATCATGTAGTCTCTATCATCTTTCGCCAATATGTAAAGCGTGGTTAGCTTTGCAATTGGAGATTTCTCAATCAATGTTAACAAATGACCATTAATAGGATTAGTTTTGCTAATATTTAGGTGTAAACGAATAGCTTTTCGTGCCACCATAAATTTTAGCCTAATACTATATGGCATTATACCAGCTTCCTTTTGTAATACCGCAATAGGAGTTGTGCGATAAGCACCAACAATTCTTCTTAAAGCCATGTTCTGCATTACTTCCAACTTGTGGATTTCTCCTTTCAAGATTTTATGATGCCAAATTTCTAAGCCATATTCAACAATTGGTCTCACGCAAGCAATATACAGTGATCTGACTGCAGACCCTCGCATACCTTTTTGCACGCCTCCAAGATGCCAAATAGCGCCAACAGCTTTTCTTGCTTTATTGATTTTATTCAAAATCTGAGATTTAAAATCAAGCAGATTGTTCAAAGTAATTCCAAGCAATTTAACTTCCTTCTGGGGTGAGTAACCCTTGAATATTGTTTGTTTGTTTGTTTTTATTCAAGGGTTATAGAACTATATAACATCAGCATCTGCGCTATCCTTTTTATTGTCTGACTATGTGACTTGCCGGTTTTCATTTGTACCTTTTTAGTACGGGTGGTTTCTGTTCTGTGCGTCTCCGGTAGCCCGGAAGATGGGCCCTGATGCCAGCTTACGAGGAACAGGGAGAACCAGTCTGTCGGTCCCAAAACCTTCCCAACCCATTTCCACTTATCTTCACGGACGCCCATGTATTTCTTAATCTCTTCCGTCAGAGATACGGCCCGCAATCACCTGCAGGCTATTTAGAGTGTACGGAAGAGTCGGCATTGCTGTAACCAGGGTAGCCTATGGTTTTCAGTCTAGGTGTATACTCCCGTACACATCCTCAGGAAAAGGGGGTATTCTGGGAATCGAACCCAGTATCTTCCGCTATCGAGCGAACGTGTTACCCTTTACACCATCCAGCCCTTTCCCTTAAAAAAACCTTTCCAAAATATTTACAGTGGTTTAGGTTTTTAATAGGTAGTCTTTTATACAATAATTTATATCACGTGATATCAATCTATTAGGCTCGATGGTTTAGTGGTATAATTCTCGCTTAGGGTAAAACTAAGCAATTTGCGAGAGGTCCCGGGTTCAATTCCCGGTTGAGCCCTTATGCTTTTTGTTCTTTCTACTTTTTTTAAGCAGAAATATGTTTGAAATTTGAAATTTGAGAATGAGTCGTTATTTGAAGGTAAGATACACCGTCTTGTAGTGCCCTATTTTTTTATAGTGATCAAAACTCAGAGAGTAAGGTAAAGGAAACAGTGAATGAAAGGTTTCAAGCAATTCAACAGAAATGCGTTGAAGTTGATTATAGGATTTATAATATTGAAATAAAAATCAGGAGTCTTTCTAAAAAACAGAATAAATAGAAATTAAAAAAAAATACTGAAATTAAATTTCTCCATCCTAATTATTGTTCACTTTAAAATGAGTTTGGCTGTATCTCTATAGTATTTAGTAAAGGTTAAAGTTAAATAATTAAAAAAAAAAAATGACACACTCATGTGCAAAAGAAAACATTAAGACTTAACTTTATAATAATTAATTGGTTAAATAATTAACACATATCAAAAAATGTTTTTTGGAACTTGTTTTTTAATAATGTTAAAGATGGTTAAAAAGTTGATTTTTAAAGGAAATTTTAAAGAGTAAATTTTACAATTAGCAAATATAAATTCAATCTAGAGAAAATAGGTTAATAGGGTTAAATTTTGGTTTTTGGGGGTTTGGGATGGTGCATTCGGTTGCTCTCGGTCCCAGCTATCGATTGATATATTTTTCATGGAGGTCCGGCAACGATTAGTAGAGTTATGATCAAAGTAAAATTGAGTACACAAAGGAATACTAATATAGGTGTAAATTTTTGTGGTAGTATTGGTAACACCAATAAATAATTTTCTTATCAATTAATAAACTTTATTAAATAAATTTAATTAAACAATATCGAATATATTTATGGATTTAAGGATTAAATTTACTTGTAGATAGATATACCATCTATACGATTGGGGGTAATAACAACTACTAAAGTTATGAACATAAAAATATAGATAATTTTAAATTCATCTGAGGAAGTCTAAGCAATACGGTTGATTTGGAGAAGTGTAACTGAAACAAACGTTCAATTTAAATAAATTTGAAGACTCTATAAAAATTATGAAACAAGTTACGAGCATATAAATAATTAGAGAAATTACGATAAGTTGACAACAATGTTAATCAGAGAAATACCTGTAAAAATGGCACCCCTAACCCTAGTGGATATTAAGATTTTATATAATGTAGTCGAAGAATACCAAAAAAAGCGATATATTTTATGCAATTTCGAAAATATCCTAAATACCGCAAGGGCTGGGGTATTAATTGTCTAATACCCCAGCCCTAGGGGAATGTTGATTGTCTTCAAAATATATGATGAATATGTAAAAACCCAAACCTAATTAAGAGCCCCTTACCCTTATAGGATTTTAATATTTTTAAAACAAACAACGTTACAAAATGATAATAAACCTGCGCTTGTGAATATCTTGATTGTAACCCAAAATTTGACTGAATAACATAAAATGCCCTAACCCAAATGTAACTAACTCGACCTAGTCGAAATTATAAAATTTGTTATAATTGATGATTGAAAATCGACCCCCACCACCCCCCTCCATAAACCCTAGCCCTTGTGGCATCTTAAATTTTTCGTGATTTATATAGCAAATCCAAACTTAAGCCCTAACCCATTAGATTTTTCCCAACCCTTATGGAATTCCAAGATATCTGAAAAATATTGACTTACATAATTATGTAGCCCTAGCCCTTGCGGAATTTTGAATTTTTTGAAATTTATATAGTAAATCATAACATAATCCCTAACCCGAAACAATTCACCTAGCCCTAAGGGAATTCTCATATTTCAGAAATAATTACGCTTATATAATATTGCTACCCTAGCCCTTGCGGAATTGTAACTTTTTTGCGATTTATATGGTGAATCTAAACAAAATCCCTAACCCAATATATATATTTATCCTAACCCTTATGGAATTCGCAGACTTCTGAGAAATATTGACTTACATAATTATGTAGGCCTAGCCCTTGCGGAATTATGAATTTTTTGAAATTTATATAGTAAATCATAACATAATCCCTAACCCGAAACAATTCTCCTAGCCCTAAGGGAATTCTCATATTTCAGAAATATTTACGCTTATATAATAATACTACCCTAGCCCTTGCGGAATTATAACTTTTTTGCGATTTATATGCTGAATCTAAACAAAATCCCTAACCCAATATATATATTTATCCTAACCCTTATGGAATTCGCAGACTTCTGAAAAATGTTGACTTACATAATTATGTAGCCCTAGCCCTTGCGGAATTTTGAATTTATTGAAATTTATATAGTAAATTTTAACATAATCCCTAACCCAAAACAATTCACCTAGTCCTAAGGGAATTCTCATATTTCTAAAATATTTACGCTTATATAATATTACTACCCAAGCCCTTGCGGAATTGTAACTTTTGTGCGATTTATATGGTGAAGCTAAACGAAAGCCCTAACCCGGAGCAATACACCTAGCCCTAAGGGAATTCTCACATTTCAATAATAATTACGCTTATATAATATAGATACCCTAGCCCTAGCGGAATTATAACTTTTTTTCGATTTATATGGTACATCCAAACTAAAGCCCTAACCCATTAGATTTTGCATAACCCTTATGGAATTCGCAGACTTCTGAAAAATGTTGACTTACATAATTATGTAGCCCTAGCCCTTGCGGAATTTTGAATTTATTGAAATTTATATAGTAAATTTTAACATAATCCCTAACCCAAAACAATTCACCTAGCCCTAAGGGAATTCTCATATTTCAAAAATAATTACGCTTATATAATAACGGATCCCTAGCCCTTGCGGAATTTAACTTTTTTGCGATTTATATGGTGAATCTAAACAAAATCCCTAACCCGGAATAATTTACCTAGCCCTAAAGGAATTCTCATATTTCAGAAATAATTATGCTTATAAAACAGTACTACCCTAGCCCTTGTGGAATTTTAAATATTTTTCCATTTATATAGTAAATCTAAACATAACCCCTAACCCAGGAGCATATACCTAGCCCTAAAGGAATTCTCATATTTCAGAAATAATTACGCTTACATAATAATATCACCCTAGCCCTTGTTGAATTTTAAATATTTTTCCATTTATATAGTGAATCTAAACATAACCCCTAACCCATTTCATTTAACTTAACCCTTGAGGAATTCTAGCACTTAAGATAGAACCTATATAAACCACAACAAATGGCTTAACCCAGACAGTGTACAGCTAACACTTTTGCAAACATATTAATGTTTAAAATATTTGGCACAAATTATAGCCCTCCTACTAATATTTGCAATTAAGTGTTATTGCTATTCGTAATTAAATATTACAGCTATTCGCAATTATAAATATATAAAAAAAAATATAAAAAGAAAAGTTATACCCTTGCTACTATAATTAGCCATTAAGTATTTACCTGTGCTACTGCTATTCGTAACTGTTATTCGAATGTTGTTGGTATTGTTGGTGTTGACATTTTTTTTCAAAAAATGGTGGCTCGCTACGCTCACATCTAGGCTCTGTTTCCATGAATTTTTGGGGGTTTACCCTAAAAATGTACAGTTTATACAGCTCGAAGAAAGAAAAAAAGAATGGGGAAAGGATTAGTCATCTTTCAGCCAGAAACTATTCTTTTTTTTGTGAAATGTAAAGAAGAATAAGGAGGAATCAATGCGATAAAACTAATCAGGTTCAGGCCCAGACTAAGACTTGGGCTTAGGGTGGGAACAAAGGTAGCCGAAGATTATAAGTCAAACCAACTATCTTGTTGACATATTTTTTTTCAAAAAAGGCAATCGCTCGCTAATCTCATATGTAGACAATGATGGAGAAATGTATCAGGGCTAAAAGAGATCTATATAATTGCATGAGATAATTTTTATAAATTTATTTGGTTTTTAGACTAAAACATATGTGAAGATTTTCAATGAGTAATTACTCATTATCTATAACATCTTATAAGATGTTATAGATAATTTTGTATCGTGAACCAAATTTAAAAAAGTTGAATAATTTGGGTTTTATGAGAGCAAAATGGTGGTCCTATGATATTAATTGATACGTTATCACTGTTAAAAATACGTGGGAGGGAAATGGGAAATGCCCCTAACAAAATGGTCGATTTCTTATAAATCTGCCAGAAATTTTGATTTTTATCTCCTCCTCATCCTAATTCGATCATAAAAAATTACCATCTTAGGAATTCTTTGATAATCATCAAGACAAACATTACTAAGATTGATTCAATTCTTACTAAAATATAGCACAATCCTGACTAATTTATCACGTGAAACTTTTCCATTTTCCCACCCATTTATTTTCAAGTGTGTTATCAATATGAATGATCTGTAGGGTAACTAAAAAAAAAAAATATATGTCGAGTTCTCGGTATAACTGGAATTTAGTAATAATTGTGATGAATAATAAAAGTGATTTATTGGTTTAATAGTAATAGTCTATATGATTGGTATTCCGGGACCATCAGCCTAGATCATCCATCTTACCTTTGATCTTAAGAATACTTTGTTCTCTCTTCAGTATCCTCTTATTGTGTAATGCTGATGGTTGTGGTGATGCTTCTTGGTTTGTGGTTATATTGCCACCTGGCCAATGTAACCCTAACCATTTAGGTCACGGGGCCCAGGGGCCCTCCGTGACAATATATCAAAATAAAAGAAACAACTTAGACAAAAATAAAATAAAGAATAACTGGGTAAGGGTTCTAGAGTGATAAAAATTTTATAACAATAATTATTGTTATAAAATTTTTATTATAATAACCAAAAAAAAAATATGTTAAAAAAATGAATTAGGGTTAGGAAAAATATAGAAGAAGACATTTATTTAAAATAATAATAAAAAGGCCCTTATGATATATATACCGACAGGGATATCTATGGACAAGGAATGGATAAAAAATAGATAATAAATTTGGAGTCGATAAAAAATTAGGAAACAATATAAATATGTATTTATATTGTTTATAATTACAACAAATTAATTAATTTTGGACATCAAGATTAACATGGTAAAATTATAACATAGAGAAAGCTCAAATTTCTCATAGTGACGTTTTTAAAATTTAAAAATAAATATAAGAGACGTACAAATGATAAAACATCTTCCTATTTGGGGCGGAAACATTAAATTAAAGGAATGTCATTGGCATTTATACAAAGATTTGGACAAGAAGATAAATACCCCTAAAGGATGATAGAAATTTTACAATATCGTTTCGACTTTAAACGAGAAACAACGGAAAAGGAAGAAAGCTTGGCCCCCGGAATTGCAACAATGTATTCACAACGTTTGGTATGCGTCAAACAGGACTCTAGGACACTATTGAGTGACACCAAAGGCTGTGCCATAATCAATAATTTAATTCAACGCGAGGAATAAAACCTGTAGAGTCCTACTTAAGCAACGAACGCGCTCTGCTTTTGGCTCGCATTATGTCAAAGATCGAGTGACAGTGACAAATTGATTAGTGGCAGCGGTAACGGTATTTCGAAAAGCGGTTATCTAAAAGTCAATTAGTGTAAATTCAAGTCAAAGAAAAGCAAGCAAGCATACCATGAGCGTAAGTGAGGAAGTTTTTATTTTTATTTTTTATTTTTTTATTTTTTTATTTTTTTATTGGTTCGAGGTAGCAGCATCAGTAAACACATCATCTAAAACTCAAAAAGGAATCAGTTAGTGCAAATTCGAGTCACCAAAGAAAAAGCAAGAAAGCATACCATAAGCATAAGTGTCAAAAATCAGAGAATATTTAATGGTTTTTTTAAGTACAAATACAAGCCATCGTGAAGTTATCTCTGTTGTTTTGGCCGTTGCAGTCGTAATAATTCAAACTATGACCCCGACAGTAGTTGTCAAAGCGCGTTTATATTGCCGGAACTAATATAAATTTAAGGGACTAGTATAGAAGAAGTCCTCATTTTATCATATGAAGCATAGTGGAATAAAAGTTTTAATCGCAATGGTGATTTCAAAAAAAAAAAAAAAAAAAACAGGTGAATGATAGTGGTGGTGTAAAAAAAAAAAAGGAAAAAAAATATATATTTATTTATACAACATTTTGGTAGTAATAGTGTGATTAAATTTCCCTCATAAAAAAAAAAAAAAAAAGAAAAAAAAGAAAAAAAAGAAAAAAAAGACCCCCCTACCCCTACCCCTCTTTATATTACATAATGATTACATAATAATTATATAACATGATCAATTACGACTACAGCCTGATCAGCTATGAATTACCACCCAACCCCCTAAAGCTCTTCCTGGATGACACTTTGGGGAAAAAAAAACTTATTTCTTCAAACTAAAGAATTTTTATCATTTAATTTATATACTGTTTTTGGGCTATCGATTGATATAAATAATAACTACGTAGGACCACAAAATCTATACATACCAAGGAAAAAGAGAGGGTAAAAGAAAGTGATACTGCTTTGATGACGGCAATAGTGGAAAGGGTATAAAGAAGCTAATTAAATATCAAACAGTCTTAAAGGAAACAATAGAGCATCGTAAAATAATAATAAAATTATATGTTTAACTGAAAACAGAATGGTGCAAGGGCTGAACGATGGGTGTTAAGATTTCAAATCAGAAACCGGTTGAGATCGAGTGAGTGGCGATAATAAATTAACACTCTCTTTCTTCAGCGTACACTTACTTTCTTCATTTACCTTATTAGTCACATTTTCATAATTTATTTATTATTTATATAATTTTACTTAGTTCTCGATATTTTTTTTTGTTTAATCATTTGACTTTGTATTTTCCCATATTAGGTTGTAGTGTACTGATAATAATTATGCCAATTATTTTAGGTATTGAATTCCACGCTTATAGGGCTCCCTATGGGTCAATTTACTGTTAATCTTTTCATGTCAACAGTTTATTTATTTTTTTTATTTTTTATTTTTTTACTTTTATTACTTATATATTTTCCCAAACATTTTCATTTCTTTCATATAAGTTCTCATTTCCTTTTCATTTTTCCTTTCACTTTTTATTTTATTTATTTACTACCATGTATTATCCTATATCTTATTTTGATATGGTTCTCTTTAGCTTTTTCTAATTCCTTTTTGAATTAACTATATATGGTCTTATATTTTTTTATTTTCTTTATCATTGCCCTTGATACACTAATATCATTTTGAATTTCATTTTTGTTTCATGTTTTTACCAGTATTGGACAATTACGCCCCTCGGTTTATTGTTTCCTCCTATGTATTGATGAATCAATTAGAAGTTTGGTAGTCTATATTTGATTTTGGATTGTTCATCAATCACAGATTCTTATTCTTTGCTCTTTTCATTTTTCAAATTATTGTTATGCTTTATCACACTTATTCAAAATTCAGCCAATTTTATTCTTATAATATTTTCTTCACTTGTTAGGACTAGAATTTTGATCCTTGAACTTTCCTTTTTCTCATTTTCAAAGTCTTTTATCATTTCATTTTCTACCCTTCAACCCTCTAAATGTATCTGCTTCTTCAGTCTCTTGATAATATATTCATATGGATATATATCCATATGAACATTTATTAACTTTTATTGAAATATATTCAAATCGTTTAGTATCTGATTTTATTCAAAATTAACTGTCCTTATGTAAATAGAACTCCCACTTTATTGAGTCCTCTTGAATCTCAATTTAACGTTCACTGGAACTATCCTCAATTATTGCTTAACTTTCTGGTTATGAGAAGAATCAATTACTTTATGCATTTGGTCTCTTACATTATTAGCAATCTGTTTAACGACTTTTCAAAAATGCTTTGATTGTTAATCAATCCCGATAGATTATACATGTTTCATTTTCCACAATCTTTTTCCTATGTCACTCTCTGAGATCTTAAGTTTATTTCGATTCTGCTAAGAGTCATGGTGAAACGATTATTGGATTGGTTTATCCCTAAACCATTGGCCCATCACTCTTTCGTTCTTTGTTTAACCAAGGTGCCGCGATTTATGAAACTTTTTGGAAGTTGGAATTTAATCCAACATCTAAATAAATTTTTCAATTGAATAATACAAATTGTAAATATTTAACTAATCATCTTCATTTTCCTAAAAATACATTAAAAAATTAATAACAATCACTTGGGAGTCCCAGATGGCAACTGGGCAGAGGCAGGTTTCGGTGTCGAAGAATTGCTGGGCACTCCAGAACCAACCTTATTCCCTGCAAGCTGCTGGCCCACACGAGCAGGTCCTCCTCCTACTTGCTGAACAACTTTATGAATATGCTGCGGCTGCGGCTGCGGCTGAGTTGCAACTCCTGCTGTGGCCAACGCTGGCGATCTCACTCCTGCGCTCGTTACAACTTGTCGAACCGCAATCCCCGGCGATGTTCCTGCAATTGGAGATGTACCTTGCTGTTGTACAGCTGGCGCACGAATTGTTTGCATTACCGGTGAAGGTGTCGTACGAACCGTAGTTCCTGGACGTTGCTGTTGTTGTTGTCCTGTCACTGCAATGTTGCGTGTGTTGGCATTCACCGCAAACATCCCAGCAACTGGCCCGCCTGGTGCAGATGTTGCTTGTCTATGTGGGACCGCCACCGGATGCTGGCCAGAAGCCCTAGCAACTACTGCTGGTGCAGAAGCCGGTCCTGAAGTACCATTAGTGGTTGAACCAGTGGTGCTAATCATGCGTTGTTGCATTAGGATTCGCTGTATTTGAGTCTTTGCAATTTGGGAAACCTGGTCGGGAGTCAGTGACGGGTTCTGCTCTGCAATTTGGTTCATAAACGTTTGCACTTGAGGAGTCTGGGCGGAAAACTGAAAAGCACGCGACAAATTTGACACCTGGAATTGTTGCTGTGGAGTCGGTGTAGGTGCCGGGCTTGTCACAATAACTGGAGATGTTACTGAAGTAGGTGTCGGTGTGGTAGAAACCACCGGTGACGTAGATGCAACCACAGGGCTTGCTGTGTTATTCACAGGTGAAGGTACTGTAGATATCGTGGGCGATCCTACGGCTGCTGTCGCTGCTGCTGCCTGTTTGGCCTGCTGCTGTGCCTTTTGTTGCTGGTGAAGCATCATTTGTTGGTAATTCAGTTGCTGTTGATTTGGTGTAGTACCCGCTGCAGCCACTGCTGCGTTAATACGTTGTTGCTGCTGAGCTCGTTGCATTTGAATCTGTTGCTGTTGCTGTAGCGTCAATTGAACTTGGTTCTGTTGTTGAACCACACGTTGTTGTTGCTGCTGCTGCTGCTGCTGCTGCTGATGTTGTTGTTGTTGATGCTGCTGCTGCTGCAGCTTTTGTTGTTGGGCTGCTGCTGCTGCTTGCTGATGTTGCTGAAGTTGACGCAATTTTTGTTGTTGCAACAACTGCGCGTATTGCTCAGCTGAAATCCGCGGGTGGAAATTACCTTGAGTATTTGGCCGTGGAGCTCCAGTATTTCCCTGTACAGCAGGAATAGCTTGAGTCTGCTGATGTTGTCCCATAGCGACGCGCATTTGTTGCTGCTGCTGTTGCAACTGAGCAACTGGTTGCTGCCCTGTAACATGTTGCACTGCGCGGTGATTGGCAATAGCACCATTGGGCAAGGCGGTTGCTGCAGGAACTGTGATACCATTAATGACTCGTGTTCCTGGCACAGGGTGAGCAACAGATGTGTTATTGACCCCATAGACTGGTGCAGCAGCTACCGCGGTAGCACCAGTCTGTGGTGTGGCTATGGGTTGTTGCTGTCCTGGGTGTGGCACAGGCACAGCACGACCCCCAGCTGCTGCTGCTGCTGCTGCTGCCATCTGGTTCTGCTGAGCTCGTTGTGCATACTGCGCGCTGGCCTGGTGATCAGCCTTATATTTGAACTGAGATAGTTCCTCTGGGGTATACACTGGCTGAGTGTTTTCCATTGGTTGAATCGGTTTGCGGACAATTTGGTTGAGAGGACGAATGGCGCTTTCACGAATACGCATGCCCTTACGAATAGCCTCAAACATACTTGCCCAGCGCAAACGAGAGTGGCCACGAGGAAGCGAATCCGTGTTGACAATTCCGATGGGCGAAATACGGTGCTTGGTGTGGGCCTGCATTTTGACCGAGTTGTTGATCCACAAAACAGCTTGTTGAGCATAAGGACCTTTGAGCTCTGTCAGAGAAAAGGCCGGATTTAATTGGAGCCAACGTTCAAAGCATTGCCATGGGGTACGTCGCTCAGTGATGGAAGTGTACCCAAGAGTTGCATCGTTAGAAAAAGTTGCCGAAACTACTTGCCAGTTGAACTGAAACTCACGCGCAACACGAATGAGCTTCTGGTCATCCTGCGGCAGCCAAATGGTTGGCATACGAATGAACTCGAGATACTTGAGGTTAGGAGGTTGTGGAGCGCGAATGTGAATCTGCCGCTTGTTTTGCTCGCTCTGAAATAAGGGATGTTTCTGAGATGGATTTGCACCTTCACCATTATCAAAGTCTTCCTCATCTTCCTCTTTAGAAATATCCAGTTTCTTCTTATCTTTAGGGTCGACCTCGATAATAAGCTTTTGCCAAGTAGGATTAAGATCTGGGGCGGCAAGAAACTTAGTGACAGAGTTTATGGAAAGCGACTCAAGCTCACTAATGTATGGTGTGTTAACATCCTCAATAGGTTTCTGAAGAGGCAAGCTGTTGAAAATTTCACGCGATGCCGAGTCCATGTTATCAAGTGACATAAACATTTTAAGTGGCACGCGTACTGATTGGCCTTTATCATGGAGAAACACGCTCTTGGGTACCAACGAATCAACCTTATTAGCTTCGTGCAGCTCGTGCAAATCTTTAGGCGTAATGGTCATAGTCCCATCCGGTGACACATCAGGCTCATCGTCCTTAAAGATAAGCCCGGCATAGAGGCTTTCACTAGGGATCACCTTGACTTGATAAGGGTCGACTGGCTCCTGTTCATTTTGTGGTTCCCTTTTGACTTGTTGTTCCTTGGGGGCATCTACCATATCCACGTCGCCATCACCGTCTATGGTTTCTTCGAGCTTGATGAGAGTTCCCAAGTTCTCCGTCTCTGGAATGTCTTTTGGTGACGCATCTATGTTCTTTGCGTCTTGTTGTAACCCACTGCTGCCGCTGCCATTTTCGGACTTGTTGTTACTATTGTTGCTTCCAGCCGTGCTTGCATTGTTCTGCGGTGCAGCATCAGGCTCTTTTGGGGGGTCGACAGAAGCAGCAGTAGTATCACTTTGAGCAACATTAGCAGATTGGCCTTTTTCCTTGGCGTAACCTTTGTCTGGAAGAATGGAGGCTTCGGAGGATTCCGTCAAGGCCGCCGCTATTGTTGTTTTAGCTGCTACTGCTGCTTCTTTTCCTCCAATTCCGGTTGCCTTCGACAACTCTTCATCCTTCTTGGGTGAGAGAGATATTGTTACAGATCCCTCATTATTGTTTGATTTTACAAAAGCGGTCGAAGTGGCCTCAGTGGCCGGAGGTAGCGATGGTTGTGGTGCAGCCAGCTGCAGATTAGTATCTCGAGACTTATCTTCTGAAAGGCTGTGTTTTGTGCCAGAGGTGGTAGCGGCTGCATTAATGGCCTCGTTTTTTTTTTCATTTTCCTTGTTCTCCTTGGTTCCCTCCACCTTTTGATCTACCTCTGGCTTTACCTTTAATTCCACCTTTGAGTCCTCTTCTTTCAGGGGTTGCTGCATTGCTAGTGCCTTGTCGGCCTTGTCCTTGTTCTCGACAGATTTGGATTCCTCTTTGGTTTCATCCTTTTTGACTTGGTTTTTCTTGGGCTCCTCCTCGTCTTTGACTTTACCCTTACAGTCAGCTCGAGAATCCTCCTCCATAACGGCATCGCCATCAGAATCAACTTCAAACAGCTTAATAGGCGGCTTGTCATCCAAGTGTGTCACCGGTCTTGTTCGAATACAACAAACATCTTTCCCAAAGGCCCAGTAATCCATAACTGCTTGCGACAGCTCAAAGCATGCTGCAATTTTGAGCCGGCGCTCCTCGCTGAAATCCTGTTGCAACCACTTCATCTCGTCCATTAGGAAATCCCAGTGAATTTTGAGCCGCAGAGGCCCCCTAAATTTGGCGTGCTGTCGTAAACTCCAGCGGTCAAGGCGTTTTAGTTCCTCAATGCGCACATGTACCACTGCTAGCTTGGCTTCCAAGAACGATAATTGGTACGTTTCAGTAGTTAGAGCTTTATGTGCAGCTGGAAGAAGTTTGACAACAGGTAGTGCTTGCGTTGTGTAATAAAGTTCCGGCAAGGTTAATTGGCGTCTCCCGTGCACCGTCTCCGGGAGTCGGTTGGGCACAACCAAAATCTTTACGTCGGAATCCTTGTCAGTAACAGGGTCGACAGTTTTGGGGTTTGTGTACCACGGTACTTGTTGGTCTGGCACAGTCACGTTTTGGCGCATTTGGTGGATTGACGGCTGCCGCTTGTAAAACTCCTCCCGCGACACGTACTGGGTAGTACGCGTGACTGGAATGTGCGCAACGGTTGGTCGCACTTTGGGTGCAGAGGTCGTGGCTGAGGCTTGAGCTGTTGTTGGTGCCGGAGCTGCTGTTGCACCTGCCGTTGTGGTTGTCAGATTTTTGCTTGTAGTTGATTGACCCAGTTCACCTTGCTTTGTATTCTCGTTTGGTTTACCCGTGGTTTGCGGTGAGACTGTCGCAACACCACCATTCTTGGCCACATTGGGCCCAGTATTTGTTTGTTGTTGAGATCCCCCTGCAACTACAGTAGATCCTGTTTTTTGAGAAGCATGATTTCCAGAACCAATACCAGTGGCACTAATAGGAACACTAGCAGTAGTTACAGATTTGGCTCTCATAGGCAGGTTTGCATTATTGTTTCCTGCTGGGGCCCCCGATCCTGGAGCTACCGTTACTCCTCCAGTTGAAACCGTTCCTGATCCTGCTGCAGTTGCCACCACTGCCTTCGGACCAGCCGTCGCATGGAGATTGTTAATGCCTGCAGAGCTTGTTACTGCCCCCGCATAACCGCCAACAGTCGGCTTGTTGATAGGCCCAGAAGTGGCAGCTGATGATGATAGAGCTCCCCTCATAGTTGCTGGAGCTGGTCCTACAACCACCTTAGAAGCGTGTTGTCCCGATGTGCTTGCTGATGTGATGGCCCCAGAAGCCGAAGAACCCCCCACAGTGGTTACCGGAGCCGATGTGTTTGTAGCTGTTGTTGACGGAACGGGCACCATGTTTTTTGCTGAAACTGCCGCAGACCCTGCTGCAGGTCTCGTCCCACTTTTGGCAGCAAGTCCTGCACTTGCCTGTTGCTGTTGTATAACAACTGCCTTTTGCTGAGGCTGTTGGACTTGCTGTTGAACTTTAGTGGGTACAAAATTTGTCGCAGGCCCAGACCGTGCACCAACCTTAATATCGGGTCCATTACGCACACTTTGCTGTAATTGCTGTGGCTTTTGGATTATTCCAGCCTTTGCAAGTAACGCAGGTGTAGACTGTGCCCGTGGAAGAGTGGTGGCAGAAGGAACTGTACCGAGAGCTTGTGTGGGTGTTGGTGGAACAGACGCGCGCTGAGGGTGTGGTCCTCCTGTGGTTGTTGTCTTTGAAGGTGTTGCAGGTATTGGCGCTGAACCTTGGATACTGTTCGGCCCGCGCACTTGTGGCTGCGGATGTTGTTGGTGATGTGGTTGCGCCGCACCGCCCGGCGGCCCGCGCGCAAGAACCTTAGTCGTCGAATTTGCTTGCAAATGGGTCCAGGAACCTGCCGCCTGAGCTGCAACTGTTTTCGCCGGCACATTTGTTCCGCTCGTTTGTTGTTGTTGCTGATGCGGTGCTCTGGGCCTAGTATTAACCGTGGTTGTTGATGGTTTTGCTGGAGACGGTTGAGATTGAGTTTGTATATATTGGCCTGGCTGCTGATTACTAGCTCCAACTGCAGAGGTTACTGTAGGGCTTACAACTACACTGGGTGGAACCTGTTTGGGTAAATTGGCCAAAGGTTTCTGTTGCGCACCGCCGCCAGCTCCAGCTGCTGCCATGTTTTTAAGCATACCGCTAGTAGCAACGGTTGCTGCAAGTTTTGTGGATTGTGTTGTTGTTGCTGGAATTGAAGGAGCGGCTGCTGGTGCTGTTTTTGGTGCCGTTTTTGGTGCCGTTTTTGGTGCTGTTTTTGGTACTGCTGTTGGTGCTGCTGTTGGCGCTGCTGTTGACGCTGCTGTCGACGCAGATGTCGACGCTGTTGTTGGCACTTTTGTTGGCACTGTTGTTGGCACTGTTGTTGGCACTGTTGTTGGCACCGTTGTTGGCACCGTTGTTGGCACTGCTGTTGGCACTGCTGTTGGCACTGCTGTTGGCACTGCTGTTGATGCCGGTGTTGACGCTGTTGTTGGCGCCGTTGTTGACATTGTTGTTGGAACTGTTGTTGGCACAGAAATGGGATGTGCAGAAGAAGACGAAGATGTCGGATGAGCAGCCGAAGCTGAAACTGAAACCCCAGACGTAGTCGTTGCCAATGCCGGTCCCGAACTCGGTCCCGATACTGGTACGGGTACTGAAGCTGGTGCAGGAGCAGGAGCTGATGCAGCAACTGTTGCTGAAGCTGACGTAGTGGTGGCCGGGGCCGAAGTAGGGCCTGCTGTAGTCGGGACAGGTTTGGTGGTGGGGGTAGTAGTTGCTGCTGTTGTTGTAGAATGTTGTGTGGGGGTAGTTTGAACAGAGTTGGGTTTTGCCGACAAAATGTGGCTTCCTGCGGCTTGTTGGCCCGTTGAGATAGATGTTGGCGCTTTAAGCTGTTGTTGTCGCGGGTTTTGTGTAACACCGGTTGGACTTTTTTGATGTACTTGTTGTTGCTGTAAATTATGCATCTGTGTCTGCGGTTTTTGTATAATATGCTGCTGAGGAGTCTTGATTCCACTTTGTTGCTGTCCCGCGTTAACACCAGAACCAGTGGTATGATGCTGCGCGTTTGTGTTTACATTACGCACATTACTCTGTGATACAACTTTCTGGCCTGTCGTAGAAGCCTGTGAATGCTGTGGCAGATGATGAGAAGATACCAAAGGCGGATGGGCCTGAGAGTTTAGAGAAGAGGACGGGGTGGCTGTAGGTGAATACAACGCGCGAGCGCGTTTTGCAGGGAGCAGAACTTCATTGGGGACTATTGCGCGTGCAGGCAACGTGGATTCATCAAAAACATGGCCACTATGGAAAATATGGTTTATCAGAAATAGTTCATAAACAAAGTCTTGGAATACTCACCTTTCAAGATCGTTTTTTTCAAGAAACGCCATCAGGCTATCTTCGTCAGTCTGTACACCAGACTTGTTTATAGGATAAGTTGGATATCGAGTAAGATAATACAAATCAGATAGCTTCCGTTTTCGAGACTTGATAACGTCGCTTTTGTATAGTTAGTTAGTATGAATGTTTAACATTCAAAGCAAATACACATACCTTGATTGTTGCCGGCGCTTTTCAATGGCCTCAAGCCGGAGCCGGTCCATGTGTGGCTAAACAAGCGTGTTAGCATTTCAGTATTTGATGAATAATTTAAAAATAGCATACCGCAGACATGTTAAATTATAAAATGGTTTTAAATGAACGGTTTCGTTAGTTTGGTATTAGTTGGTTAATATTGGATAGTTTGGTGATGTGATTTTGGGCAACTCTCAACGGGAAGTTTTTTGGTGGAGCTGCTCAGGAATTTTTTTTTTTTATTTTATTCGTAGAGTGAAAAAATATATATAAGTCACGTGGACATTTTGGCAAAAAAAACGTAAACCTCCGAATGCTGAGTCACCACCGCCGAAAAAAAAAAAAAGTCACCGAGCCGCCTTTTACATAAACTCTTCTTTCACTATTTTTTTTTCAACCCAACTCCATAGATCCATTTCTCTAATTCAATCCATCTCTAAACCTCATCATCATAGATCCATAGACTCCAACTCTTTATTATCTTTATTTGACCTCCTCCTCCTCCTCTCTCCATTTCCTTTTTTTTTTTTTTTTATACCACACCAATGTCTTCAGTAACAACCCCACAAAAAACAAATCTCGCACCGTATCTCACAAAACTCATTGTGCATCCGCCCCAGCTTACCCCAGCTGACCTAGCCACAGTGCTTGGCCATATTCTCTCCAACTCCGTCTCTACAACTCAAGTTGCTGCTTTTCTTGCACTTCTCCGCGGTTCCGGCCTTGACCATTCACCAGACTTCATTGCTGCTGCTGTGGCCCGCATGATGCAGGCCGCGCGCAAGCTGGACACCCTCGAGCAAGACCTCAAGGACCACGGGTTTGTTGACATTGTGGGTACCGGTGGTGATGGCCAGAACACATTTAACGTATCTACTACGGCTTCTATTGTTGCAGCGGGTGCCGGTCTGCGTGTGTGCAAGCATGGCGGCAAGGCTTCGACCTCTGCATCTGGGGCCGGCGATCTATTGGCTTCTCTCGGGATTAACTTGGCCAATGTCACGAACGAAACTGCGCCAGGGATCCTTGCCCAAAGTCAGTACTGTTTTCTGTTTGCGCCCGTGTTCCACCCAGCTATGGCCACCATTGCACCTGTGCGTAAAGAGCTAGGTGTTCCGTCCATTTTTAACATTCTGGGACCACTCATTAACCCTGCCCCGCTGTGTGCACGTATTGTAGGTGTTTACGCAGAGTCTCTTGGTGAAGTTTTTGCGCGCGCCATTCGTGCCACAAACCAGCAGGCTGGGCGCCCTGAATCGCGGGCCATGGTGGTTTGGGGAACCGAGGGACTCGATGAGATTTCGCCTGCGGGAACAACCAAAGTTTGGACCGTCAACTCGGACCCCACTGTGTCGGAGGAGGATGCCATTGTGACCAGCTACCTGCACCCCAACGATTTTGGGCTGCCGGTGCACACTCTTGATACCGTACGCTCGGGGACTCCACAGGAAAATGCGGCAGTTGTTGATCTGCTTGTGGACAACAAGCTCGAGGAAAACCACCCCGTGCTTGATTACGTTTTGATGAATGTAGCTGCACTTGCCTATGTGGAAGGTACTGCTCAGGATCTTAAGCATGGCGTGGAGCTTGCTCGAGAGAGCATCAAGTCTGGGCGAGCTCGGGAGGCTCTTGACAAATTTGCTTCTCTTTCTCAGGGTTTGTAATAGGTTTTGGGGGGGAAAAAAAAAAAAAAAAAATTATAATACTGTACGAATTTATTATATTTAACCTTTGTCTACTTTCGAGTAATATCAATGGTGACTTCCCAGCGGGTTTGATCACTGTATGCATATACCTGTTGCTTGCCGATCCGGAGCGGCCGTAAAACTCTTGCCAGAGAAGTTTTAGCTTCTGAGGGAGCTCGTCGGTGTCCGGATTCATTGAATCCGTTTTGGTCAAGATTGTGAGCTTCTTCATCATCTTGGTGGTCCTCCATGATTTCCTTTACAAGTCTTGCAGCTTGTTCTCTGACGTATTGCTCGTCGGATTCCGAGCCACCGTTCATTTCAATTTTCATGCATGCGAGCCACACCGAGTGATGGACCTGCCAGACACTGATTTCGGAACATTTTGTGACGAAGCGAAGCTTGAGGACTTGTTCTTCAACTAGATCCGTGCGATTTTCACCTGGGAACGACATGACGAGCATTCCTCCTAGAGATTTTGCCAGGATCCAACCTACATAGCACATGGAGGCTGCGATGAGGGGGGTAAGTATAGTATCGATGACTCTACGTACAAAGGGAGACTCGATTGGGTAGAGTAGGATGGCGAAGGAGAAAGTTACTGTGATGAAGTGGGAAGGATTGCTCATGATCCAAGGAAGGGACGAGATTGCAGAAGCGTTTGTGCTTTTGAGGGCACGGGAAATGCGTGAATGGTTATCAAAGCCTACTGCGGAGACTATAGTTGCAATGATGCCGAGAATGACACGGAAGCAGATTTTGCGCCAGTTTATGACAATGGCAGCAGGGTCTGAGTCTGTTGGGCCATGGTGGTGTGAGCCATGTCCATGCGATGCGGCGAAAAAGTCACCTAGGTAAACGGCTTGAATAATATCTTGGAGAGAATGGGAGAGAATGTCACCTCCCATAAAGACTAAAGAAATTGCTAGAGCGTAGCCAGCAAGAACTTCTGTTCTTTCGAGGCCAAAGGGGAGATGGACGGAGGAGCGTTTCCACACGTCAAAGTTGCCAAGAATGTCGACAAAAGCACATAGAAAGGCGCCCATTGCGTCGTAGAATAAAAGATGTGCAAGAGCAGATAATGCAGTGTAGGGAGATTCAATGACGTAGATGAGGAAAGCCATGTAGAGATGGCAGACACCCCAAAGGAGACGGATGAGTTGATCTTTGGACATGGATTGGCGGCATTCAGCAAAAGTAGGGATGGGCAGAGAGGCTGGAATTTGGAGGGGGACTCTAACATCTTCTTTGAAGAAGTTAAGGGAGACGGAGGAATGCTTGTATTTGTGGCCACGGCGCTGGTTAGCTCTTGATACAGGGGGGCCACCAAGAGCCATAGTTGTTGATTGGAAATTAAAGGGCTGGTAAGCTTGGGAACCTGGGGAAACGGGGCGAGCTGGAGGGACGATTCCGCTTGGGGAGCCTGGTCTTGATCCTGATGCTGATTCGTAACCTGGGAATTGAGGCATTGGAAGGGAGTAAGTTGAAGAAATTGAAGAGTGGGTTGAATGGCCAGGCCTGAAAGAGTTTGGTGTAGAAGATCCACTTTGTGGTAATTGTTGTTGTTGTTGTTGTTGTTGAGATGAGGAGGAAGATCCGGCAAATGGTGGAATTGGGGGTGGTGGTAAAAAGTTTGGGTCAAATTGAGAGAGTGATACTGAAGAGTTTTGAATAGATGATGAAGCCATATAAGGGCTAGCACCTGAGGAGGGGAATGAAGGCTGGTTTGGAGTGGTAGATGCAGAATTGTATTGAGGCCAAGCAAAGGGAGCAGTTGAAAGAGAAGAGATTGATGAAGAGGAAGAGACTGTACGACGATGGCCAGTACCTGGAACAAATGGAGCAGATGGAGGAACAAGTGGGGCAAGAGATGGGGCTCTAAGAGATGATGTAGAAGCTTTTGGGTGGAGGAAATTGGATCTAAGTGAAGATGAAGAGTGAGATGCTGAGAGAGAAGAAAAAGAAGAGGAGGAGGAGGAAGTTGGAGGATCCAAGAGGGATTCTAGGAGATTATTTGAGTTTGCATTAAGTTGTTCTTTAGCAGCAGCTGCAGCTAAGGAAGATAATGAGACATTTTCATAAACATTTGAGTATCGTTTTTTAGAAAAGGATGGTGCTGAAGGTGTAGAGATGTGGTGATGGTTATGATTATGATTATGATGGGAGGTTGTGGTTAAATTGTAGGAAGGGGTCGAAGAGTATGAGTCTATAATTGCTGATTCTTCTTCGTCATCCGATTCTTCTACAGGAAGCATAATTGAAGGGGGTCTTGATGATGGGACAGGAGGGAAAGCATAGGGAGTTACGTTTGGGGATGGAGGGTTTGACATTATTTTGTAGTAGTTTTTTTTGTGTGATTTTTTTTTTTTTTTGTGACCTTGTATGGCTGATATAGATGGGAATACGAAAAGGCCAAGTTTGTGATTTACAAAAGGAGGTTTTTTTTTTTTTGCTGGAGGGGAAGAAGGATTGTGGAGATGGATGATGTCAGTGAAAGATGTAATAAAAATGTCAAGTGTAATGTAATACAAGAGTGCAACATATTTTTATGCAACAGAAGTTTGCAACATTTGTGGGTGCAACAAGAAAAAAAAAAAATGAAAAATTTTTTCCAAATTTTCCAAATTGGCAGTAAGTAAGTAAGCAAGATTTTCACATGGTTGAGGGGTTGAGCGGTTATTTCTTTGAGATATTTAAGCCATTCCCCAAAATGATCATATAATAAAAGTCATAATGTGATTGCAAGAACTCAATCGGTTGTCTTTTAGAAGTTTTTTTTAAAAGTACCTATATTAATATTGACTTGTCTGAGGGGTAACGATATATCAACAATTTGGAAAGTCCAATCTGAATATTGTAAAAAAAAATTTGAAAAAAAAAATTTGAAAAAAAAAATTTAAAAATTTAAAAAAAAAAAAAAAAAAATTTGAAAAAAAAAATTAAAGAATATTAAATAAAAGACTTTTCAAAAATCATAAACACAATTCTACTTAATTAATTAAAGAAACTTGCGAAACTTGATGAAATGGCTAGTTTTAGTTAAGACTCGGGGTATTTATTTTTTTTTATTTTTTTTTAATAAAAAAAAAAAGTCCGATTTTTTTTATGTAATCCGAGACCCCCCATTAAAACTTGGAATTGTTAATTGATTAAAATCACAAACAAGTCAATTAATAAATAGTAGTTTTATCATCTTCCTCGGTTGTTATAGACTCTTAAATTTTTCTTTTTAATATTTTTTTTTTTAAAACATTAAAACATATAGACACGTTTTGAGTATTTCCTTTTTTTTTTTTTTTTTTTTTTTAAGCTCTCTCACTCCCCCCCCCCTGCGACGGCGCAATTTCTATGCAACGGTTTTTTTTTTTTTTTTTTTCTTTTCCCCTAAAAGAAGCAATGATGAAATTTGAAATGTTAAATTTGAAATTTGAAATTTGAAATTTGAAGATTAGATTAGAGCCAAGAATTTATTTATTTTACAAGTTTTATTATTATCAAAAAAAAAAAAATTAATAATAATAATAATAATAATAATAAATATACATTCAATTTCTTTTCTAAAATATTAATTTGTTATTTACTAAGCTATTAATTTAATTCAAATTTAATTCAAATTTAATTCAAATTTAATTCAAATTTATTTCAAATTTATTTCAAATTTATTTCAAATTTTAAAGTCTTGGAGATTTTTGTATGGAGTTTAGTTAATATGGAGGAAGAGGAAATGATTTTATAAAGAGTTATTACTAAAGGTGTATAAAAAATTTAGAATGAAATAAAAAAAAAATAAAAAATAAAAATAAAAAAGTTATACTTGTAATTAGTTATAACTAAACACAAAGAAAACCGTTATTTGAGTGAAATTTTTCCCATATTTTTTTTTTTTTTTTTCAATAGTAAGATAAAATAAATATCGTAATACATAATATATCTTAATTGAAATATTGTTTTTTTTTTTTTGGTTTTAATTGGGTCTATTGAATTGATCATATTTTAAAATATTTATAATTAATTTCGGATTGATTCAATCTCTCCGTTTGAAAAAAAAAAAATTATTGAAATTCTTTATGGACAAAAAAATAAAAACAAAACAAACAAAAAAAGGTTGCTTATATTGAACGACGACCAAAATATTGAAAAAAAAAAAAAAAAAAGGAAAAAAAAATTTTTTTCATCGTAATCGTTCAAATCACAACCGTGGGTTTTTCCCTTTTTGCAACAAGTCGACTACTACCATTGAATCATAGAGCTTATCTAGTTGCTCGTTGTAGTCGCCAAAAAAAAAATTAAAAAAAAAAATTTTTTTAAATAAAATCGGTTTGATCGGAAAGGGAAGTAAACGGTTTGTGTTACTAGTTAGTTTATTTTTTTTTTTTCCATGCGCAGAGAAAAATTTCGGCAATTAAAAAAAAAATTTTAATTATTTATTTGCAATGTAAGATTTTTTTTTTTTTAATATTGCACAGGTCAAAATGGTGCACAATGGGTGATGATGGCCCGCAACTCATTGCCGTTGCAGGAGTTGAAATGATTGGTGATTTAGAGGAAGGGAAGGGAAGGACAAGGGGAGAAGAAAGAGACAAAAGAAAAAAAAAAAAAATTAAAATTTTTTTACCAGTAAAAGTATTTCAAATAAATAAATTTGAAAAGAGATTCGGAGGATTTGATAATTTTTTTTTTTTTTTTTAAAAAGACATTTTTTGATGATGTCATTAAGTGTATTATTACAACTATTTATGTTACACAACAAGACCCGATATAAAGATGAAAAATGAAAATGAAAATGAAAATGAAAATGAAGAAGAAGATGATGATGATGATGAAGAATAAGAATAAGAAACAACAAAAAAAAACCCTGCAGAAGTACAAAAAGGCAATTTTTTTTTTTTTTTTTATCTTGAAACAAATTAAATTTATAAAAAATCGGTTATATAAAAAAAAAAAAAAAAGGTTCCATCTTTCCATAAGGTACTTAAACTAAAGTATTTAGTTGATCCACTTCAATAAGTCTATGTGGGTCGGCTTAAAAACCTCCGTTTGGAGGGCTCAAATTAAAGGAGATAAGTGGGGGGGGAGGAGGAAAATAAAATAAATTAAAATAAATTAAATATTAAATATAGATATAGATATATTTATGAGAGTTAAATAGAAATTATATAGTAAAGATTATTATTTGTTTTGGGATAACAACACTGGATAAAATATCTTTATCAGCATTGGTTAATCATTTGACAAAATAGATTTATAGATAAGCAATTAGGGTTTTTTTTTTCTTTTATTTTTTTGAAAAAAAAATATATATAAAAATATAAAAAATATAAAAAATATAAAAAAAAAAAATTTTAATTATGAATGAATGAATAAGAAGATAGTTTTTTTTAAAAAAAAAAAAGAGTAGAAACTTTTTGAAACTTATTTTGAGACCGTTTTAAATTTTTTTTTTTTTTTTATATTTAAAGTACGTGAATAAGTTTAAAGAAAATAGAAACAAAGGACAATGGAAGGAATCAGATTTGATAAATAAATAAATAAATATATATATATAAATATATATATATATATATATATATATATATCTAATCTTTAGTTTACTAGTAGTACTAGTATTCATCCATCTACAGATGCTTACATGCATTTAATCTTAATGTTACAATAATAATAGACTTTAAAACCATATAATTGAAACTTTAAGATTTGCAATAATAATTATTATAAGGAACTAAAACGATAAGTTTTTGTTGTCTTTTTTTTATTATTCCTGTTGACTAGTTCTGTAATGACTTTTCTTATAATTCAGGTTTCAATTTATTTAATTTTAAAACAAGAAGAAGAATAAGAAGAAGAAGAAGAAGAATAAGAAGAAGAAGAAGAAAGACTTGAGAAAAGATCCATTGAGTATATATATATATATATATATATATATTAATATTAAGATATTAAAAGACAAGACAAAGTATAATAAAGAAAATAAAACTAAAAAATTTAACCTTAAGAGTATCTTTGATAGTACCATCAAGTATAATGGCTGTAGCATACAAAACATACACATACACAAATTTTTTTTTTTTTTTTAAATATTTATTTTGGGTATCTCTCAATGGTACATTTCCTGGGGGAAAATAAAAATAAAAATAAAAATAAAAAAAAAAAAAAAAAAAAAAAAAAAGAGAGAAAGAAAAGAAAGAAAAGAAAGAAAGAAAGAGAGGAAAAAATTGAAAGGGTCGTCATCATTTGTACGCCGACCCCCGCGGTCTACGATTGCCAGTGTACTGAACTTATATATATATATATATATATATATTTATTTTTATATTTGTTTTATAGTATATTATAGTATTTAGTACTTATAATATACTAAAGATTGGATTGCTTTTTTTATTATTATTATTATTATTATTCTTTATATAAAGTCTTTCTTTTAAATGATGAATAAAGTAGAGTATATAAATATATATTTTAACCAAAACATTGGCCAGTCGGTCCGATATTTTTTATTTTTATTTTTATTTTTATTTTTATATTTATAAATGATATTTGTTTTTATTTTATTTTATTTATTTTTTTTCAATTTCCGATTACTGCCGTCATTATTTTATTTTTTTTAGTTCGGCGATTCCTACCCTGGAGATTTCCGGACTTGAGAAAAAAAAAAAAAAAAAAAAAAAAAGTTTTCTTTTAGAGGGGGGGGAAGGGAAGGGAAAGGATATATCGAATAAAAAAAAAAAAAAAAAAAAGTGAGAAAAAGGAAGGAGGGGGTTGTTTGTTGTTGTTATTTGTTGTTGTTGGTAGTGGTGGGAGAGAGAAAAGGAACTTTTTTTTTTATTTGTTTATTTATTTATTTATTTTATTTATTTTTATTTTATTGTGACATTCGGGTATATCAAAAGTGCGGCTTTTTTTTGTATGGCGTATTTATATTTTGTATATGTTTAAATATATATATATATAAGAAAAAAAAGAAAAGAAAAGAAAAGATTTTTATTAAATTTATTTTTTATTAAATTTATTTTTTTATATTTTATATTTTAATATATGAAAATTCGAAATTATTTTATAAGAATAGTCAATTATTAGAAGAAATAAAAAAAAGAAAAATTTAAAAAAATGGAATTTAAAAAGAAACAACAAAAAAATCAAAAAAAAAAAAAAAAAAATTCATATTTTGATGTTTTGATTGTTTGTTTGTTTTGATTTTATTATTCATTCGGTCTACTTGTTGATTTATTTGATTTATTTTGAATTTTTTTTTAATAAAAATATTTTCAAAATAAAAAATAAAAAATAAAAAATAAAAAATAAAAAATAAAAAAAAGTGGCCGCATTGTGATGAAGCAGCAACTTTGGGTTTAATCAATGATGTTTTAAATGTCATCACCTTATTTATATATATAAATATTATTACAGTAATATTATAAAAAAAAAAAAAAGAAAGAATTAATGAATGAATGAATGAATGAATGAATGAATGAATGAATAAACCAACTACAACCGTTTATTTATTTATTTATCTATTTGTTGTTATAATATATCATATATTAATAACAGGAAATGCTGCTTCTGGATGCTGCTAAGATGCATTCCAAACATTTTCAAAAATAATACAAAAAAAAAAAAAAAAAAAAAAAAAAAAGAAGCAGCCACTATTTGTTTATTTGATAAAAAAAAAAAAAAAAAAAAAAAAGAGGTGCAGCAACTACAACAACAACATAAAGCAGCCAGTATTGAATATTGAATATTGAATATTGAATATTGAATATTGAATATTGAATATTGAAATCTGATGTTGTTAATGGACATTTACAATTACAATTATATTTATATTTATTTATTTGTTTACTTATTTATATATAAATTAGTGGGTACAATATATATATATATTTTTTTTTTTCAATATTAGAGACTCCTTTTCATCCAGATAAAGTAGTAATAGTAGAATCATCATATATGTATTATTATTAATTATTAATATAGATAATAAATCCAATGACCCAAGTAACTTAATAGGTTCACTGTGTTTATATATATATTTATTATATACAATTAAAAAAAAACTTATAACTCTATCAATCAATCAATCAATCAATCAATTAATCATGATTAATTCAATCAATCAATCAATCAATCAATCAATTAATCAATCAACAAAATAATTCAAAAATTATTATTATTATTATTTTTTTTTTTTTTGAAAAAACCTCCGATCAATGCTATTTCAGAAATAGTAAAAAAAAAAGAAAAAAAAAAAAATCCGTGTATCAACTGTTCCGATTTAATCATTGGGGAGAATTTTGTGTGTGTGTTTTTTTTTATTTTATTTTATCGGGATAGTATAATAATGATATTTTCAAATAAAATAAAATAAAATAAAATAAAATTCAACAATTCAACATAAAATTTAATTTTTATCATTATCACCATCAGATATCATCATCATCATCATCATCATCATCATTATTATCATTATTATCATTATCATTATCATTATCATTATTACAACAACAACATGAAAATTTTTTCCACCTTTTTTCATTCTCTCTCTGTTGTTTTTTATTATTATTATTATTATTATTATTTTTTTTTTTTATTTTTTTTGTATTCTATCAAAACTCCCTAAAACAGGTTTTCTTTTTCTTATTCTTCCTATTCTTCTTCTTCTTCTTCTTCTTTTACTTCATTTTTTTTTTTTTTTGATATCAAACGCAGCATTAAAGAGCAGCATTTAGAGCAGCAGCTTTTAGAGCAGCAGCTTTTAGAGCAGCAGCTTTTAGAGCAGCAGCTTTTAGAGCAGCAGCAGCAGCACTCTTTTAGACTCTTTTAGGCCATAAACAACCGGCGCAGTGGGTGCCGCCAATAGCTCTTTTCGTGCTTGTCGCAGTGGATATTCTGACTAAGCATTGTATAATCTACCGTTTTGGGGTGTGCATGGCTGCCTAAATAGGTGGCTGCTTAATGGTTGTCCATCTATTTCCTTTAATGGTTTTGTTTATTTTTATTATTTTTATTATTATTTTTATTATATAAACCATTAATTAGGTAGGCCAAAATATGTAACAATTTAATGTAACAAATATATTTTTATTATTAATTATGGTGGTTGGTGGTTGGTGGTGATATGGTGATATGTTGATATGTTGATATGTTGATATGTTGATATGTTGATATGTTGATATGTTGATGGCTGCTTTATTATTTGTATTTAAAATAAAATAAAATAAAATAAAAAAAAAAAAATAATAAAAAAAATCTATTTTTTCCCTTCCCTCCCCTCCCCTCCCCCTTATAGACTAAAAAAAAAAAAATACCGCTATTTTATTAATTTATTTTTATTTATTAATTTATTTTTATTAATTTATTTTTTATTAATTTATTTTTATTAATTTATTAATTTATTTATTAACGTTTTAATGCACAAATAAAAAAAAATATACACACACGCGAAATTAAAAAGGTTGCCCACCAATATAAACACGCGCTGCTTGGCCCAATACAAAAAAAAGTATAAAAATCTCCCATTTTCCCACAGAAATTCTTTCCTCTTTTTTTTTTTTTTTTTTTTTTCTCCTTCCTATATAGTTAATAAGAAATTTAAAAAAAAAAAAAAAAATCTCAACTCTTTTTTTTTTCTTTTCTTATCTCAACTTATACAACCCCATCATCTTTCTCATCCTACCCTCCCCTCACATATAACTATCCTTTTAAAGCCAATTCCACAATGGCCTCTCTCGATCCTAAGGAGCCTACTAACGAAAAGCTCCCGGCTGCCCCCGCCGACGAGGAAGAAGACGACATTGACGCCTTTATCGAAGAACTCCAATCCGATGCCGGTGACCAAGACGTTTTTGAAGAAGAGGCTGCCGCTGGCCACTCTGCTCGCCCAGTTCCTGAAGAACTCCTCCAGACTGACCCTGCTGTCGGTCTTTCTTCTGATGAAGTTCAACACAGACGTAAGAAGTTTGGTTGGAATAAAATGTCTGAGGAACAAGAATCCCTCATTGTTAAGTTTATCATGTTCTTTATCGGTCCCATTCAGTTTGTCATGGAGGCTGCCGCTGTTCTTGCTGCCGGTCTTGAAGATTGGGTCGATTTCGGTGTCATTCTCGGTCTTTTGGGTCTTAACGCTGCTGTCGGTTTCATTCAAGAATTCCAGGCTGGTTCCATTGTCGAGGAATTGAAGAAGACTCTTGCCCTTGGCGCTGTTGTTGTCCGTGATGGCCGCATCCAAGAAGTTGCTGCTCCTGAAGTTGTCCCCGGTGATATCCTCCAGGTTGAAGAAGGTACCATTGTCCCCGCTGATGGCCGCATTGTCTCTGACGGTGCCTTCCTCCAGGTTGATCAATCTGCCATTACTGGTGAATCTCTTGCTGTTGATAAGAGATGTGGTGATAACATGTATGCTTCTTCTACTGTCAAGCGTGGTGAGGGCTTTGTCATTATTACCGCCACTGGTGATAACACTTTCGTTGGTCGCGCTGCTGCCCTTGTCAACAAGGCCTCTGCTGGTACTGGTCACTTTACTGAAGTTTTGAATGGTATTGGTATCATTCTCCTTGTTCTCGTCATTGCTACCCTTCTCGTTGTCTGGACTTCTGCCTTTTACCGTTCTGATCCTATTGTCCGTATTCTCAGATACACTCTGGCTATTACCATTGTTGGTGTCCCCGTCGGTCTCCCCGCTGTCGTTACCACCACCATGGCTGTCGGTGCTGCCTACCTTGCCAAGAAGCAGGCCATTGTCCAGAAGCTTTCTGCCATTGAGTCTCTTGCTGGTGTCGAGATTCTCTGTTCTGATAAGACTGGTACCCTTACCAAGAATAAGCTTACTCTTTCTGAACCCTACACTGTCGACGGTGTTGAGGCTGACGATCTCATGCTTACTGCCTGTCTTGCCGCTTCCCGTTCTAAGAAGGGTCTTGATGCTATTGATCGTGCTTTCCTTAAGGCTCTTAAGTTTTACCCCCGTGCCAAGTCTACTCTTACCAAGTACAAGGTTATTGAGTTCCACCCCTTCGATCCCGTCTCTAAGAAGGTTGTTGCTGTTGTTGAGTCCCCCGCTGGCGAGCGCATCACATGTATCAAGGGTGCTCCTCTTTTCGTCTTGAAGACTGTCGAGGAAGACCATGCCATTCCTGAGGATGTTTTGAACAATTACAAGAATAAGGTTGCTGAGTTTGCTTCTCGTGGTTTCCGTTCCCTTGGTGTTGCCCGCAAGCGTGGTGAAGGCCACTGGGAGATTCTCGGTATTATGCCCTGTTATGATCCTCCTCGTCACGATACTGCCCGCACTGTTAACGAGGCCAAGTCTCTTGGTCTTAAGATTAAGATGCTTACTGGTGATGCCGTTGGTATTGCTAAGGAAACTTGCCGTCAGCTTGGTCTTGGTACTAACATTTACGATGCTGAACGTCTTGGTCTTGGTGGCGGCGGTGACATGCCTGGTTCTGAGGTTTACGACTTTGTTGAGGCTGCCGATGGTTTTGCTGAGGTTTTCCCCCAGCACAAGTACAATGCTGTCGAGATTCTCCAAAAGCGTGGTTACCTTGTTGCTATGACTGGTGATGGTGTTAACGATGCTCCTTCTCTTAAGAAGGCTGATACTGGTATTGCTGTCGAGGGTGCTTCTGATGCCGCTCGCTCTGCCGCTGATATTGTTTTCCTTGCTCCTGGTCTTTCTGCCATTATTGATGCTCTTAAGACTTCCCGCCAGATTTTCCACCGCATGTATGCTTACGTTGTTTACCGTATTGCTCTTTCCCTCCACTTGGAAATTTTCCTTGGTCTTTGGATTGCCATTTTGGATGAGTCTTTGGATATTAACCTTATTGTCTTCATTGCCATTTTCGCTGATGTTGCCACTCTTGCTATTGCCTATGATAACGCTCCCTACTCCCCCAAGCCCGTCAAGTGGAATCTTCCCACTCTCTGGGGTATGTCTGTCGTTCTCGGTATTATTCTTGCTATTGGCTCTTGGATTGTCCTTACTACCACCTTTACTCGTGGTGGCGGTATCATTCAGAACTTTGGTCACCGTGATGGTATTCTTTTCCTCCAGATTTCCCTTACTGAGAACTGGCTCATTTTCGTTACCCGTGCCAATGGTCCTTTCTGGTCTTCCATTCCTTCTTGGGAGCTTGCTGGTGCCGTTGCCTGCGTCGATGTCATTTCTACCATTTTCTGTGTTTTCGGTTGGTGGTCTAAGGACACCTCCATGGTTACTGTTGTCCGTGTCTGGATTTACTCTTTTGGTATCTTCTGCGTTCTCGGTGGTCTCTACTACCTGATGCAAGACTCTGTTGCCTTTGACTCTCTTATGCACGGCAAAGGCATTAAGGAGAAGCCTCCTCAACGCACTGTCGAGGACTTCCTCGTTGCCATGCAGCGTGTCTCTACCCAGCACGAGAAGGCTTCTTAAAGGTCTTGTTCTTGTTGAGGTGTGTATAATTTAAAAATTTGCATATTTTCTATTCCGAACATTGTAATATTTAGTTTGTTTTTGTTTTGAAAAGTATTTGTAATAGTAATAATAATAATATAATAATCATTTAATTTTAATAATAATTTGTATATCTTTTTTACACTTTTGAATATGTTTAATTTTCGAATAAACTTTTAAAACTTTTTTTTCTTTTTTTTTAATTTACACTATTTTTTTTCTTTTCCTTAATCTGCTCAAACTTTTGTATTTTCTTTTCCATTTCAATTCTCTTGCGTTCTTGCCATCTCGCCAACTTTGCATGCTCATGAATCTTAAAACCAAAAATCTTTGGCACAAATCTCTCCGTTGTCTTTTCCGGAACCAAGTAAGTATGTACTTGGAAAAGCATACCAGGGAAACTTGTTCCGAAATACGCGCCATCAATCATTGCATGTTTAGCGCTGCGCGGTACATACAAGTCTTCACACATGGGACAGTACAACCGAACCGAGGCCTGGTGGGGCATATCATGTAAACCAATCGGTAGAAGAGGAGCCTTTTCACAATGTACTCTTGGACAGTACCCAAAGTCTCCATTCTTATATTTCTCCATCATTCGTTGTAACCCTCGCGATGTGACAATGTACCGTGCATGGATCAATCCGTAAAGATGTGAAGCTGAATGTTCTAATTTCTCTCGATCTTTCTCACTAAGTTCAGGTCCTGTATGTGTAAAGTTATCGGTAATGATATCTATTGCCATTTGTAAATGAACAACTTCGGTGTTAAGTCCTGTCAAGTTGAATTTGTCGAGAATAAATTCAGTATCGATTTCACAGAAATATTCATTCCCCTTGATGCTCAGAAACCATTCAATCCAATAGTCCTCTACGTTATCATTAGAATATCTCCATATATTAATATATATATTTATTCATTTTATCTCTTCTTCTTCTTCTTTTATTTTTATTTATTTTATTTTTTTAACCCTTCTAACTTACCCGAATAATCAGAGTCTTCATTTCCCTGTTGCATGTTTTTTTTTTTTTTTTTTTTTTTTTTATTAAATTCTTGTCGTGATACTTTGTAAACTTTTAAAAAAGTATCCCGTAAGATTTTCTTGGTGGTTATGGTGGTAGTGGTGGTGGTGGCAGCTGCAATATACATAAAAATTTTAAATTAAAAAAATTAAAATAAAATAAAACGCGTCATTAAAGTAGGGTAATCATATCAATTTTAATTTTTTTTTTTTTTTTTTCTTTCTTTCTTTCCCCCACGATACAACCTAACCTCCAGACTTTTGAATCGTAAGTGTGTGTGTGTGTGTGTGTGTGTGTGTGGGTGTGTGTGTTTGTGTTAATGAGTGACTGCATTAAGAATTTTTTTTCATTTTTTTTTTTTTTTTCAACCACCATTAATTTTTTTTTTTTTTAAACATCTCCAAAACCCTTTCACAACCAAACACCCTTTTTTTTTTTTTTATAAAAATGCATCTGGTTAAGCCGTCGTGGCTCGTCCATTCAGATGAACACCGTTCGTACGAAATATACTCTGTTCATGTGAACCCCGACGGTACCCGTCTGGCCTCTGGCGGTCTCGGTAAGTCATAATTTCATTTCATTTCATTTCATTTTATTTCATTTAATTTTTCATTTTTTTATTTATTTATTTTATTCCTTTACACTCTTTTAAATCATTCCTAACATTCTTATAGACGGCAAGGTCCGAATCTGGTCTACGGAATCAATCTACAATTCGGCTCCTGGTCCTGAGCAATCACCAAAAACACCACTTGCTGATAAACATCAACTATGTTCAATGTCAACACACACTGGTGCAGTAACCGTTGTTCGGTTCTCACCTTGTGGAAGGTATTTGGCCTCTGGGTCCGATGACCGTGTGGTTTTAATTTGGGAACGTGATGAAACTCGTTCTGGAGCTGCTGCTGCTGTTGAGTTTGGTCAATCGGCATCTGGAAACTCTTCATTTGACCCACCCAATAGTGAAACATGGGTTGCACGTAAACGACTTATAGGTCACGATAATGATGTTCAAGATTTGGCCTGGGCCCCTGATTCAAGTATTTTGGTCACTGTGGGACTTGATTCTGGTGTAATTATATGGAGTGGTACAACTTTTGAGAAACTAAAACGATTTGATTCCCATCAATCCCATGTAAAGGGCGTTTCCTTCGACCCAGCAAATAAATACTTTGCAACTGCATCTGACGATAGATCTGTTAAAATTATAAGATACCATCATGACGCTCAATCTGGCGAAGTCATGTTTTCAATCGAAGCTACTATTGCTGCACCTTTTAGAGGATCCCCACTGTCTACATATTACCGGCGATGCTCGTGGTCTCCAGATGGTAATCACATTGCAGCTGCAAATGCTACCAATGGTCCTGTGACAACTGTCACCATTATTAATAGAGGAACATGGGACAGTGATATTAGTCTTGTGGGTCATGATGCCCCCTGCGAAGTGGCATCGTTTTGTCCACGTATATTTTCTCTTGAAAAAATTGACTTGGAAAAGAAAAAGAAAACAGATGATGATGATGATGGAGAATCACAATCCCAACAATTTGCAAATTTAATCACTGTTATTGCGACTGCTGGTCAAGATAAAACTTTAGCCATTTGGAATACCTCTAATCCACGGCCACTCTTAGTTGCACGTAATGTTGCTGAAAAGTCTATTACCGATATCGCGTGGTCTGCCGACGGGTCAAAGTTGTTTGCATCTTCACTTGATGGTACCATTCTTGTGGCAATGTTTGATCCTGGCGAGCTTGGCTGGACCATGCCGCTCGAGGAAAATGCTGTCCAACTCACTCGCTATGGTGGTGGCAAAGAGGCTCTACAGATTCCAAGTTCCACTGGAATGCTTGCGCTAGAAGAGGCTGGTGATGAAAAGAAAAAGGATTCCATTTTGGATAGTATTATGGGATCTAACCCATCTAATACTTCAAACTCTTTTGATACCAATAATGAACCAGAAACTATTACTAAAAAAAAGGACACAAAGGAAGATCAACCCAAAGAAGTCAAACAAGAACAACCACCGGCCCCTGCACCACCCCCTAAACCTGTCTTGCAGCAAAAGGTTACCATTACCAAAGACGGTAAAAAACGTATAGCCCCGATGTTGATTTCGAGTGCGTCCTCAGTAAGCACCCGTGCACCTCCACAGCGCGCCTCCGCACACACATCCAGCAATACTCGGGGTGTTCCTGGAGTTGTAGACTATGCTCCACCGTCCAATGCGCTTCCTCAGGGTGGCATTTCGTCGTTACTTATTGGAACCAAACGACGGATCGACGTTCTGGAAGAATCCGGAGGTGACGGATCAACCGGTGCAACCAATGGGTCATCATCCGCAAATACAAACGGATCTGCAGCAGGAACATCTTCAACAACGACCAATGGCACTGGTGGCCATGCAGCCACAGGTGCAAACTCACACATTACTAAAAAACAACGACCATACACGGAAATTACGTATGTCCGGCCACCACTACTTTCTGCAGCCTCAGCAATTGCCCAAGTCCGACTGGCAGTGCCTAAGGTGCGCACAGTATTTGCACGACGGTCAGTTCTTGACAGTGGCAATAGTAGTAGTAGTAGTAGTAATAGTAGTAGCAGCAGCAGCAACAGCAACAGCAACAGCAACAGCAACAGCAACAGCAACAGCAACAGCAACAGCAGCAGCAACAGCAGCAGCAACAGCAATAACAATGGCAGCACTAGTAGTGGCAACACTACCGATCAAGGGACATTATCAAACTCAGACTCTGTATTTGTGCTTGAGGCACGCAATAGTAGTGCTGGCAAGGGAGGCGAACAAATTACCACGGCAAAAATTACAGTAACACGAGAAGGCGCGGCAGCATCTTCCGTAGCTGGAAATATCACAGCAGCTGCATCAACAACATCTACTAACGGATCAAGCACAAATGTGTCTGCCGGGTCCACTGCTGGTGGAAATACATCTACAGGCCCCATCTTTACCGACTATTTGCCCCGCTATGCACAATTGGCAGCTGGAGGTGCAGACACTTTTTGGGCTGTAGCCACTGAGGACGGGTGCATCTACGTTTATTCGCCACACGGCCGACGGCTGTTCCCCGCGCTAGTTCTAGGCGCCCCTCTTGCGTTTATGGAAAGCTCTGGTACTCACCTGCTCGCCATTACAGCTGTAGGACTTGTTCACGTATGGGACGTGAGTACACGGCGCGCAGTCCTGGCCGGTGTGTCGCTGGCACCCGTACTCGACGCCGGAAGTCGTTGTGCCGACGATGGAGTGGTGCGTGGGCCCAAGGTTGTGCGTGCTACTGTGTCACCAACAGGAGCCGTGGCTGTGACACTGTCAAATGGAGACTCGCACATGTATGACGATGCTATGAAGACATGGACGCGTGTGGCGGACTCGTGGTGGGCATCCGGGTCACAGTATTGGGACACGACAAGTGCAGAGGGCTCATTGGGAGGATCTACTACGCGTGAGGTTGGCATTGTGAGCTTATTGGAGAGCCGGACAAGTGCAGAGCTGCAGATTGGGGCGTTAACAGGAGGTGGCAATTTAAACAGCACGAACGCGGCGGCTACTGCCAACCGAGCCCGCGTGCAGCTACTACAGCGGCTGGTGCGCGGGCGCATGGTCAAGGACGGTTACGAACACTTTGAACGGTTTGTATCTGCGGCACATTTGGAAACTCGGGTTGCAGCTGCGCTGGCAGCGCACTCGTTGCGTGAGTATAGTGTTTATGTGCGCATGTACGCGCAACGACTTGCAGCCGATGGCGAGGCTGGTAAGCTTGAGGAAGTATTGGGGGAGTTGTATGCACGAAGCCGTGGTCAGGGTGAAGATGGAGAAAAGTTGTTGAAAGAGGTTGTGGTTGCTGTGGGCGGGTATCGGTCTGTTCAGCGAGTTGTTGCCAAATACGCAGTGGCCAGTGGGGTTATTGATGATTTGGATGGGTTATAAGTATATATACAAGATATAATGGGGGAAGTATAATAAATGAAAAATAAAGAAAAGAAAAGAAAAAAAAAAAAAAAAAACAATGATTGTCAATTGTATTGTATGAAATTTATTTTTTTTTTTTTGATTATTATTCCTATTTAAACACTATTTTTTCGCAATTCTTCTCTAGAAATAAGATAGTTAAAGTTAGATGTTTGATGTTTGATGTTTGATGTTTGATGGTTTGGTTTTTTTTTTTTTTTTTTCCGTGAATAAAACGTACCTGAGTTGCGCCGCAAAATCGTCATCGGCATCATCGTCATCCCATTTTTCTTCCCAAAGTCGTTCGCCACCTTCTGCCAGTTCTGGGTCCAAATCTCCGTCATTCCATTCTAAATATTTTGTTAGTTTGTTGATCAATCATTCAATCAATCAATCAAAAGTAAACATTGATACTTACGTTCAACTGGGAAATCCTCAAACTCGTCATCTTCTTCTAATGATACAAGAGCGCGCACACTTTCATCTTTAGTCTCAGAAGGTGCTGTGGTAGTGGTGGCGCCATTAGCTTCTGGCTGGTCTTGTTTCTGGCTTGACATGTTTTTTTTTTTTGGGGGTTGTTGTTGTTGTTGTAAAAGCGAGGTTTTGATTATAGATTGTTTGATTTTGTTTTTTAATGTTAATATGGAGAGAATGGAAAATGAATGGAGGTGGCACTTTTTTTTTTTTTTTTTTTTTTCTTTCAACAATAATCGCCACATTAAGATCTTAGTCATCACATATTTTATTTAAATAGCTTCCATAACTGTTCCTTAGTATGCTCCTTCTAAACAACCTGCAATTCCAAAACTCCACCAAAACATTCCAGCCTTTTTTGTTTTTTGTTTTTTGTTTTTTGTTTTTTTTCTGTTTAAACTTGGATTGCCCATAATAATATATATAACCAACAACATTCAAATCATACTATACACAAAACCTCCATCATGGTTTCTCTCGCTGCAGCTTCCTTTTCAATCCCTGAGATCTCGCTTACTCTATTTTTTCACCCAGTTGTTCTCGTCATTGTTTTCCTTCTTTTTGTTACAATTCTTTTTATCTTCCGGTCCCGTTGGCGTACGTGAACTTTTCTCCCAATCAACTCCAAATGCCCTTCTTATTTTCCCTTTACTAATATCCATTTTTCACACCTTTTCCAAGTCCCCATATTTTCCTCACTTCCTTGGTATCGCTCTTCTGCAGCTGCATCCCGCTCATCTCTTAATGAAGCATCTTCTTTCCTTGACGATTACCGCGCCGGATTGTCGTCTTCCAACTTTGATCTTTCCGCAAATATTGATGGTGACGATTCAAGACAAGGTCTAGATACAGAGGCACGCGCAGCTATTGTTCGTGCAATGAATACTGACCCTAGTCTTTCATTTGACGAGGCTCGCAGAAAATACTTTGTCCAAAAGTTAAAGGAAAATAATATAGGTATGGCTGTGTCTTATTTCGTACTCCTCCTTTTTCTTTTTCTTCTTCTTCTTCTTCTTCTTCTTCTTCTTCTTAAACCTGTCTTACACTAACCAATTTAGGTCCTGATGGTCTTCCCAATGACCCCAAAGCATTAGTATTCCATCGCAATTAAATAGATTTTTTTTTTCTTCTCAAACTATATTAAAAAAAAAGACAAATAAGTATAGCTATTTTTTTTTATTTTTTTTATTTTTTTATTTATTATTTTTTTTATTTAAATTTTTTTTTACTTGTTTTCTTATATATATATAAAAAAAAAAACTCATTTCAACCCTGTATTTATATTTTTTTTTTACTTCTCCCCCTTAATACCCTAAGGAGCTCCAGCAATGTGAAGCTTCTGTTGCTCGCGCGCCCACTTGGCTGTGTCGCGTGTGTTATTTCCATAAGTCCGGTCCGTCCGTGCCTTCTTAATAGTCTCCGTGACCCATGGTGTACTGTAAATTTCAACCAGAGAGCCAGCCGGGTACATGGTCGCAATATCTCCCAACAAACCAACCACAGACCGCACAGTTGACTCGGTCTTAACTACTCTCACGTCTGCATTGAGCAGCTGCAAAAACTCCATAATAGACCCAAGGTGTGGGTACAATTGTCCAGGCTCGTCGTGCAGACCGGTGACAATGCCCACGTAGGCATCTACAATTGCCTCTCGCAGACTAGACACATACTCCAAAAAATCAGGTGGAGACTCAACAGTCGTTTGCAGCTGCGAAGCTTCTCTGATAACAGCCATAACAACGTCCAAATAAACGCTAAACGACGAACCCATCGATGATGCAATGTCGCCAAAGCATGAAAGAATCATAGGCTTAATGTCCCTAGGAGTACTGGCCGCTTGTAACATGCTGCCCAAAATTGTCATCATGTTTTCGCTGTATTTGGCCACAGCAGGCCCCAGGGCGTGACTGATGTCAGCAACAAGACCAATGGCCGTGCGTACTGCGGGGGCATCAGGGTCCTGCAGAGCGGCAACCAAAAAGGGCAAAAAGGTTTCCATATACTTTTCAAACTCAGGGCCAATGACACCTGCAACAGCACCAATAGCAATGAAAATGTCCTCCTCAATTAGCGTGTTAGGAAGCTTATGAGTCAACATGTTGAAAAACAACTCCATGAGTCGATCAGCAGCCGCTGGAATCTCTTCGCCAATGCGTCGCACAATGTTAGTTAACAAGCTCAACAGATTGATTTGCAGCTCTTCCAAGCTCGCACGATCCTCAATACCAACAACCTGCTGCTGTATTCCCAGAGTGCCCTCAAGACGCTGCATGACCTGCGTAGCAAGCTCACGAACAGTGTCCAGAACGTCATTGGCACTGAAAATCACCAGTGTTGACAATGCCTCGTATGCTGATGCACGTGCAGAAGCATCATTATCTTGCTTGGTGGCCAGCGACAAGAGCGCAGTAACCAACGGGTTGTAGTATTGGGACATGGGTGCCGTGTCTTCCTGAGGGCCATCGTGGTTAAGTTGCTCTGTGAGATTCATAATAGTCCAGCAGCAGTTGGCAGCAACCTTTTGGTCATCATTCAGACCAACAACAATGGCATGGATAATAGAAGGAAGGTGGGACTCAATGGAAATACCGTCGATAACAAGGTCCGCCATACGCCCAAGACACCATGCAACAGTGTCGCGTACATGCAGCGACTGGTCGTTGATTAAGCTAACAATGGGGTTAAGAGCTTGTCCAATAAGGGCTTTAAGCTCTTCATAGTCTGGGCCATCGAGAATAGAGCCGAATGCCATAACAGCAGCTTCACGCTTCTTCCAATCTTCGTCAGCCAAGTTGACTTCAACAAAGTTGAGGGTAGTAGGAACAACAGCGTTTTGGGTAGTTTGAGCATAGAGCTGTAAGCATGCACCAGCAGCCATAGAAACGTTCCAGTCATCTTCATCAGCAAGCTCATCCTGTCGAGTTAACAAGCTCAAAAGCGTGGGCAGTACTTCTGGGAGGGCAGATTGAGCAAATTGGTAGTTTTGCTTAGCTGCGTGTTCGTCCTCACTTGTCATGAGAATCTCAAGCTCCTCCTCGCAAACAGTGCTCCAAAATTCAACAGCCATGCAAGCAACACGGTCGTTTTCAGAACGCATACCAGAAACTGTGAGACTAAACAGAGCCTTTTCCATATAAAAGCTCATGTACTGGTAATACAAGCTCATAATGCGAGCCATGGCTCCAAAAGCAGCCACCTGAACCTCATTATCTTCGGACTGAGTAGCTTCACAAACAACCTGCATGATATAATTGCGTTCAGAGTCAACACCAAAATTGCCGCGGATAAACTCCAAAGAGTTGACAAGGGCGTTGATGGCAGTAAGACGCACCGATGGATCCGTTTCACTGGACTGAGCACCTTGAACAATGGCGGTAAGAATGGGACTAGCCTGGGCTACCACACCGGGATTAGAAGAGTCTGCAGTCTCGCAAATGTAGCCAATGGCCAAAAGGGCAGACTTTTTAACCTCGGAGGGATTTTGGGGGGCTGTATTGGCAATGAGGACTTGCATGAGGTCGGGCCAAGCGTTGAGAGGGAGTTCAATATCGGCAATAGCAGCAATAAGTTGGGCAGCTGATCTACCGACTCGTTCATCAGAAGAACTAAGAGCCTCAAGAGCTACTGATTTAATTTGAGTTTTGGCGTCTAGAGGAAGTTGGTTCCATCGCTCTATTTGCATGTGTTTAGTTCTAAGGTCCTAAAAAAATGTTAGTAGATCAAAAAAAAAAAAAAAATACAGTTGTTTATTTTACTTACTTTTGAAGTAAGCTGATTTTTTAGACCGAGACCAGCAAGCATTCGGACTTCTGTTCTGCGCTGGGGATTACCCAGGACTTCTGTGAGCATGGCAAGATATTGAACCTATGGAGCGTTAGTCAAACTTGTACTAGTATGGATTGGATCTGGACTTACAAAGTGCTCGGAAGCAGCTTTTTCAAGTTCAGCTTCAGCCTGAGCTCTGACAGCTTGGTCTATAATATAAGGCAGCAGTTAGAGATGAAAATTGAAAAGGTTCTTTTAAGAATTAAACATACCAGAACTCAGAATGGCGTTTTCTAAGATGGAGGCGAGATCCATTGTTGAGAAAGTAGTATGTGTAAAAATGTATGCAAAAAAAGATGACTATAAAGAAAAATAGACAGCAGCCGAGTTCAGAAAGACTTCGAAGAACCGCTGGATTCTAAAGAGGCCTGTGAAAAATGTCTTTGTGACTGGGCTCAAAAAAGGGTTTGAGTGATGATGTTGGTGGTAGTGGTGGATTTTGGTGGCAGCAAATGTTTTTAAGGAATATTTTTTTTTTTTTAGCGGTGGGCTGTTTGCCTGCCTGCTTGTCTGTGTAATTTTTTGCTTGCCTGTCTGAACAACAACAGCATGCTGAGGAGCTTCACTCATCACAAGCCTAAAAATGGTTGTTGTAAATCCAGGGTTAGGGCGGGTGATTTCAGGGCTAAGGGGTTTAGTCTTACAGGAGTTGCTTTTCTTAGAAACCCTTGACCCTGATGACACATTATTTAGTCAATATCATCACGTGATCTTGCTCAGCTTAGCTTAGCCCTCTTTCCCCGCCGCAATTCTCGTAGTACCAAAGTTGCCTCAATTAAATGAATAACACCAACAATCCCAACCATCAAAGCAACCATAATGACTAGCAACAACTCCGATAACGAAACTGAGTCTTCCGCTTCAGAGCCTTGGACCGATAACAGACCCGATGCTGAAATATCTTTAGAAGATGAGTTGTCGTTGGACAACCAACAGCAAGAATCTCAAGACAACGCCACTACCACTACCGAACCCCTCGCTCCTGCCCCTCATACCGTGCTAACATCTACTGCTACAACACCCGACCTGACCACAACAAATAATGAAGACGATGAAGATGAAACTCCAAGATTCAATATTAGTCTTGACTCTAATGATACTTTCTCTGTTCCACCAGCTCAGTCGGAGCCCATCTCTGGTGATACTTCTGTACCAACAGAGTCTTCTACTACGGCATCCACTACTTTTATTCACTCAACTGTGACCGACCCCCAGAAAGAACAAGATGGATCTCAGAATGCGTACATCTCGTATCTTATCACTACTGAAACAAACGTTCCGACTTTTCAATCTCACCTTGTCAAAGTTCGCCGTCGGTTTTCCGACTTTTTCTTCCTTTATAGTTTTCTTGTTTCTGAGTATCCTGCCTGTGCTGTTCCACCACTTCCTGATAAAAACCGCCTTGAATACATCAAGGGTGATCGGTTTGGCCCAGAGTTTACTCTAAAACGCGCTGCTTCTTTGAACCGGTTCTTGGATCGTATCTCTATGCATCCAATTTTACGTAAAGCTTCGACCTACCTTATTTTTCTTGAGTCGAACGAGTGGCACGCTTACAAGCGTTCACTTGCAATCCGTCAACAGACTTCACCAGAAACTCCAAGCGTTCTGGATGGATTATCTGATTCACTGCTTAATGCTTTTTCAAAAGTTCATACTCCTAATGAAGAACTCATCGATGTCAAAGCAAAGATGGACAAGCTCGACGAAAACTTACTTCAAGTTGAGCGTGCGTTCCTCAGAGTTTTGCGCCGTAAAGGTGACATCTCTAGTGACTTTGACGACTTTTCACAGCAACTTATTCGACTTGCTGGGCTTGAAAAGAACCTTGAGTCTGAAATTGTTTCCTTTGCCAATGGCACGGAGTTTATCTCGCGAGCCACACTTCAGCTCCGCGATCAAATTGATAATGGATATATCATCTCTCTGCGCGACTTGCAAAACTACGTGACTTCCATCAAATCTCTCATCAAACTTCGCGAGCAAAAGCAACTGGACTACGAAGCTCTCATTGACTACCTGGCCAAGGCGCAACAGGAAAAACAAGCAATGCAAATTGGTAGCGGCTCAAAGAACTTTTTCCGTGCTCGTATGGAAGACATGCGAGGAATTGACCATGAAAATGCAAAGAATGAGCGCTTACGCAAGCTTGAAACGAAAATTCAAAGTCTCTCTCAAGAAGTGGACAATGTGAAGACTGCTTCTGATACATTCCAGGATCTGGCCATTAACGAAATTGCAATTTTCGAAAATACAAAGGCCCACGAAATGAAGGAAACCTTAAGTACGCTTGCTGATAACCATATCAACTACTACCAGTCCTTAATCCATGAATGGTCAGCTCTTTTAAAGACTTAGAATTGAAACGCGTGAAATAAGGGGGTTTTAATGATTTTACCTCCGTTTTTTATTTTTCTTTTTTTATTTTTTTTTTTTAAGAATTAATATAAATCTCTTTATTTTCTTTTCCATATACTTGTATAAACTCCTCCAAGCTTTGTACGTAATGTTTATAACTCATGGTTTCAATATTGTACTTGAGTTCACGCACTTTCTTAGTATGTGGTACCGGCGCCTTTTCATTCTCTTGAACATAAAACTTGCGCAGCAGCATGATGGCTTCTTCACGGTAAAACCCAGGATAACATTTGTACTCGGGATCAGGACCAGGACTAATATTTTATTAGAAATAAGTCAAAAAAAAGTAAATTATACTCACCCTTGGTTGATCCATAGCACACTACCACATCCACCGAATCGATCGTTAGCACATCCAAAAAATACACGTCGGATTCGAAGCTGCCGTAGCGCTGATGCACACATAACACATGGCTCTACTGTCACATAAAGATCACATTCAGAAATTACATCGTTATTACTGTCTTGGTCCTTCAATGCTTCATCGATAGCTAAGAATTCTGCATGTCTGGTTGCCTTGTATTAGTTAGAGATAAGTACCAGAATTCAAGGAAAATAAGCTTACACAAGATGTTCGATTAGTATCATTCAAGCCACGGCCTATAACCTTTCCGTCACGTACAAGAACGCAACCTACAGGTACTTCACCCTTACTCAGTGCGAGCTCGGCCTACTCAAAGTGTCAGTAGTCCCACAAATTTCTAAAAGCATAAAACCTTTTTAATTACCATCTCCAGAGCCTCTTGCATATGCTTGAAATGATCAGACCCTGTATCTTTAATGCTCATCTTGTAGGTTTACTGGTGATCTAAGGGTTAAAAATAAAGGCGTGTGAACAACAAAAGGAGTTCTTCGAAATGTGATTCAGAACACTTTTTTTTTTTTGCTTATGCAAATTTTTTTTTTGGTGATAGTGCTGCAATTTTAAAGACTATTGTGCGGCGTTAACAAACGGTTATTTTGATTGAATAACATCAAACCCCATCAACACTAACAAAAAACGTCTCTCAAAAAGTTTATACAAAAAAGCAATGTAGCTTATAAACAATAGATCAAAATAGATCTATTAGGGATTTGATTTGATTTGATTTGATTTGATTTGATTTGATTTGATTTGATTTGATTTGATTTGATTTGATTTTAAGTAGTTATAAGAAACTAAAAAAAATATTTAATGCTTTTGAGTGATTGATCTCTAAAGAAATATCATTTATCCTGTTCCCGCTTTGCAACCCATTTATATCTGTTGTCTAGAATATGGAATAGTTACTTCCCATAATTTTTAAAACGATATTATAAAAGACTAAAAAGGACTAAAAAATTGTTTGTATTTATTCAAAGGTTATAGAATTATATAACATCAGCATCTGCGCTATCCTTCTTGTCCATACTATATATTTTTTCATTTTAATAATAAACTTTTAATTTTGGCTTCAACATTGCATCTCCAACAGCCCGAAAATAAGTCCCGATGCCAGCTTACGAGGAACAGGGGGTTAAAATAACCAAACCTTCCCAACCTATCTCCACTTGTCTTTATCAACGCTGTGATTGTATTTCTTAATCCCTCCAAGCAGAGATAAAGCTTACAATCTCTGCTTGGACTGCTATAAAAGTAAAAAAAAAAACAAATTAAAAAAAGTATGAAAAAATTGATTAGTTTTTAAAAGTAAAATTACTTTCAAAAACACAACTTGGGAAGTTAGTGTAGTGGTTATCATACTTGCCTTCCAAGCAAGTGACATGGGTTCGATTCCCGTACTTCTCATGTTTTTCGTATCATTATATATATTTTTTATTTTTACCTAATTTTGGATGATTATTTTTTTATTGTTTTCGCCAAAAGTAAAAGGTTTGAAAAATTTTGATGTAGTGTATGGGGTGGGATTAAGGTTCGCTAAATTTTAAAAAAAATTGAATGTTTGTATGTGTAAGACTGATTTTAGAACATCACTATAAAGTTCAATTTTTTTTTCTCACTCACTGTAAAAAAAAAAATTCATGTAGACTTATAATTATCAAAGATATAAATTTAAAAATATAAGAAGTCGAACTTCAAAACAACTTTCTAAAATAAAAAAAATACTAAGATATATCTAAAAAAATAAACACCCACGATGGGACTCGAACCCACAATCTTTAGATTAGAAGTCTAACGCCTTAACCATTGGGCTACGCGGGCAACTTTCTTGAAAAATTAAACTTTAGAATACTTTAGTAAGATACGATATTACTTAAGTAAAAATAATAACAAATTTTAAATGCATAAAAAACCATGTCAGACCCCCCCAACAACACCCAAACCACGTTTAGTGGCGGCGACCCTCCTGCCGACAATAATTATACCGACAATAATAATGAACAGACTAATATTAATGATATGCAAAAAATTATTGCTGTTGAACTGAAGGAGAAAGAAAGTTCTCATTCCAGAGGACCTCATTCTCATGAAGCTCATCACATCAAACCCTCGACAAAAATCCAAAAAAATAATGAAAAACCAGACTCCCATAAAAAAATTGAAACTATCCACAAAAAGCTTGAATCGAATGATAAGCATAATGCTTCTTCAAACCACGAAACCCCCGTTGAAACCCCTATTGTGAATGTTGGTCCAACCTTGAACCCTACCTTTGACTCTTCACCAGATGGTGGTGATGTGGAAATTGACGCAACACCATCACGTGACATGGATGTTCTCATGCCGGATGCAAATCCATTTGGTGATAATTCTGAAGCCTGGGAATACATCTTAAAACTTAAGGATGTATTTCTGGTTGAATTGTCTATTGTTAAAGAAGACTTGAGTATTACAATTGAAGATTGGGAAATAAAATTTCAAAATCTTGAACTTAAAAACAATGAGTTAGCTAAACAACTCATTGCTTTGACCGAAAAGCTTAAAGCTTCAGAAGGACAAGTGAATTCTCTTCGCTCAGAACTTGATGTTTTGAGAAACAATCAGGTCCACACAGAAGTTAAACATGTAATGTTTGAAAAACTTAAAAAGGAAGTTAAGGATAATAAGGATCATTGCGATAAAGTGAAACATAAAGCTGATGAAATAGCTAAGATGACTCTCCAAGATTTGTCTCAAGAAAAAGCAAGAAACAAAAGAATTATCGACACTGAAATCAAGGAATTCAAAGAAATGACCAACAATCTTGAGAAAAGAGTTGATAATATGGAATACAAAGTTGGAACTATTTCAACTAAGGCTGATTTAACTACCAAAGAACTTAGCTACGCAAAAAAGGAAATCAAGAGCGCGGTAAGAAAAGTCGACACTTTGCCTTTTGCTTTGACCCCTAAAACTCCAAATGGAGCAACTCCAAAGTTGAAAGACATTATGAAGGCTCAAAAACAACACCGTGAAACTAAAGTTGATGAAGACAAACCCACTTTTAGAGTGTGCATAAGAATTCCAGATACCATGAAAAGAGTTAATATCCCTGCGATTGGAAAGAAAATTGATGCGGTTGCACAAAAGCCGGTGGCTCAGGAAATAGGCTATACTGTCAAAGGGCATTTATATGTTCAACTTAATGACAAAGATTTTGCTGATAAAGCTGCAGAATGGATCCCCAAAGTTGACCCTACTTATTCAGTGCTTGACACAGATTCTTGGTACAAGGCTGTACTTCAGGAAATACCTAATACGGCATCGATTGAAGACTTGAAAGAAACTCTCTACAATTTTAATGATTACCATATTGTTTTGAATACCGAACCCAAAATCATTAGCAGAAACCAATTTACCCAAACAGCATTGGTTTCATTCAGAAATGCCCAAGACTATGCAAAGTGTGCTGATAATCTTATTATCCAGTACACAAAAGTTAAAGTTAGACCTTTTATTAGCAGAAAAAAAACTCCTGAAGAACTCCAAGCTATGCGTAATAAGATACGATTATTGAAAAATGAATCAGACAAAAAGGATAATGAGGCCCATCCTGTTTCCACTGACGACTCACAAGATGAACCGATGAAAGAAACAAATATTGAAGAACTAGATGAATCAATGAGGAAGAAAACGAAAACAATTCTATTACATCCAATGAATTATAAAGTATTCCAACTCAATTGTCATAAATCGAAATCTATTACTGAAACTATCTTAGATAAAAAAAGAACCTGATATCTTGTTATTACAAGAACCTTACTTTAACAACTATGGGCCCATTAAACATAAAGATTGGATCCCAATCTTTACAGAAACTGGAAAAGAAAAAAATAAATGCAGAGCAATTACTTACATTAGGTCTAACTCTGACTTACGAGCATTAACTACTAAAATTGAAAAGTTTACAAATCGAGATATGGTTACCATTTTGGTTAAAGACATTACAATTGTCAATGTCTATAATCAACCGAAACCATCCAAGAAATACCCTGAGCCACCGGTTTTTGAGTTTCTCAAACGGGAGATCAAGGAACAATACTCAAAGATTGTCATTGCAGGTGATTATAACTTACATCACAAGGAATGGGAGTCAAGGGCAGGTCCGAATACGGAAGCAGATGAAGTTGTTGAGTGGCTACATGAAAATGATATGATGTTAATTACTCCAAGAAATCAAAAAAACATACAACAATAGAACCAATATTGATTTGGTTTATGGCTCAGTGGACTTACTTCATAGAATTTCATTTAGTGGAGTGGATGAAAATACACTAAGTGATCACTCAATTGTGGAGTGGGACATTTATATGTCTCAGAGTAAAAACGGGGATGAAGTTTTTACTTCGGTGAAGAGATTGAATATTAAGAATGCAGATTGGGAAAAGTTTGACAAGGAGCTTTCTTCTGCCATTAAAGATTTTAATGTGCATAACAAAACTCTAAAATCAACTGACCAAATTGATGACCAAGCTAAAGTTCTTGAGGAGGTTGTAAAAGAGCAATGGCAAAGTCGATGAAGGAAGTTAAGGTGATGAAAAAGTCCAAACGCTATTGGAATCAAGAATTAAAGGAGAAGTTAGAAAAAGCGCTAGAAGCTAAAAGGGAAGCCCGTCAAAGACAACCTTCTTTGGCTTTGAAACGACAAAAAAATTGAAGAGGCGAAAAAAGCTAGAAAAATTTTTGACCACAGTTTGCGTGAGGCAAGTACTGAGCAATGGAATAAATATTTGTCTAGTTTAGAAGGAAATGACATTTGGAAGATTTTGAAGTATATTAATCCAAAAGCAATGATACCATTATACCACAAATTAGAAAAGAAGATGGAACTCTCACTACTACTGTTGACGAAAAAAGACATGAAATATGGAAGGCACTTCTACCTGAAATTGATCATGGTCTTGATAGAGAGTTTGAAATTGATGACGATTCTCGATGGCCAAAATTAGAGTTTGATGAAGTTGACTCTGCATTGGCTGATACCCCAAATGATAAAGCTCCAGGAGACGATGGAATTACTGGCAAAGTTTTAAAGATGGCATGGCTAAATAAAGACTTTAAGGAAAGGTTTTCAAGCTTCTCCAAGCTTGTGTAAAGTTTGGATACCACCCAAAAGTCTGGAGACATGGCATTATTGTTGTTATACCTAAACCTAAGAAACCTGACTATTCAAAGCCAAGAGCATACCGACCAATTTCCTTACTTAAGATTCCATCTAAAGTACTGGAAAAAATTATACAAAAAGAATGACCAAGCTTACAACACACTTACTTCCACCAGAGCAATATGGGGGAAGACAAGGTTATTGTGCTACTGATGCTGTTTTGGAACTTGTCCAAAGAATTGAAACTAGTAAAGAAAAAATTTCAGCTATGCTCATTGATATTCAAGGAGCTTTTGATAATGTTAACAGAAATATATTGGCATACACAATGGAGGATATGAAACTACCCAAAGCACTTATAAACTGGACGTACCAATTTGTAAGTGAAAGAGAAGCTAGTATGCTCATGGACCGAAGAAAAGGATCAGTGCAAAAAATTAGTACTGGAATTCCGCAAGGCTCACCTATTTCACCACTACTTTTTTTGATATATTCCACACCAATGTATCATGCCATTAAAGAATGGGGTGGAACTCCTTTTGGCTTTATTGATGATGTGACTATTACCGTTGAAGGTAAAATTGAAGAAAATACAAAAGCTTAAGCAACATATTAGAAAAATGTTGTAATTGGGCTAAATCAAGAATGACCAAAATTGATTTGGGTGATAAATTGGGTTTTATTCATTTTACAAAAAATGTGAAACCTAAAGATGAGAAAGTGCAACTTACTTTACCTAATGGAGAACTTCGTGAACCCCAGAAGGAAGTTAAATTGCTTGGAATTACTTTGAACAATCTGCTTGATTTTAAATCTCATATTTTGAATAAAATCAATAAAGCAAGAAAAGCTGTTGGTGCTATTTGGCATCTTGGTGGCGTGCAAAAGGTATGCGAGGGTCTGCAGTCAGATCACTGTATATTGCTTGCGTGAGACCAATTGTCGAATATGGCTTAGAAATTTGGCATCACAAAATTTTGAAAGGAGAAATCCACAAGTTGGAAGTAATGCAGAATATGGCTTTAAGAAGAATTGTTGGTGCTTATCGCACAACTCCTATTGCGGTACTACAAAAGGAAGCTGGTATTATGCCATATAGTATTAGGCTAAAATTTATGGTGGCACGAAAAGCTATTCGTTTACACCTAAATATTAGCAAAACTAATCCTATTAATGGTCATTTGTTAACATTGATTGAGAAATCTCCAATTGCAAAGCTAACCACGCTTTACATGTTGGCGAAAGATGATAGAGACTATATGATTAAAAAGGATGAAAAACGAAAATGCAAGAGGGTTGAACCTCTTACACTGAAACAACAACAAAATCAGACGATTGGAATTTTGAAGAAACAAGCAATGGAAGAATGGCAAGAAATGTATTGGAACAGCAGTAAGGATCTGTGGTATCATAATATCACAGTGGAGTCGAAATGTACTGATAATCTTTCCAAAATGGTTACGGGAGTGATCATGAAGAAAGATAGTCGAAGGATCTTGAGTAATATTACTCAGTTTCGCACAGGCCATGGCAACTTTGGCGCATGGTTTAAAAGTTTGGAATTGAAAAGGATAGTTACAACTGCAAATGTGGAGAGCTGGAAACAGTTCATCACATTTTAGTTGAGTGTCCTTTGCTTAAAGAGGAAAGAAAAGGACTGAAACGGATATCTCCAGAGATGGACATGTCGACTCTCTTAAACAGTTTAACTGGCTTACAAGAGATTGTAAGCTTTATCTCTGCTTGGAGGGATTAAGAAATACAATTACAGCGTTGATGAAGACAAGTGGAGATAGGTTGGGAAGGTTTGGTTATTTTAACCCCCTGTTCCTCGTAAGCTGGCATCAGGACTTATTTTCGGGCTGTTGGAGATGCAATGTTGAAGGCAAAATTAAAAGTTTATTATCAAAATGAAAAAATATATAGTATGGACAAGAAGGATAGCGCAGATGCTGATGTTATATAATTCTATAACCCTTGAATAAAAACAAACAAACAAACAATTAAATGCATACATTCAAGCTTCTCCAAGCTTGTGTGAAGTTTGGATACCACCCAAAAGTTTGGAGACATGGCATTATTGTTGTTATACCTAAACCTAAGAAACCTGACTATTCAAAGCCAAGAGCATACCGACCAATTTCCTTACTTAAGATTCCATCTAAAGTACTGGAAAAAATTATACAAAAAAGAATGACCAAGCTTACAACACACTTACTTCCACCAGAGCAATATGGGGGAAGACAAGGTTATTGTGCTACTGATGCTGTTTTGGAACTTGTCCAAAGAATTGAAACTAGTAAAGAAAAAATTTCAGCTATGCTCATTGATATTCAAGGAGCTTTTGATAATGTTAACAGAAATATATTGGCACACACAATGGAGGATATGAAACTACCCAAAGCACTTATAAACTGGACGTACCAATTTGTAAGTGAAAGAGAAGCTAGTATGCTCATGGACCGAAGAAAAGGATCAGTGCAAAAAATTAGTACTGGAATTCCGCAAGGCTCACCTATTTCACCACTACTTTTTTTGATATATTCCACACCAATGTATCATGCCATTAAAGAATGGGGTGGAACTCCTTTTGGCTTTATTGATGATGTGACTATTACCGTTGAAGGTAAAATTGAAGAAAATACCAAAAGCTTAAGCAACATATTAGAAAAATGTTGTAATTGGGCTAAATCAAGAATGACCAAAATTGATTTGGGTGATAAATTGGGTTTTATTCATTTTACAAAAAATGTGAAACCTAAAGAAGAGAAAGTGCAACTTACTTTACCTAATGGAGAACTTCGTGAACTCCAGAAGGAAGTTAAATTGCTTGGAATTACTTTGAACAATCTGCTTGATTTTAAATCTCATATTTTGGATAAAATCAATAAAGCAAGAAAAGCTGTTGGTGCTATTTGGCATCTTGGAGGCGTGCAAAAAGGTATGCGAGGGTCTGCAGTCAGATCACTGTATATTGCTTGCGTGAGACCAATTGTTGAATATGGCTTAGAAATTTGGCATCATAAAATCTTGAAAGGAGAAATCCACAAGTTGGAAGTGATGCAGAACATGGCTTTAAGAAGAATTGTTGGTGCTTATCGCACAACTCCTATTGCGGTATTACAAAAGGAAGCTGGTATAATGCCATATAGTATTAGGCTAAAATTTATGGTGGCACGAAAAGCTATTCGTTTACACCTAAATATTAGCAAAACTAATCCTATTAATGGTCATTTGTTAACATTGATTGAGAAATCTCCAATTGCAAAGCTAACCACGCTTTACATATTGGCGAAAGATGATAGAGACTACATGATTAAAAAGGATGAAAAACGAAAATGCAAGAGGGTTGAACCTCTTACACTGAAACAACAACAGAATCAGACGATTGGAATTTTGAAGAAACAAGCAATGGAAGAATGGCAGGAAATGTATTGGAACAGCAGTAAGGATCTGTGGTATCATAATATCACAGTGGAGTCGAAATGTACTGATAATCTTTCTAAAATGGTTACGGGAGTGATCATGAAGAAAGATAGTCGAAGGATCTTGAGTAATATTACTCAGTTTCGCACAGGCCATGGCAACTTTGGCGCATGGTTTAAAAAGTTTGGAATTGAAAAGGATAGTTACAACTGCAAATGTGGAGAGCTGGAAACAGTTCATCACATTTTAGTTGAGTGTCCTTTGCTTGAAGAGGAAAGAAAAGGACTGAAACGGATATCTCCAGAGATGGACATGTCGACTCTCTTAAACAGTTTAACTGGCTTACAAGAGATTGTAAGCTTTATCTCTGCTTGGAGGGATTAAGAAATACAATTACAGCGTTGATGAAGACAAGTGGAGATAGGTTGGGAAGGTTTGGTTATTTTAACCCCCTGTTCCTCGTAAGCTGGCATCAGGACTTATTTTCGGGCTGTTGGAGATGCAATGTTGAAGGCAAAATTAAAAGTTTATTATTAAAATGAAAAAATATATAGTATGGACAAGAAGGATAGCGCAGATGCTGATGTTATATAATTCTATAACCCTTGAATAAAAACAAACAAACAAACCATTTAAATGCATACATAAGGGAAAGGGCTGGATGGTGTAAAGGATAACACGTTCGCTCGAAAGCGGAAGATACTGGGTTTGATTCCCAGAATACCCCCTTTTCCTGAGGATGTGTACGGGAGTATACACCTAGACTGAAAACCATAGGCTACCCTGGTTACAGGAATGCTGACTCTTCCGTACAGTCTAAATAGTCTGCAGGTGATTGCGGGCCGTATCTCTGACGGAAGAGATTAAGAAATACATGGGCGTCCGTGAAGATAAGTGGAAATGGGTTGGGAAGGTTTTGGGACCGACAGACTGGTTCTCCCTGTTCCTCGTAAGCTGGCATCAGGGCCCATCTTCCGGGCTACCGGAGACGCACAGAACAGAAACCACCCGTACTAAAAAGGTACAAATGAAAACCGGCAAGTCACATAGTCAGACAATAAAAAGATAGCGCAGATGCTGATGTTATATAGTTCTATAACCCTTGAATAAAAACAAACAAACAAACAAACAAACAAACAAACAATTAAAAGCCTAACTACAGGAAATAGCAACTCAGATGCTTTATTTTATAATTTAATAATAAATAAACTAGTTGTAGTTCCAAATATGGAGATCTGGAACCAACTAGATACATTATGATTGAGTGTACTTTGCTAGAAGAAGAAGGAAAAGGACTGAAAGGAATATCTCCAGAAACAACCAAACAGAACGAAATGAAATTGTAGGGAAGTAAAGATTAGTAGGAACAATGAAAAAACACATTTGTTTAACTCTCAAATGCATAATTAGCAATTACCAGCAAATGAGTTTGATTGAACGAAATAGTATGCTTTCCTGTTTTCTAAGATAGATGAGGAGTGTAATCAGTTACACTTTCTTCAGGAAAAGGGTGAATTTTTTTTTTAAAATCAAATTTAATATTTTTTTGCAATTAACATTGATGTTTATTTTTTATAAAATCAATTAGCAATCTTTTTTTTTTATTCGAGGGTTATAGAATAACATAACATTAATATTTATGTTATCTTTCTTGTTCTTACATTTTCATAATAAGCTATTAATTGGACTTCAACATTCATCTCCAACAGCCCGAAAATATGTTTTAATTTCAGTTAACAAAATATAAAAAGTAAAAGACTTGTTTTTTTATGTTTTTCTATTCAAAAAAATCAAAAACCAAACTTTCTTAATTTTTTTTAAATTATTGTTTTTCTTTATAAAGACGTTAGTATTTATTATTTAACAATAATAACTAAGCGGATTTAGCTCAGTTGGGAGAGCGCCAGACTGAAGTATAAACTTTGGTCTTGTAATCTGGAGGTCCTGTGTTCGATCCACAGAATTCGCATCTGATTATTTTTTTAATACTTGCATATTAAAGTAAATTGTAGTTTTTTTATACTGATAAATATATATCCGGATATGATTGTTTTGCATTGAAACCTGAATCTAAAATAAAAAAAAAATGCAAAAGATGGTTCACTTTTTCCTAATTTTTTTTTTTATTTGTGCAATAATATTTAATATATTTTATTCCGGCTGATCTAAAGAAAGTATTTTATTTCTTTTTAAAGGTGATATTTAAGCACATAATAAAGAAAGGTTTTCGTGTGATACACACAAACGAGGAGAGCAATGAATAGTCATTCTTTTATTTTGAACAAAGGAAACTAGGCTGGTTGCTTGTTGTAATCTATTAATATTCTATTAAAAAATAGAACAGTAAATAAGGGAGGGAGGGGGAAAATGAGTTGAAACCGACGTATCAAAAGCTTTCAGAGTTGCTAATAATAATTTACATAATAATTATCATTTCTCTATGCTTTCAAGTAATTCAAAAAGACTGTAAAAAAAAACATCTTTGAAAGGACGCAGGTTGTGTCGTTTTATGAGCGCCTAAGCTTAGCAGTGCAATAAAAATGAAAAATGGCAATAGCAGCAGCATTGAGTAAAATAAAAAAAAAATGCATAGAATTTCAAAACCACTTTAATGTCACTTGATTTCTTCTTTAAAAAATTCAACATTCTCAACATTTTATTTTATTTTTTTTGTTTTTACTTTGACATTCACATCCATCTCCATGCCTGATGTTGGTGACCAATTTTTCACCAGAAAAATGTCCGCCCCAGTCAGGTGACCTGTATGGATGCTAATAATACTGCCAGCCAGCACTTTCTGGTGTGCTATTTTTAAAGTTTATTTGAGTCCTACGAATAATAAACCTTTTTGATAAAATTTTTTTTTTTTCTTTCTTTATAAATATTCCCTTTCTTCTTCAGTTCTTTGTAGAGTATCAATAGTAAATATATCAAATTTCCTCGTCTATTTCAAATTTTTTTTTTACTTCCAAATATACTCCACAATTAACTAAAATGATAGTAAAACGTCGCCTTTTTTTATCATACATGGCCTTTGGCGTCATCATCATCTTTCTACTCTATCAACTCAACTCTTACTACAATGATCGTTTTGACGAAATAGAAACAGACTCCACGGACTTTAGCATCGGTGTACAACCACCAGACCCATTCCCCCAGGGCAAACCAGACTTTCGCGGAAAGCGCAGGGAAGAGCAGAAACGTCAAGAGGAAGAGGAGAAACGCGAGCGCGAGCGCAAAGCCAACCTCAAGAAACTGGCCGAGGAAGAGCATAAGAAGAAAGAGAGTGCAGAATTGGCAGTCAAAAAGAAACAGGAATCGGAAAGCACAAAAGAAAAAAAAAAGAGTAGTTGATAGTTGAACTATTGGAACTATGATGATGATGATGATTAATGGTAAATGATAACCATAATGCCACGACTAAACTCTTACTTTTTTTTTTTTTTTTTCTCTTTTGCATACACCACTCCTAGACATAGAACATTAACAACAACCACAACACCGACCCTAATACTGACACCGACGATTTCAAAACAATGAGCTGCGGCACCGTCGTTTCTCATGTCTGACTTAATACAAAAGGAAAACAAACAATATTTTAAGGTTTTTGACTCACAGGGGTAAGAAGTTCTTTAACATACACTCTGACCGATAACCCAAAATAACTTTTCTTCATTGCATTTAATATCAACTCAACCTTTAACATGAAAAATCAACTATTTTCAAATAAAAACTTTTATTCAGAAAAATCAATTGACCAAGAAAAATTCATCTATTGATCAGCATTCTATGTAAATTCTTTATATACTTTTTTTTTTCTTTTTCTTGTAATAATAATAATAATAATAATAATAATAATAATAATAATAATAATAATAATAATAATAATAATAATAATAATAATGAACTTACTATTTTCTTCTTTCATTCCTTTTTTTTTTTTGTCAAAAAGCCCACTCCACGAAACTGTGAGGTTTCATTAATTTGAATTACGATTTCCCTGCCATTTAACAAGGTTCAACAGTGTTCTACTTTTTCCGACTGGTAAACTAATAAACAGTGCGTGCATTTTGTTTACATAGTTTTACGTAAATTTTTTTTTTTTTTTTTTTTTGATTTAAGCTTAATTGCAACTACTTTTTTTTTTTTTTTTTTTTTAACTCATATATCTATAACGACATAAACATGTTGTTTTCTTTAATGATGTCTTTTCTCAGAAATATATTTTGAGTGTGGTTTTCGTTCAGCATTTTATTGCAGCTTTAATTTTTGCTAATTTTCATTTTTTCAATTCCATAGGTTCGTGACATCATATTTAGAACACATTAGACCAACCCTGAAAATTACTGCACGATAGTATCCTACTAACGTTGATTGACCCTTGCTTTGTGGTGAAGCTATTTAATGGAGAAAGTAATTATAACAGTCTTTATAAAGATGTTGTATGACAAAAAAAAGTAAAGTAACTCATTTGTTAAGGGACCTGCGGCTGGATTTCTGCCACGTCTAAATTTCAGGAAAATCTCACCCTTTTATTTATTTATTTATTAATTTTTTTTTTGACATCACCAACATTTTCTCAGATCTCGATAAGGAATCAAACACCCTGAAATGCACACATATTGCTAAACTTATCTTGCAAACAAGATTAATGAATACCCTGAAAGCCTTTCGGTATTATCCCATGGTTTCAGAAACCCCCGTTTGAGATAACGTTATTCATGCACTGATAATCGCCCAACGGTCCACTTTATTTCATGTGCACACAATGTCATTAATCAGATTGTGCTATATTATATTACCCAGTAAGACGTGCTCTACCATTTATTTTTATTTTTATTTTTATTTTTATTTTTATTTTTATTTTTATTTTCATTTTTATTTTTATTTTTATTTCTATTTCTAGTCTACCTGATACTTTTTAAGTCATAATGACACACAAAATTAAAGTCTTTTCTGCCCACCAACAATACAAACTTTCATATCGTTCTTTCCTGAATAATAAACTTTCCATTTCAACTCTTGCACAATCACATCAATGGCCGACTCCCCTTCTTATTACACAAATAAAAAAAAGCTGATTGTTACCAATTCCTAGTTTTGTTTTTATTTTGTTTTTATATTAAACTGTAAATACCCAGAGCTTTTTATCTGAAGTTAAAGTTCTATAATATGTTTTGCTTAGTGCGCACACAATTGATTTTGTTACTTGTGGAGAATTTATGAAAAAAAAATTGGTATTATTTTCATTAGAAAGATCGTTAGATAAAAAGTTTTTTTTGACAAAAAAAGATGAAACTCTAACCGAGAAATTTGCAAGATGATTTTTTTTAACATTAGATAGTAATACCTGGTTGGATGACATGTAATGACAAGTCATTATATATGTATGCCATTGCCAAATAATCAAAACGGTTTAGAATTTTTTATTGTTTTTAAGCTAATAACAAAGTAATAACATATCCATTCATCAAATCTAATAATGATTAAAAAAGTGCTCATAAAGTAGCAAATATATCACTCGGATTCTTTTCCGCAAAAATTTAAAATACATTGAAAACAATTTAGCGATCAAATTTTCATTAAAAATTTTCAAAGTTTTAGCCTAAAAACTATTAGTACGTTTCAAAACTCCCAATCTATTTTATTTATTCATTGCAAAATTTATACTTTTTATTTCTGAAAACAAATGTCACAATATATCTAAACTTCCTTTTAATATGTATACTATTATACTTCTATTTTTTTTTATAAAACGGTTCCATCAACTATTAAAAAATATTAAACGAAGAAGTATCCTATATAAAAGCAGATTTCTAAAGGTAAACATTTCCCAATTCGCCTAATCCCTACGTTTCTGGGTAATAGTTTCATGCGGACCCTCTTATTCGCTCACTCAGACGAACAAGTTATAAAATTTGAAATGAGATTGAACTTTCATATTTGTTACTAAGCGCCTACTATCTCAGGCAATTGCCGTTATATATCCTTATTTAGTCTGTAAATGTTAGTTTATTGCCATAACTTTCATAAAAATCTCTATTCATTCCAATTTTTTTTAAAAGAAAAAAAAATTAATTGAGCCACAAAATATCTCTATTCTTTCTTTTTTATGCCAATATTTTTTCTCATTTGTTTTTTTCATAATTGCTTCTTTTTTTTCTCCCCTCTTCCAGACCTCATATTTTTAACCACATTATATTTTTTTTTTCTGACTAGTACAATTTTCTTTTCATTCAAGACTTTTTTTCATAAATTTAGTATTTTTCGAATATTGAGATTTTTTCACCCTTAGTTTTCTTTACTTGAATCTTTCTAAAATCCTTTTTTTTTTTTTTTTTAATTTAGACACAAGACATGTCCGTTAAGGGCATCAAAAACGGTAGCAAGACACCCTCAAGCAATAATTCTATTAAACCATCCATAGTTTCCTTAACTTCAGATCCCTCTTCTATGTCTGGCACATCCCGTTCGCTGGAAAAACATGCATCTCAAGGGAAAAGCATGGTCACTGTGCGCCAGGTTTCTAAAAATGACGACGCAATGTCTCTCTCTGACTCGGATAACGAACTGTTTTTTACTCCACCTGCTTCCCCAAGCTCTCCTACAGGAGGTGGTGGATCCACCAAAATCTTGAAGCATAAAGCTTCTTCATCTTCTTCACCTTCTTTGGCTTCTATCTCATCGTCTTTGAGTGAAAGCTTTCGCATAAAGTCACACTCAAGAGCAAGTTCAACAACATCTACAATTTCATCAACATCTTCAAAATCATTTCATAAGCGCAATAACTCTTCCGTTTCTTCTACTAGTTCAGTTACTATTTCTTCTCCAGTTATGATTTCCCCCCAGTCTTTGGACTTTGCCCTTAAACAAGGGATAGACGAGAATTTGGTCGAAGACATTACCCGCATTTCGGCTAACCCACCTAGGCCAGCACCAGTACCTCCAGTACTGATTCAAAGAAAGCAGCGTTCTTTTGAAAGACTTCCACCCACTTCTCCAACCCAAACTTCTACAAACTTTCAACCAATAAACAAATCACCATTACAACAAGCTTTAACAGTTTCTCAGAAACATGATGAATTTATTAACGAATCAACAACAACAGCTGAAATCAAATCTGACAGCTGTCTTAGTGGCGCTGCTTTTTTTTCAGATGAAGGTGTGTCAGAGTTTAACAATATCCTGAGCCCAACAAACTTAAAAGCTTATAATCCCTTACAAAACCAAATTCAGCAACAACAACAACAACAACAACTTTCTGAAGGCACTAAAACAAAATCATTAGAAGTCACAAGCACCAACAATCAGCGATCACCTCAATCATCAAGTGAACTTTCTCCAACTAGGGAAAAGTTTCCGTTATTTTCTTTAGAAGAAGTTCTACCTTCAGATATTTCCAACCCAATTACTCCAGCTTCACATGAAAATCTATTGGCCGTTTCTTCGGCATCTCCTTTACTTCGATCATTTAGTTCTTGTAATACTTCTAGGTATGAAGATTTTACCCATTTGACTTATTTGGATATTTCAGCCTCAGAATCCACACTCAACTTTATTTCAGCCACTGGAAGACTTCCTCGATGGATTCAAAAATGCACATCTCTTCAATATCTTATTGGATGCAAACTCAATCTTACAGTCATTGAAGAATGGGTGTCACAGTGTTTGATTCAGTTACGTGTGTTGCGACTTAATGACAATCAAATCAGTACTTGGCCTGACCATCTTGCTCAACTTCTTCCTTATGATCAGCTCACAGTTGTTGACCTTGAAGGAAACCCTTGCTTTACTAACTTTTGTGAGCGATGCCCTCAATTTGGACTTGACTATGCAAAAAGCATAGACAATTCGTCAAGAGAGGCTTCTAAGAAATTTCTTTCAAGTAGAATTGGGTCACAACCGGTTCTTGGTTTGAAAAAGAAACAAGGGTCAATTTCGAAAAAAACTCACCATAGACGAATTTCGGTCCCGACTACCAGCACCATCATCCCTCATCCTTCAGTTTCTTCGCCCACATCGTCAGCCTCACCATCAACTTTATCTTCTCCTTCACTTGTTTCTGAATCATCGTTTGATTCAAATAATCTTTCTGCAGATTTCAATTCCGATTCTCTTAAAAAGAAACCCAGTAGTAGTTTTTTTGGTCGCCGTCACAAAAAGTCTTACAGTGCTCAACTACAGAATACAATTTCAAAGCTTTCTAACTTGAGCACTACCAGCATCGAGACTGCAATCGGAAACAGTACCAGCCTTGGTGATACATTTATTAGTGAAGGCACCACAGATAAGAAAACTGAAAATGTTACAGAAATTGGAGGACATGAAGATTCTACCAACACTGAAGTTACCCTCAATAGTCCTACAGAGGTTAATTATTCCATGCATGGGTCTTCAAGTACTGCTTCAAATATCTATATTGATGACGATAGTGACGATGAAGCTTTGACATCTCTAGAGCCTGTTATTAATACCAAATTCATTGGCCGTGAAACACTTTCTTCCCCTTTGCTTCAAGAGTTATCCCCAAGCACAAGCCCATCAATAACACCTTCGAGTTTTTCTAACGATACTAGACAAGCTTCTTGGGCTTCCAAACAGCGAGATTCTGCTATGTTTTTGGTCAGCGAAACCCCAGAAAACATTTCTAAGCTTCTTAGCAATCAATTGGGACCAGATACATGGACTCAGAAGCGTATTGAACCTTCCGAGGTTGAAAAATCAAAAGTTGTTTTGAACCTCCTTAGAGATATTTGGGAAATGTCTACAAACAGTATCTTATACCACGTCCCAGACCTGACGGCAGAGGCCTTAGAAGCCGCCACTATGCGTAGAAATTCTGTGGCTCATGATGCCAAAAGTGATCCTGTTTTTTCCAGGCTTTCACCAATATCTTCTACTTCAGATTCCAAGTTACAAGTTGGCACAGCGTCCTCAGGGGCACCTTTGGGCCGTTTTACTATAGCTGAGCGCCGTTTTGGTCATGGACGCGCCAATTCTGCTGACGTTATTCCCAAGTACTCTGTTTCTAGTGGCACAGAGCATATCCAGTATTCCAGATCTCCCCAAAAAATTACAAACAAAGAAATGGCCAAGCTTTTATTTAAAATGATTGAAGAAGAAAAGGCGTTTGTGAAACGTGTTAATGAGCTTATCACCATTTACGTCAAATCTAAAAAATGCCCACCAAAAGCTGCCAAAATTTTTAACGACGTTGAATCAATCTATAATCTACACTCTGAGACCGTTTACCCGGGTCTTCAAAGAGCTTATGAGAAATTTCTTGCACATAAAGATCCGAACCTTGAGTTGGTTTCTTCTCTGATTTTGACTCATATCAACGATTTTAGGGTTTACATCCGGTATGAAGTTTCTCTCGATGAATCGCTGCGTCTTGCAAACTTTTGGAAGCGATTAATTGGTGGCGACTCAAGCCAAAATATGGTGTCGTATGGCGCCAATGTTCCCCATTTGTCGAATTACACTCATCCAGATGCCATCATTGCTGAGTGGATTAAAAACTGTCATCGTCACAAGTCACACTCTCTTGGAAGTGTTACTGACTATCTCCAACTTCCCACCTACCACTTAGAAAAGTACCGCGATTTTTTGAAGAATTTATCTTCTTTTTCTCCAGGTCTTTGGGACGCTCACGTCCAGTTTGAGTCAATTTGCAAGGAGATAGAAGAGGAAAAGCCTCTTGCAGCTGAGGCTCGGCGCTATGAGGAGTTTGACCAGGCTTATGACTTTTCTTCACAGCTTCCCGCTCGAATTTCTCCTTCTTCTGAGCGTAGATACCTAGGCGACGCTGTGGTTTTGCTTAGGAGCGAAGTGTTTTTGGAGCTTCCAACAAAACAGTCTAAGGCAGATTGTATTCACTATATGACTCTTGATGCACCCCATTGCACTCTTGTAACATATGGGAAGAAGAATGACTCTTTTCCCAAAACCAAACCTATTTTTGAAATAAACACTGAAATTAGTGCTGAAGAAAATCCTGCTATTGCTGGCAACACCAACAATTGCAATAGTCCTACTTCCAATGGTTCATGCCGTGCAAATCCGGTCCCAAAGGTTGTACAGAAACACATAATAAAGTCTAAATTCAATTTAGCACTTCATCGAATTATTGTATTTGATGACGTTATCGTGTTTACCGACGAGGACAAGAAGGGCATTAACAGGGTTGTTCCTCGCAGCAAAATCACAGTGACATTACCTTGGAAGTACCCCGTTCGTGAAGGTGCAGAAGCATTGCCAACGGGGGATCAGGTTTCATACAAGTCCAAGTCTTCAGCAAACTCTGTGTATAATCAAAACAGATATTCCATTTCTTCAACTACTTTTGGAAGCATGAATTTACAATCTTCATCAGCAACAGGGCATCACAAGGGTTCTGGCAACTCTGGTGCTCTTCGCATGATGTTTCATGATGACCCCAAGATTTGGTACTGTACATTACGTTCATTTAATTGTGAGCGCAAGCTTAAAAGCAAAGAGCCCCGCTCAAGATTGGTTGAACTTTTTACAATCAGTTGAAAAAAAGGTCCTCTGTGAGGATTCTTTTGGTAAAAAATAATTAAATATAATAAAATAATAAAATAAAATAAAAGTATTTTTTTTTTCTATAATTAATTATTTTCTGGAATAAAAATGTTTATTGTCATTATCATTATCATTATCATCATTTCTACGTAAAAATCGTTAAAAATTATACTGGGGGAAGAGGATTGCGGCAAATAGGACACTGCAGTCGGGTTCTCATCCATTGTTCCATACATTCAGTGTGAAACACATGTCGACAAGGCGTCACCATATATTTTCTTCTAGCAAGAATTAGTGCTGGTGATGATACAAATGCTGCCGAAGAAGCTTTAGGAGTAATTACTAATTCTACTGGTGTCATGCAAATGGCGCAATCCACAGTTGGGCGAGATACCAAATCTTTGTTTGCCACTGATTGGGCTGCTTCATTGAAAGAAGAACTATTGTTAAGATTTCCGCTAGTTCCAACGCTGTCATTTGTGTTACTTGGCCCTCCAAGAAGTTTCGAAGATACAGATGCATTTGTCGATGCAATGGAAGATGCCCGGCTAAATTTCTTAGGAACAGGCGCTGCAGACTCTGAAATACTGACACCATCTTCAATATCATCACTTTGGGTAAGAATGGGATGATAGTCGTAAAGAGCTGGAAGATATCCCTTAGGTAGAAAAAACCTGGGACCAAAAACATTTTGAAGATATAAGACAACAATTTGTATAGTCAACCAAATAATAGTGGCTATAGCCAAAGTTGGATCATAATGATGGCGAAGAATATTGTTGCTAACGAGTGTGAAATAAAGAACAGGGATTAGACGAAGAGCACTAGAGCCGACAATGAACTGCCATAGAAATGAACGTCGAAACCCTCTTGAAATATTTCTTTGGATTTGGGGGACCCACATGGAATAAAATCCAAGAACAACCACAAATTCGTAAATTCTGCGGTAGTAGAGTGGCCAAGTGGCTGCGATAAGGGCAGAGCTTATGAATCCAATTAAAGAAAAATAAAACCATGTGTATATTTTACTTCCAATAGCACGCTCACTGAGATCTTCTTGAGGTTCATTATTTGATGGAGGTTCAGAAATAGGTAATATTGAAGAGTCCCCCGAAGGCTGTTGTTGAGGTCTTGGGGATGGAGTAACAAATGAGCCATCGGAAAGAACAGAGAAGGTAGCAGTGCCATTATGGTCCATCATAGCATCACGGACACGGACATCAGCTTGTCTTTCTGACATTTGGGCCTGGTAAATTTTGACAAGGTAACGCATTTCAAACATTGATGTTAAAGCAAATGATAAAAAGGCAATGGCCATGAATGATAGAGCAAGATCTTCCACAAACGACGAAGCAAAGGAGGCCATCCACACACTACCATCAATGACAGAATTCATGGCAATAGTGTAGAAACTTACCTTGCACATATAGGAAGGTGTATTAGTATCCTTCATTTGTCTGGCAAGAAGATATGCTTGTGCAATAATTAAAAGCACACAGGCAACAACCACTGTTCTGATACGGCTCCAATATTGCTCATATTTTTCACCTTGGGAATCTTGTGCTTGGACAGCAAAGGCACAATCTGGAGAATAAATGATACTTTCAAGGACCATTGAAGGGATTTTTTTTAAAGGTCGACCAACCGGGTTTTCTATTTCATCTTCAATATCACGTAGATGGTTGGCACTAAGGTGTACCGATTTGAAATGACCATAAAGAACAAACTCGCAAGACTCTGCAGCCATCTCACTATCTTCGAAAACCAAATAGTCCTCTTCGTATTCGTCTTTGGTAAGAGTATTGTTTAGGTATTGTAGCATTAGCTCTTTTGACTCTTCAAAATACTTTTCATCCAAAACCAAATGCGGCAGGTACTGAAGACCAGAGTACTTTAAAGATTCGGTTGTTAAAACAACATTACCGGTAGGTTTAATATGAAGTCCTTTTAAGTTAATTGTATATGATGATGATTCTTCAGTATTAGTGATAGATATTCGCATGGTAATTATGGTTATGTTTGGGTTTGATGCGTCTTTTGGAATAGCTTCCTCAATAGAAAATGAGATATTTCCTTCTGATTCCGTAATATTGCCTTCAACAGGAGCACTTAAAATTTTATTCATAGTTGGTTTCTGAGAAAGTGGCTGGTGAGCAGGTTCATGAATGAGAGAACTATTGTTAGTGGCAGATGGCAAGGCTTCTTCTTCATCATTGTCACTATGGCGGAAAATTTCTGGAACCTGCATATCGCGAGGAAATAATTTAGAAATAAGCGGTTTCTCCCAGAGCCCATGAAAAAGCCCAGAATAGTTCCCATAGAATACTAATTGTAATTTTTGGAATGATTCGTCATCGTTATCTTCTGAGTATTGAATGTTAGTGATTTGTTTCTCAATTTGGTCTTGAGTAGACTCAGAGTGCCAAAGAGATTTGGCAATAGTTTCAATCGAAGTAGGAATAAATCCTGTTTCATTCTGAGGATAAGAAATTCCCGTAATGTTACCAGGAATATATCTATAAGTTGAAGTTTTCAAAAGTTCAGTTTCATTTCTCTGTAGTTGGAAATATAAGTTAAGATGAGCTTTTTCGTCTGGGGATGTCAAGTGAGGTGGGTTTCCAGTTGGAGTAAAGAATAGTAAAAAAACCAATAAGACTAAAAATAGTCCTCTGTTGATTTCCATTTTATAAAATCTAATGAATGATCACTTTTTTTTTTTATATTTATTTCTAATGTAACATGGCGGGTTTTTCTATCGAGGTTAAGAAGAGAAGAATAAAAGCAAGTAAACAATGCGCAAGTTTAGGTCTTAGTAAGTAGATTAAGGTGGCTTTGGTATAGTGCCATATATGAGTTAAGACGGGATTTGTACACCAATGAAAAAAAAAAAAAGAAAACCTGGGTAGTGTTCTTAGAGTCACATGATATGACTTACTAAAAATATATTTTTAGTAGGATGGGATTCGAACCAACAACTTTATTATTTCAATAAATAAATAAATAAATAAATAAATAAATAAATAAATAAATAAATAAATAAATAAATAAATAAATAAATAAATAAATAAATAAATAAATAAATAAATAAATAAATAAATAAATAAATAAATAAATAAATAAATAAATAAATAAATAAATAAATTAATAAACAAACAAACAAAATAGTGAAAAATACTCGATAAACTAGAGTGATGTCAAATAATAAGATATTATTGAAAAAAAAAAAAGAGCATTATGAGAATATGATTGACAATCTTTGAAGCATTATAAAAAGGCGAAATGGATTAATAAGCTAACCTAAAGATCTGCTGAAAAAATCATTTAAATTGATAAAAACAAGCTGTAGGGAAATTTCGAAAAGGATTTAAAGTTTTAATATTTATCAATTTCGGTATTAAGCCAAAAAAGTATGAGTATTTCAAGCTTTAACTTTAGATGAATCTTAAATAATTGATTCAATTGTAGATTTGAAGATTAAAAAAGAGTTAAAGACGGCGATGAAAAGGAAAAAAAAAAAAAACAATAAGAGTAATAATATACTTCATTTGAATTCCAGGACTACCCTGGCAAACTGGAAAGCCGGATATTCTGTTAAGTCTAATTATCCTACAATTGATTACCGCCCTTATCTTTAAAGGTTAAGATTAAGAAATATATATGTATATTTGAAGACAAGAGGAAATGGGTCGGGTAGGTTTGGAGCGGGTAAACTGGTTTACTCTATTTCTTGTAGCAAAATATGATACCCGGACCCATTATCCGGGATATCCGAGGTGCACAGATGGCAACAACTTGTACAGAAGAATTAGTACACTAATAAGACAAAAAAAAATTGATTAAAGTTAGAGAATGAAAAACAAAAAACAAAAAAAAAAATCGCCCATGAATGAAATATATATGGAAACCAGAGGTGTGATATTACTAAGCTTATTTGGACTAAAGCAATGTTAATCAAAAATATATTGATTTAAGTCAAAAGCAATTAATTACACTAAAGGCGATGACCATAATAGTAAGTAAGAGGTTTTAAATTGGAAATTATTTTGAAAATTATTACAGATAAGTTAGCCCATATTTTATAGAATAAATTTGTGGAGGTTGAAAATTCAATTACCACAATGAATAGTAAAACTTTTTTTTTTTTTTTTTTCAATTTTATAATGGAATCAAATTTCAGAACTTCATCCAGGTAAATTAATAATTTTAACATTCCAAGGCTATTGAAAAATTTAATTAAAATACAATCAATAGCTTTAAAATCAAGCCAAGATTTCATTCAACTATTTCAACTTTTTATTTTATTTTTATTTTATTTTTTTTTTCTTCATGAAGTACGGGAAACTAGAGCCTTGAAAAATAATTTAGTAAGGAAAGATGGACTTCTGTATATATATATATATATTTATTTAGATGGAGAATGATGACATAATTCATTCATGTTGTAGTTAGTAGTGATTGTAGTTTTTTTTGTTGCAATAAATAAGTTTCGATTAGCCAGCCAGCCAGTCAGTCAGTCAGCCGGTCATCCATCCATCCATCCATACATCCATTTAGCCAGTCAGCCAGTGAATTTAGCCGATGCAAAATCATCATTAAGCTTAAAAAAATATGCTAAAGAACTCATGTTTATTTCTGAGGATAATATTAAATCTGATGATTTTAATTATGATGATTATATATATAATAACTACATGTTCCGATGTTTGCTCCGAACCAATTTTTTCTTTTTTTTTTTTCAAGAAAACAAACTACAAAAAAAAAAAAAAATTATTGAATGAGTGAGGAGAAAAATAATTTCACTTTGTTTGTATTTTCGCAGGTTGATACCCGAGTTAAAGCTTCCAGATCAGAAGTTGCATTACCTCACCCGCTTTTGGTTTTCCTCTTACTGGTTCTTACTGGTTCTTACTAGTTGATAGTTTTTTTTTTTTTTTTTTTTTTAATATTTCTTTATTTTCTTTACTTTAAATCGTACCATATTAATTTAACTCAAAATATATGTATGATGATTATGATTATGATTATAATGATTATGATGTTGAAATATCAAGTTGAGACCATGGATAACAAAAGCCTAAATGAGATGATATTATAGATTATTTGTAATTATCTAGAGGGGTGAATTAAAAAAGTTAATTGTTAAAAAAAAGAAAGAAAGAAAGAAAGAAAGAAAGAAAGAAAGAAAGAAAGAAAGAAAGAAATTTAAAGAAAAAAAAAAACTATAAATGATTTATGATTTATGATTTTTTTTTTCATTATATAATTGTTTGGTGGTTATGATTAAAAAAAAAAAACTAATTATAAAGATGTGAGATCCAGACTTATTGCCAAACTCCTTTTTGAACCCTCTTTCTCTCGCCTCCACATATAAATCTTTTATTTTAAATTTATTTTTTTATTTATTTTTTTTATTTTTTTCTAACTCATGATCAATTAAAACATATTCATTTATCAAGTCCTCTTTTTCTTTTATATATTATTCTATTTGATTCTATTTAATTGAAACTCGCCCTCCCATCCCCCCTCCCACTTTCACTCTTCTAATTATATGTTAACTCATGTGTTAAGGAGGGGTGGGTGGGGGACTAATAAGTGGCGGTTGACTTTAAAGCTTGAAAAGATTGAAAATTTTGTTATTTGAAAAAAAAAAAAAAAAAAAAAAAAATCTAGTAATCACATTGTTGGTAAATCCCATCTTTGCAATTAATTAATAAAAAAAAAAATTTTTATTTTTTTTTTTTGCTCCACTTTGTATTTCTTTCATCATCTTTTAAGGAAAAAAAAACTTCAAAGTATCTTGAACGTACCACAAGTCTTGATATGATATATACAAATTTTATACTTTAAAAATATACTTTAATACTTTATCGTGACACATATCAGTTTTATTCGACAACAACAACAACAAAAAAAAATAGGTGGAGGGCTAATGTTTTCCGCGGACACGACTGAGCTATCTAAATATTAAAAATGAAAATTAAATAAAAATTAGATTAAATTTGATTAAATTAAATTAAATTAAATTAAACTAAACTAAATAAAAAAAAATAAAATAATCAACGGATCGAGACGGCTTTTAAAGATTCCCACCCCGCCTACTCTAGTTGCATTTTCCAGGTGATTTAATAAGCTTTTTCTTTTTAAATTGTTTTCTTTTTAAAATGGTCTTTTTATTATATTTTATATTATTATATTTTATATTATATTTTATATTTTTTAAACTTACAAATTTAAACTTTGTTTTTAAAAAAATTTGATTTAAAATGATCTTTTATATATATATAAACAATTATAATATATATATTTGACCCATAAGAACAAAAAAAAATAAAATAAAATAAAATTTCCAAACCAATTCTCTAGGCAAAAAAAAAAAAAAAAATTAACAAATGACAAATATATATATATATATAAATATATTATAATAAATCAAAGCCCGAATTTCAAAATCTTTGTCAAGTCCTCATTTTTATTGATTAGTAATTATTATAATTATTATTATTATATCTTAATTGTTTGACTTTACTTAATGTTCAAAATATAAAAATAAAATAAAATAAAAAAGATCAATTCAGTAGAATCACTTCAGTAGAATCAATTCAATGGAATCAATTCAGTAGAATCAATTCAGTAGAATCAATTCAGTAGCTTTAGCTGGCTAGAAAATAACTTCTTTTTTTTTTTTTTTTTTCGTCTGCCGGGACTTCTTTTTAGGTTCAAAGAAAGACCTGCTTGTAGTCATGTGATTAATACTAATTCTTTAACTTTTCCGAAGCGCTGTGCGGCTCAGGGTCTTTCTCTTTTTTTTTTTTTTTTTTTTTTTTTTCTCTTTCTAAAGATATCGTCTTCCTTTTTTTTTTTTTTTGAACATCAAGCAATCCAAATAACAAAGATTTATATCAAAAAAAATAAATAAATAAATAAAAATTCCTTTTGATATTCAATTTTGATTTTTTTTTTTTTTAAAAGAAATTTAAAAAGTTTGAAAAATTATTAAAGCATTTTTTTTAAAAAAAAAAAAAAATCTTTTGAAGACGTAATATTAAAACAAACCTCCATTGGCGCTTATCTCGTTCTCCAAATAAGGAAATTCCGGATGCAATTTTATATCATTATTATCATTAAAACAAAATATTCATTAACTTTTTTTTTTCTTTTTTTTTTTTTTTTTTGATTCATCATCATTATCATCATCATCACTTGGCCACTTTAATAAAATTCTTATAACTTGAATCAGCCTCCACTCCAATCTCTTCCAAATACTTTGGAATCCCTCCCAAGTACATAAGCGCTTCTACTGTCTTACCAGGAACATTAGATCCCACATACCATGATGACTTACTGCCTTTAAGTAACGTCAAATCTTGTAATTGATTCACATGGAATCGCCATGCCACTTCCGCTTCTAGCGCTGGGTACATATACTTGAGATTATTGCGCTTGCAATAAATTATAGCATCCGTGATCCAATCCGCTTGAATTTGAGCACACGTCGGGCCGTTCGAAAATGCAGTGGGACCCTGCGGCCCGTACATAAAGTACATGTTAGGGAACCAGGTAGTACACACACCAAGATACGTGTTCACGCCTTGCTTCCACTTATCTTTCAGTGATACCCCGTTAATCCCAGTAATGTTGATTTGTGTAAGTCCTCCTGTCACTGCGTCAAACCCTGTGGCCAATACCACAACATCAAATTCACATTCACCCCCACTAGTCTTGATCCCAGTTTCTGTAAACTCCAAAATTGGCTCCTCATTAACGTCCACTAGCCGTACATTGTCCTGGTTAAACACTTCGTAATAGTTTTGTTCCAGACTCGGTCGTTTGCTGCAAAATGTGCACATTTGCTTCTTAGGTGCCAGCTTTTCTGCAACCTTAGGGTCCTTGATCCGTGACACAACATGTCGCCGCCAAAACTCATATTGTAGTGCATCTGCCTTGGGGTTAGTCCAAACGTCATAAAATGTTCCTACCCAAAAGTTAAATCCTCCACGATCAAACAATGACTGGAAAAACCGTTCTCGTTCTTCTGGTGTTACTTCCAAGCATGATCGTCTATCAAACCTGTACTGAAACCCAGCATTAGAAAACCTTAGTGTATCTTCCCATAGCTGTGGCAGGTACGGTTTCTTAAGTTCTTCTTGCTGCTTATTGAGCTTGGTATTTTGCATGGGAATCGCAATGTTTGGTGTCCGCTGGAAAACAGTCAGTTGCTTGACTAGTGGCGCAATGGCTTGAATCACTTGTACACCTGAGGCTCCCGTACCAATTACGGCTACTCGTTTGTTTGTAACGTCGACCTCATGATCCTTGGGCCAGTGTGCTGTGTGATGCATGATACCTTTGAACCGGTCCATGCCTTTAATATCTGGAATATAGACTTTGGCTGCAAAGCCTGAGCAAATGATGAAGTTTTTCGCCGAGTATTTCCCCGCACCATCTCCTGTCGTTGTGATAGTCCATCTTCCTGCGCAAGTATCAAATAATGCATCTGATACAAATGTGTTAAAATCATAGTCCTTGGAAATGTGAAGTTTGCTGTCAACGTGGCGGAAATATTCTTGAAGCTCGCGGCCTTGTGGGAATCGTTCAGAAAAAGTCCAATCGGCATAACATTCTTCAAGCCACAGCTGATACAATGGAGCATCTGAATCAACGCGAGCTCCAGGATATGTGTTAGATGCCCAAACACCACCTAAAGCTGGTTCTTTTTCAAATCCTCGCACGCGGAACCCGAGTGAGCGAAGCTTGTAGAGCTGATAGACGCCGCCAAAGCCACCGCCAACAATAACTGCGTCGTAGTGTATGATGGGTGAATCTTTTGTCATTAGAAAAGAAGAAAGGATGAATGTTTTTTTTTTTTTTTAGAAGAGGTTTAAAAAGGATGGGATTTGATAGAGATGTGGTTGTTTAGATTAGGGGGGGAGGTAGGTAGGTAGGTAGGTAAATGATAGTAATTAATAAGAAAATAAAATAAAAAAAAAAAAAAAGAGAGAGAGAGAGAAAAAAAAAATAATAAAAAAATAAGACCGGCTGGAGAGTTTTTAAACCAAGAAAAAAAAAATTTTGAGATTTTGAGAACCCGAAAAAATGCCAGGAAAAAAAAAATGAGCAGATTTTTTTTTTTATATATATAAATTTGATGATATTAAATAGCTTTATATATATATATAAATCTATATATCTATAATTATCTCTTAAAAGAGTCCTTATTTTTTTTATTTTTATTTTTTATATATTTAATTCAATTGCAAAGTCCGGCCAGACCAAATAAATAAAAATTTAAAAATTTAAAGATTTTTTTTTTTATTTTTTGTGGTGCTGCCTGCTACTACTGCAAAGAAACGTTGAAGGCTTGTCACAACGTTAGACGGAAGGAAATTAGGGTAACTTTAAAGTAACTTTGTTAAAAGTAACTTTGTTAAAAAGAAAAAAAAAATTTTATTTTATTTTAGATTTTAGATTTTAGATTTTTATTTTTATTTTTATTTTTATTTATTATTACCAGCGGGTTAGGGTTTCCTGAAAGAAATTAAGATCTGGGCAAAAAAAAAAAAGAAAAAAAAAAAGCCGTCTGCCGTGGGATTTAACATGCGGGGAGAGAAAAACAAAATAAATGAGTGGGGTAATGAGGGGAGGTCATGTGACTAATTTACCTGGTACCTTTAAATATTACCAGGTATCTTTAATAAGTTATTTCAATAAATTTAAAAAATTGCCAACTTTTTCTTTTTTTTTTTTTTTTTTTAATTTCCATATTCAAACAAACAAACAAACAAACAAACAAAAAAATTCCCTTCAAGTGAAAAATTAACAAAATTTTTCAACTTTTTATTTATTTAATTTATTTAATTTTTTTTTTCAATTCAAAAAAAAAAAAAAAAAAATATAAAAATTTAAAAAAAAATAAATAAATCTCCACTTTATTTCAATCTCATTAAACTACTTAAATATTCCTGCAAATTTAAACGCTTTTTCATGCCTCAAAATTTATATTTATATTCATCTATATATTCATTTATATATATATTTATATAAATATATGCAAACCTTTTTTCCCCCACATTTTGTTGTTACATTTCCCCACATTTTACTTCTTCTATAAAAACCCCAGAATGTTTCTTTTAAAAACTCAATTTCAATCTTTCAATAGTCAATTTCTTTTTTATTTATTTTATTTTTTCCAACAAAACTTTACAACTTTACAACTTCACCAAAAAAAAAACAAACAATTAAATCAAAATGTCTACCCTTTCTGCTGAATCCGTCAATGAAATCAAGCAGCTGGCTGCTGATGCTACAAAAGACCCCATCACCAATATCCCAGGTGTCTCCATTGCAGTAATTAACAAAAATGGTGACCTTCTAGTAGAACATGCTGCTGGAAAAATCGGAGTCAATTCAGATGAACCAATGACAACAGACAATACCTTCTGGATCGCTTCCTGTACAAAAGTTTCTGCCACAATTGTTGCTCTCCAGGCTGTTGAAAAGGGAATTGTTTCCTTAGATTCTGCTGATGACGTTGAAAAATGGTGCCCTGAACTTGCAAACATCCCTATAATTAAAGATATTACCAATGATGGTACTGTCACCCTAGTCCCTAAGAGTACCCGTATCACTCTTCGTATGCTTCTTTCTCACACTTCCGGCTTTTCTTATACCTTTTTCAACAAAAACTACAACGAATATGCTAAGCTCTTTGGTCTTGATGAACTCAATGGTGGCCCTGGTTGCGTGAACAAGTTCCCCCTAGCTTTCGAGCCAGGTACTAACTGGGGCTATGGTGTAGGCATTGATTGGGCTGTAGACGTTGTATCACGTGCTTCTGGAAAATCCTTCCAGCATTTACTTTCCGAAGGAATTTTCCAACCTCTCGGATTTACTCTTGTCTCTACTACCCCCTGTGATGCCATCAAATCACGTCTTGTCAAGTTGCATCAGCGTGATCTAGATACTGGCAAACTTTCTGAAATCCCCCAATCCATGAAATGGCCTCTTTCTGACAAACCTGACCTTGCAGCACAAGCTTACCAATCTGGTGGTGCAGGTATTTTTGCCAAACCTTCAGAATATGTCCGTATCTTTAGTGCCTTGCTCAATGGTGGTGTTTATGCCCCTACTGGTGCTCGCTTACTTCGTGAAGAGACTGTTAAGCTCATGTTTGAGAATCAAATTCCTCAATGGCCTGATTTTGCCCGTCAAGGTATCCAAACTACTCAACCTTTGGTGAGTCACACTCTTCCTGAAATTTTCCCTCAAGAGGGCAATCCTCCTCAGGGCTGGGGTCTTTCTTTCTTCTTAACTCCAACTGAAACTCCTTATGGCCGTGGCAAAAATACCGCCTTTTGGTGTGGCATTGCCAACTTGTACTATTGGATCGATGTTGAAAAGGGTGTTGCTGGCTTTGTGGCAGCACAGTTGTATCCGTTTGCTGACCCGCAAGTGCTCAAGTTGTGGATTGATGTCGAGGTAGCCACCTATAAGGGCTTGACTGTTGCATAAAAAAAAATGAGTTGGTGGGTGCATTTATATGGTAAAAAATTAAGCCGTATGGAAGAATTAAAAAATCTGTCATTTTAAACTTACGTGACTTGTTTTTATTATTATTATTATTATGTTTTTTTTTTTTGAACGTTTTGAACGTTTTGAACGTTTTGAAAGTTTTGAAAGTTTTGAAATTTTTATATAAATGAAATGGAAATAATTTAGTAAAAAAATAATAATAATTTGAAAGTTTGAAAGTTTGAAAGTTTAGCAAATCTTTAGTGAATAAGTCTTTTTTTTTTTTTATTTTTTTTTTTTTTGAAAACCTCGAGAAAATATAAATTTCTTTAATTCCACTTTATCTGTTAACGGTCACCCATTTTTGCCTGTCAACTATATAAGATTATTATTACAATTTTTCAAAAAACCAAAGACTTGAAAGATACAATTTCTGTACAATTTCTTTTATACCAAATCTAAATTAAAAAGTATTTAATTCTTTTTATTTTTTTAATGTTTTAAACCTTACTAGCTTTATCATTGTTGACTTAGCATAAATATTTTAGCATAAACATTCAACGGTCATTTTTTCATTAAGCATATAAACAAAACTCCAATTAGTTAAAATCCTTAGTTAAAAATAAAAATAAAAAACATCTCTAATTTATTTATTTATTTATTTTCAATTCTCATTATTCACAACTGAAAAAAATAAAAAATAAAAATCTCCATTGTTTTTTCTTTATCTTTGATGTTTTTTTTTTTTTTTTTTTTTTTTTTTCAAAATCTGTGCAAAACCCACCCGCCTCCAAATGTCTCCTCCATTCCATTAAAAATGTAATAAAAATTTGTTGTAACATCTTTTGAACACCTCACCGAGGCCTCCTTTGTCCGCCCAAAATTCTTTTTTCTAGCCGCTTCAAAATCAAACAAACAAACAAAACTATCCTTTCCAACTACTCCTACTACTACTACTATTATCATCACCACCACCACCACCACCACCACCATCATTATTACTATCACCACCACCACCACCACCACCACCACCATCATTATTACTATCACCACCACTTTCATCCCTTAAACTACATCTCACTCCCCCCTACAACCATGCCTCCAGCCCGGTTCACGCGAACACCCAGGCTCCTGAGGTTAGCTCTCGTCACCCTCGCAGTGATTGCCCTTCTTTTCTACATCGGCTCATCCTCCGCCTCTTCCGCTTCTTCTCATCTTGCACCACTCACAAGACCTATCATTGGATCTGATGGCTCCACAATCTTCTCCTTTGCTTCAAAACAACCCCCATCAGGTTCTTCCGCTCAAGGCCAGCATTCCCCTAAGGTCTTCTCTATAGATGTTAAGACTTCTCCACCCATGGACGCCCCAGAACAAGTGGTCTTTGCTCCAACAGTTTACTCTTACACTGGCCAGACTCCTGATGCTGAAGAAGACGAAAAGAACTTTGGAATCTTTGCTCCCATGTACGCCCTAGTTTCTTACGCTCAGGGCTGGCCCCTCGTCACTAAATGGTTTGGAGGTGCTGCAAACCCACAAACCGCCGGCGGTCCTTGGTTTCATCCCAACCCTGTACCAGCTGGCGGTGACCCTTCCACCCCACGCATCCCAGATAAGGTCCCCATCGTCGAAGCTGCTCCAGAAGTTAACCACCTTAAACGTATTGGTGTTGGCTCTTCCATCAATGGCCGCATATACTACACCCCAGAAGACCCCCACACCGGCGCGAATGGTCGCTTCTTTGAAGAAAAGCGCCAAAAACTTCGTCGCCAAAAGGGCTACCACGCTATCTGGGGTGATGGTGTTATGCGCCGCCAGACTGAGGAAAAGCACAAAGATTCGCTCGAAGAAGCTGATTACAATGGATCAAAAAAAACAAAATTTACTCCTGACGACAAGATTTTCTCGGCTCTCGATGATACCATTGATTGGTCTCGTTTCGCTTATGTTCAATATGTTACCGATGCAAATTACCTCTGTAATGCTCTCATGGCCTTTGAGCAGCTTCATAAACTTAATGTGCGTGCTGATAAGCTTCTTATTTACCCTAGCACCTGGGATAATGCCACCTTTTTTGAGGGTAACTTTTCCAAAGACGCTCTGGCCGAAGACAGCATTTTGGCTGAAGCTTTGCCTTTTTCCAAATACATTGAAAGCATGCTTAAATCTGCCGTTGTCAATTATGGTGTTTCTCTCCAGCCTCTCTCTCTTGCCCCTGTTATCTCCAAGCCCAGAAACTATATCCAAAGCTACGCAAAGTACTCCATGTTTAACCAAACTAAGTACGACCGTTTGCTCTACATTGATCCCGATGGATCAATCAAGCGCAGCCTCGACCACTTGTTTTTACTCCCCCGCACTACTATTGCTGCTCCTCGAGCATACTGGGCTACAGAAAAGAGTCGTCTCCCACAATTCACTTCAAAAGAAGAATCAGCTGCCGCACTTACCCAGTCTTATGGTTATTATCTTCTCGACCCTCAGATTGAGCTTTTGGAGCCTTCTAACAATGTTCATGCTTACATTGAAAAAGTTCTTGACTCGGAGCTGGCTCAGACTGCCCTTAAAAATGAAAAGGCCTACGAAATTCTTCTTTTCAATCTTATCTTTAAAGACGAGGCTATGATGCTGTCGCCAAAGGGCCTTACTTTACCGACAAGTGAGCTGCGCAACAAGGATCTGACTCACCACCAATACCTCAACCTCCAAGAAACTTGGAACTTAAATCGCATTCTCAACGAAACAGCTTACATCAATTTTGCTGATGAAACATTCCCTAAACCATGGGTTAAGCCTACAGGCAAAGAGATTCGTCAATCACTGCCCAAATGCTCGCTACGCTCTATTGTTTGTCTTGAACAAGAAACGTGGCTCAACCTGTACCGCGACTATGAGCTTCGTCGTCTCACAGTGTGCAACATGCCCCTGATGATGCTTAATACAACCACAGGAAAATATGGACTTGTTCCACCAATATACAGTCGTGGTGAGGAGCAACGCCAAGCAGAGATTAAGAGACGTGAGGAGGAGCAGAGAAAGAAGAAGGAAGAGGAGGAAAAGAAGAAGAAGGAAGAGGAGGAAAAGAAAAAGAAGGCTGAAGAGGATAAGAAAAAGGCTGAAGAGGATAAGAAAAAGGCTGAAGAGGACAAGAAGAAGGCCGAAGAAGAAGAAAAGAAAAAGGCTGAGGAGGATAAGAAGAAGGCCGAAGAAGATAAGAAGAAGGCTGAAGAAGAAGAAAAGAAAAAGAAGGCTGAAGAAGAAGAAAAGAAAAAGAAGGCTGAAGAAGAAGAAAAGAAAAAGAAGGCTGAAGAAGAAGAAAAGAAAAAGAAGGCTGAAGAAGAAGAAAATAAGAAGAAGGTTGAAGAGGAAGAAAAGAAAAAGAAAGAAGAGGAAGAAAAGAAAAAGTCGGAAACTGGAAATACAAATTGAAGTGGTTGATATTGGTTGAATTGAAATTTTGAATTTTAAAAAAAAAAAAAATGAATTAATAAATAAATATAAATATACATGTAATTTAAAAAAAATGAAAAATACGCACGCACACAAAATAGCTCTCTCAAGGCGGAATAAAAAAAATGTCTCTGATTTTTCCACGTAATTTCATTTAAGCCCTCCCCCCCTTTGATCCTTTTATTATTTTTTTTCTTCCAACCAACCAGAAATCATGATTCACTTCTTTAGGACGCCATTTGGCGCAATTGTGATTCTGTCGATGTTTGTTACGGGAATCGTCATTTATCTATCAGATAATCCCTATGCCGAAGAATCCGAAACAAACCTTGATTTTGCGCCTGTTGATGTTTCCAATCCCTATGCTATGGCTAACAATCTCAACCGCAACCTATTACAAGAATACCATAGACTACTCAAAGATATCCCATCTTTCAAAGATGACAATGACGACTCAATAACTCTTGCCGAGCGACAGCACCGTGCCATGGTCGGGTACTATGGTGAAATTTTGCAGTCGCGATTAGACCGCGCTAAACATGTGCGTGAATTGCCACAAGCAACAAACTCTGCTGCACAAACCCTCGAGGACCCCAAGGCAGTTGACTGGTCCCAATACGCATATGTGACCTACGCCACTTCTGGTGACTACCTGTGTGCAGCTCTGATGTTGTTTGCACAGTTACGTGATGTCCATGGTACAAAGGCCCGCTTTGCGCTGCTGTACCCTCGCGCTTGGGGGTTCCCATCCACAGACCCTGGCCAACTGGCTCGTGAAAAACATGATGCCGACGCCCTGGCAAAGGGTCACAGCAAACAGGCAGTAAAGGCTGCTCTTGAAGGTGCGCATGTTACACGATTGCTGCGCAAAGCTAAGGACCTCTTTAATGTTGAATTGATTCCAGTACGTCCTCTGTCAATGCGTATTGCACGACAAATAGTGGAAGGTACTCACGGCAAGGAAAATTTGGTGCTGAGTGGTGATGATGTTGGAAAATCCACTGGTATCTGGGATGAAGATGAAAACGATGACTCGACTTGGAAACTCAGTTTCACAAAGATTCTTGCCTTTAACCAAACACAATACAAAAAAGCCATTGTTCTTGATGCTGATGCATTTGTTATGCATTCCCTTGACCATTTATTTTTTGCAGAAACTGACAAGCAAGAACTTGAAAAGCACCGTGTCGCAGTTGACGTCAATCCTAAAGATGAGTTTAGCATCAAAAACGGGGCTACTGTTCTTGGACCCTCGCCATACTGGCTATTGTCTCCGGATCACGTTGCTCATGCAGGAGACTCGCCAGAACGCCGCGCATCCACCGACCACATTCCGCTTGAGTTTACATCCATGCTTGAGGTTGTAACTCCGTCAACCTCTGGGTTCATGCGGCTTGTGGAGCGTCTTGCTGAGCTGGACCAGGCACATGAGACGCTCCAGGCTCACGAAGAGCGCGAAGTTTTTTATGATATGGAGCTTGTCAACCATGTGTTTGCCAACGTTTCGCTTCCGGAAGCTGACCCGGCCCGCAAACACCGATACTTGTTGAACCGCTCTGGCCAACCTAACTCTTATGGCGTTTTGGATCATCGTGGTTTGGTCATGCTGACGGGTGAGCTTGCACACAAGAGCCACGAACAGTTTTTCGCAGGACACATTCAAGGTACCCAAAGAGACGAAAATTCTAAATACTCGAGAGAAACAGAGGCCGCTTTGCTTTGGCATCCGGGATATGCCGTGTCTACAACAGCATATATTCATTTTTCAGATTGGCCATATCCCAAGGTAAGTTTTAACTGAAGCAGACAACTAAAAATAATGGATTGAAGAACTTGACTAACTTATATAGCCATGGGTTCAAGCGACAACTGAACGTTTGATGGAGGCACAACCCGATTGCTTGCCTCATGCAGAACTCAAGCTTAACAAAGACGGCGAATATTATTTCGAGCGTCCTGAAAAGAATCCTGTTGACTGCAGCGCGCGTCGCCTCTGGAACGCCTTTTATGTGGACTACTATAATCGCAGAAGTGTAAGTTTTATTGTTACCCCCCCTTTTTTTTTGAGTACAGTTACTAACAGCCATATTTAGCAAATTTGTCAATTGGAGTTGACTGGTTAGAATAGACATTTTATTTTTCATTTCTTACTTCTAGGGATAATATAATTTACAAATTTGTATAGATATATATATATAGTTTTTTTTTTTTAATATAAAGGTCATTGTTGTAATATGGTGTGTAGAAACTGTTTTGCCGAACCTGCAGCAGAAACACCGTTCTTAAACCCACTCTATCAAAAAATAAATAAAAAAAATGGATCAAAATAAAATTTCCCATTTTTTTTTTAAAAATCATATTCACAGTTTTTCGTTATAGGCTGTAGCATAAGCTGTAGCAAAAGCTGTAGCCCAAACGACCTGCGTCTGGTACACAATAGCTGGGTCAGCGTATACTGTCATATAAACGTAGTCCACGCCTCCTGGGATTGTTGTTTTTACAACTGAGTATTGAGCTGTTGTGGGTGAAGATTGTGCTGCAGCAGCTGCTGAGGAGGAGGACGGAGAAGAAGAAGAAGAAGAAGGAAGGCTGCTGGTATAGCTGGTGGATGTTAGAACGAGAGTGTAAGTAGGGGTGATTGTAGCGGTTGCGCTGAGCAAAGAAGTTGAAGAGGAGTGAACGTGGTGGGAGTGAAGACGAGAGGCTGTAGGCGTTACAGTGGGGGAATCAGAAGCGGCAGTGGTTGTTGAACCCGAAGAATCTGAAGGGTTTAAGAGATCAGAAGAAGAACTGGAGCCTGAAGTGGTGGAAGCAGAGGTAGAAATAGAAATAGAAGCAGAGCCAGAACCAGATGAAGAGGAGTCTGTGGTTGAGGACAGAGTAGACTCGAAAGTGGAAGAAGGGGAGGTAGATTCACTGGAAGTTTCTGAAATAAGAGGATCAATATTCTCAGAGGTTGAAGAAATAGCAGAAGATGAAGGATCAATGATACTTGAAACAACGGATGATTCCGATGTTATAGAACTTGTGGTGGAAGTGCTAATACTTTGAATGTTAGATTCACTTGTGCTGGTTTCAGCAACACTAGAGCTAGCTGCATTAGTTTCTAAAACAGAAGCAGTTGCAGAAAGGTCTGAGGCAATTGCAGAAAATTCGGAGGCAGTTGCCGAAGAAGAAGCACCGAAGAAGTCGCTTGAAAAGGTCTCAGACAGCAAGGAAGAAGAAAAGGAGCTTGCTGGAGCATTTTCAGAGGACTCTGCAGAGACAGTCGATTCGTCGGCGGAAAAGGCAGAAGAAGAGACTGCAGAAAAAGATGAAGAAGAAGATGAAATAATCGAAGAAGTGGCACTGGAGGTGGTGGAGTAATCAATTGAAGTAGTGGAGGTAACGGTAGAGGTGACTGTGGTTGTAGATGTGGAGTCCCAGTGATGTGAGGTAGAGGAAGAAGCTCCAGGAATTGTAGTCAGAGTGAGAGCTTCAGATGATGAAGAGGTAGATGGAGTAGGAGTAGGAGTAGAAATGGGATCCGAGCTGGAAGAAGAAGAAGAATATGATGAAGACCAGGAAGAAGACCAGGAACTGGTCCAAGCAGACGACCAGGCAGAGGAGGTTGTGGTTGAATCAGGCTGGGCTGCAACGGAAGTGGTTACTTCAGCCGCAGTATCAGCAACAGAGCCAGCCGTGTATACTTCTGGTCCCGGGAACACGTACTGTGACAAATCTTGACCGTCATAAATATTGATGTAAATACCTGGATCGGTATCTTTATAAGCACCGGGGAACTTGACACCACTAGGCTTGGCGGTGCCTCCACCACTTGCAATCTTGAGGTTGGCACACATTGGATAAAACTGGGGGGCATCAAGGACCATTGCTTCGTGGAGAGCCAGAATTTCGTGACGCACAATATAGTTACCGCCCACAATATCGCTGGGCAAAGTGACAGTCCAGGAATTGTTATTCGAAATCAAGTCGTCCGTGGCCCATGTTTTGGAATCTGAATTGTATCCTTTCTGATCAATTTTAAAGTATTCAAGTGTCGTGACATCTTCAACTTCAGAACACAGTGTGTTGTCACCGCAGTACGCAAGATACGTCATAATGGGGCCTTTATGACCGGATGGCCAGTCGGTCCAGTAAAAAGAAACTGTAGAGCCGGCAGGGATTTCATCGGCATCAGCCAGTTGTGATCTAGAGACTAAAGATACGACATTACAGGCTATTCCAGAGGAAGAAACATCGGTGACGGGACCATTTCCGTTGGAATAAAAGGGCCAAACAATACGTGCTGGTGGTCCACCTTGTTGCCATTCATCTGTGAAGGGAAGAGAGCCTGTGTACCAAGAATCTGCTCCAAGCTTGAGATCGTGGACAAAACCGTGAGCGGCCACAGTGGAAAGTAAAGCCAAAGAAGAGATGAAAAACTTCATTGAAAAAAAAAATGAAAGACTATGGTCAGAAAAGACGTTTTAAAGAAAGACTAAAGTTAGAAAAAAAAACAAGAAAAAAAAAAAAGAAAGAAAGAAGAAGAAGAGATAAAAGGTTGCTATTTTATTTTTTTTTAGAAAAGAATGACTATTAATGAGAATGATGTTAGAGACAAAAAAAAAAGTTTGAAATAAAGTGCGAAATAGAAAGGCTTTATATTTCGAATGATCAAACAAATTGAAAAGTTCCAGTATTTCAATATTCAGACACCTCCTGTGATGGGACCAAAAGGGGTCTGGGCAACTGTCAGGTACACAAGCGTGCATATAATCAAGTTCTTTGTACCTTGCATATAAAATATTAAAGAAGGACTTAAAATCAATAATAATAATCAGAAGAAAGAAACAAATTTGATTGTTTATACAAAAAGCGTTTCATCTTTTTATATTTTATATTTATTTATTTTTTTATTAAAAAAAAACATATCATTTCTATCTAACAAAGACTAAGCAGTCGCATCTACAGTTGCATATACAAAGGCTGTAGCTTGCACAATCACGGGATCAGCATATACTGTCATAAACACATATTCTGCTCCAGAAGTCACAGATGTTGTTACTAGAACGGTACCCGACTTGGTGGTTACGGTTTCAGTTACAGCCTCGTTCCCGCTTTGCGGCAGCGTTGAGGTGTTTGTGATTGTAAAAGTTGGCGTGACTGTTTCTATTGCGCTGACCATAGATGAAGAAGAAGAAGAAGAAGGAGAAGGGGAGGATGTTTCCAGTGACGATGACGACACCGACGTCAACACATCTGTTTGTGGAGCGGCCACACTACTGAAACTGCTTTGAATAGATAAGGAGGTGCTTGGCACTAATGACGATGTTGGTGATGGTAACCAAGAAGTAGAAGTGGAGGATGAAGTGGAATAAGGAGAAGAAGGTGAAGTGGAAGATGAAGTGGTTTTAGGCGGGAAGCCTGAGAATGTGGTTGAAAGATCGGTGATTGTTATGTAAATTGTAGATGTGATGGTGGAGTCGTAGCTAGTTGTGTCAATTTGTTGCGCCAAAGCTTGCAACACAAAAAGGCAAGTGGTGGTGAACAGACCAGCTGTGTATTTCATGATTAAAGGATGATGTGAAGAAATTATTAAGACAATTGAAAAAAAAAAAAAAAAAAAAAAAAAAAGATTTTTTAAACTTTTAAAGAAAAAACAGAGCCCCTTTTATATAATTTGAATATGAGCATATTTTGATTCCCAGACGTTTTGAATACGCAGAGTTTAGCTTGAAGTTCCAAATACTACATTTGAAAACAGGCACTTGTGAGATCTCCTGCGCCAGTATTACATAGCCATTTTTTTTTTCATTAAAATTTTACAATGCCCACGCTTTAACTTTCATTTTGAACAAAAAAAGAAACATGCTGAATTCACTATATATATATATATATATTAAAGTCATAATTATCAATTGGATCTTTCAATTAATCATAGTTATGAAGTTTAAAAGACCAAAGTGTAGACGTAAAATATATACAAAGTAGGTCTTTGTGTAGATGAGAAAAAAGAGTGGAAAAGCCGCACCGTTTTGGATCCGAAACACAAGCAAAGAAAAATAACCATCTTTCTTCTTCGCCCCTTGCGTCCTTTTCCCTCAATATATAAACAAAATCCATCAATATATATTAAAAACAAAGGAAAAATAAAAGGAAAGTTCCAAGTGATATTAAATTGAAAAAAAAAGAAATCATTTTTAGTTATTTATTTTTATTTTTATTTTTATTTTTTTATTTTGTAAAGGGTGGATCTCGGGAAATGTTGAGCCGCATCAAACTTTGTTCCTGAAAAAAAAAAAAATTTCAATTAATCACCACCACTATTGTTAAACAACAATATATTGTTGTTATATCATCAATATATTGATGAAATTATATAATTTCTTCTAAATCTCTTAAATAAAATATTATTCAAAAATACTTAATTTTATTATAAACTTAGTTTATAATTAACTAGTAGTTTATTCGTTAAGTCTATATTTATTGGTGCTTCTTTTTAACCCTTCATTTTGCTCTACTCTTTCTCATTTCCAAAAAAAAAAAAAAAAAAAACAACTATATCATTCTCCTATAACTACAAAAAAAAACACCCCAGACCCAATATTTCATTTAAATTTTGTAAGACTTTAATGTTTAAATGTATAGACATTTTCTTTCATTTGAAAAATAAATCCAATTCTACAACATTTTATATCTTTTTACCGAAGCTAACCTAGTACTTAATTTCTTTCGATAGATATACAACCAAAAACTATTTAAATTTTGATTTCATATTTTTCAGAGCAGTCAGGTGGTTTAGACGATGACGTTTAAAATTCCGTGAACACTTAAAAAAAAAATATTATTGAAACCAACTAAAGTATCATTTATAATCAAATAATTTTGTTCAAACACCAGCCTCATAGTTTGCAAAAAGTGATTTATTTTATTGAAAAATAATTTATGAAAAAACATTTTTAAGATTGCTTAAGCTTTTAATGTGCCTAGCTCATTGTTTGTTTGTTTTTATTCAAATGTGCCTAGCCCAGATTCCAAAAAAATGACTTTTTTTCATTTCTGTTCCTTCTAAAGCTCACTACCTGACAAGATGTCACATGATTAGGGCGTCTGGTGTAGTTGGCTATCACGTTCGCTTAGCATGCGAAAGGTCCCCGGTTCAACTCCGGTGTCGTCCATTTAACTTTTTGATGTTTTTTTTTTTTGAAATTGAAGTGTATATTTAGAAATGCAAATAGTTATTAGCAAACTGCCTCTCTATTTTTAATAAAAAAAAACATTAAAACATCATTTCTATATGTTTTAAATAATATGGTTTTGTGATAGTTGTGTGCAGCCAGAATGAGTTATATTTTTAAGGTTTAAGTTATTAGTTGCTGTACTGCATATGGATTAAAATGATAATGATGATGATGAAGTGTATTATCTATAGGAATGACAATTCAAACATATTGAAATTACATTACTCTAAAGTTTGCCTTTGAAAAAAATTGGATAATTGGACAATTGAGTTAATTGAGTTATATAAAGTAATTAAAGAAATATCATTGTTTGAGCCAATTATGTTTTTGGGATTTGTCAATTTTTACCCCGCTTTATTTTTTTATTTTTTTTTAATTTATTTTTTTTTTCATTTTGAACGAGTCATTTGATTCTACGACGTTGACAATCTATCAACACCTTTTGATCAACTAGTCACCTTGCCAATTGTGCCCTAACAAAAATATTTTTTACCATACAAAATTGACAAAAACAAAAAATTTACTTGAAATCCCAAAATCGACTTTTCTTATTAACCATTTCACAACACGTTATTAAGGAAAACACAAGCCCTTAATTTAAAAATCTTAATTTTTTTAAAATTAGTCAGCCACAACCATACTTTTAATGATAAAATGGTAGTTAATTAGTACTTATATATATACAAATTTGTACCCCAAAGTTCCATCGTTATAAAATTTTTTAAACCACTTTCATTCTAATATTAGCCCTTACGATTGTCAATAAAATGATATAGTATTGTCAATAAAGTGTTGTAGTATTTGTAAAATATTTTTTAAAAAATAAGAATCATGCATTTAGGACATTTTTAATGAAGGGTTGTGCAAATGCTTAATAAGAGTTTGTGTTTTGGTTATTAACGTGTTGAAAATGAAGAGGAAATCGTTATTAAGAGTTTGTGAAATGCTTAATAAGGATTACATTTTGTTAGGGCACAATTGGCAAGGTGTAGTTGTGTTCGGTATCAGCCAACCCGATTAGAATAATCTAGACCTTGTTTGTTTTTCAGTTCAATGACAATCTTGCGCAAGACAATTATTCATTGAGTCAATTGACTCTTATGATTATCAATCTGTGGGGTTTAGCGTGAGTGCCTTTTTTTTTTTTTTTTTTTTTTTTTTTTTTTAATCTTTGGCACATAAGTCACCAAAATATCCGAAATTTCAATTCGGATAAACATTTATCGATCCGATAATACAGTAATATTTTTAATAGAAATAGATATATATATATATATATATAAATATTCCAATCCCATTTCTGATTATTTATATTCTTAACTACCTTGTTCATTGCCAAGACTTTTTGAAAAAACTTAATAGATCTCCAAAAAAACAAAAACACAAAAATACAAAAACAAAAACGAAAAAAAAAAATGAAGTCTTATTATCATGACGGTCTTGAAAATGAAGACAAAAGACTTCCACATGAAAGCTCGGAAGAAGTTTCCCTAAAAGAGCTTAACTCAATTGGCGTGTATACATTCCATTTTGATGAACTTACGGCTGTTGATGCGCTAGCCCAAGAGCGTAACTACAGAGCACGAGACGAGGTTGTTGTTTCCCCAGAAGCTTTGGGTAGTTGGAAATCCTATCATGCACAGCTCGATACTTTTTACAAAGAGCATTTACATGAAGATGAGGAGATTCGTTATGTTCTAGATGGTGCCGGTTACTTTGATGTTCGTAACAAGGCTCAAGACCGTTGGATTCGTACATACGTAACCAAAGGTGATCTAATGATTTTGCCCTCTGGAATTTACCATCGATTTACTCTTACAACTGACAATTATATTAAAAACATGCGATTGTTCCAAGATAAACCTAAGTGGATGGCTATCAACAGACCAGAAGCTGATACTAACTTATTTAGGGAGGAGTATTTGAAGGAGATTTCAACACATTAAAAGAATGAAAATTGATAATAATAATGATAATAAAAGAATGTAATTACTTATATGATATTTATAAAACAGTAAAATTCATTTGAAGTTTTTTTTTTTTTAATTTTGGTAAACCTTTCAGTCTTTTCCTTTTTTGTATATTTATATTTAATTGAGTATAGTTTATAAACTATCTAACTTAAAACTACAATATCATAGCTTTCAATTCTTCAAGTCGTTGCAATTTAATCATAGTCATAATATGAATGATTCAACTTTTAAAATTATGTTCACATAAACTTCTTTTTTTGGAAAGATTACTTGGTCTTTATATTTAACTCATCATGATGATCATAATCTCATCTGGCCCATTTTTATTTTCTGCATTTTTACTCCACCTCACTCCACTCCACTCTACTCCACCTCACTCACTTTTCCCCCTTCATCTACCACTAGATCTTAAAGTATACTCATCATATCTAGTACTAACAAATGATTCGTCTTTCTTATGACACACGTTTTTTTGTAACAATCAAGTGGTTCTAAATCCTTCCTCTTTCATATCCAAGAGCTAATATTTGTTGGGATACAGAAATAACAGGTTAGGGTTTGGAAAAGAATACTAAAAAAAATAAAGTGAAAATTTATTTGTTTTCTTTCCTCATCCATATTATTGTTATTAAAATGGCTATGTCCTTTTACTGCTGTTTACTCTAATCGACTATAATAGCTAACACAGAATTCCATTTAGAGCCCACGTAAATCCTAACAATATTTTAGTGTAATGACAACATATTACAGCGCTTCTTTTTTATGATAAGATTACGTCGTTTGTTGCTATCATCAATTTAGCAAATCTTTTTTTTTTTTTTTTTTTGCTTCTATTAACCAAATCAACAATGTAAGAAGATCTATCAATTTCAATTTCAAATGAAAAGTTTATGATTTTATTATGCCAAAAAATTTCAACGTTTTGTTTATTAATTAAGACTTAGACTGGAAGAATGTTTTTTTTTTCTTTTTTTAAATAGTAGTACGATTATATGAGACTAGTTTAATATCTCCAGCTACTCTTCAGTTTCTAATTGTGCACTAATTAATTATAATTATATTTTTCCATATAATGTTTTAATTTACTTTTTTATTGTCTTTGGTAAATTTTTTGGAATTTTTTTTCCATGTGTTGTAAATGCAAACAAAGCCACTAAAATCATTACACAATTTCCAAAGCAGCAACTAAACAATTTGTAAGAATAGAAAAAAAAAGAATACGTATTTATATATATTTGTTTAAAATATATTAAAAGATTCTAATACTATTCCTCTTTGGGAGAGATTTCCTATTAATTACACCAGGTCTTACTATCATAACCCCGCTTAACAATATCGTTAAGCATAATATTATGAATTTTGACTTGAAGATAAACTATAAAAAAAAACAAAAAAAAAATCGAAGGCGATCCAAAACATATAAATATAAGCTGTTAAGCTTTTTTTTATTTAAATTTTTTTTTTTATCTCCGTATTCACTTTATTTTATTTTTTTTTTTCTTAACAAACATCCACCTTAGCACCAGTTACAACATTTCAAAAATGAAAGCCTATTACCACGATGGTCTTGAGATCAAAGATAGAAGTTTCCCTCATGAAAGCACAGAAGAAGTTTCTCTTGAAGAGCTAAATAATATAGGAGTATACATTTATCATTTTGACCAAGTTTCTTCTGTCGACCAGCTTTCAAAAGAACGCAATTATATGGCAAGAGATGAGATTGAAATTTCTCCGAAATCTTGTGGCAGTTGGGAAAATTACCAGATACAACTAGACAAGTATTACATTGAGCATTTGCATGAAGATGAAGAAATTCGGTATGTACTTGATGGTGCTGGTTACTTTGATATTCGAAACAACACTCAAGATCGCTGGATCAGAGTACACCTAACAAAGGGTGATTTGGTTATTGTTCCTGCCGGAATATATCATCGGTTTGCTCCAACAACTGACCATTACATTAAAAATATGAGACTCTTCCAAAACAGACCAAAGTGGATGGCCATAAATCGTCCAGAGGCAGATACAACAACTTTCAGAAAAAAATATTTAAAAGAAATTAAGATTAACTAAATACTATATAGTTAGCCAAACTGCATGTTGTCCTTTTTTTTTTATATGATGATTAACTCTTTAAATTTAAATTTGTTTGCTCTGCCTTTAGAGTATTATATTCTAAAAAAAACTTTTTTATCATGTAATTGGAAGTTTTGATTTTACCCTTCATATTTAAAATGAAAAGACATCTTTGATATACTAGAAATATAAAAAGACAATAATTCTAACACAGAAAAAAAGAAACACAATGTCATTCACTTACAATATACCCAATTTGAAATGCTGACGATCCATAAGTGTAAAACAGGCAAGCCGTACACTTACAGGTCATCTGATAGCACATTAGCCGCACTTTGGTTTTAACTCAACAATTATAAGTACACTAAACAATATGGGGGGTTGTATTACAAGAACTTGTTACATTTTAGTTAATCACAACAATGTCCAGATTTACATGAGACTCTAAATTAAAAAAAATTAGATTACTTGAATAGCTATTGTACTTGAACAAGAGTAATATGATGTATATAAGTGAGGCTGACGCAATGATAAATGTAAGGAAAAAAATAATATGGATTCAAAAGTTCTTTATGACTTTTTTAAATGGTATTTATTTACAGTAGTAAATACTCTAACGAAGAAAGTAGACTGCAAAATATATTTTGGTCAACTAAATTTATTCTAAGACATTTAAACTTTTTACAATAATTCTTATATGAAATAGAAACTTTGCTTAACTCACTCAAGTCTTAAAAACCCTAGTAGAAAAAAATCCGTTTTTTGTGCCCTAACTCATCAATTAAAGAGTGCGATTGTTAAAAAAAAGGTTATAAAAAAAATTGAAATAAACAGATATACCGGCAGTACTTTAAAATTTATAACTAATTAGTTATAAGTATTTTTAAAAGTAGGCAATTAATATATAAAGCTGGCAAATATTTTAGTAAAAAATTAATTAGTTATACTATTATTGTAATCTTTTTGCAGTTTTTATTTTTGAAATATATGAAATTTTATATTTAATTTCTATTGAGTATTTGACCAATATCAACTTTACTTATATTATACGGACATATAGTTACATTTTATATAATATTTAACTCACAATAATAATAATTATTTTTTTAATCTCAGAAAGGACTACATTAATCATTCATTTTTTTTAAAAAAAAAATAACTTTAGAATCAATCAGGAAAAGCGGAATTTTTTCTTCTTCAATCTTAGTTTGCAAAAAAAAAAAAAAAAAAAAAAAAAAATATTGCATGACCATGATGAGGTTATTGCAATAATAGTCATAATGTTTTATAAACTCACCCACCATAAAAGTATAACTGGGTAATTTTCTACTAAGATTTTTGTACTTAATACAATAAATATATTTCATTTTGTATATTCAAATAATAAAAAACTAAAATAGTTTACTTTTCATACTATTTTACTAAAATTAGTTAAATCCTTTTACAATTTTGTTTTAATTAATAAAAGAATATATCAATCAAATTTTAATTTACTTGATTATGAAAAAAAAAAGGTCTAAACCTCAATTAAATTATATTTTATTTATTTTTTTGCAAAAATATTTTCATGCTTGACCTTAGGCCGCGGACAATTCTAACGTTAGGGGTACTTTTAATTCTGATTCTCTTTCCAAAGCATACTTTTTTCTTAAACCCCTTTCTCTCACTAAACCCATTTTAGTTGTCCACCACTTAAATCAATTCAACTTCCTATTTTGTAGTTTTTTTGATTCACCTTTCTTCCCCACCCTGCCAACGATTCGAAAATTTGCAAGATAAACTCGTGTTTTTTCTTGGTAAACGGTTAATAAAAAAATTCATCTTTCGGAGTTAAATGAAAACTTAAAGACTCCGTTTTTTTTTTTTTTTTTCTTTTAAAAAACGAAATTTTGTTTTTTCAATCTACAGCCTTAAATACCATCTTATTTATTTTATTCTATGTAGTACTGAGACAGTAATTGTCTTTCATTTCGTTTTCCTCGTTCCATTCCTAGCTCAGTACCTTTATTAGTACTCTGTTTGTTTAAAATTTTAACACCCCAATTCATCTCTTCCTCGGTATCAATTTTAATCAAACAAAAAGAAAAACTAAAAACTTTCCTGATTTTTATCAAAGTAATGCTCAATTGTGGCATTATCTTAAGGTTTTGAAATTCATACTAAAACCTTTTCACTAAAGGGGCAACCCATTACCATTAATGTAGTTTGGATATTCTCATCTAGTTCGCAAAACAATTTGTCCCCGTCCTTTTCATCACATACTTCTGCACGTGTATAATGTCTACGTAGACATTCCCTGATCTTGTCAAGATATTTACAATAAAGTTGTTTCGAAGCCATGGATAACAGTTGCATTACATGAAAAATATTAAGCTTAAAATTAACCCAAAAATTTTTAAAAATATTTTCAAGCTTAAAAATAATTTGGCTTTGAAAATAAAATTTCAAATTTGATTTTAAAGGCTTACCTCAACTTACCAAATAATTTATAGATACGTATATGATTGGTATACCAAATATACTACTTTATTTCAAAACTCCCTCCCTCGCTTAAAGTATAATACGGCTCTGATCAATTTTCTGTTTTGGGACATGCATGATTTTCCCTTTTTGATTTTTTCAATACCACAATACTGCAGACTTTTCATACAGAAGCTACTAAAATAATCATTTCAAGATATATCTGATATTCTTTTATTAGAAACAAAAGGTAAAGAATCGTAAGAAAAATAACATAAATTTTTAAAAATAAGTTTAATGATTATCACGAGAAAAGCGAAAAATACTAATTTTTAGTTCCAGAGGCCTTTTTTTTCAATTGTCATTTAAAATTTATTATAAAGATGTTAATCTTCCTTGTTTCTAAATTAAATTTTATTTAATAGCTTATTCTTATTTTATTCTTTATTTTTCAAAAATATTATTTCACTCTATTCAGTCTTTTTTTCTATTTTTTTATATTTGATGAGCTTTATACCTTTAAAAGCCATTTTTTTTCTATTTTTTAATTAATCGGGAAGTCATTTTTTATTTTAATAATTGTTTGTTTTTCATTTTGTAAGTAGTCTTGTTTTTTTTTATAATTATTATATGATTCAAATCATGATTTAATTTTCTAACTTTTTTTTTTTTTTTTTTCATTTTCAAGAAATGAAAGGATTTGAAACTCTATTCACATTTCTGGCACTGAGTGTAGCAAATGTGGCTTTAGCATTTGAGGCTTCCCCACCAAACCCTTCGAACATTAATGTTCCAAATATTTATGAGCGTGATGATGGAACTATGTGTTTTGCAACAGTTCCTGAGGTCCTTGACTGTCAGAATCTTTGTAAGGCCTTGTACAGTTACTACGCCAATTACTATTCTGAATACTGCCATATGTTTGAAATATTTAAGACTCTAAGTGCTGCTTGTGCATCCTGTGGGAAGCTGTATCCAGGTACAGGTGCTGAGTCTCTTTCCAAAAGTGCCACAACTCTTATTAAAAGTTGTGGTGATGTTCCTGAGATTCTTCCATGCACAGAAGGACAGGTTCCTGCAACTCTTCCTGGAAGCCTTCCTGAATTAACTGACACAGACTCTTGCACAATTGCATCAACAATTAGTGATTGTGTTAGTGCATGTTTCTATTCAGCTTACAAACTAAATCATGAAACCTGTGATATTTTTCTCACCTCTAGTAAAACAGATACAAACTCAGCATTTTGTTTACTTGCTTCCTGCCTTAGTTGTTCTAAGTCTTATAATTTCATGACTTATCCAATGACAAATGATTTTGGACAATTGTTTCCATGTCTCATGTTTCCTGAAGAATCTTCTTCTGTTGCCCCAATTGAAACGGACAGTTCTGTAGAAACTGTCAATTGTTTTGAATCAGTTCCTAGTGAAGATGATTGTAAATCTCTTTGCAATTCTCTTTACAATGCTTTTTCAAATTTTTATTCTGACCGCTGCACTTTATCCAAAACTTATGAACGCCTAACTTCTCTTTGTAAAACTTGTGGCCAGGTTTATCCCAATGGTGACGCCTTTTTCTGGTCTGATACTACACTCTATCTCATTAGAAAGTGTGACGTTATTCCTGCTGTTTCAGTCTGTTCAGAAAATGAGGTTGCCATTAAACCACCAGCCTCACTTCCTGTTCTGAGTGACACCGATGCTTGCAAGGTTGTAGATACTGTTTCAGACTGTGTCAATGTCTGCTTTAACGTTGGTGACACTCTAAACAGTGCCTCTTGTGACACTTTTGTTGACTCTGCAAAAGACAAATCAACTACACCATACTGTTCTCTGTCTACCTGTTTGACTTGTGTCAGCAAGTTTTCTTTTATGGTTAATGCAGTTGAGTTTGATATTGCTGAATCTCTTTCTTGTCTTGAAAATATAGCCCAAGAATCTTCTACAGTTGAAGTGTTTACTACCGAACCTTTTGCAACTGAATCAACATCATTTACTGAATTTCAAACTGAATCAGCATCGGAAACTAACACATCCCCTAAAGACGTTAATTGTTTTGAGAGTTTTCCTACTGAAGATGAGTGTTACACTCTTTGTAATGCTCTTTATTCTGCATACTCTACCTACTATTCCGAACGCTGCAACCTCTTTAACACATACAAAAACCTGAACACTCTTTGCAAAACTTGTGGTAATGCTTATCCAGATGGTGATGCATACTTTTGGTCTGATGTTACTTTAAGTTTGGTCAAAACTTGCGGTACCGTCCCTTCTATTTCTCAGTGTTCCAATGATCAAACCCCTTCTCCTGCTTTTGCAAAACTTCCAGATCTAGAAGATACCAATGCTTGCACTGTTCGAAATTATATCGATGATTGTGTTAATGCCTGTTTTAAGGTTGGAGACATTCTTCAGAGTGGTTCTTGCAATACATTTCTTGATTCAGGGAAAGATAATTCCAATACTCCCTACTGCTCTCTTTCAACTTGTTTGACTTGCGTCAAGTCATTTCCTTTTTTGGTTTATCCATTTGAGTTAGATCTTGGCAATACCCTTTCTTGTCTCGTCAGTGTACCTACAGAGTCATCATCTTCTGAAGCATCATTTTCTTCTGAAATACTATCTTCTTCTGAGGAATCATCATTTGAAATTTTTTCTTCTACTGTACCTGTTTTTGAATCTTTTTCTTTAAATTTTCCGGATGTGTCTGCTTCTCAAACAAATGTTCCAGAAAACGTCGAATGTTTCGAATCACTTCCAAATGAAGATGAATGTTATACTTTGTGTAATGGTCTGTACTCTGCTTATTCGACTTATTACTCGGATCGCTGTGTTCTTTCCAATACTTACAAGAGCTTGACTGCTCTTTGTGATGCTTGTGGTAAAGAATATCCGGATGGCGATGCATACTTTTGGTCAGATGTCACCTTGAGTTTAGTCAAAAATTGCAACAATGTCCCCACTATATCTAAATGTGCTAGTGGTCAAACGGCTGTGGCCCCTACTGCCAAATTTCCTGAGCTTAGTGATACTGACGCTTGTACTGTTCGCAACTATATTGATGACTGTGTCAACATTTGTTTCAAAGTTGGTGACATTTTTCACAGTGGTTCATGTACTACATTTCTTGATTCCGGAAAAGATAATGCCAATACCCCCTATTGTTCTCTTTCTACTTGCTTAACTTGTATAAAAGCATTCCCATTTTTGGTCTATCCAGTAGAATTTGATATTGCTGAATCTCTTTCTTGTCTTACAAAAGTTGATGAATCCTCCTTAGTTCAAGCATCTTCTACTCAATTTTTATCGGAGGTTTCATCTGTGGAATTTTTGGCTGAATCAGTTTCTGAAACTTTTTCAAGTATTTCTGTTTCTGAATCCTTTGTGAGTGTAGACTCGTCAACAGTATCTTTGGTGGAATCTGCATTTTCCGTTTCTGAAAAATCTTCAAGTGAGATAGCTACCGAATCTTCTTTAGTTATACTTGACTCAAGCCAGCTTTCAGATCAATCTTCCTATGGTATTTCGTCCAGTGAAATTTACGATGACATTTCCTCTACTGAGACTTCCTCAAAAGAACTTTCGTTGACTGCACTGGTCTCAGAATATTCATCAGAATTTTCTGCTGATTCTTCTGAATCTTCTTCTGAATCTTCTTTAGAGTTCTCTTTTGAATCTTCATTTGAATCTTCCTTTGAGTCCTCTTCAAAATTTTCTTCAGAATTTTCTTCCGAGTCTTATTCTGAGACTTCCTCTGAATTTTCTTTTGAACCTTCTAAAAGTTTATTTTCAGACTTTTCCTCAGAATTATCTTTTGAATCATTGTTACAATCATCTGGAGAACTTCTGAATGAATCTTCTACTGAATTTTCTGCTGATTCTTTTGTGTCTTCTTTTGAATCTTCTGAATCTTCTGAATCTTCTGAATCTTTTGAATTTTGTGAATTTTGTGAATCTTGTGAATCTTGTGAATCTTGTGAATCTTGTGAATCTTGTGAATCTTGTGAATCTTGTGAATCTTGTGAATCTTTTTGTGAATCTTCTGGATCTTCTTCTGAATCTACTCTTGAATTTTCTTCTGAATCTTCTTCTGAATTTTATTCCGAGTCCTATTCTCAGACTTCCTCTGAATTTTCTTTTGAACCTTCTAAAAGTTTATTTTTAGAATTTTCCTCAGAATCATCTAATGAATCTTCTACTGAATCATCTACTGAATCTTCTCTAGAAATTTCAGTGGAAACATCTGCTGAAACTTCCTCAAGAATTTCCGAGAACTCACTTTCTGACGATTCACCTCACTCATACGATGAATCTTCGGCATACTCTTTGGATTACTCTAACTCTGATTTTTCATATAAATCCTCATCTGAATCTTCAAGAGACTTTTATGCAGATTCTTCTTCAAAAACTTCTGCTCAAATTTATTCTGATTTTTCATCCGAGTCTGCTGAATATTTAACCAAATCTTCATTTGATTCTATTTCTGTATCTTTTACGGAATCTATTGTATCTACATCTTTATTATCCATCTCTGAGGAAACGCCATCTTCCGTTGAATTATTTACAGATTCTTCTGCTACTGCTACTGCTTCTACTTCTATCATTTATTCAAGTGAATCATTTGCTGATTCTTCTATTGTTGAATATGTTTCAATGTCCACCCATGAATCAGCCACTGACTTATCAAAATCTGAATCAGTTTCAATTCTTATTTTAGAATCATTTACAGAATCTATCTCAGAAATTTCTGTTACTTTTGGCACTGACTTCTCACAACTATTTTCTGAACCTTCTAATGTCATCTGGTCTGAATCGACTATTGATAAAATTTCTTTCACATCTTATAGTGAGCTTATTACCGACTTCCCAATTGAATCTTCATTTACACTTTCTGTTCAATCTTCTATTGAGCTAATTTCCGAAACAAATACTGTGTCTTTAGCTGATCCTACTAGTGAACCCTCTGTTGAGTCTAGTTCACTTCAGTTGTCTTCGGTTACAATGGTTTCTACATCTATTATTGAGTCTTATATTGAATCTTCTATTGGGTCTGTTTCTGAGTCGTTTAGCAACCTTTGGCCAATGACTAGTGCTTCAATCTCTGTTACAGAATCCTCCTCGTTAAGCATTGTTGAAGAGTCTTCTGTTTCCTATACTTGCATTCTTCCCATGATGGAAAGACGAGATGTTAACTTAATGTATTGTCAAAACGCTTGTGGTGTTTTATTTGAAGGTCTCAGAAATGAAGGTTTTAACTGCAATATTTTGCAATTATACCAAAATGAGTATTCTATCTGTCATACTTGCCAATCAGTTTATCCTGAAGTTATTATTTTTGAAACTTCGTTTGTGGACTTGTACAAGTCTTGTGATGTTGATGTTATTGTTTTTTGTCCTGCTGAAACTTCTACTAGCAACTTATACCCTATATCTGCAACAGGTTCTGAAAGTCATCTGGCGTCAAGTTTGAGTGATTTTGAGTCTATTTCTGAAAGCCAGTTAAAGAATATTTCTACCCAATTAGCAATTGAAAGCACATCACAACTATTTTCTAGTAGTTCTACTGATTATGCTATTGAAAGCCAAGAAGAATCTTTGAAATCAATTGCTGCTACTGTAACTGAGTTTGTTACTGATAGTCAAGTAGTATCTTTGGAACCAACCTCTACAGTTACAGAAACTTTTGAGTGTCATCAATGTGTTACAAAAACAGTTACAACAACCACTACTACAACATTTACCACCACTTCTGACACTTCTACCATTACTGTGACCGAGCCTTGTGAGACCTCTTATACGGTTATTATTTCGCCTCTCCCCACAGCTGGCTCTACTACCATTACTATTGCCAAAACGTCAGCAATCACTGAGCTTACCACAGTTACCAAAAAATGCAGCCAGTGCGTCACAACAACAATCACTTCAACGGGAGTGACAACAGTGACTAAGAAACTTGACTCCAGCACTATGACGGTTGTCAAACCTTGTGAGACGACGGTCACAGCCATTGTATCTCCATTACCATCTGATGGATTCACAACCATGAAGTTCACTGAGACTGATGAGAAAGTTGAGATCAAGACAATTGTATCTACCAGATACACAACGTATTTGTCAGCTGTTTTTGGAACAAGTACAACCACTATTACAGACCCTTGTGAGACAGTAACATATACAACAATTGAATCCAGTTCAGATTCTAAAAAACAGAAAACAGTGATTAAGACGTCTTCTGGATACACAACATTTACAAGTGTTTCTGGGACACGGACAAAAATTATTGTTGAGCCTTATGAGACGATAGATACTGAAGTTGTTTCTTCTTTGGGATCAGGAGCATTTACCACAATTATAGAAGATGAGAAGGATGTTACTACCACGTATATTTCTAGTGGGCATAGTACCATTACAACAGTTTCTGGGGGCCAAGTTGTCACTTTCACAGAGCCATGTGAAAGTACTATTACTTCAATCATTCCCAAGAATTTAGTTACTACAGCTAATTCCCAGAATATTAAAACTACGGCATATGTTTCTTCAGGATCTACTACCTTCACTACTGTTATTAATGGCCAGACTACTACTGTTACAGAGCCTTGTGAATCTACCATAACTTTGACAGTTTCAAAATTTTTAATTACTACACCCGAGACTAAAAAGCCAGTTTCTTCTACTTTTGTTTCAACAGGTTATTCGACAATCACCACTGTTTCTGAAGAAAGAGATATTACAATCACTGAGCCGTATGAAATTAAAATCACCTCTGGTGTTTCTTCCAAGTCTTATCCTCTTGGAAAATCTCTTGAACTACCAGTTACTTCTATAGCGACTACCGTTATTTCATCTGGTTTTACAACATTTACCACAGTTTCTGGAGATGAGATTGTAACAATTACTGAGCCCTGTGAAACCACAATAACATCTGTTGTTTTGAAAACTGAGGCTACTATTGATGTTAGTGAAGAATCGACATCTATTTTAAGCACTATGACCGAATTCTGCAATTCTTGTACTGAATCTCAGCATACAGTTGTCAAAACTGTTGATTCTGTGATGACATCAGTAGTAATAATGTCAAGTGTGGTTACGGTTGCGCCTAGTGCTTTATCTTCCACTCATGGTGTTCCTGAAAAGCCATTATTAACTGTTACTAGTCAAAATGTTTTAAGTCATACTACTGAATCTTCATTAGTTCAAGTGAGTGCTGCTTCTTCAAGTGAGTCTTTAGAGCAGATCAATGGTAGTTCTAAATCTTCAAGAATGCCAGGGCTTTTGAGCATTTTATTTTCATTATTATTTTCTGTTTTGTTTTCATTGATTTAAAGAAAAGTTTTTGAAAATTACTATATTTTTTTTCCCGGAGACTTTTAGTGAAAATATTATTTTTTAAACTTGGATATATAAAAAGATCGGGAAATATATTTATTAATTTTTTTTGAACAAACTAATATTAGTAGATGTAGAGATATATATTAACCCCCACCTCAATAATATTAATTCCAATTAGATCTTTGAACAATTTTTTTTTTTAAATTATATAGCAAAATAGTTAAGTTTTTAAATATTTGACCAGACAAGATTTTAATTTATGATTCAACTAGCTTTATAAAAACACGTGGAAAATTTTAATAAAATATTGAAAATGTTTCTAATTTAAATATATATATATATTTGATTCATTTTGATATATTTAAAAACATTTGAAATTTGTTTCACGAAATGAAAAATTAATGATTCAATTACAGTGCATTAAGAATGAATAACTTGTGCAAAGAGTGGAGTTTTTCTCCATCATTAGAAGTTGATCATCTGTTTTTATTTAATTTAATTATATATATTTATTTCTAAATTTGTAGAAGTAAATTTATAAATATGTATTTAAATATAAAATATATAAATTCATTATTTCTAACAATCTATTATTCATGTGATTTAAAAATTGTTGTTAAGAAACAAATAATTTTCACATCAGCTGGATAAGTTTTTTTTTTTTTTAAATGTCAAAAGTTTTTTAAATAAAAATATAAATAAATTTAAACATGATTTTTAGCAAGTATCTTAAATTCAATTCAATTTAATTTAATTCAATTCAATTCCATTTTGGTAATTTTTTTTTTTTTTTTTTAGAAAATCGCGTGATGTTTAATTCTATTTTTTATTTATTTTTATATATTTATTTTAAAATAAATTTATTTATTGTCAAAGCCCTTTATTTACAAACCCCACCATGGTGATGCTATAAATATACTTTGGTGAAAATCAAAAAAAAAAAAAAAAAAAAAAAAAAATGACTCGGCCTTCTAAATTGTTTGATAAAAAAAAAAAAAACGCGGTTAATTAATTTTTGGAATTTAAAGATAATTAATAATTACAAAAAAAAAAAAAAAAGAAAAAAACAAATCTCCCATCATTTGAATATGTAAATTCAATTAAAAATAAATAATGATTTATTTAAAAAAACCAAAAAAAAAAAAAAAAAAAAAAAAAAACGATATCTTATATTATCATGACGTAGATCTTTATTTAAGGCCTAAAATAAACTTCTAAATAAACATTTCGCGTCTTTTAGCACTAAGAATTTCTGCTACCAAAATAAAAAATAAAAAATAAAAAATAAAAAATAAAAATAAAAATAAAAATAAAAATAAAAATACGCGCCACAATCACGTGAACTGCTTGCTGCCCATATAAATATAAATAGATAAATAGAAAAATAAAATTATTTTTTTTAATTCCCCCCCCAGCTGACCTAAAGAAAAAAAAAAAAAAAACTCCTCCAATAAATTTTGTCCTTTCGATCGCCATTTCAGTTTAAAACCGTACCTTAACAACCCCCCCCTCTCTAAACGCCAAAGTCCAAAAAAATATATTTTTTTTATCCAAAAAAAAAAAATAAATAAATAAAATGGTTAAACTAAACTAAACTAAAATAAAATAAAATAAAATAAAATAAAATAAAATAAATAAAATTCTCCTTTTCATAGGACTCTAGTTAAAAGTTACACTAATAAATACATGTATTGTATACAATCCATATATATATATATATATATACTTTCAAGTTCGCCAAGATGGAATGCTCTCACATAAGTGACTTGTTTGAAATTATTTCATTAAAATAATAATAGGAGTGTTTGATTCTATCTTTAGACTTTTGTTAAAATACTCCTTTTTTTTTTTCTAACAAAGCAGAAAATGAAATCTTTATTTTTTTTTTAAAGAAAAAAAAAACATATAAATATCTTCCCTTGTGCCCATTAAAAATAACAAAATCTTTTTATATATCTTTTCTCTAAATTAATATCGTTTTATTTATTTATTTATTATCTAATCATATACTTTCGTTTATTTATTTATTTATTTTTTTTTTTTTTTGATATTTCTCAATGAAACTCCACTCGTTATCTCTCAGCTTATTCTCGCTGGCTTCAACAGCAATCCAAGCTGCTGATGTTGTTTTTTCAAACATTTCAAGCTCAGATGTTTCTTTATCTTCAGACTTTTCAAGTTCAGCAAGCGATTCATACACTTCAACTCCTTCTGATGTTTGTTTCTTACCCTTCACTGTGGATGAATGCCGCGATACCTGCAAATACTATAACCAACTTAAAACTTCTCTCGCTTGCACGGATGTCGATCTTCACTATGTTTGGCTACTCGCTTGTGTCACCTGCGGTAAAGAGTCTCTGGTGGGCACCGCTGATGAAGCCCTCTATACAACTGCTTTGGAAACTAAGGACCAGTGTCTCACAAATGACTATCCAGTTTCTACATGCCCAAATAACAAGTATCCAGATCTTGTCATGCTTGCCATTGGATATCCCCTTGGATCTTGTAAGCCTGTTTCTGATAGATCTTCTTGTTTGGCCTCATGCTCTGATGCATTTTCTGCCATTTCAAAAACCTCATTTAATCAAGTCTTGGATTCTTCAACTGATTACTGCAGCTGGGCTGTATGTATGGACTGCTACACCAATTACAATGACTTGAGATACATGATGATTCCTTCACTTATTCAATACATCACCGGCCCCAATGATGAAACTACTGAAGAATACGAAAGTACCATTACTTCTTCTGTTATAATCAGTAGCACTACTTCTGGACCCGTTCTTACTACTTTTGACTCGGATCCTTACTACTGCCCGACTTGTGAAACCACTTCAAATAGTTATCAAGATGAAATCACAACTTCATTAAACACCACATATGAACCAACCACTACCTTTAACTCATCTCCTCATCCTAAACCTCATTTTCCTACTTCCCTTCCAGATTGCGATTTTTGTATCACCACGACTATCACTTCTCCTGGCTATACTACTATCACAAAGGTTGACAAAGGCAAGACCGTTACTGTTACAGAGCCTTGCGAAACTACATTCACTTCTGTTATCACTCCATCTGAGTCAGTTAAGCCTCCTACTACTAAAGCTGGTCCTGGATATAAGTCAACAATCACTGTCACTGAGCCTTGCGATGTTTGCATCACCACCACTGTTACTTCCACTGGATATACCACTGTTACAAAGGTTGAGGAAGGCAAGACTGTGACTGTTACTGAACCTTGCGAGACTGTTTACCTGTCTATTCATCCCAAGCCCACTGCAATCATCAAATCCACTGTTACTGTCACTGAGTCTTGCGATGTTTGCACCACCACCACTGTTACTTCCTCTGGATATACTACTGTTACCAAGGTTGAAGAGGGCAAGACTGTGACAGTTACAGAGCCCTGTGAAACAGTTTACTTGTCTATTCATCCTAAGCCCACTGCAACCATCAAATCCACTGTCACTGTCACTGAGTCTTGCGATGTTTGCACCACCACCACTGTTACTTCCTCTGGATATACTACTGTTACAAAGGTTGAGGAAGGCAAGACTGTAACTGTTACTGAGCCTTGTGAGACTGTTTACCTTTCTATTCTGTCTCAGCCTTCTGCAACTACCACCAAGGTATTTACTTCTCCTCCCAAGGAAAAGACCATCACTCTTGAAAAGGGCAAAACAACCACAGTGACTGAGCCGTGTGATGAATGCACTACCCAGTATGTGACATCATCTGGCTACACCACTGTCACAAAGGTCAGTGAAGGAACTACTGTAACTGTTACTGAACCTTGCGAAACTACAATCACCCAGGTTGTTGTTCCAGAAAATCCAACAAAGAGTGCTCCTGCTGTCACTTCTTCTTCTTCCAAGACCTCAGCTCCTCCTGCCTCTAAACCTGCCACTGAGAGTTCTGCTTCTCCTTCCGCCAAGACAGAGGTTCCTTCCAAAGAGCCTTCGATTACTTCTAGTGTTCCACAAGTGACAGCTCCTTCCAAGGAAACATCTGATTCAATTGCCCAAGTTCCTACAACCACAGCTACAACTACTCTTGAGCAAGTAAACTCGGGTGTTGTTAACCAAGTTTCTGTGGCTGCCTTTGTCCTTATTATGATTTCCCTTATACTTTAAGAAAAAAGGGGGAAAAAAAATTGGCCCACAATTCGGAATAATTTATTTAATTTGATCAATTGGGTTAATGTATGAGCTTATTTATTTTTTATTACTCAATTTAGTATCAACTGTCTTGTATAAACTTAAAAATACAAACTTAATATTTTTCATGATTTATTATAACGTAAAAACAATATCTAAAGAGCCTTGGAAACGGTCTCGTAAAAGACTTTGCCCTGAATCTGAGCAACCTCCTTTTCAAGAGCAGAAGGTTGGCGAGAACCATCAGGTCCAGCAAAGGAGCCAGCACCCCAGGGAGAGCCACCGTGGGGTTCTGACAAGTTTGTAAGTTGGCCGAATGTATTCTTGTAGCCCAAGGGAACATAGATGATACCGTGATGAGTCAAGACAGAGATCGAGTTAAGAACAGTGACCTCTTGGCCACCACCAGGGGTACCAGTGGAGACAAAGACACCAGCGTATTTACCGTAAAGAGCTCCGGAAGCCCAGAGACCACCAGTGGAATCCCAGAATGCCTTCCATTGAGCAGGGAAGTTACCGAAACGGGTTGGAATACCAAACAAAAAGGCATCGTATTGCTCCAAAGTCTCAGTAGTAGCAATTGGGTCTTCAGACTTAGGAGGAGCATGGAGAAGGGCAAGAATCTCAGGAGTCAAAGTCTCAGGAACTTGGAAAAGATCAGCCTTGCCGCCAGCAGCTTCGACACCCTTCTGGACCTCGAGAGCGAGGGAACGGATGTGACCATATGTAGAGTAGTAAATGATAGCAATTTTGGGAGCCATTGTTGATTTGTTAATAGTTAGGATAGATAGATAGAAAGAAAGAAAAGAAGGTGTTGATTCTGGGGTTAAGTAAATAAGTAAATAAGATTATGATAAAAAAAAAAAAAAAACTCTGGGATAACAACTTGTTTATATAGTTTTTTTTTTTTCTGTCGTTTGGTTTTTTAAAACAAGATGATAAAACTTGTATAAATTTGAGAATTGTTAGAGAAATTCCACGTGAAATGACCTCAAAAATGGCTCAAACATCTTTTCAATACAAGTATTTGAAGAACGAAGAGTATCTACGTTTACTTTTTTTTTTTTATTAATTCTATTTAGTTTTTTTTTTTTACGTAAAAACAAGTAATGAGCATACTTGTTAGCTTACAAAATATTGATTGATAAAACTCATTTGTTTTTTTTTTATTTCCCTTAAAAACTCGATGGCGTTTATTTATTTATAATTACTATCATTAATAACTCTTAATTGATGATTTTTTACTAATTTCATCATCTCTTTTTTAAGTCAACCAAAATATCTTGCTGGGAACCCGCTATTACTAACAATTCGTAATTGAGCCGCACCTCGTTTTCTAAGCAGATTTTGTTTGAGTGGCCATTCAGCCCTTCCCACCACCACCCCTGAATTTGTCAAAGTTTGTAATAGAGAAAGGTCCACATTCACAGCTATTATTAACAACAACAAAATATTATTATATTATTATAATAATTATAATAATTATAATAATTATTATTTACAACTCTTATAATTGAAAGAGACTTCATATATCAAAAAAAAAAAAAAAAAAAAAAAAATATTATATGGTTTATTCAATAACTGGTAATGATAAAAACAAAAAAAAAAAAACTGATACAGAAATTTTCGAGCTTAAAATTTTAAACCTCATCATTCAAAAAAATTCAGTATAGTGGATTAAGTCCAAATAACAATAAATTTATTTAAAAGAGTTATCGACATGCATATGAAAGCTTTAGAATGATTTCTAAAAAAAAAAATTTGGGTCAAATTATAATTATTATTATTTATATTAAAAAAGAATCTAAAATACACTAACTTAAAAAAAAAGCCAATTCCTTAGCATTTAAAAAGCCTTGGAGACAGTCTCGTAGAAAGTCTTACCCTGGATCTGGGCAACCTCCTTCTCGAGAGCAGAGGGCTGGCGAGAACCATCAGCGCCAGCAAAAGAACCAGCACCCCAAGGAGATCCACCATGAACCTCCTCAAGGTTGGTAAGAAGACCAAAGGTGTTCTTGTAGCCCAAAGGAACGTAGATAATACCGTGGTGGGTCAAGACAGAGATTGAGTTAAGAACAGTGACCTCCTGGCCACCACCGGGAGTGCCAGTAGAAACGAAAACACCAGCGTACTTTTGGTAAAGAGCACCGGAAGCCCAGAGACCACCAGTAGCATCCCAGAATGCCTTCCATTGAGCAGGGAAGTTACCGAAACGGGTGGGAATACCAAACAAAAAGGCATCGTATTGCTCCAAAGTCTCAGTAGTAGCAATTGGGTCTTCAGACTTAGGAGGAGCATGGAGAAGGGCAAGAACCTCAGGAGTCAAAGTCTCAGGAACTTGGAAAAGATCAGCCTTGCCGCCAGCAGCTTCGACACCCTTCTGGACCTCGAGAGCGAGGGAACGGATGTGACCGTAGGTGGAGTAGTAGATGATAGCAATCTTGGGAGCCATTGTGAATAGAGAGTGAAGGTTTGTGTTTTTTTTTTTTTTTGGTTTAGAGGTTTGAAATAAAAAGGATTTTGGGTTTCGATGTTGAAAGAAAGAGAAAAAAAAAAGAAGAAGAAAGAAAGAAAAAAAAAAACAGAATTCAAAGTTGGATGTGCGGGTTGCTGAAGGTATTTATGGTTGGTTGGTTGATTTTTTTGGGTGACCTTAACGTAATGGTTTGTCGCAGCTTCTAAGGCTTTACTAAGTTGAAAATTGCCATTATCTAAGAATTTGTAAGAACCAGCCGCTCCTTTGAGTAATTGATTATAAGCAAGGCAGAAGAGGAAAGCCGTGCAGCAGCCATTTTTGTAATTTTTGTAATTTTTTTATTTTTTTTTATTTTTTTTATTTTTTTTAAACAAACACATTAGTCATCGGTGACAAAAGTTATTTTTTTTTTTGGGTCCAATTGAGATCCGTTTGTTTAATTATTTTAATTAAATAATTAAGTTAACTATTGTTGTGTTTTTAACGCTTAAATTATTGACCGCATTTGAGGCTTTCCGAATACGCAGCGAATCCGCTCAACCGAGGCTGATTGGCAAGTCAGTATACGGCTGACTAAGTTACAACTATGTTACACTAACTCTTGTAACAATAAATCCTTCTAGCCCCGGCCAAAGAACGGCCATAGAAATTTATGGTTCAACGGTCTTCCCGGATCCATGTTTCCGTGTCTAACTTGCTTCTATTTTCATGAATTAATCATAGAGAAAACCTCCACTACCCTCCCTCCCCTCCAGTAAATTCTCGTGTGAAATCATCAAAAAAAAAAATAAAATAAAATAAAATAAAATAAAACTTTCTCATTTTCTTTTTATTCTCATAATAATAATCTTCACTAGCCACAAAAATCTTTCCAACCTTCCAAACTCTTCTACTCCATCATTTCTAAATAATACATATATATATATATATATATATATCTTGTCTATAATGCCTCCTCCGCCGCAACCTGCGCCGTCATTAACGCGCCAAAAACTGTCCTCTTCACCAGCCTTGGATCACCATCACCACCATGATACTCTTCCCTCCAGCTCTGCTCAAACTGCTTCCTCAGCTGCTTCCTTTACCCCAGTCATATCAAACCCTAAACGAAAACGCCGATTAGTTCCAGACTCGGAGCGAAAACGTATTGCCGTCAGCTGTGACCGATGTCGTACCCGCAAGCTCAAATGTCAGATACCTGCTCTTTCCACAGATAATAATGCAACCGATAATTCAACAAATGGATGCTCTTCTTTTTCTACTGAGTCAGCTTGTGCTCAGTGTCTAAAGGCTGGTGTACCATGTACTCGTACCATGCCTCGTAAACAACGCGTCTACGGTTCTGTTGACTCGTTATCGTCCCATTACCAGACCCTTATCCATCTGCTTTCTCATCTTTACCCAGATCACGATATCAAAACTCTGGAAGGCCTCAAATCTTTGGCTGCAAAACTGCAAATTTCTTTACCAGACTACTTTGATCCAGATGCTGTCTCTCAATCCTCCTTCTTGGCACCCCCAATGACGGTTTCAACTGCCAAACTGGAAAAGGCTTCATCAAATGAACATACAGAGTCTCTAACCGAACTGAAAATTGAAGATACTAATGACACTGAGATACCAAAACCCAAACAGCAGCAATTGCAACAGCAACTGCAACAACAACAAAAACAACAGCAACAGCAACTTTCTCTTTCAACATATAATCCTTTTTATAAACATTCATCCTCTTCTCTATTTACACCACCTCCCTCTCAGGTCTCGCCCTCGGTGGGCCCAAACCTCCATCTCAACCCTACAGAGCTCGGCTGTGAGCGCATCATCTACGACCGCTCAGGATTACCCCACTATGTCGGAGCTATCGGGTCCATGGCCTTTTTCGATGGAGTCTGCAAAATTATTCGAAGATCAAAAATGTTTTCTGGATTTCCATATACCGGTGATGAATCCATGGCTCCATTTCAATCATCCTCTTCTTTTTCCTCTTCTTCTTCTTCTTCTTCTTCTTCTTCTCCATCTTCATCATCAACCCCCATCAAAAATCATCAATTCAACGGATCCACCCCAAACCAGCAGCTGGTCTCGCTAAATGTGTTCCCTAACAATAAAAATAACTCTCAAGAACCTCATCATCTTACTACTTACTATGGTAAACCAGCATCATCTTCAAACCATTCCCCAAAAGACATTTACTTCTGTACAATCTCGTCCGCAACTTTTGCCCCAGTTCTCCAGTTTGGCAATCACGGACCAACACCAGACCTCCCAGAACGTCTGGTCCACATTTCAAACAAACCGCTTGCTTCCCATGTAAACCTTAATATTAACCCAACTGTCAGAAAGCAACTACCCCAGCCATCATTGCCCTCTCATATTTCCTCCTCATCATTCCCATCTGCCTCTCTGCCCAGCTCAACCTCCATACCTCCTGCTTCTCATCCACCAGCAGCTACATCTACAAGTACCAATGGATTTGCTTTAAATAATACAACTATGCCTCAAGGTGCTACCATGGGCAACAATACCCAAACCACAAACTCCTCAGCCAAACTTCAAGTTCAAGATACTGTGTGGGACCTCGAACACAATGGTCCGTTGCTTTCTCGTGAAGAGGCTGACAAACTAGTCAATTCTTACTTTGAGCATGTCCATCCCATCTATACTCTTTTCAGTTTGAAGGCCTTCCGCAAACAATACTCAGCGTGCTGGGACTCTATTTCATCATCAAGAAATACAAAAATCTCAGTTGATGAACTCGATCTGACCCTTGACTGGAGGTGTGTCCTTTACATGGTTTTTGTCATGGGTGCACGAGCCCTTATTCACGATGAAAAATCATATGCCCATTACTCTACTTTTGCAAAGTACTCTGCCTTTCTTCAAAAATCTCTCTTCTTGCTTATTGCTACGCCTTCTATTCATACCATCCAAGCTCTCATTCTCTTCACAATTTATCTTTACAGCATTAATGAACGTAATATTGCGTGGCTCATCACTGGCATTGCCTGTCGCCTTTCCATCGCTATGGGTCTCCATAGAGAATCCACCACAAAAACTTATGATCGCAATGAGATCCAAGTTCGCAAGCTGGTCTGGTGGGCACTCTACTCTCTTGAGCTTCATCTTTCTGCAAACTTGGGCCGGCCCAGTACCATGCGAGATGAAGAAATCGACATCTCTATTCCAGATCCGGATCCAGAACTCGACCTTTACTATCCTCCTGGAGGCTTTAAAGAAACCATTCGTATGGTCCAGCTTCTTAATATGACCATTCATCAACAGGCAATCAATATTAGTACAAGTAGTGGCATGTCTTACAATGCTCAATTGCTGCTCCATGAAAATATGGAAAAAAGTATTGCTCTGTGTCGACGTATTAAGGACTCACTCGGCAGACTTCCTAAACACCTACGCGAACTTCAGTCAAATGAAACCGACCTTCATGTGCGCTCCATTATGAATATCCACATGAACTGTCATTACTGCATTAGCATTGTTGCTAGACCTTACATTCTCTATCTTATTGGATCGGACCCTTCCACATTAACTATCCAGCAACGTACTGACCTCATTCTGTTGCTCAATATTGGCTGTGCCGCAACAACCGCCATTGCATCTATTCTCAACACTCTCAACAAGCGGAAACTTGTTTCAGGGGTGGCTTACTATGACGTTTATCATGGCTACTGTGCCATCATGGTTCTATCCTTGGCCTCTCTTATCATTGCATCCAACAAATTCACTGCCAAGGAGCTTGCCTATGACTTGCCCACTATTTACAATGCACTCAACACCATTGTTACCATCATGGACAGTCTCTATTTGGACGGCACGTCTTTGCGTCTTGCCAAAGTTTCTGCTTACATTCTTCGCGATCTTGGCATTGATTACAAGTCCATGAACAGAAGAAAGTCTCAAGTTGCTGAGCCTGAAGAAAAACAGCAGCAATCCGCAGAAACTGTGCCCTCGTTTGAGCCAATTCCAGTGAGCCGAGTTGACGTTGTGGAAACTGGCCTTCCGGAAACAAACATCAGCGTGCCTTCTTTGCCTGTTGCATCCCCTGCACTGCCAACAATGCCCACCGCAGCTTCGGACCAACTCCCCGTCGCAGAGTCTCTAGGACCAATCAACTCGCTTTTCCCAGGAATGGATTCTCAGAATGTTGCGGAAGCTGGTGCTGGTTCAGGTGTTTCAAACGACGCTGCAGTTGCAGTAGTAGCTGCTGCTGCCAATGCAGCCCCTCCAGATAGCTCTTTATTTGACTTCCACTCTTTCTTCACGGCGGACGATTACGAGCGCATGTTTTCTTCGCGCGACAGCTTGAAGAACAACAAACCTGAAAGCTCGGCTACTAGTGCGAATAATGCATCTGTGGCTATGCCATCTGCATTCGCAGACACTGCAGACATGTTAGCCTCGGCTTCTACACTTATGCCGTCGCCAATCCCTAGCAACTCTTCAGTGTCTCCGCCCATGTCGTCGTCCTCACCAAACATTGCGTACCTCGGTTCTAACGCCTTCACATCCAACTCAACGTCATCGCCATTATCGCTTGATCAGCCAGAGTTATTTGACGGTAATTTGTTTACAGCTCAGCAACAGTCTCAGCTATTGCAACAGCAACAGCAACAGCAACAGCAACAGCAACAGCAACAGCAACAGCAACAGCAACAGCAACAGCAACAGCAACAGCAACAGCAGCAGCAACAACAACAACAACAACAACAACAACAACAACAACAACAACAACAACAACAACCTCAGCAACAACACCCACAGAATGTTCAAACTAGACGCAAAAAACAGCGCAAAAGTTATTACCAACCTAATTCTGCATCGTTTTTAGAACAAGAAGGTGGTACTCCAGCTACTAATACACCGTTAAATAACCTTGCAGCACAGGCACCAAATGCAACACTTACCCCTGACACCTCAACGGCTGAGGCTCTTACAGAACCAGGAAACTCCACACTCGACGCAGGCTTTGTTGAAGCCCTTAACACATTTAGTTGTACCATCGAGTCTTTTGTCAACCCCTCACGGTATACAACCTCATTCAAGATTGGCGGCAAAACTGCCAATGATGGTTTAAGGAAACAAGTCGGAGTACCTACCGCTCCTGCTGACGTGGTTGCGGCTGCTCTCCCCTTTGATGAGTCCGATGTGTTCCCGCGTCAACCCCACCAGCAAATTCTTGACGCCGAAGACGACGTTGTCGACGTTTCGACCATAGGCCAATCCGCACCAGCTTCTTCTTCTTCCGTTTCGGAAAATGTTGGCCAAGATTCTCCAGGCCAGGTTACCGAGTCAGGTCTGTCCACACGCCAAAACCATCAGTTTGCTCAACCACCATCCCCGTCGCCTCTTATTTCTCACCTCCAGGCCCGCCTCGGCCTCCAGCAGCCTTACCAATGGATTTCCGGCGCAAACTTACTGGAGCCGTTCTACGATATGGATGGTACAAGCAGCAGTGCTCGTGCTGCTGCAAATGGAGCAAACGGACCTACTACTGCTACTGCCACTACTACATCTGCATCCAACGTTGCTTTGACTGCAACAGCAAACGGTAGCAATCCACAGATGCTGCCCACACAACAAGTCATGCTGGGCTCATACGATTTCGCACTTCAGTCTACACCCAACGCGATGGCCTCTGGTATTGTAAATGTGAGTGGTGGTGCGCCACAATCCATGGATACGTTACCACTTTATGGCCAAAAACAGGGTGTGGATTCAAACACCACCAGCAATCTCTCTGCAACAACGACAGCAGGGCTCTACGGTCTTGATGGCGTGGTTTGTGATGGTACTGAAGGAATGGAAAACAACAACAACAACAACAACGGGACTGGGTCATCCAACACAATGTTTGCGCATAACGGAGGCGTGGGCGTTATTTCTAGCATTTCTTCATGGGCAGGAGCCCCTGATCATGGCAAAAATCTCATCAATTATGTGCGCCAGAAACTCAAGTAAATACAGCTTCATTTTTTCTTTAAAATAAAACCTTCATTATTGTTTAATCACTCCTTTTTTTTTAATATATAATACACTGCTTTTAATATTAATACGTTCATCTAATTTTTTATTATTTTTTAGTTTTTTTTTTCTAAGGTTACAAGTTCTATTCTTTTTTTTTTTTTTTTTTTAGTTTCTGATCGAAAAATTTTTTCCTGTTTCATTTGTCGTCATTTTGTACTGTTGACGATACGCTGGTAAGACGAATAATCAATCACCGTAAGAATTGTTTCCGAAATTGACTTTTCGGACAGCCCGAAAATAACCTTACCGTTATCCGCGCAATTTCTAAATGAAAACTCCACGGCAGGAGGCTTTGTGTCCAGAGTTTTATATTCCTGGCTCAAGAACCGCGCATACTCCCAGCTCACGTTAAAAGACGTCTCCTCGTAGCTAGGCGGATACGGCGACCGTCGGTTCATCTCCGCAGTCTCCTCCTCCGCACGGTGCTCATGGCACAGGTCCACAAACTTGCGAAGCGCTGGGTGCTTGCGCGTGTCCATGCACTGCTCGTCTTGTTCCATAAGTTCCGCAATCTGGTGTGCTTGGAATGCCGGCGCAACAGCATCAATATCTGTCGCACTCTTAAGTGGCTCCGAAAACCTTACCCGTTGTGCGTGGTTCAGTTCGTAGCTGATAGAGTTTCCCAGCACGCTGAGAAGCAGTGTCGCAACGCTTGCAAGCTGTGGGAACCCTGCTCCGGCAAGCATGTTCCAGTGTTCCAGAATGTCGATCGACGAGATGGTGTATGGTGCAGTTTTAAACGCAGCAAGCTCTGCGGTGATTTGCTTGAGCCCATCGGCGTTATTTCCAGTCTTGCTGTTGCTGCTGTTGCTGCTGCTGTTATTAGTGCTGCTGCTGCTACTGCTATTGTTATTATTAATGTTGACTGGGAGATATGTTTTGATGTTGTTTTTAATATACGCCAGTGACACTGGTGTGAATTGCACATTATAGCGCACGTCAAGGTATAACGTTTCGAGAACCATATCTTGATTACACCATTCCGCAAAGGCACGTTTCAGACCCACAAGTACTACTGTCTTTTGATCAGGGTAAAGCTTGGATGCCGAGACAATAGCCTCAACATGGGCCATAAGTTGAACTAGCAAAACAACACCGTCTGAAAGGCGAAACAGATCGTGCTCGGAGTTGCAAAGACAAGTTGAAATTTCCTTGAAAATGGCAACAAGAGTCTCAATTTCGTGAAAAAATGTTTTTTCCTTGAGACATTGCATGACCTCTTCATTGGCAAAGTGCTTTAAAAAGTGAGGGACCTTGGCTAGCACTGCGGCAACAGAGTACACTTTGATGGGCATTTTGGGTGACTTGTACGATGGGATTTTTGAGTACTTTCCACCAGAAAATTGTTCCACAGTTCTGTATCTGTTGGGGAACGTATAGCAAATCTCCATAATTTTGTCGAAAACTTCCTTAAACTGCTCTGATTCACAAATAGACTCAGTCATGAGATTGAGCAAATGAGAAAAGTTGAGAGTTACTGGAGTTGACAGAAGTGGGGTGTATGGAGATTTGCGGAATTGGATGGAGCTGCTGAGCAGCATTTCCAAGTTAACGAAGCCGTCGGTAACGATCCCTACAATAAAAATATTAGGGTTTTGCTGCAAGAAGCGCAGGATCTTATTCATTTCTGGCGCAAACGCTTGCACTAGTTGTGAGTCAAGCACAAACGCAGACACAAAGAAAGATTTCCCTGTTGATGTTGTTGCGGTGACGATGTAGAGATATTTGCTGTTCCACTCAGCCCAGCCCTCAACTCTGAGAGTGAGGCGCGTGGGTTTGGTAAAATACTTTAAGAACAAATCGTCATGCCATGCTTGGATACGCGAGAAAAAGTAACTAAGCACGGCTGGTGAGGCAAAAGTCTCTAATGGAAGCTTGAGGGAAAAAATAAGCGACCGTGCTACTGGGCTTTTAAGTACCTCAAATGGCTGGAGACTTCCAAATGTGAGAGATGTGAAAATGATAAAGGGCATATCATTCATATTGATCATATCGTAAACACCCATTTCACGGCATTGTTGGATGATGGGGGCAGGTGCAAGGGGGCAGTTGAGGAGGTGAGACATGAAACGAGTGTTGGGTCCATAGACGACTTTGCCATAACAATGATTACATTGATACAAAGCCTTGAGTTGATCAATAAGAGTGAATTCTTTACACGTAAACATTTCAATGCGGCCATTTAGCTGCACGCGACCTAGTCGTTGAATATCCAACATTTCCTCTTCCTCAGAACGGATAATGGAGTGGATGGTTTCAAATGTCATAAGGCCTTGCTGATTTGAGGTACTGGAGGAATGACCTATGGAGTTAGGGTATCCATTAAGTTGGGTATCTTGAGACTGCAAAAAAAAGGGGAGATATGTTGTTAAGTTGTAGCGTTCGGAAGGGATTTGCTCCGGATCCTTTTCCGGGTCAGGCGTAGAGTGTGAAGTGGGTAGTAGCTGCGGTGGAGGCAAGTGATGATTTTGATGATGGTGGCTCTGATGAGTATGATGAAGTTGCGGGGATGGAGTTTGTTGAAGAGTTGGAATTTGTTGGTATTGTTGGACTTCGACTGGTTGGTATTGAGTAGCGACAGTGTTTTCATGGGCCAGATGAGTTGGGTAGTTTTGATAATGAGAGGGGTCCGTTGATGAAGGAACTGATGATGAGGAAGAAGAGTTCGGAACCGTAGCTGATGAGGATGAAGAGTGCACGGAGCTTACAGAAGAATGGTCAAATGGATGCATGTCAACCGTACTCATTAAAGAGTTGAGGTCACCTGCTGAGCCCGACAAATCGTGAGAAGAAGGATCGTCATAAATATTACCAACCGTTGGCGAGGATCTGTTGCTACGAGCGGAGACAGCACAAAGACCTGAGGCAGTTGAAGTCATTTCTGGGAAGTGCCATACATTAGGCTGGAGCTGTGTTTGATGACCCGGGTCCGGACGCCTACGCTTTGAGGGTGGTAATAATGATTCGTCTAGAGAATTCAAATGGTGAGGCTGGGTGTGCTGGTGGTGAAAATAAGGATCAGTGGTAGCAGCATGATCCTGCCGATCAGTCACTTGTGGAAGCATGATTTTTTATATTAGTTCAAATTCCTGAAAAGAGAAGTCTATCGGAGGGCCATAGTATTGATGTTATATCAAAAACAAATGAATAGTTTTAATAGATGAAGAGTTAGAAAGAAAAGGTTTGGGACCAAATTTCTGTGTAATTTTATTTTTTTTTTTTTTTTGGGGGAGTGAAAAATTTCAAACTTTGGGATCGACGGGGGAATTTTTTTTTTTTGGATCAAAAAATGATTTCAATACGAAAAAATTCCAGGCGAAAAAACCCGAGACAAAAAGATTTTGTTACAACTTTTTTTTCTTGTTATTACAACATTTTGTTTCAGAAGAAAACAAAAGCCGGAACGTCATCAACCACAAAAATTTTTGGTTACAAAAAAAAAAAATTAAAAATAAAAAAATAAAAAATAAAAAAAAAAAAATAAAAAAAAAAAATTGTAATGTAACAAAAAATATTGTAATAAAATAAAATAATGTAATGTCATATGTTAATTTTTATATCACATGATAATCCCTAACATCGTAATCAAGTCATATTCCCGAAACTTTTCCATATTGAAATTTTTACCGGGCGGCCGGCCTACACACCGCTCGGTGACTGATTTTTTTGTATTTTTTTTTTTTGGTGGCCCACGAGAATCTTCCTCAAAATAAAAATAAAAAAAAATCTCACCTCCCATCTTATCCCCCAATTATCTTCAAACCCACCAATCTAACCCCAATCCAGTCATGTCAGACCCTAAGGAAGAACCTCCAAAGGAACAGCCTTTTAGCTACGCCAATATCGATCCCAGTTTCCTTCTTCCAGATGGAACCCCAGATTATCTCAAACTCATTTTGACCACCCGCGTCTACGATGTCTGCAAGGAAACACCTCTGACCCCTGCTGTCAACATGAGCAGCAAGCTCAACGCAAACATTCTGCTCAAGCGAGAAGATCTACAACCCGTTTTTTCTTTTAAACTGCGTGGTGCCTATAACCTTATTGCACAGCTTCCTAAGGAGGAACGCTGGAAGGGTGTCATTGCCTGCTCGGCAGGTAATCATGCCCAAGGTGTGGCATACTCGGCCCAACACCTCAACATCCCAGCCACCATCGTCATGCCCATCGCTACACCTTCCATCAAGTACCAGAATGTCGCCCGTCTCGGATCCAAGGTCGTTCTTTTCGGTGATGATTTTGATGCTGCCCAGACCGAATGCAAGCGTCTTGCAAAGCAGCACGGCATTGCAAACATTCCTCCATTTGATGACCCCTATGTCATTGCCGGCCAGGGTACCATCGCCATGGAGATTATCCGTCAAGTCAATATTCACGAACTTAAGGCTGTTTTTGCCTGCATTGGCGGTGGTGGCTTGATTGCCGGTATCGGTGCCTACATCAAGCGCATTGCACCCCACGTTAAAGTCATTGGCATTGAAACCTACGATGCCGATGCCATGTACCAGTCGCTTCAAAAGGGTGAGCGTATCACTCTTAAAGAAGTTGGCCTTTTCGCAGATGGTACTGCAGTTAAGGTCCCTGGTCAAGAAACTTTCAGACTTTGCCAGGAAGTCATTGACGAAATCGTCCACGTTGGCACTGACGAAATTTGCGCTGCCATCAAAGACGTCTTTTTAGAAACTCGCTCCATTGTCGAGCCCTCCGGTGCCTTGTCTCTTGCTGGTGCCAAAAAATATATTTCCTCTCACCCTGAAATCGATCACAGTTCCAACTCTTATGTCTGCGTTCTTTCCGGTGCCAACATGAACTTTGACCGTCTCAGATTTGTTTCTGAACGTGCCATGTTGGGTGAGGGCAGCGAAGTCTTCTATGTCGCTTCAATCCCCGAGCGTCCTGGCTCTTTCGAAAAGCTTATTTCTATTCTGAATCCACGTGCCATTACTGAGTTTTCATACAGATACAATGATCCCAATACAGCCAACATTTACATTTCTTTCAGCGTTCAGGACCGTGATGCAGAGCTGACAAGTATCCAAGAACAATTTGCTCAGGATGGCACCATCAAGGGCGTCGACATTAGCGAAGATGAGCTGGCAAAGACCCACGCTCGATACCTGGTTGGAGGCAAAGCCAAGGTCGAGAATGAGCGCATTTTCCGCTTCGAGTTCCCCGAGAGACCCGGTGCTTTATTCAAGTTCCTCAAGGGAATTAAGTCTCAATGGAACATTACCCTTTTCCACTATAGAAATCATGGCTCAGATATTGGCAAGATTCTTGCAGGTATTGCCGTCCCACCTAAGGATAATGATTCCTTCCAGGAGTTTTTGGACAACCTCGCCTACCCGTACATTGAGGAAACTGAAAACGCTATCTATAATCTGTTTCTTAAGGGTTAGATCAAATTTATAGAATGAATGAATCATAGATGCGTTTTTTTTTAAAAATAATATATATATTTAAAAAATAAAACCAACATTCGCTGACACTTTCCATAACTTTTTACTATCTAAGCCGCACGGCGCTTATATGGAAACATATATAAAGGGGCCCATTTTTTCCAACCCCAGACTCAAGTTTCTTTTTCATTTCTCATCGATCTTGCAATATTCATAATGGTTAACCAAGAAGATTTCCTTGTTGAAAGATGGATGGACGAGTTTGAAACAACCGTCCAGTACCAAATCGCCGAAACATGCTGCGCATCCTTATCTCTTGATGAAGTTTCTGCCATCACTGGCAAGCCTTTGCCACTAGCTGAAATTGCACAAATTCCACTAACTTATGGAGCAATCCCTGGAACTGCAGCTGCTCGTGAAGCCATTTCTGCAATCTACAACGACTCGGTAGTAGGATCAGTCCCTAAAGTTACTCCTGAACAAGTTTTAGTAACAAACGGTGCTATTGGTGGTAACTTTTTATTATACTACTCTCTTGTCGGTCCCGGAGATCATGTGGTTGTTGTGGATCCAATCTACCAACAATTACAATCAGTTCCTCGAATGTTTGGCGCCGATGTATCTTTGTTGCATCTTGAAGAAGATGCAGGGTACCTCCCTGATTTGGCCAAGCTTAAATCTCTGCTTAAGTCTAATACTAAGCTTGTGATTATTAACTCGCCACATAACCCTACTGGTGCTGTTTTGTCCACTTTACAGCTCGAACAAATTGTCAAAATTGTCAAAGACACTTATAAAGAGTTTCATCCTGACGGAACTGAACCCCCTTATATCCAGTGTGATGAGGTTTATCGGCCAGTCTTTTTGACTACAGATGAAAGCACCTGGCCGCTTTCTATTGTTCATGTTTACGAGAGAGGAGTTTCAACATCTTCTGCCACTAAGGCATACGGTCTGGCCGGATTACGGTTTGGTTGGGTGGTTTCTCGTGATGCCGCTTTAATTGAAGACTGTCTCAAGCACAGAGACTACAATACCATTTCTGTGGGGCTTGTAGATGACGCTCTTGCTGCTTGGGCCCTTGGTAACGGCGGCTGGCGCAAACTAGTTCAACACCATTTGACTACAATCGTGCTACCCAACGCTGCGAAACTAGAGGAATATGTTACTTCAAGTAACGGAGCAGTCTCTTACGTGAAGCCAACTGGAGGTACTGTTGTATTGCTCAAGATTGGTGGCGTCAAAGATACTGTTTCATTTTGCCGGGATTTTATTGCTGCAAAGAGCGTGCTTGTTGTTCCTGGTGAGACTTTTAACAAACCAGGGACTATTCGCATTGGGTTTGCTAACAAAACAGCTGATCTGGATATAGGACTTGAGCTTCTTAAAGACTATTTGGTGGAGAAACGGTTTGTTCCTTCACCTTGGAACTTATAGATAGATGTATAACCTAAGTAGAGGTATAAACCTATTTGTTAATATCGTTAGTTGATTGACTTTATCTCAACTGTAGACTTCGAAGTCTAGAAGCTTCTCATTTTTTTTAATATAAATATTGCTCTAGTCCGTTATGATTGGTGTCAATTATTAACAAGTTTAACTTTACTGGAAATTTGATATTTGTAGTTCAATAGCTTTATTTCAATCCATTAAGAGATTCTCTGCAATTTTTTAAGAATGCAAAGTACATTACAAATTGCATTGCAAGATTAGACATTACAGCGCTTGGTTTTATGAATGATAAAACGGTACTCCATCATTTAATGATGGAGACCCTCGGTGGTAACCACCGAGGGTCTCGAAAATTTCATTCCATCGCCAAAATTTAATTACCATCAACCTCCATCCGTTAAAAATACTTAAAAGTTTCAAATAACCAAAAAGAAATATTTTTTTTTGATTAATGGTATTACATATTTTGAATCATTATAAATGAATTTTTATAAACAGTATTGCTAGAAATTTATACGCATCTTCCTCCGTCCACTTCAAGATCTACACCAGTTATAAACTTGGCATCATCACTAGCAAGGAAGGCTACCGCATTTGCAATATCGCTAGGTTGCGAAAACCGTTGAAGAGGAATAGTTGCAATAAACTGAGCACGACGCTCCGGTGTATCTTCACCCATAAAGGTTTTAAGTAACGGTGTATCTCCAGCTACTGGACAGATACAATTAAAACGAACATTCTGAGGCCCGTATTCTACTGCCATAGATTTTGAAGCAATTGAAACAGCCCCCTTCGTGGCATTGTACCATGTAAGATTTGGACGTGGTCGAAGAGCTGCTGTAGATGAGATTTGGATAAATGAACCACCTCCAGAGTTCAAAAAGTGTGGTAATACAACTTGCGTTGATAAGAATACACCTTTGACGTTAATATTAAAGACTTTATCGAATTCCGCCGATGTCACTGTTAGCGTAGGCTTGTTTGTGTAGCATGCGCCAGCATTATTGACCACCACATCTAAGCGACCAAATGTTGCTAAAGATTCTGCAAGTGTCCGTTGCCAATCTTCCAAAGATGTAACATCACCAGCAACAAACTTGACATTTGGTTTTAACTCAGACTCAATTGAAGAGCCTGAAGAAGATGGCAGGTCCAGAATGACAACATGTGCTCCCTCTTCGAGAAACTTGTGCACAATGCCTAAACCAAATCCTGAGGCACCACCGGTAACAATGGCTACTTTGTCTTTGAGTTTAAGCGAAGGAATAGGATTATGAGACATTATTATTTGACTGAGTTTAGAATTGAAAATAGATGGAATTAAAAGATAAAGATCCCATTTTTTGGGTTGGATTTTAGGTGCGTTTTATAGATCTCAATGTGTGGGGGATAAACCAAGTGGGGGGGGGGGGGGATTAGTGTACGGCTTTGGAAATGATAATAGATTTTCTTTCCCAAGACTCTCCCCGCCAAACTGGGAGATTAATGGCCGAGATTTTGCAACGTAGCCGTGGGGGGAAATATCAAATGTAGCTTGACATTTAAAAAGTTTCAATTTACAATCCCTGTGACTTTTACATCTATTGACCTTGGCTGCCTTAATTGAAAGACAATTACTGGAGATTTTATCTCCCCCCACATTGCAGAGATATCGCTCCGAAAACGGCAACCATCAAAGAGGTGGGGTTGAAAAGATTGAATGTTCCTGTGAGCGTGGGGGGAATGTTTGAAAGAATCAGGTATTTAAGTCGCCCAAAGGTCTTTTGAAAATAAGCTCAACAACATTCTTGGTTTATATATCAATAACATTAGTTATGGTAGTTTTCAACATTTTAGTCCTTCCTGGTGACCATATTGGTCCAGAAATTGTGGCAGAAGCCGTCAAGGTTCTGCATGTGGTGGAAAAATACTCAAAGCAAGACTTAAAATTTGCTTTGGAATATGATTTGTTTGGCGGCGCGAGCATTGACAGACATGGAGAACCTATTACTGAGCAAGTCTTGCAAAAGGCTGAAGCTTCCGATGCAGTTTTATTTGGCTCTGTTGGAGGACCCGAATGGGGACCATCGTTAGTGGCAAATACAGATGAAAATACTCAAGACACAAGTTTGTTGGATACGGTCAAGTGTAACCGTCTCAAGGGTGCACGTCCTGAGCAAGGAGTTTTAGAGCTTCGCCGGCGATTAGATTGCTGGGCGAATATCAGGCCTGTGCGGTTGATTGCACCAGCGTTGGCCGCAAGAGTTTCAGCCATTAAAGAGCATATTCTTCGTGGCACTGACATGATTGTGTTGCGTGAGAACTGTGGTGGTGCGTACTTTGGCGCAAAGACTGAGAACTCTGATTTTGCAAGTGATGCCTGGGCATACACGCGACAAGAGATTGAACGCGTGACTCAGATGGCTGGATATTTGGCTGAAAATTACCCTGGACAGGTTAAAGGTCGCTCCGTCAAAATAACATCATGCGATAAGGCTAACGTTCTGGCAAATTCGAGGTTATGGAGAGCAGTTGTTCAGAAGGTTCATGATAAAGAGTTCCCACATATCGAATTGGTACATCAATTGGCTGATAGCGCAGCTATGATTATGGTTGCTCGACCCACTGTACTTAACGGGGTTGTATTATGTGACAATACTTTTGGTGACATTTTGTCTGATGAAGCAGCTGCTCTTCCAGGATCTTTGGGCCTTCTTTCTTCTGCTTCTTTAGCACAAGTCCCAGGTGAAGGTCGCAAAGCACAAGGATTATATGAGCCAGCTCATGGCTCTGCCCCAGACTTACCTCGAGATGCAGCAAACCCAGTGGCTACAATTCTTAGTGCTGGGTTGATGTTGCGCTACACATGCGGACAAGCTGCACTGGCTGATTTACTTGATACTGCTGTGGGCCATGTATTGGAAGACACAGAAGCTGGAGGTCTTGGGTTGCGGACCCGGGATTTAGGTGGCACTTTAGGCACCAGTGCTTTAGGAGATGCAATTGCAAATGAGTTTAAGACTCGTCTAATTGCAAGTGGATTATAATATGGGAAAAAGAATGATAGTAAATAAAGTATAAGAAAAAAAAGACAGTCTAATTAATTTATTGAAAAAAAAAAAAAAAATTGAGTTTCTTTTTATCGAGGAACATTACGACGGCGGCGGCCTGAAAGAGATGAGCCGAGCCGGCTTTCACGGCGCTCATTGAGTAATCGCGAAGAAGTTGCAGACCCTGGTGCCGGAGTTTTAGGGGTGCGCACGTCTGAAGAGACACTTGTGCCAGCGATTGACGGGCTATGGGAAGGATCTGCATGGGAATGTGCACGATGAGATAAGATTGAAGAATTTCCTGAAGAGCGACGCGGCCCGCGCGTCACTAAGTGATGAGAAGAAGAAGGCGAGATGAAGAAGTCTGATGAGTGAGGTGGTGTACCTGGAGATGCTGAATGATGATGATGATGCTGTTGTGTCTGAGTCTGAGTCTGAGTCTGTGATTGTGATTGTTGTTGTTGCTGTGTTTGCGACTGCGTTTGTGTCTGCTGCTGAAATGGCGATAGCGAGTTTTTCTTATGATTTGAAGAAGCTGTTGCCATTCCCATTGTTGTACTTGCAAATTTAGTAGGCTGTGGTGGGGATACCAATGCGGCCGGCATGTCGTCGAGAGCTTGGCGTAAAGATTCTGTAAAGTCTGGGAATTCCACTGCATCTTCTGCATTAAGCATATGACTGGGGCCGTTGGTAAGAAGCTCTCCTAAGGCCAACTCTTTCCAAGCCATGAGTTTGTCGCGAGCGGAAGCGGCCGAGGGTTTGGGAATCCCAAAGGAAAGCAATGGATAATCTGCATTAAGCTCATGGTCATCGTCCGGATTTGGTGGTTGGAGCTCTGGAGGAACAAAGATATCGTCATACTCAAGAGGAAGTTTCATCCATTCTTCAAAAAAAAGAATGGATCGAGGTAGAGCAAGGTGGACATGAGAGCGTTCGGAATCTTTTGTCATTTCTATGTTATTTTTTATTTTTTATTTTTTTATTTTTATTTTTGGTTTTGGTTAGCTTTTGGTTCTGGTTCCAGTTCTGAAATCAATAACTATGATGGTGATGCTGTTTGGAATACCATTTTGGAGGTTTGTTAGGAATTAAATTTTGTTACATTTTTTCATTTAGATTTTTGTTACAAATTAAAATTTTATTACTCATTGTTACTAATCGCTTAGTTATTTAGCCGTTAATTTTAACAATGGCAACGGTTTCATGCAGTTCGAGCTCAACGGTCGCTTCAAGTAACTTTCCATACAAACTGTCTGGGCGTACAAGCGAGCAAGCGGGCAAGCGGCAGCGACGGATGGAGAAGCGGTGGCGTTCCATGACTACGAAAAGCGTAGATCCTAAAGTTACTTCTTTTTATATTTTATTAAATAAAATATTGGCGGTTAGATACGGTCCCTTTTCCAAAATCATGGTGGGATATCTATTTAGCACTTGTCCTTCTTTCCCCGCGCCAATCCTTAAGACTTCATTCATTCAATTTTTCTTTTTGTTTTTTTTTTTTTTTTTTTTTACTGGGGGGTTTCTGCAACAGCACCAGTAGCCGTTATAAGGCAGAATCTTTACCAAAAAAAACCGTTGAGCGGTTTTAACTTTGAAATCAACCGTTGTAATAGTATAAAGTTAATAATAAGTGTATGTGTGCAACTGTTTCACACGGATGAGCCTTTTCCTTCCCTGTCGGTCACGCAAAGGGTACACTTATATATAAAAGAAAAAAAAAAAAATTATTATAATGAAAAAGAAAATATTACTGTAACTCGGGTCTTTCCTTCTCTCTTTAAACTGTGCATTTAATATATATTTCGTTATGCGTAGACATATTTCTAGAAAGATTACGTAAATATTGCAAGTAACAGCCACTACCAGCACACCATCGTCATTTGTTTGTTTGTTTAAAGAAGAATAAGTCTGGAGCGGGAAACTGGTTGCGAAGAAAATCCCTGTTCTTTAAGTCCTTCTTTCTAAGAGCAAAAAAAAAAAAAAAAATAAAAAAAAAATTAAATTAAACAATCCAATTTTGGCCATTTTGGCCGTTTTTCATGTGACCCGTGCTAACCTGCTTTGGTGCAAAAATTTTTTGCCGGCTTTTCTGTTCCTTAAGCGCTCCAGTGTTGGTTCTAAGTAGAAAGAGTCTATCTGTTTCTAGGTGCTCCAAACATATCTTGTCATCATCGGTATATACTTGTCGTGGGGCAGCTTAGCGTCATCAGTGCTACCTCCCCCTTCCCCAACTGGGTTCGTTACCTTCTTGGCTGTTTTTGTGTGGGTCATCATACTGTTGGTAGTAAATAGTGGTGGCAGTATTATTGTATACTACAATACTACAATACTACAATACTACAATACTACGATACTACGATATATACTCTTACATAACCGTACTAGGTTTAGTACTTACCACTTTTTTTTTCTCATCACCACCACCACCACCAAACTTTGTTCATTCACCAAATTCTTGTCTTTATAAAAAAAAAAAAAAAGTTTTAAAACCTTCTTCTTGCCCTTTCCTGCTTCAGCAAAACAAAAACCTTTCTTCTGTTTCCTTTTCTTTCTCATCTATCTTTGCTTTTTAGCCCATTTTTTCGCCAATTTATAATAAAAAATAAACGCTAAACTTGGAAATTTTTTTTTTTCGTTACCTTCACGTTTTTCTATTTTGGTCACACTTCTTTTAAACATTCTTTCCTTCTATTCAATTGACTCAGTATCCGTTAAAATTATTGTAAAAAATCAACTTATTCTTTAAAATCCCCTTCTTACCGCTTGAATGACCCTCAAGCATCATCACCATAACAGACCAGTTTCGCCCGCCACCGTGGCTTCAGGCGCTTCTACAGGTCACCGGAGCCCTAGGCGCAAACCTTCTGCTTCGGCTTCCAACACAACGTTGCTTCCATACTTTATCCATCGTCTCACATCTGTGGTAAGTCTATTGCTACCAGAATGTTTTCAACTTTGAATGCAACAGTTCTCTAACAATTTATTTAGCTTCCTGTTAAAACTGGCTATACCATTCATGAAGTTGAAGAAGAGCCCACATTTGTTCTCTCAAAGAACATGCTCAAGGAGCTTTCGACTAAGGGCCTTACTAACGAAATCATCCCAGGTCTTTTGGCACTTGCTAAAGACACTTATAAGGTATTTATCTTACAATTCATTCCTTTTTTTTTTTTCTCTTGGCTTAAAAAATAAAATAAAATAAAAATCATGGTGGCTAACCGTTTAAACTCTCAACCGCTCAAAATTAGTCCGACAAAGGCGACATCATCTCTAAAAAAAATTACCTTACTCTTCGCTCGCTCGTTGTTCTTTTAAACCTCTTAGCTGAGGTCTTGACTGCTGCCTGGGACTCCGCTCAATTCCAAGTCGACCCTCTTCATCACATTTCTCATATCTCAGCCTCCCTATCCCAGGAATTTGCATGCTATACAGTCACTCCAGCTCCGGTCCCCACCGGGCTCGTCACAAATGCCCTCGGCTTCCTCATGTCTATTAAACCTAACACCACACTCAAAACCGGTCTTCGTTCAATATCCAATACCGTTACGGGCATTCGCGAATCTGATGAAACTCAAGAGTATCTCCTCCTTTCCGCCATCGACTCGGCCATTGAAAAGTCCATCCGTTATTTTTCTGCATCTAACTGGACGGAAACATACTCTTTGGTTCACAAGGTTTTTGACGCTACGCTTTCCGGCACCCCCAATCAAACAACTGATTCCGATCTCATCCCTGGAACAGAGTTATTTGCCATTCTTTTCCTTGATTCTTCCCGTGTGGAAACCGTGCTTACTGACTTTTACAAATACGGTCCCAAAATGAAGCTTCCTCTTCACCGCCTACTCATTGAGCACTTTCTTCAACAAAGTCTAGTGTCTTGGGCAATCTCGAGAGTTCCCAGTATCGATAATATTGACAACCACCCCAATATTTCAAAAGTAGCATCTAATCTTTTTGACTTTATTTACGGCTGTGCAGACGATGACCGCCGTAGATTCTCGTCTTGGCGGTTCCTTAGTACCCTTATCATCGTTGTTCCAGAAGCTTTTGAAGCTTTTGAGCACCAAAAACCAGCATCGCCGTCTTTGGCTCCCATTTCATCGATATCCCTCAGACCAACTTCGTCGTTAAAACGTGGAAACTCTGATCAACCCAAAAAGTCAGCCGCAAGCAAGCTCAAGGCTTTCAGTAATGGTCTCATTGGAAACAGCAGCTCAAGTAGTGTTTCCAGTCATAATAGCAACCATGCAAATAGCTCAAGAGGTGGTGGGGCATACGTTTCTAAGTCAAGTCCCAACTCAAGTCCTTTGAGTAATACTTCCTTAACACCTTCAGCCTCCTCGATTCCTCTTAATCCACGCGATAAGTCTATTCAGAAAAAGATTAACTTTCTTTCATCTCTCAGCAAGCTCAACAATATTTCTGCAAACAGCCCTCTATTTTTGGCCCTGTTAATATCATGTACTGAAATTTCAAAAGCAGCTGCTCTTGCAGTCACTCAAACCTCAGACAGCCCGTTGATCCGTTTTGCCAAAAACCTTTACAATGTGTTGCTTATTAACTTGTTTCCAGTTTCTTCATGCCAGGTCTTAAACCCTGCTACCAGTCTTCCCCATCTTTATGAATACCAATGCACTTTTGTTTCTTCTTATACAGTGCTGTGTAAAGATGCAATTATTAAGGACATTTACCCTATTCTTAAATCAGACGACCTTAGCATGTTATCATATGTACCTGGTATTTTACAAGGCAATGTTCATCTTCGACTAATGCCAATGTTCCACGATATTTTTACCAGCATGGTGGACACTATTTTCCCTCTGTTCCGCGAAACACTAATACGTACTGTCAAGCGCTTAAATTTTTTTGAGTCCCAGGTAAATCTGGATTCTGCATCTACGACTTCTTATAAAATTTGCGTCATCATCATTCTCAAATGTTACTTTATCTTCACTCTCAACCCCGAGCATTTCCTTCACAACTATGTTTATCGCAAACGCTTTGATGAAGACCCTATTTTTTACTCGGTCGTCCATTGTGGTATATCTACTAATGAAGACATTCGCCGCACAACTTTTGCCTTTGCGTGGTCTTTCCTAGACAAGGAAAACCTTATTGCATATGACCCCGTTGAAGTCGCAAAAAGCCTTGATCATCAGGTCTACACACTTTTTTTGCACCTTGGAAAGCTTTCTCAAATGCTGATGGAAAAGGTCACACGCTCAAATATGAGCGAGTCTGATATTATAGAACATTTAGGCCTAATTAAGGGTCTACTCGAGGGTCGCTGTCTATTGGCCCATCAGTATCAGTTTGTCAAAACCACAAAGCACAATATTAATGCCATCGAGCCAGCAGATATTCGTTTCGACATTAGCAACACTTTGGAGACTTCAATGCTCATTTTTATTCTTTCAAATAATACTAAAATTTGCAAGCTAGCTCTCGAAGTTCTCAATTTTATGGTCCAGGAGGCTGTCATTACTGAAAGCTCGGAAACAGAAAGCTCATCTAGCTGGTCTATTGTGAGCAACTTTTCTGTCTATTCAGGGCTTTCTTCGCCTTCTTACATAATCACTGGTTCTATGGCCGTGCATAAAAGGTTGTATCAGGCTCTTCAAAGTGCTAAAGCAAACACCCCGGCTATTCTCCAAGCATGGCGCATTATATACGACAAATGGAAAGCACTTACGGCTTCATTGGAACAGCTTACTCATATTGACTCCAATTTGGCTAAACGCTGGCGTGCTTACTCAGGCTTTTTGGCTTCTACTGTTTCTGCTTGGATTGTCGAAAAAGATGAACCAGTAATTGAGGGGAAGCTCAGTAAATCTTCCAAACTGTTTTTGGATCAGATATTAACTCTTTTGACTAATGTAAACTCATCTTACCTTCGGGAAACAGCCCGTGAAATTCTTTCAAGAGATACTAATCATTCTGCCTACCACTTCATTTTCACAACATTAGAAGAACGGCTTACCCTCCAGCTTTCCAAAGACCACCTTGAACTTCACGAGGAAGACTTTTTACTTTTAGAACAAAGTGTTTCCTTTCTGCGCGCTATTATTGAGTACATTAATGACGGCGAAGTTTATCTTGCCGTGGACATTACTTCTCTTTCTCTTTCAATTGTCAAGAAGCTTGACCGTCTTATTTACTCGGAACGTGTCATCAAGTTGCGCATCCAATATGCCAGTCTCATTGCTTGCATCTCTAAACATAAAGATTCTATGAATATGAAACATGATCTTTTGATTCGCAATGAAGTTGCTTTCATCTTTGCCAACTGGCTTGATTATTCTCTTTCTATTCATTACACAAACGAAGAAACTGAAAGCATTCGTTCCTCAGAAACATCTCGTCTTTCGCATGAAAAGGAGCGTCTTCACAAGGATTGTATTGTTGCTCTTATTGACTCCCTCGCATCCATCACTCTGAAGCTCACCATTGACACTCCTGAAAATGCGCAGGGTCGTGAGTTATATGAAATCAAGAGCCACAAATTTTCTGTATTATTCATGTTGCTTGTGCGGGTGCTAGAAAAATGCCGTGCAGAGGAAATGCAACTACACACATCACTTATTCTTGGCGACCGATTAGAATTGGTTAAAAACAAGACGATTGAATGCGCTTCTAAACTGCTTGATGCCAATGTTGATGTTGGTCTTAAATTAGCTCTACCACTCGGAATTCACGAAGATTCATTTATTCGTGTTTCTTTCTTAAAGATTCTTGACAATATTCTTTCGCATTCTTCTGCCCAAGATCTTGAGTCTGAGGATGCCGCATATGAGCAGCTTATTGATTTGCTAAATGAAAATACTAAGATTGTTGTCACTCTTGGCGAAGTGTGTCCTGCCACGGAAGTTGATGATTTTGCCAAAGCTCTTTTAGAAATCTTCGAAAGCAGAAACAATTCTCTTGGTCTTGTTAAGGCTTTGGTAACTCGTGAAGTAGAACGTGCTGACACCCCCATGGAAATTTTGCGACGCAACTGTTTGGCTACAAAGCTCTTGTCTATTTATGCGCATGGTAAAGGTATATCTTATCTTAAAAAGGCGCTTTCTCCCTTTGTTCAAGATCTTTGTGATAATCCTGATGAATACGCATTTGAAACCAACCCGGATAAGATTCCAGAGGACCAAACAGTTGATGAAAATGTGGCCAAGTTTGAGCGCACTCTTCGGAAATTGGTTACAACTTTGGAAGATTCTCTTCCATTTATTCCTCGTGATTTCCGCGAACTTTGCCATACAATTGCTGAGGCCGCTGATTCTAGATATCTCGGGAAAAATGCATCTGTCAATGCTATTTCTGCATTTTTCTTTTTGCGTTTCATTTGCCCTACTCTTGTTTCACCTGAAAGTGATGGCCTAGTAGATCACCCACCATCTCGCGAAGTTCGTCGAACTTTACTAGTTCTTGCAAAGATGGTACAAAACTTGGCTTATGGCTCTGGTTCATTTGCCAAACTTTCATTTTTCAAAGATTCTTCAGTTGATTTTTCTCAAGATTCTGCGTCTGTTTTGCGAATTGTCAAGAGTTTGACTGAAACTGTTCCCATGTCACCAAGGCAAGTACAAGCTGGCCTTTCACCAAACGACTTGCTTTTGTCACCTGTTGATGACAATGCTAGTAGTTCTCTAACTACTGCAAGTGTCAGTACACCTCAGCCCATAAGAGCTGTGAATCGAGCATCACTCGAAGCTTTCCATTGGTTTCTGTACACTCATTGGGAGGATATTAATCACAAACTACAAACTGAACTTCGCAAAGCACGTCAAGTTGCTTCTGGCCATCAGCATGCAAACAATAAAAGTTTACTTTTGTCTGATCCCGTTAACCGCGCCAACTTTATGTCTGCTCGTTTTGAAGAAGACAATGATTTCCGTGTACGCCAAAAGCTGACGATGCTTATCCGTAATCTTGGTAGACCTAAGGCTTCAGAAACTAAGAAGAAACCTGAAGTTGAAATTGCCATTAATGGTCTTGGTGTTGCTCCTCGTCTGCGCGAGTTTTTGGAGCGCAATTCTCATCGTGACATGCAGCCTATTATTGAAAAGGGCATTTTCCACGAAGGCCTATCTAAGGAAGGCATGCCCTTACTTATCTTTTCAGCGCAAAATTATTTCCGTGATGGCCAAGATACGGAACTTATTGTGTGCCGATTTTTCCAAGTTGCTAGCAAGATGTGGCATCAGAAGTTTGCATTGTTTTACGATGCCACTGGGACCACATCTGATAATGTGCTTTCACTTTCTGCACGCTCTGTTATCAACCTTATGATTCCAGATATTATGGCTCATAACTGCGTTGTTGCGTACTTATACAATGTTCCGGCAGAAATGATTGGGTACATGCGCAACACTTTCCGCCCTTACCAAACTGGGAAATATCTTAATCCACTCTCTACTCGTTACACATTTTTAACGTCGTTTGATATTGCCGACCGATTTAATTTGACGACATTGAATCTTGATTCACGATCTCTCAGAGTTGTCAACGATGCACGTATTTCTTACGATGGGGTTCAGCGCATAAACCCAGAAAAACGCGATTCTATCAAGGTTTCTATGAAGATTGGAAACGAATATGTGCAGTTTGTTGGTCAAGAGCCCTTTACTTTACTTAAGGGTGCTGTTGGCATGTTTAACAGTGTATATCACTTTTCCGAAATCAACAGCATTGAGCTGTGCACCACTAATCCGGAAGAATTTTATGTATCGATTTCGCGTGGTGGGAAGCGTCGCATTATTTTGCGCAGCCCACGAGCTCACGAGATTGTTCGTTCCTTAATTGGTGCCAAGGCTCGTTTGCCTAAGTCTTCAGTTGCATTTCCAGAAGATAGCAATGCGCAGTTGTATCAGACTCTTGATTCATCAATTGGTTCATTACTCAATGTTTCCTTTTCTGGACTGTGTTCTGCAGACCCAGCTGCGCGCAGCTCAGCATATAATTTGCTTGCAACTGTTCAGACGCGTTTTAAGCTTAATCTGGGTGTTTCTGACATGTTGCGAGGCCGAGGGCTGAGACTGCCTGCCAATGTTTTTAGCCAAGTACAGCATTATAGTAAAGCTGTTGCTGAAAACTATCCCGAGTTGACACACGATATGGTGAGCGAATTATTTGCCGCTTATAATTCCACAGAAATGAGCAGACGCATTGGCATTCTGGCATACATTTCTCCTTGGATTAAGCACCTGGGAACACATGTTTATAAGTTGGAACCTACGAAATACAAACGTGGAACTACAGCTGGGTTTATTCGGAGGTTTTTAGAGCTATCCTTTAGTGATGCTTCTGATTACGTTTATTTGATTTCATCCATTTGGCCTGTCATTTTGGATGACTCGATTACTATGCCCATTCTCATTGAAGAGTTTTTGGTGCTGGTTATGGAGAAGAATTTAGTCTACAGTCCAAATATTGACGATTATATTTCCATTTTGACTTCTGCAAAGTCTCTTGATGCAGTGTTTGTTGTGAAGGAAAAACTGTTTGACATTTTACAGCAAGCAACTAGCGTCACGGATTCTAACATTGCTAATTGTCCTCAGTGGAACGAGATTGTTTTACTTGTTAACATTCTTTCATCAATGTTATTTGAGAATCCAGAAGCTGCCATGGCGCATCCTTCAGAGTATTGCTTTATTGTACATATGCTTCTTTACACTGGTTCATATTCGTTCCGCAGTTTGCTTTATGCCATGATGGTCAATTATGTGCACTCGCTTATCACATCTGAGATGATCACTCCTGAGTCACGATCACATGCGTTGACGATTTACAAAGATTTAACAGGTGACAAGGGAAATATGATTTTTGGTACAAGTGAGGAGTTACGTAACGTTGAATTTGCTTACCCAGCAACTTCGCTTTTATTTCAAATGGATTCTCTCAATGCTATGACGATTGAACTTGCTCGAACTGTCATGCCAATTCGTGGTTTGGAACATCAGCATGAGGTGTTTATGCAGCGGTGCTTGGTCATTAGTACACAGCCCACGTCTACACTTCAAAGTCGAGCTATTGTTGCGCTGGGATCCAGTTCCCGTCTTGATGTCAATGACTCCATGGTGACTGTTGCTTTGGGTGTGTTGAGCGATGCCCTTAACCGCGATAACTCCAAGATGCGAGAGGAGCTTATTACTTGTGTTGCATTTAGTATTTCCAAGATGGTTAATGGTTTGCAGGCTGACAGCAAGTATTACGGTTACTTGTTTTGGGTTTCTATTGCGCTCATGAATACATACAATATGGAGATTTTTGGGCATGGGTTGCAGTTGTTTTTGGCATGTCTTAAGTCGCTTGATGATTATGGTGTATTTAAGCAAATGTCCATGTCTCAGTATTTACTTTCGAGCAAGGAGGAGTTTAGAGGCGAATGGGAAAAGCTTGAAACAACTTTAGATTTGCACTTTTCAGAGAAGCATTTTGAACTTGGGTTGGCAGCGACGTTGTTGCGTGGTATGGTTAAGTCTGTGACTCGAGCAGCCACGCTTTCTGCATTTGATACGTTGCTTTCAATTTCAGCCAAGAACCAAATGTTCCGCGAACGTGAAAACAGTGTTGTTGCTACCTCGAAAATTCCTAATCTTGCTCTTGCAGCTGATGTGTCGTCAATTCTCTCTGATTATGGGAGTGGAAGTGGCAGTGGTGGAAATAATAAATCATCTTTTGGCCAGTATGCCCAAGGCATTTCTGGTAGTTCCTCTAACCTTCAAGGTGTTTTCCATGGGCTTTCGAGTCCTGCATTTGGTCCATCAGGCACATCAGGCACATCAGGCGGAGCAGCTGGAAATGGACAGCCAGGATCAAGTAGCCCTAATAGCCATCATATGCTTGGTTCAAGGTTTGGGCACCGGTCGTCTATTGCTCCTACAGATTTGCTAGAGGTTGACGATACTTCTACGTCGAGTATGCCATATTCACGTGGATTCCCTTCATACTTGGTGTATTTGTTTTTCTTGTATCTTGGATCGCGGTCTCAATCCGATTTGCGGGACTATTTGTGGATTGCCGGGTATCCTGAAGATTATTTGGAGGATGAGATTCCACGGCCAATTCGGCGGTTTATTGGCAGCAACCGGACCAAGTCAATAGTGACACTGTATTTGGGTGCTCTGTTGTATACACAAGTTGAGGATGAGGAGAAGCTTGGGAAACGATTTTTGGATGTGATGAAGTTTGTTGGGTCTGTGAACTTGACGAGTTATTTCCGTGCGTACTTTGTGATTCGGCCTAAGGTGAAACGGACGATTGATCTTTCGCCTGGGGTGGAGTTGATGCGTGGTGCTCTTGATTGTGCTAAAGTAAGTTTGCTCAATTACGAGGAGTTGCGGCGACCACGGTTCTATTTGGGTGGATTAGATGAGATTCTTTTACAAGCTGGATTAGGTCCATCCAAATGTTCTGGTGGGTTTATTTCGAATGCTACTCCTGGTTTTGTTAGTGGGAATATTGTTGGGGCTACTGGTAAGAATAACCATAACCATAACAATGGAAACAACAACAACAACAACAGCAACAACAGCAACAACAGCAACAACAGCAATAGTGGCAGCAGTTCGTCTACGCCTACTACGGGAAGCAATTCAGGGCTTCCTTCTACATCTTCTTCTAGTGGTAATGGTCATATTGGATCAGTACAACGAAACAGCTCTATTATGATTAAGAGTAAGAGCAGTGGGACAGCCAACAGCAGCAGTAATCTTGTTGATTTGTCACATTCTACATTGATGAATAGTAGCAAGTCATTGCATAGTTCTCCACATGCTATTACACATCTTGAGTTGACATCTTCAGTACTTAGTGATGAAGATTTGGCTGCGTTTATTCGTAAAGTTGCTGATGTTGCACACGAGCATTATTGCAAGCGGCCAGGAGGGTTTGGAAGTGGAGCCACGAACCATTTGGCTAATGCTTGTAAGGGAGATGACATTTCATTATTCCAAGAGGAAGATGAGGAGGAAGATGAAGAGGATCTTTTAAAGGAGAAGCAAGAATTAGGTCAGCATCAACATGGTGTTGAGCTAAAGATTGATGATGATAATAAGGAGGGTAGAGCTCTTTCTGAGATTGAGACTACAGAAAGTAGTAACAAGACGACAAGGAACAAGTCTGGGGCTGCCACTCGCGACCTATCGCCAATGACTACGACAAGTGGTACAGGAGAGTTGAACAGTAGTAATGGGCTTGGAAGTAACATGAACATGAGTAGTGTTAGCGGTGGGAGTGCTGAGAGTGCTGGGACGATCAGTAGTAGCAGCAGTAGCTCTGCAAGGGTAGTTGACCCGTCAGCAACATTGGTCACTGGTAGTACTAGTACTAGTACTAGTACTAGTACTAGTAAGCTTAGTGGTAAGCTTAATAGTACTATTGCTCGTACAAGTACAGACGAATTTGAAGAAGAAGAAGAAGAAGAGGGTACTACTAGTAGTACGAGCACTACCAATGACAATTACAATTCTGGTGGTACCAGTGTGAGTTGCCAAAGGGATGGTGATGATGACGACAATAATGATGACGACGACAACAACAACAACAACAACAAGTCTAACAACAATAACAGCAAAGCATCATCATCAGTATCTTTAGGGCAAAGTGTTACTGTTCCTTTACAATCACAATCAGTTTCTCCATCGTCACCTTCACCCAGAAATACTGGGACGATTGTTCAAATTCCTGGTACGCCTGTGACTATGGTAGTTGGTGGTGGATCTGGCCAAGTTGCTACTGGCCAAGACCTGGAAGAGCCGGATGAGGAAAGATATTACAGTAGTTGATTATTTAGTTATCAATTTGAGCGATATATTAAGTTACTTTTGGGGTAATATAAATAATATAATTTACTATAGTATATATATAATATATATATAAGTTATCTCTTGGTAAGTTATTTATTTATTTTTTTTTTTTTTGCTATTGTATTTCCAGCATGATGTTATCACGTGCATAAAGGTTTTGGTTGGTTTTTTCTTTTTTCTTTTTTTTTTTTTTTTTTTTTTGGTTGGACCACTTACTTACTGAAATTTCGAGCTGATTTTTTTTTTTTTATTATTTTAAATTTTAAATTTTAAATAAATTTATTTAAACATCCGCGCCGAGAATTTTATTTTTTTATTTTTTTATTTTAATTTCTGGCCAGATTTTTTTATTTTTTTATTTTTTTATTTTTTTATTTTTTTATTTTTTTATTTTTTTATTTTTTTATTTTTCTTGTTAAAATTCTACTCTCCTCCTTTTTCTTCCTCCACCCACCCACCCAAAAAAAAAAAAAAAAAAAAAAAATAAAAAAATAAAAACCCATTTTGGTTATTATTACCACCACCACCACCACCACCAATTTATTTTCTATTCTATTCAATTCCTTTTTTTCTTTTTTTTTTTTTTTTTTTTTTATAACTTCCCTTTCTCTCTTTCCATCTCTAAAAACTTATCACTTCTTTGATTATTATTATTATTATTATTATTATTAACATCATCATCATTTTTTAAAGTATATCTCTAAAATTTCAGTGCTCTAATTCTTACTATCTTATCTCCATTATGGACTCTGAAAAGGAGCTGGACTGGATTACCCGCGTCAATTCTTTGAGCATCCAGCCGCTGGGTATGTAGGCAATAATAGACAACCAAATACTCAAATTAACTATTAAACTTATAACTAACTAACCAACCAACTAACTAACTAATTGATTAACTTATTATTATTATTATTATTATTATTTAACAATACAAATTAGGCTCTCGTTCTCGCTCAAACTCTGCATCTGACTCTGCTTCAAACGCTGCAGCTGCTGCTACGGCCGCTTCAAATGTCGCTGCTGCTCTCGAGGGTAAAATCCCTCCTACCGTGGCTGAAGAACCTTCCTCGGTCCCGGTAACATCCGGGACATCTACCCCTCCGACTAGAACCAAAGCACCCGCAACAACAGCAACAGCAACAGCAACAGCAACAGCAACAGCAAAAACAACGACAACATCATCATCTTCTTCTTCTTCTTCAAATGTACAAAGTTGGATATCAGAACCAAAGCAAGAACCCTTATCTCTACGAAGAACTAATACAAACACAGGAAACTCAGACTCTAGTATGGGCTTTTCGCTCCAAAAAATTAAGTCCACACCTACATTTGGTTCTTCGTATGACCGTATCAACTCTCAACAATCCTCTTCAAAACGCTCATGGTTCTCAAAGTTTAAACGCCACGACCCACCACCGGCTCCTCTTCCTTCTGCTAACCACGTTTCCCCACATTTGCCGCCTGAATCTGACCATCATCATCATTTTTTCCGACGTACTTCTACTGCTCCAACTTCCTCGGGACATATCTCACCACAGGTCACCACTGGTGATTCTTTTTCTTCTTCTCCTTCTTCATCTTCTGCTAATGTTAGCCGCGTTCATCGGGCCTCAGTTGCCTCCACAGCAAGCTCTGCAAGCTCCGTAAGCTCCGTCAACTCACAACACACTAGTGACCTAAACCCATTTAATGCCTCTATTGGTGTCCCGTGTAAACCAACAATCTCTCCAACTGTCGTTAGTGGGAACTTGACTGCTTCTCCTTCTCTTTCTCCTCTCCCAAACCAACAACAATTTGGTTCTTCTAACAATATAAACACCACTAATGGGAAATCTGTACCAACATCTGCAACGACCTCATCCCCCTCTTCAACTACTCAACAATCTTCCTCTAAACCTTATTCATCCTCTGCGGGCCAATCAAACTCCATTTGGTCTTCTCAATATGCTTCAGATTCAAACTCTCCATATAGTTCCTCGGGACATGATGCTTCAAGAGAATCATCCATTTCTCCTATTGATTCAGCCTCCTCTGCTACTTCTGGACAAAAACAAAGCGGATTTCTTATTAATACTCTACGCAAGTTTAAAAGTCCCCCCTCAAGTCCAGCGCCGCCCGATGAAGAACACGACCCTTCTTTACCGCCTCGCAAGGTTTTCAGAAATCGCTCACGCCACAATTTGTCTACAAGCTCTTCGTTAACAAGTACAAGCAGCAACAACTCTTATCACTGCCAGTCCATCTCATTGCAATCAGCCACAAACCACGTCCATCCTGAACTTGATGAAATCCCTCTTGTTCGTGTCAACTTTGCACTTGATACTTTTGATCACGACCCACCACAACAAATTCCTTCCCGTAAACCTAAGCAAGGTAGCGTGACCGTTAACGAGGATACGGGTCAGATTATCCGACCACATCATGCTCTTGATGCTGCAAATCCTAATGCCTACAACCATGCCGCTATCATGGCCAAAACTTCTGCGTACAACTCTGCTGTCATTGTGGCCAATAGTGTACGTGCCGATACTCGCAGAAGTGTTGCTGTTAACCGAATGTCGTTCAGCTCGGGGAAAAAACCTTCTATTGATAAGCAGTCTTCAGTTAATCACCTTGCTTCTACTATCGGTTCTTCACCAATTATGGAAAATGATATGAGCGATGAGCAAATGGCTTCCTGTATTGTTGACAAGGGATTTGGCAGTCAGGTTATGAGTATTGATAAACCTTTGAATAAAAAGACTGAATTCCCTGGAAGCAGCAATAAGGACGAGGAAGACGATGGCGAAGACGATGAAGCTAAAGAAGAAGAAAGAAAAAAATCTCTTACATTGGCAGAAATTTACACTAGATGCTGTCATTTGCGCGAGATTCTTCCCATCCAAGCCACACTGCGTCAACTTGATGGTAAAAATGCACCCATTGCTACGCTTCAACTAATGAACCCACGTCCTACCATGATTGAAGTACTTGCATTTGCAGACTTTTTGGCTGTAGCCCCCATCACTGCTCTTATTTTTGACAATGTTGACTTGACTGAGGAAATGTTTAAACAAATTATTCTTTCTCTCATCAAGGCTGAAAATCTTTTTAAACTTTCACTCCGCAATGTTAACCTTACCCCCAACAACTGGAAGCTTCTTTGTACATTTTTGGCTCACAACAACTACATTATTAAGCTTGACTTGTCACTCAAGTTCCCCGAGCCTGGTAAAAAGAAAATTAAGTACAAGCAATCGGTTTACACCCCACGTGAAAGCCTTGACTGGAATTTACTTACTGATAGTCTTATTTGCCGTGGTGGCCTCGAGGAACTTAACATTAACAGTTGCTTTGTACCTCACAAACAGTTCCGCAGACTTATTTTGGAGGGCTGCGCTGTTGGAACAAAACGTCTTGGAGTTAGTTGCAGTGACCTTGAAGAAGAAGATATTAAGGTTCTTAATGAATGGATTTCTAGCGAGAAAACTACATGCCAAGGTATTGATCTTAGTGGGAATTTGCTCATCTCTCAGCACCCTGATTTTATCAAGGCCCTCTATGAAAACCCCCACTTGCTTTACCTTTCCATCAACTCTTGCAACCTTAATGATCCTGTTAGCCTTAGCCATGTCTTATCTGAATCTTCCCACAACTCAAAGTTGCGTTTTCTCGATGCTTCTTACAACCCCAAGCTTTTCCCACAACTTTCCGCTGCACTTTTCCGAGTTTTGCCTAATATGACTGAGCTTGTGCGCATCTACCTCGATTACAATAATCTCTCATCTAACGATATCATTTTGCTTGCCGATGCTATCCCCAAATGCAAATCTTTGGTTCATATTTCACTTACTGGTAACACCGATATTAACAATGCCGCTGCTGAAGCACTCGCAGTGGCTGTTAAACTTTCCGATACTGTCACTCTTGTTAATGTCGACCCCAATATTTTACCTGTGTCTATTGCACGCCGCATGACGCATTACTGCATGCAAAATATGGAAGACCTTGTTGATGTTAAACAAAAGGAAGTGGAGAATGATGAAAAGTATAACTTTGAAGGTGAAGCCGAACTGCTTGATGATGGTACAGAGCTTGTTAATGCCGTCAAATATGTGGTCAAGGCCAACCAAGGAGAAACTACTCTTCCTAAAGGAACTTCTGCTGAAAATGATGGTGATTATGTTTCCGCAGCTGTTATTGCCGATGCTGCTGCTAAAGCTTCAAATTTGGAGCCTATTGCACACTTGCTTGCTGCTGATGGCCTTGCTAAGCGTGCAAAGCGTGTCCGCGAAAAAGTTCAACTGCGTTTGCGTTATCTTATCGAGAACTACAAGCTGCGCGAGATGCCAGACAGTGTACGCGACAAGCTTATTCGCTTATGGTATCTTGATAAGACATTGGAGGGTGTTGTTGAGAATTATGAAAAGTCTAGCGCTCAGTATAGACCTGAAGAAGAGGCTGAACAACAAAGTGAACAAAGTTCTATCCAAGATAATAATGACTCTGAAATATCTAAGATTCTTCAAGAAAAGAATATTGAAGTGAGTGATGACAGAAGTGAAATTAGTGTGCTTATTGGAGATAATGAGTCAACCAACATCTCCAAGTTTCAGTCGCCATTTAACTTTGCTGTCAGCAGTCATTTGCACACAAGAGAAGGCGAAAACAAAAAGGATAATTCCAAGTCCAAGCCTTCTGTTGGCCAGGAGGATTCCATTTTCGATGTTGAGAGTGATTCTGATAGCTCTGAGACTGAAACTGAAGACAATGGCGAAAAGAAGAGAAGAAAGTCACATCTTAGCGAAAGTGAAAAGCAGCAGATTCTCAACAAAGGCCCCAAGTTTAACAGTACAATTTCGCCAGTTGTTGGTGCCGTTGATGCTCCTTCTCTTTACCGCGAGTGCTCTCCATTAGATGGTGATGAAAGCTATCCTATTGGTGAGGGGGAGAGTAAAGATGACTATGGTGTTTGTGTTCTTCCAAGACCACGTTCTTCTTCGACCTCAGTACATGCTCGTGCCCAAGAACGTGAAGAAGGTAATTTCCACAAGATGGGTATTATGTTACGTCGTAAGCAATTGCTTTCCGGAGAGCCTGGTGAAACCAATCAACAGGAATTGTCATCTGATGATACACTTTCCGTGCCAGGAGGTGAAAATGATAACGAACCTGTTACTAAAGTTTCGCCCGCACGTCGCGATACAGTATTGTATGATGAAGCTATTGCTGCTGCTGCTGCTGCAAAGAACCGTGTGCCTGGTGGTGATGATACTGATAATGTCCAGCCTGGTGGACTTGTATCAAATGCGATTAATTTAACGGGCCATGAGTTACGGAAAGTATATCACTATGAGCTTGCCAACAATTCTAATAGCATTGAAGAAGTGCTTAACAAGGTTAAGCAAATGTCGCCAACTGATTTCGAAAAATATTTTTTGAATATTGATCGCATGGTGATGGAGCAGGAAAAGAGCAAGGCGGCAGCAGTAATTGCTCAAGCTGCTGCTAAAGCTGCTGGGAAAAGGGCAAATAATTCAGGTTCGTTGTCTTCGGCATCATCATCATCATCTTCTTCTTCTTCTTCTTCTTAGTCGTTGTTGGTGTTGTCGTTGCTGGTTAATGATGATGGAAGGAAATGTTTATTGGTGTTTGAATAAATGACATTTTTTTTTATAAATTTTGATTTTAAATTTTTTTTTTTAGAAAATAACATATCTTTAAAAGTAATAATAATATTAATAATAGTAATAGTAACAATAGTAATTTTATATCGAATTGTATATACAGATAATTGTATAAAAATGTAGGGGGGAAATGTAGGATTTATATATATAATGCTTTCGGCTCAGAAGTTATTATCGGAAATAATTTGACGTAAGATGATGATTGTAAACGGAGCTTCGGGAAGTTAAGAAATATCCATAATGTGGGGAAAAATAGTTTCTAAAAATGAATGAAGTAAATAAATAAATAAATAAATAAATAAATAGATAAATAAATAAATAAATAAATAAAGAAAGAAAGAAAGAAAGAAAATAATAGAACAGCAGATAACTTTTAGTTTCGGAGAAATAGTTGTTGCATGATTCTAGTCATCTTGAATTTGACAGTATATTAAATTTAATTTCGTTTTCCGGAAAAAAAAAAAATAGGCACAAGATAATAAATACATAGAGATTATGAAAAAAAAAAAAAAAATTATTAAAAATAGGGAGTAAAAAAAAATTACAAGGGAATAATCCCTCTATTTATATAAATATACAATTTTAAAAATACAACATCCTAAGATTCTCTGTTAATTTATAATCCATATGGTCAATTAAAAAAAAAAAAAAGGCGCAAAAGAAAATGTTTCGTTGTGAGTTATTAATAGTCCATAGTGTGAGGTGAATGAATGTACACCAGGAATTTTGGTAGGGAAAGAAAAAAAAATTATTTTTTTTAAAAAAAAAAAAAAACAGGAAAGAAATTAAAAATAGAGAAATTTAGAAACTAAAAACTAAAAATTAAAAATTAAAAATTAAAAATTAAAAATTAAAAAACAGGTAAGGTTTGAAATGTTCAATTTGGTTTAATCAGGAGAAAAGAAAAAAAAAATTGCGTGTGATGACTGTGATGACTGTGATGACTGTGATGACTTAGGTGATGACCTAGGTGATGATAAAATGAAGTCACTTAGGTCTTTTTCTTCAAGAAAATTGAGTGAGTTCTTTAACATTAGTATTTTGGAATATCACTGTTACAAGCAGGTGATTATCAAAAAAGTAATGAATTGATCTAAAATACAAATAAATTTTTCTCAAAGAGTAAAAAAAAAAACACATAAACACATATATTTCTCAATTGCTAATGAGGATTGAGAACGATACTGAAATAGAAAGTGGGCATTTTTAAACTGAGTCGAGACAGTATTGTCTTTAAACATCGTACTATTTTTAACATTATAATTATGTACTTCCTAAAAAAAAAACATTCAATGGCCAAATAAATAGATATGATTATATATTAAAAAAAAAGCAAGTTAAAGAAATAGGGATTTTTTCAAACCATGGAAGCACGACTTAAAATGGGAACATGTTAAGCGTAATAGATTTTCAGTTAATGATCATTACATTTAAAAAAAAAAAAAAAATTTAAATGATTACTTGTAATCAAGTACCTCTGAAAAAATTAGGAAAGTCATGAAAAAAAAAAATGAAACGACCTAGTTTTCACATTGCATAGATGTATGATTTGAATTATAAATTGAAATAAAATATATGGATAGAAATATCAAAATATCAAAATAATAAAACCACAAAAATGCCCTAAAGTAATTGTTTTAATAAGAAGAAATAATCTAAAAAAAAGTCTTCCCGATTCTTTTTTATTTTTTTTTCTATAAAATTTCAGAGGTATATACCGATATATCGAAATTTATAGAACTAAAGTCGGAGTTGATTATGTAATATTCACAACGATGCTATGATCACTGTTGGACAGTGTAAATTACGTAATATATTGAGGGGAGTTTCTTATCATAGTGATGTAGTAAAAATTCATTACGTAATACTATGGGATGAGGGAAAGGGTTTTTTTTTTTAAAATTTTAAATTGCCATTTATGGAAAAAATGTAACTACACTAATAATATATTCAAACAATCATCATCATCATTGAGATTAAAACCTTTAAAATGAAGACTTATTTATTCTATGTACTTAATAACAGATTCTTTTTTTTTTTCATTAAACTCAACAATTTTTTTATGCTTAATACAATTATTTTTTTTTAAATAAAAATTGCACCTTATAAACAGAGTCATTTATTTTTTTCTATAAATCCTAGCTAAACAGTTCTTTAAGACAAGTATATATAATAATGACTTGTTTTTGGATTCAAAATTAATTCTGGTTTCTCATGTTGCATTTTCGTCGATTGTTTCTTATTCTACTAGCAATACTGTCTTCAACTTTTATTAAAATATTTTCTTTATTATCACTATTCTGATGAATCACATCCACAGATAATTTTGACTCATTTGAAGTAGCTAATAAATCTAATTCTTTTAAAGTAGCTGATGATTCCAATTCGTTTGAAGTACCAGATAATTCTAATTTGTTTAAAGTTGCAGATAATTCTAACTCATTTAAAGTAACAGATAAGCTTAAATTTTTGGTATAATTTGGTTCAATTTTGATTTGAGGAGAAGTAGAAGAGAAATTCTTTTTAAATTTTTTGTTGCTAAACTTGACTTTATTCTTTTCATTAATTGGGGCAATGATTGATTTTTGAGATGGAGAATTAATCAAAAATTCATCAGGAACACAATTTGATGATCCAGGAGTTGTAGATAAGGAAGAAGAAAAGTTTTCAAAATCGTCGGGTAAATAGGATGGATTTATTGGTTTGGAAACACTAAAACAAAATTCACCATTAGAATTACTATTAGAATTACCATTAGAATTACCATTAGAATTGTTATTAGAATTATTGAATACAGGAGGCTCCATTTTAATGTTAATAAATTTTTTAACTTCAGTTCCAAATTCTGGACTTGGCAACGAATAGGAATATGGAGATTCTTGAGAAAACTCATTGTGATAGATAGTCAGTGAAGAATTTGTTGGTGTATTAGACACAGGAGAAATCAAAGAATTATTTAAAACCACAAAATTTTTATTTTTATTTTTCTTTTTACATTGGCATAAGCATTTGCATCCAGAGTTCAAATTTGGCAAAATAAAATGATGATTAGGTGACATTGAAAGTAAAATAGAAACAGGTGAAGAATTCATGGAAACATTTTCAACCTTACAGGCTATTGTATTGTCGACGAAATTGGAATTGAGAGGATCAAGAAACAAATTGGAATCATCAAGAGTTTCATTTAAGTCATCATAGATATCAACAAAAGATAGGCTAACAAAAATAATTGCAGCATCCCAGATATTGCAAATAAAATCAAAGAGAGAAACCATATTTCTTGAATTATTTTAACTGGAAAAACAAATCTTATTTTTTTTTCAGCGATACTTTTGGAAGTATAACAAATTATAATGCAAATAATTATTTCAAAAAAATGAAAAAAAAAAAAAATATCCAAACCAGACTAGTTTTTATGAAAAAAAAATGATTGCTCTAGGTTCAGAGCCGTTTAACAGGTATATAGTAATATTACATCGTTAAGAATAATTAATTTTTATTAAACAAAAAATTAAGGAAATTATTTCCTTTTTTGAAACAGCAATTTATTAAATAATGTTGAATTAAAATAACCATTAATGGTTATTTATTGTTATTTTAAATTTAAATCAACTTACTGTTAAACTTTAAATTTTCACTAACATATCAAATTAATCAATGACAATTAGAAATTTTAACTTGTGATTTTTCTTATCAGGTAATTAAACAAGAATGATTACAAGATTAAAATACACGTTTTCAATAAACACAATTGTTGTTAGAACCTAAATTTCTCTGAATATGGAAATAAAAAAAAAAGTCTATAGATAAAATTACATTTAAAATAATTTTTGCTTAGTAGATACATAGCTTAGTATACATTTATTTTTTTTTATTCAATTTTCCCAATTAATGTGGGGGCAATTCTCCGCTTTTTTTTCTTTTTAGAGTCATCTGTACTCGATCCTTGTCCGGGACGCTTCAGTATAACGCTTGGGTTGCTATTTGAGCTAGTAGTTCCCGCTTCAGCTTTATTAGGAGAAGTAGAATGCTGAGTTGGTAAAGTTGATGAAGAAGAGACAGGAGATGGAACACTTGTAGTGGCCAACTGAGCTTGCCCTAATGGAACAGGTGTGTGTGGGGGTGTATTATAACCAACACCTGTTCCATGACCAACTATCGATGGCATAGGAGACACAACAGGAACTGGTCCTGCGTTCGATGAACCAGTAGCACTAGTAGCTGATTGAATATGAGATGGAGGCCCGAGAGAACTTGAAGGAGGTACCAATGGTCCTCCGAAAAAGAATCCGCTGCTAGGTGTGTTTCCAGAAGTTCCACCCAAAGATCCACCAAATGCTGCAGGACTACTTGCTCTGCTGCTTGCTCGGCTACTGTTTGTAGTAGTGGTTGTAGATTGAGGAGATCCTGCAGCCGCGGCGACCTGCGCTGCGGCAGCAGCTACTAGTGCAGTAGAAGGAAGCGGCGGGCGAGGATCCGAAGTACGCTTGCGAGGAGAATGAATGGGCAATTGGAAAAGCGAGGGGTTTGGTGGATGATGATGACTAAGGGTATGACCATGAGGATAAGTAGAATGTGAAGTGTTTGAGGAAGAAGATGGCTGTCCACTTAACTTGAACTGATGATAATTACTGGAAGAAAAGGCTGGTGGTGCGGGGATGGGATCAGTATAACGCTCGCCAAGCTCACCATTTTCAAAAATAATGACGGAGCAAAACCCATCCGTAGAAGTTACGAGAAGAATGTTTCCGTCTGGAGACCAGGTCAAATCGGTGAATGCAGAGTAGTTGAGGTTGGATACAACGCATAAAGGCTGTCGCTGTTCTGTATCGTAAACAATCACAGTGTCTTGAGTAATAACAGCATAGACCATGCGATACTTTAGCGAAAATACGGGTGCTGAAAGCTGCTGAGATTGCTGTATTGGTGGTGGCGTGGCCGATGGCGGTTCTGGGGTAGACCTCGGGTTACGGATTTTGGAGTTTGGAGAATTGAGTGGGTGCGGACTAATGTATGATGGCACAGGGGAAGGTGCAGCCGAGGGGACAGTTGAATCTGTGTCTTCAAGAGATTTATTGTCAAAAGTCATAGTAACAACGGGTTTTGCAACGGCTCTAGGAGTATTTCGCAGTTTGTAAAACACCGGCGAGCATCCTACTGCTAATGATGGTTTTTTCAAACCAGGAAGATGTGCTACTGGAGGTCGATTAAGGCCCGCACGAGTGTAGATGTAAACAGTGTTAGTAACATCTTCTCCTGAAGAAGAACCAGACCCCAAGGGGTTGTTTGTTAGTGGAGCAGGCGCTGGAACCGTTGGTGTCCCCAATCGGTCAAATGCATCATGAGCTGCATATTTAAACATTCCTGAAGGAGTGAGGAGTAAACTACCATCTGGGGAAAATGTAAGACGGCGAAAAAAGGATACAAGGGTTTCACTGTGATAAAGATAAGACGATCGCGAGAGCATCATTGACATTGCAACGCTCGGGGACCCAATGGATCGTACTGCTGGAAGTGGAAGGAATGACGGTGAAGGAGACGATGGCCGACTAGACGATGCAGTGCTGATAGGTGATTGTGGGTGGTTTGATGTTGATGAAGAAGGTGGTGGCGGCGGTGGCGGCGGCAGCAATGGCGCGGAATTTGAGCTAGTTGGAATGGGGGTTCCAGTGTTATTATTGTTGCTGCTACTGCTACTGCTACTGTTGCTGCTACTGTTGCTGTTGTTGCTGCTATTACTACTATTTGCATTGCTGTTATTGTTGCTGTCACTACCTAAGTTGCTTGAAAAGCCAAAGTTTGTTAAGGTTGAGGATACAGTGGCTGTTGTGGCGCTAGGTGTAGAAGTGGCCGAGGAGGAAGAACCAAAAGAAGATTTGCGAGAATGACTTGATTTTGGCGCTGGTGGGTTCATAGCTGAAGTTTTACTAGAAGTCAAGGAGGAAACAACAGACCCAGGTCCTATAGATGTATCTGAATGATAACTTTCTGGAGAAGCTACAGAAGAAGGACCTGTCAGTTCACTGAGAGATGTTGGCGTTGGAGGTGCTAATGAATGAGGAGCTGATGACGCCGAAAGATGAGGAGAAGGAGAAGCTGATGCTCGGAATTTAGACGCTGGAGGGTGCAAAGCCGAATCTTGTAAGGGTATGCTATTATTATTGTTGGTATTAGGTGCTGTCAATATTCGAACTGGGAGATCTGCTCGAGCAATTTTATGATGAGGAGCAGATATTGAAGAACCTGAAACACTCAAACTTGAGTTAGAACTGTTTGCTGACGCTGTTGCTGTTGAAGCTGCCGTTGCTGCTGTTGCTGTCGCTGCCGCTGTTGCTACTGTTGCTGTTGTTGCTGCTGCTGCTCCTCCTCCAAGAATGTAGACACCATCTTTGGTCTTGAGAGAATAGATATGAACACTGCGGTCGGATGACTGAGTAGCAATATACTCATTATGAGGGTCCCAAGCAACACCTTGAACATAATGAGAATGCTCAGCCAACTCACGAACGCATTGACCTGTTGCAGCGCTATATACGCGTGCAACATTGTCCATAGAACCAGCTAGTATATAGGCCGAATCTGGCGACCATGCCAAGTCGTAAATCTCTGCAATGCTGGTTCTGCAAATGCGCAAAATACGCCAGGATTCTTTGTCTTCAGCTCCTGCAGTGTCTTCAGAAGCTCCAAAAGCAGGCTTGATAGAAGAAGCTGTTGTTGTACCAAATCCAGAAGCACTGGCTGAAACTTCTGGAGTCCATAAAATAATAGTGCCATCATCGCCAGCAGAAGCTAACAATGTACCCTTTGGGTCAAAACGTACAACATTTACAGCTTGAGTATGTTTGGCAAGAGTTGCAAGATAGGTTGGATGACTGGGATCTGCCAAGTTAACACGCCAAAGACGCACATTGTTATCGCCGCCAGCGGTCGCGAGCCTGCGCGACAATACGCCAACAGGGGAGACTCCAGGAGGCAGTGGCTGGAAATGAGCCGAATAAATGGGCTGGCTGTCCTGATGCCAGTGAATGGTCAAAGCCTTAGCCTTCATAAGTGTTATGTATTCTGGCTATTTATTAAGGAGACTTTCCGGATATTCTGGTAGTGGAAGAACTCTTGAATATAAAAGTGATGATGGTGGTGGTAGTGGTGGTGGAGATGATGAAGGTAATTACCTTTATAAAGGTAATGAAAATTGGTTGGTTGGCTGGTTGGTTGGCTGGTCGATGTTTGTTTTTGTTTTTGTTTTTTTTTAAATATTCTTTTATATTGAGTCTACGTTGCTGGGGAAATTTATTTTTTTAACGGTTAATTACTTTCAAATCTAACGGAACATCAATAACACCGGGTTCTTATCAAACATTGTCCTTTTCAATTTTTACAATAATCGTCATATATATAAATATATATAGTATTTTAACAAAACTTGATATCATCGAGAGCAATTCGATTTTATAATTTTGAGCTGACCAATGTCTCCATATAGAGTGTCAATGATGGGACCATTGGGAACTGCCTTCCACATTGACGCCGGCGCCTGCACCGGAAATTGAATGCTGCCCGGTCGTTTGTTCTTGGCCACTGAAGCCACCGGTATATAAAGTTCGTTCACAGGCCCTGTTTCAAGATTAACAACTCCGGTACCTACGCCTGTATCAGTGTATGATTGTACAGAAGCAAGGGGTTGCTTGCGTTGAGATTGCTCCGGCGTCAGCAAGGGCACAACCTTAAGAAAATATACTCCTTTAAATCCACCTGCTGCTATAATATTCCATTTGACTGCATCGCCATAGAATGCAAGATTGGTATAAAGCTCCTTGCCAACACCATATAAACTGTCAGTTTGTTTTCTTTGCTGCTGCTGTTGGTGCTGCTGCGGTGTCTTTTTATCTGGGCATTGAACAACTACACAATCGCACATATACCGAATTTTCTTGCGAATGTCATTGCTGTGAGCAGAAGTGGATCCTCCAGTTGTTGTAATTTGCAGGCCACCTTCAGACTCACTAGATGCAATAACGCTCAGGTTTCCAAACTGGTTTAGCAGTTTGGCTCTGCTTTCAGGCATTATCACATATCCAGAATATTGATGCTCATGAACCAGCTGTAATATAGCGTAATTTTTGCTGGGAGCACTAGCTATCCTTGACGCTTCATTATGAGCTTCGATAACTTGGCGCATCAAATTGACTTCTGTTCTTGGGTCCAACCATTTCTGTTCAAAATGTTAGTTAAATTATTAGCAGAGGATATGGGTTAAGGATAAGTGTAGGGATAATGATAATGATAAGGATAAGGATAATGATAAGGCTTACTACTACGACTGCTACTCACCTTGATTGGGACCACTTCAACCACTCGCATCTCTAGATTTGTTCCATTTGCCTGGTTCCATTTTCGTAAAAAATCTCGAAATATACTAACATGGTGAGCTCGGTCTTCGTAAACGTAAACGGCCTTGCACCTACTGCGGTAGTATTCAAGTAAAGAGTTTAGACATGCTAGTTTAAATTGAATTGTGTCTTTAAACTCGTCTGTGCGAAGTGATACCAAGTCAAATTTTAAACCTTTAGCTGTAAACATACACTGCAAAACATTTCCAAACCGCTCCTTGTTGCGGCCTGTTAATAAAACTCCCAGAGCGCGTGGATCATGCATAGTTTCGCGAACCAAATCAACTACTTCTTCGTTCCACCATCCAGCCCAGGCGCGCCTTTCTTCTACAGCCATTCCGGCACCGATACCCTGTAAAAATACTGGATTGGTCCACCACGAACCGTGAGTAAAGTTTTGTGAAGATTGAACAAAGTTTCGTGTGCTTTGTGTCCATAATCGCGGGTTTGGTTCCGGTGTATAAAAAAGTGTATTGTCAAAGTCATATATATGTAAGTATTCAATTTGACACTCTGCAGAATCCGGCTGTGGAAGTGGCCGAGAAGCAGGATCCAAGTTCCATGAATTTATAGGCTTCATGGAAGAATGGAATGAATTTGGGTTTGTAAAGTCGTACATCTAATCGAATCGTCGACCAGAAGCTTTTTTTAGTTAATAATTTTCACCACTTAGTGAATCAACTTGGCGATGAGGTCAGCGGAGGGCTTTAAGACGTTAACAAATTAGTAAAAGTTGTAACAAAAATAAAAATAAAAATAAATTGTAATGTCACACATTTACACATGTCTGTAACAATAAATATTTTTATTATGTAATCTTTTTTTACACAGCATTGTTGTAATATCCCCTGGAAAAACCTCCAAGTAAAAACCTCTCCTCCTCCCCCTTTTATTTTATTTTATTTTATTTTTTACCACGTGACTGCAGCCCCTTTTCTTTCCCAATTTCACAAACCTCCTTTTTCTTCCTTCTTGAAACCTGGCAGAAACAAGGAAAACAAATATTTCCCATAGCTTTCCAAGGTCTCCAAGAGAATAGCCACCTCACTATCCTTCCCCGATGTACCAGCAGGCAAGCAATAACTCGGGCTTTTTTTACCAGCAGCAGCAGCAGCAGCAGCAGCAGCAGCAGCAACAGCAGCAACAACAGCAACAACAGCAACAGCAACAGCAACAGCAGCAACAGCAGCAGCAGCCAGCTGGTTACCCGAAGCAGCCTTTCCCAGTTCATTTTCAACAACAACAACTTCAATCAATGCCGGTTGGCTCTCAAGTCACTGGTCAAATGAGTAGAACTACTGCAGCCCCTCCTCCATTTTTGCAGGTACCATCTCCTAGCCAGACTGCCTTTTTGACCAACCAGCGCATTGCTCAAGGTTACACTCAACCCATGTACTACACACCTCAACAGCTCCATGAGCAACAAATGCTAATCCAACAACAGCAACAACAACAACAACAACAACAACAACAACAACAACAACAGCAGCAGCAGCAGCAGCAGCAACAACAACAACAGCACTATCAATATCAATATCAGCAACAACAACACCAGCAACAACAACAGCTTATAAAACAGCAGCAACAAGCTCAGGCTCAAGCTCAAGCTCAAGCTCAAGCACAGGCTCAAGCACAGGCCCAAGCACAGGCCCAAGCACAGGCTCAAGCACAGGCTCAAGCTCAGGCTCAAGCACAGGCTCAAGCACAAGCTCAAGCACAAGCTCAGGCTCAAGCTCAGGCTCAGGCTCAAGCTCAGGCTCAGGCTCAGGCCCAGGCTCAAGCCCAAGCTCTTGCTGTTCAACAGCAGCAGCAACAACAGCAAATTGACAGTGATTATGTTGTCATGGAAAGACACCCTGAACAATTTTCACGCGCCACACAGGAAAAGGCAAATGCTGTTAAAGCGAAAATTGAACATTTTTTCCAGATGAACGTGGCTCATGCTGTTGAGCGAAACCAGCGTCGTGTCATGACAGAGCAAAGTTTGGCTAAGGAGCGCAGCTCTGATGAACGCAAAAATAGAACCCTTGCATCTCTCGGAAAGAAAGAGTCTAACTTTTTACGCCTGCGTCGTACCAAGCTCTCCCTTGAGGACTTTATCACTGTCAAGGTCATTGGTAAGGGTGCTTTTGGTGAAGTCCGACTTGTACAGAAGCGTGACACGGGCAAAATTTACGCCATGAAGACACTTCTCAAATCAGAAATGTACCAAAAAGACCAGCTTGCTCACGTCAAGGCTGAACGTGATGTTTTGGCAGGTGCTGATTCTCCCTGGGTTGTCGCACTTTATTATTCGTTTCAAGATGCTCAGTATCTCTACCTCATTATGGAGTTTTTGCCTGGTGGTGATCTCATGACTATGCTCATTAAATATGACGTTTTTTCTGAAGACATTACTCGTTTTTACATTGCCGAATGTGTTCTGGCTATTGAAGCTATCCATAAACTTGGTTTTATCCATCGTGATATCAAACCGGACAATATTCTTATTGATAAGACTGGCCATATCAAACTTTCTGATTTCGGTCTTTCCACAGGTCTTCAAAAGCAGCATGACAGTAACTACTACAGAAAGCTTCTCGACAAGAATGGAACCTCAAATGGGTCTTCTCGCAACAGTATGATGGTTGATCCCATCCACCTGACAATTACTAACCGCCAACAAATTGCTACTTGGCGCAAGTCCCGTCGTCTTATGGCGTATTCTACCGTTGGTACACCTGATTACATTGCCCCTGAAATTTTCATTCATCAAGGTTATTCTCAGGAGTGTGATTGGTGGTCTCTCGGTGCAATTATGTTTGAGTGTCTTGTTGGCTGGCCACCATTTTGCTCTGAAACTCCTCAGGAAACTTATCAAAAGATTCTCAATTGGCAAGAGTCACTTGTCTTCCCAGACGACATTCATTTGTCTTATGAGTCTGAAGACCTGATTAAACAGTTTTTAACTTCTGCGGATCGCCGCATTGGTCGTACTCGTGGTGCTGCTGAAATTAAAGAACACCCCTTTTTCCGTGGCGTTGATTGGGACTCTATTCGTCAATTTAATGCACCCTTTGTTCCTAAGCTTTCTTCAATCACTGATACGTCTTACTTTGCCAACGAAGAACTTGACCAAATTCCTGACGGCCCGCCACCTCGTGATGATGGCGGCGCAGGTAATGCCCAAGGAGGTGATCAGACTGATCGTGTTGATCTTCCATTTATCGGCTACACGTATTCGCGCTTCGACTACCTCACACGCAAAAATGCTCTGTGATGAAACTATCTTATTTTTTTTATATCTGTAAAAATTTTAGTCTTTCCTTTGTTTATATCTATTGTATTGCCTTTTTTTTTTCCTTTTTTTTTTTTCCTTTTAACTTTACACAATGATTTTATCAAACACAGGGAGTTTTGATGTGATTGTACCTGCCACAAGCCGATGTTCCACCGCTGCCACGACTTCATTGGCAATCCGCTCTTGTACTTGTTTCACGTTCAACCCACTTACATCAATTTCTATCCATGGCGATACAGTTTTATCATAATTAGATTCATGACTTGGTTTAATCACTGAAGAATAAGTTTCACGAACGCGTGCCTGAATTTCTCGCTTCTCGTACCGTTCCTCGCCATACCCTCCGCGCCGTGAAGCCTCTTCTGGATCCAAAGTCAAAAAAATCACCATATCAGGGACAGGAAGTCCAGAATCTGGTGCCCATAGCCATGGCTCGATATCTTTTGATTCATTCTCTTGCGAGTATACTCTAGACGCTGCGTAACTGTATGCAATCCCTGAGTACACGTACCGATCTAGAACCAAATGCTCCCCTGCTGCTATTCGCGAACGCAATGAAGGTTCGGCTTCCCATCGGTTTGCTGAAAAAAGATTATGGGCTGCACGCAATCCAGCAATGCTGTTTCCAGATGCTGTAGGCGAAGCTAAATAGGTATTAATAACACTGCCAATGGCCGTAGTGCGGTCTGGGAAGCGGGCCACAGAGGCTTTAAAATTCTCAGTAGTGTGAGCGGAAAGAAGAGAGGGAAGTGATTCTGCTAGAATCTGTGCCTGAGTAGATTTCCCTGATCTGTCAATGCCTTCGACCAAGATCAAGAGTCCTCGTGAAAGTGTTTCAGTATTTGAAGTCATCATTTTAAACAGGGTTTATTAGGTTGGTGAGTTTGGTTATCGTAGTTCAGTAATCAAAGAATGTTGTTTACTGCAGCATGGTAAACAATTACTAAATAAATTACTAATTATGTGCAAAAACAAACAAACAAATATCCAATCTCGAGTAATTGAAAAAAAGTTACAGTATATATAGAAATTAATCTAAATGAAATAACAAAAGTATTTTAGCAATTAATAAAAATTGACTTTGAAAAAAATGATAACTCTCTCTATTATTGTTGATCTTGTTTACATGTTTCTCTATCACAATAAACTTTGTATTAATATTTATACTCATATATATACCTCTTAATGATCGAATATTATATTTTTTTGTTTTGTTTTAAACTACTCTTCTCTTCCAAATAATCTTCTTTTTTTAATTACTAATAACTATTTAGTTATTTTATTTTGACAATTTCTTCTTCAACTTGAGGTTTCCTTTTTTATTAATTTTAAAACTACATAAAAATACAAAATCAAACTGTATAACGACCGCGGGTCTCTGTATTTTTGGCCTGTTCTATACCGGATACCAACAGATCCACTAATGCTTTATGAGCATTGGACACCGATACATCTGACTGACCTTCAATTAAAATATACAGCTTGGGTTCCTCTCCTTCGGCTGGAGACTTACCCGCAGGATAAAATATTCCCTTTGTGGTAATTGAAGTCGACGTTTCTTCAATAATTTTGCAAATGTTTGCATTGTTTGTGACAGCCCAGCGTGCTTTCTGCGGGAAATCATTAATTTCAAGAGTTGCGTGAAATTCACTAGTCTCAGGACCACGGTTATCTGGAGCAGCACCAACTTTGAGCACCTGTTGTTTTCGCATTTTTTCTTCAGTGCTCGCATGATGACCCTTGTTGACAATAACAGCTCCAATATTAAACCCGTGAGCCTGAGTAGTTGCTGCCGTCGTAACAGCAGCAACAGTTTCTGCCCTGCTTGTTTCGTTTTCCTCATCTCCTTCATCCTCACCAAACGCTTTGCGCTCGCGCTTCCGTGCAGTATCTCGAGCTTCATCAAGCTTCTCCAACCCCTTCCCTCGGAAACCAGAGCCAAATTTGGCTTCCCCAGCCTTAACCTTGGCCATAAAAACGTCAGCCATAGCTTGTAACTCTGTAGGGACTTCTGCGTTAGAAAGTTTGAGAGCCTTGACAATGTTGGCAGCTGCACGATCTTCTTCTGGGGTGACAAAAGTGACAGCTGTGCCAGTATTTCCTGCACGTCCCGTTCGACCAACACGATGAACATAATCCTCCATATGGTTTGGGGCATCATAATTAACAACTAGCCTTAGTTGCTTTACATCAAGACCTCGTGCTGCTACAGAAGTAGCAATAAGAAGATTGACAACTCCCTTGCGAAAATCACTTAATGCCGAGTCGCGATCAATCTGCTCTTTGCCGCCATGAATGGACAAACTTGGATATCCACGAATTAATAAATCTTTAAGTAACGCATCAGCGGCTTCTTGTCTGTCAACAAAAATCAAAGCACGAGCATCTTGAGAACTATCGCTGTAAAAATCACCCAATATTTCCAGTAATCTCACAAATTTCGTGCTCTCTGGTCGAACTTCGACAATCTGTTTGATCTCTGGGGCAACAACACTTCTTGCCCCTACAATAATTTCAATTGCCTTGGACAAAGTTTTCCTTGCTAGTATTTCCATTTGGCGAGGAAAAGTTGCACTAAAAAGAACAGTTTGGCGATCTGGTCGAATGTTGTTTATGATTTTCATAATTTGTGGTTCAAATCCCATATCAAACATACGATCAGCTTCGTCCAAAACAAGATATGTTACTCTTTGAAGATTAGTAACACGGCCTGAATTTGCAGCGAGTAAATCAATCATACGACCTGGAGTGCAAACAATGATCTCTGCGCCTCGTTTTAAGTCAGCAATTTGATCTTTAATTGGAGATCCACCATAAGCGCAAACAGCACGAAGATTCAGTGCACGAAGAAAAGGTTTGCACTCGCGAAAAATCTGAACTGCAAGCTCTCGTGTGGGAGTCATTACCAGAGCCATTGGACCTTCATGCTTTGCAAGGGGACGTTGATCTTTAATATGACGAAAAAGAGGCAATAAAAATGCCATTGTTTTACCACTTCCGGTTTTAGCAACGCCAATAACATCGCGACCAGACATAATAGCGGGCAATGATTGAGCTTGAATTGATGTAGGTTTTTCAAAACCAAGGTTGTTTATCACTTCCATCACTGGAACTGGGAGTCCGAATTGAGACCACTTAAAAACTGGAGCAGGGCATTTAGATCCACGAACTTTGATTCCGTCTAGTTCCAAGCGCATCATGTCAACTTCTTCTGATGAAAGAGAAGAAATTTCTGGTAATTCAAAATAGAATTGTTTCCGGAATGGTTCATAATTAATTTTAGAATGATCAACTGTGGGTATATCTTTTCTCTTTTTCTTTTCTAGTTGAGCCAAAATGTCTTCTGGATTTACCATTTCTTCGTCAGCATCACCTGTAGCCGGGTCTCCATCATCGTTGAGTTCATCATCCATTACAGATGTTGGAAGTGAAGAGACGGATGTTTTATCTTCTTGTATTGTGCTCATAAAAGCGTCTAATGGATCAACGTCATCATCTTCGTCCTTTATAGATTTGGGTGGGGCTTCTTTTGGCTTGTCGAAATCTATTTTTGGTTTCATGACAGGTTTTGATATTTTGTTTACTAGAAAGTTAGAATATGTATATGATTGAGTGTTAGAAATAATAAACTTACGTGATAACACATTAATTTTTCGTTTTTCAAAAACATTAGAAGAGTCAGAATCGTTAAACATTTTTGATATGCCTTGTTTCTTTATACTTTCCTTAGACGAAGAAGAAGAAGAAGAAGTTTGGGGACCAGGTGAATTAAAAGAAGAGTTAGGAACAGAAGAGACGGCAGAGGGAGTTTCCAATGTGTTTTCAGGTGTACTTTCCTTTAACTTTTGTTCTTTTGCCTTTTGGGCCTTCCATTGAGCCAAACGCTCCATTCTTTGACGTTTTTTTTCTTCGGCAACAGCTAGTTTTTGAGTAGAAGAGTCTGGAGTAGATCCACCGCTAGCAACTGATGGCGAAGTTGCGGGTGGCGTGGAAGAAACTGGTATAGAATTAGATGAAGGAGTCGGGGGTATTGAAGGAAGAGAAGAAGGAGGAGCTGGTGAGTTAGTAACCGGAAGAAGGACCGAGTTAGGAGGGCTTTTTGAGCGTGATATCCGAGATGAGTTAGCATAATCTCGGGGATGTTCTTTATTCCGTTCCCGTTCTCGCTCCCGATCTCGTCCTCGATCTCGGTCACTGTCACGGTCACGATCACGATCACGGCCTCTATCACGGTCTCTGTAGTAATCCCGGTCATAATCCCGGTCTCTATAGTAATCTCTGTCGTTTGAGTACCTATCATAGCGTGAGGGTCTTTCTCGATCACGGTCGTAGTCTCTATCACGTTCTCTTTCACGGTCCCTATAATTTCGAGAAGAATAAGCATCCCTAGACAAACGGCCATAATCCCTAGAAGATCTTCCGGGTGATCTTGATCTGGCCATTTTGTTAATAATATGTCTGTTGTTTAATTGTCGCTGGTTGTTGTTGTTAATGAGGTTCGTGCTGGTAGGTGGTAGTGGATTAAAAGATTGATTGATGTTGGCTGTAAAAGTTTTAGAGGCCGCTACAAATACCTAAAAAGTCATGTGATACAAATGTTATTAATGAGTTATGTAATAAATCAGCCGCATTATCACATGACTAACATTAAAAGCGGAAATGTGCGGCTTTTTGACGTTTCAGGGACCTTTTTTTATCTGCGCGTCGCGCATGCCTTACGGCCAATAACAATGTTTGTTTACTTTACCAGACAGAAACAAATTCCCCTTTAAGTCCCACTGTAAACAAACAATTTTTTTTTTTTTAGAAAAAAAAAATTCCATTTGGTTCCTTTTCCTCCTAATTTTTTTTATTTCTTTCAAATCAATATACAGCAAACTACAAATGGACCCGAACCATTCTCCATATCGGGCACCTTTGGCCACTTCTCGAAACTCGGCCTACGTTCCAAAATCTCCTACACGCAAACCAATTCACGCGCGCTCATCGTCGCTTGAAAAAGAGAACCTTTATGACGCGTCATCGACATCACCAACAACAAAACCAGTAGCACGCCAGCTTCCTCAGGTTCCACCGCCACCGCCACCAAACGACAACAACATTTTGCATGCACCTTCATATACATCATATCAGTATGACTATGATGATAGTGCAAACTTTTCCTTTTCCTCACAAGTCACTCCAACTTCTTCGCCGCGTAAGGGAGGTGCAGGAATGTTTGGTTCATCATTCAGTAACACCTCGCCTAGTCGCCTGTCACCTAGCCGTCTTTCACCATCACGCAGCGTTGCCCAACTTGTTGAGGGTGAAGATTTGACGCTTTTGCGTAAGTCAGCAAATCCACATTTGCGTAATTTAGCTTATAGTGCATCCAAAGATTCGCTATTACATCTTCCTGGCGTTACCGAAGATCAGGAAGATGTGACTGGTATGATGGGTCGGCTGAGGCTGCAAAAAACAGAAGATCCAGTGTCTCATGTTGCGAGCCGCAATTGGATGGATAATCAACGTAAATATATTCAAGCCTATGAATATCTCTGTCATATTGGTGAAGCCAAGGAGTGGATTGAAGCATGTATTGACGACGAAATTCCATCAATCATCAAGTTAGAGGAATCTCTTCGTGATGGTGTCATTTTAGCAAGGCTCACGCGCCAGTTCGCACCACACCTTGTACGCCGAATTTTTGAAAACCCAAAGCTACAATACCGCCACACAGATAATATTAATTGTTTTTTCAATTTTCTAGACGAAATTGGAATGCCGGATGTAAGTTGTTTTCTCTATTTTTTTTTTTTTTTTTGGCTTTTGATTAGTCTAACAATTTTAGCTTTTCACATTTGAACTTACCGATCTTTATGATAAAAAAAACATTCCCAAAGTCATTTACTGTGTTCATGCATTAGGATACCTGTTATCAAATGAAGGCCTTGCACCACCAATAGGGAACCTGGTTGGTAAGCTCGAGTTTACCGAAGAAGAAATCAAAGACACTAGTAAAGGACTGGTTGCTTCTGGTCTTAAACTCCCTAACTTCAGCTCCGTTGGTGCTCATTTTGAAGCTGAACCTGAACCTGAACCTGAAATGAGTGAGGAAGAGCAAATTCTTTACGAACTTACACAATGCGAATCCGATATTGCTGAACTCCAAGCAATCAGTCGCGGTGCTCTACTACGCTTAAGCATTTATACTGATAAATATATTTTATCACACTCTGTTGCTCAACTCACTAAACTTCAGGCTATTGCAAGAGGTATTGCTTTACGCAAAAAGTTTCAAGCACGCGCTCGTACTGTAGACAACGCTGGGAAATCACTAGTCCCATTGCAAGCCATTGTTAGAGGAAATCAATTAAGATCCGACCTTGTTCAATTCCGCAAAGCCCTTGCCAGACAAGAACCTTCTATCATTAAACTTCAATCGGCCATACGAGCAGCTCCTGCCCGCAATTTCAGAACTACTGCAACAATAGACCTCAAAAAAAATACAGGAGCACCCATGATCAAACTCCAGTCCGCAATTCGTGGTAAACTGTTGCGTCGTAATGTCAGCCAGTTTCGCCGCGAAATGTTTTCAACTCCTGCTCTTGAGCCTATTGTTGGACTACAAGCTCTTGCTCGCGGTAAACTGGCACGCCATAATCGTGCCGAGCGTCAAATGGAGCTTAGATGGTGTGCCCAGGATATGTCATCTTTTCAGGCTAAGATTCGAGGTAAATTGGCGCGGTTGCAATTATCTCAGGAACTAAATAAAATTCACAACTCTGAACCGTGGGTATATGCTTTTCAAGCGTGTGTACGGGGTGCAATATTACGGCGTCGCTTTCATGCTCATTTTAACGAGGCATCTTCTCATAGAATTATTCAACTTGCAACTGTTTTGCAAACAGCTGGGCGTGCTCATCTGGTACGAAAAGCTATTGAAAACCGCAAGCTATCCTTGGTCCGGTTTCGCGGTGAGGTCATTGCACATCAATCAAACATTCGTGGTGCTTTGCTTCGACGCAGTGTTGCCAGTTTTTCACGCGACCTAGAGGCTGAACAATCCTCAGTCGCGTTTTTCCAAAGCGCTGCCCGTGCAATGCTTTTGCGCAAGAGTCTAAACAAATTTATGAATAAGCTTGATACTTTTGCGCCCGCCTTTACCATGCTGCAAGCTGCAATTCGTGCACGCGGTGTTCATTTTCAACATTGTGATTTATCTTTGCGTATCCATGACACGGCACCTGATTCAGTGGAGCTACAAACAATTATTCGTGGTAACGCGTCCAGAGCTAAATTTAATGCTATCAAAAGCACTCTTCAGAAAGAAACTCCTCAGATCATTGCCATCCAATCCATGTTTCGTGGTGGACTGCTGCGCCAGGATTTTGCCGATTTTATTCGCACATTAGATATACACTCACCCGCAATCGTACGGTTGCAATCAAAGTTCCGCGGTATCATGACAAGATTTAATCACGCCTTACTGCTCGACGAATTTGACTGCGCCGAAGATTCCATTGTCGCTATGCAATCATTATTGCGTGGAGTCAATGTTCGCAAAGCTCATGCAGAGCGTATCAAACATTTTCAGAAGAATCTTGACAAAATCATTAAGATTCAAAGTTTTGTGCGCGCCAAAAAACAAGGTGACTCTTACAAGTCTTTGCTTTCATCTGCCAACCCACCTTTGGCCACGGTTAAGAACTTTGTGCACCTGCTTAATGACTCTGATCTTGATTTTGAGCAAGAGGTGCAGCTAGAACAGTCGCGAAAGCAAGTCATGGACGAGATTCAACATAATGAGCAATTGGAGCAATTTATCACTCAACTTGATGTTAAAATTGCATTGTTACTGAAAAACAAAATCACAATTGATGAGGTTGTTCGTCACCGTAATCGTGGATACTCTGCTGCATTGTCTGTGACAACACCAGCAGATATGTTCGACCTAAAAGCTCTCAATAAATCATCACGGAAACGCCTGGAACTTTACCAGGGTCTGTTTTACATTTTGCAGACGCAACCGATTTACCTTGCTCGTGTGTTCCGCAAGCAGCAGAGCACCGTTGTTTCTGAAAAAGAAGCCAAGGAACTTGAAAGTATGACTGTGGCAATGTTTGGCGGTGTGTCTTCGCCTAAACCTCGTGAGGAGTATTTCTTGCTCAAATTGATTGCTCGCAGTATTAATGACGAGGTCACAGAAGCCCAAACAATTAAATCAGTGCAGCGCGGAAACTTTATGTGGTGGAAGTTGTTGGCTGCTTTGAACCGCGGCCCTCGTGAGCGTAAAACGCTGCGCCAATTGCTTTACGCATCTGTCACAGGTGTTGTTTCGCGTGCTGATGATGAACTAGACTTGGAAAGCGATCCTCTTGTTATTTATCGTAAGTCTATTTCTGAAGAAGAAATTCGCACAGGCCAGCTATCACAACGCAATCCCAATATTTCAGTTAATGAGGCCATCCATGATCCGGATACAAGAGCAGCGTATATTTCCAACATGCAAAAGCTGAGAGAATTGACGGGCGACTTTTTAAACACAGTGGCAGAAAATATTGACATGCTACCTTACCATATTCGTTATGCTGCTCGCCAGCTTTACGATGCATGCAAGTCTGCCTTCCCAGAAGAAGCAAAGGTCGAAGATCGCCTGTTGAGTCTAGTTGGTCATGTCGTGTTCAACCTTTATCTTAACCCTGCAATTGTGGCTGCTGATAATTACGGTATTATTAACGCAGCACTGACGCCCAATCAAACGCGCAATCTGACAGAAATCACAAAAATGCTGGTGCAGGTGTCATTGCTGAAACCATTTTCGAAAGAAGATGTGTACCTTCAGCCCCTCAATGATTTTGTCAAAGAATCGGCAGTTAAAATGCGTATTGTATTTAAGAAAGTTATTGCAGTTGAAGAACTTGCGCAGCATTTCCAGTACTCTGTGTACGACGACTTGACATCTCACGGCCGCCCAACGCTTTACCTCAAGACCTCAGATATTTTTGCGATTCACTCAATGGTATGTCGTGAACTTGACGATATGGCACCCGAAACAGATGACCCACTCCGTGCAGTGATTGCTGAGCTTGGTGCGCTGCCCAATGATGCAAGCGAAATCCTCAACATTGCCAAATTTACCGAAATCAAGTTGGAACTGAATCCCTCATATTGCCGGATTGCAGATCCCGATGCTGATGTCAATGCTTTGTTGGTAGCCACCAAGCGATGTCTCATCTATGTTTTACGAGTACAGTCTGGAAAGAACCTGGTGGATATTCTTGTGTCACCGGTCGAGGATGAGCATGAGGAGAAGTATAAAGCGCTGTTGAAGGAAGAAAATGAGGCTCGTGAGCGCAAGCGCCAAAAGAAGGAAAAGAATCCATATCTTCCACAGCAGGAGGAAGAAGAAGAGGAGCCACTACCTGATGTATATTCGAACGAGGCTGGGCTTGGTGATCTTGCAGCACTATCCTACCGCGAACTTAAACGGTTAACCCTTGAACGTGTGCTGGAACTTGAGTCATTTGGAAAGGTTGAGCGTTCTGATAACTATCAAGCCTTGCTTAACTCGATTGCGGTTGATATCAAATCGAAACGTGACCGAAGAGCAGTTCGAGCACGCGAAATGGAAGATGCCAGGCACACACTCGAGGCGCTTTCAGACAAGGAAAAGTACTTGCAGAAGAAGCTTGAAGCGTACAATGACTATATTGAGCAGGCGATGCTGACATTGCAAACTAAGAAGGGTTCAAAACGAAGGGCAGTTCTTCCATTTTCAAAACAGTACTTCCACATGCGCGACCTGCAAAAGTCTGGACGTGTACCAAAGTTTGGTTCTTACAAGTACTCTGCTGCAACGATGCTTGATCGTGGAATTCTTGTTGAGCTGCGTGGATACTCAGAGAAGCAGTATGATAAGCTGACACTGACATGGTCGTCTGATGATGTGGGTGTATTCAAGGTTGAAGCTGCATTTGGAGCTGTGGCATTGCCTGGAGCTGTTGCAGAGCTAACGTTGGATGAACTTCTGTCGCAACAGTACAATAACAGACAGTATCTGACGCTTTTTGACAATATGATGACGCTCAACACGAACCTTACATTGCATTTTATCTTTAAAAAGTTTTATGGTGAAGGTCAGTCTATTTTAAATTTTTAATTTTTGTATAATTTTTTGTTTATTAATTTGTTTATTTAATGTAAAAAAAGAAAAAAAAAATCTGAAAAACTAGTATAGATTGTAAATAAATCATATGCTTTTGATCTTGTCTCAGACTCTTTTAATTTGTTTTTAATTTTATTAATTCTTTTTATTTAATGCTATTTTTTTTTCAATGCTATAAAATATGATTTTTGATATTTTTTTCTTTACTCTTCATCAGATTCAGGGTCACCGTACTCCCAAACACCAACACGGTCTTGCTGTGCAGCACGCTGCAATTCACGGAGATGCTTGAGAGTAGGCTTCCACGCGTCCCAAGTTTCCCAACCAGTTAACTTGGACTTGACAAAAGCATAACCCTCGTCAATGAGCGCGCTGTTGACGGAATCATTGGGGCCCGTAGACTTGGCTGTGAAAAGAGTAGCACTGGCAGGGGTCACAGTACTAGGCGAATCAACATTGGCAACGACAGTTTGGCCCTCGACCATGTCGCGCAGCGCATCAACATATTCGGCTAAGTAGTTAGTAGGAGCAGAAGGTGGCAGCTTGATAAAAGAGAGGACGACAGTCTTTGCAAGTTCTGGGTGCAGAGCAGTGGAGAACTGTGCAGGCAAAGACTTCAGCTGAGACTGGTTGTACTTTGCTGTTTTGCCGGTATCAACATCATTGATAGTAAAGATACCCGAAGTTTTGTCAAAGACAATAACGCGGCCACGAGCATAAACTCCGCGCTTGGGGACAACCGTGACAGTCTCGCCTCGGCGGGGTCCGCGGGTGAGGTTTGAAGCCGCGGCATTACCCGCGCCATTGTGGTAAGACGCAAGGTCGGCCATGAGTTTAGTGTATGCAGCCTGTTTGTTAGAAAGACGATATGAAACCTCGCCGCTGGGGGCAACATTAGTCACCACAATATCGAAATAATTTTTGGCTGCAGTGGCCTTGTTGCCCTGGCCCGCGGCAGCCTTTGCAGCAGCCACGGCAGCAGCTTCTTCCTTGGCCTTTTCTTCTTCACCCTTGTAGTTCTTCCACATGCGGGTATGAGCAGCCTGGGCAGAAGCCTGAGCCTGATCAAGTTCAGTCTTAAAGCCGGAGGATTGAGCGGAAAAGTCGTGGACCTCGGCAAAGCCTTTCTCGACAAGATCAACAGAAACAGGCTTGTCAGATCCTTGAAGGAAAAGATTACCAATAAAGGCACCAGTTTTGTCAACATTGGAAACGGTGAACTGGACATCTCTTTGGTAAAACAAATCGGAAATATACTCAAGGGCCTCATCACCAAAAGCCTCATTAGGTTTGGGAACACGAACACCGGCGTGAACAAGAGTCAGGACGAGATTGTTGTGAGGAACAGCAATTCGAATACGACCAGCAGAAGAAATGTGTTCAACAACACCAGAGATCTTGGACTGACGCGACAACTGAGTGAGGTAGGTCTTTGCACGGGTTTGAGACTCGGAGGCATCAACAGTGCGAGTAGGGGCAGGAGGTTTAATAGAGTGAATACCCGTGTGGGCCTCTGTGGCCTTGTTTTCTGCAGCAAGCAGGTTGTCCCAATTGGGAGAGCGGTCATTGTCATCTTTGCGGTGGCGCGTGACAGTAGCGTAGCCACTCTCAATGATTGAAGTAGCAACGTCAGAACCATCGGGGGCAGTTAAAGTGACCAAAGCACGCTCATCAAATTGAGCAGATTCTGGGCGAATTGAGTCAACCTGGACCTTGACGTTCTTGCCAATATAGTTGCGACGAGCATATTCGCGGGCAATGGGGACGTAGAGGGAGTTATTGTTTGGATCAGATTTGCGGGGGGCACGGACCGAAGTAAGCTGGACAGTTTGTTCCTTACCGTTGGCAAGCTTAAGAACAAAAGTATCGGAAGAAACAACCTTGGCAACAGTGGCTTCAAAAGACTTTGACGATGAAGAAGAAGCAGATTTAAGAGTCGAGTGCTGGGCGAGATCTTTCCACATATTGAGGTGAGCATCCTTTGCGGTCTTTTCGGCGGCACGGAGTGGAGCCATTTTGGCAGGGCCAAGGAAGGAGCTCTGCCAGTCTGCGATTGAAGCAAGGCCGGTAGAAAGCAAAAAAGTTGCAATATTGCCGACAGGGTGGATGACTTCGGCAATTGGAAGTCCGTTAGAAGGGTTAGCAGCGAGGAAGGAAACCTTGACTGCACGCTGGAGAAGACGTGTTTCTGTGAAAGCCTTTGCAGCATCACCAAAAGGTTCACCCTGAGAACCTTCTGGGCCGCCCGAAGAACGTGGGCAACGAATTCCTGCAACGAGGGCATTTGTGAGGATATGGCTGTGTTTGTTAAGCATGACTCTGATTTGGACTCGGTCACCAGCAATGACACGTTCAATGATGGCAACGTGCTGGGCGCCATCACCATAGAGTTCTTCGGGGACAATTTGCAATATTTCGACAGTGTCATTTACGCTTTCTGGGTTCCAAAGACCAAGCTCAGCGTCCTTTGCGGCAGTCTCTGCCAGAAGATACTTGTCATAAATCTCTGAAAAGGGGATGCGAGATTGTGCGTCATCGCGAAGCTTAACATTGCCATCAGTAAGAGCCTTTTCAATCAATGAAGGGAAAACTGGAGCAGAGATGTCACCATAGTTGCGGGTATTGTTATTTGCTTGGTAATGGATGCGGTAGCGGACAGGTTTTCCGACAAGCAGAGTGCGGAGGTACTCTCTAGCCTGGAAGCCATAGGGCTCAGTTTGCAGGCGGGGGGCCGAGACATATGCAAGAGAAATCTGAGTGTCATTTTCAAAGATGACTGTGTCTCCTGAAAGAACAGACTTAACCTTTGATGAGTAAACTTGTGAGGACATTGAATGGGGGAAGGGGTGAAAGAATGGGAGGTGAGAATTGGGGGAATGGTGATGATGAATGTAAATAGAATGGTTGTGGTGATACTTTTTTTTTCCTGGTCTGGAGATATATATACAATATACAATTGTGTGGCGGTTTGTTTGGCGAGAAGGAATGGCTTTAGTGGCCATCTGGCATAAATCATGTCACGTGCAATATGTGAAATATTTACTTCCTGTTTCGTCATGCGGCTTGAAATTGTCACAACTTGTTACAAATTGTTACCACTTGTCACAACTTGTTACAAATTGTTACCACTTGTTACAACTTGTTTACAAGTTAGATGAGCAGGACCTGTTGCACCCATGTAACATGTGTGTAACATGTAGGCTCTACTGGTGTTGCAACTGCGCAAGCGGATAAGGCCGACAATGTGATGGAACACCATAATATTTTTTTAGGGTATGCAGCCGTGCGCTGCCAGCGGCTCAACCCGACGGCTGTAGTGGCTGTTCATTGGCTGGTTAAGGCTTATCGGTGTAGACCTAAAGGGACTGAATTATTTCAGAATATAATCAGAATAATAATATTTGGTAAAATATTGCTTTGTGAAAAATAATAAAAAAAAAAAAGAATAATTCCAAGGATAAGGCTTTAAATGAAAATAAAAAAAAAATTTCAAAGAAACAGAGATCTTTTATTGAAAAAAAAAAAAAAATTGCCCAGGATGTAAAAGTATTGCGTTCATATTGATGTTGATGTTGTAGCTTGTGTATCTGATTATTCTTCTATTTACTTTGCTCGGCATCATTAAAGGCCATCTTTCCCTGAACTCCTGAAGCTTTCAATTCTTCTCCCCCCATATGCCAGACCACGATGGGTCCCTCGTGTTTGTTTCTTGTTTAGCAATGGAAGAAAATGTTTGATTCTAAATAGGATTGTTGATAAAGGTGTGTGTTGCTTTAGTGTGAAAAAAAAAATTCCTTTAGTTACCAACTTAATACTCTAAACACCCGTGTAAATTTATTCTGGCTGGCTGGTCAACTGTCGGGTGTCTCCGCTATATTCATACATATATATATATATTAATACTCAGAATATAGTTACTTACTCTTTTACAGAAATAAAAAAGCAAAACTGAGAAATTCCGTTTTTGAAAAAGTTTTTATAATTTTTTTTTATTCTCTTCCGTTTTGTTTTGTAGCATTTCTTTTTCCATGCAGCAGTTGGCTTGCCCTCTCTCTCTTTGTTGTTAGTGTTCAATGTGGAACATTCCCAGTAGTATAAAAACCGCCCGGTTCCTCTTTTTTTTTTATCTTTTTCTTTATCTTTCTACTTTTATTAAATCCCTTTTTTTATAAATATAATTTTTTTATCTTCTGTTTTAGTCTAGTCCTTTTCACTAGTACTTTATCCTACTTTCTATTTCTTCTACTATCATCACACACACACATATAATATACACATATACATACTATTATGATTGACCGCAACTCTGTCCCAAAGGCTAAGCGTATTGCCCAAGTCGCCTGCTCCATCCTCTGGTGTCTTTTCGTAGCCGGCACCTCGTTTGGCTTTGCGGCTCTTAAGCCTGTGCTGGTGTCCGAAGGCGTGTATCGTGAACGCTGCACCCCAGACGAAGTTGAACACAATGTTCACATTTGCCGCAATCAGGAACTGGCCCTGAACATGATGTTCACCATTGCTGCCGTCGTTACAAACATCTCGGCCCTCGTGGTTGGCTCCGCTCTCGACATTTACGGACCCCGCTTCTGCGGTGTTCTCGGATCCTTCCTCGTTGCTGCAGCGTGTCTGGTGCTTCGTGGAGCTGCCTCCAACACCCTCTTTGACGGTTATGTTATTGGCTACGCTATGTTGGCTCTTGCCGGTCCCTTCACCTTCATCTCATCCTTCCATCTGTCAAATGCTTTCCCCCAGTCCTCTGGTCTCATTTTGGCCCTCCTCACTGGTGCCTTTGACTCCTCATCCGCTGTCTTCCTCTTTTACCGTCTGGCTTACCAGTCCTCTGGTGGTACCTTCTCTCTTTACAAGTTTTTCACACTTTTCTTAGCTGTTCCTATCTTCATCTTTGTCATTCAGGTAACTATCATGCCCAAGGAGTCTTATGCTTCACCCTCTAGTCCTACCCCAGAGAAGATTCGTCGCATGTCTTATGCCGCTCTTCCAGACTCTGTCATCCAGACTGAATCTTACCGCTCTCGTCACGCCTCCTTTGTCGACAGCACTGGTGCTGCTGGCCCCTCTTTCCTTGGCGACTCCGCCATTGATGATGTCGAAGAGCAAGAACCCACTGAACACAGTCCCCTTGTTCGTACCAACACTAACCTGTTGGTCCATTCCGAAACCATTGAGGAAGCCACCATTGCATCCAAGATTGATAACAACGAAGTTTCCCATGATAAGCCTGGTTCTATTGGAAAGCATGCTGGTGTTTGGGGTGTTCTTCACGGCCAATCTGCTGCCTCCCAGCTCAAAACTCCTTGGTTCTGGTTCATGGCTCTCTTCACCACTATCCAAATGCTTCGTATCAACTACTTTGTTGCTTCCGTTCTTTCCCAGTACACTTACCTCCTTGGTGGCTACGAAAAGGCTGTCCAACTTAACAAGTTCTTTGACGTTGCTTTGCCTCTCGGTGGTCTTATCTCCATCCCCTTCATTGGCCTTGCTCTCGACAATCTTTCCACCTTTGGCGTTCTTTCCGTTCTCCTTGGTGTCTCCACCACCTTTGGTGTTCTCGGCATGATCCCTAACTCGTTCCTTGCCGGTGCTCTTAACATTTCTCTTCTCGTCGTTTACAGACCCTTTTACTATACCTCCGTCTCAGACTATGCTGCTAAGGTCTTTGGCTTTGAAACCTTTGGTCGTATCTACGGTGTTATTATTTGCATTGCCGGCGTCCTCAACGTCCTCCAGGCCCAGCTTGATGCAACCACCCACAACGTCTTTGCTGGTAACCCAACTCCAGTAAACATCATGCTTGTCTCCATTACCATCGTTATTGGTATTTCCTTCCTTACCTACGTCAAGGTCCAGGTCAAGAGAATTCAACGCAAGAGTCTTGAACAAGAAGCTCAAGTTGCTCCTGTCTTGAATACTCCTTAAATTCTTTTTATGTTTTTTTATGTGTGTGTGTGTTTTTCTGTATAATTAGAATTGCTTTATATTAATTGTTTTCCTATTCTTCTTCTTCTTCTTCATCTTCATCTTCTATTAAAAACCCATGAGTTGTTGGCGTCCGAGTATTGTTTCTAGAACCGCCGGATCCAGCACTCAAAAGAAGTCCACCTCGTCGTGGTCCTGCCTGGGGTGTTCGTCGTTCAATAACAATTCGTGGCCGATCTAACCGCAACTCTTGCTCTTCATCGTCATCTTCATCTTCATTCTCATCTTGAGAAGGTACTCTCTCTTCACCATTTCCAATCATACGGTTAATTTCTTCCTCTTCTTCTTCTTCTTCTTCATCATCCCCATTAGGAGGAGGCATCAGTTGTCTCTGGTTATACCCGCCGTTCCACTGATTAGATTCAATAGGCCCACCAAGTAACAAACTTTGCGGTCTGCGCGGTACAATCCCGTTGCGTACAATAACGTCCCGTCGTAACTGGGGTACAATATCCATCCTCCGTCGCTTTGCGACCACCAACTGGTTTCGTTCCTCTTCATCAGAATCAGACTCAGACTCAGACTCAGACTCAGAATCAGACTCGACAGACTCGTTATGAGGTTCATTCCGACTCCCAGCAACTACCAAAGAAAATTCATCAGCAGATACTTTAGCCGCAGGCCTTTTATCCTCAAAAACACGGTTAAGCTGTTCTTCTTCTTCCTCTTCCTCTTCATCTTCCCTGATCCCTCCTACAAATAAACTGTCTTGCGAGTCCTTTCTTCGTACCAAAGCCATTGCATTTGCATTCGCATTCGCATCAGTAGAGTTATCATTTTCCTTATCTTTTTCAGCCATCCGCTCCCGGCTCTTTTTGCGCACATCCAGCTCCAAAAACTCCTTGTTGTTGCGCAACCGGTTTTCATTGGGGTTCGCTTGTACCAGTTCAATGACAGCAGTCACGAAAACTGAAGGCTGGTCGGTACCATTGGTTTTGCTGATGTTTGGATCCCACACACTGCCAGACCCGTATACAGATGACTTGCGAAAAGATTTAAAATTAGGCCGCAACCCCCACTTACTCTCGCTCATGCTCCCACTCGTTGGTCGCATATCACATGGCGAGACAACCGTGTCACGCGTTGATGCACGTGTGGGCCCTTCAACGCCAGGTTCCACCATCTCCATCTCGTCCACAATAGCCAGATTACGCATTGCAGCAACTTCTTCAGGAGTGTACTCTATATTAGCATCTCCTGCAATCCCCTCTTCCAGTGTGTCTTTTGTTGCAAGCACTGCTTGCGCAAAATGGACCTTGGTCTTGCGTTTTTTGGCAAATACAAAGGCTGTATCTGCAGAGGTCTGAGCCAAATTATTTGCAGCCTTTGAAAGAAATTCTTGTTGTGGTTCAGGCTTGTGCGGTTGGCGTGCAAGTTTAGTAACTTCGTCTGCATCTTCAGCTTCGTCATCAAGAATTTCAAGTCGTGATATCCGACGACGCTTTGCTGAAGGGGATTCAGATAGTTCATCTGCCTCCGGTTCTTTTTCCTCTTCTGGTACTAACTCTGGCTCTGCTTCCGGCTGCAGTATCGGATCTGGATCTAAATTGAGATCTTGTTTATGTTCTACTACAGGCATGGATGCCCATAGATCTAATAGATTTTTCTCCTTTCCAGAACCACCAATAGCTTTTTTGCTTCTTGTCCGCGCAGCCTTTGCAGGCACAGATTTCGTCGGTTTGGCCAGTCCCGCCGACCCCACGTAGTCGTCCAATGCAGTAGTTTTTGTCAGCCCCGATAGATATGGATTTCGTGACCGCGGCTTGAATTTTGTTACTGTTGTTGAAAATGCCTGAGTCAATGACAACTCTTCTACCTTGACTTTTTTTAACGGGGACTCTAAAGGCTCTGGTTTGACACTGTCAGCTGAAATTTCTCCCTCTTCTTTTTCCTCATCCACTTCTATCGGAACATCTTCCTCTGGAATTTCAACGCTGCCCTCAATAACAGTAGTTGATATCGTACGTATGGCTTCGGCAATCTCGGATGTTGTAACTGGTTGTAGAACTTCCACTCGGCCACTATATGCGGGTCCCGATCGAATGGCCTTGGCTTGATTTTGCGCAGCACGTATGATTACAGAATTCACAGTATCCTGAGGATCTTCAGATATAACAGGTACAACTCGGTAGATGTTTCTATTTTCAGGTGAGTTGGCTAGAAGGTCGAGAAACGTAGTTATATCTTTAATCAAATCATCACTAGGCTCTTTGCTAACTGGTAGTTGAGTTGAATGCACCGCACACCGTCCACCGGCACCTTCAAATATTGGTTTCAGGCCTTGAACAAATTCCGGGCGGCCCCAGAGACCAAAGATAAATGTAGAAAATATTTTTTTGCGTCGTGGGTCCGGTAAAAGCTGTATGTCATTTTCCGGAACAAACTTGCTAGGATCAGGTAAAATACTCTTAATTACTAAATCTGTAGTCAATGACCATACTTGAAAAAAATCTTTACTTCCTGTATCAACAAAAGCCATTCCAGGAGCCTCAAAGCTAACTTGATTCTGGTTCAAAACTTTTTGCACTTCGGTGCAGTAATCCGGAGTCACTATGGGAAATCCTTGAGTGAGTGCATAAACAAGTTTATTAGAAATTCGTTCTTGTAGGTCTTTGGTGGCTGGTTGAACAAGCATACAAGTGAAAACTGTCATATTGGCCGACATGTGGATTCCAAGAGCTGCCATTTTCTTTCGCACATCCTCCACACTTCGCGCATATTTACCGTCAACCCTGTATGCGCAGTCCAGAGGAACCCATGTGAGCTGGATCTCGTATTCACGCGGTACGCTACTACTTCGATTTTTGCCTAGCCATAAAAATGCATATTCACATGAATTGCTTAATCGCTTGGGAAGTTTAGTTATTAAGGTTGGCTCCTTTGATGGAATGGGTTCTGTATTAGCATTGATAAATGTGCCACCTTTTGAACTTTCATCGTATACGGTTAAATTATAAGCCCCCTGGAAAAGTCAGCCAAAAAAAATTTATTAATTTCTGGTATTTACTTACTGATCCATCGGCTTTTTCAGCTGTGATTGTTGCGTGGTGTCGTGAAACGGCCTTGGAGTTAAGTGTGAGCTCCAAATCTAGAAAAAATTTATTAGAAAATGGGGAAGATGGATTTTAAAATGCCAAATCACTTACTTTTGCGGCCAATTCTATATGGCTTGCCGGGCTTTAAATAGACGGTTATACCTAAGCACGTTAGCTAGATTGTAAAAGAACAAATTATGTTCATACCGTTTGGCAGCGTAGCAAACCACATTTGTAAGTGTGTGTGTATGTATATTAGAATAATAAGTGTAGTAGGAAAGTATTTGATAGTTGGTAAAATGAAAGGTTCCAAACTTTTTTATTTTTTTTTTTTTCAATTTTTCAGTGTACATAAAGGTATGTTTTTTTTTTTTTTTGGCTTATCGCCTTGGACTTTGTGACCGATCACGAGGAGTCCGCCTCTCTGGACTCATACTGACATCTCTATCTCTGCTGCTTTGAGTCTCATTTTCTTCTTTCCCTGTGGGTTGAACAATTGCAAAATCCACGTTAATTCGGCGTCCTAGCAGCTCTGCACCATCACCGTCAAGGACTGCGGCGCGTGCCTCCTCTGGTGTTGCAAATTCTATTAACGCGTAACCTTTGACATAACCTGTACGTCGGTCCAGGTTCAAGTGCAAGTTTTGAACAGTGCCAAAGTCAGAGAAAAAGTCCAGCACGTCTTCCTCCGTAGCTTCCTCGTGGAGATTGGTAGCAATCAGGATCCAGCCCTCGATACTGCGCATAGCCTCAGCGGCCTTGCTAACATCCTCCACGGTGTTATCTACAGAAGTCAAGTCTTCCATAGGGGCATCTGCGCAGATTAGCTGATTAGTCTTTTATTCTAAAGAGGTCGATTGCCATCTTCGGCACGTCCAATCACGTACCATAAGAGTCTCTGGCGTTTGGTGCCATTTTTTAAATTTGTTTAAGCTGTGGAGGTTTGCCATTAAGTGGAAAAAATTCGAATTTTCAATCTAAAAAAAAAATAAAATAAAATAAAACCTAAACCTGACTATATATCATACACAAACACACACACACACACACACACACACAGACCTTTTATAGATCACATAACCGGTGCCCGGAACGTACAAAATATTCAATAGATTCGTGTCCCGGTGCAACCTGTTTAAACGCTTCAATGGCCTCTACATTATCAGCTAAACAATTCTTTTGTTTTTCCGTTAAATCAACATTACTTTTGATCTCTGGTAACCCAGCCAAATAATCAAGTAAAAAGGTCCAGCTTGAAATGTCCGAAACATGTGCTCGACAAAAGTTTAGAACCCGAACGTATATGGCATCACTGTCAGTACCTTTGGCACTCGGCTTCCAACCTCGCAACAGCCACCTTGCGTATGCCCACGCATAATAATTGCATCTATGCATATGTGCTGCCGCCAAAATAATCTCAATTTCAGCTTCGTACTCAATAACGTTGCGGTCCAGCTGCGCAACAACCCATTGACGATGGCGCCATAACATTGGCGACTTGGTTTGTTTGGGTAGAGCGCTGCAAAAGAGTTGAGCTTGCCAGATAAGTTCAGCCTTTAAAAGGTCGATATTACCCATAATTACTCGCTTTCGCGCGTTTATGGCAGGTAAATGTTCAGTAACAGTTAATAGAATTACTTTAGTTGTTGCCAAAACCACATTTTCATCGTTCTCAATGTATCCGTAAAGAAGCTCATGAAAAACACGATTAGCATGGAGAAAGGCGCCTTTAAGAAGTCTCTTGGGAACTGCCAAAACACCTTCGACAGCAATGAGATTTCCATGCCCTCCCTCAATTGGAACTACAAGTGCACCTGGTGGATACTCAGGTCCTGGGTCCGCAGGTAAAATCTGGACTTGAGTGCTGGTGGTATTCAAACACGCCACTGTTAGATTAGTTGATTGGGAGAGCCGCAGCCTACACTTAGCTCATCACACTTACACTCTCGCGTCATCCAGTGCTTGGATGAGAGCCTTGAAAGCTTCGGGTGCTCCAGAAGGAGCTTTCGGTGGAAGTAACGAACGGGGTACAGAGGATCTCTGAGTGGTGTCGTTGGCAACGGGTTTGGAAGTCATAATTGTCAAATTTTGTGTGTTCTTGCCCAATTTTTATTTGGTGTACCCAATCACCGCCCTCCAGATGCCTAGCCAAAGAAAAAAAGAAAAAATAAAATAAAATAAAATAAAAAAAACCTCCATTCAGGCATCACCACCACCACCTTGCTCATCAGCACCAAATCCCCCATTACATACTACGTTAGCAACCAAAGCAACCTTCCACCATCACAATGGCATCCCCCATCTTTGGTGATAAGCTCGCGGACTTCCACGATATTGCATACTCTAGCTATTCTCCCGACGACGTTGCAAAACTTCTTGCTGCCAACCAGACCCTTCCGGTTTCTATTGCTTCTTTTAAGGTCCAGGGTGCTGGCTCTAAAACCCGCTCATCTTTCCTTCGCGCTCAAATTGACCCGCTTGTCAATGCACCGGCCACTCGCACTCTTCCAGAGCTTTTGAAGCAGCTTGATGCCACAGCGCGTCGTTTCAAACGTTTTGGAACCTACTCAGCAGCCGAATTCAAGCTTGACCTGGCTACTGTGACCCCCTACAAGGCTCTTCTGGCCGCTGAAAACGAGTCGTCAAGTTCTCCGGATTTTGCTTCTGATGACAATCCCCTCCATGAACCTTACCGTGGTATTAAGCCTCTTGACCTCAAGGCTACCCTTATTCTTACACAGGCTAATCCTCATCCTATTCACTTGAAGAGTGTTGTTCGCGACAATGGTCCTGCTGCATTTTCTGCCACTGCTGCTCTTAAGAACTTGCTTGGTGGTGCTGAAACACTTTCAATTGTAGCCAGTCGTGAGACTTCTCCCACTGCTTCCGCCTCATATGCCGCTGAATTTTCCGCGCCTCTTTGCATCAAATCTCCCGACAACCGTGTTCATCTTTCTGCCTTTAGCACTGACAACACCGCTGCATACCCGTCCCTAGCATTTGCCACTGGCGCTCGCGGTGCTTCTCTCAAACTTGTCGCCAATTCTCCCTGCCATCCCGCTAGTTTTGCCGAGTTTGGTGTTGCAACTGTTCAACGCACTCTTTCAGACCTTGGCTCAGCCTCCGAAACTGTCAAAAACACACCAGCTCAATCGACCAAGACTTCTGTCTATTCTCGATTTGCTATTGATCTGAGAACCTCCAAACCAGACTCTCCACTTTTTGTTGATGGTGGATATCTTCTTGATTGGCAGACTGAGGCTGCTGGTCTCGGTGACGCTTCCAAAATTTCTGGTGATGTAGCTTTCCTCAAGACTCAAGCTGTTGCTCAAGCTTCTAAGTCTCTTGACCCCGAAAATGACCATATTGTTTTCAGTGCTGCTGCCGGTACTGGTCTTCTCTGGTCATATGCCAGACCCGGATATGCGCAATCATCTACTTTTTACGATCGCTTTTTCCTCGGTGGACCCAATGGAGGTATCAGTGCATCTTCATCCAGCCCTCCAGGTGTCTTCCTCCATGCATACACACCCTCTGGTCTTGGCCCCAGAGATGGCGCTGATGCAATTGGTGGTGATGCTTATGCTGCAGGTTCCGTCAGTGTGCTTCTTAAACTCCCCCGGCTCACGCGTGGTTTTGCCGCAGAATATCTTGCACCTCTTCGCGTACTTGCCTATTTTACACAAGCCTCACTAATAGAAGGCTCCACTGCCCCAGACCGTAGTGTTCGCTCTCTCTACAAGAGTATCTTCGACAGCCCTACAACTTCAGGTGGTCTAGGTCTTATCTACCGGACATCTGCAGCTCAGCTTGAGCTTATTTATAGCGCGCCATTTGTCGTTCCCTCGAGCGCGGAGGCTGCTGTGCGCAAGGGATGGCAGCTTGGTGTTGGGTTTGATGTGGATCTTTAGACGAAAAATAATACTAACAAAAATAAATGAGCAAATAAATAATAATTATAATACTTTTTCATGGTTAATCCGAAAGATACATAAAAATAACCTTTCTAAAAAAGAAAAACTTTTCAAGACTTAGAATCTTTATTGTAAATATCGCCATGTGGTTTTGATTGTTTGACATGAGTCTAAAACAGGTCATTAGAAAATCGCTTATTTTTTTTTCTTTTTTTTTGCTAACTACAAAAATCTTAAATTATAGGTGACCTATATATAGGTAACAATCTGCAAAGCCACCCATCGATCGTTTAATACAACACTGTCCCTCACAATATATTCCCACGTAAGATGATATATATCATATATTATTACTTTTAAGAGTCAAAATGACGGTAAATTTTTTTTTTCAATCATCCAATCACATCTTTATTTAATGACTTTATTTTAATTCTTAGTTCAAATTAAGTTAAGTCTTGAAATCTTTCAGCTACATGAAATATCTAAAAATGAAAGTTTATCAGATACCTTATATACTTTTCTATATCGCCTCTCTTGATTCATTTATTTTAAACACATTTCTCTAAAACGTTTGGAATTATTTGTTAATTCCTTCTTAGTGCTTTAAATATTTATATTTTTTTACCTTATTGTATTTAAAACTTTTGTTAAACACTATGGATTTTGAACCTGCAACCACCTGCCTCTACAAACCAACCTCAAATTTTGACGAGTTACCTTTGGATATACATCAATGCTTATCCGACTATCTTAGAGCTTCAGACTTGGAAATTTTATGCAGAACCAGTTATTCTTTGCAAAAAACTTATGAGTCTATAAAATGGAGCCATTGTTTAGCATCCGAAACGGCAGATTTTTTTTCAGATTCACTAAACAAAAATAGTCATAGAGATTCTTTTGAATTCCGAGAGAAATATCCCAAATATACAATCATACCTTTAAAGGTTTTTGAAAATCCTTCATCATATTCCTGGTTTCTAAACAATAAAGTTAAAAAATTGATTTTTAGCTCAACAAACATTTTGACCCGCAAGATTGAATTTTCTTCTTTTCATGAACAATTCTACACTTCGCTCAATTCTATCGTATTTTTACCTACTCAGGATTTATCGTGGATTTACTATCAAAGCTCTAAATCATTTTACTTTTCACTTCAGCAATTTGTTCGAAAATCTAATTCAAAAAAGGAAGGAAGCTTCACCCATCATCTTTCCCTTAATTCAATAGACGAAAAGTCGGCTAAATACTTGATGCAAAATTCTCAGTCATTTATGTTAACTAAGTCTCTTGATTTAACTTACATACAAAGCCCCGAATATTCATTATCAAGTCGGTTGGCACTCCCTCTTCTCGAAAATATCATTCTTTTTAATATCGACCCATTGATAATGAAGTTTATATTGAAACAGCTTGTCGAATTTCCAGAACTAAAGCGTGTCAAGTGTGACTTAGAAGTCTTGAGAGTAGAAGATGATCTTATTGAAGTTCATGACACTTTTACTATTCTTCAGGCTTACCCCAAAATTTTAGAATCTTTTGAACTAAGATTTAGAAAAGTTGAAAACAACGGAAATTACTCCAGTGTGATCCTGCCAAGAAATAATATTAAAACTTTAAACTGTGTCACTGCATTTTCATTGGATACAAGCGGTCTGATTTCACCCATTCTCAATTACATATCTTTCCCCAATATTACTACTGCTAATGTGTTTTTGGATTTCCCTAACCAGAATCTTTTGTTTGATCCGCTTGCTATGTCCCTTACAACTTTGTCGGTTATAATTGGTCCAACATTCGAAAAAGGATTTTTAAAATGTTTTGCTTCCTTGAAGTCTCTTGTCAATTTTGAAGTCAATTTGTCAAAATCGGTTATGTACAATAGCGGATTTGCTCGGTATTTTGATATAGCTGAAAAGTTTGCAACTTCTGCTGAAGGTATCAGTAAGGAAGAGCTTGTTGACAATTATACCTTTTCAAAATTCTACAACGATGATATTTCAAAGCCTTTTAAATTGGATTATATGAACGAATCAGTTGATGATCAATATTTACTGGATTTATTTCATAAAATTTGGATTGAAAACCCAATGGAGGCCGTTACAGACGATACCTTTACTACATTAAACAGACAATTTTCCTCCATACTATTTTACGAGTGCCTTTTTTCTCTCATATTTTTTTCAAACATTTCTTATTTACATCTTAGAGCAGAATATGGATTTCACGCATCACCATGGTTATATAAATTGTTAATGAAGCCATCGAGTCTTAGACAAGTTCTAATGACCAAAAGAGCAAAACCTGTTTCTATACCTGATGTTGATTACAGATTGATCGAAAATAATTTCATTTTTTTTGATGTCAAGGCAAGAAGAAAACTTAATTATAGGATGGTTTATAGAAATTGTTATTCTGGTCATAATTTGGAGGAAAATAAATTAACTGATCCTGGCTTTAATGGCTGGGTATAACTTGTTTAATCACTAAATACATGACATAGCTTTTTTTTTATAGGAAAATTTAAACAACTCTTCATTAAGTTATTTTGATAGATCAACTTAATCGTTGATATTGATGTAATAATTACGTCTCGATTTCAATTAAACCCATTGATTAGTTAACAACTTATTTAAATGCAGCATTTCAAATTTCTTAATCATTCTCTACCTGCCAGATACAGAAAAAACAAAACTTGGTCAACCCTATTGAAACTATATAGCTTAACTTAGTTGCTAAACATTTCAGATGAAAAACTACCATCGGTATAAAAGATTAACCGCATGAGTTGCCTTAACTGGTAAGCATCTTTCACTATCGTGATTAAGCAAATACCAAAATTAAAATCCTAAGCTAATTAACTTAAATTTTCAATTTCGAGTATCTAGCAAGAATGCGAAAGTCGGAGTGGCTTTCACTACACAATAATTGAGACATTTAACGGTCAACTTAACTCAAGCAGCCTTCTGCAATCCATCTGTAAGTTCTCTACAAGTACAGTAAATGCATTAAGGGAGTATCAAGAGTATATTCATCTTAATGAAACAAAACGATCAGCTGGAATCAATGAAAATAATAAAAAACCTAATAGCACATGTTAGCAAATACTATTTTGAAAAAATTTGGTAAAATCAAATAAAATGTAAAAGAAAAATCAGAAAATTGAAAGTGAAAATGGGTTTGTATTCATTCAAAGGGGTCTTACGTCCTTCTCATCAACACGGACCAAAGTGTTTCATCATTTAAAAAAAAGTTTGAGAGTATAATAAAAGAGTATCAGATTGGGAACTTAAAGAACATACCATTTCAAATAAAGCTACAGAAAATAGCCATTAATCATATTGTTATTATAAAAAAGATTATTAGGAGAGTAGAGATGGTCTTTATATATAAAAAAAAAAAAAAAGTGTGTTGAAAATTGAAAAGAAAAAGGTGTAAGTTAAATGTGTAGACTGCAAAAAAAATTTAATGAAGCCCTAAAAAGAAAAAATTAATAGCCCTAGTTTTTAATAAAATATAAAGTTCTGTAATTTATTTGTGCGTGTATATATGGGTCTATAATACCAATTATGAATAATTGCAGTCAATTAATCACGTGATATTTAGGTTTAAGTAGTGGTATTACAATTTCTGCTGGAATATGCCTTTGAGCAAAGCTTTCTGTATTGCCATTAAACGTAAACGAGTAAATCAATGAAATACTATAAGATTTAAAATAATAAATGAAATTTGTATAATGGCATTAGTATCCAAGCCAAAGCTTGAGTTGAAAGGTCATCATTTCTTAAAGTTTACCTAATAGGGGTGTTTTGTGCGGCGTGAAAAAATTTGCACTTGGCTCTAATCGACACATATCAAGCACAAACCCAAACCCATACCCACACTAATACCCACTCACAAAATTTTTCGCATTCGTACCCACACCTCCAGTCCCCCTCGTCCCTCCCCCCCCTTTTTCACTTCCTTTTTTTTTTTCCTCCCCCCTCCGTTGCCCTATTGTTTGGTTCCCATCGACAGCCACCGCAGTCTGAGATAGTAAAGATGCCTTTCAACCCTAATACCCAGAACCCTGCGTACCACTCGCGCTTCCAGGTCCCCTTCCGCCGTCGTCGTGAGGGTAAGACTGATTACTATGCTCGTAAGAGACTTGTCACACAGCACAAGGCCAAGTACGCTTCTCCCAAGTACAGACTTGTCGTGAGATTCTCTAAGAAGGACATCACTGCCCAGATCATCTCTTCCCAGATCACTGGCGATGTTGTCTTCACTGCTGCTTACGCCCACGAGCTCCCCCGCTACGGCATCAAGCACGGTCTTACCAACTGGGCCGCTGGTTATGCTGTCGGTCTCCTTGTCGCCCGCCGTGCTCTCCAGAAGCTTGGCCTTGACGAGACCTACACTGGTGACGAGGAGGCTTCCGGTGAGTTCTCTATTGTTGAGGCTGTTGAGGATGCTCCCAGACCTTTCAAGGTCTTCCTTGATGTCGGTGTTGCTCGCACTACCACTGGTGCCCGCATTTTTGGTGTCCTTAAGGGTGCCTCCGACGGTGGTCTTTACGTCCCCCACTCTCCCAAGAGATACCCCGGTTACGACATTGAGACCGAGGAGCTCGATGGTGACACTCTCCGCAAGTACATTGTTGCCGGCCACGTTGCTGAGTACATGGAGGAGCTGATTGATGATGATGAGGAGAGATACCGTGAGCTTTTCCAGAGCTACATCAAGGACGGTGTTGAGGCTGATGCCATTGAGGACATTTACTCTGATGCCCACGAGAAGATCCGCGAGGATCCTTCTCCCAAGATCACTGAGAAGAAGTCTAAGGACCACTACAAGGCCCAGAAGAAGAACCAGAGACAGAAGAAGCTTACTCTTGAGGAGAGAAAGGCTCGCGTTGCTGCTAAGGCTGCTGAGTTTATCAACAACACCTTGTAAGCTCCCTGTTTTTGTGTAATGATAAAAAAATAATAAAAAAAAGTTAATGATTTTTTAATTAATGTGTCTTTGCTTTATCTTTGTGATTTAGTATCCAATGTTGTAGTTATTGAGCATTTTCTACCTGAAATGCGTTTGATATGAATTCTTGAAAGTTTAAAGGTCAGTTCGCCATGATATTTTTAACACTCGAGCTTGTTCCTAATTTGAAACTGATATGATAAGTCGTCTCCATTACCATAATGAATTTTGCAAAAACAAAGCAGAAAAACTAAAAAAAAAACATCATTGGTAATCTTGCAAAATGTTGAAATGTCTACTTTAATATTGGATTTTTGGTTCCAATTGCTGGTTTCTAGATAGACATTTTTTGAGTGCTATTTTTTCTTGAATGCTGTAAATTTTTTCATAGATACGGCTGGCTTCTCTAAAAACTTTGTGTAGGCATTAAGAAATTCACATATGTTTTTACTGTATTTCATTTATCACAAGCATTTCTCATAAATCTAAGATTTCAACCTTGAATAAAAACAAACAAACAAACATCTAAGATTTCATGTCATTATTTTCCAAAAAATTTATGTTTGTATATGTAGGGAAAAAAAAAGATATAAATCAGCTCTAAGCTTAGACCAAAATACATAAATTATTTTTATGGTACCTAAATAACAGATGTATTTTAATAGGACAAATCTGAATACAGAAAATAAATTGTGCATAACCGCTCGAACTTGTCCTTAATGACATTCTGCTCAATATTAATCGATTATCATTATCAAGAGCATTTAAAAATCTACTAACTCTGTTTTATACTACACTACACTACATTTCAATAAAATATAATTATAAATTTGATAAATACTTATTTTGAAAATAAATTATTTGCTTCCTATATATATATTATTCGTGAATCTACAGAATCGTTTTTTAAATACATTTTCATGAAAAATCTCTGTTTTAACAGTAATAGTCAGTGCTAATAAATGTACTAATTCGGTTCGGTTTTCAATACATGATTATAAAACTGCTTGTTGAAATGTTTACTTAAAAGTTAATATATATCTTTATTTAAATTTACAAGCGCTAAAATTATTTGCAATTGATTAGATTTCAAGGTGCTTTTGTTTCTTTAACTGTAGATAATACTTCAATTTATCACTTAATAATTTTTTAAAAATAAAATTCTTTTAAGCTTGATACCAATATTACTTTATATTAGATCTTTCATTCATTCAATTTGCACCTATCAGTTAACGTCTATATAGTAACTCTAGTGATACTTTAAGATCAGAGCAATGGTATATTTAATTGAATCCTGGGTCGTTTCTACCAAAAAGTTAAATGCCCACTAGCCAATAATTCTGCTTTTGTACCGCCAAAACCACGCAACACACAACACCCAAAACTTTTGAGAACAATTCAAACTTCTGCTTCACACTTTTCAACACAACACCAACCCAAATTAAAAAAACATCAAAAAATTATAATAAAACGTAAAAAAATATGCGAATTCTGTGGATCGAACACAGGACCTCCAGATTAACTAGACCAAAGTTGTAACTTCAGTCTGGCGCTCTCCCAACTGAGCTAAATCCGCAATATTAGTGATTGATGTAAAGCTATGATAGGTGCCACATAAAACATGCTTGAATGAGCAACACACTTTAAAAACATTAAAAATTTAGAGGGAAACAATGGAGATGACTTGGGAGGGTTTAGTTTTGACACTGTGTTTCTTGTAAGCCGGAATCAGGACTTATTTTTGGGTCGTTGGAGATGCATTTTTGAAGTCAAATTAAACGTTTATATAATAATTATTGTAAAAACAAAATGTTATACGGTAAGAGGAAAAATGATAACTTTTAAATAAAAACAAACAAATAGGAAAAAAAAAACAGATTAGAGCAAAAAAAAATGCATATTATTTTGATTAAAAATAATACAAGGCTAAACTCCCAGGTGTGCTTTTTTTTACTGAAAAGAGTGTACGAAAAGCACGAAGCTTATCCAAACCCCCAGCCTTCCCTGACAAACAGGAAGGTTCACTCTTCTATTCAGTCTAATTAACCCAAAGGTATTTATGGGTAATATATATGAAAGTGAAGATTAAAATTTACACGAGAGTCTTGAAAAATAAGTGAAAATAGGGTCGGGTAGGTTCGGGACCGACAGACTGATTCTCATTGTTCCTTTTAAGCAGGCATCACGGCCCATTTCCCGGGATATTGCAGGCTCACAGATCGAAACATCCCGTACTCAAAAGGTATAACCAAAAGACAGCAAGTCACTAAAGTTACTAAATTGACAGGATAGCGTTGATGCTAATGTTATTTACTTCTATAACCTTTGAATAAAAAAGGAATAATTGTGAGAAACTTTTATAAATATAAAAAAAAATAAACTTTTTAAATGAAAAAAAATAAACCAATAACTTGCAAACATACCTTCTTTTCCCCATTACTTTTTATTAGTTTGTAAAGAAGAAGCTGGAATCAGGAAACTTTTCAGATTAATTGGCATTGTTTTCAAGCCAATGTATTTTGCTCGAGGTACACTACCTTTTAATCTTTGTTTTTTATTAGGCGGTGCTTGAAGTGATGCTTGAATTTTTCGTTCAAGTTGTTTTTTCCGAAGAACTCGGAAATATTCTATAGTAGGGGATGTGGCGTGGATATCTTTGTAGTAATTTGAAGTTCGTTCTTTCCATAAGTTGATGAAGTTAGATTTATTTGAATATTCGGGGAAGCCGAAGAATTCAAACTCTTGAATAATGTAATTATGGTTTTGAGAGAAATTTTGTAAAAAACTTTGAAATGGGTCTACAAAATCAATTGATTGATTGGATAATTTAGCATAAAGATCTCTGAGTGCTTTGAACTTAATACCAAGAGCAGTGTTTACCATGCTTTTGAGAACTGGCTCATGAGATTTAAACAGTGTTTTAAATTCATCAATTGTCTTCCACTCATTTGTTCCAATCAAAATTCCTGTAACCTGTAGGTACACCAGCATGGGGAGATTATCCAATAAGGGTTTCAGACTATTTTTTGAAACTCCTGGGTTGACAGGTAATGATAGCATTCGCAAATATTTCCAACCTCCCTTTTTCAAGGCTTCTGTCCATGCAGTCAAAATGCCTCCATTAATGGTGGTGCAGTTTTTTAGATCAAGACCAGCAAGCATGGGGATAGACGTCAAGCAAACATATGACATGCGATTTAGTTCTGTGCCAGATAAGTCTAGCAGCACAATGTTATGAAAAGATGATGTACTTATTTCCTGTTGAAATGCAGAAAAGTCAGCTGTATAGGGAACTCGTTCAAAGCGGTGACGAAAATCGTTACCCGTAATTCTTTGCTGCATCAGCTTATGTCTATCATTTTTACAAAGATTCCCTGAGCGGTCCAAGTCTGGGAGATGCTTGAGCCCAGGGAAGTTTGTGCCAAAGTGGTTCATGTAAAAGATAGAATCATGACACCTGAAATTTGGGTCAAATGAAAATACAGTCGCAAAAAGTTTAAACATATAATACGAATCATGCCCTTGAATGGCCAAAATATCCCACATGCTACCCCATAGGCTATCCCAAGAAACATATGGATTCCCAGGTTTTCCCATTGCCTGCAAAGTGATCTCACCTGGGTTTGCATTCAAATAAATTAAAAGAGCATCTATAGAAATATAGCGTAGAGATGGCACCTTAGTAAATTGTGAGCCTGGTTTTTGAAAAGAACATAGCTTTTCTGAATACCTATGATTAAACAGTAGGGCCAATGCATGGCTAGGGAAGATGCCCATGTGTTCATCATGGTGTAGAAATTTCCAATTAACAGCTCCTTTAACTGTCTTATCAGTAGAGGTGCTTCCTATTATATTTTCATTGTTTCTTTTCCAAACCTGGAGCTGGAAGTTCAATTTTTGTCTTCTCTTTTGACCGGACCTTTGCATTGTTGTTCAGATGGATGGTGGTTACGATGATAACGCGTCCATACAAATAAATAATAATAAATAAACAACTAGCAAACGCGTTTATTTCGCGATCAATGGGACGGCTACGTGTTCTAATATTACATCACGTGAAATTTAGCTAGCCGTTAACATCGGAAACTCCGCTCATTATTGCTGCTTACCTCCCTTTTCCTGGACCACTCCAGCTCAGATTTCCGTTTGGTCCACTTAAAAAAAACCTTCTCAAAAATTTTTTTTTTCTTTCTTTCTTTCTTTCTTCTTTCTTCTTTCTTCTTTCTTCTTTATTATCCCAATTATTACTATTTTAAATTCGTCATCATTATATATAATAAACCTTAATAAAAAGCAAAATGTCTTTGAATTTACCCTCTTCTGAGGAAAATGCCAAAAACATCCGTGCTGCAACGGTGTCCCGCCGTTCCCACCGCACATGGGCCGGAACCTTTTACTGTGCTCCAGAGTTATATTTACAACCGTCGTCGATTGATGAGTTGAAATCAATTGTCGTGGAGGCCCACCGCCAAAAGAAGCGTATCATGCTTACAGGTTCTGGCCATTCACCTTCAGATCTTACCATGACACTTCCTCGTGGAGTCACTCAAAGCACAGGTGAATGGCTCGTCAACTTGGACCGTTTTAACAAACCTGTGTCATTGACTCCTGCTCCAGAGGATGCAGAAAATAAAGAGACACCGGCTCGTTATACGGATGTGAAGTTGGAAGCTGGTATTCGTATTTACCAGATTAATGACTATCTCAAGACCAAGAACCTTGCTATTCAGAATCTGGGATCTATTTCTGAGCAATCTGTTGCAGGAATTATTTCCACAGGTACTCATGGATCCAGTGCATACCATGGTCTTGTTTCTCAGCAATTTGTTTCTCTGAGTGTACTGATTGCTTCTGGCGAAATTATCGAGTGCTCTGAGACCCAAAACCCAGATTTATTCCGTGCAGCGCTCTTGTCTCTCGGTAAGATTGGCATCATTGTGTATGCGACGATCCGAACAGTGCCAGCATTTACGATCCACTCAAAGCAGGAGGTGACAACGTTTGACAACTTTGTAGACAACCTGTGGGGTACATTCTGGACTTCGTCGGAGTATCTTCGAGTATGGTGGTTCCCGTACTCCAACCGTGTGATTTTGTGGCGTGCCAACAAGTCGACTAAGCCGCTTTCAGCGCCGCGCGATTCGTGGTACGGAACTACGCTTGGAAGACTGTTTTACCAGTTTTTGTTGTGGGTTGCTGTCAAGGTTAAACCCAGCTTGACACCTGCTATTGAGAAATACGTTTTTAACCAGCAATACGGACTTGAGGAAACATACGATGTGGAAGGCAAGGCTTCTGTTGCTGTTCAAGGTAGCGTTGAGGGCTTGAATATGGATTGCTTGTTTAGTCAGTTCGTCGATGAGTGGGGTCTCCCATTGAAGTATGGTCAAAAGGTTTTGTACAAACTTCGCGAACAGATTTTGGCTGCAGCCAAGTCTGGTGAATACTACGTACATGCTCCGATTGAAGTGCGCTGCTCGAACCTTACAACTGTTGCTCCCACTGATGCTCCTGCCACGACTATGAAGTTACTTGAAACTGTTCCTGCCTACAATAGTGAGACACCGCACATTGGCTCGATTCCTGGTAATTCTCTTGGTCCCTTTTTGAACCCGTCACCCAATGATATCACATATGCGCCTCCAATCCCTGGGAAAGTTGAGAATGACAATCTGACATTGTATTTGAACGCGACCATGTACCGACCTTTTGGGTTTGATTCGCCGATCGACAAGTGGTTCCGAGTATTTGAGGACATTGTGTACGAAGCTGGCGGCAAGCCACACTGGGCTAAGAACTTTTTGGGTAACCGTGAATTGCCCGAGGAAGAAAAGGCAGGTGTTAAACGGGTTGGAGGAATTTTTGGTTTGGGAGGAAAGAAAGTACGATACGAAACAGACGGGCAGATGCGCGGACTGGCGCCGCAGGTTGGTGGCTGGTGGGGCGAAGACCTGGAGAGCTGGAAACGGGTGCGCAAGGAAAACGATCCTGACGATACGTTTTTGAGTGGCGCCAACTGGGCAGAGATTAACGGTCTTTTGTAGAGGACATTTGATGATTAAAAATATGAGAGAAATATTGAAAAAATAAAAGAAAAAAGATGAAGAATGAAAAATCCAAGAGTTTTTTAAAAAAAACTATTAAGTAACTTAGTTGGATATCAGCATTGAAAAAAAAAGGGTTTTTTTTTTCTTTTTTGGGGAAAATCACCCGCCGTTATAATTCATGTTAAACAGAACTAAGTTGAGTACCTCGCGAATCAAATCTGCATCCTGGCCCACTAGCTGTAGCGTGCGGTGCAAGTTTGCACTATAAGGTTTGTACACCAGCTCCGAGCACAATGCAAACCGTTCCTGCGGCGCGTACTCGCGAAGCACTGAGGTAAACACGCGTGACGCATACACGCTACCAGTGTCCCCCCCTGCTCCGGGTTCCATTCTGGGTCCTACTCCGGGACCCATGCGAAGCCCTGCGGTTCCTGTTGGATCGAACCCATTGTTGTCTGGGCCAAAACATGCACTGAGCACTCCCTGTTCATAACTCTGAGAGTCTTGGTGAGGGTCTTCGGCCTCGCACGATTCATGTAGTTTTGCATATTCCAGCAGCGGGTGGGCAGGTCCACGGGTGTTGTTTGGTACATTGTCTTCGTCGTTATCGTCTGATAATACAACAACTTGCATATTATGATGGGGGTTGTGGTCGTGCGGGGCCCTTGGCGGCGAAGATTCAGGTGTGAGAGGGCGTTGCATAGAGTCAGTGTACCTATCAAGATTGGTGTTGAGCGGATTGGCATGGTTTATGTGACCATTGATGACCGCACTGTTGCTGCTTCTATTGCCATTGCTTTTGGATGTTCCAGAACTGCTGCGTAGATCCGGCATACCTTCGGATGTTTGTGGTGTATAAGGCAGTTGATGGTACCCTGGGCTTTGACCATGATCACCATAATCTGGGATATCTGCTGCTGACTGGGATGGTGGAGGTAGCAAGTGATGTTGATGGTCGCTAGGAGGATTTCTTTGGAAAGCGGTTGGGGGGATTTTCAACACAACTATACAACTCTTGTTCCTTGGATTTTTCTGGGAATTTTGTTTTGCTTGATGGTTTCGCAGTTGTCGGGTTTCTTGTTGGACATATCTACTGGGATCCGGTAGACGCACAGGCTCAGGGTACTTGAAAGTTCTATCTTGGTATCCACCATTTTGGTGTTGCTGCGCATTTTCATATTCTGAGCCATTTGCTTCCAAAAGCCTGTTCACCATATCTTCCCTCTCTTCTTCCCGATCATCTTCACTATGGCATTGGGGCTCCGGTGATGAGCTGGAAATAATAATGGGCACCATGCTATTTGAATACTCTTCATTTCCAACCCCATTACCATATATAGTACCCTCATCTGTAGTGTCCGGCACCACAGACTCGGCCACAAGTACAATTTCGTCATCGTCCAGCGGTCTTCTTCGGTATTTGGATTGCTTTTCATTGCCATATTTCAACAGCAACTGCCCTGACTGTTGCTCTTGTACATTATCCAACTGCTGGTATGGCTTATGGTGATGCATTTGCTCTTGTCGCTCTTGTTGTGGTTGATGTCTACGAGTTGCTCGAGTGTTGGAGGTGGCTGAGAGTGGAGGGCTTTCCAACTGTCGTCGTCGCCGCTCTCGTAGTTTTTGGGGCGGCTCGGGTTGTTGTTGTTTTTGTTGCTGTTGAATGAGTGCATGGGAAGCTCTAGGATGCCTATGCGAATGCTGCGAAGTTTCTTGTCGCATGATTACATGTGACGAAGAAGATGCTGAAAGATGATTTGAATCTGTAGAGTGCTGGGGTTGAGTTGATGCTGATGCTGAACATAATAATCTGAGCCGTGTTTGTCTTGTATTATGATGTGTATTATTACGAGATGCATTTATAGGTATCAGTGCCCGGGAATCTCTCATATTTTCTTCTTCCTCTTCTTCATAATCATCATCGTCGTCGTCATCATCAGCTTCTTCAGCTTCTTCTTCTTCTTCATCACCATCATCTTCTTCATCTTCATCATTACTATTTTCGGTTGTTGATGTCATTTGTCCCTCTATGGTGAGTTGTCGTTTTTGAGCTGCCAGATACTGCTTATTTTTGTGCACAATTCTTCTTGTTTCTGGAAGAGTAATATTGTAAAAGATTTCACCAAAAAGTTCTTTAAACTCATCTGGGAAATATCTTGGACGACCTGTTGAAAGATATGTTCGGTACCGTTTATAATTTCCAGAAAAATAATGCTTAATTTTGGCCTTGGTCACGTAGTTTGGGCCGCGGCCGAGAGCCATCATCTTATCACGGAATTCCGCTACAATGTTTGGCCATAGGTAGTTTCTTCTATTGTCGACAACGTAGAGGTTACGTTTAATAATGTTGAGAAGTTCGATGCCTTCGTCGAGGGAAAATAGATACATAACTGAATGCTTGATTTCCATAATTTCGCAAAAGATGCGGCGATAGGGGAAAGTGGTAGGAAGGCTTGTGCTAAGGTATCGTGAGAAGATTTCCGATTGCTCGTTGAAAAATCGCTGGGCAAATTCGACGGTGCCATCGGGAGGAAGACTACGGGAGATGAGCCAGCGGTTCCAGTGAATAACGGCTGAGCGCCAGGCAAAGTCGATATTACACTTACGGCCGTTGCTGTTGCGTGTGGAGACAAGCAGTGAGAGTAGTACCCTGCCCTCTTCTGGGGGGATTTTGCGGATACAAGAACGAATTGGAGGAGGAGCTGGGGCCCCTACTATGGAGTTTGACATGGGGGTGTGTAGTGAATTGACATAAGAAGTATATATATATATATAAGAGTAAAGAGAAGGTTTAATATTATATTTTTTTGTTGTTTAAAAAAAAAATCTCAATTGTTTACTTTTAATCCAATTTAGTAAACAAACAAAAAAAAATAAATTAAAAGCATTTTGGTGGGTGCAAATTTTTTTTTTTTAGCAGGAACTACACAAAATAACGTGACCAGACTAGATATATATAGTATGTATATAGATAGCATAATGTAGATAGTAAATAAAATAAAATAAAATTTAATGTTACAATACACTTACCATAAAGTTACCATAAAGTAACTCACGTATTACTGCTGCTGTTGCTGCTGCTGCTTTTTCTGGGATCGCCAGATACGAATGGTTCCATCGTCACTTGAAGAAGCCATCATGTCTGGAATAACCGGATTGAAGCGCACACAGTTTACACACTTTGAGTGTCCTCTTATTGTCTCAATCAGATTGGTTGTTTCTCGGTTCCACGCATAAACATTACTATCCTCGCTTCCGCAAACCACAATGTTTTCTTGGGGGCCTGCAAAGCATGAACGTAAAACAAACTTTTCCACCTGACCAAGGATATTCTTACCAACACGTTCCGGTTGGCTAAAGTACTTACGTACAATTCGCACAGTTAATAGGTCCCACAGGTCAAGCTCGTCAGTATCTAGCTTGACCAGAGCGTAACGGGAATCCTTTGATACTGAAACAGAAATAGCATTACCAGTCCCGAGCCTAACAATACGTGCGCGGACAACAAGGTTGAAGAAGCTTATAGAACGGTCAAAGCCCAGAGTGATAATTATTTTACCATTCGGAGTGATAGCCATATCAGCCATGCGGGAGTTGGACCAGGCATCCACCTGCTTGCCGTTAATATCAAAGAGATACATTTTCGAGTCTGTACCTGCTGTAATAAAGTATTTTGATGATGGTAGCCAAGCGCAGGAACAAACCACATCTGTATGGGTCTTCAATTCGTGGAGCTTTTCCCCTGTGGCCAAGTCGTACAATATGGCTGTGCTATCTTCGGAGGAGGTCAGAATCATGGTATCGTCTGGGGACCATTCGACGCTTAGAACACCTCGCTTGTGACCGCCAAGTCTGCGGAAAATGGACCAGTCGTCGACCCGCCAAACAATGACGGAGCAGTCTTTGGAGGCGGAAGCCAGGTACTTTCCATCATGAGAAAAGTTGATAAACCAGACCTCGTCCGAGTGTTCGGTGAGAATATGAGCGGTGCGGGTGGGGAACTGGGTACGGTCATCTGGGTAGTCCAGGATGAGAGAAAATGGAGTGTCAGTGATGCGGTAGTTACTGCGGGAGAGTTGGAACTCTTGCGCTTGTTTGAGGAGTTTTGCTAGACGGTGGCGGGGGATGAGCATATCTGGGGAAATTAATTCTTGGAGAGAGTTTAGGAGGAATCTGCGAGATTGGTTGCGAACGCCATCCCAGGAAAGAATTTTAGTAATATCTTCATGAGAGTACATTACCAGGGTAGAGAGCTGTCTAATTTGAGCTCTGCGGGCTTCAATTTTTTCATGGGTAGGATGTTGGAGGTCTTTAGAGGCATTATCTGTTGTGAGAGTTGCGATTTTTGTTCTTAGAATGACGAGGGCGGTTTCAGTGTCTCGTGACTCCAGGAGTTCGAGAAACTGTTGGCGGCGAATAAGAAATGAAAGGTAGTGACGGTCAATACATGGAGCAATGTCAAGGTCTGTGAGGAGAGATTCTGCTTGGTCCCAAGCTCCGGCAAGAATGGCTGTTCGGAAAGATGCGACGACGGGGAGTTCAGTACTAAGGCCGGTTTTTTGTTCTAGCAGTTGGGCAACATCTTGGTGGCCCAGGTCGTTCAAGGCTTGAAGGATTAGGCGAGTGACTTCAGATTTGTTGTGACCAAAGTAGGAAGAAGAAGAAGAAGAAGAAGAAGAAGAAGAAGAAGAAGAAGAGGTGGGTGTATCAGAGGAAGTTGAATGCAGTGAAGGTTGTTTAGAAGAGGAAGAAGGAGAAGAAGTAGATTTAGTTTCTGGAGACGTGTTATTGGTCATTTTGGATGGTGAAGATAGTTGTTGTTGTTGTTGTATACCAGAGTTGTTAGATTGGGATTGCTGATCTAGGATTGGGGGCATTGAAGCGGTGGCGGGATTTGAGATTAGATTGTGAATACCGGAAGTAGTGGTAGATGTAGTGTTAGAAGCTGGCAGTTGAGATTGATTGCTGTTAGTGAAAGAGCTAGTAATATTTTTGATATTACTATTATTATTATTACGACTACTACTACTACTACTACTGCTACTACTACTACTGCTGCTACTGCTGTTACTGCTGTTACTAGAAGATGATGAAGAAGAAGCTTGGGACGTTTGAAAACGTTTTGGTGAAGGAAAGTCAGAAGAATCTCTTGATGGAGAGAAGCTGCGCCTGCGATGGGAGGCTTTGTTGAGTGGCGTATTTGGGTCCAGCGTGAAAGGCTTTAAAAGATGGGGTGGGGGTATAAAGAATAGATAGTTGGTTTAATGGAAGGGTTAGCTTGTTAGCTGAGATTTATTATAATGAATAGATAGATATATATAAAAAAAAGGAAAAGATCTCTTAAATAAATAAATAAATAAATAATTAAAAAAAGACAATTTAAAATTCTTAAAATTCTTAAAATTCTTAAAATTCCCTCTTTTTTTAATTTTTATTTTTTTTTGAGAAATGTCGACAAAGAATTATTTTTATTTTTTTTAAAAAAAAAAAAAAATTATTAAGCAGTGCAATCATGTGACTTAGAAATGATTAACATTGGTGGTAAAAAGCCTTAAAGGCTGACGGAAGAACGATTTATACATCGATATAGATACAGTAGATAGATAGAGAGATAAACGATATTTTATCTCTTAAATATAATATTTATAATTGATTTAAATAAAAAGAAAGAAAAGATCAAAAAAAAATAAAAAATATTATAAAATACTTTATAATTATAATTATTGTTATTTTTAATTAAATTTATTTTAATCTAAAATTAATTTAAAATGACTGTGAATTAAACTGCCCCTCAAGTTGAATATTATGAAGTTTTACAAAACACTAATTACAGTATACTAAACGGTTAAAACGGTCTCAGCTCAACATTTAAAAATCTTCAATATCAAATTCATTAAAAAAAAAAAATTTTTTTTTGTAACTAAAATCAACATGAAATCAATTTCTTTTATCTTTTTATCTTTTTATTCTTTATTCTTTAATTCATTAATTCATTAAAAATCTTTTTGGAAATCCTTCACTATTTAATGCTAAGCAATCACACAATATACACAATATACATGATATATTACATCTCCTTTTGTAACAGAAATTCCTCCCAACAAAAAATCTTTCTATAAAAAAAAAAAAAAAAGGTCTCCTTCACACTATTTAAACCGCCAACTATTCCAACATTTCCCAATCTTCAAAAATAAATAAAAAAAAAAAAAAAAAAAAATAAAATAAAATAAAATAAAACACCCATTCTCATCCAGCTATAATGGCCGAAACTAAACTCTCTCCAGAAGAGCTCCTCAGCACTCCCCTCCATGGTCTCTACATTCCCGTCGGTCTTGTCATTGTCGGCGTCGCCATTGTTGATTGGCACTATATCCCATATGCCGTCGTAGTTGCCTTACTTATGGGAGCTTTCAAAGTCTGGCGTGGACGTAAGTATAAAAAATAGACCCTTCCTCCTTTCTACCAACCAAAAAAAAAAAAAAAAAAAAAAACTTTTTTTTATATCTTCTTCTTATTCTTATACTTTTCATTAATACTTGACTATATTTAAACATTAATCATCAATGGATTACGTTCTAACAATTGCCGAATATTTTGGCTTGGTAGGCCCCAAGAAAATCATCGATCCGGAAAAATACACTGAGTTCCCTCTGGTTGAAAAGATCCCCGTTTCTGCAAACACAAACATTTACAAGTTTGCTCTCCCAAGAAGCACCGACCGTCTTGGACTCCCTATTGGACAACACATTACAATCTCTGCTTCCATCGATGGCAAGGAAGTCACCCGTTCTTACACACCAATCTCTACCGATGACACCGAGGGCTCTTTTGAACTCCTTGTTAAGACTTATCCCAAGGGCAACATTTCCAAGTACCTTGACAACCTTAGTCTCTACGAAGGCATCAAGGTCCGCGGTCCCAAGGGAAAGATGCAATACAAGCCAAACATGGTTAAGAATATTGGTATGATTGCTGGTGGCACTGGCATTGCTCCCATGCTCCAGGTCATTAGCGCCATTGTTCGTGAACCCACAGACACTACCAACGTTAGTCTTATCTTTGCAAACGTCACTGAGGAAGACATTCTTCTCAGAGAGGATATCGACCAGCTTGCTGAGAAATACCCCAACTTTAAGGTCCACTATGTCCTGAACGAGGCTCCTGCCAGCGGTAACTGGGATGGCTCTCTTGGTTTTGTTACTGAAGACATTATCAAGACCCATCTTCCTGCTCCTGATGCTGATACCAAGATCTTCATCTGTGGTCCTCCCCCCATGGTTTCTGCCATGAAGAAGGCCACTCTTAATCTTGGTTACCAGAAGGCCAGCCCTGTTTCCAAGCCCGAGGATCAAGTTTTTGTCTTTTAAAAAAAAAAAAATATTGTATATATACATGTCTAATTAATAAATTTTTTTTTTTAACTATGAAATCTTTTGAAGGGCCAACCTGTCGTGTTTACATGCGGCTGGCTGGCTGATTGTTGATATTGATATTTTTGTTGTTGTTGTTCGTATTCCCATTTATAAATTTATGTAACAAAAAAATGTTGTAACATCCAAACATTTCTTGAATCTCCACCGGCCCGTTTTTTTTTTTTTTTAATCCTCCACGTATACAGAAAAATAAACAACCCTATATTGAAACCATCGTTTATATATATATATTAAAAAAAATTAAGAATAAAAAATAAAAAAAAATATCTCTTGGATGATCACCAAAATCTTTCTATTGGTTTATATATAGCTGCATTTATACATACCATCTGACCACAATGGATACCTCAGATGCCATTCTAAGTAGTACCACTACTATAGGCTCTGTTCATACTGCTTCTCCAACTCCACTCTCCATAAAACAACGCAAAGAAAACTTTGTCTCCGGTCTAACAGGTGGCTCAGTTTCTGAAATTTACATCTGCACCCTCATTGCTATTTCAAGTTATCTAGCATGGGCAGTTATACAATCTAGACTTGGGTTTTTCCCCGTTTCAAATACCTCATCATCATCATCATCATCTTCTTCTTCTTCAAAAACCTCTAAACTCTCCCATCAATCTATCCAAAAAATAATAGCACTACTGCTATCAATACCAACTCTCGTAGACGTCACCCTCAACTGGCTCACGTCGCTTCTATCAATTACAACTTACTCAGGGCATCCACTTTTACTCAATGCCGCTGTTCTCATTCCTACATTATACATCCTGGCTACTCGGCCAAGAAAATCACTCGCTCAACTTGAGCAAATTTCAAACCCTAGCATAAACAAAATTAACACATCCAAAGATTCTAAAGACACTAATAAAAAGGATCACCAACAACAACAACAACAACAACAACAACAACAACCCACAAACACTCCATCTTTACTTAAAACTTATCTCCCTCATCACTCATTTTTATCCGTCTACCGTGGACAAATGATGATTCTCACATGCCTCGCAATTATTGCTGTCGACTTCCCAATCTTCCCCAGACGCTTTGCCAAAGTTGAAACTTGGGGGACTTCTCTCATGGACCTTGGTGTTGGCTCGTTTGTCTTTTCAATGGGCCTGGTATCGTCCCGTGCTACCCTCTCTTCAACTTTTACAAATTCAGTAGCCCCATTTTTCTCAACCCTCATAAAAACCCTCAGAGGTGTTCTCACTGTCCTACTACTCGGCCTCATGCGCCTATATTTTGTAAAATCCTTAGATTATCAGGAACACGTCACAGAGTACGGAATTCATTGGAACTTCTTCATGACCCTTGGTTTTCTTCCTCTTTTTGTCACTATTATCGATTCCATAGCACCTCCCCGCAAACAATCTAAAGACGGGACTCCTATCAAATCCTTTACCATCCCCACTGTTTTTCTCGCCTTAATAATTGCAATTGTATACGAATATGCTCTTGATAAGCTAGGTCTTGTCGCTTGGATCATCACCGCTCCACGTGTCAACCTTTTGTCACAAAATAAAGAAGGCGTCTGTTCATTTATCGGCTACTTTTCTATTTTTCTTTTTGGAAAAGCTACAGGCTATTACACTCTCCCATCTACAGTCTCTTACAAAGCTTTGCTTTACCCACAAACCCGCAGTGAATTCCTTGCTAGTAAAAGCACCCCAGCTCAGGGGAACCCTAAAACTGCCGCCCGTGTGCGTCGCTTATATATGCTGCTAATATCCAGCTTTGCCTTCCACATTGCATACTTTACAGCCCGCAAACTGCTGCGTCTTCAAGTCTCGAGGCGGTTCGCTAATCTACCGTATGTTCTTTGGATCGGCGCCTACAACACACTCAATCTGGCCTTTTTTGCAGCCGTCGAGCTTGCTGTGTTTGGAAATCCAGATGCTTACCCGTACGAAATGTTAGTTCCAGCGTCTGTGGATAGCGTCAATTCTAGCGGGCTGTTTATTTTTCTGTTGGCTAACGTGTCGACAGGCCTTATTAACATGTCGCTTAATACGCTTGACGCAAGTCCCCAAGTCGCTTTGGCCGTGCTATCATTGTATGCATTATTTTTGTATACAGTAGGAACTGTTCTTAAGCAATTAGGGATTGTAATTCGGTTGTAAATAGTGTATAGTTTTTAAAACAAAAATATCAAGGTCAAGTTTTGCAAAACGATAGATAGATAGAGATTAAGATGGCTCGTGCGGCTCAGAGTTTCCAAAATAAGTAAAAGGTGGTGGTTAGCCTTTCAGTCTGTCAAAAGAAAAAAAAAAAAAAAAAAAAATTTTTTTCTTAGAGCCCACTGGAAAATTTCCCATCTTGAATTTTTTTTTTTTTTTTTTTTTTTTTTTGCCCAGATCATTCTTGTCAACAGATATATATAGATATATATATAATACCATATCCACACACCAAATACCCGCATAACCACCATGTCGAAGTTTGCTGTTCCAGCTCGGAAATTTAAGGCTTCCGAAACCAAAGTTAAGAAATCTACTAAAACCAAGAGCTCCGATACCGTGAGTGAGGCCAAGAAACTTGCTGCGAAACTCAAGGCGTTGGATTCTCAGAAAAAGACAACTGAAGAAAAGGTTTCAGCACCTGTTGAAACCTCGAAACCCAAGATTGCAGCCTCGACAACCAATGCTGATGGATTAGAGGAAGTTTCAGAACTAACAGAGGGCGAGGAGCCACAGACATTTGCAGAACTCGGGGTTATTCCTCCGCTATGCGAGGCATGCGAAGCGCTCAAGTTTTCTAAACCCACACCGATCCAAGCACAAGCAATTCCATGGGCACTCCAGGGCCGTGATATCATTGGGCTTGCACAAACAGGGTCTGGTAAAACAGCAGCTTTTGCGCTGCCAATTCTGCAAGCGCTGTGGCATGCACCTGCACCGTTGTTTTGCTGTGTGTTGGCACCGACGCGTGAACTGGCGGTGCAGATTGCAGAGCAATTTGAGGCCCTCGGTGCAGGAATAGGGCTGCGGTGCGCTGTCATTGTGGGTGGCATGGATATGCTGCAACAGTCGATGATGCTTGCACGTAAACCGCATGTCATTGTTGCAACCCCGGGTCGTCTTGTGGACCATCTTGAAAATACAAAGGGCTTTTCTCTCAAATCTCTCAAATACTTGGTCATGGACGAGGCTGACCGACTTTTGGAGGCCGAGTTTCAAACTGTAATGGGCCGTCTGCTCACCGCATTACCTAAAACAGGCAGACATACATACCTCTTTTCTGCAACAATGACATCTCAAGTTGACCGTCTGCGGCGCGCTTCGCTTCACAATCCAGTCAAAGTAGCTGTCTCCAGCAAGTACGATACAGCATCGTCATTACTCCAGTATTACATGTTTATCCCCATGGTCCATAAGGATACTTATTTGGTGTATCTGTTGCAGCAGATGGAGGGTCATACGGCCATTGTTTTTGCGCGCACCATTTCTGACGCTGAGCGTCTTGCACTTGCTTTACGTGAGCTTGGTTTCCGTGCAGTCCCGCTACATGGCCGTATGAACCAGGCTGCGCGTCTTGGTGCTCTTAACAAGTTCAAGGCTGGTGCACGTAATATTCTTGTGGCCACAGACGTTGCTGCTCGAGGTTTGGATATCCCGTCTGTCGACATTGTAATCAACTACGATATTCCTGATGATTCTAAGGCATATATTCATCGTGTTGGGCGTACCGCGCGTGCTGGACGATCTGGTAAGAGTGTCACATTTGTTACACAGTATAATCTCGATGTATACCAGCGTCTGGAGGCAACACTTGGCAAAAAACTCGATGAGTATAAGGTGGATAAATCTGAAGTCATGGTACTGTCAACGAGGGTTGGTGAGGCATTGCGTGAGGCTCTTCTCAAGCTACGTGAACTGGAAGCTAAACGTAGCAGATCCAGTGGCAAGAACCGGACTCGTGATGACGGCAACTTTGAGGAGGCATAAGTAATAATAATAATAAAGAAAGAAAGAAAGAAAGAAATAAATAAAACAAAATAAATAATAATAACAACTTCTATAAATTCATGCAAATCATATATAATTCATAACAACGTCTATCGTCTATCGTCTATCGTCTATCGTCTATCATTAGGCCATGCGGTTAGTAGGTTTCCAGTAAAACTTATACACTGAAAAGACAAGCACGGCCGCTGTCACAAACATAACACCAGTCGTCAGAAACGTGTCTTGGTAACACTTGAGTCCGTAGCACTGGGCGTTATTAAACTCCGGACTCAAGTTATTGTCACTGCTCATAATGCTAGCTGTTGCGCGGGCAAGTTTTTGTCCCACAAACTCTGCTGCAGACATCATGTTGTTAATGTCTCCAGGGGACGCCCGTGCCGCTGCGTTTTGATACACAGCAGCAAACAGGTATCCACAAAAGGTGGCTCCGAGGGCGGGTCCCAAGATGAAGACACCGTAATGGGTGCCGAAGCTTTCAAGCCCCCAGACTGTAGAGACTACTGTAGGGGTAAGAGAGAAGCAAGAGCCATATGCAAAGCCACTTGCAGATGAAAGAACAGAAAACAAGCTTCCTCCGTCGTAGACTGTGAAAAAGCCGGCAGATGTTGCAAACTGGAGCGCGGCAGTGCACAGCAAGGCAGCTGAGTAAATGTAGGGAAGGGGCACTTTACCATGGAGAACGTCCGACATAAGGCCCATGGATAACCGTGCAAGTGTGGAGAAAAGAGAAAAGAGAGAGACATGGGTAGCCACTGGTCCGGCTTTTCTGAGTGCAATGGGGATGGTATTAATAATCATGCCCATATTGTTGACAAACATTTCCAATGGACCTGTGGCAATGACAAACCCGGTGAAAAAGATCCACACAGTCTTGTCTGCGAAAAACTCGGGCAGAGTGATGGTATTAGGGTCACGTTTGTATGTGTTATTACGGTCAGGCTCTTCAGCTGTGAGTGTAGTATCTGTAGATTGGTAGGTAGAAGAAGCTGTATCACATGCATCATCAGATCCCAGTAATGTTTGGGAATTGTTCGAGACAACAATTGGTTGGCCAAGTTTATCTTGGTGAATTATTGGTTTTGGAGGGAGGCAGACATGGGTTGAAAAGTAAGAAACAAATCCAGTCAGGATATAGAGAATGGCGAAAAAGTTAAACACTTGGACAATTTTGACGTGGCCACCATCTTCTCCTGGGACTGTGAACCACTTGGAAACAACTTGGGATTGCCAAAGAGATGAGATCCCGAAACATGCAATGGGGATTGAGATTGAAAGTCCTGGGTATTGGGGGAGAACTTTTGCGGCACCAACCACACCACAAAAGTGAAGAGCTGAAGTGGCCAAGCCAATGGAGAAAAATGCAATCGAGAGGACAGAAATGTCGTGGTGGATGAGAAATTTGGCAAATGTAGAGATCTCAAGGCCATGGTTTTTATCCAAGTAAGCCTGGACAACGAGACCTGAGATGTAATATGCAGGAGTGAAAAGAAAGGTAGCAAGAATACCAACAGATCCTGGGCCTACTTGGTCAGCCATGTATCCGATAAGAGGAACAGGAATGTACATGCCGATTTCTGCTGCGATGGCGACGCAGTTAATATCCATTATACGTAGGCCCGTATCGTGCTGGATCGATGGCGCAAAGATAGCAAATAGTGAGATGGAAGCAGCACAGAGATTACAGGTGAATGCCAGTACAAAAGCTAGTACGTTGCGGCCTGTTGCAGGAGGGTATTTTGATATGGGCTTAGCGGAGTTATTATTGTTAGTATTAGTAGTAGTATTGGGGACCAGAGGCGCCGACTCGTCGGTCGGATCGCAAGAATTAGAGGACAGAGCCATGAGAAGGAAATCAATAGCAGGGTATTGAAATTATAGAGAAACAAACTACCAGATAAGTTGTTGTTGTTGTTGTTGGTTTTTGTTGATAGAAAAAAAAAAAAAAAAGAAGAATTTTCTATGGAATGGCGATAGAAGAAAAAAAAAAAAAAAACTTTAAAATGGCCTGTGGAGACCAAATTGTAATTTTTATATTTAAAATACTTAAAATATTTTGTTTAAGTTCCCGCTCCGATGGCAGTGATGGCGGCGGCCACAGCGGGTAATTTTTTTTTTTTTTTTTTTTTTTTTAAAAAAAATTTAAAAAGTTTAAAAAATTTAAAAAATTTAATTTTCAGTCAGAGAATCAAAAATTTTCAAATTGCCCACCTACCACCAAAAGATTTAATTGCCAGCCAGCGCCACAAATATTCACGAGACTCACGCTATTTTATTTATTTATTTATTTTTTTTTTTTCATCTCGTTATATATAACGAAATTATAATTAATAATTAATAATAATTCTTAGAAGGTTCTTTTAATTAATTAATTTAAATAATAAGATTCCTTTATCATTATGTCGGATCGTCTCACTCAACTTCAAGTTTGTGTGGACCAGGTATGTCTCCTATTGATGAATGTTGAGTCGGGTCCCCCATGTCCTTTAATCAACAATCACCACCGGCGGCTATCAAAATAAATAACCAAATTAACATGTATTAACACAAAAAAAAAAAAAAAAAAAAAAAAAAGCTTCTCAAACAATACTACTCTGCACTCAACTATATCAACAATTCCAATGGCTTTGAACCTCTAGGCTCAGAACCTCCCGCTTCAGATCCTCAAGTCAATTCCGTACCTAAAGAAAAATTCCGTGAAGACCTCACAGAATTGGCCCGTGACATTGTTCTTAAATCAAAACAAATCGATCTTCTTATAGATAACTTACCAGGAGCAGATTCTTCTGAGGATGATCAGATGGTCCGTCTGCGTGAACTCGAGAATGAATTAGAATCTGTCGAAAATGAACGTCAGCAAGTTCTTGTAGAGTCAAGCATTTTGCTGGCAAAGTGTGACGACCTTATCATCAAAGTGGCTTCTGATATTAGTGAAATTCAACGGTCTTAATGCATTAAAATATCTTTTTTTTTTTCATCTATTCATTAATTCATTAATTCATTAATACATTTATTATTTACAAAATCTTCATGGTTCTGTTGATTTCTGCTCTTCTTGTTTCTGGTCCTTCATAACAGCTGATACACGTTTCTCAAGCTCCTGCAGTCGGACCTCTATAGCATGTGCTTTCAGGGCTTCAGTCACAGCTTCTCGAAACCCGGTCTGTGCCTGCATCAATGTGCCAGCATACCCACTTGAAAACCCACCAGCAGCAACAATAGGCTTTGATTTCGTATCATCTTCTTGTTTTAAAGATAGCTGTTCTTTTTCCGAAATTCTTTATTTTAGTTAGCTAGCAATTATAAATGTAAAGGGATATTAATTCAACTCCCACCATAATAATACTCAATACTCTTAAATACTCACTCAATAACTAATCCAGCATCGGTTTCTCTCTCATCAATGGAATACCGGTCTAGCGCACTTCGGGCCCGCGAATTTGCCAGTCCAAGATCTAAAAATGCCTAAAGATCAGTCAGTTATTGTCAAAATCCTCATCATAACCTCCTTTTTTTTTTTGTTTTTTTTTGTTTTTTTTTTTTTTTCTCTCTCTCCATAACTCTACTCACATTTACAAAACTCTTGCCACTTGCTGCCCTGCTTACTGCATACCGATCCAACTCATTAAGATATTCTTCAATCACAGAATCTTGTTCTGCTTGTAACTGGTCGGTAGTCATTTGTTTTGTGATTTTGTTTTATTGGGTTTTTGAAAAAAAAAAAAAAAAAAAAAATTCTTGTATTAGTTGTTGGAATAAATTTAAAGTGATGAGCCCTGAATTTGGTGGTGGCGATATGCCAGAAAAAAGCAGCACCAGCCAGCAGCACCAGCCCCAGCAGCAACTACAACAACAACCAGCCAATTCTACTGTCATCATCGAAATTGAACCTTTCAAATTACTAGCCCATCCAGTTTTTTATCCAAAAAATGAAAAGAAACGCAAGGCAGAGAGTCTCAAAGATGATTCTGATGATATAATTGTATAACTCCTGTCTTTTTTTATTAAAAAAAAATTGTCATATTCTAAATACTATTTACATATACACGTACACTCTATGGCTCATCCAAAAAGGACCGGCCATTGTCGATCCCGCTATTCTTCTCAATTACACCCCAAAGACGATCCATCTTGATGCCACCAACATTATCAGCAACATACATAGGTAGCACCTCTCCAGACTCCGGGTCCTTGTACTCCCATGTCACCCAGCCCATGCGATCACTCACAATCCGAATATCCTTGACCTTGATCTGGGTCGCATGCACTGACCGACCAAACGCTCCAATCTGTTCCACCACCAAAGTCTCGTCTTCTGTCAGTGTCTCATAGGTATATGATTGTGGCTCTTCATCAGTATACTCCAAGCCGTCCTCGCCTGTTCTTTTGTGAATCACCGGTGGTAGTCGCTCATACAATCGGAAAATGCGTGTCACATATGGTTTCGAAAGATACTGGAAAAATGGAATTGGAAGTAGCAATGGAACAACACCAAGGGTCGCCGCCAGGGCAGAAACTGAGGCTGTGGTTGTGGCAAGGTATCCAATATATCCACTCAGGGCAGCCAGACCTAATGATGCACGCTTTGTAAATGCAACTTGGGGACCGGCCGGTGCAACGTAGATCGGCCAGTTACTCAATCGGTACTTGGCTGTGTTGAGGGGTTCAGAAAAGTATCTGCCAGGACGTCTAATCCGAGGCACTCTTATCGGCTCATCAGGGAAGTTGGGGTTAATACCCTCATCGCTGCGAACAATAGTGGTGGTGTGGAATCCTTTCCGGGAAAACAAGCATGGTCTAATGCTGTTTCGTGCAGACACCAGTCTGAGCGAAATCATTTGTCAGTTTAGTGTGTATGTATATATATATAAAATATATATTGACTACTAGATCGGTTGTCGTCGTCTTCGTCGTCGTCTTTATCGTCGTCGTCGGCTAGCTTTTGTGCTGATGATGACTGGTGGAAAATTTTGGGAGAGAGAGAGAGAGACCTAAAGAAGGGACCCTCCCATGTGCTACTCTCCTAGTCCTAACAGCCGGTCCCAGATATACGCAAACATGTGCTGTCGTATACACAGTGTCTCTGTTTAAACAAGATTTTCATTTTTGGTGCAGACAAATTTCTTTCTTTCTTTCTTTCTTTCCTTCTTACTTTCTTCTACCATCTCCAACTTTGACATCTAAAAAGTCTTTTTTTTTTTCTTTAAAACTACGGCCAAATTCAATTCTTTTAAAACCTCTGGGAAACTCCCTGGTTACGTCTGCCTTTTTATTTATTCAAATATCCAACTTTTAACTTCTTGGGACCCTATTTTCTGGAACTTTTTATCCCATCTTTATTATATACTTTCATCTTTTTTTTTCTCTTTCTTTCTCTCTCTTAAACAAACCCAATATATAAAAGAAGTAGACTTGCCACTTATAGTTGTCACTACCTCTTTTATTTTCTATTTTGATCAATAACTTACTCCCCCCTTTCCTTTATGCCTTCTTCAGTATCTATCCCATCGTCTCAAATTCAAATAACTCATATTTCACCACAGAAATCCACATCAGAATCTGATTTACCTTTACCCCCCTTTTCCCAAAATGGTTTCTTACAAGACACTCACCAGCTCACGTCTCCAGAGCTTTCTGAAGACAACTCTGATCTCGACCAGAATTCAGACTCCAAACTAAACTCTGTCCATCTTCCCAGCGAAATCATGGTTAACATTTTTTCTTGGCTCGATCTTCGCTCTTTGGATGCTGCAGGCCTCGTATGCAAGCGTTGGTATCGCATAACATCCGATGAGTCAGTCTGGCGTGCTGCTTTTAAAAATACTTTTGAAGGCCACGAAAATTTTTCCCGCATCACTTCTAGTGTTTCTTGGAAAACAGAGTTTATTGAACGTACCAGTGCCCTTAAACGATGGAAAAAGGCCTCTGGATCTAGAAATATTTCTTTTAAAGTCCCCCTCCAGGACCTGACAAGAATTGCCGTGGACTTTATTGGTATGAGAATCATCTCCTTTTCACTAATGAATGAACGCGGTGTTGCTGTCGATTTGAGCAATGCTCGTGTAGGGTTCCCCTATATTCGCACAAGCAGATTAGGAAATGACAATGAAGACATTTCAGGTATTCCTGATGTCTCCAAATTCGGAATGGTTTTTCCATTTACTAATGGAAGAGTCACAACTGTTGCCTTTTCTCGTGGTGTTTCAGGCCGTGAATTTAAGCGTTTCCCTGTGACTCATGAAATGGCAGCAGTTACTTCTGCTTGGACCAGCAAAACTATTTCTCCCAAGACTCCAAATGCAATCACTTGTGTGACTGGTGATTCAAGAGGTTCCGTTAAGGCTTGGAACTTTCTCACGGGCGAAGAATTATTTAAGTTTACTCTTCCATCTTGGGAAGAAGAGCCTGCTCAAACAAGCAGAAATACTGGTTATATGCCCTTTGGAGATCTTACACCTGTTGTCCATATTGATTCCGATAGTGAAAAATCAATTGTTGTTTGTGATAATGGTGGTCGTATTTTCCATTACCGCAGAGATACTAAGGATCTTACATTTATTGGAACAACCCCAATCAACATGGAATCTGAAATGCATCTTCGCAATGGTTACTTCACTGTGGACTTTACTGCCGGTTATATTCTTTCACATGAAAATGATCATATTGTTCGCTATAGACTTGAAAAACAGACTGCATCTTCTGAAGCTAATGTTGTCAAACTTGTCACTGGAAATATCACTCTGGACAAGCACATGCTTGGTCCATTTAACTTGGATGAATCCTTGTACACTGGTATTGCTACTTCGACCACGCCTAAGCTGCTTCCAGGCCATGGATCAAGATTTCTTGCTTCTTTCACTGCTGACAATCAAGTTCATGTATGGGATATGCGCCAGCCAGCCAAGTCTAGTAACGATTCCATCCCTGAGATTCGTCCTCTTTATTCTATTGAAAATCCATTTTCAAAACAAGCTGAGGTCACTGGTGTTGCAATCAATTCACTTGTATTGGCGATTTGTTCCAGTAGTGCTAATGTCATGATTCATAATGCCCTAACAGGTAAACGCATTCGACTTGCTACTTCTAGATTCCCCAAAAAGATTTTGGATTTCAGCAGCATGGGTGATAGTCCTGCTTACCAGGTTGTTTTAGATCCCGATGCTACAAAATGTCATGGTGTGTTGGCTATCAATAATGCAGTTCAGTACTTTAGTTATGGTGTTACCACTACTGGTCAAATGACCAAGTCCAAAGGTGTTAAGAAGCGCATGGCTGGTCACCGTACTGGAGCAGCGCCTGCTGGTCCTCGTAATGAAGACTTGCTCAAGGACATGGAAGACGAATACCAGATTGCTAAGGAAATTGTTAAACGCCAACAAAATGAGGAGCGTCGGCGTAATAGCGCAAGTCGTGCTAGTCGTGATAGCAATCCAGAGACTGCCTTTTTGGATGAGATGACAGAGGAAGAACAACTCAAGTATGCTCTAATGATTAGTCAAGACGCTACTGGTTCTTCATCTAGCACGCCTTCTGGGTCAGGCTGTGCTATTATTGACGAAGAAGAAGAAGAAGAAGAAGAAGATGATGATGATCTCAAGGCTGCCATTGAATTGTCTTTAAAGGGTGTTGAAAATACAGACAACTCTGTTGAAAGTCACGACAAAGACTACGATGATTACGATGAAGATATTTATTACAAGGAGTCTGGGTCTTCAGGTCGTCAGTCATTTTCAGAAAGTTCTTTGACAAATGGTGATGGAGGATTTTTTCATGATACTATAGAGGAAGAAGATATTGATGAAGACTTGGCTTTAGCTTTGCGATTGTCACTTATGGAACAATAGCTTTATTAAGTTTCCCTTTTTGGAAGTTTTTTTTAAAATAAAGAAAACATATAAATTGATGTGAATTTTTTTTTTTTTTGCTTCTTTTTTACTTTCTTTTTTGATTCTTTATTCTTTATTCTTAATACTCCATAGCTTTTATTCATATTTCAATTATCATTTTCTTTTCCAATTGCTTTTTTTTTTATATCCTTCTCAAGCATATCAAAAGCCAATCTTTTTTTATCTATATTTCTTTTATTTTTTTTATTTTTTTTTTATAAACTGAATCTTTATCTCTTTATCACAACGATAAGTTTGTTGCCAATAATATACTTGATCAATCATGGCTCTTGAACTTGCAATTTCTCCAATTATGATTCCCTTGGCTGTTGCAGAAGCCACTCTGTGCCATTTTCACCGGCAATCGAGTCGATACAATCCCAATTGTGTACCGATTGATACAAGTAACACACGGCTATATACTGTGGTCCCACTAAAGCCTACAGCCCTACCCACGGGGGTTTTGAATAAGCTTTTGGCCAAGGATGAAGTGTTTCAAGTTATTGACGTTGAAACTGGGGTTGCAGTTTATGAGTTTCGTGCTACTTCCAAGTACTCAAAAGCCATTTTTGATTTTGTAGAGGCTTATAAACCATCAATAAAGACTGTTCCATTGGGAGTTGATGCATCTGGAACTTCCTCCACAGTTAATAATGATGATGAAAAAGTAACAGATTTACCCCCCATTGCTACAATCAGTGCAGGCATTTGGAGTACAATTGATTTTAATAAGTCTGCAAACAATATTGGTATGCCTCATTTTTACCAAGGTGTAAATCAAATTTCACACCAGTCTGATTTTTTAGACAATTATCGAGTATTTGAGCTGTCGGATGGGAATATCTATCAGTGGACTAAGCGTGGTATGTTTTTGGAACGGGTTTATAACTTGGGACAAAAGGATAGTGAGATTCGTGAACGTTGTGGTGGTGTTATGATGGGTAATGTTCGACGGTTTTATGAGTCTCGGGGCCAATCATTTAATGGTGATTATTCAGGTATTGGTCAAGCTAGTCAAGCTGGCCAACTACCAATTCCACAGCAACAGCAACAGCAACAGCAACAGCAGGCTGACTTTTTTGCTGTAGTTGGAGGGTCTGGAACTGGGTTTTCGATTGAGATTGATGAGAGCAAGGTTGACCGAGAAGTAGCGCTTATGACTGCCATGGTGAGCTTTTTAGATCACTGGAACACACTTTTGGGTGTTGGCGGGGTTTACTACAAACTTAAGACTGGCGGTGCAGGTGAAGTTCCCTGGCGCCGTATTTCTCGTCACTAAGAGAAGTAAAAAAAAAAAAAAAAAAAAAAAAAAGTAATGACGAGGTTTATGCTATAGAGTAGTGTATATGAAGTTTATTCAAGAGTAATTTGAGTAAGATGATGAAAGGTGGTTTATCTTTATTTTTTTTTTATTTTTTTTTTAATGGGCAAGCAAAGGATTATATATATATATATATAGATAAGAGCCTCACAATACTGTTTTGAGTAATGATTTGTAATATATTTCCTTCCCTCCACCCCACTTTATTTTTTTGTTTTTTTTATTGAAGAGCAAAAGATTTTTTTTTTTTTTTTTTTTTTTGCTGGTGATGATTAGAAAATTTAAATATTGGCTTTTTTGGAAATGGTGGTGGTGGTGGTGGTGGTGATAAGAAAAAATAAAAATAAAATAAAATTTTTTTTTTTAATAGTAATAAATATTTTTATTCCCACCAAAAACAATTCTATTTTTTTTTTTTTTCTTTCCATCTTTTTTCAATTCATTTCTTCTATCTATAAGTGAGACTTTGATTTATTTGCAATTTCCGTTTATTCTTTATTTTATTTATTTTTTATTTTTTTTTTTTTGAACCAATTTTAAAACACAAGAGGTGGGGGGGAAGAATCTTAAAAAAATTAAAATACCGCGCACGCAGTATTTGCACCCATGAGTGTGCTACAAGATCTCAGTATCAACACTGAAAATCGCGACAAGTTGCCTGTAAATAGTTATAACAGCATTGTATATCTTTCAAATCTTTCAAATCTTTCAAAACAGCCTCGTTTTTCAGAAATATCAAAACCTAGTCTAACAAACAAGCTTGAATCACTACTACCAAAAGAAGAAACATCGATACCTTCATCAAACAAGTATCCTGGGAAAATGGCTGAATTAACTCCAAAAACAAGACCCCGCACGCATGTTAAAGAAAAGCCTGAAAACCTTTTTTTAATTGCACCGACGGAAGAAGAAAAGCCTATCCATGATTCCTGTCGCATAAGATTTAAAGAAAACTTTGATTTTCCGTGTGATGGCAGCAGAAGTAACAGTAGTAGTAGCAGTAGTAGCAGCAGTAGCAGCAGTATACGTTCCTTGATGAAGGAAAAAACACCCTCTCCCCCATCTGGAAAGTATAATCAAAAGTACCTTATTTTAAACTCTACTAGCCCCTCTTCTATCAGCGAAACAAGTAGTGTCATCAACAATATCGCCAATTACAGTCCTCTTGATCTCAAGGTTCGAGCAGCGCATGGAACTTTACAAAATAACCTTTATGGAGGGGAAAGTGGGGCGGCTTTACTAGAAAACGTGCGTACCCCAATAGAAGAAAGAAGTCCTGATAATGACAAAAGATCAAAAATCTATTCTCAATCTCAATCTCAAGTTTCTCCCATTAAAATGGGTGATATTCTTCCTCCAAATATCATTCTAAGCACCCGCGATAATTCTTTTGACGACAGTGATGACACTTTTGAAGATACTCCGATTGTCTTTGTAAGTTCGCAAAAGCATCCACCTAGTAATAGTACCTTTTTGTTCCCCTCATTCGAATCTGATAACAATCTTGGAATGTATGCTCCAGAGTCGTCGTCATCATCATCATCATCATTATCATCTCGAACAGGACTACCTCCACCCTCTGCATCTCCAAGAAGTTCTGACTGTTCTCTAAGCAGTCTGAAAATTCTTGAAACTATTCCAGAAGAAGACCAAATTTTTGACTCGCCGCAACTAGACGGAGTTTCTTCCAGTTTAGAGTTTGTTGATAAAAACAAGTCGTCGAGTCATGAATCTTTGATGGACAAAATCTTCACTTCAGATGATAATGAAAATCCTGGGGCTGAAACACCAGAGTCTGAGGTTTCTTCTATAAATTCCACCGATGAAAAACAAGCTGTTTTTTGTGGCCCAAATCAAAGTTTGGCCTTTTCAAATAAAAATAATGATGATGAAGATGAAGATGAAGATAAAGATAAAGATGAAGAAAAAAAAGAAGAAAAAGATTTCTGCTTTAATACCAATATTTTTTTTGAATCTTCCGAAAATCCCACCAATCCGAACCAATCAAAAACTGCTGGTAATGATCTTTCAAAAAATAATTCCGGGTCTTTTTTCCAAAGCATGCCACCTTTTGAATCATCTTTGAGTCCAGGATCATCATTTTCCGTTAAGGAACAAAAACCTTTTGAGAACCACCAATCTCTTTTCCCCTCAAAGTCTGCAACTGTCATTAAATCCATTTTAAAAAACGGGGGGTCTCCCAAAGCATCGTCATCATTATCATCATCATCATCATCAAACCAATCTTTTAATCAAATTGTGGCTCCTATAACAAATGCATCTACAATTAAACCATCAACGTCACCTCCATTATGTTCAGCTTTAGAAAATAACGAGGATAATAGAAGAGCCCCATCTTCTTCATCTTCAACTTTTTCTCTATCCACATCATCTCCAAAAACTCTAGGTATTGATTCTTTTGCCATTCTATTACTTGGAATCGTCACTTCACTTTCTTTACCAACAGTTTTCCAGCATTATAATCATTCTGATTTTCTTATTGATGTGGCCACAGTCGCAGCACTTATACTGATGGACCATTTAACAAAACGTGGTGTATGGAGCTTTTATCGTGTTTCTCTCAAGTTCAAACGGAAACAAAATTTAAAACTTTTGAAGGAGCAGTATCGTTTTTCTGAATTTTCTTCTTCTTCAAGACGCGGGACGTCTCAGGAAAAAACTAGAAAAACGAAAAATTCCAAAAGGCAAAAACAACCTCAAAAGGCAGCAAGCAGAAGCCGGCTTTTGTGGTACAATATTGTGCATACGGTATATTTTTTCAACAGTGTAGCAGTAGGTGCAATTGCAGTATTTTCTCCTCTATTTATGGGTAACATGATGATGATGGCTCAAGATAAGCTGATGAATTACGGTAATGCATTGATGAGTGACACCTTTATTGCTATTTACGTTGTTTACGAGATCATTCAAGGAATTGCAAACCTTGCTCAGCTGGAGATTGAAAACAGTTTAGATGAAGAAAGGGGTAGTGAGAAACATGGAAATCCAAAGCAGCAGCAAAAGTCGCATGGAAATCGAAAGGGATCGATACTTTACATTGAAGATATCGATGTACTAAAAAGTGACAGCGACTCTCAATCTCAAAGTGAAGAAGAAGAAGAAGAAGGTGTTGACAGAGGTGTGAAACTTGGCGAATCAATCTCCCAGCTTGATCATAGTCTTAAGGAAATTTCAAGACGGCTAATTTCCAATGAAAATGCATGGGAAAATGAGATTGATAGTCTTTGGAAGCATCAAACTGCAACGCTGAAGAGTGTGAAATCATTGACAGCATCCAAAAAACATGAAGATGAAGTACATGCTCAGATACAGCAACAATTAAGTGTTTTGCAGCAACAGCAACAAGAATTGCTACATCGATTGCAGGAATATTCTCAAAGAAGGGGGAGTGAGGGGGATGATGAAAAATCTTGGAGTCCGATAGCAAGCAGTACCAGTAAAGAAAAGAGGAGTAAATACTCTGACAAGAGTAGCAAGTATTTGGTGATTGAAAATAGTGACATGAACCGTGGTTTTCCTAACGGCAAAGTTGCTGTGGGAGCTGCTGCTGCTACTGCTACTGCGGCTGCGGCTGCGGCTTCTAGTGTCACTGGTGGTGGGATTAAATCTAACTCAGTACTTGCTTTGAATAAATCCACCAACTTTGCCGGTCTTGATAACGGGGGTGGAAATGATGGAGACAAGAAGTTTCACAAAGGTCTGGTTCAAACGAGTTTGACGAAAAACATTCAGTCAAAGAAGAAACTTGCAGCTGCCGCTATTGCAGCTACTGCGGCTGCAGCCTCGCGAATGACAGATGCAACGGCTGGTGGGGCTGGTTCCTCCACAAAATCATTGCCGCAGCTTGGTGCGTCAACAACCAACGGTCATGAAGGTCGGAAATACATGAATAAGATTTTCAATCTTGGAGAAGGCATAGCTGGAGGTGAAGGAGCATTTTTCTTGCCAAACGAGGCTCCACGACGTGCTGAAGGTGCAACTACAAGCAATATTGTCACTATGGCAGCCGTTCCTGTGTCTGGAACTGCTAGTGGTAGTGGTAGTGGCAGCAGCAATGATAGTACGCTTGTTAGTGGGACTACGATAAGTACGCCAATTCCTGTTGAGTTTGGAAGAAACGGGTTTAGAGGTAATGAAAATGGTGGTTCTGTAAGATATGCACTTGTTTCTCAAGAGTGGAAAAAAGGTTCACCTCCAATGGAACCACCACCTCAACGGTCGCGTTTCCGTTTGATGTTACGAGTGGTGGTGTTACTGTTATTTTGGCCATGGATTGTGGCGTTTCATGCCATGTTACTTCCATATCGAATTAGTTACTGGATTTTGCGTGTTTCACATCAGATTGCAGTGAATTTAAGGGATGAAGTTAATGAGAGATTAACTAAGATTTTAACTTAGCGAGATAGAGGTTTTTTTTTTTTTTTTTGTTTTTTTCTTTTAAAAAAAAATAAAACGAAATTGAAATTACAAATATATATATTTTTTTATTATTATTATGAAAGCTAATAGTTTAACCTATATTGATAAGATAATTTTTTTTTTTCATGCTTATAAACTTTCCAACTTAACACAAAAGTTTTTTTTAAAGCTTTGATTGTGATTTTTATTTTTATTTTTATTTTAATTTTAATTTTTAAATACTAGTTATTATTCAAAACTATTCTTATTCATTTGATCTTTTAATACTTCATTTTTAAAATATTTAATTTAAAGAACTTGACGATTCATTGATTGAACTTTGAATTAAAGCTAGATCTACAGATGCCACATAAGGAATCAAGCAGTCACAAAATATTTCCTTGTGAAATTAATCTTAGGGTTATTTTATTAGGGTTATTCTTTATTAAAAGTTATTTAGCAATAAACAATCAAAACCCCAACTCAAGGTTAGGGTATAATGAAATTAAATTTTTGTGTCACATGATATTTAAAGTACTAATCTCCGTCTTAAAGTAGCAGTTTAATAGCAGGGTAAGGGCTATTTTAAAGTTCCTACGTTACAACTGGGGCTGCTACCTAGGTGCCGATCTAATTAATGCCTAAGGGCGGGTGACCATTACAGTGAATACAGAACCCACTCAATTTTGTGTGTGTGTGTGTGTGAGTGTGAGTGCGAGTGTGCGAGTGTGTGTGTGTGTGTGTGAGTGTATGTGTGTGCATGGTGGCTAAGAGAAAAAGTTTTATATCTCGTCCTTCCACAAAGCTTTTTCCCTTTTCCTTCTTTTTTTTTTTTTCTCCTTTTTTTTTTTTTTTTTCTCTCTCTCTATCGCCATATTCATTAACCGTCAAGTATGTGATTATTTCTTATTATTATAATAATACCAGTATTATTTTTTTTCTTGATTTTATACTAACTTCTAATTTAATAGAATGAGAGATAAGTGGAGAAAAAAGAGAGTTAGAAGATTGAAGAGAAAGAGAAGACTCATGAGAGCCAGAAGGTAAGTTTTTCTATTTGAAATTTGAAATTTGAAATTTTTTTTTATTTTTAAAAACTTTTAATACTAACTGTTTTTTTTAGTAAATAAACGCACAATGATCTTCTTGTTGAAGCCCGTTTCTTCTGAAGTTGCTGTTGATGAATGACCTTTTCTTGATTTCGACCCAGCCACCACTTTGCCGAATCAAACATTTATTTCCAGTTTTTTTTTTTTACGAATCGTTCTTCACCTTGACTAAATTTTTTAATGTGTTCATGACTACAAGAAATCAGTTTTATTTTACGAATCTCTAAATCTAAATTGTGTAAATTACAAAAATTTTAAATAAAAATCTTCAAAAACTCTTTTAAAAAAAATTATTGGTTTTCTCTAGTATGATCTTTGAAATGAGAGCTTGAATGCATTTAAATATAATTGTCATTCGCTCATAGTAGCTTTAAATCTCTTATTTTATTTTATTTTATTTTTTTATATTTTTTTGGATTTTGGCTAGTTTTTAATAAATGAAAAAAAAAAAAAAACGGGCCTTGTTTCTATACTTTAGTTTAAACCCCATAAAAAATTATATAAAAATTGTGAATCACGGGTTGAGGTTTAGGTAACTTAGTCAGAATTGCTTCTTGATAGAAACCTCCTCATGTCTAAAAAATTATATCCTTTATATCATATATATATTTATATATAAAGGTTTTGGTCACCCCGCTTTTTCTCTTCTTTCTCTTTCTCTTTCTTTCTATTATATCATTGCTCAAAAAAAAAAAAAAAATTTTTTTTCGCACGTTTAGTGTGAAATATTATCATCATTATTATCATCTGAAATTTCTCAATCATTTTCGGATCATTAGTCTCCATCGTCTTCCTTTAATCAACCTTCAAAATAGTCAACAAAAGACGGCCGCGCAAGATTCGGCCGCCTTATAGACGTTATGGACCTGGAGTAGCTGACTCGACGACTGTTTATCTGGATGCATCCACAAACAGCGACGGCAGCTGGCGCCCTCAGGGCTCTGGCAGCAGTAGCAGTAGCAGCAACAATTCCTCCAATACCGAGCAGCCCGCACAACTTGGCAGTGCCAGAGGCGCTCGGGACTCTGGGTTCGAAAAGGTTGACGTCCTGGCGAAAGCCATGGAGTCCCTGCGTTTACAAGGCGGCCCGAAATCTGCTGCGCAATCTAGCGCCACAAACGCATCATCATCATCTTCTTCTTCTTCTTCTAGCCAAGCTAAATCCTCACGTTCTGTGTCTTTGAAAAAGACCAATCCTAATTCTTGTTCCTCTTCTGCTTCTTCAGTTTTGTCTGATAGGAATGAGGAGGAAGATGCTGGCAGCTCGACAAGTACAACGCCTCCTTCTGGTTATGACGAAGAGAAGGGGCAGACTGAAAGTTCTAAACTACAGGAACCTCCAATTGCACCCATTTTGCGACTTCCTCATGAACTTTTAGATCTTATTTTTGATAAGTTGCCACACCCGATACCTGTTTCCTTGCTATATGTTTGCCGTCGATTTTATCAACAAGCTTTACCTTATCTTTATGCGAATCCTGTTCTTAATGTGTATAATTATCAAAAGTTTGTTGCTACAATTAGTGGATCAAGTGCTGGTCCTATTGTATCTTCAGGAGCGCAAATTATCAAAGGAAATCGCGGATTCATTAGCAAGAATTACCATTCTGACAATAGTAAGCATGGCAAAGATTTGGGCTCCTTTGTCAAGGTTTTGAATTTGACCAATATTATTCAAAGTGGCAAAAATTCCTACACTTCTCGAATTTTGCGGCGCTGCTCGTTGCATTTGAAAGAGTTTTATGCGCCGCAAACAAGTTTTGGATATTCGCCACTATTAAGTTTGCGCAGTTGTCACAACCTCAAAGTTCTTGATTTGTCTCTGGTATCGGAGACTGTTGATCTTCGTTTATTATTTTCGGCGATTGGCAATGCCCAACATTTGGAAAAGCTTGCTTTCCCTCGCTCATCAATCTTTTGTCTCGAGTATGATCATATTTGGCCACCTAATTTGTGGCAACTTTGTCTTTCTGGAGGCATTAGTAATGAGTTTATCATGTCGACGACGTTTCCAAAAACTGTCACTCATTTGCTAGTTACTCACTGTCCCTTTATCAATACTAATAGCGTTTTACTTCTTCTCACTCGCTTGGGACAGCAACTCAAGACTCTCAAGGTTATGTATCCAATGCCAGTACTGCGGCCTTATGCATTGGATCCTGTTTTCCGAATTTGTCCTGCTTTGAAGGATTTTTCTGTTTCTGTTGATTATATTTCACGCCATATTTTTGACGAGATTGAGATGGTTTATGATGAACAGGAGAAGAAGTTTGTTGGTCATAATCTTGAAAGGTTGTCTCTTGACTCTTCAGGAATGCTTGGTCAAGCTCATAAGATTGATCCTATTGATGTAAGCTTGGCGATATTGGATGAGAAGTTACCAAAGCTGACGCGTATTCATGCTAGTCTTAAGTTGGGCTGGAACCCAGCTACTGAAGATGTGATGGAGCTCGCAGAGATTTTGGAGGATAGTGATGGTGGCCTGTGGATTTCGTAAAGGAAGACAGGTTTATTTGACAATGATATTATTGCATTTCTTTATTTTTTTTTCATTTAAATGAAATTTTGCATTTTTACTGTACGTTTTGTAAAAATAAAATAAAATAAAAAAGATCAAAAGTTAAAGAATGAAAAGTACAATATACGTAAATTGTTTTTTTTTTTTTTTTTTTTTATAAACTTTTAAGATTCAAACTTTTTGTACCATGAATTTTTCATTTTAAAGACATGATGATGGTGTGTCAAATGCTATTCCCAAGTTGGTAAAAAATTTTTTTTTTCAAAGAAATAATGTTTTTTTTATTTTTTATTTTTATTTTTTCTATTTTAAAAAGCAATTATAGATTGAAATTGATATATTATATTGTATGTACATGGAGAAACAAATCAATTAGAATTTAAGATTGACTTATGAGATATTCTATTCCAAGTTTTATTTTTATTTTTATTTTTTTAGAATCTTGAAAGAGTTTTATGGTGATTGAAAAAAAAATATATATATATATATATATATATATATATATAGTGTTCACGTGATTATTGTAACACGTTGCGGCTTGCAATTGCACAAGTCGATTTTTTTTTTTTTTTCTGGGGTGGGTCTTCTTTTTTTTTTTTTAATTAACCAGCAGTAATAATAATAATAATAATAATAATAATAATAATAATAGTAGTAGTACGTACGTACGTAATAATTATTATAATTATAATAATAACAAAATTTATTATATTTAATAATTATATTTATATATCCAGTGGTGGTGCGTATGTGTGTATGTCAAACCGGACACATCAGCCTTTATTTATTTTTTTTTTTTTTTTCAGGCTGGTATATTTTAGCCAGCTAATTTTGCCAATCTGTCAATTGAATTAAAAAAAAAAAATAACCCTTTCCTTCTTTTTCTTCTGTCATCCCTTTTCTCATCCACATCATATTTATATATATATATATATATATAACTTCCATTCTTTTTTTTTATTTTTATTTTCATTTGGCAGTTAAATACTCTTAATCAACCTTCATCCAATTCTATCTGCTAGATACTCTTTTTTTTTTTTTTTTTTTTTTTTTTTATTTCTAGTCATCTAGTTCTTGTTCTTGCTTGTTTTGCTCACTAAAAAGAACAAGCCAACAAAAAAAATAAAAAGATAAAGAAGAAGAAGAAGAAATCTACAACTAATTGATACAAACAACCTTCTGTTATCACTATCTTTCACTCTACTCTACTCATAAGAATCATTATATTAAAATACAATGTCAAAGTCGTCAAAAAACTCAAAAAACTCCTCGGTGCATAAGCAGGAGAAACTTGCCAATGGCCCAGTTTCTTCTATACCAGAAAAAACTGTGTTAATACCAGCAGTCCAGACCAAACCCTTCTCCAAAGAAGATCCCATCACACCTCAACAATCCTATAACTCGATCCCTCCAGCAACTCTGGCCCAAGAACGCACAATCTCTCCCCTCGACCAAAAACTACTATTTGTCCTCACCATCTTCACATCATGGGTCCGCTTTTACAAGATTTGGAACCCCCCATCAGTCGTTTTTGACGAAGTCCACTTTGGTGGATTTGCTCGCAAGTACATTATTGGCCGCTTCTTTATGGATGTTCACCCTCCTTTGGCTAAAATGCTCTACGCTGTTGTCGGCTACCTCGCTGGATTTGATGGAGAATTTGACTTCAATGCAATCGGTCTCGAGTATGGCCCTGCTAATGTCCCCTATGTTGCCATGCGTATGCTCCCTGCCACTCTTGGTGTTTTGACTGTCCTTCTTACTTACTCTACCCTCCGTGCTTCTGGATGCCACTCTTGGTCTGCTCTCTTTGGTGCTGGTCTGCTTGCCATTGAAAATACCTTTGTCACTCAATCCCGTTTTATCTTGCTCGATTCTCCCTTGGTTTTCTTTGTCGCCATTACCGTCTACGGCTTTGTCAAGTTTCAAAACTACATCCCCCTAACTAAAGACTGGATCCGTTATCTGTTCCTTGCTGGTCTCGGTCTTGGTGCTACTGTCTCTTCCAAATGGGTTGGTATCTTCACAATTGGCTGGTGTGGTCTCTTGACTCTTTGGCAACTTTGGTGGATCCTTGCTGATTTGAAGGTTACCCCCCTCAATTACCTTTACCAATTCGCTTCCAGAGCCGTTTTCCTCATTTTCGTCCCCCTTTCCTTCTACCTCTCAATGTTTGCTCTTCACTTTGTCTGCCTTGCTAACCACGGCGATGGTGCTAGCTTCATGTCTCCTGGCTTCCAAGCTACTCTCCAGCATACTACCATCCTTAAGGAAACCCAAGCCGATATCGCCTACGGCAGTGTTGTTACTCTTAGACACGTCAACACTCGTGGTGGATTCTTACACTCTCACAACCACATGTACCCCACTGGTTCCAAGCAGCAGCAAATCACTCTTTACCCTCACAAGGATCATAACAATAATTGGGTCATTGAGCGCGACAATTACAATCTTACTTTGAACGATACCTCTTATGACTTTGTTAAGCATGGCGATATTATTAGATTGACCCACATGACTTCAAACCGTAGACTTCACTCCCACAATGTTCGTCCCCCTGTATCTGAGCAGGATTTCCAGAATGAAGTTTCTGCTTACGGTTACAAGGGCTTTTCCGGTGACATTAATGATAACTTCCGTGTTGAAATTGTCCCCAAGCAGAGCGAAAAGGGCGTTGCCAGTGAACGTCTCCGTGCTTTCGATACTCAATTCCGTTTGATCCATATTGGTACTGGCTGTGCTCTCTTTTCTCACGCCGTCAAACTCCCTACTTGGGGTTTTGAGCAACAGGAAGTCACTTGTGTTAAGAGTGGTACTTTCCCTAACAGTGTTTGGATGATTGACTCTAACAGTCACCCTAGAGCACCCCAAGATGCTGAAATTGCTCACAGACGTATTCCTTCCTTCCTTTCTAAATTCTGGGAGCTTAATAAGGTCATGTGGAATGTCAATGCTGGTCTTACTAGTACCCACACTTGGGAGTCTCGCCCTGAGTCTTGGCCTCTTCTCAAGCGTGGTATTAACTTCTGGGGTAAGGATCACGACCATGTTTATCTTCTTGGTAACGCTCCTATCTACTGGTTCACTACTGCTCTCATTGTTTCTTACCTTCTTTTCAAGGGCTTTGAGTTGCTTAGATGGCAGCGTGGATATGCTCCCTTTGATAGCGTTGCTTACCATACCTTTGACAAGGGCATGTATACCTATGTTCTTGGTTGGGCTACTCATTACTTCCCCTCCTTTTTGATGGAGCGTCAGCTTTTCTTGCACCACTATCTTGCTTCTGTTTTCTTTGGTGTTTTGGCCATTGCCCAGTTTTTTGAGTTTATTGCTTATGGTGTTTTCGGTAGCATCAAGCTCTTTAAGCTTAATCGCAAGGGTATTTACATTGGATATGCTCTCATGGCTGCCTTCTTTGCCGTCAGTGCTGGCTTTTTCTACCACTACTCTCCTCTTGCTTATGCCACTGCTTGGACCAAGCCTGTTTGCGAAAGCTCCAAGTTTTTGGATATGGATTGGAACTGTGGCCGCTACTTTGATACTTATGAGGAATACTACGCTGCCGCCAGCAAAAAGGCTCTTGAAGCCAAGCTTAACGGTACCATTGTTGCTACCAGCACTGTGAATACTGGAGTCACCCAGATTGTTCCTACCCCTGTTGTTGTTAAGCAGGAAGTTCCTAAGCCTCAACCTCCTGTCTCCAAGCAAGAGGCCCCCAAGAAGCAGCCCATCAAGAAGGAAGAGCCTAAGCCTGTTGTCCCTAAGCAAGAGGCTCCTAAGCCTGCTGCTCCTAAGCAAGAAGCTCCCAAGCAACAACCTATTAAGAAGGAAGAGCCAAAACCTGCTGCTCCTAAGCAGGAAGCTCCTAAACCCGCTGCTCCTAAGCAAGAGGCTCCTAAGCAAGATGCTCCTAAGCAACAGCCTATTAAGAAGGAAGAGCCTAAACCTGCTGCTCCTAAACAGGAAGCTCCCAAACCTGCTGCTCCCAAGCAGGAAGCTCCTAAACCAGCTGCCCCTAAACAAGAGGCTCCTAAGCAACAACCTATTAAGAAGGAGGCCCCTAAGCCTGCTGCTCCTAAGCAAGAGGCTCCTAAGCCTGCTGCTCCTAAGCAAGAAGCTCCCAAGCAACAACCTATTAAGAAGGAAGAGCCAAAACCTGCTGCTCCTAAGCAGGAAGCTCCTAAGCCTGCTGCTCCAAAGCAAGAGGCACCTAAACCTGCTGTCCCCAAGCAAGAAGCTCCTAAGCCCGCTGCACCTAAACCTGCTGCACCCAAGCAAGAGGCTCCTAAACCTGCTGCCCCTAAACAAGAGGCTCCTAAGCAACAGCCTGTTGTCAAGAAGGAAGAGCCCAAGCCCGTTGCTCCTAAGGAAGAGGCTAAGCCTGCTGCTGCTGAGCAAAAGTAAAAAAAAAATTGTTTATTGACGGGGAACTTTAGTTGAGAAATAGTCCCATTTTGTTTTTTGAATGCTGTATAAAAAAAAAATCTTGATTTACAAAAAACAAAAGAAAGAAAATTAATAAAAGTAAAAGTAAAAGTAAAAAAAAAAAAAAAAAAGAGGAAAACAATTGTAATAGCTAATTAAATTTTGGAATTAAAAAAAAATAAATAAAAGGAACATAAGCATATATATAAGAAAGAATATATTTATAAAGATAAAGTCTTCTGGAGAAGATTCTGTTGAATATTTTTTTATTTTTGATGAACAAGTCCTATTTAAAAAATTAAAAAAAAATTGGAAAAAAATTGGAAAAAAATTTTCTTTAGATTAATTGATTAGTTGATTGTTTTTATTCAAAAGTTATGAAATTATATGAAATCAATATCTTCACTATTATTCTTTTTTGTTCTTACTATATATTCGTTTTCACAATAATTATCTATACAAGAATCTGACTACATACCTTCGCATACCTTTTTGGCATGCCTCAAAAAAAGAAGATGTCAAATGGTATCAACATCATCTTTTCTCGTTTTTTTTTTTTTTTTTATTTTTTTTGGGATCTTATTCAAAATATGATATTTAAAAATTTAATTGATTGTTGTTTAAAATTATTTTAATCATTTTAACATACTTCAAAGTGATGGTGTTCACATAAACAAAGTCATTTGTTTGTTTGTTTGCTTTTTTCATTATTATTCAAGGGTTATAGAATTATATAACATCAGCATCTGCGCTATCCTTCTTGTCCATACTATATATCTTTTCATTTTCTTAATAAACTTTTTAATTTTGGCTTCAACATTGCATCTCCAACAGCCCGAAAATAAGTCCTGATGCCAACTTACGAGGAACAGCGGGGTTAAAAATAACCAAACCTTCCCAACTTATCTCCACTTATCTTCATCAACGCTGTAATCGTATTTCTTAATACCTCCAAGCAGAGATAAAGCTTACAATCTCCTGTAAGCCAGTTAAACTGTTTAAGAGAGTCGACATGTCCATCTCTGGAGATATCCGTTTTCAATCCTTTTCTTTCCTCTTCAAGCAAAGGACACTCAACCAAAAATGTGATGAACTTTTTCCAGCTCTCCACATTTGCAGTTGTAATTATCCTTTTCAATTCAAAACTTTTTAAACCACACGCCAAAATTACCATGGCCTTTGCAAAACTAAGTAATATTACTCAAGATCCTTCGACTATCTTTCTTCATGATCACTCCCGTGACCATTTTAGAAAGATTATCAGTACATTTCGACTCCACTGTGATATTATAATACCACAGATCCTTATAACTATTCCAATATATTTCTTTCCATTCCAAAAACAAACTTGTTTAAGTATACTAACTAAAGCAGTCTATTTCCTTACGCTTTTATAGATTCTACAAGTCTTGTACACTAACGACTATTTAAAGACTCCGTGGCCAAGCTGGCTAAGGCGCACGACTGTTAATCGTGAGATCGTGAGTTCAATCCTCACCGGGGTCGATTATCTTTTTGTTATATTTTTTTTGAAAAGATATAATTTGAATTTTTATTTTTTTTTTTTGGATATTTAGATTTAAAAGACAATTAATTGATTTTTTTTTTTTTTAAGTTAATGATCTTGAAAAAATGATAAATAAGATAATATATTTATATTCATTTGTCATCAATTAAAAGAAAGATGAAAAAAAAAGGCAGTTCATTATAGAAATATAGAAGTACATGAAAAAAAAAAATAACTACAAAGAAAACAGATATAAGAGAAGAAAAAAAAAAGTCGTTTCGTCGGAAATAAATCGAGTTGCAATTGAAATCAAGGGTAAACTCCCACGCTATCAAGCAAAAACACGCTGCCAAATCTAAAGAAAAAGATAATATCCTAAATGTTAGTATTTGTGGAAAATAAAAAAAAAAATAGAGGTTGAAAAGTTGCGAAATTTGTAGTAAAGGTCTATAATAGTATTAACCAACATACCCAAAACACAGCGAGGCGATAACTCCAGTGCCGAGAGTAGAAAGGGTCTGATGGAAAGATTCACGACGTTTAGGAGCCAAGATGAAAAGACCGGTAAAACTCAGACCGAGGATGATGAGCAGCAGAGCATTGAAAGATTGTAAGCTCAGAGGGAACATGGTTGTATATGGTGGGGCTTCTTCCCACAGTGCCTAAAAGCAACTTATTAGTTTTGTAAATCAATTGAATATAAAAGAATTGAAATAAAATGAAGATGAAAAAAGTTCAAAATTCTTTTTAAATACTTACAATCAAAGAAGGACGTGAATCAGTCATTGTTTTAAAATTATGGAAGGGTAATTTGAGGGAATACTTGTGACAATAATGACGATGATGACGACTATTGAAATGAAAGAGTTCTCTTGTATTTTTATTTCAAAAGAGGACAACAGATGGTACTGAACTTTTAGGCAAAGACTACGTGAACATAAAAGGCCGGGTAAGTTGTTTATTACAGGGTGAAATCTGTGTTCTATATTATATATTACTTATTACTATCATGTTTTGTAACAAAATATTTTTTTTTTTTTGGATCTCTTTTGATCCGCGTTTTTCGATAAGTTTTTTTTTTTTTCTGCTTTACTTGAAAAAAATACAAATAAACATATTCTTGTAAAAAACAAGTCAAATAAGAAAAAAAAAAAAAAGATATATAGGAAAAATGCGTCAAAAACGTATGAAATCATACCGCAAGCAGATGCAGTATCTGCAAGTCAACTTCAAGTTCAGAGAACCTTACCAAATCCTGTTGGACGATCAGATTATCCTCGAATCTGTAAAGAATAAACAAGACCTAGTCAAGGCCCTTGAACGTGCAGCCCAAGGAAAGATCAAGCCTAGTAAGTAACTGTGAATTAATGATAACTTTTATTATCATGAAGTTCTAACTGATTATTTAGTGGTTACTCAATGTACAATGGAAGCTTTATACAAGACCCAAAACCAAGAAGCCATTGAGCTTGCCAAATCATTTGAACGCAGAAAATGTGGACACTTCCCTCCATCAAGTTTATCAGAAGCCAGCAAAAAGAAAAAGTTTGACGATGATGGCAAGGTAATTGGTGCGAAAGAAAAGCCTGAAGAGACCAAAGACGAGGAAGCTAAGACAAACAATGAAACTAAACCTAACAAAAAGGGCAAGAAGGACAAGAAGAAAGATGATAAAGATATGCCTGACCCAAATGCAACTAAAACACCAAGTGCATGTTTGTGGACAGTTGTTGCAGTTGATAAAACTTTTAATAAACATAGATACCTGGTTGGGTCTCAAGATTTCCGACTACGAGCCCGATTGCGAGTAATCCCCGCAGTTCCTCTTTTATACATTAACCGCGCCGTCATGGTCATGGAACCCATGTCTGAAGCAACAACTAAGATGCGGGAAGCTATTGAAAACGCAAAGCTGACTGGTGGTCTGAACAAGTTGCCAGCAGGTATTGCGCCTCTTCCCCAAAAACGTAAGGCTGGAGAAGGAGATGATGAAAGTGAAGAAAAGGACGGGGATGGTTCTACAGCAGCTGAAGAGCCGGCCAAGAAGAAGAAAAAGGGGCCCAAGGGACCGCATCCATTGAGTGTTCTTAAGAAGAAAAAGAAACCGACAGTGAAGCACGAGCCTGAACCTGAGTCTGAGCCGAAGAAGGAAGAAACAGAAGGGGAAGGTGAAAAGAAAAAGAGAAGAAGAAAGCATCATGGTGGTAGCAAAAAGGAAAATGGTGAGGAGCAATCAAAAAAGATAGAAGACGATGCTACTACAGAACCAAACTGAATAATAAACAAACTACATTGAAGTCATGAATAATATACATATCTTACGAAATCAAAATAGAAATACTTAATGATACACTTAAAAAAAAAAATTGTATTAGAAAAGTGCTGTTATAAAAAAAATTAAAGATACATTTGAATTAAGAATTCATTATTTGTGTCTTTGTAGAATCCTCAAGCTTGTATAGTATTTTTCTGATGAAATGAATTTTGTTTAAAAGATTTTCACTGCTGATTAAAAAAAATTTTTTTCAGAAGAAAATCGTTTTTTTTTTTTTTTTCAGTGTTCAGCCGCATATTAGCAAGTCTGTGAAAATCAAATAGACCCTACAGCCGCACCTTATCTTAATTAATCATACAAAACTATTCTATCTATATACAAGACAATTAAAAAGAGTGTCTTTGTCAAAGTTTGTATTTAATAAAAGTTTGTTTCTAATAATATTAGAAATTAACTTAAAAAAGTTATTTTTTAAATATTCATTTAAGTAAAAATTTTTTTTATTTAGATATTTATCAAAAAAAAAAAAAAAAAAAAAACACCTTGTAGTTTTATTTCATTCTAAATATCTAAAAATTACACGCATTTATATGTAAAAATAACTACAATTCCAACTTCTAAGTTAGTAATGTTTTCATCAAAATGTTAAAAATAGTATGTACATTAATTTAAATTAAAAAAATTTACAGATCTCTTTAAAAGACAAAATATTGTTTGTTTGTTTGTTTTTATTCAAGGGTTATAGAATTATATAACATCAGCATCTGCGCTATCCTTCTTGTCCATACTATATATCTTTTCATTTTAATAATAAACTTTTAATTTTGCCTTCATCATTGCATCTCCAACAGCCCGAAAATAAGTCCTGATGCCAGCTTACGAGGAACAGGGGGTTAAAAATAACCAAACCTTCCCAACCTATCTCCACTTGTCTTCATCAACGCTGTAATTGTATTTCTTAATCCCTCCAAGCAGAGATAAAGCTTACAATCTCTTGTAAGCCAGTTAAACTGTTTAAGAGAGTCGACATGTCCATCTCTGGAGATATCCGTTTCAGTCCTTTTCTTTCCTCTTCAAGCAAAGGACACTCAACTAAAATGTGATGAACTGTTTCCAGCTCTCCACATTTGCAGTTGTAACTATCCTTTTCAATTCCAAACTTTTTAAACCATGCGCCAAAGTTGCCATGGCCTGTGCGAAATTGAGTAATATTACTCAAGATCCTTCGACTATCTTTCTTCATGATCACTCCCGTAACCATTTTGGAAAGATTATCAGTACATTTCGACTCCACTGTGATATTATGATACCACAGATCCTTACTGCTGTTCCAATACATTTCTTGCCATTCTTCCATTGCTTGTTTCTTCAAAATTCCAATCGTCTGATTTTGTTGTTGTTTCAGTGTAAGAGGTTCAACCCTCTTGCATTTTCGTTTTTCATCCTTTTTAATCATATAGTCTCTATCATCTTTCGCCAACATGTAAAGCGTGGTTAGCTTTGCAATTGGAGATTTCTCAATCAATGTTAACAAATGACCATTAATAGGATTAGTTTTGCTAATAAAGACAAAATATTGTTTGTTTGTTTGTTTTTATTCAAGGGTTATAGAACTATATAACATCAGCATCTGCGCTATCCTTTTTATTGTCTAACTATGTGACTTGCCGGTTTTCATTTGTACCTTTTTAGTACGGGTGGTTTCTGTTCTGTGCGTCTCCGGTAGCCCGGAAGATGGGCCCTGATGCCAGCTTACGAGGAACAGGGAGAACCAGTCTGTCGGTCCCAAAACCCTCCCAACCCATTTCCACTTATCTTCACGGACGCCCATGTATTTCTTAATCTCTTCCGTCAGAGATACGGCCCGCAATCACCTGCAGGCTATTTAGACTGTACGGAAGAGTCGGCATTCCTGTAACCAGGGTAGCCTATGGTTTTCAGTCTAGGTGTATACTCCCGTACACATCCTCAGGAAAAGGGGGTATTCTGGGAATCGAACCCAGTATCTTCCGCTATCGAGCGAACGTGTTACCCTTTACACCATCCAGCCCTTTCCCCCATTTAAAGACAAAATAATTTAAGAATTATTAATTTTGGTTTTTGTTCTTACTGCTTATAATTATTTTAAGTTTTAATTTTTTAAGAGTCCGATATAGTGTAATGGTTATCACCTCACGCTCTCACCGTGGAAATCGGGGTTCGATTCCCCGTGTCGGAGTAATTTTTTGCATTTGTTTTTTATAGCATTTCCATGGTAAGAGTAGGTTTTTATGATTATGAGCTATTGAAGATTATAGAAATATATATGTTTTTTTTTTTTTTATTTTCAATTTTCAGTTTATGAAGGCCAAAAACAAAAAAGAGATAAACTTCCTTGATTCTAAGTTAACAGAAGTGTTCCCCTAGCCCTTATTTCGTTTAGCAACTATTTTTTCACTATAGAGACAGAGGTTTTCATAAGTAGGATTTGAAATCTGCAACTGGCCTTTCCATTTAATAGAATGTTGCCAAAGGTTTATTGCAGATGTCTCTTTAGGAAAAAATAAGAAATTGGGTGAGAAAGAAATGATGGTTTCTTTGGAGGAAGAAACAAACAATAAAAAGATTAATTTGCTGTTGTTAACTCAGAAAGACTCCTTTTTTTTAAAATATTAACAGTAGATCATGAAGTGGACTATGAATCAAACCTTATTTGAGTCCTTGACCTCTGGTCTTTAAGTTTTCATTTGGTTCAAAGTATTTGGTTCAAAGTACAAATTTGTTCTTTTGTTCACTATCTTATATCCAAAGTCTGAGGTCAAGCTGTGTTTAGAATACTCAGTGTCATGTGACAAATAAATAAAACATACAATTCTTAAATAGCTTGCATAACCTTTTGTTGTTATCTGCACACCTTTAGATTTTCTCTAATTTTTTTTTTTTTTTTTTTTTTTTCCCTTCCTTCACTTCCAACAACCAAAGAGTTTGAAAACTGCCACAGCCACCACTATCATCACCAATAAAGCACCCTTTCAAAATATCTTTCATCTAAGGTATCACTGATTATTACGCGTGTTTTTGGTGTTTGCATATTTCATTTAATACTTGAGTTTCACAGGAAGCTCTTTTTTTTTTTTTTTTTCAATATTATTCTTTTTTTTTGCCCCCCCCACCCACACACACACTTACTGCCATTTTCCCATTATTCAAATATACCCTACATATATCACCATGTTCAGCATGATTTTTGGTAAGCGGTTGACACCGCAAGAACGTTTGCGTAAGCATCAGCGCTCACTAGAACGCACGCAGCGAGAACTTGACCGTGAACGAACTAAGCTAGAACAACAGGAACGCAAGCTAATTCAAGATATCAAGCGGTCGGCTAAGGCCGGACAGATGGGTGCTTGCCAGGTTATGGCCAAGGACCTTGTGCGAACGCGTCGTTACATTCAAAAGTTTTATCAGATGAAGACCCAGCTGCAGGCCGTATCTTTACGGATCCAGACGGTGGGTACGAACCAGCAGATGATGCAGTCGATGCAGGGAGCTACACGGGTGAGTAAATTTCATTATTTTTATTTTTTTTTTATTTCAAGTTGAAATACTAACTTACTCAATTTTTTTTTAGCTGCTTTCTACAATGAATCGAAGTATGAACCTGCCGAGTCTACAACGGATTGCTATGGAGTTTGAGCGCGAAAATGATTTGATGGACCAGCGCCAGGAAATGATGGACGATGCGATTGACGATTCTATGGAGATGGATGATGAAGAAGAGTCTGAAGAGATTGTGAACCAAGTCTTTGATGAAATTGGAATTGATTTGAACCAAGCCCTTGGCGCTACACCTTCGGGCATTGCAACAGCTGGCAGTGGAATTACAAATGATACTGGCAAAATTGCTCAGGCCGTGGGTGGTGGTGGCGGTGGTCATGATGATGACGACTTACAAGCGCGTCTTGATAGTCTACGACGATAATGGATCACGAAAATCCAGCAGAACCCATTTTATTTTTATATTAAAATTTTATTTTTTTTTATTTTTCAATATACACTTAATACTAACGCATTAATTTTTAAGAAGAAATTGCCGCTATTAAAATTTGTTCCCACAAAATCCAAAAAATAATAATATTGAAAAAAAAAATATTTCTATTACATCATAAGTCATTATTATATTCAATCATCTCTGATTTGTTTTCCCTTTTTTCCTTTTTTTTTTTATTTAAATATTGATGATCTTTTGCTCCTTAAGGTATTCAGTGATTTGCTGAACAGCCTCCTCAACTGAAATCTTGTCGTTATGGATGTGAATCTCGGGCTTGAGAGGCTCCTCGTAGGGAGCAGAGATACCAGTAAATTCCTTGATCTCACCAGCTCTGGCCTTCTTGTAAAGACCCTTGGGGTCACGCTGCTCAGCAACCTCGACGGGGATGTCAACAAAGATCTCGACAAAGGGAAGGTTGGCCTCCTCGTGAAGCTTGCGGGCAGAGTCTCTGTCAGCACGGTAGGGAGAGATGAAGGAAGTCAGGGCAATGGAGGTAGAATCAGCAAAGAGCTTGGAGACTTCACCAATGCGGCGAATGTTCTCATTGCGGTCCTTTTCGCTGAAACCCAGATCCTTGTTGAGACCGAAACGGATGTTATCACCATCAAGACGGTAGGAGTGCAGACCCAGAGAAAGCAGGTGCTGCTCGAGAGCTGTGGCGATGGTGGACTTGCCGGAAGCCGAGAGACCAGTGAACCAGAGAGTGGCACCCTTCTGATTGCGGAGCGTGGCGCGTTCTTCGTGGGTAAGACCAGCGTGCCAGGTGATGTTAGTAGCCATTTTTAGAGAATTTAGAGAGAGAATAAAAGAAACAAAAATAAAGATAAAGAATGTTAAGTTTATAAAAAAAAAAGGTATAATAGTAAGAAAGCAAGTAAGAAGGAAAGAAAAAAAAAATCTAAAAAAGTTTTGGAAATTTCAGACAAAAGTCAGTGAGTTTATATATCATTTTTCAGTAGCCTCCGGACAATTTGGCAAATACAAGCCACACACACACACACACACAGCAGCTTCTCCAGAATTAACGTTTGTGGCTCATCATTTGCCTCCAGTTCGACGACATTTCACGTGCTCTTTCGGAGAAAATTTTTTATTTTTTTTTTTAATTTGATTTCTATAGCAACTTTAAAGAAAAAAAAATAATAATAATAAAAAAAAAAGCATTGAATATATAAAAAAGGAAGAATTAAAAAAGATATAATGAAATTTCATTAAAATACTCCAATAATTAAATCCCCAGTGGCTCATTTTTGGCCGATGGTGTATGTGTGTGTATAAATCGTGGGGTTGAGATTTCGTGCTTTTGCAGGCTGATGTTGTAAGGCCAAGGATTCAGGTCTTATTGTGGCTTGCACCAGATCGTAACTGACTTGGCATTATCATCATAATTATTTCGGATGAACAATTATTTCTCATGGAATAAACTATACAAATTACAATCAAATAAAAATCAAAATTAAAATCAATTATTCTATAGTTCATTTAATTAATACAAATATGCAAAATCATAATCATCATGGCTGGGTGTTGAAATACGCCCAAAGGTCATTAAGTTCATTAAGTTGAAGGATAAAAGGTTTATTATCATTAAAAACCCTCCCCACCTTCTTCCCGGATCCTTGTTGAAATGATCACGAGAGGGGAATGTGTTTCATAAAAAAAAAATCATATGCTTGGTTGAAAAATTGGGAATAGTTAAAAAAAAGAAGCCACTCAAAATATCAATCACTCTTCTGGTGAAGTCTCATTCTTTGCTTGAACAAAAACAGTGTTCTTAATGATGGCATGCTTAATGGCTCCAACAAAACAAATGCAAACATTCATCAAAACAACACAACCAAACAATGCACCAATATACTTGAGCCCAGAGTTATTAAACTCGGCTTCCAGATGATACCATGCCATGGCCATTGTGCCAATAGGGAAAGTCGTGGCCCACCATGACATGTTATATCCAGGAGGAGGGGTAGTCAGTGTAAAGAAGGCTGCCAAGGTGAGCCAAAACAGGCCAACGCCAATTAAAAACAGAGCAACAGCCATAGTAACAAAAGAAATTGCATCCACGGATTGCGGTGTGACTTCAATGATACCAGTGTAGTGTTTGGTAGAATATGGAGCAAAGACCTGCTTGTACAAGTCTCCAAGAAGCAAGATACCAAAGGCACCTTGTCCCATAGGCCCAACAGGAAGAAGAGTGGAAAGAATAATGGCACCGGGCTGAGTGGACTTGAGAAACAACCGGGCAAGGTAAATAGCCATACAGGCAATAGCAAGCAACTGACCATTTGCCCACATCATAAAAGACACAATAAGAGTGCTTGCCTTTAGAGACTGTGGCAGTGATGTTGCGATAAGTGCACCAGTGGCAGATGCAACCACAAGAGGAACAATGGGCAAGAAGATGGTAGGATTAATGGCTTCCAAGTTAGGACGTTTTTGGTACACAAACATGAGGTAGCAAACACCCCAGCAGGATGCAATAGAAAGGAAAGTGTCGATCCACCACATGACATAGCAAGCGACCCAGGTCCCAGGCATATCGTAGTCCTGTGACATGAGATGGAGAACGTTAATTATAGTGGCAAAGCCCATAGGCAGACAGCCCAAAAACATGGACTGACCAGGATGCAGAAGCATGCGCTTAAGTTGCTCAGGATATAAAATGAATCGGAGAACAAACATTGTTAAGCAAAGAGTGAAAAACAAAACGTTGATACCCCAAACAGCCATACCAGCGATACGAAGACCCTCATGGGGGAAGGGGAATGAGTACAAAATGGCAGAAGAAACACCTAAACCCATAACGGCAGAGAACCATGCTGGAGAAAAGTGACGAATACGGAATGCCAGGTACGAGTTGCTAGGATGTACCAGTGTGGCTGATGAGATACTATTGCTGTCGTCGCCATTTTTGACTGGAGTAGTTCTGGAAATAGTGGCTGGGCTATCTAGTCCAGCCTCAAGATCGATATTGTTGATATTGTTATTGTTCATTTGGAAGACGGTTGAGTTTGAATTAAAAGACTGTACTGGAGAAAGCTTTTCTTCTTTTCCCGTTAAATGCTTATTATTATTGTAAGTATTCATCTGAAAGGTTTGCAGATTGCCAGTAGAGTCTTATATTGCTTTATATAAGTTTTTCTTTATATATATTTAATAGAGAATAAGGAAAAAAAGACAAAAAGATAAAAGAACTGTGGCTAGTGCAGATCCTGGCGATATTTATACTTTGAGATATGAGAACTTTTTTTTTTCCTTATTCCCCCACAAGGTCGTGGCGTATAGCAGACCCCGAAATACGACAAAAGGCTTTCTTCCGGGCTGTGGCTAGTGCCGTAGTTAACATTCGCCGCACTTCCCAACACGGAAATTTGTGAAGTCGCAGTGTCTAATTAGACGTTTGTGGCTAGTGATGAATTAAAAAAATTTTTTTTTCCTAACCCCCGGTTGAGAGACAACCGACAAAAGAACAAGTTACTAGCCACAAACACAAATTAGTCACACTAGCCACAATTCAACGTTCATAGGCAAAAAGGAACGGTACCCGACAAAGTGAAAGGCAGCAGAGTACACACAAAAGAAATCTTTAAAGCATTTCAAATCAAATCTAGATTGGGGGGAGGGGGGGTTTAAACATTGGAAATGCTTATTAAAATTAAACAAATGATTGGAGATTAAATTTGAAAGCAAATTTTATTAATTTTCTATGTATACATTTTATATATAAGGGCATTTTTTTTAGACTACGATTAAAAAAAAAAACTACCTATTTTAACAGTTAGTAAAACGTAATTTAAGGTGATAATGTTCAAGCAAACAAAACGACCATCAACTCTTTTAACAAATATCAGCGATCTTGGTGTTATAAGGTGTCCTCACAATGGAATAAGACAAAAGTAGCAGGTGTTTTATCATCACTAAAAAAGAGTTGAATTTGAATGGCATTTGTGAAAAAAAAAAATTTCAATTGACTTACGTTTTACAATTGACCCTTCATGGCAAATACTAGAAAATATCATAAAATCATAAAATCATAAAATCATAAAATCGACAAAATCAACAAAAACTCTAGAAAACAACAGTTAGAAAATAATCCCAACAATAAATGAAAAAAAAACCAATTCATAAGTAGATGAATATCAGAACAAAATTATTATCAATTCACTAGGTCCCATATGAAAATAGGCGTATCTTCGAGTACACTAGATCGTCAATCGCAAATTAAATCATCATGAACAAGAGAAAAAAAGGCTCAAATATAAAATCTCACTATTGTACTTACATAGAAAAGGAGGTATTCTATAGACCCAATAACGCTCCTTAGAGCTATTTGTCGAAATTTAGAAGTATTGTTGTTTCTGTTGAGAAGGTTGAAGGAGGGTTCACTAGGTGGGGGAATTTATGGTTAGTGAGGGGTCTAAGAAAAAAAGGGGGGAGAATTTTTTTTTTATGAACCCTTACCTTTTTGACATTTCTTTACATTATTATTAGGGTTAAGCCCTAGATTTTACAAAAAATCTTTAGTAGATTTCAGTATTTTTAAATCACGTGATGAAACATTAATTTTAACAAAAATAATTTTGAAGGAATCCATCACTCCCCCTATTTTTCACTTTAATTTAATATTTTCAGATTTTGGTGCTGGGTACTTATCTTTATATGCCCATGAAAATTTTTTTTACATATCATATATATTTCTAGATTTTAAACCCCCTATATGCTTATATGTTTGTTTTATATTGATAATTGACGATTGATAAATAAAAACCTTTTCTTGTTATTGCATCAATCTAAAAATGCAGACAATTGTAGTTTTTTGGTAGCATATTTTTGAAACTTGCCAACTTGTAATCTTTAAATTGTAGATTGATTTTTGATCTTTTTCTAGGCCACTGAAAAAAAAAAAGAAAGAACTAATAGTTCTCATATATATCGTTTTACTAACCATTCTTTTTGTTCTTCAATATATGATTTTGTGAGCCTCCGCTTTATTTCCCATTTGATCCATACCCAAAGCTTCACTTATGTATTCTGTTATCCATCTTTACAAACTGGCTCTTTCTTTCTTTCATATAATTGATACTTAAAAAATTATCAGAACATCAACTAATCTTTATGAACATATTCTAATACTATATTAACCAACTTAAATTCAATTAAAACATCGTTTTTTATATGAAATTTCACTAAAAAAAATAGGCCTAATAAAACTTCAAAAGCCAAACAAGTTAAAATCACGTGACATATGACAAATTACCTAAGCATGTCATATGCTGATTACAAAACTGAAAATTTTTTTCCATTACACTCACACAAACTCCTGAGTCGCTCGTTCCTCCCACTCTTTTTCCCCTTTTTTTTTCCTCCCCTCCCCTCCCCCCTCCGTCGTTGTGTCGATTTTTTATAATCTCTTCAGCTCTCTGTCAGCCCACAGAACCACCACATACACAACTCAGTCAGATATTCACAATGTCTATCACTATCGAGGAACCCCAGTGGAAGTACGTCGAACTTGGCCGCGTTATCTTCATCGCCCAAGGTCCTGCTGCTGGCAAGATTGCCACCATTGTTGAGATCGTTGACCAGAAGAGAGTATGTCTTTGAAGTCTTACTATGCCATGCAAGTGACTAGGGAAAAGAAAACGAAAATGAACAGATACCTTTTGAAATGATTTTTTTATAAATATGATACCAAGGATGGAAGCTTTTTGATTTATGGATTCATGAAAATAATGGCAAAATATTTTTATTTTTATTTTCAATCTTTTTCTCTCTAGTCGACCTATGCATTTTACTTTTACAAATTATGTTTACTAACTTATTGTTTTAAAGGTTCTCGTTGATGGCCCTTCCGTTGACCGTCAGGCTGTCTCTCTTTCTCACACCACTCTGACTGACTTTGTCATTGAGGGTCTGTCGCTGGCTGCTCCCACCGAGGAGGTTGCCAAGCTCTGGGCTTCTGCTGACATTGACAGCAAGTGGGCCGCCTCTGCTCTTGCTAAGAAGCTTGCTCAGCAGGAGAAGCGCGCTCAGCTCACTGACTTCGAGCGCTTCCAGGTTTCTCTTCTTAAGAAGCAAAAGAAGGCTGCTATTTACAAGGCTGTTCAGGCTTAAATAAAATTCTTCCTTCCTAATGAAAACCAAACTTAGAACGTAACAACTCTGGTAATGATTTTTTGAACAAAAAAAAAATAAAAAAAAGGGAAAAAATTTACATGGCTGATTTTTTTTTAAAGAAAATGAAAATCGATTTCTTCATCGTTTCTCTCTTGTCATTATGAATCTTGCGTAGCGTATTTCTGAAATTTCCTAGTCCAACTTTTTCTTAACAATCATCGGTCTTAGTGTTGGAAACTCAAGGCACGTGCATGTTAACTACAGTTAATTTCCAACACATTAGTTTGATATTGGTTAAATTAATTAAAAGCGTCATACGTAAAGACAATACAATATGTGTATTGTAGCAATAGTCAAATGAAATAGGATTTTTTTTTTTATAATTTCATTTCATTTTACTACGTTGAAAACTGATGCTTAAAGCCAGTTGAAACTGGCAATGTAAGATTTACGTCATAAAGCACAGTTCTTGACTTATCAAATATTCCATTTATTCAATCAAAAGCTATCCGATATATAAACATCCTAAGAGCAACTTATTCATTAGTCTTTGGTTGCTCCTTAAAGCGAGAAGCTCCAGTTTTACGGCAACAATACAAATAAAAGTTCAAGGTATGCTCAATCGCCATTCTAATATACTTCCACGCATCCTCTCTTGTTACGTTCCAAGGAATATTAGCTGGACGTTTCATCATGTGGCTCACAATGTGCGGAGGCACATTCATTCGATCAAAGGCCTGGTCGTCCGCAATGAACTTGCAATGACTGGATAAGAAATGAAACATATCCAAGAGGCTTGCTGATGTTTCATTAGTGTGCAAAGCATCACCATATGCCAAAATATGACTCAACCCTTGAACATTATACAAAAAGTTATCAGGATTATTGAGCGTGAGGGCAACGGACTTTACCAGGTAATCCATTGACATTGTGAATTTAGCGTAAGCGTCTTCCATCTGAAAAGCATAAATCATGTACAATTTAACTGCGGGCCAGTCTTTAAGCGTCTTAACAAGCCCATATATTTCAGCCCATACCTCTTTGGTAACATACATTTTAAGAAAGTGAAGTTTATCTTTTCCGTTTGCGTTTGATCTTTTCGCTGCACTTTCGTACCTTTCAATAAAATAAGACACATCTTTCCCGTCGAAAATTGGAATCTGACCTGAATTTGGCATGGGGAAAGGTGTCGGTGGAAACGTAGTTACTGGTCTATCTGGTTTCAAAACTGGCACTCCACTTTCAGAAATCCCTACAGTATCTAGAAAATTTTCACACTGAAGCATTTGTGATAAAGACTGACGACATCCATAGTAATGGTACTTGATAGTATTGATTTCTTTGATAAGACTTTGGTTTTCCTTTTGAAGTTTTCGCATATCATGTTGTAAAGCTGTCACGCTGGGACGATCGCTTTCCGATGAAAGAACATGCTGTAATGTGGCCATTGATCAAAAAAGATTTGATTGAGAAATTTTACGTTATTTTTTTTTTTAAAAAAAATTGAGAGGAATAGCTGGGTTTATATGAATTTTTATTCTGAAAAACCCTGGCAAATTGATGTTACGAATCTTGCTTCAAGTAAACATATAACTTCACATTAAATGAATGGCATTCGATTTTTCAAACAAAGACATCTTATAAGTTATTAAATTCTTCATAGCCTTGGTAGTTAGATTTTTAACAATAATCATTTAGAAACAGAAACGCCCAGTGTTGTATCTACATTTTGCAAAGCCTTATATATAATGTGTACTTTACCAACTAAATAGCTATTATAAGCTTATGCGGCTTTATATATTAAACATCAAATGCAAAATTGAAATAAACAAATTTATATTAGCTTTTAAAACAATTTATGTTTAATAAAAAAAATTCTAGAGAGTTGATCATATAAAATTAAAAAGAGTATAATCAAGGTTCTGTTTGAATAAAATTATGGCGGTTGTACTTGAATACTGTCAACTTTGTAAATAGTGAGTACTAACATAAGTACATCATTTCTTAAAAATATTTAAAATAGTATTTGAAATAATCAACGACAAAAATACATAGAGTCAATTATTTTTTAATAAAAAGTAGATTAATATTAATCAATCAATTGAATCTTAGTAGCGTTTATAAACGTGTGATATGCTATGCCTGATAATATGGCCATACCATCTTTGGGGCGAGAGAATTTGCTATTATATAAAAAAAGATTTCAAAATCTCTTTTTGAAATGGAAAATTTCAAATAAATGCACATTACAGTACAGTTCTGTACTAATGCCCAAAACATGATGAGAGTTTAAGGATTCTATTCGGACCAGGGTGATTTTTATTATGTAACATTATTTCAAAATATGGGCTTTTAATATGATTATCGGTTAGGAGTTCATAATATGGAGATTTCACAAGGGTAAGGGTTTATTTATTATGAGAAATGATTTTAAAATGAAGTTTTAAAATATAAAAAAGGCCATAAAATGAGCTTTTGAAGAATCCACTGGGGCAAGGGTAATTTGTTATTTAAAGGCTTTCAAAAACCAAAATTTAAAATAGAAGATTTATATACAACAAATAAGCGAAAGTCCTGTGTTACGGCTAAGAATTTATGGAAGGTGTTCGGAGATAAAATTTGGATTGAATATCAGGAGGCCCATAGCCAATTTTTAGGTCCCTCTATTGATATCCTGTGCTATAGTCGTATATCCATTTAAATTTAAAAGAGAATACAATTTACATCAGTAAAAGGCCAAATTTTAATCATAATATTTAGTAAAAATTTAAAACGAGCGACTTAAATTAAATTAACGAGCGTGAGAACAAATACAAATCAAACAAACAAAAAGAGCGTAACAAACAAAAATTATGAAAGGACTATGTAATAATGGTAACGAATGACAAAAGTAGGTAAGAGGTATTAAACGAGAGACTAAAAAGCGAAAAAAAGCAAAAGTAAACGAGTGACTTAAGTGATAGAAAGACAAAACAAAAGGTCAATAATGAAAGTTAACAGTAGCCAGCTACCATTGATTTTATTTATTTTTTTTTAAACATTTCATATCTTGAACACCTTTTAGTTTGCACTTTGAGTAAAAGTTCCATTTTGATACTGTACATCTCCCAATGGAACACCAGAAGGCAAGATTGGTCCACTAGATGTAGAGGATATTTCTTCACTAGTATATGAGCTACTGCTCTTTACTGTATAAACAGTGACAGGTGTGTTGTAGGGAGGCAACGTGAAATTAGATGAATCAGTAGAACTTGACTCTTCAGCTGATGTTGTCGATATGCTGATGGTGACATCTGTAGGGCTAGGGTCTTGATAAACATCAAGACTGGTGTATCTTCTATGAGTATGATGTGTAATTGTTGCTTCATCAGAAGTAGAAGAAGATTCAGAGGTTGTGGAAGACTCAGAGGTAGCGGAAGACCCAGAGGTAGTGGAAGATTCTGACAAACTAGTTGATGATTCAGACAAAATGGTAGAAGATGTTTGATCAGCAGATGCTGAGCTGGATACCGATTCAGAAGTCAAAGAAGTTTGAGCTGCAGGATCATAAAGAACAGGGTCTGAATATCTGGTAGTACGAGGTCTTGTATCAGAAAATTGAGTAGAATCTTCAGAAGACGTTTCTTCTGTGGAAGGAGAAGCTTCGCTAGTACTAGAGTCTAAGGATGAAGTGATTTCAGAAGAGGCCTCAGTTGTCTCAGTAGAAGAGCTCGATTCGGAAAAAGAAGTTTCAGAAGAGGAGGTTTCAGAAAAAGAAGAAGTCTCAGAAGAGGAGGTTTCAGAAGGTGTAGTAGTTTCTGTGACATCACTGGTAGACTCTGTAGACTCTATTGAGTAAGTTGCAGGTCTAACATGGGGATTATGAATGAAAGAAGGCTCGGGAGTCTCAGTGCTAGACACTACAAAAGTACTGTTAGAAGGAAGTTCAGTGCTAAAGTATGTACTCCAGTCCTCAGAAGAAGTCTCTGCATAAATAGAAGTCTCTGTTGCAATAGTGACAGCTGATTCCAAAGGAGCAACGGTATTGTTAAGTCTATGGTTCAAAGGAATGACAGTAGGGAAAGAAGTGGGTGTCACGGTAAAGTTGGTCAAGACAGAAGCGGAAGGAACTTGTTGCACAGACTTGAAGTCAGCTGCTGTATCGTTTTTACCAGCAAGAGGGGTTGCCTTTGCACCAGAACTCTTAACTGATCCACTAGTGGTACTCGAGGTCGGACGAGTGCTCGAGCTGGAAATGGGTTTAGTGGAAGTAGAAGTCTTAGCAACAGGCAAATTGATTGTATTATCTTTAGTAATGATCTTTGTGCTGGTGGTCACTGGGGTTGAAGTAAAACCAATAGTACTCCAAACCTTAGTAACGATGGCAGGCTTCGAAGCAGTAGAAACGGTTCCATTCTTAGCAGATGGAGGTTGAGTAAAAGCCTTAGTGGTACTGGCACTAGAAGTAGACTTGGTGGTAGCAATAGTAGTAGTAGTCTTAGCAGTAGTGGTAGCAGTAGTTTTAGAAGTAGTCTTAGAAGTAGTGGTAGCAGTAGTCTTAGACGTAGTAGTAGAAGTAGTGGTAGCAGTAGTCTTAGACGTAGTAGTAGAAGTAGTCTTAGACGTAGTAGTAGAAGTAGTTTTAGCAGTGGTGGTAGAAGTTGTCTTCGAAGTGGAAGTAGAAGTGCTACTAGTACTAGCAGTAGGATGGGTTGTGATAGGACGTATGTGAGTTGTTCTAGTTGAAGAAGAAGAAGTTCCAGTTGTCCATGTGGAGGAGCTTGTTGGCTTGGTGGAAGTAGAAGACTTTGAAATTGAAGAAGAAGTAGTAGAAGATGATGGGCGAGTACGAGATCGAATGGTGGTTGATGTAGTGGAGCTAGTTGGAGTGCTGATAGTAATTCTATTTGTATGAGTGGAGGTAGTAGTGGTAGTCGAACGGCTGAACGAGCGGCTTCTTGAGGGTGTGATGGTAAATGTTCTGTAAGTGATAGTCGTCACAGTGGGGAAGATGGTTGTAGTAGTTGTTGACCAAGATCTGGTATGAGATCGGGACTTTGAACTACTCAAAGATGTAGTTGGCTTAGCATGAGTCGTAGTAGTGGTAGTTTGTGTAGGATTAGTAGTTGTAGTAGTATGGCTAGAAGTTGTAGAAGTGGATGTAGTAGTAGGGCGAAGCTTTTTAGTGATAGTAGTCTGCTGGTAAACAGTAGTTGGACTATGCTGAGTCGTTGTAACTGTGAAAGTGGTACTGACACCAGGCTGAGTGAAAGTCAAAATCTTGGGCACAGTATAGATGATCCGAGTAGTTGTTAAATAGCTAGTGTACTTGGGAGTATTCCAGGACCCACTATCTTTGTCATTGCTAGAATCGTCACCCGAATCATCACCCGAATCGTCACCCGAATCGTCACCCGAATCGTCACCCGAATCGTCACCCGAATCGTCACCCGAATCATCACCAGAATCATCGTCACCAGAACCGTCATCATCACCCGAGTCGTCGTTGCTAGCACCCTCATCACTGGAATCATCGCTGGATCCGTCATCGTTGGAACCATCGTCACCAGAGTCATCATCGCCAGAGTCATCATCGCCAGAGTCATCATCGCCAGAGTCATCATCGCCAGAATCATCATCTTCCGCAGCTTCATCGTAAGAATCAGCTTCATCGGCAGAACCATCATTGGAAGTATCATCATCGGCAGCTTCGTCATCGGCAGCATCATCTTCATTTGTTTGACCTTGGTCTTGGGCAAATGCATTTCCAGAGACACCGTTCTCATCAGCAGCCGCAGCAGAGTCATCTTCAGCATCAGTATTATCATTGGAGGCAGCCTCGTTGCCGTTTTCCTCAGGAGTTACTGGATTCTCTGCAGCTTCATCACTTGTATCATTGTCAGCTTGAAGTGTCTGGTCATCGCCTTGGGCCTCAGTGTTATCTTCAGTTGAGTCGTCATCCTCTCTCTTTTTCCGGTTAAGGAACTCCTCGACATCATCCCAACGAATGAGATGGTCATTCTTGGATTCCCCTGTAAGTACAAACTTGTTGACAAATTTGTCTTCAGAGTTATTGTCTAAATTTTCTATCAGATAATTGTTGATTTGTTGTTGTTGTTGCTGTTGTTCTATTTGTTCTTGGCCTTCGGCTGACTCGAATTTTTTTTGAACTCGTCGACCAGTTTCCGGATACCTGCCGTGTGCTGGGGCGTTCTTACTTGGGTTATTGTTTGCTGCATTTGCAACGTTAAGACAAACAACGACAAGTCCTAGGACTTGACTAAAGGTATATTTCATGGTGTTAAAGAAAAGAAAAAAAAAATCAAGTAAAGGAGTGACTAAAAGTTGAAAAGTATAGTGAAAAAAGAAGGACAAAAAAGAATGAAAAAAGAATGTAAGATCAAAATCTTAGATCAACTAAGAAAGTTTGCTTGTTAGATGAAAAAATGAATTTATAAAAATTTGAAATTTTTTTTTGAAATAATAGGAAAAAATTGAGATATATTTATACTCCTTAACGAAATAAAAGATTTCCAAATTTCAATTAAATTGAGGTTCATATCTAAGCGAATTAATATAAACGGTAAAAAAAGAAACGGGATCTATGTTTGTTCTTAATTCATTAGATTTTATTTAAAAAATGGATTTAATTACTTTGGAAAAAAAAAGCTAGATTTTAAAATTAAAGTAAGAAGCTTCCATATTAGCTTGTCAATAGAAGCTAGGTTAACTTTATTGTTTCTAAATATGTCACTAAAAAGTGAACATTTATGACCCTGTATAATTTTTTTCTTAATTATTAAAAAAGAAACGAGTTTCAGGTTTAATATAAGATTGTAGAATGAGATAAATAAAATAAATAAAATAAAAAAATAAAAAAAGAAAATAATTATTTGTGCATCATTTCAAAATTAGGTACAGATTTATTTGACTTCATTAAAAAGATTTATACATAATAAAATCTAATTTAAACATTTAAGTACCTTTTTTTTCAAGTAAACTTATGAATTAGAACTTTTCAATATTTTTATTTTACAATTTTGAATATACAGAAAAGAATCTAATCTATAAATGGATATATTTCTTCTTCTTGTTTTGTTCATTTAGATTGTTCTGGATTTTTTATTGCAAACCTTTAAAAAATTTAGTTTTTTTTTTGAAATGAATTTTTTGGAAGTCCAACTGCCCATTTTTTTTAGAATGGTGGAATCAAAGTGCCGAGAAATGTTCCTGTTGCACATGAATATTCTTCCAAGGTGGGTAATTTCATTACCCCTAGCCAAAAAGAAACTTTAATTCAGATATCATATTTTTTTATATTAAAAGTGAAACAATTTTGATAATCATTTAGATAAAAGCAAAACGTTTGTTTGATAAAAGAATATTCAACAATTCTTGTGACATTATATGACTTATAATAAGTTAATAAAAACAACTCTAACGCCTTTCTTTAATTCAATAAATTGTTACAGAACAATAAAAAAATTGAATGCAATCAATAAATAAAATCGTTTAAAAGTTATTCTTTTTTTTTAGAAAATGACTTTGATGATGCTATATGGCTATTATTTTTTTTTTACTCTCAATACAAAAAAACAAATACATATTTTTTTTTTCAGTTATTTATGCAAAAAACCTTTAGTTATATAAATTTCTTCACGACAATTCAAAGCCTGCATCTGCATGAATAGAATTTAAAATTTTTTCTCTGAGAATTTTTTTGCTTTTATAAGCAGGTAATTTAATCAGATTGATGCATGTTGATGAAGTGGGAAGCCGCTGTTCGTCAGGACCAGCGTTTCGAATTGCAAAATGAGGGTTGAGAGCTTCGAAACCCAAGAGTGGAGCTTTTGGCACCGAGGTGACAAACTTGATGAACCTGGATTTGTCCTCATCACTAAGTTCCTCAACGACTTCCCAAAAGTACTTGATGGTATCATCATTTTCTTCGAAATTGATAAGCACACTGTTCTTCCTGAGATCATCAATGTTAATGGCAGCAGGTCTTCCGGAAATAAGCATTTGAATTTCCCGTGCATTAAACATGGACAACCAGCGGGGTGGCAAAATGACTGAAAGACCCTGTAAGAACAATGAGGTTTGCTGGTGCAACACAATATTTAGCTTGTAGTTTGCGACAGCATGAATGTATTCTAAGCGGTTTGCATTTGTGACTGGGATATTGGCGCCATTTGGTTTAAGTTCGACAACACTTTTCAGGCCATGCCCAACTTCCTGGTTAATTGAGAAATCCAGCATTAGATCTTCCACATTTCCTGGGTAATTGTAGAGCTTGATGAGATTTTCGTAAAGTTCTGGATCAAATGAGTAAAGATCATCAAATGAGTTCCGGTATCCCATACCAGCAGCCGCCCATTTTTGTAAGAAGAAGGGTGCAAATTCCACATCAACTAAAATGTTTTCATAAAGACATTTCCCAATAATCTTTCCCAAGAACACCATATAGCGGTTGGCATCAAGCTTTTCTTCATGGTCGAGATTGGTGTACTTGCGGGAGACACCTAATATAGGATTGGGGAATAAAAGATGTTCTCCACTAGATACAAAAAGACCTTCTTTGGTTTCCATATTGTATTCGTTATCAGGTGATGGTTTGAAAGCAGTCTTACTAATAATTGTCAAAAACTCTTTTGTGATACCGGCACCAACACCAGCCTCGACTCCGTACTCATTGGAAAATCGGACAGCGATTGGTTGTCGGAAATCCGAGCCAAGCTTATTGAATGCAGTATAAGCATCTTCGAGCAAATAATCACGACGAATGACACCGGTTTGGCGAGACTCTAAGCCAAAGAAATTAAGTGTAGGAGGGTTGGTAGCAGCTTCTTCAGCCCGAAGATTCTCAATGAATTCTTGGAAAATTTTTAGTCTTGTGTCAAAGGGAATAAAGAATGGTGCTTGTCTTAAAATTTCCAAACGAGGTACAATACCACCAAGAGACCTTGGGTTTGAGTCTGAGATTTTAGATTGACGATAAGACTCCTGTTCCACATCGTCTTCGTTATCGCTATCACTATCGCTAAGCTCATCGTCAACCTCCATATTTCGGGCCTCGTTTTCACGCCGCAGCTGTTCTTCTTCTTGGACCACAGAGGATATAAAATGTTCAATTTGAAAGTTATTGATCATAAGCCAGAAATCATTAGGCAAGAACTGTCTTCGGGAGTCTCGAATGTATATTTGGCGCATAACCAGCACACAGCTGTTAGTAACAGAAAGAGGAGCCACATTTAAAAGGCTGTTTAATTTTTGGTCTGTGGAGATTTCGGAAGCATTCCAAAGTAGAGAAAAACAAATGTTGCGTAAAAATTGGGCAAGGTCTTTAACATTTTGCTTAGGAAGACCATGTGTTGTTGAAGTGCCATGGAATTCGGCATCGTTTGCCACAATCAACCAATACGAGTATAGGTCAAGAAATAAGGATAGTAAGGAAACTGTTTGTGCACCATTTACCTGGCCAGCGGGCATCGGTTCCTCATCAAGTAAGATTCTAGCAAGCGTATTTTTGTCAGGGGATTTTTCCAAGACCATTTGACACAATGATGTAGATTTGATTGTTTCCCAAAGTTGTTGAATGACAGCAAGTGGGGAGAGAGTGATAAACATGACAATTTGCTGTTTTTTGATAGGATATAGAGATGTAAGTGATGTTACAATTGAAGAGAATAGAGGAAGATTAAACTCGGGCGACCCAAGCAAAGTATCCATTATCGAGGTGAAGAAGGAACGACCAGTCAGCTCGTTCAATTTTGTAATAACAAAATCATTTGTTGAAAGTAGAAATATAGGATTTTCCGACAGTTTTTTAAGTCGTTTTGCAGTTGTTGTTTTAGAGGGAGGTTCGATCTGGATATTGATGGGAGAAATAAATATGTTGAGAGTTTGATAAAATAAGCTTTGATCTGCAAGAGTTCCAAAAAAATGATAAAAGTTGACAAGGCGCCAAACGAGATTTTCTTGCGAAATAACGGGGGCTTTAGATGGATCCAATGCAGAGTATTTGTTGATAAAGGTCTTGAGGGCGTTGGAATAAGGTAAGAACTGAGAGGAAGTGAAAAACACATGAAGGCCAGGTGTTGACAAAAAGGATGCGAAAAAATCAATTGCATGCGAATAGCTTTCAATCTGGTGTGAGATAATTTTTATTAGCGAGTCTCGGACAATTGTGATTGCCTTAGTGTTTTTATTATAGTACTGGTTTGGGGCTGTTAGCGTGATATGATTGGCGGTAATAGATTGGATGTAAGCGCCACAAGTAGGGAGCAGTCCTGTGCTTGAAAAGTCTTGAAGTAATTCAAGGGCATAAAGGATATCTGCGTCAATAGGTTTTGGAGCACTTTCTATGATTGTTGTTTGTTTACTTTTAGTCTTTGGTCGTAAAACGGTTGATAGTGTATCAATAAGGGTGACTACTAAATGTGCGTCAATTTGTTTTTCTTGAAACTGGTCAATGTTATTTTTAAGAATTTTTAGAATGAACTTTACTTGTTCCTCGTTTGTTGACGATCCAGAAAATGTATATTTGAAAAAGAAGTTGAATTGAAGGAGGCAGTTGGTGAGTTGGGGTTGGGACATTATTACTAATTCCGTGCTTCCCAGAAATGAAGAGTTCCATTGAGTTTCAATTTCGTGGCGAATGCTCTCAACTTCTTTACGTGATCGATAAAAGGACTGGATCTTTATAGCTGCGTTTTCTTCTTTCCGAGCTTTTTCGCGGCGCTCACGATCAAATTGTGCGCGACGAACAACCGAGTCTTTGCTAGATGCGGTGGCGTTTCTGCCGCCCAGATTAATATGCCTTGCTCGACGATGCTGGCCGGTAAAATTCATGCCATACATTGTTCATTCAATCTTGCTAGTGAAATGAAAAATATTAAAAATAAAGCAAATAGATTATGGATAGGATGATAGTTTGTGAATGTTGAATTGGTGTTTGATGGCGAGAGAAAAATAAATAAATAAAAAACGGGTTTGTATTAAACGGTTTGTTAATGGAGGCAAAAAAAAAAACAAAAAAACAAAAATTGAGAAATATTGAGACGATATGCCGAGTTTTTTTTTAGACAAACGGAGGAGGGTGTAGCACATTTTTGTTACATGCTGAGGTTGTAACAAACCTTAGTACAACTAACCAATTTAATTTACCCACAACAAGTAAATTCAAATTCAAATTCAAATTCAAATTCAAATTCATTTTTATAAAACACTTTTCTCTTTTTTTTTTTTTTTTACATATTTTTTTTACATTTTTGTAAAATTAAAAACAATAAATAAAAAAAATCATTTTAATTTTAAGTATGCCTCAATATGTTTGTCATTTTGATTTATATTGAATAGCATCATCATCATAATCATTATCATCATAAATAAAAAGCTTTGCTTTCGTTCCTTACATCTCCTTAAATCATGAAAGCAGTCATGAAAGCAACTATCAGCCCCAGAATCAGAGGAACAACAACATTTTTGCTAGCAGAAGATTTTGCTGCAGTGGTGGTTGCAGAGGGTGAGCCTGAAGCGGCACTAGCTCCTTCAGTAGAGCCAGCATCTGAGCCGGAATCTGTAGAGGCAGATGCGACTACGGTGGAAGCTGGGGACTCAATTGAAACAGAGCTCACAGTAGCGTTTGCAATATTATAGAGTGCATTTCTGCTAGTTGAAGTGAAAAGTGTAGAAACAGTGGAGACCTTATAAGTCGATAAAGTTGATGAGTTGGAAGAAGCAATTGACGACGAAATTTTAGTTGACGAAGAAACCTTAGTCGAAGAAGAAGATGAAACACCGGAAACAACAGAAAGAGATCCAGTATATTGAGCGTGCTTTCCAAGTGCAGAAATAACGACAGTGGAATGTGCCTTTTTTGATGAAGAAGTAACGGCGCTGGAAGTTGAAGTTGAAGTTGAAGTTGAGCTAGGAGTTGAGCTAGAAGAAGTGGAAGTAGAAGTAGAAGTGGAAGTGGAAGTGGAAGTGGAAGTGGAAGTGGAAGTGGAAGTGGAAGTGGAAGTAGTAGAGATGGACTCGGAACTAGAAGTTGGGATCTCAGTACTTGTCTCAGGGATTGGTGTCGAAGATTCGACGGAGCTGCTGCTGGGAATACTGCTAGAGGTAGGCTCAACTGTAGAGGAATATTCTTCTGAAGAGGTTTCTATAATTGAAGAAGAGGTGGGTTCAACAGAAGAGGAAGTTGGTTCTACAGATGAAGAAGTTGGCTCAACTGTGGAAGAAGTTGGCTCAACTGAAGAAGAAGTTGGTTCGACAGAAGAAGAGGTTGGTTCGACAGATGAAGAGGTGGGCTCAACAGAAGAGGAAGAAGGAGTGGTTTCTTCAATAGAAGACGAAACAACCTCTGAGCTGGAAGTAGTAGTAGTAGTAGTAGTAGAAGAAGAAGAGACTTCTTCAGAGGAAACAGTTGAAGAAGCAGCAACAGATGAGGAGGACGAAGCAACTTGACTTTGCGAACTTTCGGAAGAAGATGAAGGAGAAGAACTAACACCGTTAACTTCGAAAACTTCAATATAAAGCTTGGAGCCGGGCTGAGCAGTACCGACGCAAAAGTTAGCACCTCCGGAACCGGTGGCAGCCAAAGTTGAGTTGACATCATTGACAGCGCCGGTGGCAGGGTTAATTTCACAAGGAAGACCAACACAGTCACCGTCACAAACAAGACGCATACCAAAGTCTGGGAGCTCATCGCGGAAGGGAGTTGTAGTCTCAAGATAAACGGGGTTCCAACCAAGTTTGACATAGGTGTTGCCACTGTCATCTGTGTTTGCACCGGCAACATAGGGTGACCAGTTTCCAACAGGACTGGCGTTGGTACCCCAAATGCAACCGGTTGAGGCGGTGACACCAGGAGCGTTGATGTAATAGTGTGCTGCGGTGCTAAGCCAATAGGTTGGGTCAGGGACAGCAATGATTTCAGTTGAGCCGGAGGTGACTTCAGTGGGGATTAGCATAGCTTCATTTCCCGGAAGAACAGTTTGGCAGAAGGAAACGATACCTCCACAAGAGTTTTGGACAAGGCCGGCGCCGGAACCATCGACACAGTAGGGTTTTTCTGGGAAAGGTTTTTCGATTTCACCATTTTCGTTACAGTAAAGACCGCCATTCATTGATACCGGGTAAGTGTAAGAAGTGGCTTCAGGGTCCCATTGAGCCATGACTTGACCAGGAGGACACGCGTAAGGGCAATAGTTGCCTGGTAAGCATGGTTGGTTGGGAGACATTGCCCAGCCGGCGTTTTCACAGTCAGGTGTGACGGAGACAAGACCGACATCAGTGGGGAAAGTACATTGGCCGGAGGACGAAGAGGAACTGCTGTTACTGCTGCTTCGGTTTATGAGGTTTGGGTCTGCACGTTTGTGTGCTGTAGCGTGGCTGTGAAGACGTTGGATTTCAGGATGTCTGGCGTGGAATTTTAGATCAGCGGATGCGGAATCGAGGTTGTCGAAGGGGATATTTTGATGCCGGTCATGGATAGCAGCGATTGCAACGTTGTTTAATTCGAGCGCGTCATTATGGGAAAGACCGTGTCTATGGTGCAAAACGCGTTTTTCAATGGCAGCGACTGCGGAGAGCAAGGTAAGAAACGCAGTAGAGTATGTTTGAATTTTCATAATAGGAGTGGTAATTAAGATTGATTGCTGGAACGAAGGTTGTTAAGAGTGGTAAAAATTTTATAGAAACAACATGGAGACGAATAGAATGGACCACTTGTATAAAAAAAAATAAAAATAAAGTTGAATAATAATACGCAAAGATTTGAGAAACGAAGAGGAAAGTTGAATAAAAAAAAAAAAAAGAGAAAAAGTTGAATAAACGAGTGACTAAAGGTTGAGCTGAGGATTAAAAAAGAGTGTAAATAGTTGGCACAGCAAAAGCCATATAGAAATAAATAAAAAAAAAAAAAAAGAGGTAAACGTAAAAACGTTTAGATAGAGAAAAGAGGAAGAAGAAGAAGAAGAGGAAGAAGATAGAACTATCACGATAATGAAAATAATAGTAAAAAAAAAATTAGGTAAAAGGGGGTTAAGAGGGGGGGGAAGGAAAAAAAAAACCGATGAAAATAAGGAATGGAGTATTTTTTTTTTTTTTATTCTTCACCTTTTGGTCCCACTAAAAAGATGCGTCAAATGGAATATTATGGTGATGATGATGATTATGATGGTGAATAATAATAATAATATTATTATTATTTAAATACATTCACGCTAGCATTACATACGGCATATGTCCGGATATATGAATATACGCTAATAATAAAAAAAAAAAAAAAAAAAAAAAAGCCAATTCAAAGACGACGCGACTTTTTATCTCCTATTTCAATTCCCCCCCTTATTATTTATTTACTTTAGGGTTCTCAATATCAAATCTTTAAATAAAAGAAAAATGAAATAAAATAAAATAAAATAAATATAAATATAAATATATATAAATTTAAATTTAAAGTTTTTTTTTTTTTTTTAAGATCTGATTTTCGATAAGTATCAAAATTTTTTAAAAAACTTAATGTTTACTGGTCCCATGTGATTGCTTTATTTTTTTTATATATTTATTTATTTGATATTTACATTAAAGATCTCTTTTTTTTTTTTTTTTTTTACTTAATAAACTTGTGTTGCTGATTCTATTCATGTTGACCCATCGCGTATTGAAATTGCGTATACACATTATTATCCCTTTACCAAAGATGGATTTATAATAAAAAAGAAAAAAAACATTTTAAAAATTCAAGTTCATATGACATCAATTAAAATAAAATAAACATTCATCTTACTTTTTTTTAAGGGTTTTTTTATTTCAAGTTTTTTTTTTTCATTTCATTTATCATATTTTTCAGGAGTTTTTTTTTTTTTTTTAAAAAAAATTGTGTGATTTACAATTCATGAAAATCGCGTGTAAACGGGAAGAAACCCCATTTTGGTCTGTGGGGGGGGAATTACATCAGTAGTAAAAACCTTTTTTAGGCGATAACCTTTTTTGGAGAGAATTACCTAAAATAGACTAGTAGATACGGCTGTACAGACATTTTTAAATTCTTGGCATTTACCGTTTAAGGAATGGAATGCACGGTCAAAAAAATACTACAACTTTCAGTCTCTCTCCACCCCCCCCCCCTTTTAAGTTTAACTAAATAGTGTAATGTCACAAATTCTTGAGACATAAAAAATAAATGATAATCATGTATTAGTCAATGCTTATATAATTATATATATATATATACAAAAGAAATAGAAAGCGTCTTACATTTGGACTTTAAGGCGCTTTTGGATTTGCTACTTTGCTCATAAAAAAAAAATAAGAAGACTAGAAGATTTGTAAAAGTAGCAGCAATAAGATTTTTTTTTTATTCTTCTTTTGAAGTCAAATTGAAAATAAAGTATTCTAACTTTATATAATAACATGTTGATCAAAAAATAAGTAAATAAAATAAAAAGAAATCATCAAAGTATATTTACTGGATCAAAAAGAAGAAGAATAAAATAAAGTAAAATAATAAAGTAAAAAAAATATACGGCTAATGATAATTTGTCTCAAATTTCGCATAATATTTAAGCTTAATAGAAAAGAGTTTGACAAAGACACAAAACAGCCGTGAGATAATTGTTCAAGTTACAGTAATGGAAGAGAAATATTACTTGTTACTTAAGATACAAGGCTGAGGAGAAAGATTTGTTTATAAAAAAGAAAAAGAAAAATTAAATTCTCAGATTTTAAATATAGAAATAAAAAAAAAGTGGGATTTTCATTGTAAATGGGACTTTATTATTAACTTAGAAAGAACAAAAAAATAAAATAAAATAAAATAATAAATTGACTGTCTTAAAATGCAACCAGCCCAGCATAATGTTTAAAAAAAAAAAAAGAATATCACTTTAACCACTAATAATGGGCTAATTAACAAATCTTCTTCTAAAAAGAAACAATGAAGAACAATTAAAGAAACAAAAAAAAGGAGGGTTTTATAAGAATTCCAGTTATTTATAAAGTTAACTATTTAATATTTGCTAGTAATGATAATACTTTTTAGCAGTTAAAATAATAGTGAATTATAATAATGAAATCTAAATATATATTATCTCAAGTAATTTGTTTTTAAAATGAGAATCCATGAATGATTATTATGTTTGAACATTTGCATGTGCAAGCTAAATTTGGAGCATTGTGCAAAAAAAAAATCATAAAATAATCTTTAACTAACAATAATAATATTTTTTTCAATCAATTTAAAAAAGATAATTTTAAAATTAAAAGTTTTTAACAGTGTTAAACTAATCAATGTTAATAATATCAACACATTTCAACTTTAATTAATTTTATTGAAATCACTATAATTCTATTATTTATTTATTTTTTTTTTTTCATTTATCTACCATTAGAAGATTCTTAAAAAAATTATAAAGGTTCTTTTCAAACTTTCCAAATAAAAAAATAAGCAAAACCTTTTGAATAAAATCAAAAGTTTTTACTTATTTATTATTTTGAATTCTTTATATATATAAAAAACTTGAGAAAAAAAATAAATAATATCCCAAGTCTATTTATTTAAATGTGCACTTGTCCCTCTTTTTTTTTTTTTTTTTTTTTTTTTTTTTAAGCTCCAGCCTCATGGCTAATTATCCCAGACCCTTGCCAATTTCTTTCATCTATACGGAAATTTTAGGAGTTACCAAAGTGTTTATAAAAATATCTTTTTTTTTTCTTATTAATTTAAAATTTTAATTCATTTATATATTTATTTATATATATATATATAAGAATTTGACAATTATAATAATCAAAGGTAACTATAAATACAAGGCGTGAAATGTCATACTGTGCACAGACATGGGTCGTTAATGTATGTTGGCCTCCTTTTTTTTTTTTTTGTGTGTGTGTGTGTGTGTGAAACTAACTAAATAAGCATGCATAGCAACGTGACTCTCATCACATATTTAAACAGAAAAAAAAATAACGAGGATTTGTTTTGGAAAGGCCCTTTTGAAGTTGAAACATATCAATGTTTTGGAATCCAAATATTTTCATGATATAAACAAATACATGTTAATTTTAAAGAAACAATAATAATATCACATTTTTTTTAATTAAATTAACAAACTTTTCATACTAATAATCATATTAATCATAATAATAAACAATCTTTGGTTATGATCGGCCCACTCTGCAAATCTAAAAGTAAATCCAAGTACTCCCATTCAATCAACCTGTTTAGGCCACACTGTTATCCCCCCTCCTAGTCTTATTCCACATTACTTACTGCCTTACATGCAATCTTGAGCCTCTCCACGACTGCCAAAAGTTCTAAAAGCTTTCATTAGTTTAAGAGTCTATGTATATTTCAACTAAATGATGATGATAAGAGTATTTGAATTATTTATTTTTTTATTTTATTTCTAATATTAATTAGCGTAGTATGACATTGACATCAAAAAAAAATATTACATGATTGTTGATAAAATTTGATTGCAATATTCAGTCGTAAGAATATCATAGATAGATACAGATAAATAAATAAAGTTTAAGGTTTACAAAAAAAAAAAAAAAACTGGTAAACGAAAATTTCCAAACAGCGTATGTTTCAACCTTCTTTTTTTCTTTACTATATATGCCACTCCAAATCATTTTGGTTTCAACCCCAGTCAGATTCTTTTCAAATATGTCCCAGGGCAAAAAAAAAAAAAATAAATAAATTAACAAACCAAAAGACCGTAGACGCTTTTTTTTTTTTCATATTTGAGACGTCATTGTAAAATAAAAATAGAAATACTCATCATAGTTTCTTTTTGATTTAAAAAAAATACTAAATTAATGAATGGATCACAACTGTTACCAATTAATTCACTTATTAATTTTTTTTCATGTCTTTGAACAAATTTCCTAAATGCATTTATTTCCAATTAACTCCTGTGCAAAGACCCTAAATTTCCGTAGATCCTTACCTTTTTTTTTTAAAACCAAAATTGTTCCAGAATCATTATTGTTCTATTCCATTAAATAATATCATATCATTTTCATTATAATTTTCAAAAAAAAAAAAAAAAAAAAAAAAAAAAAATTAAAGTCGCCTATTTCTAGTAATAAAAAAATAAATCTTCCAATGTTCTAGCTTAACTCTATATTACTTTTTATGCTCTATAAATATATTTAACATTTATATACTATCAACATGAAAACTTCATTTTCCCAGATTCAATACATTTCACTTCAATTTATTTTTTATATTATATTCTTCAATTCAATTATTTAGATTATCAAACGATATATTCACACCATTATTTTTAAAATAAAATCACTTTTATTTTTCCCGGGACATATATATATATATATAAATATATATATTTAGTCTACGATTACTTCGCCATTGTTTTTTTTCAGGCGTGTTTTTTTTTACTTGTTTCAACAAATACACTTTGCTTGCTTAATATGAAAAGGCTTAGCAGTGAAGGGATAAAATTAGGAAAGGGTAGAGAGATTCATTCATTCATTCATTCATTCATTCATTCATTCAAAAAAAAATTATAAAAATAGAATCAAAGGGTTATTGATACTGAGATAATATATTTGTTGTGAATAACCTCACATGAATTTTGTAGAATTAATTTTCATTTTGTCTTTGCAGTAAAGGCGCCGTTTTCGCTCTAAAAATTTGCAATTGGTAAATAAAGTAGAGAAATCAATCAATTGAAGAAATTGAAAGTTAGCATAGCTACAATAATTCAAGATTTTCCTTCTTAATTGATTATTATTTTTTAAGTAAAAAAAAATTATAATAAAATTATTGAGATTTATTGATTGAAAAGTTTGAATTCAATTAAAAAAAAAAAATTAGTAGTGGTGGTGATGGTGATGGTGATGGTGATGGTGTTAGAATTAATTTCCTCTTCAAGCCTTAATGCACTTACCCAAATTAGTCAACTTGCGTATTGATTACTGCGCTAACGTATCACAAATGTATCAAGGCTAAGAAAAATAACAACAAGGGTCTGTCACTTGAGGTTAAAATGAATATCAACAATAACAAGCTTAGACCAAATGAATAGTTGTATATATATATATCCTCATTTTTTCTTTTAAAATCAAATCTTTTCTTCTTTTTTTTTTTTTTTTTTTTTTTTTTCTTTCTTCAGCAGCAACCAATTAATCAGCAATACTCCAACTTTAAGTCTTTCTTTCTTTTCTTTTCTTCTTTTCTTCTTTTCTTCTTTAACTTCTCTGGTAGAAGTATCTTTTTTTAATTCTCTTCTTTTTTTTTAAACTTCTCTGGTAGAAGTTTTTACCTTTCTTTTACTTTCGTTTCTTTTACTTTCGTTTCATTTAATTCTTTCTTTAAACCTTTAATTCTTTTTTTTTTAATTTACAATTACTGGCTCATTTTTAATTATTATTAATTTCTTAATTCAACCAAAAAAAAAAACAACTCTACCTTTTCTTAATTAATTTACACTGCTGTTTTCAATTTGTATGTATTCACAATAGCTTAATAACAATAAATATCTAAAACCTTACAATTCTAACATAATCTTAGCATCCTCATCATCATGGTTTCCTCAAAACTATTGAAAATTGCTGTTACTGCTTTGATCTCTGCTGGCAGAGTCTTTGCAGCACCCCAACCAGTCCCTGGATCATCCCCTTCTGAAATAGTATCTGTTTATTATGAAGAAATCGTTTCAAACACTAAATGGTACAAGGTAACAACTATGGCACGATCACTCACTGCCGAATTTCTTGCCGCCCTTCCCACAGTGTCTGCCGATGGTGTTTATGCAACTGCTTATACTCAAACCCAAGCCTGTGTACCAACAGGATATCCTGGATTTTCAAATGATCCAATGTGTACTGAGTGGCGCACAGAATCTGTTATTGTCAATGGATTAGCGACTACTACTAAATACTGCGTTGCATATGTAATTATTAAGCCTGTCGAACCAGATTATGTTGTCAAGACCGAAGATGTTGGTGATTGCCATGTGTGTGAAGACCACAAAGCATCACAGTCTTCTATCAATGCACTTTCTGATGAATCTGTTTCGCCGACAATTACTGAAGTGGAACCAGAAACTGAATGCGAAGTTACCATGATTCCTGCTGGTACTACTGTTGAGGATGGACAAGTGGTTGACATTCAAAGTCCTGTGTGTGTCAGTAACCTTCCCACTCCTAGTTCTGACTGCGATGTCACCGGGTTTTCAATCATCTCTTCCACATTAGAAGACGATTCTGTTACACAAGAGACCTATGCTTACTGTGTTGGCGAATCTTCTTCAGAAGTTGAACCATCGTCTTCGGAACTTGAATGTGCATATACTACTCACTCTTACTCTACTACAACTTTGATATGCGGTACTATCAAGACATATACCATTACTGCTTGTGCTGAGTCTTCAACGGAATCTTTTGAGTCTTCTGAGTCTTCTGAGTCTTCTGAGTCTTCTGAGTCTTCTGAGTCTTCTGAGTCTTCTGAGTCTTCTGAGTCTTCTGAGTCTTCTGAGTCTTCTGAGTCTTCTGAGTCTTCTGAGTCTTCTGAGTCTTCTGAGTCTTCTGAATCTTCTGAATCTTCTGAATCTTCAACTGAATCTTTAGTTGAACCTTCTATTACTTCTTGTCTTGATCCTCTTGACGAAGCTGAGTGCAGCCAGGCTTATACTGAGGTTTCAGCTTCCATTCAAGGTTCTTCTTCCTCTATCTCTGCTTACCTTGCTGCTTCCAACAATATTGTTCTTGCCGGTCTTCTCATCTGTGCCTCCCTTTACAGTAACGTTGGCAGCCAAGTTCAAAGCTCCATCGTCCCAACACTTACAGCCTACAATGTCCCCACCACTGCTACCATTGACGCTTGCACTTACGATCTTTCTTCTATTTCTTCTTCTGAAAGTGAATCAAGTGAAATTGGCTGCAATGTTGTTGGTTACCAAACCACAACTATGATCAATGACGATGGCTGTGTTGAAACTCAAACTATTCCACTCTGTGAGGAAAGTAGTTCCGAAGTTTCGTCTTCTCTTGAATCATCTTCTTCTCTTGAATCATCTTCAGCCATTGAATCATCTTCTTCTATCGAGTCATCTTCAGCTGTTGAATCCTCTTCAGCTGTTGAATCCTCTTCAACTGTTGAGTCGTCTTCTGCTATTGAGTCTTCTTCCATTATCTCTTCTTCGTTTGAGTCCACTGTTCCTGGCTGCAACATTATTGGCTACCAAACTACTACCATGACTGATGAAGATTGCGTGGAAATTCAAACAATCCCCATTTGCGAAGAAAGCAGCTCCGAATTTACTTCTTCTGGTATCGAATCGTCTTCATTTGTTGAATCAACTTCTGCTATTGAGTCGTCTTCTACTATCGAGTCGTCTTCTACTATCGAGTCGTCTTCTACTATTGAGTCGTCTTCTACTATCGAGTCGTCTTCTACTATCGAGTCGTCTTCTGCTGTTGAGTCGTCTTCTACTATCGAGTCGTCTTCTGCTGTTGAGTCTTCTTCCGCAATTGAATCTTCTTCTGCTGTTGAGTCTTCTTCCGCCCTTGAGTCTTCTTCCGTCGTTGAGTCGTCTTCCGAAATCGAGTCATTTTCCACCGTTGAGTCATCTTCCGCAATCGAGTCATCTTCCGCCGTTGAGTCATCTTCCACCGTTGAATCATCTTCAGCTATTGAGTCATCTTCCGCCGTTGAGTCGTCTTCTGCTATCGAGTCGTCTTCTGCTATCGAGTCGTCTTCCGCAATTGCATCATCTTCAGCTATCGAGTCGTCTTCTTCTGCTATTGAGTCTTCTTCTGCTATTGAGTCATCTTCCGCCGTTGAGTCGTCTTCTGCTATCGAGTCATCTTCTGCCGTTGAATCTTCCACCGTCGAATCATCTTCAGCTATCGAGTCGTCTTCTTCTGCTATTGAATCATCTTCTGCTATCGAGGCATCTTCTGCCGTTGAATCTTCTTCCACTGTTCAGTCTTCTCCTGCCGTCGAATCGACTTCTACGATTGAATCATCTTCAGCTGTTGAATCATATTCCGCTATTGAGTCTACTTCAGCTGTTACGTCTTCAGTTATCGAATCGTCTTCTGCTGTCGAATCGTCTTCTGCTGTCGAATCGTCTTCTGCTGTCGAGTTATCCTCTACCATTGAGTCATCTTCAGCTTCTTCAGAGTTTGAAATATCATCAACAACTGAGCCTGCTCCAGTTGTCACTGGCTGTGTCGACCCTCTTGACGAAGCTGGCTGCAGTGCCGCTTACACTGAAGTTTACACTGCTATTGCCTCTGCTTCTACTGAGGAAATCGTGAGCTACTTTAGTGTCGAACACAACACTGTTCTTGCTGGTCTTTTAATGTGCGCCCCTGAGTACGAAAATATTAAGTCGCAAGTAGATGAAAACATTGTTCCTAAGCTTTCTGAAAACAACTTTGCTACCACTGCCACTATCGAAGCTTGTGCACTTGAGTCTTCTACCACTGGCTCTGTTTCAATTTCTGAGTTCGTTAGTGTTTCTGAGCCTAGTTCAGTTTCTGAATCTTCTCTAGTTTCTGATATTCCTTCTATTTCTGGATCGGCACCAGTTTCTGAAGCTGTCTATTACTCTGAGACTTCATCAGTTTCTGAATCTGTTAGCTCAACTACTGGATGTGTAGAGCCTCTAGATGAAGCAGGCTGCAGCGATGCTTACGCCGAGGTTTACAGTGCTATTGCCTCTGCTTCTACTGAGGAAATCGTGAACTACGTTAGTGCCGAACGTAACACAGTTCTTGCTGGTCTTTTGATCTGCTCCCCCAACTATGAAACAATTGATACTGCTGTCAAGGAAAACATTATTCCCAAGCTTTCTGCCAACAATTTTGCCACTACTGCTACCCTTGAATCTTGTGCACTTGAGTCTTCTTCTGCTGGCTCTGTCTCAATTTCTGAGTTTGTTAGTGTTTCCGAGTTGACTTCAGTCTCTGAATCTCTTTCTCAGTCTGAGTCTTCATTTGTTTCTGAAATTTCTTCTATCTCCCAATCTTCACCTGTTTCTGAAATTTCTTCTATTTCTGAATCTTTCCCTGTTTCTGAGTCATTCATTGGCTCTGAGTCTATTGTCACTTCTGTTAGCGAGTCCCACTACTCAGGTTCTGAATCTTCTTTTGGTTCTGAATCCGTTCCAGTTAGTTCTGCCACTGGTTGTGTGGAGCCTCTTGACGAAGCTGGTTGCAGTGCTGCTTACGCTGAAGTTTACTCTGTTATTTCCGCTGCTTCTTCCAATGAGCTCGTGAGCTACTTCAGTGCTGACCACAACACCGTCCTTGCTGGTCTTTTGATCTGCGCTCCTGAGTACGAAAGCATTAAGACTAATGTTGAAGTAAACGTTATTCCAAAACTTTCTGAAAACAGCTTTGCTACTACTGCCACAATTGAAGCTTGTGAACTTGAGACTTCTGCTTCCGAATCTATTTCTATTTCCGAGTCTACTTTTGTTTCTCAGTCTATTTCCGAGGCAACTACTGTTTCCGAGTCAGTTCCGGTTACCTCTGCCACTGGTTGTGTGGAGCCTCTTGACGAAGCTGGTTGCAGTGCTGCTTACACTGAAGTTTACACTGCTATTGCCTCTGCTTCTGCCGAAGAACTTGTGAGCTACTTCGGCGCTGACCACAACACTGTTCTTGCTGGTCTTTTAATGTGCGCACCTGAGTACGAAAACATTAAGTCTCAAGTTGATGAAGACATTGTTCCTAAGCTTTCTGAAAACAACTTTGCAACTACTGCCACTATTGAAGCCTGCGAGCTTGGGTCTTCTGTCTCTTCTTCAGTTTCAATTTCTGAGTCTGTCAGCATTTTTGAGTCTGAATCTTCTATTTCTCAGTCTGTTTCCGAGGTCACTTCAGTTTCTGAGTCTATTTCAATCTCTGAGTCTGTTCCTGCTACTTCCACTCCTGGGTGTGTGGAGCCTCTTGATGAAGCTGGCTGCAGCGCTGCTTACATAGAGGTTTACAATGCTATTTCCACTGCTTCTACTGAGGAGCTCATTAGCTATTTTGGTTTGGAGCATAATACTGTTCTTGCTGGTCTTCTTATTTGCGCTCCTGAGTTTGAGAGTATCAAATCAAATGTTGAAGCAAATGTTATTCCTAAGCTTTCTGGTAATAACTTTGCTACTACTGCCACCATCGAAGCTTGTGAGCTTGAGACATCTATTTCTAGTTCTATTTTTAATTCTGAGTCTGTCTCTTCTCCTGTTTCCGAGTCAAATACTATCTCTGTTTCTGAATCCGTTCCTGCTACCTCCACCTCCGGTTGCGTCGAGCCTCTTGATGAAGCTGGCTGCAGTGCTGCTTATACTGAGGTCTACTCTTTCATCTCCACTGCTTCTGCCGAGGAACTGGTGAACTACTTTGGTGCTGATCACAACACTGTCCTTGCTGGCCTTTTGATTTGTGCTCCTGAATACGAGGTCATCAAGACCAATGTTGAGGTGAACGTTATTCCCAAGCTCTCTGGCAACAACTTTGCAACTACTGCCACTATTGAAGCTTGCCAGCTTGAGACTTCCATTTCTGAATCTGAATCTGAATCTGAATCTGAATCTGAATCTGAATCTGGCTCTAGTTCTGATTCTAGTTATGTTTCTATCAGCGTCTCGGAATCAACTTCAGTTTCTGAATTTAGTTCTCTTTCAGAATCCATCACTGTTTCTGAAACTTCTTCTACTTATGACTTTAGCAATTATTCCGAGACTTCCGCTACTTATGACTTTGGAAATTACTCGGAGACTTCTGCTACTTATGACTTTGGAAATTACTCTGAGACTTCTGAATCTCTTTCTTCTATTACTGAGTCTGTTCCTGTTTCTTCTATCACAGGTTGCATTGAACCTCTTGATGAGGCTGGATGCAGCGCTGTTTACTCTCAAATCTATTCTTTCATTGCTTCCGCCTCTGATGAAGAGCTTGTGAATTACTTTGGTGCTGAGCACAACATTGTTCTTGCAGGACTCCTTATCTGCGCTCCTGAGTATCCAACAATTGACACAGATGTTAAGAATAACGTTATTCCCAAGCTCACCGTCAACAGCTTTGCAACCACAGCTACAATTGAAGCCTGTGAAATTGGTTCTTCAACTCTCGTTTCATTTTCGGAATCTATTTCTACTACTGTTACAGAGCCTGCTTCTGGTATTGAGTCTACCACTGATACTGAACCTGTCTCCAACAATGAGTCTACTACTGGTATTGAACCCGCTTCCAACAGTGAGTCTACTACTACTGGTACCGAGCCTTCTATCTCTGAGTCTAGCATAGGAACTGAACCAGCCACCGGCACTGAACCTATTACTGGCACCGAGTCTGCTGTCTCTGAGTCCACCCCTGATACTGAGTCAGCTACTGACACTGAGCTTGCTAGTGGAACTGAATCTGTTTCCGGTATTGAGTCTACGACTAGTACTGAACCTGTTTCTAACAATGAGTCTACTACTGGTACAGAACCAGTTGTCTCTGAATCCACCACAGATATTGAGCCCGCCCCAGAAACTGAGCCTGCTACTGCTGAGCCCACCACTGGTACTGAGCCCGTTCCTGAAACTGAGTCTACCACTGTTACTGAGCCCGTTCCTGAAACTGAGTCTACCACTGGTACTGAGCCTACCACTGGTAGTGAGCTCGTTCCTGAAACTGAGTCCACCACTGGCACCGAGCCCGCCACTAGTACTGAGCCCGCTACAGGCACTGGCACTGAACCTGCTACTGAGCCTGCTACTGATTCTGAGTCCGGCACTGGTACCGAGCCCGCTGCTGAGACAACAGAATCTCATTCCTACTTTATTTCTACTCTTTCCCTTTCGACGACTCCTGTTGTAGAAACCAACAGTGAGAGCGGCAGCACGATTCCTGCTGAGGGAACAACCACTGGATATGCTCCTGCAGAGTCTTCATCTGCAGTAGAGACAGCGTCCAATTCTGAGAGTGTCCCTGAAGGTGGAAACAATACATTTTCAGCTGAAACCGAAACAGGAACAACCTTTTCGGTCATCTCTCCATCAACTACGGAATCTATTGAGAGCTCTACTGAGACTCATGGCATTCCAGAGTCCACAACTTCTGGTGTTCCTCCATCCACACCACCAATTGACCAAACTAGCAATTCTAGTCGGTACGGCATCAATGTTGCAGCCCTGTTTGGCTCTCTCTTTGTTGTTTGGGCTCTTCTCTTTTAAAAATAAAATGACATTATGATAATGGTTGCTGTTACCGGTAACACTAAAAAATGACGCTATCTTTATAGGCATACACTCCTCTTTTCATCCTTAATTATTAATAACCACGTAGGGTGGGGGGGGAAAAAAAACATGATAGAATGATGACTTTTTTTTGTTTATATATATATATATAATTGATTTAAAATTTAATAAATATTTTTTTTTAAAAAATTTCGGGTATTTAAATTCTTTGAGATTTGGTATTTAATTAGTTTGGTAAAAGGTATTATCAATTAAGCTGGGTTCAAAGATATATAATGACTTCGTATTGAGAGGCAAAAGAGTAGTAAATGATGTTTGTTTCTAATTGTTACTTTACTCTCATAAACCAAGTTGCTTTATTGATTAAATGATCTAAAGTTTTAATAACTCGGAGGAAGGGTTTATAATAAATGACATATGAATATTTCATAAAGAAAAAGAAGTAGGATTTGAGTGAATAAAAGATTTCAAAAAAGAAAAAAAAAAAAAAAAAGTTTAAAAATTTAATTCAAGTTTTTAACTGTAAGTGTAAGGTTCGTATTAGGGTGGACCAGACCTTGATTGTTTTAGTAATATATATCAAAGAAGAATTAATTGATGCTTGTGATTTCTAATCAAGACCTAAGAGACCATGTGAGTTATTATTATTAATTTTTTTTTAAGGTGGCAAATGCAGTTATTAGTTTAAAGGGATATGATTTCATAGATAGAAATAAAGCTCAATAATAATGATGGTATTTGAATAGTTTTGAAGATTTTAAAGATTTTAAAGATTTTAAAAAGTTTTCGTAATCACGTAACGACGTCGCCTTTTCTCTTTTCTATTTTTTTTTTCTTATTAATTTATAAGAAATCGAGAATCCTCGTGTCTGGAGGTAAAATAATTATTTTATATAAATTATATAAATTTAAGAAACCCTTACCTCAATAATCTTAGTCAGCTAGCTCGGATGTCCTAAAATCCTGTTAAAAATGTGTAGTGACACAAGGCCATTACGTAATGTCGTCATTATATTAAATTAAATAGAAAAATAAAATAAAATAAAATAAAATAAAAAACCTTCTCCGCAAGCCTTTTTTTTTTATATTTTAAATAAATAAACTCAATTGAGTGGTCCTTTTGTTTGCCATATAAAAAGCATCAAAGATTTCCAGTTTTTTTTTTTTTTTTTTTTTTTTTTTTTTTTTTTTTTTTTCTATTTTCTATTTTCTACTTTTTTTTTTTCTTCTTCTTCTTCTTCTTCTTCTTTTTATTTATATAAATATATCAATAAAGTCTCAATTGTTTTCAATTAATTACTTACCAAACTTCATATACCTTTATTGAAAATCATTTTACCCCATCGGACATCTCCATACTAAACTTTACCCACTACTATCACTACCTCCACCACCACTATCACTACTACTCAATTTAACAATGGCTCTTTCTGTTGGCGATCAATTCCCCTCCGGTGTCAAGTTCACCTACATTCCATACAGCCCTGATCTTGAGGGTGTCACTGGTATGTCCTATTCTTACCATCTTTCTATCTTTTAATTTTTTCTTTTTTTATCTTTTCTAACTCGCTTTAGCTTGTGGTATCCCCATTGCTTACGATACTGAGAAAGAGTTCCCCTCAAAGAAGGTTGTTATTGTCTCAGTCCCAGGTGCTTTTACTCCCACATGCACTGCCAATCACATTCCTCCATTTGTTGAGAAGATTAAGGACCTTAAGTCCAAGGGCGCTGATGAAATCATTGTTCTTTCCGCAAATGACCCCTTTGTCCAGGCTGCCTGGGGTAAGGCTCTCGGTGGCTACAAGCAGCTGATTTTCGCTTCTGATGGCAATGCTGCCTTCTCAAAGGCCATTGGCAAATCGGTTGACCTCTCTTCCAAGGGTTTCGGAATCCGAACTGCTCGTTACGCTATCATTGTTGACCACGGCAAGGTCACCTACATTGAACAGGAACCCGGCCCAGGTGTCAGTGTTTCTGGCGTCGATGCCATTCTTGCCCACCTTTAAGAAGGACAACTTTTTATGAATATTAATGTATTTTTTGTATAATAAATTGAATTAAATGGAATTTCTTATGGGGTTTTACAAAATTAAAACTAAAACTAAAAGTACAAGCAAAAAGCAATGGCCAGGCCTTTTTTTTATTTTTTTTTTTATTTTTTTATTTTTTTTTATTGAATTAATAAATAAAGCAACCAAAAACCTTTTTTTTTTTTTTTTTTTCCAATTCTTCAATGTGGCAGAAATTCATTTCAAGTAGACTCAGTTGTCTTCCTCAGCTTCTCTCTTAATTTCCTTAATGACATACTTGATGGCGTTGGAAAGCACATTGGTTGTAAGATCCGTGGAGGTACTCTTTTCGTAACTAAAAAGAAAAGAAAAAAAAATAAGTTAGCAACACAAAAAACAACATCATCATCATCATCATCACTTTAACAAACTTACTAAACAATGCTTTGGCGAACAGACAAAGGAGGAAGACCCTCCAGACTGCATTGGTAACCAGCAATTACAACAGCCTGGAAAGGAGTAATGTGGAACTGGTTCAAATACAACACCATAGCGTGCTCCACATTGATAGGCAAAAGCTTCTTCTCCTGCACCAACTTGCACGTGTAACGGAGAGCCTTCATGGTCAGACTTTTGCCATTTTTGCGATCCAAAACAACAACCTTGAGCTTGACATTGTGTGGACCACCAAGATCTTCATCCTCGCTACTATTGGTAGGAGTATGAGGGAACCGCTGCTGCGCATCGCGTGCAATCTCTTCGGAGGAAAGCATTTCCATGGAGCGAAGAGAAACGCGAGTGCCACCGATAACGTCATACAAGGTTTTTTGAGAAGGAACGGCAAAAATCATATTGGGCATTTTTTCATTAGTGCTTTGAAACTTGCGCTTAACTGCATCAATCAACTTGGTACTATTACCAGAAAGATAGGCATTATTTTCAAAAAGAGTAATATGTTGCAAGTTCAAGACAAAAGACCAGTAAATCATCAAAGCAGCTTCTTCAACAAGACGGTTTGTTTCAGCTTCTAAAAATTCGCTTTCTTTCCGTTCATACTCTTTTATTTCAGCAGTAATTGCGGAAATTTGCTCGGCAGAAAACTTACCACGCTCTTTTTCATTAGGCATCAAAGGAGGAGGAGGTGTAATGTATTCCTTAGGTTGAATTACCAGAGCAATGCTTTTTTTGGAGGCCAAGAAAGCATCAGTTGGGTTAATTGGAGATGGAACACGTTTCTTTTGAGGGATGATAGATATGGAAGGCGAGGAAAAGCTTTTGATCAAAGAGGCAAACGACTTGGAGCCGGAATACCTTGAGCGAAAGAGATACTTATTAATACTAGAGCCAAAGGGAAGAAGATCAATTAACCATTGAACAAGGTCCTGGATCCAAGTGGTGACATTGTTGACCCAATCCATAATATCATTAAAAACTGCAGTGACAGAATCAAGCCAAGCAACAACATTGGTGAGCAGATTAAGGAGGATGATTGCCAAGTCTAGAATAGTACCATCTGCTTTTTTGACAGGATCGTCATCAGTGGTGGAAACAATATTTAGCATACCAAGAAGTATGGATCGCTTCATGTGATACTTGAAGATCCCCCAGGTAGATTTGGGGACATCTTCTGCTTTCTGTAAGTTTGCACCTGCTGAAAGAAGGTTATCCAGCTCAAAACCTTTAAAGCGGAGACCCTCAATTCCATAGGTTTTAGGGGTGTAGTAAAACTCGGGTATGAAAGCTTCCATTGTTGAAGAATAAAATCTTTGATGGAAAAGAGATGAATGAATGCAAAAAAAAATAATATTAATGAAAAAAAAAAATAGAAAAAGACCAAGATTTCAAGGTCTTTTTATAGTTTTTTTTTATCTTTCTCTCTGTTTGTTGGCATTCTCATGATCTTGTCAAAAATCTCATTCTCGTTAAATTTCAAATCAATCTGTCCAGGGTGTGTTGTCAGAGCGTTGACACGAGCAATGCCTAAGATAAGACCTGGATATACGCTTTTTGTTCATACAGCGTAAATTGTAGTCTTTTTAGGAATGTGATCTACCAGTAATCTATATAAAGCAGTAGCAACAGCTTATCAGTATGAAAAATTGAAAATTGAAAATTGAAAATTGAAAATTTGCAAGTAGTTTTAAATTTAAATTTAAATTAATTTAATTTAATTTAATTAATAAATAAAAAAATAAAAATAATTATAACCTCTTCTAATCAAAGAGTTTCATAAACGCCACCAAAAAAACGGCGTTGTTTTTATCCATGGGAAGAAGTTTATCCTTTAAGAAGTTCGGCCAGCTAAAAGTTTTAAAGAAATTCTTGTCTCGGCTTCATTTTTTTTTTTTTTGCTTCAAAGATCTCCATTTCTCGGCCCCACCAAATCTCTTTTCTGGATGAAAATTTCTCCATTTTAAATAATCCTTTTTGTAAGCCCGAAACTACCGATATAGTGGGGTTAATAAATAAATAAAAAAAACATGAAATTACGTAATTGGAAGATGTCCTTTTGTTCCTATTAAACAATCAGCCCTAAAACAAATCTTATTCGCATAAAAATACCTATCCAGACGATTATTAATACAATCGACTCGCTTTTATCATTTATAATTATAAATAACTACAAGATTCTTCATACATTTCTCTCTTTTTTTCTTCTTTTATTCTTTCTTCCCTTTTTTTTTTTATTAATCTACACTCAATAACCATTCTTTTCTCTCTTAAATCACTTAAACCACCTTCTCATCTATCCTAAATCATGTCTGCAGATCTAGATACTAATCTCTTTCGCCCACTGAAAGTTGGTCGCATAGAAATCAAACAGCGAATCGCCATGGGCCCCCTGACCCGTGTCCGTTGCAACAACAAGGGTGCAGTCCCCAATGATCTGATGGTCGAATACTACGAGCAACGGGCCTCGAGCCCTGGCACGCTTATTATCAGCGAAGCCACTTTCATTACCCCACGAGCCGGTGGGTTCAGAAACGTTCCTGGGATTTGGTCCAAGGAACAAATCGAAGGCTGGAAAAAGGTAACATCTGCAGTCCACGCTAAAGGATCTTTTATCTACATGCAGTTGTGGGCTCTTGGAAGAGCTGCAGGTTATGATTACCTCACAAAGGAACTTGGTTACGATTATGTGTCATCATCCAATGTCCCTGATCTTACCAATAGCGCTGGACCATTGACAAAAGAAAAGGGGAAGCATATTCCTCGCCCTTTGACCATTGCTGAAATTAAGCAGTATGTTAAGGATTATGCCCAGGCCGCTAAGAATGCAATTGAAGCCGGCTTTGATGGCATTGAAATCCACAGTGCCAACGGGTACATCTTGGATCAGTTTATCAGACACACAGCTAACAAGCGAACCGACGAGTATGGAGGTTCTGTGGAGAACCGGGCCCGGTTCACTTTGGAGGTTGTTGACGCCATTGTTGCAGCAATTGGAGCAGACCGCACAGCCATTCGACTGAGTCCATTTGAAAAGTTTGGCGGTATGTCCATTACCCATAACTCGATTCCGCAGTTTTCGTATTTGATTGAGCAGCTTGAACTTCGCGGGCTTGCAGACGGTGGCAAAAATAGACTGGCGTATATCCATATTGTGGAGAACATTGTGCGTGGAAAGGATTCCAAGGGCAACGGCACTATTCTTCATCCTATTGAGTTTGTACGATACATTTGGACCGGTGTATGGATCCGCACACAAGGGTACAAGCGTCAGACCGCTATTGATGCGGCCGATAAAGATGATAAGGTGATTATTGGGTTTGGAAAGGGCTTTATTGCTAATCCTGATTTGGTTCGAAGGCTCCGAGAAAACCTTCCTTGGAACCAGTGGGACATTGATACTTTTTATACCCTGGGACCCAAGGGGTATGTTGACTATCCATTTTACAGTGATAGTTCCAAGGCCAAACTTTAGAATAAGAGAAATACAAAGGACTTTAAAATAAGGTTATATAGAAATAAAGAATAAATGCAAATTTTGAAAGGGTATATTGCTTTTTTTTTTGTATACTATGAAGTTTATTGGCAAAACAAATCTACTTTTTTGAGAGAAACATCACTGAATTTAGTTAATTTATTAGACAATTAAATAAGACATAACTATTTAGATATTTTAGAGGCATGTGCAAATCTGTTTCTAAAAAAAAAAAAATAATAACACAACGTTTTAAATTAAGGAAATTTAGTATATTTTCTAGGGTCCAAATTTTATTGTTGATGCTTATGCGATGATGTCATAATAAAGGGACGAATCCCTAATTAAGAATAGGGTTAACCCTAAACGTTTTGATAACTGAAATTCAATAATCCTCTTGGAGATTCAAAAATAGAAAACAGTTTTTCTCTCAAAAAAAAAAATTTATAATATTTTTTTTACTTAAATTACAAAAAAATAAAAAAGTGTCATAAATGATTCTATACGATTCATTCATCAAATCCATCCGTCAAACTCAGGTCCACTTTTCTCTTTAAATTCCATAATCCAATTATCCATCCAGTCATTAGCCAACTGCTTTGTCTCTGGAGCAAAGAACCGCATTTTTTCCAAATCAAAAACACATTCTAGGTTCGTTTTATCATTCTGAAACTGTTTATTAAGTCCGATGCAGTATGCAAATGGTAGCTCAAGCAGTTCACGGTAGACATTGCAAAAAGTGCTTGGATAAACATTGTTTTTTTTCAAATCATAATACACGTTTATGCCCGAATATGAAGAACGATTATCATTCCCATTCCCATTTCCATTCCCATCTTCAAGGCCAAAATTAACAAAAACCTGCTTGATATTTTCATTTTCGTTAATAATTTCTAAAAAGTGCGGAGAAAATGGCATTAAATTATTGTTTTTAGAATTCAAGCGGAAATATTCCAGTTGCTTTAATGATTGAATTGTCTTAAAAATGTTTTCATTCACCCAAACCCATTGAAATAGTTTATGAAATTTGCTACCAGAATTAGGGAAAGCCAGGTCTTCGGATGGATTAAAAGCAATTTGTAAAATTGTTTCTGCTAGTTCATAGCGAGCGTTGAAAATACTTTCAGTGTTATAAATCCTTAAGTGGCCAGAAGAAAGCATTCTCTCAATCGCTTTAACTCCCTTCTTTAACATTTTTTTCATATTCTCTCCATTATAATTTATAAAGATATTGAGAACCGAGTGTACAACTGCAGATCCACAAATTTGATCTACAGAACATGCCCAGTAATCCAAGTCTATGCGCCGCAAGTGCTTAAGCTTTCCAAGAGTATCAGATAATAATTTCATAAGTCTCACGCTGTGGAAAGGCTCGTAAGAAGATAGTTCCAGGGTAGTTATATCAATAGAAATGGTAGGTTCAATTTTCATAAAGTGGTAAAACTTTGCTTGAAGATTAAAGTATGAAACCTTGGGGAAAGAAAAATAATCAAACACAAAAGGTGGATTAAATTGGACCAGTTGATATTCAATGCCAGTCACATCCGGAATTACTAACCTGGTGGATGTAGAACCAAAATGTTTTAGGTTTTGGCAGCCATAAGAATTAACTTCCGAAATGGGAAGAAATCGAAGTATAAAAATCTTGATTGTATCTGGAAACTTTTGGGTTAATACTGTAAAGTATCTTCCCATAGTATTGTTTGTGTGTTGAAACGGAACATCGATTTTAAGGTATTCTAAATTAGGTAATTGCTCTAATTTATTTAGCAAATCATTAGATGAAATCAGTTCAAGGTGAAGCCGACTAATGTATTTTAAATTCAAAAACACCTTAGCACTGTCGTATTTTGTCTTTGAAGGATGAACAAAGACCATATTTCTCCAAAAAAAGAAATACGGGGAAAACCGCATTTTCCCATCACGTAGTGAACTTTCCAAAAAATGAGCAAATATGTGGCTTCGAAACTCAATTACTTGTAGTCTTGGGTAATATTTTAAGAAAAACTCGTCAGTGAGAAAGCATGGTGTCAGCTGGTCAACAAAATCAAACCAAATTTCACCAATGAACCGGATTTTAAATATATATTTAGTTTCAAACCAACTATACTTTCCAGGGTTCAGAAACACTTTTAGGGGGACATCGAAATGGGTCAAAACTTTGAGGTCACTCTTTGTTTCGAAAACTACTGTTTTGGACCATTTACGTACAGAGTAGAACATGCGGAGGCTTTGAGATGTATTGCTGAGATTATGGAGGTCATCTTGTTTTAAAAAATCTAAAAGGGAGGTATGTATATCTAATGGGAGGTTATTCAAAGATGTCGTCATGATGGTGAGAAAGTAATAATTAGGGTAGAAAAAAAGCAAAAAAAAAAAAAAAAAAAAAGGAAAGTTAAGTTAAGTTAAGTTAAGTAAAGTGAAGAATAGAAAAGGAAAATAAAGTAAAGTAAAATAAAATAATATCTATACCGATTAGTAATATCGTTTTTTCTATTCCAAAATTATCACAAACCTTTAATGATAATTAGTTAAACTACAGACGTTAGAGGTTTTTTTATCAAGAACCATGATGATGAGATTTGGCTGCTCTTTGGAGGCAAATTTATGTTCTTAAATTTATAGACACTAAAATTAAGCAAGCCTTGTTACATGGTGGTTATATGGGGTAAGGGTTCAAAGATAAGCTTAGCCCATATAATGTTTGTTTGTTTGTTTTTATTCAAGGGTTATAGAACTATATAACATCAGCATCTGCGCTATCCTTTTATTGTCTGACTATGTGACTTGCCGGTTTTCATTTGTACCTTTTTAGTACTGGTGGTTTCTGTTCTGTGCGTCTCCGGTAGCCCGGAAGATGGGCCCTGATGCCAGCTTACGAGGAACAGGGAGAACCAGTCTGTCGGTTCCAAAACCTTCCCAACCCATTTCCACTTATCTTCACGGACGCCCATGTATTTCTTAATCTCTTCCGCCAGAGATACGGCCCGCAATCACCTGCAGGCTAGCCCATATAAAAAATTGTCGTGTTACGTAAGCAACTTGTTATTGTTCTATATATAGCTCTGGTGGCTCAATTTTTTAAGAAACATTATTAAAAACGACTCTCGATAGCTCAGTTGGTAGAGCGCGGGACTGTAATAGTACATTGTAATCCTGAGGCCGCGTGTTCGACTCACGCTCGGGAGAGTTGACTAATTCTTTTTTTTAGATTAACTTTTTTTTAATAAAATTTTTTTTCCTTTATTGAAGAAAGAGTTGAATACTTAGACAGAAGAAATGAATTAAAAGATTATATATTATTTTAAAGAAAAATTAGAAAAAATATGATTTTTTTTTAAAAAAAACTGTAAGTTAAGGGGGGGAATCAAAGAGGTTTCTTTACACACACACACAGCCATTTTAAGAGGAGGAAGAAATTTTTTTTTTTTTTTAAAAATTTTTTTTTAAAATTTTTGTGTAATAAAAAATTGGTCTCCACCGACCCAAATTTGGTTGCACTTTTACAACAGAAGTAAAACAAAAGTATTTTGTATCGTGGTAAATTTTACTTTGGCCAAACAACAACGAACAAAAAAAAAAAAAAAAAAAAAAAACAGAGAAAGAATTGTTGATTTTATGGACATTGATGTTAAGGTAAGTTAAGATGCTTTTTTTTTTTAATTTAAAAATAAATTTAAATTTCCTTTTTTTTTAAAAATAAAAACAATAAAATAAAAAGAAATAGCTGGATTTAGAAAAAAAAAAAAATTATAAAAGAATCAGATTGAAATTTTCATGTTTTTTCTCCCTAAAAAACAATGGTTATTTTTTCAAAACTTTTAACAATAAGGAGAGAGAGAGACTTGTTTGCACCAAAAAAAAAATTCAAATGCCAGTTTTTTGTTTCTTCTTTTTATTTTTATTTTGAAAAACTCTTGAACTTTTAAATCTCCTTGTTTTTTAACGTTAATTTATTTAGATATAAAAAACATTTCCCTTCATTGAATTTTTTTTTTTATTCCATCCAACACTAAATAGTTTTAAAATAATTTTTTCAAATTTTTTTTTAATATTTTTAATGTTTTAAAATAAAAATAAAAATAAAATCTAATCACCAACAATGGCCAACAATCTAAGACGGGCCACAAACACCACTACCACTACCAACAAACAAAACGGTGGAGCTTCAACAACAAATTTTGGTATGGATGGGCTCGCTGTATCTTATGAAATCTACAGGCATTCCAAAAAAACATCGGGCAGCCACCCCCTCAAAAAAGTGAGTCGGCTTTCTCGCTCAGCAGTACCAGAAACAACCCCACGCCAGGCCAAACAGAAAATTCCTCCACCAGCACCGGTACAATCACCCTACCACAAACTTGTGATGCTGACTACTGCAATCACAAAAGCAGTCGGCCAAACTCTAGGTGAACCCAATAATAAGAACCCCCAGAGTGCGTACCGACAGTTAATTATGCAACAGCAGAACCATGTGGAGCCGCTGGCACATACACTGCACGAGTTTGTGGATACGTTACAAGTGGGGCTTTCTCGGGAACTGTTGTGTACGACCCAAGTTCAAGACAAAGCAGTAGAGGGAGGGTCTGTTAAGGGATCAAGTAATAAGACGACACTGAAAAAGAGTTCCAAGTCGAAAAAGAGCATGACCATGTCCAAATCGCAGACCAGCAGTAAAAAAAGGGGAGCTCTTGAGGAAGAATCTAGCAAGAAATTATCTGCAACACCCAAGGCACAAGAAAAAAGTAATAAACGGCCCAATCTTGGGGGGGATAGTAGTGCGGCCGTTAATCAATCCAAACTGTCGCTTAAACAAAAGCGACTTTCCATGGAAGGTAAGTCGTCCAAAAAGGCCAAACGGGTGGCAGAAGCGGCAACAGATGAAAATACAGAACCCAAGAGTTTATCATCTGACAAGAGTCGGCCAAAGTCTAAAAAGACACCGTCCAAGACGAGTTTGCATGTAGAAAAGGCGTCAAGCAAGTCGACCGATACAATAATTATAGATTAAATAGAGTAAAGAAAAAAAAAAAAAAAAGCATTTTTCTGATTAAACCAAAGATTCTTCAAATTCTTAATAAATCTTTTTTTTAAAATTGAAAAAATGTATCAAAAGCTCAGATACCAAATCGCAGAGTTGAGGAAAATAATTCTGGCTTCGGTATGAGGTAAGCGTTTGACATTTAATCTTGTCTTTTTTTCCCCTTCATATGTCCATCTGTAACACGAAGCAACAAAGTGAATAAAAGACTTGTTTTATAAGCTATGATTAAAGAAAAAAAAGAAGAAAAAAAAAAGAAGAAGAAGAAAAAGATCAGGGAAAAGTCCAAATTTATACTTTTTTTTTTTTCAAAATTGTTTCTTACCAAAAAAAAAAATTAAATAAAAAATTCGGTCCCGGTGTGACCAACTATACGCACATTATAAGTAAACCTCAGTATATCCAATTGCTCAAAAAAAAAAATCTATTTAAAAAGCACCCTGTTGCTCAGGAACCAAAGTAATCAGTTTCCCCGTTGTAAGCCCCGATCGGAGGTTCTCAATCACCAGGTTTTCCATATCAAATCGGCTCTCATAAGAGTGTGTGCCCATATGTGGGAGCAACAATGTTCTAGGGTTGTTGAGTAGCCCTGGGTTAATCACAGGTTCGTGTTCAAATACGTCGAGCCCCACAGCACCAATTTTCCCTGACTCGAGGCCGTCAACCAAATCCTGCTCATTGATGACGGGTCCGCGAGCTGTGTTCACAATCACAACGCCGTCCTTCATTTTGGAAATGGTTTCCTTGTTAATGAGATGTTTTGTTTCCTTGTTAAGAGGGACGTTGATGGAAATAACATCTGCCTCAGCCAACAACTCGTCAATGGTGGGCTTGTACTCGCTATCTTTTTCGAGATCCGCAGGCAATCTGCGGCGGTTGTAGTAAATAATCTTGTCAAACCCGAGTGGCACGGCACGGTCGCGTACAGCTTGGCCAATGCCACCCATGCCGAGAATACCGAGCACTTTGCCCTGAGGGTCATGGCCAAGCTCGACTGAGGATAACCATTTGTTTTGGCGCAGTTGGTACTGGCCGTACGAAAAGTTACGGAGGGCTCCAATGACCAAGAAGATATTTGTGTCTGCAGTTCCAGGGACGACTGCGTTAGGGGTGTTTGAGATTTGGATACCTTGGGCGGAGAGTGCGTGGACATCAATTTGGTCATAGCCGGCTCCAAAGTGACCGACAAACTTAAGGGACTTGGGGAAATGTCGTACAAGATCTTCGTCAAAGCGGCCAGTGATTCCAACCGAGAAAAGTGTGCGATAGATGGCAGTAACGTCGGAGTATTTTGTAGAGAGATCGTGGATGAATTCTTCACGGTTCTTGGACTCGGCAGTCACGAGCTCGGCAATATCACTGAGACCCTGCCATTCCTTTTGAGCATGGATTATTTCACCGAGAAGAAGGATTTTGGGTTTAGGAGATGTAGAGGTTGACATGGTGCGGATGGTATTTGGGGCTATTGAAAGTCTAGAGGATGAAGAGAGAGCGGGGAGGGGTGGAGATGTTAGATTGAAAAGGAGTGATTTTATGGGATTGTTAAGATAGATAGATACCTATAGATACTAGGAGAAAAGAGAGAAGAAAATCGGATAAATGATCTCATCAATTGGTACTGTTATCAGAAATAAAAGATAATTGAAAATAGGGAAAGTCTGCTGGTCTTTATAGTTTTTTTTTTTTTTTTTTTTTTTTTTTGGTTTTAGTAAGTATGGTGGGAAGGATTTTGTAAAATGGCATACGCGTGGGGGGATATTTGGGTGTCTTTAAGACAATTAATAATTATTAATTGCACACAAGTTGCACACACAAATTTTAAATTACATCACCAAAAACTAATGTATATTATTATATATATTATATATTATATACTATCAAGATATCAGTATTATATTTAATACTTCTAAAAGCCGCGGCTAACTAAGGAATTTCAATTAAAACTTTATCCTTCTCTTTTCCCTCAATAATTAAAAAAAAAGCCTTTTTTATCTAAAAATCTTTTCATTTTTTCATTTTTTTTTTTTTTTCAAAAAAATGCCGTCGACTCGTCTGCAACAAGAGTCACCGACTGAGCCTTATCACCCGAAGGACACTCGGATGTGCAATACAGCACGGTCCTCCCCCTCCCGTCCGGGCACGCAATAACGGATTGTCCGTTTGGAATAATTTCGCCATTTTTGATTTCCCAGTGAGGTGTTGTTGTTGACCCCCCACTTATTTTGTTCTCTCCATTGCCCACATTGTTAATATTAATCACCTGCAGTTTCCCATCCCTATCAATAATCACACTCCCTAAAGTCCCAGACCCCCCAGACCCCCCAGATCCTGTATTCCCGTATAAAACACCATCCACAACCGTGCCCTTAAACGGTGTAGACCCTGAAACTAACCCCCCAGTGCTAGGTGAAAGATATCCTCCAGGAATAACATATATATTAATTTGGTTGTTGGAACTGCTGTTGCTTGTGTTGTTGTTTGTGTTTTGATTATTCGATGACCCGGCACTGCCTCCAGCTCCGCCTGCACCACCAGATCCACCGGACCCTCCAGATCCACCATTACCGCCATTACCACCGTTTCCACCAGGTGCTTCTGAAGCTGGGAGATAGACTGTTATTGTTCTAGTAGGCTGAGACGTAGTTATTGTAGGAGGGATAAAGGTGGAGGTAGACGAAGAGGTGGATTCAGTAGAAGGTTTTGTGGTAGATACAAGAGTAGTAGAAGATTTAGTTTCAATCAGGACTTCTGTAGCCGTTGCAATTTCGACAACTTCAGTTGCAATCTCGACTTCAGTTTCTACAATAGTTTGGATAGCAGTTACTATTTGTGTTTGTAGGTCTGTTGCTAAGTCAGTTTGGACGACAGTTACGACATCAGTTTGAAGGACAGTTTGGAGGACAGTTTGAGTGTAGATATTATTGGTAGTGACTACAACTGTATCTTTGGAAGCGGGTGTTTTAGAGGGACAGTTCCCAAGAAGAAGACAGTCTTTGATGCCAATAAAATACTTTTTCTTATTAGAAAGAGATTTGAGGAGAGGGTTTGGAAGGGGGGAAGCTAGAGTCGAAGCAGTCAAGAGAGAGAACGAGATTGTAGAGAATTTCATGGTAGAAATAACAAAAGAAGAAGAGTAAGTTTGATGAGGGAAAAAAAATAACAATTCAAAAAAAAAAAAAAAAAAAAAAAGAGATTTTGAATACATTTTTATATATTTTATAGAATTATTTATAAATGAGAATGATAGGATAAAAAATGAATGTTCTTTTTTATTTTTTTTTATTTTTTTTTTTCAAAGAGATTTTGGTTTTTGAATTGGAAACATGATGAGGTTAGTTTGTAAATAAGAAACATGAATAGGACAAAGAAACGGATACAAATTATTAAAAGACAGTTTCTAAACTGAACAATGGATATAAGATGATTTAAAAAAAGTAAAAAAAAAAAAAAAATGTTTCTTTCTTTTTTCAAGTCTCCGGGTAGTATTGTCATGTTTTTTTTTTGATTCAACTTGACCAAAACAAGTTTTTTTATTTAAAAAAAAAAAAAAAGTTTAGATTAGATTATGTGAAAGAGATTTGGGTATAAGAACGGCCGTTTGATTTTTTTTTTTTTTGTTTGATCATTTGTTTAGAGATAGATTAGCCGATATTTTTTTTTTCAACGGTCGCAAACAATGATTATCTGTTTTTTGTTTATTAATTTGTTTTTTTTTTTCTCTTTCTCTCTCTATTTGAATCATTTCCAGTGTTTTAAACAAACGTTTGAAGATAGTCAGCTAGCTAGTCAGCCGTGGATTCTAGAATGGTAAAATAACGGTGTTTATCACGTGATATGTGACATAAAACAAAAAAAAAGTACATTTATTGGTTCAAATGGGGACTTCTTTCAACAATGTCTTTTTTTTTTTTTTTTTTTTTCTTCTTCTAAATTTTCCAGTTTTTATTTTATTTTTTTTTTTATGTTTCTTCTTATTTATCTCATGATTTTGGATTTCCTATTGTTGATGTAGCTGTTATTGTTGGTTGTTGTACCTTTTTAACAAACTCTTTTTTTAGAACCCGTAGGCTGTGTTGTAATTGGTGATGTAACAACAACAAAGTGGCTTAAAAATAAAAATAAAAAATAAAAAAATTTGGTTTCATACAAAAGTTGTTGTTTGATGGTGGTGGTGGTGATGATAAAAACTTTGAAATTTTTCAATTTAAATAAATAAATAAAAAAAGGGCATTTTGAAATTTAATCTTCAAATTATAAACTAATAAATAAATAAAATCTTTTTTTTTTTTTTTTTTTGAAAATATCATTTCAAATCTTTCAATTGATTTAAAACTTTGAAAAAAAAAAAAGTCGCTATATGTTTCGGTTGCTTTTATTTTTATTTTTATTTTTTTTTTTTTTTCCCTTCCCACACAAAAAAATAAAATAAAAAAAAGCTGTCCTTTTCAGCTGCATTGGAAACTTCCTATGCCACTCCCCTCAGCAAAGCCTCCTTTCTAACATCACCACCACCACCACCACCACCACCACCACCACAACATTCATCTTTTTTTTTTTTAACTGAGTTATATCCATATATATATATATATATATATATATTGCCATATACCCTCAGCAATTCCAATTTATAACAACCACCTAGTCGTGTCTGTTTTCCTTTTTTAAAACTTTAATCAAATCCCCTTTATAGAAATTCCTATTTATTTATTTATTTTTTAACTCTCTTTTATTTCTCTTAAAAAAAAAAAAAAAAAAATGAAATTCCAAACTCCATTTGATAACCCATATTCCCAAATCGATCCAAATTCGCAAAACCAAATGGCCCACGAATATGAAATGGACCCTTATGGCGGGTATGCTGGTACAACCGCAGCTTCTGCAGCAGCTGCAGCTTCTACAGGAGGCCCAGGCATAACTACTGGTAACCGGAACTCTACAGTGCCACGACCAGACGACATGGTGGCCTACTTTGAGGAAATTGAAGATTTGAAAAAAACAATTGCAGAATATGATAGCAACGTGGATCGGATTGAGTCGTTACATCAACGATCATTAGTGGAAGTAAATGATGAACAACTGCAGATTCTTAACTCTCAAATTCGGGCATTAGTGGATGAAACTTCAGCTCTGGCAAAGGAACTACGTGGACGTATACAACAGCTATTGAATGAGTCACAGTATGATAACACCAAACGTGTTCAGGCAGACAATATCAAGACTCAGTTCCAATCGTCAGTACGGCGGTATCAAGGTGTAGAATCTGCATTCCGCAACCGGTACCGAGAACAAGCTGAACGCCAATACCGGACGATAAAGCCTGAGGCACCTGAAGAAGAAGTTCGTGCAGTTGTTACACAAGCTCTGGAAGATCCATCAGGACAAGGAGGCCAGATATTTTCACAAGCACTGCTAAATAGCAATAGACGTGGAGAAGCGCAAGCGGCGCTTGGCGAGGTACGTGCGCGGCATGAGGGTATTTTACAAATTGCAAAGACAATGGAAGAACTTGCTGGATTATTTCAAGACTTGGAGACAATGGTTGCAGAACAGGCAGCAGCAGTGGATCAGGTTGATGTACATGTGGAGCAAGCACAACATGATATTGAGCGAGGGCTTGGAGAGACGAGTGGTGCTGTGGGGTATGCACGCAAGGCTCGTAGAAAGAAGTGGATTTGTTTTGGTATTTGTGTGTTGGTTTGTTTAATTCTGGCCCTTGTATTGGGGCTTGTATTTGGGTTGAAAAATAATTGAGATGATAATTATGATAATTATGATGAGACAATGAGACTATATAAAAGTAAGTGAATCAAGATAATTAAGGGTTAATTTTGGCTTTTTTGGCTTTTTTCAAAAAAAAAAAAAAATATTAATACTGTACTAGTATTAGTCCTTCGGGAGAGGGGGGGAGGTTAATACCAGAACTTGCCTTGAGATTTTCTTTTTTTTTTTTTATTTCTTTTTAAAATGGAATGAAACCTTGGGTTCCATCCAATGTGTTTAAAGTAAAACTTTGTACAATTGTCTTCAAGGTTTATTAATATTGTCTTTGATAAATTACCTTAATTGGAAGATTATATTTTTTTTTTTTCATTATCATTATCATTATTATTTTAAAGTATTACTGCGTATATTCATTCATGTTCCATAAATTATTAAAAAAATTTATATAATAAAAAATAAAAAAAAATTTAAAAATTAAAAAATTAAAAAATTAAAAAATTAAAAAAAAAATAAAAATAAAAATAAAAATTATTAAAATTATTAAAATTATTAAAAAAAAAAAAAATAATAATAATCATTTTCTACTATTACTTCCCTCCACATTCTTACCAGAGTCCTTCTTTATCTTGTGGAACTGCAACATATGCCTATTTAAACTGGCCTTATCCGTATGCAACCGAGTATTGCAAGGCTTAACTCCAGGATGAAGTTCCTTATTATTTGGGGTCCAGTAAGGACATGTAATGACAGGTTGGCCATGCTTACGAATATAATGCTTCTGGGATTCCAATTTACGTGTAAATCCAATTCTGCTCCAAATACAGCTTGGTTCCTCACACTTGAAACGACGCTTGACACGCTCGACACCATGTTGTTCTTCAAGCTCCTTTACATGGGCTGCAAACTTCTCGAGTTCTGCGTGTAGGAAAGTAGCATCACAGTGGTTGCACTTATACTTACGCTTACTCCAGTTTTTAACAGGCTTACCATTGTAGTCCAATCGTTTTGGTGGGCCTGGGGAAGATCTCTTAACAGAAACAGCAGCAGGTGGAGGAAGAGATTTTTGAGTAATAGAAGAAGATGGTGGAGGTGCAAGTGATGTTGATTGAGTGAGAGGAGGAGCAGGAGGAGGAGGAGCCACAGAAGAAGATGCTTCAACCAAAGAGTATTGACAAGGCATGAC